TTGTGACACAGTGTCTGTCCGAGGATCCATCGAAACAGGTGGTGTTATGCCAGTCTCTTGTACCTGTCTTTCTAGCATGCCCTCAGTGGCTTCAACAGCCCCACATCCAGCACTTAATGTACAGGTGCTATACAGTCTCGTAGCCAAGAAATCGGAACCCTCACTACTAGGTTCTGGATAACTGGCTAGGAACTCAAGGGCACGGTTCTGGGAATGGTAGTTACGAATAAACATAGTGGAAAACTTACCTTGGGCAAAGGGAACTGGGCTTTCTTGATTCCTGGGTTAGCTGCCTATAAGCTACTGTGGCTGTTATTCCGTGAACCAGAGGCCTGTGCGTCGAAACAAAGAAAAATGATATGACATACCCTCTTTTCCTGCTACAGCCCCTGCTTCATTACAAAATGCTGCATTCTGCATACCGCTATCTCTTTCTTGACTTGCAATATAGCCTGCCGGGAACACATATATCCCTCCCCACTTTCCTGCCCCCCTTGTCCATCATTAACTCGATAATTCGCATTCTATCACCAGCATGGATGAAACAAACACAAGCTGGACACGCTATTTTTATGTGATCACAATGGCTACCTGCTGTATCATCTTCCTAGAGACAAACTTCAGTGGTATTACTAGGAGCTGAATATATACGAACGTGTGGCTGAACGGGGGGGGGGGGGGGGATGGGGGAGGGGATGCTATAATAAGATGGCGACGGATAATGGTAATCGCCACTCTATAGTCCCTGTGTTAACGTGAACAACGATATGGTGTTCAAATTCTTCGTTGAAAAAACAATAGAAATATGACCCTGCAATGAAGGATCAAACCTGTAGACAAAAAAATTAAAATAACTACCACTACGGTAGGTCTGTGATTCATTACGAAATGCTGCATTTTGCATACCACTGACTCGTACATGACTCATAATTAAAAACAATTTCGAAAGTATAAATTACCATATCTCCATCTTCCCTCTTTTTGGTCCCTCCCCCCTTCCCCCATTTACAAGTCTGGATTGTTCCCATACCATGGCTGATCCTAACTCCAATTACACGCGATTTTTTATCAAGGACCTTAATGGGTACTTATTCTACCATCTGCCTCAAACCAGAGTTGACTGGTTTACTTGGGAATGTGATATGTGTGATCGCGAGGCAGAACATGAAACGATGCTATTTCAAGACGGTGACAGCTACTGGTCGCTTTACTGTCCATGTGAATATGTGAACATCGATGCTCTGGTCAAATTTTTTGTAGAAAAAACTATGGACGCGAAGGAGCTGGAAGAGAAACACAAAATTTTTGTAAAAAAGTCATTCGGCTCGGAACCGGACAAAGGGCCATGGATTTCCATGAGACCAGATGCTGGGAAGCTTTAAAAGGAGCTTAGTTATCTATAATGGTTCAACTATTGTAGCGTTAATCAGATTAAATTGGTCGCGCCATAAAAATTCATGGTATCCTGTCCATTGGAAACGAATTATTTGGAAATGCGAGGGTTTTGGAAAAGAGTCGTTCATATCAAACCCAGATAAACGATCATAGTGTTCCTCTTGGTCTTTAGCTGGACAACTTTGATTCACTGAGCTTTCAGGTATCCTCCATAAGGAATATGCTGAGAAAATAGGTTGTGTGTTTGTCTGTCGCGTAAGTAGACCTTCTTGTAGCCTCTTCGAAGAGAAAAATTTGATAGATAGACCTTCAGTTGTCGCAAAGTTGTCATTTGGCTCAGTTCCTGATGAAGGCCTATCATTTGCTCCCGAAGTTGATCGAAGAAAATTTTTATAGGGAATTGTAGTAGTGATCAATTGTGATTGATTCTCTGCACATTTCGGACAGATCTCCAAAGGGGAAGAAATATTTCTTGACCATGGTTTGTGCGAAGAAAGCGTGCTGTTGATCGAGGTGATATTTGATGTAGAAGAGACATTAAAGTCAATTCCAGAAAGTTGGCTAACAATCTTTATAGTATAAAACTTTGGAAAGCTCTGACAATGCGTATACAGTGTTGTAGTACAAGAAAGACTAGGTGGCAACGTAGGACGTACGCTTACAGGTGTTACTCTATCACCCGGTCGAGGTCTGTCGAAAGAGAGAGAATCATCTGGCAAAAATTTGATTGTCTTGGAGGGGAAAGAGGGCTCCTTAACACCTAACACACGATGTTCCATCTGGATTGATGTTAAAAAACACTGACTTAATGGGTGGGGGCGAATTGATGACCACGGCTGAAAAGCTGATGAAATAGGTTCCATATCTGAGGGCGGTGTAGTATCTCCTGGCCTTAACCTGTTGGGATGAGCTATACACGCCGATTTGATAACTGTAGTACCTTGGTTTTGACCAAATGTTACAACATCATGGCAGCTAGTGTCTCCAGCTGCGACCCTCAGTAATGCTGCCTCTTGTGGCTACCTTCTGTGGCGCATTTTACGACCGCTATAATAAGAACAGAAATGATGCTTTGAAACATAGATTTCAGTGTCTTGATCAGGGTTCTCAACTCTCACAGACCAATAGCCATCATTGGGTGTGCCCTCAGGCATACAGTTGTATTCATTAAGGTCAGCTGTAATACATCCTTCTTTGCAAAAATGGTCCGTGCATAATGTCACAAGGACCGCTTTTGTGGTCATCCAATAAAAAGATTGAATGGTTGCCAGCACTCTTATTTGCCTTAGGAGAAGCATATTTAGGTATGGTCCAAATAAAGTGAACTACTCGAATATATACGAGACTTCGGTGGCGTAATCCGGCTTTTCTGCCCCCTGCCAGCCCTTTTTGCAGCATGTCACCCTGGCCACCTTCTCGTTGTAGCCAATTACAAGATAGGAACTAGCAGCATTCATGGTCAAATCACGGGAAATTACTGGCCTCGCGCTTTGACCTTGTAACTTTAAGTAAAAGCAGGATTGCAACCTGACACAAACTCAGGAATAAACACTGGCGAGGTACACTCTTCGCATGATCTTTCTTCAAGTGACTGCAGAAATGACGCCTCAGTATAGCTCTCCACGCTTCCATTCACATGTCAAACTCCATGAAATGATTATCGCACTGATTTATCCTGCTATGTGAGCTATTTGATGTTGACTTTCGGCTAACAAGGTCGCTACTATCAGATCTGAAAACCATGTCGATATGCTTTGAATGTGGCTCGAATTGGCTTTCGGACCCCCCAATCCGATTTTATCAGAATTGTCGAGGAAATTTCCTGCAGGCGTGTGGGATGTATTAAACCGCCTCGATGATGCCTAAGGGTCCGTCAGCCGTAAGATTTAGACCTCTGTAGTATTTTCCGCAAGATGTTTGAAGATGCGGAACATTAAGAAGAACGATTGAGTTCCGGATTGGAAATAGTGATTTGCATTGTATTGTTTATTCCATCTAATGCAACGTTTCTAGACAAACACTTGCTATAATAGGGGCCAATTTGAACGACACTTCAATACCCAATTCCCACTTTGTGCAATTGTCCCCGTGCTACTATCGCTTCTACATCAAGCGTCGTACCGCCCCCCCCAGACTATCACTCTCATAATTTTGAATAATACAATGATAAAGTCACTTTGCGACTCCAATAATCATAAGATTTCATTATCAGAAAGCTTAATGGTTACACTATTTGCTATTCACCCCAGCCAATGGATGGCATTACCTTCCTTCAAGGTGGTAATGTTGATTATCCTAATGAACATATATTCTCTTGTCTATATTATAAATGTTGTCACTATCCGGCTCCGTCCTCGCCGGTTTTGCTTGCGTATTGGTGCTTTTGTCGAATTTTCGTCTACAAAGATCAACGGAACAGAACTATTTGATGCGTAGAAAATTCTTGAGTCAAGACCAACATTTCTTCACATTTATTAACGTGCCACGAGCTTAAGGAGTCACGTAGATTGCAAAGTCGGCAGCGAGCGCAGTCCTCCACAGTTGGATGCCTCACTGACTAATCATCCTGAGTTCTTTCGGTCGGTTACAAGGGGATCGGATTCCGTACATTTCATCTCAAAGCTAGAATAAAATTTTCTATTCGCCTATCTCATACTGTGCCAAGAGAAGTCAGCAGTTTGAAACGTTTTGAAGCTCAAGCGATTTTCCGCGTCGCTTTTATTTAAATCATGCATTCAGGTTTGCTTACGGCGCAACGGAATTCGCTATAGGCTGGAATCGTAGAATTCCTCCACTTCAAAGTTTGCGTGGTTCACAGTTTGCTCGAAGATCTGCGCCCGAAATGATGCATTGTTCCCCCTACTGAAACTATGATGCGGCACCAGGCCATTCCTCACGTATAAATACAGCAGCAAGCACACAGAAGCCTTCCATCACTATGGCCCGCTTCTTTGTTCTCGCCACGCTCGCCTCGCTTGCAGCTATCGCCACCGCTGCTCCCGCCTCTGTGTCTTGCCAGGCCAGCGGCTCTCCTGTCGTGGCTCTTGCTTACAAGGCGTCTCAGATTACTCATGGCTACCAGATCATTCCCAGCCACAAGGGCGAGCCTGGTAAGCACAAAACTGAGCAGGGTCACCGTATTATGTCGTTCTTCCTGCGCACGACGTCGAACGCTGCCGTCGACAAGTACTGGGAGACTGACAAGGAGTACCAGTTCGTTCCATACCACTGCACGGCCGCTTCGGATAATGCTGTCCTTTCTGGTGGCTGGACTGAGTTCCGCCACGCGACGAACGAAAATGTCTGTCTTTCGCTGAATGGCTCGCCTAGCCTGGAACCCGCTGCGAAGTCCATGACCGACAACAACCTCTTGACTCTGAAGCCCTGCTCGACTGATGTCTCCTCCAACGTTCTTCTCCACCAGGCCTTTACGGTCCCTATTGGCAAGACTGCGCAAAAGAACGCTGACAACCTCTTGACGCGCGGCGGTATCGCTATGGGCAACCACGTAACCTACCTGACCACCGACACGAGTGGCTCTAGGGACGTCTACGATTTCGTCATGAAAGCAATCTAAAAACAAAAAAAAAGTAGCGTATAATAGATCAATGTTGGCCATAAGCGGGTGATACGTAGCGACCCGCTTCCACAATCACATTCACTTGTTTCTGCGGCTGACCGGACCAAATGTTCGCGAGGATCTCCTTGGTGCCCGCAATGTAACGACTTTGCGCATCCAGCGAAGTGCCTGAGATGTGCGGTGTCATCGCATTACCACCGCCTGCGTTCCAGCCGTTGCTCATGCTGCGCCACGGGTGGTCTGCCGGTGCAGGCTGAGGGTACGACACGTCACCGCCATAGCCGTTCAACTGACCCGTCTTGACGGCGTCGGCCACGTCCTTTTCGACACAGATAGCGCCTCGGGCCGTGTTGATGAGCCACGCGCCTCTCTTCATCTGACTAATCAAGTCCTTGTTGAACAGTCCGCGAGTGCCCTCGTGCAGAGGTGCATTGATCGTTACAATGTCGCACTGGCGGACCAGCTCTTCGACACTGTCGACGTGGCGGACGCCATAGCGTTGTTCCGTATCGGCATCCGCTCGCTGGTAGTCGTAGTACAACATCTCTTTCATGCCAAATGGCTTAAGTCGCTCCATAATGAGGCGTCCGATACGGCCGAATCCGAAGGTGCCCACTACCTTACCTTCGATATCATACGAATTTTGCGCGATCTCGGCAACATTCCAGCCTTTCTCATCCACGTACTGTCGGTGTGCGGGAACAAAGTTGCGCACCAGCACCAGGATTGACATCACCGCGTGCTCGGCGACCGACGTCACATTCGATCCGGTCACTTCATAGACACCAATGTTGCGTTCATTGGCCTTGTTCAGGTCGACGTGGTCGCTACCCACGCCCGCTGTGATGCATGCCTTGAGCTTCGGAGCTTGATCGATCAGCTCAGCATTGATGTAGGCTGGGTGGAAGGGCGTGGTAATAGCAATATCGGCGTCCTTGATCTCCCGCGCAAATGTCGAGTTGAGGCCATCCTTGTCATCGGTCACAACCAGCGTGTGGCCTTGTTGTTCGATCCATTGACGCAGACCCAGCTCATTCTCCACGGTGGCCAGCAGCTTGGGCTGTCGCTTCGCTGCTTCGCCACCTCGATACAAGGCCGCGACGACTTTGTCAGCGCGGGTCGCTGACTGTGTAAAGGCCCGACAGAGCGGGCGAGTATACTGCATGCTAGTCGCTCTCAAGGTCCACATTACGGTTCGATTGTAAGGTGGCACGGACCTGATTCTTTCCCGTCTGCGCGGACCGTCCAATAAGGACCCCATTCGGTGCAATCGGACTGACCGGTCAGGTGAACGCCCATGCGCACGTGCCACTTCCCCCTGTGCCTTAAAACAACAACACGGACGCGCAGGTTGGTACCTCGAATGATCAAAATCACCTCGTCGTTGCTCGCTCTCGTGCTAGCGCTCTGTGTTCATGCCGCGTCTGTGGACACGCTCTATCCGAATCTCACTGATCCGTCAGTGATCAGGCATGCTCCGTACGACTCGATGATGCACGGGTCCAAATACGAGACGCGCACGGGGCCGTCGGATGGCACGTACAACTACTGCTCCATGCCGCATCCAATCGCGTCTATGTATAAGGAACCGGAGCCTGTCGTGAATGGCACAGTTAAGGCGAATCTGACTGCGGTGCTGTATATCCAACGTCACCAAAAGCGCACCGCCTACAACCTGTTCCCGTACGGCGAGAACGAGCATTACGACTGCACGGATGCAGAGCCCTTCCTCTACATGGGTTCCTCGAACGCGTCGCGTCCTAAGCCACTCCCGGTGTATGCGGCCACCTACGTGGACCGCCAGAACCCGCTGTATGCCACCCTGACCAACTCGACGTGCCAATTCCCGCAGCTGACCGTCGGTGGTTTCCTGGACGGTGTCCAACATGGGAAAGAGCTCTACGAGCTGTACGGTGACAAGTACGGCATCATTCCTCGCGAGCCTTCCCCGGAGACCGTATGGCTCCGCTCTTCCACCGCTCCCCTCACCCAAGGCTCGGCTGGCGGTGTGCTGCGCGGCCTTTGGCCGCACTACAACAAGCCGCTACCGCTCCACCAGCAGATTGACAGCATCGACTCGCACGAGCCCTCGTGCGACTACCTCGACACGCTAAAGTCGGCCTTGATGACGACAAAGGCATGGAAGAAGCATCTGAAGGAGACTGAATCGCTGCGCAAGGAGCTGGCGGACATGCTGTTCACGAACAACAGCGACTGGAACACAAACTTTGACCACTACAACGATAACTTCCAGGCACGCCTGTGCAATGGCTACAAGCTTCCATGCGACCAGTCGGGTTCTGGCAAGTGCGTTACGGATGAGCAGGCGCGCCAGGTGTTTGTAGCCGGCGATTGGGAGTACAACTACTATTGGGTCGACCGCGAAAATGTGACCGAGGCCATTCAGCTCACAAGCGGTCTCTACATCCAGGACTTGCTGAAGCAGCTCCAGGACGTCGAGAGTGGCAAGTCTACCCTCAAGTACATGCACCACTTTATGCACGATGGTGACATTGGCCCGCTCGCTGGCTCTCTGGGCATCCGCTCGCTCCGCTGGCCCGGTATGGCATCCAACATTGCCATCGAACTGTGGAAAACAGACAGCCACCGGGCCTATGTCCGCGTCCTCTACAGTGGCCACACCCTGCAGTCGCGCCACGGCAACATGGACTGGATGCCGTTCCGCGAATTTGTCCACCTCTGGAGCCAGTACGTGCCGCGCGACTTCGTCGCGCAATGCGCGCACAGTTAATGCACGAACCCACGTGCTCAGGGGAAGTCGCTAATTGGATCCACACGTTGTAGTTTATTTAGTTTGTTGCGCACGACCCGTTCCTTGTCGTGTGCCATGAAGGTGCTGCTGTTCGTGTTTGTGTGCCAGGCCTTAGCCGTTGCAGCCGGGACCAGTTCCACGTTCTCAGCGCCGCCACATGCCCCTGCCACACCCGTATTCACGGCGCCTCGTGCGTTTCCAACATCGGCCTTCTCGAGGATGTACCACATGCCCCAGGACCAGGAGGCTATCCCCCGTCCTGTGGTCACGGACGTGGATGGCAAGCCGTTTCCGGACCGGCTGAACAACCCTGCGAGTATGCCGTCGAGCCCTCCGACGGACGCCGGTGTTCTTCCTGCCCCCCGCGCGTCCGCGTCGCCCGTGTCCCCAGCGCAGATCCACCAGAGCGTCTCGTCGACCATCCGCAACTCGTCCATGTCCAGTTGCGACCGCTGCAAGACAGCTTTGCGCCTAGGTCAATCGCTTGCGCAGTCGCAGCCCCATAAAGTACCGGGCCTCTTAGTTCAGCTGTGCAAGGAGTTCCAGTACAAGCAGTTTGGTCGCAATCCCGACGTGAATCGCACTTGCGAGCTCTCGTATACGGCCGGCGGCCAAGGCGGCGTTTTTACGCAGGTCCTCTCGTACGCTGACCTGTCGGACGGAAGCACTGATGCGGACTACATTTGTGCCCAATTCTTCTATGGCTTCTGCCCTATGCCTAAGCCCGCTGTGCTCTCCGAAGACTTTTTGAACGACTGGTTCGACGGTCAGCGCACGCCTCCTGCGCATGTCTTGACGCGGTCCAAAAGTGTGGGGCCCTCGTCGCGCAAGAATTTGCAGGTGCTCTGGACCTCGGATATCCACGTCGATGGCCGCTATGCTGTTGGCGCCGAGGCTGAATGCTCCTACGGGTACTGCTGCCGCTCCAACTCGTTCAACACATCCACATTTGATGCGCATGGCTACCTCACTGGGAACCAGACAGTGCCCCGGCAGAACATCTCGACCTCGTCGCCGTACTGGGGCTATGAAGGCTGCGATGCACCTTGGTCACTCGTGGCCTCGGCCTTTGAGGCGATGCAGCACTTGGGTGGCAAGTCTGGCTTTGATCTTGCGCTCTACACGGGCGATTTGGTTGCGCATGCTCAGACGTGGGAAGAGTCGCGCGACTTGGTACGATACTCCGAGTCGGGTCTGTACGACATGATGCGACACTATCTTGGCAACACCACGGTCGTTACGGCTATTGGAAATCATGACTCGAGTCCTACTGAGCATGCAGCGCCACACGCTCTCCCTGATGGTCGCAGCCGCCAGTTCAGTTGGGACTGGGGCTATGTGTCCAAGCTGTGGAAGAGCGAGGGCTGGCTCGATGACACACATGCGAATACCGTACGCACACACTATGGTGGCTATTCAATCCAGCCTTTCCCTGGATTACGCGTCATCTCGTTCAACACCGACTTTTGGTACAGGGGCAACAGCTTCGCCTTCATCCACACCTCGAACCCCGACTACAGTGGCACGCTGCGCTGGGTCACCGACGAACTGCAGCGTGCAGAGGATGCGAATGAGCGTGTTTGGGTCATTGGGCATGTGCTCCCCGGCTGGGACGGCTACAGCTCGATGGACCGCCCCACGAACCTGTTCTACCAGATCGTCACGCGATACCAGCACACAATTGCGCACATGTTCTTTGCACACTCGCACGAAGACACGTTCAGCGTGTTTTATGCCAACTCGAATGGTAATTCTAGCAGCGCGTCGACCAAGACTAGTCAGGCTGTCGGTGTCTCGCTTTTCTCGCCCTCCGTCACGCCTCTGACGAATATGAACCCGGGCATTCGTGTGCTTGAAGTGGATCCTCAGACCTACGAAATCATGGACTACCACCAGTACTACACACCACTGCAAGATGTCCAAAACAAAACGTCAACGGACACTGGACTGGTGTGGTACCATCTTTACAGTGCTCGCGAGACGTATGGCAACTTTTCGGCGGCACAGAAGGCGGGCAGCTATTCAGCGCCCGTTGCACTTAAGAATGGCCAGTGGCCCGCAGCGGTCCCATTGAATGCTTCGTTCTGGGCATCCGTGTCTGACGAAGTGCTCGCCCGCCCTGAGCTCGCCAGTCTCTTTAATACCTACCAGGGCAGGAATAGTCCGATGAGCCCGCCGTGCAACACCGAGGCATGCGCTCAAGCTAAGGCATGTTTCATGCGCGCTGGTTCCTTTGCCCTAGGCAAAGCGTGCGGCAGTAGCTATTCTACGGTGCAGTGAGGACATGGTGTTTTCAGATCCTACATGGTCGGGTCTCTTGTTGGCCTATCAGGTTAAGCGCAGCAGTTGAGCACGGGTAGCCTCCACTTGCCGAGCCTTTATAATAGATAGGCAGCGGCGCAGCGTGCCTAGTTCCTTGCCAAGTTTACGTCGTACAGGCGAAGATTGGACAAGATGGGTCGCACTAAGGAGCAGAAGATTGCGGCAGATGAGGAGCACCTAAACTCCTTGGGCCATAAGCAGGAGATGACTCGTCACTTCTCGTTCCTCTCCCTGCTTGGTCTCGCCTTTGCGATTCTTAATTCGTGGACAGCCTTGTCCGTGTCGCTAAGTCTTTCACTTCCTAGTGGTGGTCCTAGTTCGACTATTTGGGGCTTGGTTACCGCAGGGATTTGCAATTTGTGCTTATCAGCGTCACTCGGAGAGTTTCTCTCTGCGTTTCCGACGGCCGGCGGTCAATTCTACTGGGTCGCCTATGTGGCCCCACCGGGTCCCCGCCGATTTCTCTCCTACTGGACCGGATGGATTACCGTCGGTGGCTGGGTGGCGATGAACTCTACAGGTCCCCTTCTGGGTAGTCAGCTAGTCACGGGGCTCATCTCTCTGATGCACGACGACTATGAAACCAAACGCTGGCATGTATTCTTACTTTACCTCGCATTCTCGACCGGAGGATTTTTTTTTAAATGTCTTTGCAAATCGTCTCCTTCCGTTGGTTAGCAAGGGCGCGTTTTACTGGTCCATGCTAGGATTTGTGGTTGTCTCTATCACGATCTTGGCCTGTGCCTCGCCCAACTTTGCCACGGGCGAGTACGTGTACAGCGATTTCGAAAACTTGACAGGTTGGCCTGATGGATTTGCATGGCTTTTGGGCCTCCTCCAAGGTGCTTTTGGTCTCGCTGCCTACGACTCAGTCTGTCACATGATCGAAGAGATCCCCAACGCACCGAAGCAGGGACCCCGTGTCATGGTGGGCGCTGTTCTCATCGGTATCTGCACTGGTTGGATCTTTCTTTCCTGCGTTCTCTTTGCTTCGGGCGGAGAAAATAATCTCATGAGGATTATCAACTCAAGTGCTGGCGCCTTAATCGAGGTGTTTAACATCGCCACAAAAAGCAGACCAGGGAGTGTGTGTCTGACAATGTTCCCTCTCGTTTGCATGGCATTTACTACAATCAGCCTTTACACAGCATCCAGCCGCATGACCTACGCCTTTGCACGCGACAACGGCCTTCCATGGTCTCGAGAGCTCGCTATGATTCTTCCGGGGCTCAACTCGCCCGTGTACGCCCTGTGTGTATCTTGGGCAGGCGTCTTTGTATTTGGCTGTGTATACCTTGGATCAGAGAGCGCGTTTAATGCAATCACATCGGCTGCTGTGGTATGGCTTAATCTCTCCTATGCACTGCCTGTCGCCATCAATGTCTTTTATGGCAGGAAATGCCTCCCTGATCGAAAATTCACGTTGCCAGGGGCACTAGGATGGGTTTTCAATATCGTGGGTGTCTGCTACGTTAGCTTTACCAGCATTCTTTTCCTTTTCCCCCCGGTAGACCACCCGTCCGCCGGTCAGATGAACTACTGTGTCGTTGCATTCGCAATCCTGATGGTCCTATGTCTTGGCTGGTGGATCATAAGTGCTCACAAGACATTCAAAGGCCCACCTGTCGAAGTGGCGCAAAGCATAATGCGAAATGAAATCCCCCTCGACGAAAAGGCACAACCACAAGAAGTAAAGGAAGCCTAATTCTTCATGCTCAGCATCACAGGACAATTTGCCTTACGGGCATCGCATATCACAATGAAATGGATTCATCGTGTCTCTGGACAAGTCTCCATGAACAGGTGCATTTTGTGCGAAAATTGGAATGTATAGTGCAAGAATGGATGGGATCTGCAGCTTGGACTTTTCATTTTACTGTAAATTGTTCACGAGTAAAAGCGTGTACATGTATACAGACCACCGGACGGTAACGTCCTTTTGTAACATCAACCCTTAATTAAGACCTGGGTCAAATTTCAAAGACTCAAGACTGGTTTTATAAAGATAGAAAGGCAAGCACACTATCAGTCTCCAAACTGTGGTTTCAATAGTGTGGTGTGATATGACTACGATAACAGGCAAGAATGGGGTATGATGGTAATTTTTATTTTATCTGCCACATGCTGGTTGGCCCAATAATTTAGGTAGACATGCCTCCATCCTTAAAGAGCATCTTATCTGACGCAGTTGGCCGGTTTGTTTGCGTGCTGAGCTGGGTGCGAACCCAGCTGCAAGGGCGAAAGATAGATATCCGGCATGCAATGAAGACTATGGGTTTCACTGCCTTTTTAAGGCACCCTGTTCGCACTCCATCTTTATCACTGCCTACAAGAAGCACTGTACCTAGGTGCGGTCCTACATAATGGACGAGAAGCCTGAGATAATAAACGATACTTTTGTCATCGAGCCATATCATGAAGAATATCCTAAGCCTGTTCAAAATTCAGTAACAAACCTTGAAGTTGAACAGGCAGAGAAGGAGCTCCGTCATATTGCTGAACGCCCTATTGATGACCCCAATTTAGATAATCGTCTCATTCACGATGCAGAGCAGGCTCTCGAAGCTGGAGACGTGAAGAATGAAGTAACCATCGGTCATTTTATCGAAGAAGACTCACCCTATCCAGAAGTTCGTGCATCCATCAGCAATGTGGATGATGTGGATATGCCAGTCATTACTCTTCGAACCGTCATCCTCGGCCTTATCACTGTTATCATCGTTCCTGGTCTGAACCAATTCTTGTACTTACGTTACCCGACAACGACTATTACTCCTTATTGTGTTACGATCATGATTTATCCTTTTGGCCAATTCCTTGCCTGGTGCCTTCCGGCGAAAGTTTGGAGGACTAAGTGGGGGGCCTTTACTTTGAATCCCGGACCGTTCAACGTAAAGGAGCATTCTCTTATTTCTATTATGGGTCTCATGTCTTATCAGTCGGCCTATGCTACAAGTATTCCAGCTGTGCAAAAATATACTTATGGGATGGCTGATTGGGGCTTTGGTTATGGTGTCCTCTTAGTTTGGAGCACACAGCTCCTCGGTTTGTCATTCGCATGTCTATGTCGTAAATTTCTGGTATGGCCTGGATCGATGATTTGGCCGGCAACACTTCCCACATGTACTTTGCTCAACTCCATGCACGGTATCAAATCGGAAAGCTTTTCTGGCATAAGTCGAATCAGATTCTTTTGGATCGCATTCACAATACTATTCTTTTATCAATTCTTCCCTTCTTATATCTTTACCATGATGAGTATTGGAAATTGGTTCTGCACTATCGCCCCTGAAAATGTGGTCTTGAATCAAATTTTGGGTACGCAATCGGGCTTGGGGCTGCTACCTTTCACCTTCGATTGGACGGTGATCGGCGCTTATGTGAATCCGCTTGCCTCACCCTGGTGGTCTCAGGCCAACTTGCTGGCCGGCTTTGTGATCTTTTTCGTTATTGTATGTCCAGCAGTGTATTATACAAATACTTGGAACGCCAAATATATGCCCATCTTCAATACAGGGACCTTTGATCGCTTCGGGGCGAAGTATCAGGTTAAAAATATTATTCGCTTAAGCGCAGATGGTCTTTCTGCTCCCACTATTGACATTGACAAGTACAACAACTATTCAATGATCTACTTGCCATCAGGCCTGACTATCAGCTACTTCCTTTCTTTTGCTTCAGTCACAGCTGTCCTAGTGCATGTGGGACTCTTCCATGGCAAGGCAATTTGGAAACAGATCCGTTCGGACCCTGTGGATACGACGGATATACATATGCGATTGATGCTCAAGTACAAAGAGACTCCTAATTGGTGGTACTTGGTGCTGTTCCTTGGCTCCTTTGCCATGGGCGTTGGTGCTATTGAAGGCTGGCCTACAGATCTGCCCTGGTGGGCTTTCCTTGTGGCGATTGTGATTGGATTGGTATTTATCCTCCCTGTGGGTATCGTTTTGGCAATATCAAATCAAGAAGTGGGTCTGAATATGATATCAGAGTTGATTATCGGTTACATGCTTCCTGGTCGACCTATTGCGATGATGATCTTCAAGACAACCATGTACATGATTACCTATCAAGGCCTGCAGTTCGTTCAAGACCAGAAGATGGCGCATTACATGAAGATTCCCCCTCGGGCTGTTTTTGCAGCACAGGTATTTGCAACGTTAGTGGGCGGCGTCGTCCAGTTAGCGGTACAATCGTGGGCATTTAGCAACATCGAAGATATTTGTACCGACGACCAGCCAGAGAAATTTAACTGTGCCAGTAACAAAGTTTTTGGTACAGCTAGCATTGTTTGGGGTCTGATTGGTCCGGCGAATATGTTTAGTATTGGCAAGAGGTACAACTCTCTCATGTATGGATTCCTCGTTGGAGCCATTGCTCCCGTCATTGTTTGGCTCTTGGCTAAGAAATTCCCTAAAGGCCGCTTCCACCTAATCAATTTGCCTGTTATTTTTACAGGGACTGGTAATATCCCCCCTGCCACTGGTGTCAACTACTTGGCACCCATTGCCGTCGGCTTCCTTACCCAATATGTTTGGAAACGGGCTCATTTCAAGACCTGGTTCAAATTCAACTACATCCTGTCTGCTGTACTACAAGGTGCCTCGGCCATTGCTGTGGTGTTCATTTTCTTTGTTTTACAATATGTCCATGGTTCAAATGATAATGCACCTAACCAGAAATTCTATAATGAGGGTTGGTGGGGCAATACGGCGTGGCAGAACACGGCTGATGCGGAAGGAACGCCTCTTTGGAATTTACCAAACAATGCGGCATTTGAAGGTAAACCTATCGATATTGGCATGCCCTATGTGCGCTGATGATAACAACCTTTTTCATTGCGTAATTAGAGTGTAATAATTCGGTAGACAAGAAATGGTTTGGATCGATAAACGAAATTTACACGACCTCACTACGAAACGAATTTGGTTCTTCAATCTGCAAAAGACTATTTTGCGGTTAAATGCGGGGAAACCTCCATACGCGTCACAAAGACGCTAGATGCATGCGGGGTGCTTACACAGATGATAACGTAATTGTACGTAGCCACAGAATAATCTCACGATCGCTACGAATTCATGACACCGTCCCATCATGACCGACCTGAAAAACCAGGTCTTTCAGACTTATTTCACTGTTGGATTGGCTTTGTATCTAGAGCCTCTTCCTAGATTAATGTATGAGACTGTTTCCTCGGAAGACGCACAAAATCCAGAAGATGAACGCAATGCAGGGCATGGGAAACGACTCGAGCCTCTCCTTAAGACATTTCCTGTTCAATCCTTTGAGACCCTGGAAAACATTGCATCAGATCCGCGACTTTCGGAGAATGTTGAAGCCTGGAAAAAGTTGCTTATACTTTTAGATGCAGCGGATATGGACCCTCACTTTGGGGGTCTACGGCAATTCTTTGATTCACGGAGACCGCATGAGCAACATGACGTAAAAGATGACGAAGAAGAAGAGATGGAAACTCTGCCTCGGTCTTTGGAACACCGATTATCTTTTCGCGCACCCCGTTCCACACCACGCATACAGTGGAACCGCCGGCCCACAGTATCGGGTGGCGAAGCTTCATCGCCTTCCAGTCGCTCTATGCTTGGTTCTTTACGCCGGAGTCAACGCAGAGTCACGCAGGAACGTAAACAAAGGCAATTGGACATGTTTGATCTATGGGTGGATTCTAACGAATCCAAAAAGTGCATTCGCTTCAATGTACGCTTAGATCTGCACAACGTTCACTTAGCTCGTGCACGCGACATACATGGAACTATTGAAAACGCACCAGAAGATACATCAAGTTTTTTACATCCTCTGGATACTACCTGCAAAGGGTCGCAAGATATGGAAACACAAGATGAATTGAGTCCAAGTGGCTCTCATATGTCCAGGCGGTCCTTTATTCATCGCATGCTAGACCGAGGTGTTCATCGCATGAGTAATTCACACGATAAGCATTTTGACAATCAATCTGATTATCCTATGCAAGAAACAATGGATTCTGACGAGGAACATGTGGGCTCTCCTTTTAGTCCACAAGCACAGATGGGACGACGCTTCTCTGCAGCCAGCAGCGCGGCGCGATCCCTTGGGACGAATGGAGCGAAAGCTGCGGATCTTGGGCGTGTAGTCGAGGATTCGCCGTTCGAACCGAGCGAGCATATCTCGACGGCACATCGCAGCGCAGACTTGCAGTCCGGTGGATTGCCTCCGCCGAATGTACCTTTTGTAACGGAAGGGGAAGATTTTTTACAGTTGTTACGCCGTGCAACAAAATTTTCGGATAACCATGCATGTCTCACAGGCGACAAGGATCCTTTGCCCATGATCTTGACTCGAGCTATGGCAGAAGCATTTGGATGGGAAGGGATCATGCATCTTTGTTACGGAAAAGACAGTGTGTGTGAGAAGGAGCAGATTTTTGCTCCGTTGGGGCAGGCTGCGTATTTGGAGTCGCACCGTAAACAAAAGTACAATGCTGTTCTTTCGTGGAGAAACAATGTGGTTAATGAAGTCGGAAGCGTGCCCAGACCCGATGAAATTGATTTTCAAGAGCAGACATTGCATACCGATGTGGGAGAGTTACCCTCATTACATTCCCAATCATCGGTAAGCAGTAACCACGAAAGCGTGAACGTGGGAACGTCGGACGCATATCCTCACACTCGTTTCATCTTTACAAGGACATGGAATGACTGGATGTTGCTATTCTCTAGCATATCATCGTGGATCTCTGAGTATGAAACGACACGAGTTCGCGCAGGTTTAGCTCATGAATTTGGCCTAGAGCCTGTGTTCCAGACACCGTGTGTGTCCCAGAGAGGGTTTGTATCAAATGAGTTGCCTTCAGTGTGCGTCGAGGACGATGCATTGAGTAGTGCCAATGGGTTTTGGCGCTTGCCTGGAATCCCTGGTGCCTTGCGATCCGAATCAAATCAGGAGCATATGGACTACCGTTGGTCCCGCAGTAAGCTGCATAGCAGCCAAGTGGGAACGCCTGCTGTTATGTCGATGGCCGGAGCGCAATTCTACTTTATGCAGCTTTCTTCTAAATCTTGGGTTCATCTCGGTTCATGGGAGCTCTCGTACCTCAATCGGTGTATTTTCCATTCAATAATTGCTGAACAGCGGTTCCCACCACCTGGCGATGCTGTCGCTTTGGAAATGCCTGCGACTGAAGTTTCTAAAACACATACTATTCAATGTCCCTACCCAACCCCCGATGGAGCATGTAATGCGATGGAATGGAGACAATGGCTTCATTCGTTGCATGATGGGCAGATTATTGCACCAGCTGTATCATGGCAAGGCTGGTGGGTACTGATTGCCATGCTTAACGGAGGAGATCGAACGGGACGGTCTTATGATTTGCAGCTACGAGCACCGGGAGATCTTGTAGAGAATCCGGATTCAACAATTGTGTATTTGTAGATTATATGATAATACACGAATTAAGCCTTAACGGAAGCTTTATGTTGGTTTAAAATGGATAGGTACAAAGTCCAAGCAATACCGCAAGTGGCCGAGAATGGCACTCGGAAGCTGCATAAGCAAATTGATGACGTACCGCAAAGGCAAGACACCAAAGTTGAAGGTCTGCAAGAAGGGCCAAATCTTCCAGTTCGCCAGAAGAGCTGACATGTACACCTGCTATCAGTCATGGAACCACATACATCGTTGAATTTCTCTTTGAGCTCATTCTGTGTGCGTCGACCCTCCATAATTCCCATCGAACCAACGAACATTGCTAGTCCAAAGGGAGCAAAGAGCACCTGATCCATAAACAAACGGCGCATCAGACCGCCCCATAACATCGTTCCAGCGGTCGAATGAATAGGGAATCGAAACTCTAAAAACTTGTTCCATTCTGCCAGTAAAGGAGCCATCGCTGTACCAAAGGCAAGGAAGCGACCAGATCGTTGATTATCCCACTTCTGCACGGCATCCGATACAGAACGATGCTCATAGAGTTGTGCCAGCGAGTCTGCAATCACAGTTAAAGCACCATTGGTAACAGCAAGAGTGATCCAGGGATGACGATCAAAAGCACGCTTGTAGAAAGAGCCTAGCATGGCGAATACGAAATAATCTCTCCCGAGACAAGTAGTTTCCAAACAGCCTTCTACTCGGAACGGCAAGGGGCTGTAGTACAGGTGGAGGCTTGTCCAGAAATTTTGCATCACTATATTCTGGAGAAAAATGCCGGAGCATTGGCTAATGAAAGCGGAGCCGTTAACGCGGATCGTCAAGGGGGTTGATGTGGCATTTAGTGTGGACCGTTTTGAGAAGTTAAAGCGCTCCTCATGGGAAGGAGTCAGGAACTATCAAGCACGAAATTTTTTGCGCGATCAAATGAAGAAAGGCCAGCATGTGCTGTTTTATCATAGTAGCTGCAAGCTACCAGGGATCGTGGCCTTAGCTATAGTATGTACTACTCTCTGACACTTGGATCCAACGTGAAGGATACCCAGATCACACAGCTTGGGATCCCAAGCATCCCTATTATGACGCTAAATCGGACCCTGAAAACCCACGCTGGTTTATGGTTGATGTGGAATTTGTGCGGCGGCTTCCGCACATGGTGCCACTTGCTCTACTTCAGCACCTTGCCAGCAGCGACGTAACTGAATCACAGCGCAAAGATGTGCACTACCTAGATGATAAACACATTGAATCCCTCCGCGGAATGGCGCTCCTTAATCGCTCCCGCTTGAGCGTTCAGGTATGTGGAGAAACTACTGATCAGGAAGCCCGTCGATGCGATCGCGTATGAAGCAATTTGCCTTTTAGGGGAAAGGGGTGGCTTCGAGCAATGGCCTGGAAAATGGAATAGCCCATCTCCATCTATTTCTGACGAAGGAGCCCAAGTCGTCAAGTCCCCGCGCGAACAGAAACGAAGGCGAAAGTAGAGGACTTGTGCATCACATAATATAGCCACGTGTACAAATTCATGGGACCGCTTACGAAAGAGACCCACTCATCGGTGCCTGAGGTCGGTACACGGACATCTGGTCAGTCTCAGCATCACGGCGCGGATAAGGCGCAGTAGGCGCACCTGGTGGTGTGGATTCTTGTGCTAAAACCTTTTACTGAATTAAAGGTATTTGGTTCGTGAATATGCCTCTAGAGCATTTTGGATCGGAACTATGGCGAAAGCGACCCCTAAGTGATTCTGGTTCCAAGCGTCTAGGCGCATTGATGACTCGCGCGGCATCTGACGGATATGATGAGGATCAGAGTCGAAACAACAAAGAGAAAATGAACGAGGGAGACGACGGTGGTTTGTCGAAACTATCAGGTGTTAGTCGCTCTGTCAGTTGGGGTCGTGGCACGGCACAACATCGACCAACATTCAAGACACAGAAAGACCTACCTTCCAAAAATGCACCAAACACTCCCTCTCGCCCTGGCTGGAAATCACATCAAGCTAGAGCGTCTCTTTCTATGTCACCATCAATTGATACACTACAGACCCCTAAGGTTGACGATGATGCCTCCTCGTATTCACCAGCCCCGGGCACCTCCAGTCCAGCATCGTCGGCTGCGCTATCGCTACGATCTTTTAATTCTACTGATTTAGAAAAAGCAGCTCGATTGGGTCCGTTGGACGGAGGTTCCAATGGTTCTTCTGTATCGTCGTCCTCTTTCCATGCATGCGACAGCACGTCCGTGCTTAGTCCATCGCCACGTCGACGAGGAAATCCTAAGGGCTTAAAACTCGATTTGGAACCATTTGAATCTCAGAGTCTTTCCTCAACTACATCACTGCACCCACTCAAGCCGGCATTCATGTCGCAATTCCGAGGAAACAAGGATACCCCTCCGATATCACCCGTCATCTCTCAACATAGTGGAAGCACAAGACGTCGGATCAACTCTGGTTCCCTTTCTCCGACAGCTTTCTCGCCTCAAATGCCGCCGCCGAATTCTAGTATGTCTCGGAAAAGCCTACCTAGTATTGGTGCTGTTGCTAATGATGGGCCTGTACGCCGACATATGGGATCCTTCCATTCTCGTGCGCAACATTTAAACCCGGAGTTGTCTCCCCGTTTGCCCCCTTCCGTCGAAGAAAATGATATAAATGCAGCTTTATTGGAACTTCGTCCTGGAGCAAAACTCTCCAAAAACGTTTCGCGCTTTTATCACGACCCATGGCAACCTGCCTCGCATAGTGGCAGTAATACGTCTTGGCCACTCAGCCCACGGTCTGTCCGACCATTCACTCATTCGATGGAAGATCTACACAGCAGCACATCGTCATTGCGGTCCAATGCACTAGCACTATCATTTCCAAGTATTTTGCCCCGCCCTCCCCAATCGCCCATGCTTTTACCAGAGCAAATGGACAAGTTTGACTTGAGCGATGAGGATGGTGCCGAAATTCATGGGCTGACTACAAGGTCGACTACTCCTTCTCGCCCAGTCTCTCCTTCGCCTCTAGGCTCAGACATGCAAAACGCAAAAGGGATTCAAGAGCAATTATACCGAAAATTTGCAGTGTCAAGACAAGCAGTAAATGAAAACGGTTCGATTGACTCATACGATGTCGGGGAAAAAATTGGCAGTGGGTCCTATGGCTTTGTCTATCGAGGCAAGTCGAAAGAAAACGGCGATGAAGTCGTTATCAAATACATTATCAAAAACTCTATATTCGCAGACTCTTGGCGTCGGCACAGGGTCTACGGAACAATCCCGGGAGAAATCTTCGTACTCTTGCAACTTCAACACACAAAATATAATCCACCTGAACAACCACCTCTTTATATTAAAAATAAAGCGCGTTGGAAAGCTGTTCGGGATGCTTTGGTCGCAGAAGCTCGTGGTGAGAATGTTATGGGACACCCAGGCATTTGCAAGCTAGCTGATTTTTTCGAAGATGATGACTATTATTACATGGTGATGCCTAAGTTTGGAAACGGAGAAGACTTGTTTGACTACGTTGAGTCGTCACCTTATGGACTTGAAATACAAGATGTTAAAAGTTTTTTGGGGCAGATCATTGATGTCATTGCTTTTATGCATGCGAGTGGTATTGTTCATCGCGATATAAAGGATGAAAACGTTATTCTTGACATGCATGGGATGATTCAGGTTATTGACTTCGGAAGTGCCGCAAAACTGCGACCTGGGCGTACATTTGATACTTTCAGTGGTACCATGGATTATGCCGCTGCCGAAATCCTGCGTGGAGAACGATATGCCGGACCCCCTCAAGACATCTGGGCATACGGTGTCTTAGCCTATGTATTGGTCTGTGGTGAATGTCCATTCCATGACATGGACGAAGCAAACAAAGGTCTATCTGCTGGGACCCAGGCACTTAAGACCCTACGTCACTTTTGTCTGGAGCAAAGTACCGACGTGGCTAACAATGGGGATATTATTCATGACAATATCAAAATAACTGCAGATAAGGACCAAAGAAAACAGTTATATGATTTAATTTGTCAATGTCTTCAAGTTGACCCAAAGAAGAGGCCCAGTGCGCAGAATATTTTACAGCATCAGTTCTTTGTTGGAAAAGCTGGCTGGATTGGAGCCTGTGGCTAGTCGCGCACTGTCCATTGATGTATGGCCAATCACATTGATGATGAGTTTAGTGCGCAATAAGGTGTCATAGTTTCAACTTATGATTGGGCGCGATGACATAAACTATGGATAATAATGCAGTCTTATGCTCATCGCGAGTTCACACGCAGCCGGCATATTCACAAAGTGTCCGGATGAGGTCCTGATAGATCCCACCTAAAACGACAAAGGCGATCACCAGAATACAGACTACCCCTTAAAAATCCATCCGTCATGTTGGCTCATGCTCAGCAAGGAGGGCATGGGCCGTTTAGTTCTTTTCCAGCACAATTCCGCAGGAATTTGGATAATTTCTCACCAGGTGGTGCTTCTTGGACCACTTTACGCTCAGCGGGGGACTCTGCTGAACAAATCGATAAGCGTACGTTCTATTTTTCTTACATTGGAAGTTGAGCAGGACATAGGAAGACTGAAGGAAGAGATATCTTCACTGTCAAAGAAAAATTTTCTATTGGAGAACGATGTCCGCTACTTGGACAATCGAATCGCATTGTTGATTTCAAACAGAATGGCGCTGACTGACATTGATGGTGCACTAGACGACCAAGAATATCTGCGCCCAGGTACCATTGATGACAAGAGACTAAGGCAATACTCTAACTTGTTTTATCTATTGGTATTTGAGCCTCGGCACCTTGCCTCTCTGTGCTCACTGGTATCTATGGCCGATATCGACATGTTTCTTCAGACGGTTATGTTCACATTGTATGGTAATCAATACGATGAAGGCGAAGAGCATCTTCTTCTAACTATGTTTCAATCAGTTTTGTCGACACAATTCAAAGTGACGTCAGACTTTAGCTCACTTCTTCGTTCAAATACATCTATTTCTCGGCTAATGTCGACTTTTAGTCGTCGAGGTCCTGGGCAATCATATCTAAAGCGTCTACTTGCCGGTCATATCCAGCGGGTGACAACGCTAGATGCGGATCTTGAAATCAATCCTATGAAGATATACGAAAGAATGGTTGCGAAAGGGCAGATTGCCGAAGGGATTCCCATGGAGAAATTGCTGGTAAATCCGCTCGTACAGGAACATATCAAAAGCCATGTTGATATTTTATTGGAGCTCTGCAATACTCTTCTTGGTGATATATTTGCATGCATTGACCATGTCCCTTATGGAATACGTTGGATTTGCAAGCAAATTCGTGGTCTCGCTCGTCGTCGCGATCCAACAGTCACTGATTCCATCTTATGTTCTCTGGTTGGCACATTTTTCTTCTTGCGCTTCGTAAATCCGGCCATTGTAGCGCCCGAATCCAACTTGATTGCAGCAACAGCACCTCAACCACATATACGTCGAACTTTGGTACTGACGGCCAAGTTTATTCAACAACTAGTGAACAACCCAACTTTTTCGAAAGAAGCATATATGGAGCCATTCAAGCCTGCAATCGAAATGCACAGGACCGCAATGATGCAATTCCTGCACTCTCTCTGCAATGTCCCTGACTTTTATGAAACCATTGAAATGAATCAATATATGGCACTTTCAAAACGTGACATGAAGCTACGCATCTCTGTGAATGAACTTTATTTCTTGCACGGACTTGTTTATAAGCATTTGGATGTGCTAGCTCCAGACCCGGCTGCACCTTTAAGTCAGCTGCTGCAACTATTGGGACCGGCTCCCGAGGTGCTACCACGTAAAGCAAACTATGTTATTGATTTGCCCTTGTACAGTAAATGGGAAAGATCAATAACTGATTTAAACTCGACGTTGATCACCGAGAACAATATGACTCAAAGTGACATTTTGTATATGGAAGCAAAGACAGTTTTGGTCAGTTTGTTGCAAAAATTGCCGAAGGCAATGGAAGAGCAACCCATAAATTTGTTTGCCTTGATAACAGATGGCATCAACCACGAACGAAAGGACATAAAGGACCTGAGCGTACAGGCTATGCGGATGCTTCGTGAACTTGAGGAAACGGGTGTCATCCGCGACGAAACACAGCAGGCACATTTGATCGAAGAAGTTGCGCTAGAGTTCGAATATAAAATGGGTGCCAAAGACAAGCTTTTGGATGAAATGGCCTGTCTTGAATCTGTTCACTCTACTCTGGAGCAGAGGAACACCTATTTACGCGGTCAACTGGCTTCTTACAAAAATTACCTGCAGAATGTTCGATGTGTGTCTGGATCCGGCAATTACAAGGGCGACAAGATGCTGTCATTTGTGCAAATGGAGAATCGAGACCGCAAGATGTCACGAGCACTCGGCACGAATCCCACCTATAAATACTCCCTGGATCAATTCAGACGCGATGGGGTGATTTTGTTGTGTGAAATTCCAGAAGAAAGACGTCAACAAATTTTTTTCAGCATATATTCTCCAATGCCTGGCTCGTTCTTGATTGCACTTCACTTCAAAGGACGAGCGGAGCCATTAGTGGAATTGGATATCAAGCTCGATGATTTGCTTGAAAAGCAGCATGACTATGATCAAGCTTTAGACATGGAATATGTACAATTAGACGCAGTTCGACTGTATGAGCTGCTGGGCGGCCTTTACGGACTCGCCCGAAAACGATAGAGCATATGTAGCTTTCTATCTTTTCGCTAGAGCATTTGTTTCACGACAACTGAATGCCTAATGAATACATAACGAAGCACTTTCTATAGGCACACGCACAATATCGTGATCGGACTGGGCAAGCAAAATCGATTGCGGTATGTATGCCCACTAGCATTTTGGGGTAGAATATCCTGTCTGTGTACATCACGCCAGAATAGCAAAACGTGAACATGAACTAAAGTCCAGTTTACTTCTTCGCGTTAGCAGCCTCCTCCTCGCGCTTAGCCTCGCGAGCCTTGCGAGCACCCTCAGAGCGATGGATGGCACGAGCCATGCGCAGCGTACGGAAAGCGTTGCTTTCCTTCTCCTCGGCCGTAATGGCACGAGGGGCCTCAGGGGTCGTTCCCGCAGGGATAGGGAAAGCAGCGAGAGTGGCACGAGTAGTCTGGACCGAAGAGAGGTCAGGCATTTGGTTCTTGTTCTTCTTGGTGCGGCGAGGCAACACAATCAGACGCTCCTTGTATGCCTTCAGGCGGTCAGCGTTAAGCTTCAGGCTCTCTTCGCTCTTGTTCTTGCGACGGTGGTCCACGGGAATACCAATCGAGCGAGCCTCAACCTTACGGATGCCAGCCGCCTTCAGCTCCTCAATAGTGAAGCCACGACCCTGACGCAGCTTCGTGTTGTACTTCAATGTCTGGCCACGGACAGCCGGGCGCAGAGCCTGAACAGGGCGCATACCCAGAGCAGCAGCCTTGGCAGCACGAGCATTGCGACGGCTCTTCTTGCGGCCGGCCTGGTCGAACCACACCCGCACCCGGCGTTGCCAGTCCTTGTGGAAATGGTTGTTGTGAAGGAGGTTGTTGTGACGGAAACCCATTCTGCGTGTCGTTAGTATCTGTAAAAGTATGGTAAAAGAAGTAGACTCTGGGCATGTCGTACACACGTTCGATATGCACAGCTACTTCTGCGATTTGCTTACCTTGCGAGGACTCACGACAAGTGGAAGGTGGTAGGATCGCTTCGGTGATCTCGCCCAGCAAAACCCCTCGCGCCAACGACGTACCCTCATTTCACGTGATGCATATAGTTGTTCATGTGATCATACACACCCACATCGGAGAAAGTGGAGCCCAGCTGGAGCACAGATCCTTAGATCAGCATGGCGAACGCGCACGCGTCAGACCCGATGGACCCTGCCTTGGCGCGATGGTCCGCATGGTGTGCGAGTAAGAGCGGATTCTCTGTGCCGTCCAAGTCAGAGAAAGAGGAAATACAATCGGATATAGTAGCACAAAAACGATGTGAGCAATGGAAAGACGATCTACTACGATCGAGTGCGTATATGACACAATAACACCAGGTCCTATGGTTCGGTTTATGGTGAAGCACTTGACTTTAATTCAGTGCAACCCAATCAGTCCACGGGATGAAAGTGATAAAATGTCAGGCAAAGATATACCGCCAAAGCTCCTAATTGCCTCGTGCCCCCCAGATATTGCTGGTGGGTTCTCTCCATCGGCCCCGGGTCGACCCCCGTCAGAGGCTGGCATTTTACTATGTGCGAATCGCATTTTTAGCAAGGGACATTTAGAAGATACTTTGGCTCACGAGATGATTCATTGGTGGGACCATTGCCGCTTCAAGGTTGACTGGACGAATCTTCGACACCACGCATGTAGTGAGGTATGTGTGTGTGAAGCCTGACCGACAGATCCGTGCAGCTTCTCTGTCGGGTGATTGCCGATGGACACGCGAAGTGAATCGTCGGCATTTCTCCTTTTTAAAGCAGCACCAGGAATGCGCGAAGCGACGCGCTATCTTGTCTATCCGTACCAATCCTGCGTGCAAGGATGATGAAATGGCAGCTCGTATCGTCGATGAGGTATGGGAGAGTTGCTTCCATGATACCCGCCCTTTTGATGAAGTATGTATCTAGTTGGAGCTTACAGCAGATCTACTGATGGGACTATAGATATATTACTTAAGGTTTTCCAAGCGTTTGGTACCAGCATAGATCCGTGTGTCCAGAGCCGAGGTCTTGTCGCTGACACGACCCAAGCGCTTATTCTGCTCGTCCACCTCCTGGCCCATGGCTCGGCTGAGAAGATTCATCCTCGCACTCAATGCCGAGATTTCATCCAGGTTGCCATCGAGCTCGTCTTCCAATTCGTCGTCACTCTCTGTCGCCTCAAACTGGTAGCGGGCGCGTTGCTCCTTGGGGTCAAAAGATTGGTTCGTGTTGGAAACGCCGGCCTTGTTACGCAACTTAGAAAACATGCCCATGTTGGAGACTGACTCTTCCACGCGCCTTTGCGAAGACAGCATTTCAGCACGTGTGAGTTCCCGTTCCGTTCGCTCGTCAATATGGCGCTGCAGGACTCGAGCCTCCTCCGCGTCACGTTTCGCTTTTTGGTTACGCTTCCATTTAGGACGGAAAATAGACTGGTTAAGCTGAGCGATTGTGCGCGCATTGTCCTCAACACGGGATGTGTGTGCCTTGGCGATGTCCAAACTGCGCTCCGTATCACCAATCTTGTCTGGGCTCATCAGTAGAGCTCATACGTACCACTTTGTTCTCCCAATTTGACCATGGTGTTAGTCGCTGTCTCCTCTGTCTCGCGGGCCAAGCGAAGAGCATTGCGAGTACTACTCAGGCTTTCTTGTTTTGTATTTCGGATTTGGAACTTGATAGCTTGAATTTCTTCCTCCTCTGGATCATAGGCCTGGCTCATCTGCGAGTCTGAATATGGATCCCGGTACGATGTAGCCTGGTTGGTACCATAGGATGGCTGTGCGGCGTAGCCTGTCGACATGCCTGGGCCCGACGACTGAGTGGGACCACTGCCATACTCAGCCAGTAACTCATCATCACTAGGCTTGGCGCCACCCCAAGAAGGCGGAGGAGGCGGAGGCATCCGATTCACTCCGCTGTGTGTCATAGGGCCGCGAGGACCATAAGTAGCACCGGAACTGTCGCCGTAAGGGTCGCGAACGTTTCTTGCTGCCACGTAAGGGTTCAAGTCCTGACTACTATTCGGGACACCGCCCTGCTGCATAGACGAAGGGTCCGCTACAGGGGGGATTTTGGGCTTCTGAAGCGTTAATCATGATGATCTATACACGTACACGCTGGAACAAGGGCTTCATGGTGGCACAAGAACCCAGCCCGAGGAGTGATGTGGAGTGCGGCAAAGCCGTGGTTGGCTCTAAGCACAGACCGACCAGATGGGCAGTGCCACTTCTAAGCCGGCTCGTAAGCTCGGCGCCCAGACGGCCGCAAAGGTTAAGCCGGGCACTGCCACGCCGCAGAGGCAGGTTCCTTCGGCTGCAGAACTGTCGTCCCGGTTTGTAAAGGATCAGTGTACGTTGCAAGTCTCTGACCATCAGCGATTCTCGACGACGCCAAGGACCCCCAGCTGTTACGGAACCTGGATGCATTGGGACCGGTTCAAGCCAAGGACATTCGCGCACCTGTGAGCCCGTCAGGGACCATGCTCCATGTCATTCGAGCTCGCGCCATGGCAGACCCTGCAGATGAGACTGCACCGACTATTCAGGGCCTATCAGCAAGCGAAATACTGCACCTACTTACGGATTATAAGGCTTCGCCTTCCAGCGAGACGCTAGACCGTTTAGCGGTTGAGTACGACGTGGACCGCACATTGATCGGAAAGCTTGTACGATTTGTACATGCGCCCGAGGAACAGCCTCTTCCGTAGTGGGCTATGCCTATGTAACTCTAAAAATTCTCCAAGACTTTCGCTGTCCATGGCTAAAAGTCAGTGAACTAGCGCCACATACATTGGTTCGGATCCGCTCGTCAAAGTCTTTGATGCACGAATCTAGCGCCTCCTTCTGCGCTTCGCTCTCGTCCATTTTTTGACGCTTCGCCTGGGTGCGCTCGCGCCATGCTGCCATGAACTCTTGGACAAGAGCGACACCTGTCTCGGCAACATCTGCAGGCATGTCCATGGCCTGCTGTTCATCGTCGAATCCTTCCAATTCCTCGGCCTTACGCTTTGCCAGCCGAATGACACTGTCGGGAAAGTCTGCCAGCTCGGCAATCTGGATACCGTAACTTTGGTTGCTAACACCTTCTTCGACTTTGTATAACAGTGTGATATCCTTGTCGAACCGCGAACCGTTGTCCCGCGGGGCCACATAGGCAACCATGTGCAAGTTCTGGACGCCAGGTTGTTGCCGCGCCAGATTGGTCAGCTCATGGAAATGCGTGGCAAACACGCATTTGCAATGAATATGAGTGACAATCCATTCCGAAATCGCCCATGCCAGACCAAAGCCATCATAGGTAGATGTACCGCGACCTAGTTCATCAATCAGAACCAACGAATCTTTGGTGGCCGTCTTGAGAATGGTGGCCGTCTCTAGCATTTCGGCCATGAATGTACTAATCCCCTTCAGTTGGCTGTCCCCTGCACCCACTCGCGCTAAGATACAATCGCAGACAGGGATTTGAGCGCCTTCTGCAGCAGGCACAAAGCAGCCAATCTGTGCCATTAGAGTAATGATACCGATTTGGCGCAAGTAGGTGGATTTACCGCCCATGTTTGGGCCCGTCACCAGTAGAAACTCAGACTTTTGGGTCACCATCGACACATTATTCGGAATAAAGTTCACGTCGTCTTGCACCTCCAAGCAGGGGTGTCGCGAGTCCACAAGGAAAAGGTCCGCGCCCCGCTCCAGAATCTGAGGCCGCGTGTAGGGAATAGGGGCGTTGCTCGAGACTTGAGCCAGACTCAGGATCACATCCAGATGGGCAAGAACCACATTCAGCTGCTCTAGAGGGGGGGCGTACGATGAGGCAATTTCAATTACGTCCTTGACCAGCCGGCTTTGTGTCCGAGCATATTCATCGGACAGGGAGCGGAAGTCGTCGTTAAGTTCGCGCATGGCAGACGTGGTAAAGTACAGACCGCCCTGGTATCAGTCGCGCAACGTACCTTCACGGTGCCTAAATCCAAGTAACCGCTGCGGTTTTTGATGACGCCGGCTTCCTGCCGTATCAGAGATAAATACATACCGTACGTGTGACACGGAAACAGTAGCCATACGAGGAATGATTTTCCAAGTGAAGCTTTTTTTCCGTGTCAAGGCGAAGATCGCTCCCCGCTTTGATGTGCTGCTCATCAAACTGGTCACGAATCTGGTCTAGCTTGGCCTTGATTGTACGAAGCCCATCATCAAATTCAGGCTTGATCACATAATTGTGGTAGGCCAACTCATCCAGATCAATGGTCGTCTCCACCATCTCGACTAGTTTCGACAGGTGCTGGAAGAGCTCTTCCAGCGGCGCAGCAAAAGAGCTGTGGAATAGGGTCTGGTCCGTTTCTAATCCGACCGGCACATCGGCCAGGCACGATTGCAACTCGGGCACCTTGACGACTGCCTGATAGCAGCGTACAACATCTTCCAGTGTAGCGGCGCCGCGCTGGAAGCGCTTACTGATTCGTAGCATGTCGGGCATATATCGCAAGTATTCATCTTGAATTTTATGACGCAGCTCCGGCTCTTCCATGAAGATAGCCAGCAAGGACTGTCGGTTTTGAATGGCGTGAACATTGACGAGCGGCTGCTTGAGCCACTGGCTGAGCATGCGGTTCCCCTGCGCCGTTTTGCACCGGTTCAAAAGACCATACAAGCTGGCATGCTTATTGGCCAACGCCGAGCCGCCCTGTGCTTCGGGAAAGAGGCTCAGCGCTTTTAAAGCCGCGTGATCAAGACGCAGATACTCGGAGAGGTCGTGTGTGCGAAGGGCAAACTTGCCAAAGTTAGACTCGTCTTCCAGTAGATGGAGGTAAGATAGCAGCGCAGCCGCTGCTGACATGGCCAGCTTCTTGTCGAGTTCAGGGGCTAGGGCCTTCTCTGATGCAGGCAAGAGGCGCTGCATGTCTTCCTCAATCGACTTGGACGAGAATTGGCTACGTTTCACATTGCTGATGATACATCCGCATCGCTCAAGAACACCCTGCATCTTATTGATATCGTAGTCCGTGCTGGTTTCGTCACCAGGCAAAAGACATTCTTTCACTCCGAGTTGGATAATCAGTGACTGGCATGGGTGAAACCGGGCACGTACCTCTGTGTTCGAGAAGAGATCATTTTCAGCGTACTCGCAAACGCCCATCTCACGGTTCGTCGCATCTGCAAAGGCGACGCCCACCATTGTAAGACCGTCCTGGGCCTTGACCCGCACCGCGAGAACCATGGGGCTCGATACGACATCAGCATTCAAGAACAGCAAATCTTCCACTTCTTGCAGGTTTCCGGGTGATGCTTGCTTACTGATGGCCCATGATGCATTTCGACGGCTGCTGCCATCGCCCGAAGTCGAGCCCCAGATCTCAATGCGCAGCTGCTTGGACGTAAGTGCATCGCGAAGGAAACTCTTCGCAGCAGCCGGGTTCAGCGAACATGAGGGGAGCCCTGCCTGGTCCTTACCCCTGCCACCTAGGTATCGAAGTACAGATTGGGTCCGGAACACGGTGTCGGCCACGTATAGCGCATCGTCTCCATGCACGGTATAGTAATCCTGTCGGTCAAACAAACGAATGGTGCCGGGGATCGACCGAGGCATCCCTTTATAAAAGGAGACAAAGTTTAGATCGCTCTTATCAGAGTCAGAGCGCATCGCGCTTTGCCTCGACTCTTCCGTGGGGTACATGAGCCCCGACATGGCTGAAGGCAACTGCGGTCAGAAGGCTGAACGGCCTTCGAGACGCGTCGTATGTATATACCTATTAGGTATCTGCGGCATGTAATACACACGGGCATCAACGCGCGCGCGCCCGATCGGGGCGAATCGGTGCGCGCTCTGGCACCTGGGTGCCCGGCCCCTTCCACCCCGGCGGAGCACAGAATTGACAGTACCACTTGCCTTTCGGTGGCTGCTCCAGGCCCACGCACGCGTAGTGAAACTCCCGTCAGCTCTTTTATACTAACCCATTCGCGTGGACAGTCGTCATTTTCGCATGCCACCATCTGGAGTAAGCTCATGAGTCACATACCTCTCCGTAGGAGACACGGTCACAATAGCAGTACGTTGGTTCGCTGGGGTCATAGTCGATGAGGCCCGTAGGTTCCAAATTTGATGGGGTTTCATCCGGCTTCATTGATGTCTTGCGCTTTTTCTTTCCAATATCAGGTTCCGATGTATCTGTCTGCAGGAATTCTCGAAGATAGGCAAGGCAAGTTAGAGGGTCCAGGGAGATAAGGCCACTCCAGAAGGTGAGTAGCTGACCCTCCAATGAAAACCTGTCCGTGTCTTTCGGCACAGGCACAAAAGGTCGGTTCGATGACGAGGAGGACTCAAGCGCATCCGCCATTTCCTGGCGCAAACCGGCACACAAACTCTTCTCGGTTTTGAGAAGGTCCATATCAAGACGGTGGATTTGCCGGTCAACAACTTCATATGAAGAGAGAGCTAGCGCTAGCTTCTCCTCGGACAAGGACACGGCTTGCTGTGTTTGATCCCGAATACACTGGAGTTGGGATACGCGCGAGGACGCGGCGGATACATCCTCCGCCGACGCGTCCAGATCACGACCGGAGCAATACTGTTTCCATGTCTCATGAACTTTATCTTTAATATGTTCAAATCGTTCATCAAGCTCTTTCATGAGGACAAAAGTCCGCTGCAGCTCTAAAGGCAGCTGATCTACGACTACCTGTCAGACCCGTGCACACACCCTCCGAATACTCTTCCGCCCATCGTTCTGACCGTGCCTGGAACTTGGCGCGAAACTCTTCTATTTCCGCCTCAGATAGGGGAAGAGGGCCCTTTTTGTCATCCGCGTCCTCCGCAAAACGAGTCTGCTTCGCTCGCTTGCGGCGCGCCATGATCGTGGAAGGCACCTGTATGTGGAGGGAATCACGGCGGGTCTACATCATGTATTTGACCAGGTGGGTCAGGCAGCGCGTGACTATATCCACCTTGCGGTCCTTAGCCTGGAAGGCCTCTTCGTTCATGAGATCGCGTGCATCTTCGCGCATATCCGTGACTTCCGTAGCAAATATTTGACGGAGTGATGGAGCATGTGTCGTAATGAGGAGCGAGCATTCCAAATCAAACTTTTCCGAACGGGCTCCGTAATTGGATGAGCCGATGAGAGTCGATGAGGGGAGACATTGGTCGTTACGACGGCTCGGGGGGGATATCCAGAGGCCTAAGGTGAGTGGTCTTTATACATACCCTTGGAGTGATACGTCCAACCGTACTTGCGCCATTCGCGCAGCTCCACCGCAGAAATCGGCCCCGTGGAAACAGGGTCTTGGACATCTTGCATGGAAGGATGTGTCGGATCCACAGGACGGTTCAGCGACTTTTTCACCACTTCGTTCCAAAACTGGGCCTCCATGTAAGTATAGGCGGCGGGGATCCGATTGGTAATACCACGACTCCCAAAGAACCCGTTCGCTTCCGGGGACGCTGCCACCAAGCGGAATGCAACAGGTACACGAGCAGGATCAGCAGGCGCTTGATGAAGTTGATCTGAGAGTACGAGGGAGCGGTAGATGCTGGAGAGCGTAAAGTAGCCTGACGTAATATCCACAGTCGTGAAAGGCCGTGCGACTGTCTGTAGGGACTTGGAAGGGCGCAACCGCAACGCCTCGATAAATTTGGTGAGATAGGGTATCATTGCCGTTTCTTGGGAAATGTTCAACTGGCCCATCTGAAGTAATGGAACAATACAAGTGTCCGCCTTCTCATAATGGTGTTGCTGAATTTTTCGGCACCGTTGCCGCCATCTTTCAGTGAAATCCAGCAGATCTTTGTGTGCCTGTGACGCCCAGTTGCGCAACGGGTACTGCTGACTGGGTGGAAAGAGTCCCGATGGCACAATTGTGCCATCAGCATCCTCTGCCAAGAGCAAGTCTCGGCCCCCGTCCCACGTTAGGCGAAATGGGCTTTTGTACACCTGTGTCAACTCTGACGAAAAGTCGTCAAGGTTTTCAATATTTTTCTTGCAATGGGTAAGCACGTTGGTATCGCCAGAAAAGTGCACAGCATAGCTAAAACGAGAAATGAGAAGGATAAGCGAATGGAGGTAGTCGGCTAATGGTGCATGCTGGCGAATCAGGATGTATCTGTCCTTCCGACGCGTAAAGTAGTCACGGGAAAGATTGGCCCCACTCATAATGATGTCATCATCAAAGCCATAGATCTTCATGTGTTGCAATCCAAATCCTTCGTTGAACCGCTTACCCAGTAAACGCGATTTGAAACTTCCAGGCCGTAACAGCGGCGTAGAATACAGGCGAATGTCCACTTGATCAGGAAACATCGACGCAAGATGCGATAGGAGGGAGGCACTCGAAATGTTCTTCGGACTCTCCCGTGTCGAGCGCATAGCATCCATAAGAAGAGTCAGTTGCAGCGCCGGATTGCGAGCTAGTGCCCTGCAAAGGAAATAGGCGAGTTCCCTTTCCTCTTTTCCCACGTAGAGCGTAGCCAGGAAAATCCGTCGTTTGGCTTCGCTAATTTTTTTCTTGAGCAAACCGTAGAATTGCCGGGGTGTTTCGATACGATGGATCGAAGCGGAAGATGCCTTGAACATCGGCAGATCAAGTTCCTGCGAAACAAAATGTGCCAGCTTGTTGGGCTCATCCTCGTAGGCAAACGAGTCATGCCCCAGGCTCTTACCAGATTGCGTCTCAAGCCCCGAAGGCCCAGACGACCGCGTCATTACGGCTAAACTTGCGCGAGTATTCGAGAAATTGCGCGCAGAGCCTTCCGATGCGATAATTGAAGCACACGCTCTTTGGACGAGCGATCCCACACGTCCGGACATCGGCCAACGCGACCACAACCCTTGCCACATCGATGCATCCTTCGATGAGCGTTATCGGCCGTGTAGGGCCCCACATCACGTGAGCACTATGCACGGACTACGTCAAGGTTGCCTCCAAGCTGCGGCTGACAGCCTCTGAGTCTGGTGCGCTTCCCGGCGTCTCCACGGTCGCAAAGTACGGTGAATGTGCCATGGGTGTCCCTGACATTTTGTCCTCGGGTGTCTGAATTGGAGAGGTAGCAGCCGTAGCGGACGTGCTGACAGACCTGTGCGGCTTGTCGATATCACTGAGCCGGTCTCGAAGTCGCGCGAACGGAACAGAGATGGGCCCCCCAATGCCCACCTCGCCCCCAAGTAGCGCGCGTTCCTGCATTCTCTGCGCTTCAATAAATTGCTCTTGATTGCGTATATCAGAATTTGACGTCCCTTGACTTCGGTCGCTCATCACACTGCCCGCATCCGAGTAAACCACACTCGCTGAATCCGCCCCACTGCTGCCAGGGTGAGTAGCCGCATTGGAGGATTGTGTTACCGTAGAGTATTGGGGTGCGGTATTCGAGAAAGAGGAACGGTCTTCGCTGCATGGTGAGTCGGCCCGAAACGAGCGTGAGGGAGCGGGTGACGAAGTGCGGAGCTCGGAATGGCGCTCCGTCTGGTCTAAGAGTATGCTTTTTGGTGATCCTGGCTGGACAGCCACAGAGAAAACAGAGCCTGTACTGGGTATGCCAGGACGAAACACGGATGCACGAGGATCCAATTCGGGCGGTACACAAGTAGGGACAGATGTGTCCGCGCCTGTCTCTGAGGGCAATGGCAGCATGTCCGTCGATGAATCGTGCATATCATTGGCGCCGGATTCTACAACCTGCTCAGGCATCCGGATTCCAGGTGCCAGTTGCTCTGCGAGAGGTATCTGCTCCAGGTTGTCAGCGGTCAGAAGCGCGAGGGAAGGACCTTCGGTGTTCGCTGCGACAGAGGACTGGATCGCCGCGGTATCGATAGGGTGGGAGTCTAAAAGGCCCTCTGCGGCCAACTTGATCAAGTTGGTTCTTCGGTCATCGTCCATGATGAACACGACTGCACCGACAGGCCGCGATGCTCGAGATAGTGAAGCCTACGGAGGTTGTTATTCGGCCGAGAAGCCAAAGCAGGTCCGACATGATGACCCCGGGATGGGAAGGGCCATTATGAGACAGGCTCCCCGATGGAGCTGGGAATCGATTCGGAATCTGAGTCAGGATCAAGTTCAGGGAGGTCCATTTGCCTGTAGGGTAAGTGGATAGCGGGAGCAGGTAGAGGCGCGTTTGTCGGAGCGGGGGATGGGTCTAACCGCTGGGAACTTTTGCGGGGACGTGGGGGAGGGGTGACGGGAGTCATGCCTCGTGACAGATACCATAGTGCCGTTGCAGGAGCTTTCTGTCCATAAATCCTAAGTGCGTTCTTCTGTGGCCGCGCAGGCGGCAAGGACGATGGATCGCTGCGGGCCACTGGTCCCAGCAACACACCCTGTCGATGGTTATTCAGATCCACAGGAGTATCCTCAGCCATGTGGCTGGGCACACTTGCGTCCTCGGAGATATGCACAGCATGTGCCGTGGATAGATCTCCGATGTGCGGAGCCGGCTTGCGTCGTGGCTTCTTAGTCGACGAGAGACATTTCCGAGCAATTTTGGTGCATAAAGGCGTCTCACTGCGACTAGGCAGGGACGTCTCCGGCAAGTCCCCCTGCGTGTCGCTCACACATTCCGTCTTGAGGTGGATGGACCCATGCTGGCGGCCCAGCGAACAAACATGCTGCACCGTCGATACTTTGGTCTCGTGCGTGTTTGGCGTCCGAAGAGATCCCTGTGTCAGATTCACGTCAAGGAACTTGCTTCGTGCATGAGGCCATAGCGGCGGAATACCTGAGCACAGTTGTTCCAGCGGAGACAGCTCGTTCGGCTCCAAGACTTCTGTGGAGCCATTACCCGCTTTCGACCACGACGGGTCTGAGGATGGATACAAATTTAGATACTGCACTTCTCCTGTCTCCAAGATCGGATTGCTTGCGAACATGTGTTGGAACAGGGTGTTGTGCATGTGCCGAGGGAGGTCCATGGGGGATGGCATATTCTACGCACCAGACCAGCTGGGGCGGTAAAGAAAAAGAATGTAAATAGTTAGTGGGAGGGGTCTGTGCTGGGCGACGGGTGCACAGTAAGGAGAGGGGATGACCGTGGGTGAGGGGGGATGGAAAGGTGCGTGACAAGCGTAATAGGATGGTCAGTGCGCACGAGAGTAACATCTATAAAAAATTGGACGCTTTCTACTCTGTGGAGGTATCGAGGATGCGGATGCCGTGCAAAATATAGCCGGCGCTCGCGGACGTCATCATATCAGGGTGAGTTCGCTGTGGCAGGACCTGGTAGCGGCGGAGCCAAGGCTCAGTCACTGATACATTCACAAAAACAGGGTTGGCTCTCATGCGCGCCTGCGCTTCGATGAGTGGCTGGAGGTGCGGGCTGTGGACGACCACATTCGACGAGCCGGCGAGGTAGGGAATCAGGCGGTATACGACTGAATAGGGCTCATACGGTGATGCAACAAGCACAGCATCAAATTCCCCATCGAAAAATTGCTGGCGTGTAGTGATAAAGTCTGTGATGCCCTCGCGCTTTTTACGTGCGCGTTGGCGCTCGCGCTCAGTTGCATAGACCTTAGCAAGCTCATCCGTCATGTGGGACGCTGGTGTCAGTAGTTACAACGTACGCAAAGTCCATGCAGGTTCAGTGGCAGCCCAGTGCATGGTCTTCAGGATACCATCTGTGTGGGAAGGCGTCAAGTTAAACAGAGGCATAAGCTCTAGGGCTGGCGGCGAGTCAGCATCGTGAATCAGGTGAACCGAGCCAGCACCACCGAGGCGCTCGAGGACCGCCCCCGTGAGGAGACCCCCGGTACCGTCAACGACGAGGTACTTGCCTCCAGCCTGGACATTCGCAAAAGAGAGACACTGGGCCAATGCATCGGAGCGCATACCGCGCACCTTGTCAGGATTGCGCTCGAAGTGGTAAGCGGCGACATGGAAAGTGTCAGGGGGAAGAGGCGTGAAAAAGTGCAGGTGCTTTGACTCCTTCCTCTTCATGATCTTTTCTTGGCTGTACGTAGTCCGGAGCTCATAGCTCTTGTTACCCTCAAGCTGCTTCTGGATGATTTCCTTGTTGTTACTCTAGAATACATACACGTCCTGTAGCACCGCCCTGCTTGAGCGCCTGGATGTCCTCGTAGGACAGGGCCTGCGAGTCGCCATCGTCAAAAATGTTTTCGTTCGTGGCTTCACTTTCAACTGACTGTGAGATCGACAGACATACCTAGGGCCTCTGCCACAGCCTGCTGCATAATCTTCAACGAGCCATCAGCCAGGATTTCGTACGTGAGACCAAAAGGGCGGCCGATGATCTCGTCGGCCTTAAACGTGCCGAACTTGCCGATGGATATCATCTTCCCAGGCTCGAGCGTGACCTGCTTCATAACGCCTGACGGGAGTCGCAGCAGCGTCTGCTGGCGGGCTGGAACGAACCTAGTGCGAGACCGCAGCTCCGCATTAGCCAATGGAATTGGCTTTTCCCAGCGAGGCTTTTTGCGTGTCGGCTCAGTGCATGCCACATGTTCTCCTGCACCCTTTTCTTCAGGAGGCGGCGCCGACCTAGAGACATCTGAGCTGCTGGCCGCGACACCGTCGTCGACCATATCCGAGGTGGGCGTAGAATCACGTGAACCAAAGCGCTGGCGGACGCGCAAGCGCCCCACGCTTGGGCCTCGATGGCGACGGTCCCTGCAGTCGAGGACGACCTCGAGTTCCATGTTCGTTGTGCACACTAACACATAGGCTGGGATCCATGCCATCGTAACGCAACTGCAAGCACAGGGGGCGGACGAAGCGCAGATCACAGAGACTGTGCGGAGGGCCACCGAGTACTTCCAGCAGCGAAAGTGGGTACTACGAACTCACAGCAGGGCCAGCGAGCAAGAGACACCTAGCAGTGCTCCATCTTCTGATATGATGCCTGAATCGACTACAAAGAAGCCCGAGACGGAGCAGAAAGAGCCGTATCCTGCTTCGTTTGCGGCCATCGTAGAGCTCCTAACTACAGGCCGAAAAGATGAGATCCCTGGGATCCGCGAGATCCCACTCAAGATTCATGATCAGGCGCCCAGCGAGTCCAAGATGACACGCCCACGCAAGCCATGGGAGTAGCTTGCGGATGGACCGTCCCTGGCGCTGGGTCCGCGGGGGCGGTCTCCACCTATAGTCACATGACCAGAAAAAAGCCAGGATCATCGCGTCCCACCGCAGCGTAGGAGACGTGCTTGACGGAAGGCGTCTTGGCGTGGAATGTCGGCGCCCGAGATCTCGCTTTCTCAGGCGCTGAAAGTCGAGCCGCATCTCCTAGCGAAAGGTGATGCTGGTATCCTGTCTCTCGCGCGGGAGGCCACCAAGAAACTCTATGACCAAGGTATGTGGAAGGCGCACTCATGGCAGGTATCGGCGAGGAAAAAGCTTCTCGGCCGTACATTTCGTCATTACTAGATGCATGTGTACCTCGATCAGCAGTATCTGGTAAGCGGAAGCGCGCCGGTGGCGTGGACGTGTCATTTCACCCCCTGTTTCCTCCAGCCGAGTTGGAGCATCTCGTACTGGACCATATGGGCCCTGAGCAGGTCTGGCAGCAGCTGGAGCTGCGCAATACCAAGCTTGCGCGTGTTCTCGAGCATGTGATGTCGAGTGCGGACGATGACGATGACGATGACGAGGATGACGAGGACGATGCGACCCAGCCGGAGGCTATGGACGACGAAGACGCATGGGAGGACGAGGACGAAGATGACGAGGGAGATGAGGACGGGGATGAGCAGGAAGATATGGACGAGGGCTTTGCAGGTGCCTCAGACTTTAGTGATTTGGACCCCGACGAGGTCTTCTACGAGCCACTGCACAACGAGCAGGAGCAGGCGCAGCGCAAGGAGGCCAAGGAGCGCGACGAGATGATGCGTATGTATGGTGTGTCGGACACCGCGCTCGTTGACGCCATGATAGCGTCTGCAAAGGACGATGACGAGGAAGACGAGGTGCCTACCACTACGCGTGCGCGGCACCCCACGCTGGACGACGACTTTTTCTCGATCGACGAGTTCAATCGCATGACCGAAGCGGAGGAGCGGCGTATGCAGACGCAAGAGGCAAATCTCTCTGGCGAAGAACCGGATGTGGACTTTGACGACGAAATTGACTTGTTCGCTCCTGTCGACGAGGCCGACGAGAGCGATGAAGATCCTGCCGAGTCCGCAACGGCGGCCGATATTATGTACAAGGACTTTTTCGATCCTGTGCCAGGGCACCGCAAGGCTCCAGCAAAGGTCTCTGAGCCAGATGAGCCGCCGCGCCGCACGCTCGTTCGCTTCCACGACCAAGTCCGCGTGCGTCCCATCAAGCAATCCAAGAGTCGTCGAGCAGCGGCCCTGCTAGCCGACCGCCCATTTGAAGAGGACGACGAAGAGGACGAGCAGCATGGAGAGGAGGAGGATGAAGAGGAGGAGGATGAAGAGGAGGAGGATGAAGAGGAGGAGGATGAAGAGGAGGAGGATGAAGAGGAGGAGGATGAAGAGGAGGAGGATGAAGAAGACGAGGATGCAGAGGACGAGGATGAGGAGGATGAAGAGGACGAGGATGAGAACGAGGATGAGGAGGATGAAGAGGAAGAGGCGGACGAGGAACAAGTCCATGGGGAAATGACTCTCGCTTCTGACGAGGACACGGCCGATGGCGAGGTCCAGGCCGATAACACGGCGCGACGCGTTGCACAAGACCTCTTCGCGGACGAGACACCGGCACCGGCCTCTGAACTATCCTCGCACGAGCGCCATCTCGCTGAACTCTCGGAGGCCATTGCCCGGTACGAGGACGAAAACGTGCGTGAGAAGGACTGGACGCTCATGGGCGAGGCGAGCACGCGCGAGCGCCCGGCCAACAGTCTGCTGCAGGAGGACCTGGAGTTTGAGCGCACAGCGAAGGCTGCCCCGATCCAGACGCAGGAACACATGGAGGGCATCGATGCGATGATCCGGCGGCGCATCCTGGAGCGGCAGTACGACGACGTCGTGCGGCAGCGCGACGTCGAAGCGCTCCCCTTCTCCGCCTCAAACCTCCTGGAGCTCTCTGACGCCAAGAGCGCCAAGAGCCTCGCGGAGCTGTACGAGGACGAGTACCAGGCAGCGCGGGGCACTGATGCGCCGTCCGAGGCAGAGGCGCGCCTCGACAACGATCGCGCCTCACTTGCTGCTGATATCGAGGCCCTCTTCAGCACGCTTGACGCGCTCAGTAATGCCCACTACACGCCCAAAGCGCCCAAGGCCGCCATCCAGACCATCTCAAACACGCCCGCGATCCACATGGAGTCGGCACTGCCCACGACCCTCTCGACTGGCACCATGCTCGCACCCGAAGAGGTGTACGAGACGCCAGCGCAGGCGCCCGCGCTCGTCGGCGCACCCAGCGAACAGTCGCATACCGAGAAGCAGCGCCTCCACCACCAGCGGCGCCTCGCGAAGCGGCAGCGTCGCGATCGCCGGCAGCGCGCCGAGGCCGCACTCGAGCGCAGCCGCGGTGCGCCCCAGCGCGGCACGCAGTCCGAGAAGGACCAGGCGCTCAAGAGCCTCGTGGGTCACAAGGGCGTGACGGTCGTCGGCAAAGACAGCAAGCGCCGCTCGGTCAAGGACGCCGTCGCAGGGCGCCGCCCATCATCGTCCGCGGCCACGCCGCCGTCCGGCGCTGCGTGGAAGCTGTAGATCTACGTAGCTGCTTGCAGCACCTGCTCCAGCGCGCTCAGTGCACGTTCGCGCACCGTCTCCGGCGTCGTGAGACTCGCCATGATATACACGACGTGCCCAAGGGACCGCAGGTGCAGTGGGAACGCTGGCGTCTCACCCGCATCTGCGGCCATAGGCGGCAGGTCGGGGTGGCATGCCGCGGGCACGGCCTGCGTGCGCAGGCGGCGCACGACGCTCTCGGCCTCTTCCGACGCATAGCCCGCGCGGTCCGTGCGCAGTGCGACGGCGAGTACCGTGCCTAGCGCCATGACACTGTCGACGCGAGGGAGGTGCGAGAGGCGCTCGACACCCGCGCGATCCCACACACTCGTGCCGCGCGCCGCGCCGCGTACCGCGTCCAGTAGATCCAGCGTCTCGAGCGCGACTTGGCACCCCACGGGATGCGCCGTGTAGCTGTGGCCATGCAGAAGCGCATGCGCCTTGTCAGTCGACGACGTGAACGTGCGGAAAAGACTGTCCGATGCCAGCGTCGCCGCAAGCGGCACCGTGCCGCCCGACAGGATCTTGGCCACACACGACACGTCCGGCGTCACGCCGAGCGCCGAGGCGCCGGACGCAAAGCCGAGGCGCCCCAGGCCCGCAAACACCTCGTCAAACACAACCGGCAGACCGCGCCAGGAGCCGGGCGGTGTGGTGCCAGCCGCCGCGCTGCGCAGGGGCGGATCACTGAGCGCAAATAGGTCCGTCCGCTCACGCACCACGTCCACAAGGCAGCGCTGGAAGAGCGGGTCCACAAAGATCATGCCCCCCGCGCCCATCACCAGCGGCTCGAGGACCAGCGCGCCGAAGCGGCGGCGCTCCTCCACAACGAGGCGCTCCAGCACCGCATGCACGACACGGCGGTAGTGCGCTGCGAGCGGCGTCGTGAGACGCGCCTCCACATCGTACACCTCGTCGATCGTGTCGAGCTGCGCGAGTGCCCCGGACGCGGGCCAGTCGCGGCCTTCGTCGGCGACCTCAATGTGTACGCGGCCCGCACGCAGGTGCACCGTGGGCGGCGCCATCCAATAGCCCCGCCCCTGGTACCACTCGACGTGCTCGCTGAACACGCTCGGCTCACACGCGTCCATCGCGCCGATCGTGTCGCCATGGTAGCTGCCCTGCAGGCCCAGCACTTCCCAAACACGCGGCGGGCGCCCGCCGAGCGAGCCAGGCTGGCGGCCGCGCGCCGTGCGCGCATGCGTCTCAGCGTCGGGCGCCTCGCCCGCGTACCGCCGCACAGACGCCTGGAGCGCCATCTTCAGCGCGACTTCCATGCCCGTACTCCCATCGTCTGAGTAGAACACGCGCGCGGCCCAGCCACGCCCCACAGTCGCGAGCAAGCGCTCCGCGAGCCGCACCGCCGGCTCGTGCGCGGCGCTCGGGAATATAACATGCCCATACCGCCCCGCCGCATACGCAGCAGCCAGTGCCAGTCGAGGGTGTGCGTGGCCGACGGCTTGCGTCCACCACGATGCAGAGCCGTCGAGAACGGGCGTCAGCAGCGAGTGCGGCGACGCTGGCGAATGCACCGCGAAAAAGTCACCGTGCGCACTGTCGATCGCCATCACGTCGTCCACGCCTACGCGCGCATGCTGCGTGAAGGGCCACCAGCAGTGCTCGTGTGCGCGCTTGCCGAGCGACTCGAGCGCAGCGATGCGCTGCGTGTGCAGTTCACGCAAATGGCGCACAACGCTGATCGCCGAGTCGCCCTGCTCGCTATGCAGGACACCGAGATAGAAGTGGCGCATGGCGTCGCAGTCCTGCGCGGTGGTCGGCGCACGCACTGGCGGCGGGCCCCATGCACTCGTCGACGACGGGCCGCCCAGCGTGAAGACACGCACGCCGCGCTCGGCGAGGTAGTCGCGCAGATACACGTCGTTGCCGTACACGGGCGATGGGAACAGCAGCACCGCATCGACATCGTAGCCGCGCAGCGTGAGACTTTCGTAGGCGGCGCGCGTTGTGCTAATGCCGCCCAGCCTACTCGAGCCGACCAGAATCGTCGGCAGGCGCAAGGGGCGCAGCAGATCGGCTTGCGACGTGCCGCTCGGCCCAGGCGAGTGGACGCCCCCGGCCGTCTCGATGAGTGCGGCGCCTCGCGCATGCGCGTGGATCCATGCGCCAATGCGGCTTACTAGCACCGCATCCTGCGCGTCCGCCGGCAGCCCACCATCGCACCTCGCTGCCACGTGCGGCGAAACAGGGTCACGGAACTGCACAAGCGTGTGCGCCTCAACATGTGGCGCAAATGTGCGAAGGTGGCCTTCGTCCGCTTCGCTCGCTGCGCCTGTCGATACCGGCTTCAGGTACGATACCGCCTCCCCCGCGGCGTGCGCGTTGAGCGTGCGAGCGGGCGCCGAGCCATCGAGGGGGCATGCCGCACTCGCGAGCGCAAGCGCCGTTGAAAAGATGGTCTTGCCTACATCCGTGTCGGCACCAAAAATCTGGTGCACGCGCCCGCCACGGAACAGATGTGCCATCGCCTACGCCTGGCCATGGACCGCACCGCGTGTCGCGTAGTGTCACGTGCACGAAGGCCACAACACCGATTCCCGCCGCGCGCGTCGTCGCTGCAAGTTTGGATCCTGATGGTCCACACCGATACCGGCGCCTCGAGCGAGGCGCCGCTCTTATCGCCACCGCCCCCTGTCCCTGGGTCATGGGATCGTCCTGCCAAACAAATCTCCGGTGCTTGGTCGATGCAGGCACCGGAGCGCTCTCCAGCATCCGTGCACCGCCAGCCTAGCCTGTCCGACTCGGAGCGCGACATGTACTCGGAGGCGCTCTCGCCCTGGCTGCACGCAACACCCGAGTACCACGGCACAACACTGCCTGAGTGGCACGATTCGTCCACGGACACCATCGTCGAGGAGGCGTCAGAGCCTGAGGCTCCGTCGCCGGAGCTGAACGCCCCGTCGAGCGAACCCGTGACGGACCTCACCGACAACGTGCCTGGGTATCGCTACACATCGATCATTCAGTCGACCATCCCTGAAGAGTCGTTCGAAATGTCGCGCTCCCAATCCGACCTCGAGCCGGCCGCTGAGGCGGCCGCGTCGCCGGAGCTCATTGGCCTCGGCATGTCAGGCACGGTCGCTGGCTTTTCAGCACGCCAGGCTTACCTGAAAGAACTTGGCTACACGTTTCCCACGCCGACAGCATCAGCGCCGGCACCTGCCGCGCCGAAATCGGGCCTCTCGTACCGCATGCCGCCAATCGAGGCGTTGCGCATCTGCAAGCAGGACAAAAATCCAGCGCGCGACGCCTCGACAGCCCCAAGCGCAGAAAATGACGCATCGCGCGCTACGCGAGCCCTAAGTGGTGCCTCGTTCGTCTTTTCACCGGCCACGGCCGAGGCCGAGGCTGAGCAGGCATGGCAGCCATCGCCGCCGCCAATTTTGCGGCCGCGCATCCCGTCCGTGGGCGAGCAGGAGACCGTTGTAACGCACAAAGCCGCGCCGAAGCACCTGCCTGTGCGTCTCCCGGACACGTATACCTACTCGCCGCCGTTGCAAACGATCCACATCGTGCGCGGTTCGCCCCCCCCTGGGCGACGCCTTCGCCGCGCACTGTGACGTTAGAGCTGACAGAGACGCAGCCTGTGGCGCCCAAGGAGCCCGAAGCCGCCAGTGTCGAGCCCGCTCCTGCTAAATCCGAGTCTGCAGCGGAGACCCAAGTCGAGGAGCCCCTTGCGCCTGCTTCTCTGGCCGAGTCTCCGTGCCCTGACGAGGCACCGATCACCCACGAGCCACCGGTCGATGCCGACCAAGGTGCTACGTCGCCTGAAAACTCGGACGTGTATGCAGCATGGGCACAGGATGCTACGCTCGTTGGCTCTTCCCATACCAAACTATCGTCGGACGATCCCAAGCTCAAGGACGTGTCGGTATCCTCGTCGTGGATGGCACCGCCCAGCGACCAAGAGACAAGTGCGTTGGGCTTGCACATCGTCGAGCCTCTGCCGACGCCCCGCGAGGACCCGGAGGTCTGGCAGCCAGTCACGGACCCTGCGCCCGCCTCCGAGGAGCCGCGTGCCCCCACGCCGGAGCACCACGAAGCTCCCGCCCCGGCGCCGCCGATTACAACCGTATGGCCTCTGCGCCGCCCAGCGCCACCGGAGCCCACGACACGCCCCCCACCATCCCTGCAGGAGTACCGTGTGCCGTCCGATGCCCGCGTTGTCGATGCACCATATGCCGCTACACCCCGGGCTGTCTCGTATGGCACAAACGTCCTGGACGAAGCGTACGAGTCACCAGCCGATATGCCTGGCCAGGCGCGCGATGAGCCCAGGTCCAATACCCTGCCGTCGCGCTCGTACCCAGCCGTACCGCGCAAGGCGCCGCCACCTGTCGTTCCCAACGAGCCGCTTCCGCCGCCCATCACTGGTGCGGCGCCTGCGCTCGTTTCGTACATGTCCACGCCAACTCAGAAGCTGCGTGCACCCCTCGACTACTCGGTGCCCTTTCCACTCTTGTTCCAAAGCCGCCGGCACTCGCGCAGCTCCGAACGCGCAGGACGCCGCCTCTCCTCGATGGATGTGCCACGCGAGGCACCGCCCAGAGAAGACGTGCGTGGCCGGGCATCGCTAGACGAGCAGCGCCTGCCTTCCCTGTCTGCTGCATGGGCGTGGCCTGGCTCGGATGGCCCACCTGACTCGCAAGCACGGCCTCCCGTCTCGCAAGCACGCCCAACTGACTCGCAGGCACGCCCACCTGACTCGCAGGCACGGCCTCCCGTCTCGCAAGCACGCCCAACTGACTCGCAGGCACGCCCAGCTGACTCGCAGGCACGGCCTCCCGTCTCGCAAGCACGCCCAGCTGACTCGCAGGCACGCCCAGCTGACTCGCAGGCACGGCCTCCCGTCTCGCAAGCACGCCCAGCTGACTCGCAGGCACGCCCAGCTGACTCGCAGGCACGGCCCCCCGTCACGCAGGCACGGCCCCCCGTCACGCGGGCACGTCCACCTGTCTCGCAGGCGCCTGCCCTCTCGCCCCTCATTGGGTCGCCCCAGGTGCCACCGACCCCGCCGCCCAAGTCGTGGCTAGCGCCAGCGACCTCCGCCGTGCCACGCGCCTCGGCTGCGCCATCATATGCGCGGGACTATGGAGTAATTCAACCAGCGCTTCAGCCCCTGCAGGGCGTCCCGATTGAGAGCAAAGAAGGCCGGCACGTGTGGCTTGATGTCGACCCTGACAACTCGCACCTCTCGATGCTTGGCGCCGTGGACGATTCGAATGATTCGTTCCACTTTGAGAGCTACTTTGAGCACTCGCTCCAGCGAATTCGCGCGGAGCTCGCGCAGATCGGCGGAGAGGCACCGCCGCGACGCTCGGCGGCCAAGGCGGCTGCACAGGAGGCCGCGCGTGTCGCGGCTCGTGCGGGTACGCAGCGCCCCCCTGCTGCGGCGCCGATGGACTTGACACACAATGCACCGCCCGTGAATGTGGAGAATGTCGGCTCGCCGCTCATGTCGCTCGATGAGTTTACGTATGTGATGGACGAGAATGGCGTGGCACTTTCGACGCCGCACCTGGGTCTGCGCAGTCCTAGCGAGCCGCCCGTATCCACGGCGCCTGCGCTGCCGCCCCTTGACACGTACCTGCCAGAGGAGCACGAGGTGATGGGCGACCAGCCACCCGTCGCGTGGATCTTCCATGATGAGGTTCGCAGCGCCTTTGCCGACGAACCAATGCCGACCGATCACCGCCTGCCGCTTGAATTTGTGACAAAGCCCAACTCGGTCCTCTCTCGCGGCCGTCCCGTAAAAAAGACCGAGCAGGAAAGCATCTTTTACTCGAGTGGTCCTGACGTACGCCGCCGCCGTGTCGGCCCACCGCCCTCGGTGCCGACGTGGAACTTTGAGGAGGGCGATGAAGAAGTGCTTACTAGCCCGCGGCCGGCGCCGGCGCCGGCCGCGGCACCACGCGCGGCGTCGCCACCCCTGCTTAACGACTTCACCGAGCCGCCCGTCACCGAGTCGGGTCGTGTTGAGGACGATGCGCGGAAGCGTCGCGGCAGGGAGGGTGCCGACCCCAAGTTTGCGAGCTGGTGGCGCCGCAAGGGGCCGTCACCCGCCAAGGCGACAAGTGCGCCGCCCAGTGATGGTCCTCGGCCCTCGGAGGTGTCGTCCGAGGCCCGCACATCGACGTCGACAAGCACGACAATGAAGTATGGACGTCGTACGGCGCCGCCAGGCTTTGAGCCATCACAGCCTGGCAAGTACTTTTTGGCGGGTACCGTATCGCTACCGACACTCAACATTGCTCGGACGCCTGAGCAGCGCGCGCGCCACGAGACAGGCCTCGCTGAGACGGAGCCGTCGCTGATCCAGAGCTTGCTCGCGGCGCCTTCGAGCTCGACGGTGCGTGCACGCGCAGGTATCGTCAAGGCCCTGCACTTTGACGAGGCGAGCGCGCCGCCTACCGGGCAGGTGATCGTGTCCGAGGAGCGCAAGGTGCTTGTGCGCCCTGTCTTGTAGCTAGGTAGCGCGCAAGGCCGCCAGCTTTGCCAACAGTTCCTCCGCCAGGGGCGTCATATCCGTGCCGGCCAGCAGCACCTTTTGCAGGTAGTCGTGCGCGCGCTGCAGGTCGCCACGGGGATGCGTTGGGCGCGCAGGGCGCCCCGACCGCTGGTCTTGCGGAGAGTGGTACAGCGTGCCGTCAAGCTCGCCCATATCATAGCGTGCCGCCACAATGTAGCTATACGCGAAGCGCGCCGCCAACGACGGATCCATGTGCCCCACATGCTGGTCAATGACCTGCACTAGCAGACAGTGGTACAGCGTCGCATTCGCCGTGTCGCCCTCGCGCTCGTACAGCTCAATGAGGCGCGTTATCGCTTCGACCGACTCGAGCTGGGTCAGCGGACACGTGAGGTGCCGCCGGAAACACGCAATGGCCGAGGCACGCCGGCCCAAGCGCTCGTAGCATACGCCAAGGGAGGCCCACATACGCGCATCGTGTGGCCGGATCACAGCACATTGTTGGTAGTAGTCAATCGCCGCAGACCATGCCTCGTTCAGCTCGTACACCTGGCCCAGGCCGTGCCACGGACGATAGTCGTGTGCATTGATCTCGATGGCTCGCCGGTACATCTCGGCGGCGGCATGGCTGTTCTTAAGCTCCAAGTACTCGTGGCCCAGCAGGATCCACGCCGCCACACACTCGTGATCGAGGCGCAGCGCTTGCTTGAACGACTCGACTGCGCGAAAGTGCTCACTGCGCTGGTTGTAAAAGTTGCCCCGCATGCACCACACCTCGGGGCTGTCATCCACATGCGAAAATTGCTGCACCAGCTGGGCGAGCATGTCGGCGCGATCCAGCACATACAACGTGTTAGAGTACTCACTAATGCCCTCTAGCCGGTACGGCTGCAGCTCGAGCGCGTGCTGGAACGTCTCTGCCGCCTCGTCAAGCTCCTGGTGCAAATACAGCGACTGTGCGCGACTTGTGATCAGGTACGCCGAGTCAGGAAAATGCGCGAGCAGCGCATCAATGCGCGCCAGGTGCGCCGCATCCACCTGCGTCGACTGCCGCTGCGAGTACTCCAGGAAAAAGACACTCATGAACGAGTTCGGAAGCAGGTCCAAAATCTGCTCGCGTTCTCCCCTCTTTAAATCAAGCGTGCGGTCGAGCTCCTTCCATGCACTCCAATTATAGGGGAACGCCTGTACACTCGACAGCAAGCAATCCATCGCTTCTACGCGCTTGTGCAGCTTGCGCAACAGAACACCTTTGAGGAACAATAAAAAAGGATCGCGCGGTGCACGCAGAGGCTCTAGCAGATCCGTCAGCGGCGACGGCACAGCGGCCGACGAGCCCGCCTCGGCGTACGGCAGCGGCGGGAGACCTTCGCCTGAGTGACCCAAGTGCTGCTCGTAGATTTGCAGCTTCGCAAACACCTGTAGGAAGCGTGCACGGTCTGAGAGTGCTGCTTGCTTATCCAGCAGCTGCACACACGCATGGTAGTTCTCACGGTCAAAGTACGTCTTGGCCAACGCGTACAGCTCATCGTCGTGCGCCGCGTCCAGCGCAGGCGGCGGTGGATCGGAAAATCGCACATGCCCAGGCGCCTCAGGTGACGTCAGCGGATCCATCGACGGCGCCGGCGATGCCACTGCGCGACTCGGGCCTGCCGGTGACGTCGGCTCCCAACTCGTCCACGACGCACCGCCCTCACCCAGCCGTTTGGAGTCGCCCCATGTGGGCGATGCCACATTCAATGCAGGCGTAGAGTGCGTCGGAAACTTGGACCCTACATCAGCCGTGCGCGGCGTGCCCAGCGCCGCTGCATGGGAACGGGGCACGCAGGCCTGCAGCTCCAGTGCCCTGATGTAAGTCAGGCGACCACGTACCATTGCGCCGCATCCAAGAGCCCGCGCTCCAAGAGGCACGTACCTGCATGTCCCAATACGCCCCGCACATAGCCAGGTGCCAGATCCTCGACGTCCTCGAGCGTCGCGAACCGGCTCATCAACACAGCGCGCACGAGTCGAAGCGAGAGGCGTGCGCGTGGCTTATTTGCTCACCACGTGGAGAAAAGGGCACGGGCGCTCCGACGCGTCGAGGACGTTGTGACCATGGACGCTGCGCAAGATCATCTCGATGACCTAGTTGCGGCAGTAGCACATGTGCGTTCGTGCATCGCGCGCAGCCCTGACAGGGAAGACATGGTACAAAGTCTCGGGTATTTGCTTCGTATGGAGGCGGCCTGGCACGAAAAGTTCGCGCTCAGCACATCTGTAGCGCCGAGCAACGACGATACCCTCACTCTCTGGTTTTCTAACTGGGCGGCCTGCTGGCAGACCCACAAACCGATGCACGACTGGAGGACCAAAACGGCGATGCTGGTTATCCCCATGCCACAAGATGATACGCTGCCCGGCATAAGCGAGAAGACAGGTAGTGCGCAGAGTCTGCAGCACGCACTTGTCCGTGGGAGTGCGATACTTCTAGTACTACTAGTTACCCTGCTATCTCTCGGACATGCAAGCTACCGACGTGGTCTAGAGGCCTGATGCGATGGGAGCATTAACGCCTCGATTCTCATGCATATTTCCCATAAGCTCACAGGCCCCCGGCCTCTGGCCTTGTAGTTGTAATTCGCACCTTCACGTTGCCACTTCCAAGCCGAAGTGGCCCGGACACCGTCGTTCCCGTCACATTATCGGGAGACCTTGCTTGAATACATTTTCTTTTTCTACTCCTAACAAGATGCCACAAAGCAACGGAGGCGTCGCGGCTCTGAAGCCCGTGGGGTCACAAGATGGCCTCGTGTGCCCGGCATTGCATTTGTATCCCTTGAACGATACCTTTGTCCCAAAACAGATCAACCTGGCACCTCCTAGTTCTCGAAATCGCATTAAGATCGGGCGCTACTCTAACAACAAGTCTGTGCCAAGCCCGGTGAACGGATTTTTCGACAGCAAAGTGCTCTCGCGCGCCCATGCAGAAGTGTGGTGCGAAAATGACAGGGTGTATATCAAGGACGTCAAGTCTTCCAATGGCACCTTTATCAATGGCACGCGTTTGTCGCCCGAGTCACAGGAATCCGAGCCAGCTGAGCTTCACAGCGATGACGTCGTCGATTTCGGTATCGACATTCTGACTGACGATAACAAGGAAATCCTGCACCGACGCGTCGCCTGCCGCGTGTTCCTTGTAATTTCACCCGAGGATGCTCTTAAACTGCGCAACGACTTCACCAGCTTGTATCGCGGTGGCGTGCATGGAGGTACTTTGAGCAATGCGGGTCTGTGCCCTGGCGCCGAGGGGGGCTTCCGTCGTGGCAAGACGGGCGTCAACCTGGACCACGTATTGTATCGACTGCAGAATGAGCTGCAGAAAAGCAAGCTGGTAGGCACGGAGCTCAAGGCCCTGGGTACGACCATTCAGAACATCAACGAGACGTTGGGCGGCGGCGCTGTGCAGCCCCAAGACGCACCATTCCCCCAGCTGGTTCCCGCCAAAGGGACTACCGAAGAGAAAGAACGAGCCAACGCCTCCAGCATGGATGCCTCGGCATTTGCCAGCTTCGAATCCCAATTGGCAAGCACTCACGACATGCTGGCCGCCCATGTTGACAAGATCAAGAGCCTTGAGTCGACTCTCGCTGCTTATGAACATATCAAGGAAGAAGTGGCATCCCTCAAGTTGGAGCTGGAGCAGACCAAGCGCACTGTGGGCACGAGTGACCCACAGCATGACACTAAGGCGTGGGCTGCACTCGGCCTATCTGACCAGGTGCGGGTGATGCCAGATGGCTTTGACGATGAGGCGAGTGTCACAAGCACGGACACTGAGGTACCAGTGTTAGAAACGCCTGTGCCCGACCCTAGTCATGCGGCCCATGTGCCCTTGCCGCGTGCTGAAACATTGGAGCCCACCGTTGACCATGAGAATCTTCTTATGCGTATCGAGGCGCTGGAACAATCCCACCATGCTCAATCTCAAGCGTCCATGAGCCAGGCGTCGTCATCAGATACGGCAGATCTTTTAGCCCGCCTGGAGCGCCTCGAGAAGGCCGTGCAGACGCAGCCGCCCGTGGACGCACCACTGTCGCCGGAGATGATCAATCCGTCGTTGGCCGAGTGGCGTGCTACCTTCGAGCAGCGCTGGAAAGAACAGTCACAGGGCTGGGAGGCGGCGCAACAAAAGATTAACGATGCCATTGTGTATTGGAGCAACCCTGCCACACCGCGCATGGTTTCGTATGCCTGCCCAACTGTCGACGCGAAAGGGTCAGCGCGGGAAAAGCCGAAGCGGCACTGGATCTATAAGATTGTGGATCCAGCCTACCAAGCACTTGGTGTGACTTTGATCATGGTTGGCATGGCCGTGCCGACTGTGCTGGCCTACTCGGCGCTGAAACACCTGCTCCATGCTCTGGGCCACTAAGGCCTGACTCGCTGCCTTGTCTACACCATACCCCTCACCAACGTAGGCAGTAGGTAGTACTGTAAAGCCCCCATATACGCAAGTTTGTCAACACTAGATCATTCGGGGGAATAGCATATTTTGGTCTGGCTCTATGTACGCCAACGACATGAACTACGCTTGGTATGCGGTCCAACCAGCAGTAGCGACGTAGTATAAATGACGATCCGCTTACTTCTTCAGCTTCTTCGCGTCGATCTCCTTCACGTCCATACCTGAGAGCGTTAGTCACTGTGTGCACAACGTACCCGGCGGGAGCGACTGCTTCAGCTTCTCGGCCTTCTCGGCATCATCCACAACGAGGGTGTAGAGGTAGCGCGAGCAGCGCAGCTTGAACTTGGTCTGCACGTTGCGGTTGGCAAGCACTGTCTTCTTGATGCGCGCCATCTTGGCGTCAGGGCGGCGAGCGATCGCCAGGAAGTTCTTAATGTCCGTCACCTGCTTAGGCTGTTTGGTGTCAGCATCGTTTCCCTAACAACAAGTTTATGCACATCATGGTAGCAAAGGCGCTATTTTACCATGACTGTGCACACTCAAACTCACCATCCTGTCGATTCGCTACTGCGTTAGGGAAAAAGGCCCTAGGCCCCCGCCCCAACCATGGCGCTTCGAAGCGTCGCTAGCACGCGAATAATTTTAACACGTGATCAACTATATCATACACGTGATACATCTGGACGGCCTGGAAAAGGTGCGAGGCCCCAGTCTTCCACCAGTCCATCGTATTACGGCAACGTACGTACGGGCAACGCTTGCTGGACAGTTGCTAACTGCTGATAGATGGCGCCTAAGGTCCGCTCCGACAACCAGGAAGTCTCGCTCGGCCCCAACGTCGACGACGGCAAGATCGTTTTTGGTGTGGCCCAGTACGTATTACCGCAAGGGCATGATGTGTGCATACTGGCGGACAGCATCGCCCTAGCCGGATGTTAAGTGCGGAACTAACATACCCACAGCATCTACGCCAGCTTCAATGATACCTTTGTCCATGTAACTGATCTCACCGGCAAGGAAACCATTGTCCGTGTTACTGGTACGTACACAACGTCGCTCGAACCGTGCTAACACAAACAGGTGGTATGAAGGTTAAGGCCGACCGCGACGAGTCGTCGCCGTACGCTGCGATGCTTGCTGCTCAGGACTGCGCTGCTCGCTGCAAGGAGGTCGGTATCACGGCTGTGCACATTCGCATCCGCGCTACGGGTGGTGTGGGCTCGAAGACCCCTGGCCCTGGTGCTCAGAGTGCTCTGCGTGCGCTGGCCCGCGCTGGTATGCGCATCGGCCGCATTGAGGATGTGACTCCCGTCCCCTCCGACTCAACCCGCCGCAAGGGTGGTCGCCGTGGTCGCCGTCTGTAAACGGGTCGCTCGTGTCTCGTGTTCGCGCAATCCTTTGCGCTCCGGTACCGCAGTGTGCTACTCGTCATACCTGTCTTGTGTCTGTTACAGTCCATGGCAGTTGTACCAGATGGCACTTGGTCTTGCGAGACCGATTGTCATTATATCGGAAGCCTGTCCAATTGCCAATACAAAACTAGAACTCGAAAGAGGTTTTGATACGCTATTTTTGTGTGTTATGTAGGACTGTTCATCGGAGGCCCCTTTCACAAGGGGGAGCGCTATGGTGCTGATGGCGCTCTGGCCTGTTTCATTTGCTGGTGTGAGCGTTCATGCCGCAGTCATACCCGCTGTCGGTTTTCAAACTAAGATGAGTGCATCAGATGGGGCTGTTCACATCTTTACGTACCATCATGCGTTCCACCATCGTTCTGTTGCGTGAGTGGCTGTGACCTACCGTGTTTCGCCGTCCAAGTCCGAGAGTTGAGAGTCTTCCGGCGTCAATTTCGTGGTATCAATTTGAGGGTGGTGCGTGACCACATGAGGCCACCATTCGTTGCCATTTTCTTTTTCCAAATAGACGCTGAGCATTTGACCGTCATCTGAGATTAGGTTGCAGCACATACCGATCGTCCATGTACTACCATCCAGTTGGATAGGTCTGTATAAAGTGCCCTTCCAGTTAAGATTTGTATACATACCTCAACAACCACATTATTATGGACGAGAACAGACAAATATGTGCGCTTCAGCGTGACCTGGACCTGACGCGCGCGCGTTCCTGGAGGCACGGGAAACGACATCTCAACATGGTCCAATTTTTGGCCCCATGCGTATGGTAGAGACTCTTGCTCTTTCCGTATGCGCTCCATTTGTACTTGGTCTTCGACTCCCTGTTCGTCCCGCGAAAGTTGGGAGTACTCGTCCGCCGACAACGCAGACATCGTATCAAGGATCAGGTGCTACGACCAAGCCTTGGGCGCTACTATGAATGTGGAGGTCCGTCGACTACGCAGGATGAGTGCCAAGGACAGGGGCTGCTGGCGGCACCGTTGTGGTATCTGGTACAGGGCCCAACTCCGGCGGCTTTACAAAAACATAACTAAGTTGACCTCCTAGACCATAGGAGGACTGTATGTGAGCATCATTTAACGTACTGAGACGGCCGATGTTCGAAGGTACTTTAGTAACAACTGTTCCAAAATGTCGGTGTCATTATCCACTGGCGTTTGTAGGCGGTCCTTACAAATCGTAAGGTCCGGACTGGGTTCCTGTTCTGAATAAATGTGCGTTTGATTTGTTTCTTCCTCCATAGCGCGAGCTTGCCTGAGCATATCGTCACACGAGAAAGACGCGGCGTGAAGGCCAAAATCAAAGTGCAGGAGTCCGGTAAGCTGCCGAGCCAATTTTCGTCGCTGCGTCCTGTTATAGTCCACCTCATTCGAGAGTTGCGCTGCGGATATAAATCCAACGTGCCGGATCGACGAGGCGTCGGGCTCGGGACTATCGCCCCGATCCATGTTCGGCTCCACTGGTTCCACGCCGCTGCCGTTGCATGGGCACCCAAGCAGATCATGGGTGAGACATTTTGTCTCAGAATGGTAATTGAAAATGTCCCTCAGTTCTTCTTGTGAGAATGAGTCGCCCGTTGTATCATTGGTATCATTATCATTACTGCTGTCCATCAGTGCGTCACTGAGTCCGATCTTGGTGACTTGTCGCTGATAAATTTTCTCGTCCATAGATCCAGCTAGGAGCATTCGATATATATAGCATGGCTTTCTTTGGCCATCACGATGGATTCGAGCCATGGCCTGACGGTCGGTGGCTGGGTTCCAGTCACTGTCAAATAGAATAAGTCTGTTGCCCCCAATCAAGTTTAGGCCCACACCTCCCGACTTTGAACTTAAAAGGAAAACAAATGGATCAGCATCAGTCCTGTCGTCAAGCTGCTTGTTAAATTGATGTACGAGCTTAGAGCGCGCATCTGCCTTTGTACGCCCATCCAGACGTAGCGTAGTGAAGTTTTGCTGTACACAGTAACGTTGCAACATGTCCAGCGTAGTGGTATAATTCGACACAATAATGACACGATCTTTGGTGTGTTGGTGAATTGACGTCAGGAGTCGATGCAACACCATCATCTTGCCACTGTTGTGTAGACTGTTAGGGGAGGAAAGTTGCTTCTGATCCAAAAGTGCCTCCACGGCTCGCGCTAGTGCTTGGGCCTTGGATTCCGTCTCACGCGGAACCATAGTGAGATCTTGTCGAAGCAAGTCAGGTGCATTACAAAGCTGCCGAAGCAAAGTTATGTATGGAAGAAAATTCCGCACTTCGCTTAAAGCAAGTTGATTTGAAACAAATTCCGAACATAGGCCATAGACCCGTCGCTGGATGGGAGTCATGGTACAAAACAGAACCATCTCATATTTGGGAGGAAGATATGAATCGAGCAAGTCGGCAGTACGTCGGATGATAATGCCCTTTGTCACTGTTGCTAGCTTTGGTCAGCTCAATATACGCACCGCCTTGTTACGCGCACGTCCCAATCTCAAAGTTTCTTCCGAGCAATGTTGGAGGCGACTTCGCATTATCGGATCTTCGAAGATGCGCTTGAAGACAGAGTATTGATCAAATAGACCAGGGTATACAAAATCCACCATGGTGTAAAATTCGCGCAAGTCATTTTGGATCGGTGTACCAGTAAGTAAAAGTCGTCGGCGTGTCGGAAGCAAGTCAAAACACTTCGTAGTCTTTGTGTCTTTCGATTTAAGACGATGTCCCTCGTCACAGACCACCAGTCCCACAGATGGGAAGGCTTTGGCTAACTCATTAACACAGTTGCGCAAACGCTCGTAGCCAAGGATCAAGATTTGATACTGTCGCCCAGAGACAAAACGTTCCACTTCACTACGCCCATCACCTTCAACAGCTAAAAGTCCAACAGAGCTGCGGCCAACCCACTTGCGAAATTCACGCTTCCAATTCACCACTAGCGTTAAAGGGCACACAATGAGTACCTTTTCGACCGTGCCTGTAGTAACAGAAGAGAAATAGCAGTTTTGCCCTAGCAATGTCATAATCAGGGCAATGGTTTGAAGTGTCTTACCGAGCCCCATTTCATCTGCCAGGATGGCACCTTGCCCCGTAGATGCATGACCGTAATCCACGGAGGTCATGCCTGTCACTGCCTCATACATAAACTTTACACCCTCGATCTGATGTGGTCGCAAAATACGCGCAAGTTCAGGATCCAATACCACGTCTACCACAGGTAAACCTCGTCCAAATAATTGCTGATGCTTCATGCTGGGTCGTTTCATTACCACTGCTCCTGGTGCATTTGGATCATAGCGAGGATGTGGCTCTTGGATCATTTTTAAAGGCATGGGATCTGTTCTCTTGGTCAAATTAACTGGCGTTTTTTGTCTAGGTGTAGAATAAAACTGAGACGATGGGATGGGACGCTGCTGCAGTCCCAGCCTTGATCGTGGCGTATTCAAACCCCACCTTTCTCTTGAGTTTCCTTCTTCGTATGACCCTTGAAAAATATCAGCAGACGATGCTAGCATGCGTTCGATCACAATTTCCTTACCGCCAACATACAGTTCGTCGCCCTCCTGCACGTCACTTTTGCGGAAAGCAGCGTTTGTCACAATCATCGAACCATCATGGATCGAACGCAAAGAGCATGTAGTCTTATTTGCATGTAACATCAAAATGGCATCACCATCCCAAGTTTTATGTTTTCGTGTTTGAGGTGCTCGCCATTGACACAAATAGCTAGGCTCACTGGCACTCGGCAGTAAAGGCACAGGTTTTGACGGCAAAGAAGTAGAAGTTTTTTCATTATCCGAAGATTCTTCGTTTTCCTTCGACTTTCTCTTTAAAGGGGTATGGAACTTTCGCAGAAGCTTGCCTTGAGCCTCCTCAGACGAGAATGTCGCCATGACAACTCAAAGTGGTCATGCAGCAAGCTGCTGTTCTGTGCACGTGATGGCAGTTCACGACGCTTGGACCACAAGGTCCCAACTATAGGAATTCTAAACCAATGCCGAACTGCAGGCCTTTGCGACTGCCGTCGCCCTCCCGGATCAGAAGGGGGAGTCCGAAATTCAACTCGAGTCGAACAGGGCCTTGTTGGAAAAGTAACCCTGCTCCCACTGAGGCCGATGGTTGCCGCAGTTCGCGGAACGAATACAAGCCAACGGGAACACGTGGTTGAACCTGCATAAGCTGGCCCAAGTTAGCAAAGGCATGGAGTTTCAGCGGCCACTCTGGTCGTGTAGGGATAGGTGCGAAAAGACTTGCGCCAGCTGCCCAATAAGCATTGCCACCGAGAGAGTCCACTAAGGTAAGATGCTTCCCCACGTACGTTTCTGTTTGGGACCCAAGCTGTTAAGGCGGAACATGCGTACACATGTCGGTCCACCCAGCATAAACCTATCATTCAGATAAGGAGCTTTCCCATCCAGGGTTGCCATGAGACCTGTCCTGAATCCAAGCGACCAAGCCTATAATTAGTGAGCAAACGTACACAGCCTTCTGCAAAGGTATTCGAGACAGATGCTTGTGTCTCGGTTTTTAAATAGGAAGTATCGCCTCCTAGACCTGCATATTCCAATACAGACTTGAAATAAGAGCCCACCATGGTGATATACGAATTGTCGCGCGTGTCGCGCTCGATGGTATAAGAAATTGCAGATTTGATCGATGGCTTTGCTAGACGGCGGATGCTAATGGTGAGTGACAATATACATACGAGACAGAAGCTTCCGGAGATATATGATGGAAGTGACGATGACTAGCTTCGTAGGCTAGCTCATGACGTGTACCGCCAGGGGCTGAATACATCAAAGCAGAGCGAAGCATATGCTGCCCTTCGTGTGCACTGATAAAGTTTGTCAGATCGCGGTGTTGCGAAATAGCGGAGATATTTGCCCACAAATCAGGGCAGGCAAGCACAGGGGTAGTGAAGGAAAGCTGGCGTAAGAATGAGGCAACGCACATTGTAAGAATGTTTGGTCCGGGTACCTAATGTTGCACTGCCCTCCAAACTCTCTGCACCTCCAAATAAATTGCGCATTTTACCTTGTACAGAGGCTGTACCTTCACTGTTTCCAACACTAGTACTAGTCTTTAAAAAAAAACGACTGGCTGGCTGGATTCGAAGGACAACGTCCACCTCTTCAGCCTCATTTAGAACGGGTTGCCGAGCTGGCTCAAGTTGAACCGAAATATCCTTTGCAATGTCCATCCTCGAAATATCAGCGCTAAAAGCCGTTGCGGATTGGATAATTTCAAAGATAGTAGTGGGTTGGCCTGGCATTGGATATCGCGTGCGTTGGCCATACCTCCAATCCGCCAGCAGTTCCTCCGCTGCTGAAGGATCAACGTATGGACGACATACGGAAGCCATAAAACCATGTCTCGTGTTTTTCAGCCCTTGGATGCGTATCGCATTCAGTCTTAAAATTGGTACATCATCCAGGTTTAAGAGAGACTGCTGTAATAACTCCAAAGCCTTTGGAAGATTATGTTCAACGGGGCGCTTTTCTTCAACCGACTCCCTGGGGTTCTCTGAAACATTTGAATTGGTTTTGGACTGATTTTCTGTATGTGGCGGGACGAGTGAATGAGCTGCGTCGCTCATAACATCTTTGGCGCTCATGATGATGCCCTTGGCTGCAGGCCAGTGCGTTAACGACGCCGCCCACATGTGCTGACTGTGTCCATACCACGTGACACCTGTGGAGGAGAAAGTTGGACGGTGCCGCGGCTGCTGTCATCTTGCGCGACACGGTGTGTCGTGTCTCTGAGTCAACGCACCTGTGCAGGCGCTGCCAGGAGGCGAGCGCTTGCGAATATGTTCATCTTGTCAGAGATAGAAGTATGTGATGAAGTACTTATTTAAGGATACCATAAAGGTGGAACCAAAACAATTCAATAAACCTGCAGCAAAAGCCATCACGGAGCAAATAAATCTGAAGTATGCAAACAAAGTGAGTTGTGTTGCACTTACAGTAGGTGTTGCAGGATGTGGGACTATGTATCTGTGCTCATGATATCATGGACGCCAGCGAGGGCCGAGTCCGCTGGGGTGACGGATGCTTATACTACACTGTACTGTTTCGCCTAGTGGTCTTCAGGCCATTTAATAATGAAGTACTGGTAGGACGCATATCCTCTTCGTCAAGTGATGCAATACGTGTTTCGATGGGATTCTTTGATGATATATTCATCTTGCCGCATTTGCTCCCGTCTCCGTGTGCTTTCGACTACCAAGAACAGGCCTGGTTTTGGCTATTGGATCCTGCATCAGATGCACATGTAGCTGATCCCTTGTTATCTGCACCTGAAGAGCGGATGTATCTGGATATTGGAGAAACCATACGATTTGCTATTGAGTCAGATGAATTTTATGACCTTGAACCTGGGCCCGCCGTGGGCGAGGGCAAGCTGGGTGAGACGCCGAATCATGTGGGCAATATCCCTGGAGCTCCTGGCTCAAAAGGATCCACTGCAAGTTCTGCTTACCGGATTGTTGCTACTATTGCAGGACAAGGATTGGGGCTTGTTTCATGGTGGGCAGGGGCCGAGCAAGTCCCAGTAGAATGATCTGCATTTCAAGTACCTTTGCTACATGGAAATGATCCGAGTTCTAAGAACAGTAAGCCCAATATATATCCCTCGCAAAATGAATAACAGTTGCCATTATCCCAAATGACCCGTAATCAGCCTAGAATAAGTTCAAGGCAGTGATTTTGGTGTTGAAAGAGTAAGAACAACTTTCGCAAACTTCATATTGAGATCATCGTGTATTGAGCCAGGATTTGTATCGTCGGACAAGCGAGCAGGTTGACCAAGTGAAACTTTAGAATCGCTTGACACATCTGGCGAAGTATCCTCTTTCGGCATGAAACCAAGCGTCTTTTGAACGGGTGACCCATGAGGATGAGGTACAGAGCTCTCCGATTTCGAGGAAGGCATGACGGGACCTAATGCATCCATGACACTAGACTGTGATGAAGCCGATTGCCGATCCATGGAGATAGCAGGACTTATGGTCGAATAAAGCTGAATGTTTCCTAAAGGTAGTGCAGGACTTAGATGCGCTTCATGAGGTGGCAATGATTTAGGTGGTTGCACGAACTCTGAAGAGGAATTTGAGTATCGAGAAGAATGCTTCGCCGAATGGCTTTTGGTAAGCGGTGGCCTGCTGGCGGTGGCTCGGCTTCGTTTCGACGCTCCAGGAGTACCAGAAAAGTCCGGTTTCGACGCTCCCGTGACCAAGCATTCATCCGAACGCACAGGTGAAAGAAAATAAGTATAAGGATGTTTGGGTTCCATCTCATCTACCCCATTGCTGGACACTGATCGTTCAGGCTTTAAGGTAGATGTGGGTGGGCTAACTCGGATGCTTGGATGACGCGTTGGCTTTGACGCTCGAAATTCTTGGTTCTTAGGTGCGTCTGCAGCAAGAGAAAGTCGATGATCGTCCATGCCTCCATATGTGTGTGAATTTGACCGCCTCCGGAAAAACGTGGATGTAAAAAGGGGAGATGAATGACCTGGCCGGTGAGGCGGTGTACCGTGACCCACTGTAAAATTAAAGTTTCTGGGCTCCTCTTCCGTAGGAGTTGTTGGCAGTCGATCCATACGTTTCTTCCTTTCTAATTTTCCAAAAAGCTGATAGGAGGTTTGAGGCTTTGCTAACAAGGAGCCGCCCCCTAGATGTACCTGGTATTCCGATACTTCTTCATCAGAATCCGAGGGAACAATGACATAGTCTTCAATTTCAGGGGGAATCTGTGTAGTGAGATCTTCAGGGGGAACATCCTTAGGAGGGGGCTTCGACAGTGCCAGAACAAAATGATCCTGGTGCTCAATAAGGAATTCAATCACTTCAACCGCAGCCAGATGCTCATCTTTCGACCCAAGATGTGGATGACTGAGGATTGATGGTTGGAACACGATGGCTAGGTTTTGCGCAGTCATTTTATTCTTGTCAGAATTGTTTTCGACAACAGCCAGCAAATCAAGTATATATAGAAGTAGATATTGGCTCGCTTGGGGAATAGAAATGATGAGACGACGGTATTGCTCAATTTTGGAACCCTCTTCAAGATCGCGCTTGGTCATAACTCGACAGAATTTCCTGGACATACTTCTTGGAATGATGGGTTCCTGAAAATTAGAATGACACACATACAGGCATTTGAGTCAAATAACGTCTTAACAAACCAGCAGCGTCGTGCACTGTGTATGGAGACCAATCAATAATTTTTCCATACTAAATGTAAGCAAGACACGGTCATACGAACATTAGGGGGTGTATCAAAAATATCCTGGAGTTCTCGTACTCGTTTTTCAGAGCCACCAACACGAAAAACACCCTCTACATTCAATCCTGACCTGTTAAAATCACCCAACATACCATGTTGTTTTAAATAAAGACCTGTTTTGGCCACAACCGCTGGTATATAGCCCCAAATATATGGCTCTCCATTAACATCAGCCAAACGAATGGGAACGCTGGAGCACTTTAAGACATGATGCAAAGGTTGTCCAAATATGGATCCAGATGAAGGACTGTTCAATGAGAACTCTGGTCGCTGAGGCGATATCGCACGCGTTCCGAGCGACGGCCACCAAGTTTTAAAACCGCCTGAATTTGATGATGCATCATCGGCTCTTGGGGAAGCCATCCTACCAAAGACGACTTGTATGCCCCAGTATGGTGAATTACGTTAAAAAGACAATGCGAGATCCTTTAGCACAGGTACTTGTCGAAGGTGGCTAAAAGAGGGCGCTCTGCGCGTCTGCAAGATAATGATGCATGCAATAGGAGTGAAGCAACGCAGTGATCTACTTTCACTTATTAGTCCGGCCTTAGTTGACTCCCCGGATTTGTCCCGCGCGGATTAAATTTATTCGCTTGTGCATACATACATGCTTGGATTTGGTATTTTTGAAATTTAATATTCCCTATGCGTCAAGCTGGGCACCTAATGCAGTTGATGACATGCAGGCTATTGACGGATGCTCGCAGTGACCAAGCTAACTCGCATTACCATACTATACGTCAGGATTCTCGAAGCAATCATGATGAAAGAGGTGACCACGAGACGTAATGATCAGATCATCATCTCCATTGAGATCTCCAAAGTTCAGTGTCTTGTTACATCCTCGGCAGCTTGACGTAGATCCATACACGAGCCATCCAATACTGCGTTCACGAACTAGTTCATGAAAAAGCCGAGTAACATCCGCCATAGAAAGTCGCGCACTTATATTGAGCAGGTCGCACCGAAATCTGTACGCTGTAATCATTGCATTCATAAGTTTACGCATTTCGTAAAATGAACGCTTCGAACTTTTTGGATGCTCACCCATTAAGCGGTTAAATAATAGAGGAAAAGACACAAGTTCAAAAGGAACTGAAGTCACCAAGGCTGCAAGTACATTTTCAATGAGTGTTTCACAACGAGATAAAGTGAGCGCCAACAATTCACCTGATGCAGAGGCAAAGCGTGTTGTTAGCATATGTTCTAGCGTAGTAACAGCATTGAGAATTCGGAACCATTGTTCCCGCACATCATCGACATTCAAGTTATCTCGAGTAGAGTGTTCAACCCCAATACGACAAGCCATCTCCACAACATTGGACAAAGATTGGCAAGTTTGTAGACAGTCATTCCAGTAACGTTCACCCACGGCCGTAACGGCAGAACCGGCTTCTCCCTCTATGCATGTTTGCACTTGACATGCCGCACGATCAACAAAGTGATCGAGAACATCCATGGCTCGATCGCTTTGACCAAGTCGGTCATACGCCCAAATGAGAGCGTCGCCGAAACCATGTTGCTTACAAACTTCGCAGACTTGATCCAAATCAAAAAATGCAGCAGGATGACTATCCAGTTGGCGAATTAAAAGAGCAGGGCAATATTCAGCAACCAGATCGATCCATTTAGAGCGTAAAATCATGGACGTTTCTCTCGCAATGCCATTTTCGAGAATAAAAAATGGTAAAAGGTATAAGTATTGGTGGTGAGGTGTATCAGAAAGCTTCTCCAATACTGAAATATCGCAAGAACAAAAGTAAGAAATAACAATCCGAGTTACATCACTAAGAAGCGACTCGGGTACATCGGGGACACTTTCAAGAAAAACGTTTTCCAATTTTCTCCAATTCTCGTGTTGCTGTAAAGCAGGTATGCTAAAAAGATTGGTGACGCGATCAAGCAGCTGTCCCGGTTTATGGTGTTCCCCATCTTGGTCGAGCATGTAGTGCTTTATCAAAATATCATACTTCTTCATTTTCTTCAAAGCAGCTTCATAAACATTCCAAAAGCCGTTGTGTTCCAACATATTCAAATGCGCCTGGGTAAATGTGATCGGATGGATGGAGAGCAAACATTCTAATGCGAATTCACAATCCTCTTGATGAGTTCCTGCATGAGTAAGTGTATTGAAAAGCCAATCTGCATGGGTGTCTGATACAGACAAGAATTGTGGATATTTGGCCGAGTTTCTCGCTGCAAAGAGTGCTGTAAATAGTACCGAAGAACCAGGAAGTTCATCGGTCAGACATAGATGGTATAAAATATTCATAATGGCACTTCGAGACAATAGTTCTGATTCATCTTCATCGCCGAAGAAGTCATGCTCGAACGATATATCAAGAACATTTAGGAAGGCTTCAGCATCAAAAATCATTATAATGCGCAAATAAGGATACAGTTTCTCTTCCCAGGTATTGACTGATTCTTCATCAGGTAGGGCAATAGGATATTGTGAAAACAGCAACTTATTCAGACTTTGGACAGCCAGCACAGCCATCTTTCTGGGCAACGGCTCCATAGAAGGATACTTCAAGCCCCGATAACGTGCTGAAATGATATGGAAAATAGCATAGACACTTTGTTCTGGTATACTCGAAGACTTGAAAGGTTTGGTTTTTGACTCTTCGTCTGATACAAACATATACACTGAATGAAGGTGATGCAAGATCCTCGCCGCCGGGGTAGCGTAATCCTGCAACATTTCTTCGCAAATATAGGCCAGCCCATCCCATAAATTGTGATTGATACAGAGCGCCATTGTTTGATCCAAGTCAAGGTAAAGTGGATCAACATGTAAAATTAGTTGTTCCATCTTAGAATAGTCATGAATCTCGTCCTTGTAAGTTAAAAGTTGCTTCATAATAGAAGGGGATGGTGCTCGAATGTATCCAGAAATGATAAATTCTTCGATTTCGTGAACAAAGGTTGCATCAAGACTGTAGCTCTCGTATATTGCATATAATTCACCGAATAAGTAATCAAATTGCTGAGTGGCAATAGCAAACTGAGCGCATAATCGCACAAATTCCTTTGCATCTTCCCGGTGCGACAATATTTGCGGAGCAGCTTTGTTTATCACATCTTGAATAGTGAAGGCAATTGTAGCTTGTTGCTGTGATGGAGGATCAGGGAGACCAATACCTGATCCCAATTCGGTTCCATCGTACAAAGCTAGGCCAAGCCGGATTGCAGATAAGTAGTCATGGTCTTCTTCCAATTCCCTAAGGCGCGCATCCCAAGGCACAAAGTCGCCAGTATAAAGACCATCAGCTAATAAAAAAGCCTTACTTCTCCATATTGAGAAACCTTGAGTTTGGCAGCCAGCTTCATCATTTTCATGAAGAAGTGGATCATGGGGTTGCCATTCGGTGTAGCATCGTTTTCGAAAATCATAGAGATACCAAGCTTGAGTAGTCACCACCAGCAAGAGAGAGCGGTGGACCCAATGGATACCTGTAATCGGGTCAGGAGCTGGTGTTAAAGTCTCTTCAGATAGCATAATAGCCGAAGGAAGGAAGTATGGATTTTGATTTTTTTTAACACGCACTGAGCGCACATGTAAAACGCGCAACTCATTTGCAAATGAAAAAGCCAGCATAGGATGACATACACGCCCGTCAATTAAAGTGGTTGGAAACCATGCCATAGCAGCTGTTTCTCCAGGTCTGTTTGCAACAACACGATACCACGTCTTTGCACTAGGTTGAAGGCCGATTAGCAGCATTTTGTCCTGTAGTAAAAGTGCAATAAAATTGTAATCATCAGAAGCATGCTTTGTATTCCCAACTGGTAAAGATAAAACGCTGGAGATAGGGGGGGAACCGCGATATTGGCCATATACACGAAGCGTATCATTGGAGGCCATGCCAAGTATTCGACCCAACGAATGATAAAAACACACACCGTTGGCGTCAGCGCTAATAAATCCTGTTTTTCTCGTACCCACGAAGTGAATATGCAAAATTGGTACACCAGGTAAATGACCTTCTCCGATTCCAGTTGCTAAAGCATGTGTATCGATTGGAGGAACATGTCGAGCTGGTTCCTTCGGTTCAAATAAGTCATACAAAAAAATATGCCCGGAAGCATGGCCCACTGCTAGGAACGATGCATCGTGAGAGATATCAAGCGCTGTAACTTTATGTTGGTTGTCCCCATATGCATCTTCAGAAGCACAAGTGCAACGAATACGTTGTAATAGGTCAAAAACAACAGTCAAACCCGAGTCAAACCCGATTACAATTATACCTCCTGAAACACAGAGATTTGAAACGTTACCATACCTTTCACATTGTGCGGAAATTTTCCGAAGTGGGCGGAAGTTTAAAAATGGTCGCGGAATAGGCTCGGAATTAATATGAGAGTGTGAATCGGTGGTAGACGTGTTGTCTATGATGTCTGAAAATGAAATGTCCTTCACAGATTCAGGAAAAGTCATATGCTCAGAATTTGACGAAAGAACAGATAAAGGCCTTGAAGAAGGACTTCTTTTGGTATTCCAAGGCGACCGCAAACGATCAAGCGGTACAAATTTAGGACCCAAAGGCCGTTCATGCAATGCATTTTTGTTTAAGCCACCCTGGAATTCATTCGAGAATATATCGTTTTTGCTTAGGCCTGGCAGAAATATTTTGGATTTACTTGAAGCCCGTGATGACGATTCGCCTGTGGGAAGATCATTAACAGTAACAGAAAAATTTTGCGTCTCAGAGAAGGTCTCCTTAACATTAGACTTGTTAAAACTTGAATTTACAGTATTCGTTTCATCTGTCAAACTAAATGGTTGCGGGTCGATTCCAGACATGGCATTCCAATGCCCGACCACGAGAGTCGATGTATGATCACCACTTAGAACAGTAGGCCTACGCTATGTTCTCAATACGCAGATGGTGTCACGTGCTGCGCACGGGCATCAGATATCATTGTTCTTTCGCTATTTGGGGTCATTCCAATTACGGAGGAGGCACGTCGCTCCTGGAAGAAGCCAGCTTAGGGTCAGGATGCAAAGTCTCGGAAGGACCAGGTTGTTCTTTCCGAAGACGTCCTTTCTTGTCAAGATATTCATCCGCTTCGTCAGCCTGTTTGAAAGGTCGCTTGCCAAGCAGATTCGTCATATCCTCACGAGTTATAACTTCCCTTTCGAGCAAGAGCTTCGCAACTTTTTCCACATCTTCGCGATGTTCCGTCAAAAGATTTGTAGTACGAGCATGTGCTTCCATTACCATGGCGCGCACTTGCTCATCCAACAATTCACCGGTACGCTCAGAATAAGGTTTGTGCATCGACTCTTGGTCTGTACGGTACGACACAGGACCAAGCTTGTCATTCATACCGTAAGATGCACAAATCTCAAAGGCCATACGGGTAATCTTGGAGAGATCATCTTGCGCTCCGGTAGTGATGCGTCCGAAGAAAATCTCTTCAGCAACCCGACCACCAAGCGTCATACACATGCGGTCAAGAAGCTGCTCGGTACTGAAGAGGAAACGTTCTTTTGGAAGGTATTGCGCATATCCCAGAGCGCCAACACCACGCGGGATGATAGACACCTTCAGGAGAGGGTCAGCGTGTTCCAGGAACCAGCCACAAACGGCGTGACCAGCTTCGTGGTACGCGACCGTAGTTTTTTCCTCTGGGCTGAGGACGCGTGACTTGCGCTCCAGTCCTGCAATCACACGTTCAATGGCCAACTCAAAGTGATGCTCATCGATGGAAGGTGCTTCGGCACGTGCAGCAATGAGAGCGGCTTCATTGCACACATTAGCAACGTCGGCACCACTGAATCCCGGGGTGAGCGTGCTAAGCTTTTCAGCAAGAAGATCCGTGTCGACGTCCTCCCGGAGCTTAAGTGGCTTGAGATGCACATGGAAAATGGCGCGACGTCCACTGATGTCAGGGCGATCAATGGCAATGTGACGGTCAAAACGACCCGGGCGCATCAGCGCTGGATCGAGCACGTCAGGCCGATTAGTACCTGCAAGTACAACAACATGTTCGTTGGTGCCAAAACCATCCATCTGGACAAGTAGCTCATTGAGCGTACTCTCACGTTCATCATTGCCTCCAAAATTACCGCCCTTTCCACGTGATTTGCCAATCGCATCGATTTCGTCCACGAAGATGATACACGGTGCCATTTTCTTGGCCGTTGCAAACATATCACGCACGCGAGATGGACCAACACCAACAAACATTTCCACAAATTCAGATCCAGATACGGACAAGAATGGAACACCTGCTTCACCTGCAGTAGCCTTTGCAACTAGCGTTTTGCCTGTACCGGGGGGTCCACTGAGGATGGCACCACGAGGGATTTTCGCACCCAGACGCTCATAACGCTCTGGATTTTTCAAAAAGCTCACGAATTCCATAATTTCCTGCTTGGCTTCATCCATACCGGCAACATTTTCAAACTTTACTTTGACATCAGTTTCCTGGTTGAACAGTTTAGCGCGACTCTTGCCAATACCGAATATACCACCTGGTCCGCCGCCGCCACCACCCATACCGCCACCTGCAGCGCGACGGGTAAGGTAGAATAGCAAGCCTGCAATAATTAGAGTAGGCGCAAAGTGCAGTAACGTCGAAGCCATACTGATCGATTCATGGTATGCCACAGGTATACGCTCGTTTGAAGGAATACCAAGCTCACGTTGAGCATCTTCGAGGTTACGCTCGAAAGCTTCGACGCTTCCAACACTGAACCAGTACTGTGGCGTGCCCAATAAAGCACCCGGTTGGCCCGAATAGGAACCACCAGTCGCATTGCTGTGAAGATACACATTGACCTTGGCACGGTTTACCACAACGAGACGTTCGACAAGTCCACGGTCTAAAAATGCTGAGCGGAATTCTTGCCAAGTAATCTCCCTGGATGAAGATTCCGGCGAAGTAAAGCGGTACAAAATGTAAGTTGATATAATTGTAGCAATCAACATGTTCATATTTGCACGCATGTCATTGTTGTTTTGGTTGTTGTTATTCTGGTTGTTGTTCCCAGAGAATCCAAAACCTTGCTTCTTGTCTTTCCGAGGAGTTGAATCCTTCGAATCGCCATCCTCAGATTTGTTCTGAGGAGCTGAGTGTTTCTTTTCGCGGTTAAAGAACTGTTTCAACTCTTCAGGAACATCGTCCGGGTTAGTCTGTTTACCTTCCTTTGCCTCCCTAAGGCCACGATTGATTGATTCATGGAACTCTTTGTCCTTATCGTCACGATCAGACCTGTCGTTTCCTGGGGTGGCAAAAGTGCGAGCGGAAATTTGAAAGAAACGTGTGTTTGAGGGCACTGGTAAAGCTTTAAAGGGCTTTGGTACATATGTAAAGCGCGATCGTAAGATCGCGCCCCCCGTCAAAAATGGCGTCGATCGTGACAAGGCAGCGCGAGCGAAGGCGCCGTTGCAAGTAGCGTGTAGCATGAAATACTCACAGAAAGCCTACGCTCTCGAGAGAATTGGGTAAGTATATAATAAAAATTGAATTGGTGCACAATACTAGTGCCGGTATGCACCGCGCCACTAGATATGAATGCAAGAACCCGTCACTCCAAGATCAAGGACTGAGCGGTGGCGCAAGGGCCTAGCGCTACGATGGACGACTCGATCGGGGTAGTGCTTCGTCACGTGTATTCGGCCGAGAATACGACTTCTCGCTGTGATTGAACAACAGTGCGCGGTTTGACACGACCGTTGGCTCCACGCGCGACGACCCCACGAGTATCTCGTGACGCGCATAGATCACGACGTTATCGAGTGGAGACAGAGACAGTTGGCTGTGTGTCCGCTCTTTGTATCCTTCCCTCGGACCTAGGATTATCTTAGTCTCTCAGACTACCGCATCGGGCCTCGGAAGGACCCAGGGCGGTGACAATGGATTTGTCCACATGGTTCAGGAAGCACGCTGAAGTTCAGCAGCAGCAGCAACATCAACAGCTGCAGCAGCATCAGCAGCAGCAGCAGCAGCAGCAGCAGCAGCAGCAGCAGCAGCATCAACATCAGCAGCATCAACATCAGCAGCATCAACATCAACAGCTGCAGCAACCATCGGCTCAGGCGCATGTTCATTTACACCAGATGCATCCCTCGTCTCCGAATAATGCTTCATCAGGGTCAGTGCAGCAGCCACAGACACAAAATGTACCTTCAGCTTCATCACATAATTCTCAAAATGTCATGTCTCAACCTCCTCTGAGTATGGGTGTGAACGCCGTCAACTCTGAGAGCAAGGTTGCTATGAATCCAATGACACCCAACCTTATGAACCAAGCCACAACTGTGCCGCAACAGCAGCCCACACCTGGTCAGTTCCTACAGAATATTCAGGCGAATATGAATGCTCTTCAGCGTCAATGGGCGATGGTGAACGCACAACCAGATGGGCCTAATAAGACGGCAGCACAACAGTATCTTACTGGTCAGATGCGCCGCCTCATGGCGATGAATGAATCAACTATGGCAACTGTGCGAAATGCCGCGGGGGACGCAAGTCACTCCATGGGTTCACCCATGACTCAGATACCTCCCACCTCAACCTTTGTATCTAACCAGGCACCTGCTAATATGGTTGTGCCCCCACAGATGCAAATGCAAATGCATATGCAAACCCAACCATCTCCATCGTTGATGCCACAAGGGAGTGTGCAACGGCTTGCAACGCAGATGATGGCACCGAATGCACCGATGCAAACCTTCACTGGTGTGCAGCAGCAAGTACAGCAGCCGCAGCAGACACAGCCGCAGCAGGTGCAGTCACAGTCATACCAAGCGTCAGCTTCCCTAGGGATTCCTTCTATATCTTCTAATCCACCTCATTCATTAACTGATATCAAGCATACTATGGCGCACAACACTTCGCCTCAGATGGCATCCTCCCCTCAATTTCAAAGTAATATGGGAACACAAGCGCCCCCTCAGCACGATTTTCCATCTGCTGTCCGTCTCTTCATGTCACAAAGAGGAATTAATTTGCCTGTGGACTGGGCGACACCTTTCGTTGGGCCTGCAGCAGTTGGTGCACCCGGTGAAACAAGGTCCATTGATTTGCAACGCCTTTTTATGAAAGTTATGTCACTGGGTGGATCTGAGCAAGTCTTTTCGATCCCAAATGGCTGGTCCCTTGTGGCACAACAATTGGAGTTAGCAGTAGGCTCCCCTGGTGAGCCACCTATGCCGGGTGCCATCATCAAACCCAGCGAGGTGCCGGGTCGGCTGGCTGCGTACTACACGCAACGACTATCTCTATTTGAAAAATCCTGGATGGCTACGCAGCAGCACGCCCTGCAGAGTAACGCGGGCACACCAATTGCGTCGAACGCTCCGACAATGGGTGCAATGTCGTCTATGACCAATACAATGGCAACGCCTACTAGAATCGGGGCAGAAAATCGTGCCGAAACACCTTCTGTGCACGAAGCAGCGACCGGAGAACGTGCGCCTTCTGTGGGACCGCCCCCTGTGGCACCTGCCACCAATGCAGCAACTCCATTGAACCCGTTTGCCAACATGGATCCTGCTCAAGTACAGTTTGCGGTGGGGAAGCATTTTAGTCAGTTGCAGACACTTGTTTCTTCCGGACAGATGGCGCCGCAGGTGGCTATGGCACGCTACACAGCAATCCAACAAGCACTGCAGGCGTACCATGCGAACCGTGCGAACAAGGATTCGGGGATGAACATTCCTTCTACCTGGGCTAATACAGTGTCCTCACCACCGGTGCCTAGAACCAGTGTGGTAGGGGCAAATGTGCCGCTTCCTCCGATTATGCAGCCAGCCAGTGTGACCCAGCCATCTATCCCTGTACCAGCACCTCAGCCAACTACGCAGCCAACAGGCGTCATGTCGCCAGTAGGGATGGTGCCACCTAGCAACACCATGCCGGGGCAAAGTCATATGGCCTCTGACACAAATATGCCGATGATGAACGCGAACAACGTGCCAGCGTCGATGCCTTTGTCAACGCAGTCGAATCGAGCACCTTCTGTGGATGCCTCGTCCCCAGGTGCTGCGACTCTACCCAGAAGCAGTGCCTCCCCTGCTCCAAGACCGTCGGCGTTTGCCGGTGGCATATCTGTGAGTCCATCGCCCTCGTTGGGTATGCCAGTTAGACCTGCTCCCCCAGTTGGTCCGTCGCCTGGGATGCCCTCAGGACCCATGACTGCGCCTAGTCCTGGGCCTGTGCTACCCAGCAGCGCAGTGTCAGCCTCTGGAACTACGGCGTCGGGGCTCGCTGCCAGCGCAGTCTCTCCAAGACAGTCGCCTGTTACCAACACAGTTGGTTCGAGTGAGGCCCGAGAGAGCTCAGCAGCGGGACCAGGACCTAATATGTCGACTGTTGCAGCTTCGACCGAACAAGAGCCGACCAAGTTCAAGATTGAGTATGTGCCCACCAACCTAGAGATGCGTACACATGGAGGACGTGACTTGGACCGGATTGACCGCGAGTTGGTGCCACGCATTGCTGCTCGCACGCGGCCACGCGGTGTGCATGAGCTGGGCAAAGTGGATGTCTATGGACTCATTATGTCGTTACAGTCGGAGTTGGCGCATGAAGTGTCGTATGCACTGAATACTTTGTTAATATTGTCATCTGGATTGGATGCTCCCGCGCAATTCCAATTCTTGATGGCGCCCTGTGAAAACTTGCTGGACGTACTGCTGGACATGCTGATGAGCGGAATGGGGGGCAATGAAGAAAATACCACAGCCACGGATACCCTGTTGCGTAAGGACCTGACTACCTACTGTGAAGCATTGGAGCTTGTACTACAAGATGAAGCGGCTCTGCGGCTCTGGCGCCGGCAAACTGGCTCCTCTGTGGCAGAGCAGGCGGCGAATCGCCGCGTGGCTATCGTACAAGCAATAGTCACTATCCTGCGCAATGTGGCTGTGATGCCGGAAAACAGCTCATTCTTGGCGACGCATTCACGTTTTGTACAGAGCCTTGCATGGATGGCACGCACGATTCAAGCCGACCAGCGCTGGGGCGGCACTAGCAACCAGCTACAGTGCTTCTCGTTGAATGAGTTGCTGCACCTACGTAAGGACTTGATTACGATCCTACTGGGTATTTCTGGCGAATCGCTGGATCTCAGCGTGCACACACCCGCCACAGTGGCATCGCTGTTTGATTTGATACGGTTCTTTGTGCTAGATGCGGCGGAATTTGAGCACCGAGAGGGAGCTCCACCAGCCCTGCTGGAGCGTCTACCGGCACAGGTGCCCCAGTCTCAGGTGCTGCTGTACCAGGTGCCGCACCACGTACAATTGGCCCTGCAGGCCTTCTCGTGCTTTGCGTTGCCCGATGCAAATCGCGAAACCTTGGGGCGCGAGGTGCCAGCTGATGTGCTGCTGCAAATCTCCGAGTGCCTGCTGGGTCTTTTGCCCGTGCAATTGAATGATTTTCGACGCTTGGTAAGTTCGACGCGCCTCGAGTATGCGGAGACTGTCGCCATGTGCCTTTACAATGTGGTGTATCTCGCCTCTCCTTCGATTAAGACCACAATTCGCGACACGCCGGGGGCGGTAGGCATACTATTCCGAGCTGTGAAGCAGCTCCTGCAAAATTCACAGGACTATGCACGCAATCCGTATGGTCTCTTGTGCCGACGCCTCACGGAGATTATGCGCCTGCTAAGTGACGGCAAGGATCAGTTTGGCGAGCCAGCCTTGCTCGGCATGTACTGGCCATCGGAAGAGACCGCTGAATTGGGTGAGCGATCCGGTACGGCTCCATCGGGACTCCTGGCTGGCCAGGATGATACTGTTATTGACATGCTGACGCGCACGACGAATGTCGATCCTAGCATGGCCAATGAGCTGCTATCTCTCGTGTCTGCGCGTTAAACACCTGTTTACACAGGTGCATGCCTATGACTCGTCGATCGCCTCGCTTCCAGGGTTTTTGCGCAGCACAACAAAGCCCTCCATAACTAAAGTTAGTCCCTCGTAGATACGTACTGGGTGTGTAGGATAGGTATTCTTCGGTTGCCAAGACTCCGCGTTCACGCGATCCGAGGCGTACGGGCGTATTGTGTGTTTGGAAGCCAGAAATCGTTCGCGGTTTGCCGGCCTGCGCCACTGTGTCGACAGCCTTACCCACACGCACTGACACAGGTAAAGGCTCCAGAGATTCGTCCAGTGTAATAAGGAAGCGTGGCCGCATTGCCGCCGAGAGCCAGAACAACATCCAGTGGGTGCGGTCCAGCACAAATCCACGTGCATCCGTAAAGGCCAGCAGCGTTGCAAGCAGGCCAGCAATCGCCGAGAAACTGAACAGCTGGCGATCCGTGTGATATGGATCGATGCCAATCGTGCCCTTACCCATGTGTACTAGTCCTTGTGCCACACGCACGGCAAACAGGCAGTCGGGCTCCTTGGCATAGTAACTGGCCAACTGACGCAGGCGCTGCGCCAACCGCGCATTGTTTGTGCCGGCGCCGACCAAGCCCATAGCAAAGATCGCGTTGAGTGCCACATCCAGGTCACTATCGTGCGAGTACTTGCTCAGTGTGTCGAGGACTGTGATCACTGGGTTTGAAGGATTCAGAAGCGCCAAGGCGAGTGGCACCGTACGTCGGATGACCGGATCACCATAGTGCATGAGGTGGGACATGTGACGCAACGTCATTTCCGCACCAACGTCTTCTCCCATGGCAATAAGGGCAATGGCCAGGACCGCATACGACTGGTACAGGTCGTGTGGCTGCTCATCGGTTTCTCGCTTCTCGTCAGTGTCCTCTTTCTTCTCTGCCGACACATGCTCCGCACAGTAGTGCAGCAGCGTCTGGATTTTCAGCACATTGCCCGTCCCTGCGTAGCTGCAGGCATCCACAAGGATCTGTGCATCGCGAGAGACAGGATGTTCGATCGCCTTGAGCGTCTCGATCGTAGCATCCGCTTCATCTTGCTTGCCTAGGAACAGCAGCGCCAATCCAAGCGCCATGAAACGCATCCATTTGTCATTTAGGTCCGAGGGCTCTCGTTCCATCATGGTTTGAAGGATACTGGGCACAATTTCACCGTGCGCGGAGCCCACAAAGACAAAGCCGAGCGAAAGTGCACATAGCGCAGCCGTGTCCATCGGCGTCGTCTCATCTTGCACGTACGGCAGCAGCAGGGCCATAAGCTCCTCGCGCGCCTGGCCCGCATACGCAAGACCCAGACCCACAATCGAGGAGTGCTGCAGCGGTTTGCTCTTACTCTCGACGTGCTCCGCCAGCAGTGCGAGCGGGGCATCCATCTCGGTGCGCACTCCCGAGTGCAAAATACCATACGCCATCATAGCACCAGCCCGGACGTGTTCATCCGACGAATACGTAAACTTGTCAATGTGGCTCAGGCCAAGCTCCGTGTCCCAGAGCAAGCACATACCCGCGCTGGCCGCAGCTGAGAGTTTCCCGTGGTCCTTGGTCTTGTACACATAGCTGTCGCCTTCCTCGGCATTCACAATCAGCGTATCATTGCCAAAGCCCGCATTCACGAAGGCATTCACGAAGGCATTGGCCAAGTTGCCGCGTGCCGAGTCGATCGATGACACGCGGGCCGTTTCTAGATGCGTTTTATACACATCCTCCGGTGTCTTGGGCTCGTAGATGGATAAATCCTTGCCGAACTGGATAAATCGCGAAGAAAGTTGAGTTTGGAGCAGGCAGTCAATCAGTGCTTGATCCGTAATAGGGTTTGACTCATCCTGAAGCCATTCAATGGGGATCTGCTGGCGCGCCAGTACAAACGCCATTTGCTTACGCATGGACTCATTGTTGGGGGACAAAAAGTCTTGACGGATGCAAGTAGGGTCCATTAGACGAATGCTTATCACCAATGCCTCGAAAAAGCGGGAGTGCTTACGGTAGATCTCGCGCGCCGTGCGCAGAAACAAGACATCGTCGGGTGGAACCAACAAATTCACACAGCTCACCAAGTACAGGCACACACGCTCAAATGTGTCCTTGTCGACAAACTGAGGAAGCTGATCCACGGCCTCCATCTCGAGCAGCAGATCCACGGCATCGACCTCAGCATTGTGCTTCAGACTGAAGTCGACAACGAGGAGCGCAAGACGCATCAACTCTTGCACATCTTTCTCATCTTCGCCCGTAGCATTGTACTCTTCACCGAGCTCAGTGCACAAGTGGCGCACATATTCGTGACCCCAATGGCCCAGATCTTCGGCCGTAGTCGACGCTCGCAACTTGTCCGCTTTGAGCCGGAAAGCCAAAGTCTCGCGTTCTCCTGTATTTGAGTACGTCATAGCAAGCACACTGAGGATCTCAGCAAACAATGCACGATCCTCATCCTCTACAGTCCATTGGTTGTACAGCGACTTGAGGTGTGCGTAGTGCGGACGCAGGAACTTCAGTGGCTTCGGCACAGACGTCATGGACGACGTGCTCGTGCGAATCAGATTCCGAAGTGCCTCCAGTGCTGGACGGTATAGCTGTTGGTTCGCTTCTCCCAGGCGCTCAACTAGCATCTCTAACTCCGTCTTCAGCTGCTCGTCTTCCTCACTGAGCTCCTTGAGCTTGCCTCCATCTTTGGATGTCTTCCGCTCATCCTTCGTATGATGAGGCCTCTCGTCCTCTTTCCTTTCTGGGTCTCGAGAGTACACGCGGACCGACGCCACCTCCGAGTCGTGCCGGACCATGCTGGTAGACGCAACAGCGCCGTCGGCGACGCGCAACCCTGCGGTGATCTTGAGTCACGTGATAAGAACTTGCGCTGTGGGCGCCTGGCTTGCTGTCCGAGCGGACGCGGTCGTGTCACGGAGATGGGCTCCACAGCCAGCCCCTCCGAGCCGCCGTCTATAGATGTGAGTGTTCTGTATGTACATCCGGATGGTGTGAGCATTTGCGTGAATACAAAGTCGTGTGACCAGTATGCCTCGGGTACTCTGCATCGGTCTTTTCTCGCAGGAAAACGTGCGCAGGCAATAGCCCCTTCAGTGTGCGTTGACGGTGTGGCATGGTCCCAGCTAGATTGGCCACAGCCGCATATCCTTCGCATTTACAGCCTGCCACAAGGTGCGCACTACGAACTTCGTGTCGTGAGGGACGGCTCGCAGCATGCGATCCACCTGCTGTCGCCCAGTGCGCTGGCGCGCGAGGGAGAAAAAGGCGTGCCTTGGGACACGCACACCCAGCAAGCTTTCCAGGACATCGAGCGGACGAAAGAGAGACTGGCATCCCAGGCGCTTCGTTGGGAACAGAAAATCGAGTCTCTTCAGGAACAGGTGCAGCTCCTAAAGGCGGACGAAACAGAGAAAAAGGGCCACATTGCGGTGCTCCATCGAGCGGTCGCAGAGGCCGAAAAAGAGGTGATGGAACATCAACAGCAGCAGAAGCACTGGGCCCACGAGCTGCAGGAACGCATGTCCGCCGCCGCCGCCGCCGTGGAGCTGGAGAAGCAGACCCTCCACGAACTCGAGCGCGAAGCAGCGGAGGCAGAGCAGGCAGCGCACGATAACCAGGCCCTTCATGGAGCCCTGCAGGCGGAGCTTAGGCAGCTGGAAGCCCAGTGGGCTAGGGAGCGCGCAGGCGCCCAAAACATGAGGAGCCCTCAGGAATGGCGGCCATCGCCCATGCAGGTGCACACGCTGCAGCTGCACCGGCGCACCGCTAGCCTTCGAGAGACAGCACATCGCTCGCTGTCAGAAGGCTGGCGGTCTAGTCTTCCGGTCCAGGCTGCACAAACGCCGCGGTCCGCCTCGTTTCATTTTCCGTTTGCGCCAAGAGATGACATGGAGGGATGAACACTTGCACATACTTAGCCCTCAATCGACCACATGAACATGCAGGCCACCGAGCGGAAAGGGGCCCACGGCTCAGCAAGCGCGGCCATCTCGTGCGGATCCAGATACATCTTTCTTGCCGTCTTCTTCCCTTGCGCGCGCAAGCGCAAGTCCTCGAGAGACAAGGTCGACGCTGGAAATGGGCACTTGGACGTCTGGTCGGCAGGAACGTAGCTGCTTTTCCGCTTCTGTGCTGATACGATGAGCCCAGCGGTATCGGCTAGGTAAAAGCGGACAATGCCGCGCTGCACGCCCAAATCGCCTACAGGCAACACATCTGGGCTGCGCAACGCAAACATGAGAAGCATTTCGGCTGTCCAGCGGCCTACCCCCCTGACCTGGACAAGCTCAGCGATGCAAGCCTCTGGGTCCATGCCGACAATCTTGCGGACATCCAGACGGCCATCGCCAAACCGCCGAGCAACATCACGTACATATGTGATTTTAGCCGAGCTCAGGCCGGCGCTTCGTAGAGATTCGTCCGTCGCATCGAGCACCTGGAGCGGTGTGGGAAAGGGTAGTTTATCCTTAGGTAGATGCTCAAAATCAGGTTGTAACGGCAGGCTAGGATCAAATACGCGGCAGAATTTGTACATAATACTGCGTGCTGCAAGCCAGGAGATCTGCTGTCCGAGGATGGAGGTGGTCAACACGCGGAAAAGATTGAGTTCCTTCACCTGTCCGTCGCGCAATTCCTCATACATCTTGAGATCCATCTGAGCAAACAGGGTATGGAAGCGAGGATCTACACGGCAGAGATGCTCTTGAGCTTCCGCAAGGGAGAAAGGAAGTTTCGGTTGGACTAGGGTGGTGCATTGGGCCACCTCCTCAGCAGGCAGCAAGGGAGGGAGTGTGTTGGGAGACTCGGACACGACCGCCTTGCGTCGCTTCCGTGCAGGAGTTGGAGCGACTGAATCTATCTTGGACAGTTCAATAGGCTTGCTGGTGCTTGAGAGCCGCATCGAACGGCGCACGGGCGCGGGCTTGACCACAGACATGGCGGTCGGACCCTGCGGTGGAGTTGCCTCTTGGCTTGTGCGGTGGAGATGGATTTATTATCCTAACAGCCTCGCGGCGAAAACTACAAAGTGGGCTATCAAGCGGCGCTGCAGCTGGTGAAATGGGGAAGAGCATTAAATGCGCATGGCGCCGAATTGGGCCCTCTCTGACTCCTTGTGATGACTGAACCATGCCTGCATTGTCTGCATCGGTGAAGATAGAGAGATAGGTGATCCGGTCACGTGGCCCTCAGTGTGACCCGTCTCGGTGGTGACCGACCGGGCCATCACACTAGAGCGATACGAGGACGATCGCGAAGGTGGTGTAGGCAAGGGACGAGTCTGCTTTGTGACAGGTGAGCGAGAGACATAGTCGTCCACCATCGCATGATCCATGTCAGAAGGATCGTCGATAGCGTAGCCCATGGCTTCCACGTACGTAGCCCCTGACATGTTGCGCTGGGCCTGCCATTCGCGCTCCACGTCCACAGAGCGAGGTGCCAAGACTGCTGCATTCGGGTTGCGGGGGCTCGCTGGTGCTTCGGCCTCCGGCATGCGAGGCGAGTCAGCGGCGTCTCGGTCTTTCGATACAGCACTGTGGTTTTCGACCCAAGTGATCTCCGTCGACACCGTCGTGTGAGAGTTGTGCTTCCAGTTGGGCGAAATCTCGTTCGAGAAACGCACCGAGCTGGGGAACGATGAGCGTGACGAGTTGGAGGTGGCATAAGAGGTCATTTGAGGCTGCGTTGGTGTATCGTTCATTGGAGCCAAGCATAGCTGGACATCCGTAGTGGGGGCCGACGGCGTCGAGGCAAAAGGTGCCGGGTCCTGCGTCAGCGCAGGGTGTCCTAGCGGCGAGGGTGTCCGTGGCGCGTAGGGCGAAGCACGGGCAGGACGCGCCTGGGGCGACGGCGTGGGCAAGGGCAAAGAGAGCTCCGTGGCCTGCGATGCGCGATAAGACGCCGAAGCCGCTTCAGCGTCGGTCGGTACCACCATGGGCACTTCAGCAAACAAGCTAGCACCACGCTCTTCCGATTCAGGTGTTTGGGCTGTGTCAGCGAGCGGGGGATCCTCCGGCCCAAGCCAGTTCTCGAGAGTGGTCTCGGCCATAAACTGGGGGCGAATGGATGGGATCCGCGTCAACGGAGCAGGTTCCGTGCTCATATATGGCTGGAGAACCTCACTCATGGTCGTGTGAGTGTATACTGATTCGGAGCCGGTCGAATGGACAGACGAGCGCGTGTCTTGACGGCGCAAGGCCGCCCTGTTCGAGCGATACTGGGACAGAGAAGGCAGCTCTGCAACAAGAGATACGGCATCGTCTTCCTCTGGAGGCGAGGCATTCATACTGCTTTCCTGCCAGGCCCTGACCCGCTGCTGCAGCATATCACTCGGTTCACTCTCTTCCGGCTTTAGTAACGCAAGCGGCGGCGGCGTAAGTACCGTCGACAGGCCGTCGACAGGCGCTTCGCAGCCGTCTTCAGGCGTACACACGGATGACGAATAAGAGCTCGAGTCGTACTGGAAGCGGGGTTCTTTGCGTGTCAGGCGCCGAACCATCGGGATTTCCTTTTCAGGCATTCCAAGAGACTCGCCTGACTCAAGAGAGACGGGCCGGCTGGACCTGTGCGAGCGGAAATGCGATGGTAAGCGCGAGAGCATCCCCTGGCTCAGGCGTGAATAACGCTGACTCGCCTGGCGGATAGACGACTTGGGGGAAAGGGAATGTGGGAGATTGAGTTTGTTTCGGAGGGACTGCGTCCGAGGCACAGCGTGCTGCGACGCAGAACGCTGCATAGATGGCATCTCCAGCGACACCGATGAGCTGGGCGCTTCAGCCGAGACATGCTTAGGGAAGCGCACAGAATCTTCAAACGATGATGCTGAATTTATCTTTGATGGTGTAATGGCAGGGGGTGGCGCGGCCGGGACCACAGCAGTGCGGGGGGGAGAGACGTAAGAGCCCGGGCGCAGGATGGCAGGAGTGGTGGCCTGTGTGTCGGGCACCTGGTACAGCGTGATTATCTCTTCATCCGGTCTTGGTTTCTTCGCCAACGAGTGTTCAGAGTTAGTTAATGGATACCAAGTCTGCAAACGAGCTTGCTTCAGCGATTGCTCGCGCTTGGTCAGCCAGCTCCGCCGCACCAAATAGCCACTCACCAGGCCCAGTGCGCAAATGACCAGCATCCCGCCACCGATACCGACAGTGAGGGCAATAATGAGACCAGAGGGAGAGATGGATTCGGAGGACATGAAAAGAGGGAAGGGCGAAAGAGGGTCAAGGTATTCGAGGGGGTAGTAGGTGCCAGCACCTTTGCACGCCAGCGTGCGGTTGAGAGGGGAGTAGGTATAGATATGTCAGCACCAGCGCTGACAGTAGGACAACAGAAGGATGATGAGGATCGCGAAGCACCGCGGCACCGCTAGTCGATACTTTCTCCGCCGTAGAACTTGTCGATCTTGTGGATGTTACTATATGCACGCCACCGATCTGCGCGCGCAACACAATGCTATGTGGAGGGTATCTCTAGAAAGACGGGTGGAGGGTGTAGACCGTGCCCAGAATGGCGAGCACCGAGGTGACGCCGAGGAGAACGAGGTCCGCAGCCTGCGAGAGACATTTGCGCTCTGCTGCAAATACGACCATGGCAGCGAGAATCGGTCCCAGAATGCACGTGTTGAAAGTCAGAAATGCGCCAAGGAAGCCCATCACACGCTCGAGGCTCGGGAGGGCCACGGCCATGCACAGGACAGCGATAGCGACCGTAAGAGAGAGCGCTAGACGAGCGACATGCACACCAAAACGCGAGTAGATATGATGCAAGCCGGGGACCCGTGACACGGAAGGTGTGTCGTGTGTCGGGACAGCACCCGGTGAGAGGAGACGCTGCTGTTCCTCCGGCTCCGCGGCAGGGATGGGATCCACAGAGAGACCAAGAGCGCTTTCAAAGAAGTTCTGCACCGGCCTCAGCGCAAGCGCAAACTTGGACATGGAGTTCACAATGATCAAGACCACACATGCAGTCGTAAGAAAGAGCGGCATGCCGCGCGTACGCGCCAGATCACTAGTCACCTCGTCTGAGACGTTCGTACCGAACATGATGTACCCAACGACACCCATCGTTCCATAGAGCGCCGCTGTAGCCAGATATGCCAGATCTAGCATGCGATTGAACTGCTCGGGATGTTGCATGTCACGGTATAAAGATGGTAAGATCGGGTGCGAGGCAAAGCCCGACATCAGGAGGCCAAAACCGATACCCATGCCCTTGAAGCGGGGTCCCAACTCCGTGACAGCCGGATCCCAAAGGCTCCCTGGTGTTGTGCGCTTGACAATACCATCGATAAAGAGCACAACAATGGTGAATAGAATGCTCGTGATGCCCACCAGCGAGATGGGCGAGAGGAACGACAGGGGCAGAAACACAGTGGGCAGGACAACAACAAAGCCGATCACCTTGAAAGCAAAAAGCGCCCATGCGTCAGGTTCCTGGTCCTTTCCATAGTATAGCACTGATGCACTATCCCCCAACAAGATGACTAGCGCCATAGATACAAATATCATCTCGGCACAGAACATGATCGCAATCCAGTACCGGGCACTCGGTCCAAATGCGTAGCGACCAATATCGACGTAGGTCTTTAGTTGCGGATCATGCGCCAAGATGCGCGCAATCAACTTGCCCGTGTAGTTCGTGGCAAATCCACACAGCAAAAATAATAGCGCGCCGCCGAGCCATCCCGCCTGGCGGAGTACAAGAGGCATCGAGAGGATGCCGACGCCCACCAGCGCGTTCACAGCATTGAACCACGTCTGCCAGAACGTGCTCTTCTGGCGCACATAGCCGGTCTTTGTAGGTGTTGTGGGTTTATGCAATCGAGAGGCCTGGTAATCCGATTCGGTATCGGGCAGCGTCAGCAGAAGGGTGCGCTCGTCAAAGTGGTACGGATCACGCAACTGCGGAGCACTTGCACGCAGGGGCGTTCGCTGCCGCTCCCGCGACCGGCCGGCATGGGGGCTCGGGTTCATGGGGGGACGACTGCGTGCGCGATCCTGCGCAACATAGTTCAGGCGGTTCGGCTGCGGCTCGGTTGGAACATCCGGATCCATGCGCTTCGGGCTCTGACTGTGGCTCCGGCTCGAATCGAGGTTGTCATCGCTGAGACCTTCGTCAAAATCATGGGTAGGCGCGCGCATGTAGCTGGGTCGCTCATTCCGCACGGTAGACCGTGACTTGCTCCGACGACCTGCGCGCTCTGACATGAGCTCACTATCGGTTCCAAGATTTTGCCAATACTTTTGCGTGTCGAGTGATGCCGTCGGACGGTCGCGCACGCGTGCGGCAGGGGAGGTATCGTCGTCCGAAAAAGTATCATTGTCTGCGGAATACTCGCCATCAGTGAAATCAGCGCCAGAATTTCGCGTATCGGTGTCTTGAATCGTCTCAGTTTCCGAATCGCAGAGCCCACTCGACGAGCTGTCATGCCAGCGACGCTCGACAAAGCTGGGAGAACTGATAAGGTTATCACCAAAATAGGCCTGGGAGCGCGAGTAGGACCACACAAGATCGCTAGGCCGTTAGTTTCAGTGGTACATACAGACTGCTCCTCCACGGTTGATTCATGGCATGGTCTTGCCTCTGCGCGTTGGCGCCTTGGCCGGTGCGATCACGCACAGGGATAGTACGTGTAGGCATCGTCAGGGAACCATGCTGCGTCTGCCAAACGCGTAGGGATAGGTCACGTGGATGAGCGACACGCCGCGCCCGCCGCCCGCGGCCAACCTCGTCTCCAACGGCGGACACGGGGATATGTGTACGTGCTCCCATTTAACACAATACAGCTTTCGGAGGCGGTGCGCCCGCCTCATTTTCCTTCGGTTCGTCCGATAAGAGTAGGTGCCATGTTGACATGCTTACCCTAGACGCGTCAGGCAATAAGCCGACGTTTTCGTTCGGCACACAGAGTATGTGTCCTAGACTCACCGCAGACAATTCACAGAGTGCCACGACGACCCCGTCGAAACCGCTATTTGGGACGCCAGGCGCGGCATCGACATCCTCGACGCCTGCCTTCTCGTTTGGCGGAGCGAGCACTACGCCCAGCACGGCGACTGGCACTGACCAACCGAAACTTAGCAGTGGCTTTTCTTTCGGGGGTGCTGCTGCTTCAACGACGCCTGCTTCTCAGCCTCCGACAAATCTCTTTGGCCAAAAGCCGGCCGCCAGTGGTCCTTCCTCGGGCTTGTTTGGTGCGCCCAAGCCGAGTACTGAGGGCGGCACAGGCGCCTTTAGTTTTGGTGCTAAGCCTGCGGACACCACGCCTGCCGCGGGTGCATTTGGAAATGGCTCCTCTGCGGCCCCGTCCTCTGGTGGTTTCTCGTTTGGTGCCAAGCCTGCGGAGAAGAAAGAGCCAGCTTCCACTGGCTTTAGTTTCGGCGCCAAGCCTGAAGAGAAGAAGGACGAGCCAAAGTCGCTAGGTGGCTTTAGTTTCGGTGCTCCACCCGCTGAGAAGAAGGAAGAGCCGAAACCTTCGGGCTTTAGCTTCGGAACTAAGCCTGACCAGAAGGCCGAGAATAAGACGGCAGGCTTTAGCTTCGGCGCAAAACCCGAGGCCCCCAAGACGTCTGGATTTAGCTTTGCGGCACCCGAGAAGGATGGACCAAAGCCAGCGACCGGCTTTAGCTTTGGCTCTAAGCCAGAGGAGAAAAAGGAGGAGCCCAAGACAGCCGGCTTTAGCTTTGGCGCACCGCCCGAGAAAAAGGACGAGCCCAAGTCGCTAGGTGGCTTCAGCTTTGGGGCGAAACCCACCGAGAAGAACGAGTCCAAACCGTCAGGTGGTTTCAGCTTCGGCGCCAAGCCAGAGGAGAAAAAAGAAGAGCCCAAGCCGGCAGGTGGCTTCAGCTTTGGCACCAAGCCAGAGGAGAAAAAGGAAGAGCCCAAGCCGGCAGGTGGCTTCAGCTTTGGCACCAAGCCAGAGGAGAAAAAAGAAGAGCCCAAGCCGGCAGGTGGCTTCAGTTTCGGTGCCAAGCCCGCCGAAAAGCAGGACGGGCCCAAGCCAGCGGGTGGCTTTAGCTTCGGCACCAAGCCTGAGGAGAAAAAAGAAGAGCCCAAGCCGGCAGGCGGCTTTAGTTTTGGTGCTAAACCTGCCGAGAAGAAAGACGAGTCCAAGCCAGCAGGTGGCTTCAGTTTCGGTGCCAAACCTACCGAGAAGAAGGACGACCCCAAGCCAGCGGGCGGCTTCAGTTTCGGCGGCGCGGGTGGCAAGCCGACGGAGTCCAACCCAGCTGGACCGAGCGCTAGTGCTACGTCTGGGACGGGCTTTTCTTTTGGCAAGCCGGCAGAGACAAAGTCCAACGATACTGCGCCATCGACGAGTGGTGGATTCTCATTTGGAAAGCCTGCCGACTCTGGCAGTGGAGGATCCGCTCCGTCTACCAACCTGTTCGACAAATCTTCTGCCGAAAAGACAGGCACGTCGACGGCTACCGCTACAAAGCCTGGTGCTGCGGCAGCGGCGGCTCCCTCGCTTCTTCGAGGAAAGAGCATGGAAGATATTGTGAAAATGTGGCAAGATGAGCTTGATGCATCGATCAAGGAGTTTAGTTTGCAAGCCGGCGAGGTGGCGGCCTGGGACCGAGTGCTGCTCAAGGGCGCCGACGAGATCTCCAAGCTTGTAACACAAGTGTCTCAAGCTGAAGAGCGACACACAGGGATCGAGCAGACGCTGGACCATGTTGAGCAACAGCAGGCTGAGTTGAATGCTCTGCTGGATGCCTACGAGGCCCAGCGGAAAGACCTCCTGCAGTCCGCAGGAGCACAGCCGCGCGGCGATGTGGGCACGGCTGATGTGGAACGTGAAAAGGCCTATTCGCTGGCGGAGAGTCTCAATGCGCAGTTGGACGACATGTCGCGAAACCTTGTGTCCATGATTGAGGAGGTGAATCAGATGACAGCCCCATCAGGCTCTTCGACGAGCACGCGCGATCTGGTGGATGCCTCTCCACAAGCACTTAACTCGATGCGCATCGGTGGTCGGGAGACGAGCGTCGGATATGAAGATCCCATTATGCAGATCTCTGCGATTCTGAACGCGCATCTCGGGAGCCTCAAATGGATCGATGAGCATACCACGTCCCTGCGTGATCGTTTGGAAGCATTGCGTCGCGGACAGACAGAAAAGGCTGTCTCTCATGACGCCTTGCGTTCCAGTGTGGGCCCCGATGCGCCGCGCAGCTCGACACCCAACCGCTCGCTTCGCGAGTCCAGCGTGGCTTGGCCGCGCCATGTAGGCTATTAGGTATCAACGATCTGCCGCACGTGACAAGCGTCGTCAGCGTCCGAGCGATCCAACACGGCTTGTGCCTCGCTGACCATGTTCGCCTATCCGGGCCAGACATGGAGCTCGCAGCCGCATGTGGACCAGGTGTCTTCTACTAGCTGTGTTTGGGGACTAAACGCACCGGCTAGTCAGCCAAAGGATGCATTTGATGACGCTCGTCAAAAGACACAGTACGTACTGATGCGCCGAGCTTATGCAGGCAACCCATTGTGACGGGTACTTCGGTGCTCGGCCTGCAATACAAGGACGGTGTCATGCTGGCGGCAGACAATCTGGCTTCGTACGGATCTCTGGCGCGATTCATGGATATTCGGCGCCTGGAGCGCGTAGGCGACAATGTGGTGATCGGTGCCAGTGGTGACATGAGCGACTGGCAGAATCTCAAACATACTCTGAACAAGCTGATGTACGTCGATGGAACTAACGCATCAGTGAGAAAGAAGAGCTCGAGAACGACGGCCATGCGCTGACTCCCGCGCAAGTGTACGCGTATTTGTCGCGCACCATGTACGAGAAGCGCTCCAAGATGGACCCCCTTTGGAACGCGCTGGTGCTCGGAGGCTACGATGCGAGATCTTCCGAGCCTTTCTTGGGCTATGTGGACTTGCTGGGAACGACCTACCAGAGCACGACGATCGCCACCGGCTTTGGTCTCCACCTTGCTCAACCGATGCTGCGCAAGGCTGTAGAGGGCCGCGAAGCTAGTCTGACCGAAGAAGAAGCGCGCTCTATTTTGGAGGAATGTATGCGTGTGCTATGTACGTCATGCTTCTCACTTACCCCAGTCTACCGTGACGCGCGCAGTTTGAACCGTGTATGTGTCACCCACTGACGCCAGTTCCAAATCGCTAAAATCACGAAGGACGGCTCGCATATTTCTGAGCCATACAGCGTCTCTACAGAGTGGGGATTCGCCGAAGGTCTGCGTGGTTATGGACCGCAGACACAATAGACGCCGTAGCCGGCCCAGCTCCCTTCTCGCCGTGTCCCGTAGGACGGCGCCTGCGGCGCGCGGGCGTGAACCTCCACGTTCAAGCGGATGAGCGCTTACGTGCGCCCCGGACACCATGCATCTGGCCCCGATCGTCGCAGCGGTGGCAGCAGGTGTGATAACGATGGCGCAGGCTAGAGTGACCTTGACACCGACCCTACTGGTGGAGGCACCACGCCCAGGCTCCCTGGCGGTGAACCCCGCGGGCACAGAAGCCGTGGTAGGCGTGGCGTACCCGTCGTCAAAATCGGGCGAATCGAAAAAGGTGCTCTACCGTGTACCTCTGTCGAGGAAGACCCCCTGGGATAAAAGCATCCCTGTGAAGGAGCTATTGCATGGGGCAGACGCGGCTATCTTCCTAGACGATGACACGCTCGCCTTTGCCGACGGTCAGAACGTGTGCCAGTATCCTCTGACAGGCAGCCCGAGCACGTCCTGTGACCCGGTTGTGTCTGTTCGGACGCCGCCCGAGCACATTCGGTTCGTGCGCACCTCCAAAGTCGCAGGAACCCTGGTGTTTGCCGCCACTGTCTATGATGATGGCGACTTGGACAAGGTACCTGAGCATGATGCCAGCGAACAGGCCAAGTCCTGGGCGCTGGGCATGGTATATGATGCGACCATGGTGCGCCACTGGGATCGCTGGCTAAATCCGTTTAAGCGCAAGCAGCTGTTTGCTGTGGACATCCGCAAAAATGCTACGACGCAGCAATGGAGAGTCGATGGCCACATCCGCAATCTCATGAAGGGCACGCGTCTCGAGACGCCGGTGGGTCCTCTGGGTGGCCCCGCCGACTTTAGTGTGTCATCCCACTGGGTTGCATTTACAGCCAAGGACCCCGAGCTCCCGCCTGCCTGGCACACACGCCAGCAGATCTATCTGGTTCCTTTGGACGGCAGTGCGCCGCCCAAGCGCATCACGGCGCGTGAGGGCCACGGCTGGGCCGGAGTACCTGTTATCTCGCCTCAAGAGGACATGGTGGCGTTCCTGCAGCAGGACAAAGATGGGCTTGAGTCGGATCTGAAAGTACTCCAGACCTACTCGCTCGAGAATCAAACGCAGTCTGAGTTTGCCCGCGACTGGGACGTGTCACCCGACACGCTCACATTTTCTCCTGATGGGAAGTTCCTCTATGCAACAGTGACGGAAGATGAGCAGCGCCCAGTGTATCAGATCGAAGTGCACGGCGCGAAGCTGGGGCACCGCCAAGCTGTGGTCTCGCAGTTCTCGGCGTCGTCGCTGATACCACTGAGGGATGGCCGATTGGTGTACTTCCTTTCGTCGCTGCATAGCCCTAACGATGTGTTTTTGCGCACAGAGAGTGGTAGCACACATCGACTCACCAACTTCCTCCGCTGGTCGGACGCCCACAAAGATATTGACATGGGACCACGGCCAGAACGGTTCACATGGAAGGGCGCAGATGATGTCGAAATGCATGGGTGGATCCTTAAGCCGCCATCGTATGAGGAAGTGGTGCGTGAAGGGGGCCGCTGGCCGCTGGCAGTCCTCATACACGGTGGACCCGAAGGGGATTGGAGCGATGGGTGGTCCGTGCGATGGAACCCTACTACGTTTGCGGCGGCCGGCTTCGTGGTCGTCACCCTGGACCCATCTGGGTCGACCGGATTTGGTCAAGCGATGACGAATCGTGTCCTCGAACACTGGGGTGACCGTGTTCTCGAGGATGTGAAGAAGGGTGTTCATCATATCCTACAGACCCAGAAACATGTTGATCCTGAGCGTGTTGTGGCTGCCGGTGCCAGCTTTGGTGGCTATATGATCAATATGCTGCAAGGTCACAATGACGACAAGCTCTTCAAGGCACTAGTGACGCATGACGGTATCTTCAATGCACTATCGATGTACTACTCCACGGAGGAGACCTACTTTGCCGAGTCGGAATTTGGTGGTGTGCCCTGGGAGAACCCTGACCTGTACGAAAAGTTCAGCCCACACCGTTTCGTGGCGCACTGGAACACCCCACACTTGATCGTACATGGCGGCAAGGACTACCGACTCAGCCCGGCGGAGGGCATCTCTGCCTTCCATGCGCTGCAGCGACGACGTGTGCCGTCACGTCTACTTTTCTTCCCTGACGAAGGACACTGGGTTCAAGATCCACGAAACTCGCTGAAATGGCACGAGGTGGTGCTCGCATGGCTCCAGCAGTGGTCCTCGTCCGACGCAGCGGCTGCCTCGGAGCCCTCGTCCCTCGTCTTCCAGTAAATAGGCACGTGATATAGGCGGAGCGCGAAGCGATCCACGACGCGTCCCGACGCGCTCAACGATGCTGTACGTGGACAAGTATCGGCCCAAGGACTTGAGTGAGCTGCATTACCACTCGCAACTCACAGATCAGCTCCAGAGCTTGGTGAGCATTTTACGCTAACGCCAGGCTGCTAGCGAAGATGTCCCGCACATGCTATTTTACGGCCCGAGCGGTGCCGGCAAAAAGACACGCATTACATGCTTTCTAAAGGCATTGTATGGCCCAGGCACACACAAGGCATGTACCCTACGCTAATCTTAGCTCCGAGTGGATCAGCGCGTTTTTTTGAATCCGAGCAAGCGCAAGATTGAGGTCAATCTTATCAGCAGCAACTACCATATTGAAATCACACCCAGCGACGCAGGAAATTATGACCGCCTCATCATTCAGGATATCCTCAAAGAGATTGCACAGACACAGCAAGTGGACCAGAATGCAGCGCATCGGTTCAAGGTCATTGTCATCAATGAAGCGGATATGCTCTCGCGTGATGCCCAGGCCGCGCTCCGCCGAACTATGGAAAAGTATATGCAGAACTTGCGCATCATTCTGTGTGCGAACAGCACCTCGCACATCATTGCACCTATCCGGTCGCGATGCCTGCTCCTTCGCGTGGGTGCGCCGAAGGACGAGGATATGGCGCGCGTGCTGCGGCACGTTGCCAAGCGCGAAAAGTTTCACTTGCCAGACCATGTGGCCGATGAGATTGTGCGCAATGCTGAGGGAAATGTGCGCAAAGCTATTCTTGTCCTGGAGACGCTGCGCGTCCAATCGTACGTGATGTGATGCTTACTTGAAAGCCCTGACCTGAGCGGCCCCGTCACGATTGCGCAGCCAGACTGGCAGATGTACTGTGAGCGCACAGCCGATATGATTGTCGCAGAGCCATCGCCAGCACGTTTGCTGGAGGTGCGTGGACGACTCTATGAGCTCCTGGTGCATGCTATTCCTGCCTCCCTGATCTTCCAATACCTGACGAAGTTTTTGGTGGCCCGAGTAGACGAGTCGCTGCAGGCAGAGATTGTGCAGAAAGCTGCCTTCTACGTAAGTGCGAGACTCTAACAACTAGGAACTGCGAAGTGCCACTGGCAACAAACCCATCTTCCATCTGGAGGCCTTTGTGGCCCAAGTCATGTTTATGCAAAAGTCTCTCCTGCTAGGGATGGATCTGGAATAGCTCTCCCTTTCGAGACCCTGTAGAGGACACGTGATGACTCATTTGCTCCCCAGATTGTGATAGCATGTTTCCCTTAGAATATGCGTATCCCATTGCGCCAGGTTGGTGTACCGTTCCGCCGCTATGTGCAGACGCTGCGGACAAGGAAGCAGACTGTTATGCGGCTAGACACTATTAATCCGCAAGCGGTAAAGGCGGAGTATGCCGTTCGTGGTGAAATCCCTCGAAAGGCCCACCAAATTGAACGCGAGCTCGAGCATGGAGCCAAGCTTCCGTATGACTCAGTCTTGTGGACAAACATCGGCAACCCACAGCAACAGCCAATCCTGGCGCAGGAGCCTTTGACGTTCTGGCGCCAGGTTGCGGCGCTGACAGAATATCCGGCGCTCTTGCATATGGAATCGACCACGCGCGATGCCATGTTCCCGACAGACGTGCAGGAGCGCGCGAGGCAGCTGCTGGACTCTTTTGGAAGTGTGGGTGCTTACACAAACTCTAGGGGAAATGAGCTGGTGAGACAACATGTGGTTGACTTTTTGCACGAGCGCGATGGCTACGTGGAAGACTTCGACAATGTCTACTTGACGGCCGGCGCTTCGGCGGGCGTCCAGCTCCTCTTCCAAGTGTTCTTTGCTCCGGGAAATGATGCGCTTCTGATTCCGACGCCGCAGTACCCCCTTTACTCGGCCGCCTCGGCCCTATACAACGTGGAGCCAGTCTACTACACGTTGCGGAGCGACCACGATTGGGACGTCAACTTCGACAATGTGCGGGAGCAGATTTCCGTCGCGCGCGCGGCGGGCGTGAACCCGCGCGCGATCGTGGTAATCAACCCCGGTAACCCGACGGGTTCGTGCATGACGAAGGACGAAATTGAGCAAGTAATTGAGCTGGCGTACAATGAGGGCCTTGTCATCTTCGCTGATGAAGTGTACCAGGCCAACGTATACCAAAACGAACGACCCTTCATTTCGTTCCGAAAGGTGCTCTTAGACCTGGGCAAGAGTAGCGACCCGCGAAAACGCGACATGAGCCAGATTGTGGAGCTCGTGTCGCTACACAGCATCAGTAAGGGCATGACTGGCGAGTGTGGTCGCCGCGGTGGCTTTTTTGTCCTCAACAATTTCGACAAGGACGTCGACGCGGAAGTACTGAAGATTGCCAGTCTTAACCTCTGTCCTCCCGCACAGGGTCAAATTGGTGTGGACCTGCTGGTGCGTCCCCCTCGTGAGGGCGAGCCTAGCTATGATCTGTGGAAGAAGGAGGTCTCGTCCATCTTCCATACGCTCAAGGACCGTTCCGAGCTGATTGCCAAGCGCCTGGGTGAGCTTCCTGGTATGAAGGTCGAGCCTGCCAAGGGTGCCATGTATGTGTTCCCCCGCATGCACCTCTCCAAGTCAGCCTCTGATGCCGCCAGGAAGGTAGGCAAGAAGGTGGATGAGTTCTACTGCCTTGAGCTACTGGAGGAGACGGGCATCTGCGTCATTCCCGGCTCGGGCTTTAGCTTCTACCCTGAGTACCTGGAAGATGGATCCAGCTACTCGTTTTTCCGCACCACGATCCTGGCCAAGGGCACCGACGAGATGGTGGAGCGCTTTGTCAAGTTCCACATGCACTTTATGGAACGGTTTCCGTAGCGTCAACGTGTGAAGGTGGAGGGCTCGTGGGGCCCATGCCGCCCCAAAAAAGAACTTCCGTGATTGGGTCCCTAGTCAAGCCCCCTGCATGTCCGCGACGATGGGCCTGCAGCGCAACAAGAAAGGGGGATCGTCCAAGCCACTCTCGTAGCTCGCCACCCATCGCGAACGGGCCTGTAGCGATGACGAGCCCCGCTGCCGCAGCTGAGAGCTCGCGGAGAAAGTGGGAGCGGCTTCCCACGCCCCCTTCATCTGGACACAACGATGCAGTTACCATCGACACGGCCAACCAGCAGCGCACGACCATGGTGCCGGTGGATAGCGACGGCGACAAAGAGGCGCTGCACCAGCACAAGCGCGTGTGCCGGCGCGATCCACATGTATTGACGCCACCGAGTACACGCGGTCGGCGGATGCACGACAAATTGGGTCTGCACCGCCCATCGGCAGAAACACGATCAAGCCACCATCGGCGGCACGACAGCGATTCGATCGACTCGCTGTGGATGATGGGTGGCATGGAATTAGGGTCTACGTCGTCATCCTGGGACCAAGATGTGCCATCGACAGAGCATGCATGGCCCATGCACGCCATGCCTATACGTGATACCCCGCACAACCCTTTCGTCGAAGGAGGACCCGCAGATGTGGGCTTCACCGGACCCAATGCCTCGAATGCGCTGATGCGCGCCATGGCGCGGCCCGTCAAGTCGCCAAGTAAGACCGTGTTTGTGTTCCGTGGGCAGCGTGTCGTGTGTGCCCACGGTGCCGAGGGTCACGAGGGACGCCGCCCTGCCGGCATGGCCATCTCGCCGCCGCGCCCCCAGCTGCTCTTTCCGCCTCGACAGCGGGAGGCGCATCCGGAGGCTGCGCATGCGCTAGACTATCATGCCCTGTCGGATGACGAGTGCGAGACAACGGCAAGACGACGCACTAGCGCTAACCTCTTTGCACAGGAGCTCGCGGCCCGTCCGTCTTCCCAGCCCCTGCCGACCGTGCACGAGGACGCCGACGCGGCGTGGCTCGCGTCCGAGGCGCCAGGACGCCACATGCCCGTTGCGTGGCCAAGGCACCCCCCTGCTGCCAAATATGAGCTGCCTGCCAAAAACAAGGAGCTGTTGGAGCGGTTGGAGTGCGTCGATTGGTCGGAGGAGGGGGTGCAGAGTGATCCAACGATCTAGTCTCGTGTATCAGTAGTGTAGTATATAGTGTCGCGCAACCTCCACACCTGCAGGAAGCGGCAAATGCGCCGATTTTCTCTCTAGGCCATGTCATTCCAGGCGCGGAAGGCCCAGCGACTTAGGCGGGAACGTGCCTCCGACACGCGGGCGCCGCCAAATGAAGAGCCAGCGGAGCCCGTATATGCACTACAAAACACACCGCTAGACATTGACGCCAGCCCAACCCATGGACGAGGCCTCCGTATCGCTGCAGGGTCTGGCGGCGTCGCGGCAGGCACTACGCTGCTGGCCGTTGAGGCAGTCTCTGCTCTGAATACCACACAACTAGGCGTTCGATGCCATTATTGCTTTGCTCGGCGAGAACAGGGGCTCCTGCGCTGCTCACGATGCCGCTTTGCGCGGTACTGTGACGCGACATGCCAGGCCGCAGGATGGAAACAGGCACGACACCGAGACGAGTGCGACGCACTCGCGCGCTGGTATGCAGGTGCTGACACCCTGCCCGACTTTGACCGGGATCCTGGTCCCTCCGTCCGAGTGCTCGCGCAGCTCCTCTGGCTACGCCGACGGCATGGACCTGCATGGTGGGCTCCTTTCGCTGCGATGCAGTCGCACCGCCAGGATGCACCGGCCGCGCAAAGGGACGAGGCCGCCCAAGTGGCAGTTCGTCTCGCCCAGTTCGTGGGGTCTGAGGCAGGTCTCCGCGCGCTGGGCATAGACAGGGCCAAGTCACTTCTGGAGCTCGTGTGCCAGTGCCTGACCAACGCATTCACCCTCACAGACGCCCAGCTAGATCCTATCGGTGCTGCGCTGAACCCAACGGCCGCTCTTCTCAATCACTCATGCACACCTAACACAGTGGTGGTCTTTTCTTCCGCCACAGAGCACGCACGTTGCCCCATGGAGGTGGTGGCCTTGCGCGACTTGGCGGAAGGCGAGCCCATCTACACATCGTACGTCGACCTCGCTGCGCCGCTGCCCGTGCGACAGCAGACACTCCAGGAGCGCTATTACTTTACATGCAAGTGCCGCTTGTGCACGCGGGGCCACTGGGTAGATCCCCGCACGGCGCGCTGGTGCGCCCGACCCGGCTGCCATGGATGGGTCGCGCCCGCTGCGCGCCCACGCTGTTGCCATTGTCGTGCGGGCGAGGTAGACACGGCCGCCAAAGAGGCGCTGGTCGCTGAGGCGCTCGATCTCGTACCCAAGATTCACCGGGGTATGCATACCCAGCTTGACGAGCCACTCCTCGCTCAGCTACGCGCTTTGCTTCCTCGCCTTAGCGCTGTGGTGCCACCGTCGAACTACGCCATGTGGACGCTCGTACATGCCGCGCACGTCCTGGCCATTGAACGGCGCGATTGGGACGAGGCAACACAACTGACGATGCTCCTCTGTGCTGGCATGCAGGCGCGCGGCGCACGCGACGAGCCGAGCAGTCTTTACCCCGAGGGCCACCCCCAGCGAGCTGTACTGCTTGCGACGCTGGGACGCCTTCTACTGCAGGAGGCATCGAGCTCGCCCTCGCCCCTGCTTGCACGGCCCGTGCCTATGCCGACGACGCCCGAGGCCCGGGCGCTGCTAGCGCACGATGTGCTGCAGCAGGCACTTGCCGAGGCCCAATGTGGGTTCGGGTCTCGCACACACGGCGGCTGGGTCGCCGAAAGCGTACGGGAGAGCCTGCGGAACATAGAGCAGGGGTGTTTGTAGATGCTACAGGAGCCGATCCTTCTTTGGCTCGGGCTCGGGCGCGGGCGCAGGCGGCGGCTCACTTGATGGAATATCCGCAAAGCCCAAGTTCGCGAAACTGTCTTTCTCCATCAGCTCACTAGTGGTCAGCCGCCGTGTACGCACTTCTCCATGCGGCACGCCAGGTACGCTTTGGACAAGTGGCGGCACGCGCCATTGTTGTTCTGGTGGGCCTTGAGGCACGCCAGGTATTCGCGCATCGCTGCAGTGCACTCTCCTGCGTCCGTCAGATTCACAAACGCACCGTCATGGTCCAAAGGGAATGAGCCGCGCTCAGGCGGCAGCACCTGGAAGTTGGAAAACGTCGGCGGCCGTCCAAACGACATGGCTCGAAGCACGTTACTCCTCCACACGTTGTCCTTATGCGAGGCAAGTCGCGTGTGGACGCACGACCGGGCGTGGTGCTCGAGACGGGGGCGGCCCATGTGCGCGTAGCCACGACTGAGGGCCACGAGGTGCACGTTCTGCCGAATGCCATTGCACGTACTCGTCCGGGCGCGCGTCGGCAGGTGCTGGTGGGCGATCTGATCGAGTCTGAGTGCCTTGACTATGGTGGGCTCCAACTCCGCCTGCCCATTGACCGGGGGCTTGTTGTGGACTGGCAGGCGCAGAAGGCCGTATGGGACCGCGCTCTAGTGCGCGCGCTTGGATGCTCCTCGGATACGTTTGGCGCTCTTCGGGGGCACACGGTGATTGTGACCGAGCCCTACTTTTTACTGCCTGAGCAGCAGCGTGCATTTGATATGCTCCTCTTTGAATGGTACGAGGCCGACGCTATATGGAGGACCACTCGTACGTATAAGTCGATAATGCGCAGCCGCTCAGCTCGTGCCATACGCCATGGACCCGTGCCCAGACGCCATGGTCGTCGTCGACGTGGGCCACAGCTACACCCATGCCGTCCCGGTGGTGCAAGGCGCCGCACAGTGGAACGCTGCACAGAGGTACGCGCCCTGCACTCACCCTAGGTTGGACATGGGCGGCAAGGTCTTGACGCACCTGCTCAAAGTCATGTTCTCCTACCGCCAGTGGAACATGATGGACGAGACATATTTGATCGACAAGATGAAAGCGGCGTCCTGTTTTGTGGCGGCTAGGAGCGAGCCCCTTGCGTACCGACGCGGCGACGAGCCTCGTGGGCCACCGAGCTCGTGGAGCTTCGAGCAGTTCGTCGAGCACTTTCAGTACGTCGCCACGCCTAACGCAGCCGCCACTCGGCAAATCCCATGGTCCAGCAATACGTGCTCCCCGACTATGCGACACCTGACGATGTAAAGGATCCTAATACCAAGTATGGCTACGTGCTCAGCGGTCCCCCGGCTCCGACACACCCTATCGTGTCGGATGACGAGCTAGATGCTTTTATTGCAGGCCCATCGCGCCGCACGGCCGGCCCCCAGACAGAGCACCAGGTCTTGCGCATGGGGCAGGAGCGTTACCAACTATTTGAATACCTTTTTTCACCTGACCGGATCGGTACGCTGCACATTTTGACACCAGGCCTCGAACAAGGCCCTCTTCACGAGCTCGTCGCCCAGTCGATCCAGCGCGCCTCGCCGGCCGCGCAGGACATGATGTGGAGCCACGTCGTGCTCACCGGCGGCTCGGCTCGGGTGCCCGGGCTAAGGCAAAGACTGTGCGTATATGACACTCACTGTCAGCGAGCATGAGCTCCGTATGTTGGCACCGGATGATGTGCCAGTGCATGTGTACCTGCCAGGGGACCCGCTCGACGCGCCGGCGCGCGGCGCCCTGGCCCTGCTGCACGCGGCGCCGACCTCCGCAGCGAGGCAGGCCCTCGAGGCCCACCTTGTCACGCGCGAGGCATGGCAGAAGCACGGCGGGGGTGCATTAACGCCTGGCGAACGAGGCGGCACAGCCCTAGGCGACCAGCGTTTTGACGGCTGGAATACAATCGTTCAGCCAGAAGAATAGTATGGACAAAGCCTATGGGCAGACATTTAGCACACACCGCACTTGGCGATCTCGATGCGGCTACGGGGCTTGCCGCTGCCGCTGCCCTCAGCCTCGATGGCCTTGACAACGTTCATGCCGTCAATGACCTCACCGAAGACGACGTGCTTGCCGTCCAGCCAGCTAGTCACCACAGTGGTGATGAAGAACTGCGAGCCGTTGGTGTTAGGACCAGCGTTGGCCATCGAGAGCAGACCAGGCTTGTTGTGCTTGAGCTGGAAGTTCTCGTCAGCGAACTTGGCGCCGTAGATCGACTTGCCGCCCGTGCCGTTGCCAGCGGTGAAGTCACCACCCTGGAGCATAAAGTCAGGGATCACACGGTGGAAGTGCGAGCCGGCGTAGCCGAAGCCCTTCTCGCCAGTGCAGAGAGCACGGAAGTTAGCGGCAGTCTTCGGAACCACATCGTCGAACAGCTTGAACTTAATAGTGCCGAGAGGGGCGCCGTTCTTGGTAATGTCGAAGAAAACGTTAGACATAGTGCGAGAGGTAGCTGCAAATTGGCGAACGACAGAAGGAGTAAAAGCCATCCTGTATTAGGTCTAGGGAACGACACAACAAACTGTCGGTACGTACACAATAGGGCAGGTGTAGGTTGGTGTCGGTCAGACCCTCTATATATAGGCTGCCAGCACACCCGCCGTCCGTGCGCCTGTCATTCTACAGCCTTCGGCAACCAACCACGAGCTGAACCGCATGAATCAGATGACCAATGCTGACGCAATCAACAGAGTGGGTGTACGTCCCCGCGCACCGACGTTGGACGTGGGCGCTATGCCGCTGGGCCGCCACTCTAAGCCTCCTCAAGGCTCCGCACCGGAGAGCACGGAGGGCTACAGCAGTCCTCCTGTCTCAGAACCAAGCACGCCAGATAACTCCAAGCCTGGGTTTCCCTTCAATTTTGGGCGTCCTCAAGGGCTCGCCTCTAGCCTGCTCGATCGATCGGATTCGAATCGTCGGGCCAGCCGTGACCCAATACCCGCATCCTCTTCCGCGGGACGCTCAAGCAGGACTTCTTCGAAGCAGATGACCAAGTCCCAGTTCTATCTCGACAATCTCCGTCCCGAGGACGGACGGGCGGCTCAGACCCTCTTGTCGGGGTGCCTCCCCCACGAACAGACGCCTCCTTATTCCAGCATCATGACTCGCCTCGAACATGCCCCCAAACTCACTCTGGGTATGTTTATGAATGTGCCAACACCTATGGTCGCGGGCCCACTGTCTGTGGCATCCGGCGAGTCTCGGCGCAAACTGGTGGGTGTGTGTAGCGCGACCGCCGCTCCTGCCCCCATCGCGCAAAGTCGGCACGCTCACAGCCACTCGGGTCTGGCCCGCGTGGTGTGCATTCACGAAATTTGCGTCGACCCCTCCTATCGCCGCCAAGGCATCGGAAAGAGGCTCGTGCGTACATTTCTCGAACAGCTTGAAAACAACATTGTGTCAGGCGATAGCCTCCATGGCCAGGAGTTTGAGGTGGTCGCGGCCATATGTCCCCCCAAGCGCGTGTCTTTCTTTGAACAGTTTGGGTTTGTTTGCCATGGTGCTAGCTATATTGAAGTAGCGCCGGAGCCTTGGCTGGAAATGAGGCGCTTTATTCATCCCGACATTGACCGCTCGCATGAAGCATCTTTTCTCACCGCCGATATGGCGGAACTATCCCAAACTCTCCCATCATCGATGGGCTCACTGCCGCAAAGCATCCTCGTGGAGCACATGTCCGGACCGCACTCCCTGGGCAGCAGTGATCATGAGACTGGTTTCACGCCCTACAGTCCCACGAATGCGAACGCCCAGACACACTCTCCTTCCGCCATGTCCCCCAAGACCGGTAGTCTAACGAACGATCAGATCCTTACGATGCTGCTTGAAAACGCTAGTATCTCGGAGGGTGCCGCTCGCGATTTGGGAATATCCGTTCCATCCTCCGAATCCAAGCAAAATCCTGCCTGCTCCTTCGAGCGCATTTTCGGCCAAGCCATCGCCGGTAAAACGGCATCCGAGAATTTCTACTCTGCCCTTGTGGCGCGCTTGGTTGACCGCAACTATGGACTGAATATGCACCGCTTGTACTGCCCCAACGAACACTGTGATTGCGTGTTGCTGAATCGAAATTCGTCCGAGTGGATCATCCGTGAAACAGGCCCCTTGCTGGATGCTGTTCCTACGGCTAGCAGTGACTCGGGCGAGACAGAAGCCGACAGTTCCCCTCAGGCGAGCAATGCGCCCTGGCTTAACTCCCTATTCCAATCGACCAGCAAATCCGTCGATTCCATTGGACCTCTCCGCGGCTTTTGGCATGTACCTGGTCCCATGAGTTTCGAAAATATCTCGTTTAGCCGTGACGTGACGTGGGTCGTCCCAAGCCGTTCTCACAATTTCCCAACAATGTCCAGAAGCAGCACTGCGAGCTCGACAGATCCGGCCTCAGAATCTGGCCACAATACCCGCCGTCGGCGTTCTGATTCTGTTCGCGGCAGTTTGCCCAGTTTTCGGAGACAAACACGTCCAATTGAGCCCATTGAGACGACAAGTTCCGTCTCGTCACCATCAGACGACTACAAATTCGATGTTCAACCTGGGGAGACTCGTGTGGTGAAATACCTTACCTGCCCTGATTGCGGGTGCGGTCCTCTTGGCTTCATGATCTTGCCAAAGAAATCATCGGATGACTCGGAGCCTGATGCAAACTCTAGCGACTGCTTTGTGGCTGCTTTCCGTGTTCGATATGATATTAAGTTATAGTCAAGGAGTATGCTGAAAAGTCATCCGCTAACATGATTTGTTAAGTCAACCGTATGTAGCTCTGCGTGTTCCTGTTATACCCTAGTCTGACACGACTTGACATCGCTAGGGCGCATGGTCTAGTGGTATGATTCTTCTTTAGGGCTTGTCTCCGACTAAGATCCATAGAAGAGGTCCTGGGTTCAATTCCCAGTGCGCCCCGTTTCTTTTGAAGTTTTCCACCAATGATCCTTTGCTTCCTTAATCAAATAACTAATTATCAGCTAAGCTTCCTGAGCATGGGCGCATGGTCTAGTGGTATGATTCTTCTTTAGGGCTGGTCGTTTGACCGAAGATCCATAGAAGAGGTCCTGGGTTCAATTCCCAGTGCGCCCCTTTTTGAATATCACATTTCCTATATATTTTAGGAAATGGACTTCCCATTGATTCCACTTTGGACATCTGAATGAAAATGATGCTATTTACTCCTGCTTAGGTGGCTCTTCATCTTCGCCATCTTCCCGGGTGTCGCCATACACACCGCAAAGAGCACTGACGCGTCAGCATAACCACAACGTACCGATACAAAACGCGCCACATGATCACATACCAGAAAATATTCAGAAGAAGAAGAAGGAAGAGGGGCGCAAACACCTGCTGTGTGAAAGGTTCGGACATACGTGACATTGCATCCACCAGACCAGCCAGTGTCCTTGCGATGGATAAAAGGTGCGCGCATAAGCGGGGATCAAGGTGTAGTGTTTATACACGGAATAGATCGTAAGAGCGCTCAGGTAAATGCGGAAATACGACCACACCACCATAAAGGTCGAATAAATGATAGCCGCTGCTAAATTGAGGTCCAAATAGTTGAGCATCTTAGACAGCTAATCGGTTATAAGTCTAGTTCAACGTACCGCAAGCCAGGTGTCCGGGATGTCCATACACACAAACACTGTCGTTCCAATCATGGTGAGGTTGATAAAATACGACCATCCAATCAACCAAAGAGTGACAAGATGGTGGGCCACCAGTTCATAATAGTCCTTCCGTGGGCGCTCAAGACCCAGTAGCATGACAAACGCCTGTTGCAGCCAGTAGCTTGCCTGTAGCAGATAGTATAGCTTCAGTTCCGGTCGCATTTGCCAGTGGGGATATTGGTACCAAAGATGCTCGAGATTGTACCACCAGCTGTCCTGGAAAGACATAACATAGAGGCCGAAAATGCTAGTAGTACCCCAGTACGTCAGTGCATAGCCCTGCTCAGCGAAGCGGGTCTGCTTGTTGGGAGACTTGATACCCCACCTAGCAGCCATTGGCTTAAAGACTCTCTCTGTAATGGTTTGGCGCAAGAAGCTGAATACGATCACGTAGTAGGACATGAAGCACACATCAAATATACCCTTGCCGAAGCGAAGAAGCTTGGGCTCATCCGGGAACAGCGTTGCGTGAACCCCTTGGAAGAAAGAGCGGATCCCGGTAGCGATCGCGTTGTCCGCCGAGTAGGTCGGAGCAGGACCGTACAAGCGGTTCTGAGTGATACGCAGAAGAACCTGACTTTCTGGAAGACGGTACGACAAAAACAGGAAAGGCCTAAACGGATTGATGCTCACCGGCAACACATGTTCAAACACCAGGTAGCCCAGGACGAACAGAGATGCCAACTGGAGCGCCAATGTAGGCGAAACTAACCAGCGAAGCATGATCACATCCTTAAAAAAAGAATTTTTCTTGGGCTCCGCAGCGTTGGGACCTCGTGTTGTCCCTACCGTCGACTCGCGCATACTAAGTGTGGAAAACCCAGCACAGGCTGGTCGTTGACGTGCCATTTCTCTGCATAAGCGTGCATCATTTTTTAGCCACCCGATGCATCTGATCGGGGGAGCCCTCTTCTCCCAGCGAACCATGTCGGAGGCTGGGCCGTCGCGCAGGCCGCCAGGGCCGCCGCCGGGGCCGCCGCCGCGTCCTCAATTCGCCCATGAGAAGAAAAAACTTGAAGTATATCCTGAACCGAAACTTTCTGGTACGTGGGTGCCCTTTTAACAGAATAGCGAAAGATAAATACGCGCGGAACCAGACGCGCGAAGTGGACCGGATCTTGAATGTTGCATTCCGTATGAATCCCTATGATGTACTCGATCTTACGCAGAATGCGGATGAAAAGGCGATCCAGAAGGCCTATCGTAAAAAGAGTCTGCTTATCCATCCAGACAAAATGAAAGACGATCAGGAACGTGCCGAAGAGGCGTTTGACTTGCTAAAAAAGTCTATGGATGCGCTCCTAGATGAAGGGCGACGCAAATTTGTTGATGAGACGGTAGACAGTGCACGACTTCTTGCTTTGCGTGAGTTGGGTCTTCCTATTACCATGACAGCTGAAGAAATTGAACTGGAGCAGGTACCTGGTGGGCGGTTAGATCAGCTGCTACCATCGTGGGAGGATCGCATCAAGATCAATGTAAAACATATCATTCTAGACGAGGAACTAAAAAAGCGGAAGTGCGTTGTGGCGACTGACTCCAGAGCGGTCCAAATGAAGCAAGAAGCCGAAATTGATGCGGCCAAACGACGTGAAGCTGCTGAGATGGAACGCAAGCGCCGGGCGGATATGGACAACGCCTGGGAAGCGTCTCGGGAAGAACGCGTAAGCGGTACGCTCACTTATTTCTAACAGACAGGCTGGCGTTCTTTCCAAAAGGGCACCAAACGAAAGAAAAAGGCCCCGAATGTACTGGGTTGACTACCGGTACTGACTATAGACTTGCGCCAGGCGTGCAAGGGCTTCTTTGTATTGTGGCATATATGGCTCGAGTTTGGCCGGCTTGCTCTTTTCGCTTTGTACCCGCTCCCATTGTCCAGCTTCACGGAGCATGCGCTTAAAGTGGAACACCTCTTGTTCTTCGACCAGACTCCATGCATCACCTGCCCGCCCAGCGCGCGCAGTTCGACCGACACGATGGACGTATTTGGCCATGTCAATAGGGACATCATACGAAATGACATGTCGAACTTCGGGCAAGTCGATACCACGCGCGATTAGATCAGAGCAGATCAGCAAATCAATATCCCCTTGTTGGAAGCGCCGAAGCAAAGCCATGCGGTCGCCTGTCCCTAGATCAGACGAGTAAAATTGTACGTTGAGCGCAGGCACCTTGTGCTGCTGCGCCCACGCATCCTCGAAGAAGTGCAATAAGCGTTCCAGTCGGTTCGCCGCTTCCACACTCTTTGTGAAGCAGAGGGCCTGTCGCACCGGGTGGGTCTCATCATGTAGCAGGCGAAGGAGATTCAGCACCTTGTCACTACTGGGCGTAGTGATAACATGCTGCGTAAGAGTCGATGGCAGCGCAAACCGCTCCATGCCACCCTCGTCTTCAGGCAGCTCAGTATCGCGCACGCGTATATAATGGGGGTCTCGAAGCCGAAGAGCCGACATCTTTGCTGGATCTCGCGTCAGTGTGGCCGAAAAGAGTAACTTTTGCACACTGTGGTGCGGTACATCCATATCGTCATGCGTCCACGTAGGTGTTTTCTGAAAAAGCGTCTGCGGTGCGAGCGGGGGCGATGTAGAGGGCGGAGACTCCATGGCGTCCAGCAGCATAGATGCCCATTGCTGAAACGACTGCCCTAAGAGACGGTCAGCCTCGTCAATGACAAGAAAACGCAGGTGCTCCAGGGTGAATCCGCGAGTGCCGCGTAGATGGTCCACGAGACGACCTGGCGTTGCGATAAGGATATCGATCATGCTTCGGGTATAATCTTCGTCCACATGAACCAGCTGTGCCTGTTCATGACGAAAGCTGTGATTGCCTGTGATCATCGCTGTGGCGAGACCACTCCCTTTTCCCACAGCCTCAAACATATCTCGCACCTGTACCGCCAAATCTCGCGTCGGGACAAGGATCAATGCACGAAGTTGAGTGACTCTCCTGGTCTGGAGAAGTTCCACGATGGGCACTGTGTACGCCAGCGTCTTTCCACTTCCCGTCGGCGCAGAGACACAGAGATCACGCGGAGGCGTGTAGGGAAGATACAAACTGCTTTGCTTTCGGTCAGATAGTAGCCAGGGCACCACGGAGGCTTGCACTGCGAACCATTCGGAAATGCCAAGTTTGTGCAGCTGCTGGCGTACTGACGAACTCAAACTGGCTCCTAGACCGTCTGGTGCCGCAAGAGATTCAGTCTGTGTGGCAACCACGTCCACAGGCCGTGCCAGTGCGTCGGGTATACCTTGTGCAGCGAGCTGCTGAGCATGGGCTTCACCTGTTTGCTGGGGACGAGGAAAACGGTACAAATACTTTATCGAAGACTCTTTATCTGACGCTGCCGACGTAGGACCGTCTTCGTGAGGCTGTAATGAGTCGGCCGTAATATGCTCAGGCAAGTCTTGTTCGAGTGTTCCTGCCTGCTCATACGAGTCGGTATCGCTCTCCATATTTTCGGAATGAGCTTCATCAGTGCTGGACACATCCATCGACGTTTCCCCGGCCGTCTCAGTCTCCTGGGGCTGCGTCTCGGATGCGAGCGTCGCAGCCCTAGACTTCTTTTTCTTGCCTTGGCCGAACGGTTTGGGGCCCGACGCCTTGCGAATCTTCCTACGTTGTTTCTTGGCTTTCAGGTATCTTTGTTTTGCTTTGGTCTTGGGCTTGGCTGCGGCCTTCAGCGGGCCCTTACCTGCCACCGCACTCATTGCGGCGGTAGGACCGACGAAAAGGGCCGTCGATGTGGAGGGAAGCACAGCGCTGACTCAACGGCTCCGCCTGTCTCCCGCGCACGAACCTCGTGGTTATCCAGCCATCATGTCCAATACCTCGCGTGTTATGAGCAATCGGGAATATGAAAAGTTTATGAAGGAAAAGAAACACGAGGCATTTAAGAAATGCGATCCTATCGTGCAGGGTTCGTACCAAGGCGTACTGACTTCGAGAATTTGTCGAGTGCTCACGCAATCGTCTATTTTCCGTGGCATGGGCGTGTCGCAAGCAGAACAGGGCCATGTATGAATGCCTTCTGCAATAGTACGTGCATGCGGTGGGCTGACTAGCTGCAGTATGAACGACAATACCATGCTAGAAGCGGAGCAGGCCTATTTGGATCAGCATCGCAACAAGCCGTAAGCTCTACTTCAACGTGCTATCTTGCCTCTAGCTGGCCCATAGATGCCGCTATAACTGTTGATACCAGTCGCTCTTCGCTGCGTGTTCATTCGCCACGTGGCTACCGGGTCAAAGTGGCGTGGAAAAGTGGATTGGACACACCTCCATAGCCTCCGTCCACGCCACAGGCGTGTCGTTTTACGCAGCACAACAGGTATTGCGTTTCTTTGCCATGTCTACCACTACCAGTACATATACGCGCGCCGATGTGGCGAAACGCAACACATCCAAGCAGTGCTGGGTTACGTACAAGGGATTCGTGTATGATATCACTGAATTCCTCGAGGACCACCCCGGTGGCGACGATGTCGTCATGGAATACGCCGGCAAGGATGTGGAAGAAATCATGAACGATCCTCTTTCGCACAAGCACTCCAAGAATGCCTTTGGCATGCTGGAAGAATTCAAGATTGGTCGGCTCGTGGATGATGCCTCGAGTACCACTGGTGCGGCCACGTCGCCGTTCCTGCCTGCCGATGCCCACCTTCCTGACGATTTCAAGCCGCAGGATACGGATTTGGAGAAGGACTATGCCCAGAATAAGTTCCTGGACCTGAACAAGCCTCTCATTCCACAAATGCTGACGTCGAATTTCACCAAGGAGTTCTACCTCGAACAGGTGCACATCCCACGCCATAAGAAAGAGCCTGCGACGCTGATGCCGTACGCTTTCTTGGAAGTGTTCACGATGACTCCGTGGTATGTGATCCCGATGCTCTGGCTCCCCATTGCTGCTGGATTCTTCTACGTCTCTACGCAGCAATTCCAGTCCTGGTTTGCAGGCGACGCGTGGGCCGTCGCATCGAAGAGCTTCGCGAGTGCCTTTGGCTGCTATACTTTTGGTGTGGTATTCTGGACGTTCCTGGAATATCTCTTCCACCGCTTCATCTTCCACATTGACAGCTTCCTTCCGCATCACCAGGTCGCGTACCTGATGCACTTTTTGCTACACGGCATCCATCACTACCTTCCTATGGACCGCTACCGACTTGTCATGCCACCCGTGCTGTTTGCAGTGCTTTCGTTCCCCATGCTCTTGCTGGCGCACGCTGTGTTCCCCACTGCGGTGGCGAACGGCGTGATTGCTGGCTCATACAGCATGTACGTTGTATACGACACGATGCATTATGCACTGCACCACACCAAATTGCCCGCGTACGTCCGCGAGCAGAAGAGGTACCATCTGGAGCACCACTACAAAAACTACGAACTTGGCTTTGGTGTTACAAGTAAGTTCTGGGACGTAATTTTCCATACGACGCTGTAGTATAATCATTTCATCAGTTCCGTCATCCAGGACCGGCTGTTACTGCCCAGCATTGCAGGATTGTGAGTCACTTGTTGCACCGACACACGCATGTTCGGCTGTTGACCCGTCAGTGCTTCTAAGGCGGCACCATAGGCACTCGACACAGCGCTCACGACATTGTCCACATACTCGGAGGCCACGCGCACCACGGCCTCGCCTACCACTCGCGGCGCCGGCGTGCCTGTGGGCTGACCAGCGTAAAGGACGTCCACAACCACACCCGCACCAATCGTCCCATGCATATCCTGCAGGGCATGCTCAATACCAACGCGCACAGACAATGCCGATGGTGCATGCGCCTCTTTGTGCGAAGATGCAAAGGCAAGCACGACGTAGCGGTGCTCAAACACTGTCTGGACGTGGCGACTCGTGCAGGAGCGTTTGCGCGGCACCTCAGGCTCGTCCATTATGCATGTTGCCCCGGGGGCCTTATCGCTGGGCGGCTCGCTCTCCTCACCACCATCGCCCTCCGGCTCCGACTCGAGCAGGAGCGCCATGGCGTCATGACCAGCCATGAGACGGCGCATGGTAGCAGGCGTCATCCGCGCCATATCAAACGCGATTCCAATGGGTGGCACGTCCACTTTCGTCGTGCCAAGACGCGCTAGCTTCGGATATCGCTGCGAAAAGTGCGTGAGCAGCACGTGGGAGGCCTGCATGTCGCAAGCGATCTGAAGTGCCTGCCCAATAGTGCTGTGGCCTTTGGCCGCGGCCAACTCTGCCTCGTCGTCTTGCATTGTTGCCTCATGAATCAGGACCGTGGCACCCCGTCCGGCATGAACGAGGGCCTGGCAGGGCATTGTGTCACCGCTGAAGACTAGTTTCCAGCCGCTTTGGTGCGTGAGGACAAGACCATAGCAGTGACTTGTACGGTGCTGTACACTGACCGTCCGAATGCTCTTCAAGTTCGCCAGCTTCAACAGTGCCTTCCAGTGCTGGCGCATGCGTTGAGATACCTGAACCGGGGCGGACGTGCTCTGGGGGTCAGGGTCGATGCCAGTTTGCCAGTTGAAGAGTTCGTTATCCAAAGCAATGACACTTCCATCCCGCAGACCTAGCGCTTCAATTCGGTCGTACTCACGCAAATAAAAGCGGGTATAGTTGTTGGTCACCAGGAACAGAGGCGAGGAGGGTGCGAGCTTTCGGCGCTCCAGCAGAAGACGTGTCACGCCCATATGATGGTCGCCATGAATGTGGCTCACAAAGAGCATCTTGAGCTGCCTCAACACAGACTCGATACCCTGTCCAGATCCAGGTCCTGCCCAGCCATCACGTCCAGGGCCAAAACGCCGCGCCATTTGGTAGTAGGTGCTTTCACCCGCGTCCAGCACCATATACCCGTCACCCGGCACATGGACCAGCGTACTTAGCACGTTTCTGTACTTGGATGGCGCGGAACTGCCTGTACCCAGAGTGACAAATTCCACTCGATCAGCCAATCCCGCTGCTGCCGAGGCCGGCGGCACACCTGGGGCTCGGCGCGCTTCGTCCGCCATGCAGCAATACCTATTCCACGTTTCGGGAGCTTCTGGGAGACCTGACTTGCGTTCCATTCCCTCGAGGGGCTCATCGAATATGGGCGCCACCGGCTCTAGCATCGTGGGAGCTCCTCGTGGCTGTAGGTTGACAAACAAATTGGCACGAGCGGGCACTGCGGCAGGATCGTGTACTGCAGGTTCAAGTCTGTAGCCGGGGACAGCAAAAGCATGGGTATCCATTTTGGAGAGGCGAAGCAGCGACAGGGCACTTGACGTGTAGGTAAGCGCATCGGCGCATAGTTCCGGGGTCGCCACGATATGATGGCACTGTGGACCAAAGGTGCCGCGCCAAGCTTCGTACCTGGGGTCTTGCCACACACGGAGCGGCACAGCGTGGAAAATCACATGCGGCATTTGCTGCTGTGTCTCATCCAGGTGGGTATTCGCTGTCTGGGTGTATGGTCGGAAGGCATTCTGTGCCGACTCCTGGAGCAGCGCTTCTAAGTGCTCCATCGTGGGGACGTGCATGTAGAAAAAAACGGGACCTGCGCGCGATGCCCCCACGACTCTTTCGCTGCGAATGTGCACCGTCTCTAGTTCGCGCTCTAGTACGGAGTCCGCCGCAGGTCGCTTGTTCTTCCCACTCTTTTGAGCGCGGAGCCATTGTGCTCGAGCAGTTTGGTCCATCTCCGCCCATTGTATGGGGCGCTGGATGTCCACGTCTTCCCCTTTTGAAAGTCGCGCAAAGGCCGGCCCTGGAGGAATACCCAAAGCGGCTGCCTGCGCTGCATCAAACTTGCCGCGTCTTGCGTGCCCTGCGACCACGTAGCACAAAACAGCTGCCTGCCGACCTGCGCTCTCGCCCACTCGAGCCGCATGTGCGAGGGGCTTAGGAAGGGGCCGGGGATTTCGCGAGGGACTCTGTCCCGACACAGCGCTTGCCTGGGTCTTCCAAGCATCACGGATGACAGCGTCGAACCACTGCTCTGCCTCGGCACCGCTCGACGGAGGATCCTGAGAATCAGAGTCACTCTGATCGTCGACTTCCATAGCCGAGTCATTGTAAGAAAAAGGCACCAAAGGCACAGATTGCACGCGTATGTGGTCGTCTTGGAAACACGCCTGAGGTGACTGCCAGCCAATCTCATGGGCGTGCACGCACATTGAGTCGCGGCGTGCATAGAAACGCGTCGTGGCCAGTGCGTACTTCAAGTTGGTGGGCGCATGAATATTGATCGATGTGCGTCCACCATCGGCCAAGGTCATAAGAAGACCAGGGATGCCACCCAACGTCTCAGTGGCAACGCGTGTGAGGAAGATGTGCTCTACCCGTGTGTTGGAGGCTCGGTGCTGCGCGGACACACGCGTAGTACCCTCTCCTGCGTTGAACATGTATTTCTTCGAATCAGATTGGAGTATGAGCGTAGGCACATGGCTCGTGTCGGAGGAGGGGGCCGCTAGCACGCGGAGGCTCATAGGGGCCATGGTCGTCGCACAGCGCCAGATCGAGGGATGGCCACGCCCCTGCAGCGCAAAGGAATGACAGAAAGGCCGACACACGACTGTGGGTGGTCAGAAGCAGGTGCGCGCGTGTCCTGCACCAATGTGCCGGCAATGACGCACGGCCTAGAGTCGAGGTACAGCTTCAGGGGCCTGTCCAGCTAGCGCCGCGAAGATCACGTGATTCAACGCGCACGCGTGGTTGCGAGCGCGCAGGCTGCCGTGTGTGCTACATAGCATGCAGTTTAGCGTTAGTCGTGCCAGTATCTGGCGAAGCAGACACGGCGTCTTTTCCTCCGAAGAAGTTGGGCGGCAAAGGCCGCTGTTCCTCTCCTAGATATAGGCGTTTGTAGAGCATATCTCAGTCTTAGTGCTCTTATACGTACACGAAGAAACAACCATAATGGGAATCGTGAACGTAATTACCTATGCATCGTAAGCTACTCAGGCTGGTACCTACACGCAATCGCTGCTGAAACGCCGAGTGGCTCATGCTGCTGGCCGTGGAGGGTGCTAGAGCTATGTCACCTGACCTGTCGAGCTTGGTGGGGGCCCTGGGCTCGATTGCCTTTTCCGCGCGACCGGCTGCGGCGCGATACTGATCAGAGTGTGTTACATAATCTTCCGTGGGCAAGTTGGTGCCAATGAACGAAGGGCGTGGAGCTCTTCCCGCATTGAGCATGGACCATATAGATATCCGTGGTCCAATGAAATTCCGTATCCTGCGTGCTGCATGTAGAATTGCACCAATCCGTGTGATGCATCCGTTCAGGTAAACATATCCAACAAACCGCCCTCCCGGCACGTCTAAACAACAGATTCTCCGTCTGTTACTACCACACACACTGTCATGACCGACGCCCAATCCACCCTTACTCGGGCTACGACTGCGAGTCGCAAGTCGACGATTGCTAGCCGCAATGCTTCGTTGATCAAGAAGAACACGGGCCCCCTGGAGCTCCGTCCTTCGGACATCCTTATTGAGCGCTTCAGCGGTACGTACTGCGACGATGATGGCAGAACTAACACGCGACAGGCTGGAAGAACATCACTAAGATGCTGATTGCCTACTTCGAGGGTATTGCTGACATTGAGTACAACACCGCGAAGGAGATGACCAAGCTGGGTGGCGTCATTCAGGTGCCTTTCCGCGAGGGTAACCAGTTCCTCGGTGAGGACGGTCTGCAGGACATCTTCTACAGCATCCGCGAGAAGAGCCGTACCATTGCTGACCACCACGCGAACCTGGCCAAGACGGTCGAGGGCTCGATTGTGCAGCACCTGCACAAGCTGAAGGCCGAGATCAAGGCGCACATTCGCAACGTGCAGCAGGACACCGGCCGCCTGGCGAACTCGGTGGCCCGCGAACGCGAGGTGTCGACGAAGATGATCTCGGACCTTGCTCGCTCGATCACCCTGCTCAAGAACACCCCTATGAGCGTGAGCCCCCGTGAGGACCCGTACTCGGCCAACCAGGCTGTGGCTCTGCAGCTGCAGCGCCAGGTGAACGAGGAGAACGCGCTGCAGAAGAGCATTATCATTATGCAGCAGAACTCGGCTCACTTTGAGGAGGGTATTGTGCGCAGCATTCAGAGTGCCTGGCAGACCTTCGACGAGTGGAGCGGCCGTATGTCCGCCCAGGTCCAGGACACCTGGCTCGGTCTCGGTGTGCACATGCGCAGCCTCGAGCCGAATGCCGAGTGGATTGCGTTCGCCTCGCGTTCGGACCACCTTCTGGACCCCGACACGCCGCTGCGCAACATCGAGACGATCGACTACCCCGGCAAGGAGGACCCCTCGGTCATCCCTGTGCACCAGGGTATGCTGGAGCGCAAGAAGCGCTTCACCAATGCCTACAAGGAGTCGTACTACGTGCTTACGCCCGCCGGTTACTTGCACGAGCATGCTTCGTCCGACCCAACGCGCCACAATGTGCCCGAGCTGTCGCTCTTCCTGCCTGAGTGCACGCTTGGCGCCCCCTCGACGGCGTCTGCCTCGACCCACAAGTTCCACATTGAGGGCCGTACTGGCCAGCAGAGTGGTGTGTTCGGCACTAACGTGGCGTACACGTTCCGTGCTCGCAGCCACGACGAGCTGATGGAGTGGTGGAACGACATCAAGCAGCTGTCGAAGGTCTACCTGACCACGAGTGAGCAGATGGACCGTTCGGGCCCTGTGCCTGCGGCTGTGCGTGCGGCCGGCTACCGCGAGGACGAGTTCCTCGATGACGAGGACGAGGAAGAGGAGGAGGACGACGAGGACGAGTACGAGGAGGGTGAATACGTGCCTGCCTCGCACAGCTACGGCTTGGCGCCTGCGATTCCCTCGAACGTCACTGCCGCGGCGCCTGTCACAGTGCTCGATGACAAGCGCCGTGAGCAGATCCCCGCTTACTCGGCCCCTGCTCGTGGCTCGGGTGTGGAGATCGGCTCGAACGGCTACGCCCTTGAGAAGAAGCCTGGTGCTGCGAGCGCTGACACTGCGGCTGACGAGACGAAGAAGGGCGCCGAAGTGGTTGACCAAATCACATCGAAGTAATCCGCACCCCCCCTCCGTTGGAACTGCCCTCCCTGTTTGTCTAATCCGAGATATATCCCTTAGATAGGGCTGAATTGATTCGTGAATATAGTGGAGGTCGCCGGCCGAGCGTGAGCGCCTTGTCTTCTCCAGCGCAGCGCCATGCGGGCCGACGGTGCGGGCGTGCCTGGCGCCGCGGAGCCCTATGCGCCGCGCTCTGTCGCATACTGGGCGCCTCGTAAGTACTTGGATCCGCCTGCCGTGCCGCCGCTTGACGTACGTGCGCGCGAAGAAGAGGCCGCTATGGCGACGGCCCTGGCGGCCGGCATTGACGGGCGACGGGTGCGGCGGACCTTGTATCGGCGCACTGTGGACTACTGGGGCAGCGTGCCTACCTGGCTGCGCCACCAGTCGCTGCATGGTCCCGTACAGCACGACTGGTTCCTGCGGCCCACGCCCCACCAGGTGATCGATCTGCTGTCGCCGGTGGCGTACACCGAGTCGGCCTCGTCCGTCGGCCGCGTGCTTGTACATACGTCGACAAACAAGGTGCGGTGCCCTGTGAACGTTGTGCGGTGGCTCCCTGAGGGCCGGCGCATCGTGACCGGCTCGACGAGTGGCGAGTTCACGCTGTGGAATGGACTCACGTTCCACTTTGAGTCGATTCTGCAGGCGCACGACTCGGCGGTGCGGGCCATGACCTGGACGCACTCGGGCTCATGGCTCGTGTCTGCAGACCAAAACGGGCACATCAAGTACTTCCAGCACAATATGAACAATGTCCAGGCATTCGCCGGCCACCGCGACGCGATTCGCGGCATCAGCTTTGCTCCCGACGACCAGCGGTTCGTCACCGTGGCCGACGACAGCACGCTCAAGATATGGGGCTTTGACGAAGCGCAGGAAGAGTCCACGCTCAAGGGCCACGGCTGGGAGGTCAAGTGCGTCGACTGGCACCCGCAGCAGGCCCTGCTGGTGTCGGGCAGCAAGGACAATCTCGTCAAGTTCTGGGACCCCCGCTCCGGCACCGAGCTCGGCACATTCCACGGACACAAGAATACAGTGCAGGCCGTCCAGTGGAACCCCGCCGGCCACCTCGTCGCCACTGCGTCGCGCGATCAGTCTATCAAGCTGTACGATATCCGCGCGATGCAGGAGCTCTGCACGCTCAAGGGCCACACCAAGGAAGTGTGCAGCCTCGAGTGGCACCCCGTACACAGCGACCTGCTCGTCTCAGGCGGCTCGGAAGGCTCCATCCTGTACTGGTCGCTGCGCGCGCCCCAGGTCGAAGTGCCGATCCACACCATCGAGGACGCACACGAGTCGAACGTGTGGAGCCTGCAGTGGCACCCCCTCGGCCACCTGCTCGCGAGCGGCAGCAACGACCATACCACCCGCTTCTGGAGCCGTGGGCGTCCCGGCGAGCAGGTCGAGGCGAGCCAGGACGCCGTAAGTGGCGCGCCCGACCCGTGGGGCGACCCCGCCGACGACCAAGGTACGCGCGCCCTACTGACGCAGACGACATCATTCCCGGCCTCGCTCCGACCCGGCCGACAGGCGCGATGGACGACGCGATCCCCGGCCTCGAGGGCGCATGGTCGCCCCGCGCGCCTCCGCCCGCGCTGCCCCGCGCGAGCCGCCGCACCGAGCGCTGGCGCACGCGGCCGCCCGCGTGGGCCTAGGCGACACACCTCCACCGACATACCTTCGGCCGCGCCGCAGCCCGACGGTTTCCGGCGCTCCATCGCCTCGCGGTACGTATTGCCCCACCCCTCCCATGATGAACGGTCGCTTTGCTGGCACCAGTCGTACATGCATGCCGATACCTACCCCGAGCGGGCATTTACGCTATTGGCCTTGCTCCTGATCCCCTCCCTCCTGTCGTGAGCAGTACTAACGTCATAGATGCCGCGAACGAGCCCCGGCGCGCGCACGCGACAGCGGCGCACGGCGGCGCTGCCAGTGGTCGATAGTGCCAACTCCATGGAAAACCCCTCTGCGCGGGATGCCCCCCCGCCTCCGCGTGCGCCGGCGGCGGGCGACGGCAAGACGCCGGACGAGCACGAGGAGACCTGGCTCGTGAACCGCATCGTGCGCTCCGAGCAAGTGGCTGGCCACTTGGCGCGCAACGCCCCCCGCCTCGCTGTGCTGCTCGTGATCGTCGCCGTGGTGTGGCTTGTCTTCCTGCCTGTGCCGCAGGAGCCCTTCTCGCGCGCCGTGTATGTGGACGAGAATGCTCTGCAGCCCGCGCAGCAGCGCATGCACTGGGACAGGGCGCAGGTCGAGGCGTCGGACCGCCTCTCGGACCGCCTCTTGGCGCTGGCTCAGCAGGGCGACTCTGCGGCACGCATCCGCTTTCTCGCAGACGAGCTGGCCTCGTACGGCCTCGACGTGAACACACAGGCCTACTCGTTTGCGCTCCCTGGCGGCGCGAATGTGAGCGGCTGCAACGTGTATGCGCGCGCGCGCATGCCTCGCATCGATGGCCGCGAGGCGATGGTCCTCGCCGCCAGCTGGCGCAGCCGCTGGCGGGAGCGCCCAACGACCGGCGCCTCGCTCCCGTACGTCCCCGACGACGGTACGCTGCGCGCCGTCAACGTCCGCGGCGTGTCGCTCGTGCTCGCAATGGCCCAGTACATGGTCGCACACCCCCACTGGAGCAAGGATCTGCTCGTGGTCATCAGCGACGGGTACCTCGACGGCATGCACGCATGGGCGAGCGAGTGGTTCGGGCGCGAACAGCCGAATCTCAGGGCCGATCCCGTGTACGGCGCGGGCTCGCAGGTCTGGAACGCGCTCGCACTCGACTACCCGTCCGACTCGTTCTCGTCCATGTCCCTGCTCCACGAGGGCCGCGATGGGCAGCTGCCGAACCTCGACACGCTGAACACGATCAGCACAGTCGTGAAGCAGACACTCCTCACGCCGCCGCTGGGTCTGCACGGCGCCACATTTGAGCAGATGCGCTACGAGACACCAGGCGCCCATGCCTTTGCGTCGTGGCTGCCGACCGCCTGGCTCGAGCGCCACTGGCTCGGGCGCGGCGGTGTGCAAGCGTACCTGGCCGGCTGGCGCGCGCTCCTGTCGCAGTGGCGCCTACAGCTCGCCGGGCACCCCAGCGGCATACATGGCGTGCTGCTCCCCTTCCACGTCGACGCCGCAACCATCTTCGCCGAGCCGGCGCCGGGCCCGTACGGGTTCCTGCAGCTCGGCAAGGTCGTCGAGGGCACAATGACCTCGTTCTCGAATCTGCTCGAGCGCTTGCACCACTCGCAGTTCTTCTACCTGCTGCTCTCGCCCTGGCGCTTTGTGCAGATCTCCGTGGGCATCCTTGTGCCGCTCCTTCTCGGCGCCGCACTGACCGTATCGGGCCTCGTACTCTGGGCACAGCTCGCGCGTGCGCGCGATGCCACGCGCGACGCCCTGCGCCGCACACACACGCCCGGCCCCTGGCTCGCGGCGCCGACACTGCGCGAGCTCGTGGACCAGGGCGGCACAGAGGCCGTGCCGGCGTTCCGCGCGGCCGGGCGCCCCGTCGTCCCTGCGCTCGTCGGCATGGCCCTCGCGCACGGCGCCGCGCTCGTGTATCTGGCACTGCTCCTGCGGTGGCCGACACAGTGCACCGCACGCGGCCTCTGGCACTGCCCCTCGTTCACCGCGAGCGCCACATGGATGGCCGTGGCGCCGATGGGCATCGCCGCCGTCCTCGCGCGCGCCAGCGCCGCGCGCGCGCGCGCCCAGTGCCTGCACGCCTTCTCGCTCCTGCATGCCGGCATGCTTGTCAGCGTCCTGGCCACGACCAACCTGGCACAGGCCACGGCCATGGCCCTCCTCGTCTGCGGGACACTGTACCCCCTCTCGCCAGCCCGCCGCTGGCGCCTCGCGTACGTGGGCCACGCCGCGTGGCTCCTGGCCGCCACGCCGCCGATCCTCGCGCTCGCCCTCACACGCTGGCCACGCGCCTGGCCGCTCGCGCCCAGCGTCTCCCATGTGCATGGCTTTGCGCTCTGGGACTGGCACGTGCTGCGCACGCACACGCTCGCTGTGCTGTGTCTCGGCTACGTCCCGGTGCTCCTGCAGGGCGCCGCGGCCAGCTGGTTGTACTGGCTGGGGCATTAGTCATCATAGCCCACCCTCCCTGACGCTACGATGGCCGTCGCGCTCGGCCGCTCGAGCGCGTTCCTACGCCGTGCGCCGCGGTACGCTGCTGCCGCGGTGCGCTATCAACACACGGCCGCGTCCGTGGACCCTGCGGACATCGCGCACTTTTCGCGCCTGGCCAACGAGTGGTGGAACGAGAATGGCGAGTTCGCCCCGCTGCACCGCATGAACCGCGTGCGCATCGAGTTTATGCGGCAGAAGCTGGAGGAGGTGCGTGGGTGGGACGCGGCCCTCGCAGACGTGCAGGGTGCTGGCAGCGTGCCGCCGCCGCCTGCGTCGCCGGCGTTCCTCGCAGGCCAGCACATGCTCGACGTGGGGTGCGGCGGCGGCATCCTCGCCGAGTCGGCCGCGCGCCTCGGCGCGCGCGTCACGGGCGTCGATGCGTCGGCGGAGAACATCCGTGTCGCCTCGATGCATGCGGCTCAGGATCCCGCGATCCATCTGCGCGCCGAGGGCGACGGCCCAGGCGCTGCCGACGGATCGATCCAGTACGTGCACTCGTCCGCCGAGGCCCTGCGTGATGCCGGGCACCAGTTCGACATCGTGACCGCGATGGAAGTCGTCGAGCATGTGAACCGCCCCGACGAGTTTCTCCGCTGTCTCGCCGCGCTCATCAAGCCGGGCGGCCACCTCTTCCTGTCGACCATGTCTCGCACGGCCCTGTCGTACCTGCTCACCATCTTCCTCGCTGAGAATGTGCTGCGCGTCGTCACCCCCGGCACACACCGGCACAGCCAGTACATCAACCCCGCCGAGATGGTCGCGTTCTTCCGCGAACTGGGCTGGATCCCCACCGAGAGCGACGTGCTTACGCACCGCGCCACACTCCCTGACGGCTCCCTAGCTGCGCCGTGCCCGCCGCGCCTGCAGTACGAGACGCGCGGCACCATGTACGTGCCTGTGCTCGGCCGCTGGGTGCTCGCGCCACAGAGCACCGCCGACGAGGCTGCGACGGGCCCGTCCGCGTCGACATGGCTTCCGACCCTCCTGGGGGGCGGCATGCGGCCGACCGAGCTGTGCAACTACTTTTTCTGGATTCGGCGCCCCGCCTAACTAGGGCTCGCCGCTCGGGGCCGGATCGCATTGCGGAACCAGCGCGTCTCGCGCGTCCCACACTCGTCCCGCACGATCGCCCCGCGCGTGAGCTCGACGCTCTCCAATAGACTCTTGACGAGCGCAGGCGCCAGGCGCTCGTGCGCAGCCAGCTCCGACGTCGTGAGTCCCGCGCCGCGGGCCGCCTCGTCGTCCAGGTAGTGCAAAACACGGCGCTCCAGCGCTGCGTCCTCAAAACGCGGCGTGTGCAGCACGGTCCACCCCGAGCGCAGCACACGCACTGAGACGCGCGGGCTCGTCACGTCAGGCAGGAACGCCACGGCCGCACGCATCTCGCGCGGCGGAACGAGCGCGACGCCGCGCGCACGGTTCCACAGGCCCCACACCTCGTCGAGGGCCAGAAGGCCGCGGCCCGTGTCCGCCGCAGGGGCCACCTCGATCGGCGCTGCATCGTTGCGCACGACGTGCCCGGGGCCTAGGACACCATGCTCGCCCAGGAGCACACCTGCCAGCTCGCACGCCAGCGCGCGATGGTAGGCCTTTTCATTGCGAACCATATCGGGCGTCACGGCCGGCGCCGCGAGACCCAACTGCACCATGGCCGACTGGAGCATCGTATCGACCTGCTCAGAGTCGTCGCGCGCCTGTGTGCGCTCGAACTGCGTGCGCAGCGACTCGGCCATGTCGACCATCTCGCGCGCGCGGCGCATCAGCACTTGCAGGTCCGCCAGGGCCTCAGGCGATGCGCCAGTAGGGGGGGCCGCATCAACGTGCGCGACCGAGACGCCCAGCGTTGGAGCCGCCGCACGCACCGTCCATGCGCGCGCCTGTATAGTCTCGCGGAGCGAAAGATAAAAGGGCGAGTCGCCGCCCTGGCGAAAACTCAGCTTGAGCGACACAGTCGGCTGGGCCGCGTGCAGCGGTGCCTCGCACATTTCGCAGCGCGTGAGCGCCGCGTGGTTGGCAAACGTGCACACGGAGCATGTGCGGGCGCTGTCCTCCTCGTCGGCGCGCGGCGCGGCAGCGCCGCACGTCCGGCACCGGTCATCGAGCGTCGCCGCATCGTGGAACGTGTGGCACAGCGCGCACGTCCACGCGACGCGCCGCTCACACACATACGCGAGCACCACCTTGGGACTACTGCGCAGAAAGCCCGCGTAGTGCTCCGTCTGCCGGACCTGCGCGAGGCGCACAAACGCCGACTGCATGCGCGGCGCACGGGCGTCGATGTACGCGAGCCGGTGCGTCGTCAGCACGACCGTGCCAGAGCTGCGCGCCGCAGACTTGGCGCCTCCATCGTACAGGCCGACGCCGGCCTGCGTCGTGATCACACGCTCGCCCTGCACGAGCTCGCGTGCGCTCGGCACGCCGTCGACGCCCCACGGCTCCCAGGCGTCCATAGGGTGGAGGAGGCGTTATGTCATCTGACCAAGCGTGCCGCAGCCGGAAGAATCGGACGGCGCCGTGAGCCGCATCTATCTTCGCGATGGCCGCGACCGACGCTGAGTCCGAGGCCACCTTCGAGCTAGCGCTGCTGCTGCCTGCGCGGCCGCTGCTGCCGAAAAATGCCGTAGCCCTCGGTCTACCGGCGACGCCTGAGCCCCTCCAGGTGGCGGTGACGCCCCACGAAACGCTCAATGATTTGCGGGCGACGCTGCTCGACAGCCCCGAAGGCTACTGGCTCGGCGCTTTTGCGTTCCGCCGACCGTCGAAGCATGCGCAGGCCGGCGCGCTTGTGTCGGAGTGGCAGACGTTCAGCGAGGTGTTCCCTGACGGCGCCACTTCGCCGCGTGTCCTGCAGATCACCTACGAGCCGTTCAACGAGCTCGAGGTCCGCCTGCACATCCAGCGCCTGCGCGACCTGCTCGCCGGCTCGCCAACCGAGCCGTCAGCGATCGCCGTCGATGCCGGCGCGACCGTGCACGACGCCGTCTGCCACGCGGCCGAGTGGGCTGCCGAGGCGCACCAGCCCGCGCCCCCGGCCCCGACGTGGCGCGGGTGGCCGGCCGATGCCACGACGCAGCTGCTGCCGGCACTCGCGCGTGCGCCGCGTGTCCTGCCCCGCTGCGTGCGCGGCCTCGCGGTGAGCGCGTGGAACCCGCCACCGCGCTCGCTCGCGCTGCAGGGGCACCTGCTGTACCTGCAAGTTGACACGCTCGAGGGCGAGATCCTGCACATCACCGCGAGCACGCGCGGCTTCTTCGTGAATGGCTCGTCGTCGCAGCGCTTCCTGCCGCACGCGCACCCGACCAAGGCACTCGCAGCGCCCTCGCTGTTCGACCTGCTGTGCGCTGCGTCGCCCCTGTTCCTCCAGCATCTCGCGCGCCTGTTTCACGACCCCGTGTCTACGCGCGACTACTTTTCCGCGCTGCCCGTGCTCAACTCGCTACCCGCTGCGCCGTGGCTCGCGCGCGAGCCGAAGCACGACGCGGACTGGCTGCGCACCCAGACGGCGTTCCTGCTCACCGGCGCGCTCACCGCCGACACGCTCGACGCGGGCCGCGACTGGAACGAGGAGCTGCAGTCGTCGCGCGAGTTGCCGCGCACCACGCTCGTGGAGCGCCTCATGCGCGACCGTGTGCTGAACCGCCTGCACGCCGAGTTCACGCTCGCTGCGGCGCGGATCGTGCCGCGCGTCGCGGCGGGCGACGTCGCCCCGATGAACCCCGCGGACGCGCCTGCGACGCACATGTTCCTGTTCAACAACCTGTTTGTCACGCGCGGCATCGACAGCGTCGGCCTGTACGAGGGCCTCGGCGGCCATGCCGCAGCGCATGTGGCTGTGAGCAAGGACGTGCAGGGCGTACGCTCGCTCGCGCTCCTGGATGTGCCAGGTCTGCACCTGCTCGGCACAGCCGTCGTCGACTGGCTCGGCGAGCGCTGGGTCGTGCAGACGGTGCTGCCTGGCCTGTTCCGCCAGGTCGCAGCCGATGCGGCCGCCAGCGATGCGGAGCCGGCGCACGTCGCCCACGGCGGTCTCGAGGGCCCCGACACGATCCACACGGACGATGCGTTCGACGCGCTTATGCGCCAGGCCGCGCAGCGCTTGCACCTGACGCCGCACACCATGCGCGATGCAGATGGCACGCCGCACGAGATGGCCCTCAGTGTCGACTGCAAGGGCCTGCGAGGCACGGATGGACGCCGCTACGTGCTGGACGTGGCGCGCCTCACTCCCATGGACATGGCATGGATCGACGGCGAGATGGGCGCCATGTACGGTGCGGACGGCGCACACGCCGCATATCCCCACCGTCTCACGCTCCTGCGCCCCGAGCTCCTAGATGCATTCTGGGAGATGCGCCTGCGCGAGTTTGCGCGCGCGCGTCTCGAGGCGCAGCGCACAGCCGGTGAAACGCCTACGCGCATCGACGAGGCCGACTTTGACCTGTCATTCAACCCTGATGCGTTTGCCGAGTTCCGCACTACGCGGGACGGCACGCCGCAGCTCGTCACACCCGTTACAGACGAGAAGGAGCCGGGCGTGCAGGCCGTGCGCGCCGCGTCTGACTATCTGCGTCGCGAGGTTCTCGTGCGCTTCGTGAGCGATATAGCCGCGGGCCTCACGTCGGCCGTCGATGGCATCGCGCTGACGCAGCAGATGCACGCGCGTGGCATCAACATGCGGTACCTCGGCCGCCTCGCACACCTGAGTGAGCCGTCGCAGGCGAGCGAGCTGGACGAGGTTGTGACCTCCAAGCTGGGCCCCGGCTACGAAGCTCTCCTCGATGCGTTCCGCCGAGTCGTCCTGCACGAAATGGTCGTGCGTGCGGCCAAGCATCGGCTGCGTGCGCACCTGCGAACCGCGGGCCCTGCCACGGCCCCCGCGTGCATTGCGCACGTCTTCAACTGCCTGCTCGGCACGAGCGTCAATGCAGCGCCCGCCGCTACTGTGCCGCCCGGCGCAGAGAGCGGCGCATGGGCCCAGCTGACCCCTGCACAGCTCGCGGACGAGGTGCGCGACGAGGTGCGTGCGCGTTTCCGGTACGAGCTGCCCGCCTCGTTCCTTGCACAGGAGCTGCGCAAGAGGCCGACGCTGCGTGCCCTGTGCCTCAAGACGGGCGTGCAGCTCGCCGTGCGCGACTATGCCATGGAGGCGCCAGTCGAACTGCCGCCTGCGCCGCGCGGGAAGGGCGCCAAGAACGCGCCACCGCCTCGCGATACCGTGTTTGTGCCCGAGGACGTCGTGTGCGTCGTGCCGCTGGTCAAGCACGCGACGCCGCGGAGTACTCTCGCCGAGGAGGCATTCGAGGCGGGGCGCCTCTCGCTTGCGCGTGGCGACCGCGAGCTGGGCTGTGAGCTGCTCCTCGAGGGTATTGGCTTCCACGAGCAGGTGTACGGCCTCGTGCACCCCGAGACGGCCAAGTGCTACTCGCTCTTTGCCTCGCTTGCGCACCACTATGCCTTGGAGATGGCGCGCGCCGAGGCGAAGAAGGCCCAAGAGGCCCAGAAGGCGGAGCAAGAGGGCCAGGGCGAAGCGAAGGAGGCCCAGAAGGCGGGGCAGGAGGGCCAGGACGAAACAAAGGAGGGCCAGGACGCAGAAGCAGAGGCTCCCGCCCCGAATGAGGCTGCACCATCCGCCGACGCGCCCGTGCCCCCCATCGTGGCCGAGACCATGACGCTGGAGAATGCCCTGCGCTTCCAGCGGCAGGCCGTGACTGTGTCGGAGCGCACGCTGGGCCTGGACCACCCCGACACCATGGTGCAGTACATCAACCTGGCCGTGCTCGAACGCTCCGCCGGGCACACGGACGAGGCGCTGCGGTACCAGGAGCGTGTCATGGAGCTGTGGCAGCTCTTGTACGGCCGCGACCATCCGGATGCCGTGCATACGCTCTCGTCCGTGGCGCTGCTCCTGCAGGGCCGCCGCGAGTTTGACACGTCACTGAAAGCGTACGAGACCGCGCACGAGCTTGCCGAGCGCCTCTTTGGCCCAGACAGCATCTACACCGGGAACATGGCGCATGAGCTGAGCCAGGCCCACACGCTGCACGGCGATCTCAAGGCGGCTATTGACGTGGAAAAGAACGCCCACCGCATATTCCAGGCACGCCTCGGCGACGAGGACGCGCTCACCAAAGAGAGCCATGCCTTCCTCCGGGGCCTTACCGCCAGTGCCGTGCGCGTCGCACAGCTCGAGCATGCCGCCAAGGCGCAGCAGACCGCCGACCTCGTCGCGGCCCAGCTGCGCGCCCGCACGGAGCGCGCCGCGCAAGCGCGGCGCACGACGCATGCAAACCCACAGCTCGCCGACCGCTCGATCGACGAGCTCGTGCAGTTCATCCAGGGCGCCCCCGGCACGGGCACCTCGCGCGCCGCTCGCAAGCGCGCCGCTCGCGCGCGAAAGTCCTCGCTGGCCAGTACATAGTCACGTGCTTACGAAGCCTCGACGAACGCGGCGCCTCCTTCTCCCGTCATGGACTCACCGGCCGCCCGACGCGCGTGCCAGCTGCCGCTACGCGCGCTGGCGCGCGTGGCGCGGCACCCTATTGAGATGATCGTGCTTGTGTTTGTCATCGCAACCTTTGCGTACTTCTTTCTCGTGCATGCGATCACACACTCGACCCTCTTCTCGAACCTGAGCGACGTGGCGTCCCTTTCGCTCACGTCCGCCCATGCACGCGCGTCGAGCCTGCCCATGTTCGCGCGCGGCCCGGAAGGGCGGTGGCATGCCCTGCAGGACCTGCCGCCCACGTACGCGCTCTCGCCCGACGCCAGCGTCGACATTGTCGACTGGTTCGTCGTGGCCGACGTTGCGAATGGCACCCGCGCCGAGCGCGAGCTGCGCCGTGAGCATCTCCTCCCCGAGCTCACGCGCTCCGTCTCGGAGCGTGCCGCCGACTGGTGTGCGTGGCCCGTCGCGCCCGTCACGGACGCACGCGACATCCACGGCCAGGGCCGCGTCTGCTACGACCGCGCCTCGTACGATCCGCTAGCGATGCAGCGCCTCCTCACCCACTCGCGAAGTGCAGGGATGCGCCACACCCTGCGCAGCCCCTCTTCCAGCCTTGATCCGGCCCTCCAGGCTCGATGGCGCGACGAGCTCGCCCTTCAAGTCCTTGCGCCGCCGCACCCGTGGGCGATTGCGCCGCAGTCCGAGCCACTGTCGCTGCGGTGGCTCTTCTCGTTCCTCGCAAGTGCTGTGCGCCGCGTTGCCATTGTCGTTCGCAGCGCAGACGCCATCGACTTTACTGTGCTCCTCGGCGCGTACCTCCTCATGCACGGCTCATTCGTGCATCTGTACCTGTCGATGCGCGCCTTCCCGCATGGCCTTTGGCTCGGCACAAGCGTGCTGCTCTCGTCGTCGTTTGCATTCCTCTTCGCGCTCGTCACCGCGAACGCCGTGGGCCTCGCTGTGGACCCCGTCGTGCTCTCCGAGGCTCTGCCCTTCCTCGTCATCACCGTCGGCTTCGAGAAGCCCTACCTGCTCACCCGTGCCTTTTTCCGGCGCGCCGAGCTCGCAGCACGCTCAGACGTCGTCGAGGGGCCACGCGGCTCGCCCGAGGCCGACTTTGTGCGCGCCCTCACGCAGCGCGTGCAGGCGGAGCAGGCGCTCGGTCTGCTTGGCGTGCCGACTACACCGACCTTCGAGGTCGCCGTCGACGCCGCGCGCGAGACGGGCCCCGGCCTCGTGCGTGCGTACCTGATCGAGCTCGCTATTCTCCTCGCCGGCGTTCTGAGCAACATTCACGGCCTGCGCGAGTTTTGCGGGCTCGCCATGCTGATCCTCCTGTATGATGGCGTGCTTCTCTACACCTTTTTCACGGCCATCCTCTGTGTGGCCCTCGAGGTGCGCCGCCTGAGTGCGCCGCCGCCGCGCGTGCACTCGCCCGACGCTAGCTTGGATGCCATGGCCACCGAGCCGCCCGCGGAGCCCCAGCACCGCGGCGCGCGCGCTCGGCCATCGGACACGCGCCCATCGCTGTACCAACGTATCATCGGCCCCGTGGACCATCCGCTCTCGCGCCTGAAACTCCTGCTCTTGCTGTCGCTCGTATTGCTGCACCTCGGCAACATGCTGACGACGCTCTCGCTCCCAACGACGCTCGCGCGGCACCACCAGGGGCGTGGCTCGACACTGTATGACCAGGCCATGTACACGTCTGACATGTTCACGCCCACTCTCGACCACCCTGTGGTCGCTGCGTTTCTGGATGCGTACACGGCGCAGCACCCCGACACCACTCAAGTGTTTGCCTTTGCGCGGCCGGGCATGCTCGTGGTTTGGGACCGCGCGCCGGTCCAGGACCTGCCGCTCGCTACGCTCGTACAGCGCGCGGCCACCGCGCGCCAGTCGCAGCCGTCTGCGTTTGAAAGCGTGATGCACCTGTGGACGTCGATCGCGAGCGATCCAGTGATTGGAAAGTGGCTCACAGTGGCCCTGGTCATCAGCCTCTTCCTCAACACGTTCCTGCTCAAGGGGATTGCTCTGCGCCACCCTGCCGTCATTGAAGGCAATGCCGTGCATGTGACGGCCCAGGCCGCGGCGCGCCTCGTTGGCGCACATCTCGGCGATGACTGGCGCAAGGGCTCCGAGGCGCGTGCGGCGCCTGAGCCTCCCACGCCCACTGTGCCACCTCCGCCCCCCCCGTCTGCATCGGCGCCGCCGCGCGCGTACAACGAGGTGCTCGCACACTTTCAAGCACACGGCGCCGCGTCGCTAAACGACGAGGAGGTCATTCTACTCGTGCAAAAAGGCCAGATTGCGCCGTACGCCTTGGAAAAGACGCTGCAGGACCTGGAGCGTGCGGTCGTTGTGCGCCGCGCCGTCATATCGCGCGCGTCGGAGCGGCCCGTGCTCGAGCACAGCTTGCTGCCGTACAAGCACTTTGACTACGCGTCGGTGCTCGGTGCATGCTGTGAGAATGTCGTCGGATACCTGCCTCTCCCGCTCGGCATCGCCGGACCGCTGCTTATCGACGGACACCTGACACCGATCCCTATGGCGACGACGGAAGGTACACTCGTGGCGTCTACGAGTCGCGGCTGCAAGGCCCTGAATGCAAGTGGGGGCGTCACGACCGTGCTCACGCAGGACGCCATGACGCGGGGCCCCGTCGTCGAGTTCCCGTCGCTGACAAGCGCAGCGCGTGCCAAGCGCTGGATTGACTCGAGCACGGGCGCCGCGACCATAAAAAAAGCGTTTGACAGCACCTCGCGTTTTGCGCGACTGGCGTCGCTGCACACGGTGCTGGCCGGTCGCACTCTGTTCATCCGCTTTGCCACATCGACGGGTGATGCCATGGGCATGAACATGATCTCGAAGGGCGTCGAGGCGGCACTCGGCTTGATGAAGGAGAAGCACTTTCCCGAGATGGAGCTGTTGTCGCTCTCTGGCAACTACTGCACCGACAAGAAGCCGGCCGCCATCAACTGGATCGAGGGCCGCGGCAAGAGCGTCGTCGCCGAGGCGGTCCTCCGCGGCAACACAGTGCGCACCGTCCTTAAGTGCACGGTCGACGACCTCGTGCGCCTCAATACGAAAAAGAACCTGGTCGGCAGTGCGATGGCCGGCTCGATCGGCGGGTTCAACGCGCACGCGGCCAATATTCTCACGGCCATGTACCTGGCGACAGGACAGGACCCCGCACAAAACGTCGAGAGCAGCAACTGTATGACGCTCATGGAGGCTGTGAACGACGGCCAGGATCTCCTCGTCTCGGTCAGCATGCCGTCCGTCGAGGTCGGCACAGTGGGCGGCGGTACAGGCCTGCCGCCCCAGCGCGCCATGCTCGAACTCCTGGGCGTCCGCGGGCCCCACCGGGAGACGCCCGGCGCCAACGCGCAGCGCCTTGCGCGCATTATCGCGGCGGCGGTTATGGCCGGCGAGCTCAGCCTCATGGGGGCGCTCTCGGCCGGGCACCTCATCAAGGCGCACATGCAGCACAACCGCAGCGCGCCGCCAACGCCCGGCACCGCATCTCCAGCGCCGCGTGATCCGCAGTTCTTGCCGACGATGACGCCACTCGTTGCCACGCCCATCGCTGACGCGTCGCCTCTCGCGCGCGCGCGATCGCCCGCGCCGCAGGATCCGCCGACGCCGGTTGCCTCCACTCGATAGATGCCACGTGGCTGAACACCTTGCCAGCGCCGCGCCGCGCCGCGCCGATCGACCGACTGCGATGCAGGCTGCTGCACCGTCGCCGGAGGTGCAGGCCGAGGGCCTCGTCGCGCGCTACCTGACGCCGACGACCGACGATGCACCTTGCACTTGGACAGAGGAGTATGCGAATGACGTCGCACAGCGTCGAAAGTTCGCCGTTGGCGGCCTCTTTGTCGATCGTTGGCTCCAGGACGCCGGTCTTCCGGCCACACTCTTTCCCCCACGCGCGCTCCCGGACGTGTTTGTGCTGGTCGTTGAAATCCTTTCATGCAAGGCACCTGTGGCCTTGCGCCATGCCCTGCTGCTCTACCTTGCCCTGGAGCAGGCCACCACACCCTCGTCCCTCCCTGACGCTGCACACACTCTAGCACAGTCGCTGGCCATGCCGCCCACCGATGTCCAGGACGTGCGTGCCTCCTGGGCTATTGACCATGGTCATCTCGAGGTACGCGCCGCCCGCTCACCACAGTATGCCTTGCACATCCGGCGGGACTCGACGTATACACCCATGGCCCTTGAGCGCCTCGCTGATGCGCCCAAGCTCTTGCTGACTTTTGTCCAACTGAACCATAATCTCCCTCCCCTCGATGGGCCCCTCAACGAAGCGGCTTTGCGGCCACATGCCATCTTTGTCGGCGCTCTTGCGCAGGTCGAAGGACTTGTACCAGCCTGGCATGCGTGCCGCGCCCTACTTGAGACGCAGCCCGCGCAGGATGTACCAACTGCGCGCGAACATCTGCTGGGCGCCCTTTTGCGCTTGTGTTTTGCACCGCCGCAGCCTGCACTGATCCGCTCACTGCTGCTTCTACCCCTTCACAGCGACGAAGAGGCGTTCTTTGAGGCGTGGGTGCAAACCCACCTCTCGCGCGCCAGCACCGCCGTCGCATTGGATACCCTGTTGATCAAGTGGGTAAACCAGGGGCGCTACGTCGATGCCATCCACTTAGAGCGCCGCACGAGCCAGCTGGAACGCACCGCTGAGCCAGCGTCCGAGACACAGCAGCGTGCGCGCCAGCGGCGCCGCACAATGATGGATGGTGTCTGGGCTCTCTTGCCAGCCATCCAGCGCGATGCTTTGCGCGAGGACGCCGCAGGCAGCGTACCCATGGACGAAGCAACATCAGAAGAGCCCGTGACTACCGCGCCTGTCCCCCCTCCTCGCCCTCACACGCCATTGAGTGTGTCACTGAGCGCGGACATGGCCCACCGTGCAGCCTCGCCAGACGCGCGTCTGCTACGTACGTCGATCCGCATGCCGACGGCGGCTTCCAGCCAGCGGGGCACGGCCTCACCAGTGGCACGCCCTATCTCACATGAGTCACCGTTCTGCAGCAGCAGCCCGTTCTCAGGGTGGAAGCGGCCTGGTCCTGGACCGGTGCTGAATCTGTCCTCAAGTCCCAGCTGGGGCGTACCTGTGCCCGCCACGGCGCAGGAAGCGTCCATCGAGGATGTCGCGCCCGCTCTTGCCGCGACGGACTCGGCAGCCCCTATCTCCAGTTCCCAGAACGAGTGGATGCCGACGGAGGAGGCTGGTCCAGCTTCGCAAGGTGAGAGCACTAGCATGATGGCTGAAGAAGAAACACCTGCATCTGCACCTGTGCGTCGCCGAGGCGGACAGCGAAGTGCAGCGAAACGCGCGGCGGCAGCGCTGCGCAAAGCACTACGCCCAGAAGAAGTGGCGCCAACGATCCCAGGTGGCTTCCCGATGGACACAGAGCCTTCGTTGCCCCCGCCGCGCCGCACTGCGCCGCGCCGTTCGGGCCGTCGTTCACGGGCAACTACACCAGCAGATGACGCGATGGGTATAACGTCGAGCTTGTCGATGGAGCCAATTTCTGACGCCAAAGGCCCCGAGGTGCGAATCGATGAGACCGCATACCCCCAGGCCTCTCTTGCGCGTCTCCAGGCACTGCACGATACGCGTCCCATTGCACGCCGCACGCGCGCCCAGACAATGGAGCTCGAGTCGCAGGGCTCAACGGGCAGTGCGGAGGCAGAGCCGGTCGAGGACGCGGAGGAAACATCAGGACGCACACGGCGCCGGACGCGCGAGCGTGGGTCGCCACCGCCGGCCACGCCACACCGTAATACGCGTTCGGCGCGGCGGGGGCGCCGTGGTTCGACGGTCACGCCCAGCACGCCACGTTCAACAGGGGGGCGACGCTAGCCGATACATGATGTTCCATTGGCACCTATAGGAGTGTCAGGCCTGGCCTTGGTGGATATGGCCTGGAACCATTTATGGGAACGGGTAGACCTTCTTGATTTCATTGGCGTACTTCTTCTCCACATCTTTGCGCTGCACCTTCTGCGCAGCGGTGAGAGGCAGCTCCTCCGGAATAGCAACCACGCACTGAAGTAGCTCCATGGTGGCGTAGCCAGAACCACGGCCAATACGGTTCAGATCCTTGCAGATAAGGTCATTGACGGCCTTCTCGTGGCAAATATCTTCGAGTTCGCGCCGGGCAAGCTCCGAATGGCCAGCACGCTCAAGCTCCATGCGCAGGTTCTCCTCCCGTGGGAACACAATGGCCATCGGCTGTCGCGCATCAGACGACGCATACAGGCAAATATTGGACACCAACGAGCTCGACTTGTAGTTGCTCTCCAGGCGCTCCAGCGCAATGTACTCACCGCCTGCCAGCTTAACAAGGTTTTTCTTGCGGTCAATCAGGCTGATCGTGCCATCAGCATTCCATTGGCCCACATCACCGGTGCGCAGCCAACCGTCGTCACTGATCGCCTCCTTCGTGAGCTCGGGGCGCTTGAAGTAGCCCTGCGACACCGACGGACCGCGGATGAGAATCTCACCCTGTGGCAGGCTGTTCGTCGAGTAGTAGCCAGCTTCGGGGACGTCACACAGGCGCACCTCAATGGACGGCATCGGACTTCCAACGCAGCTAAACTTGAAGAACTCTGGCTGCAGAATCGCACACATCGCCGATGACTCGGTCATACCATAACCCTGCAGCACCAGCACAAGCGCGTTGTTTAGGAACTTCTGCGTATCCTTGGAGATGGGTGCACCGCCCGAAAGAGCCAAACGCAGGCGACCGCCTGTCTGCTCGCGCAGCGCCTTAAAGACCACCTTGTCGGCGGCCTGCGAGAGCCCAGGCACACTCTTCTCCTTGGCCCACATCCCCCAGCTAAACAGACGCTGCTTCACCGAACCCGCCTTCTCCACCTTCGACAAAATGCCCTTGCGGATCGTCTCCCACACCGCCGGCACACCTACCATTAGAGTAGGGCGGAACGCCTGCATATCACCCACACAGTTGCGCGTGCTGGCAGAAGTAAGCGTCTTGACACGACCATAACCGACTTGGATGCCGTACATGAAGCACCAGCATTCCATCACAAACTCAAGAATATGCGCAAGCGGCAAATACGCCAGAATCGAGTCGCCCGGATGCACATATTTCTTAAGCAGCAGCGAAATGGCCGAGACGGTGGCCACCAGGTTCGCATGCGTGAGAATAACACCCTTCGGCTTGCCTGTCGAACCGGACGTGTACATAATACACGCAATGTCATCACGCTTCACCTGGTAATTATCCACCTTATGCGTCTTGCCCAGCTCGTAGATTTCATCGGCCGTCTTAACCACACTGTTAGGACGCGACGACAGCTTCCGCTTGATCTGCTCCACTACCTTTGGGTCCGCCTCGCCGTCATATACAACCGCACGTAAATGAGGCGTGTCCTGAATCACCTTCTCAAGCACGGGCAGATGCACGGCATTTGTGAACAAACCCTCAACCTCAGGCTCGTCCAACGACACTTGAAGACCCTCCGGACCGAGCGTGTCGTACGCCGTGCAGAAAGGCATGCCCAGGCGGAAACACGCCTGCGCAGCGACCTGCCAATCCATAGCTGTTGAGGCAAAAATGTTGAAGCGCGACTTATGACCTAGACCAATAGCATTCAGTCCATTTGCGAACAAGTCCACCATATCCACAAACTCGTTCAATGTATGATAGTGGTAGTCCGTCAGCTCGAAGTACGTCCATGTCTTGGTTTCTTCGACTTCTTCGCCATCGACCATCTTCTTCACCTTCTTTGTTTCATGGTGCTCTCTGATCAGATCGCGAGTAGCTATCATTTTCCGGGTTCCGAATTTTTTCCGCCCGTAGTCCAAGACCTGGCCCATCGTCTCAATGCCCTCGGCAGGACGCTCGACAAGGTGTTCTGGCGAAAGAACAGAGCGCCTAATCGGGCCAAGGTTCCCTTCCGCTTCACTCACAGCCACACTAGCCATAGATTGCTTCATCTTGGGCCGTTGATAGAAGGAGGTGGTAAGGGGCGCTTCCGCGTTGGGCGCTGCAGGTTGAGCACGCAGGCCGTTGAAAACGTGACTGCTTACGTGCCCCATCTTCGAACTCTGAGCCCAACAATGTATACCTTGCGGCCCGTGCTCATCACGTGGGGGCACAGGTATCTCCGTCGATGCACCGACCGCATGCGTGTCTATGCGAGACATACCATGACCAAGACAGCAATTCTATTTCTTGCGGAGGGTACAGAAGAAATGGAGTTCTCCATCACGTACGACATACTCGTACGCGGAGGAATTCAGGCTCGCTCTGTGTATGTGCCTGCCGAAGGAGCGCCTGCATCGCCACCCAACGGTATGGTTACCGCTTCGCGCGGCGTGAAACTCGGTGTCGACACGACGCTGGCCGACCTAGAAAAACAGGGACTCAATGAAGTCGATGCGCTTATCGTACCAGGTGGTGTAGGTGGTGCAAACACCATTTCGAAAAACCCTGGTGTGTTGCGCCTGCTTAAGGAAGCGTATGACCAAGGCAAAATTATTGGTATGATTTGCGCTGGCTCGCTCGCAGCGTTGGAGGCAAAGATTGGTCTCAACGATGCTATCACTAGCCATCCCTCTGTGAAAGACAAGCTGAGTGCCTGTACGTACTGCTTGACTCATTCCAGCTTTCCAGTACCAGGAATCGAACGTGGTCGTGGCGGGACCACTCGTGACTAGCCGTGGCCCAGGCACGACGTTTGCCTTTGCATTGACTCTCGTAGAGAAGCTGGTGGGTGCCCAGGTTCGCCAAGAAATCACGCCGCCCATGATGCTGTCCCAAGAGCATTTGTAGTTACAATCTATGCATCGGGCATTTCTACATCTTCGTCGTCGACGTCTTCTTCCTCTTCCTCTTCTCCCTGCGCCACTTGCAGTGCGGGCAAGTCCAACTCCCGGTCGGCTCCCACATAGCTGTCGCACATCAAGTACAACTTTAGGTCGTTGTGCTGACCCGCCGGCAGGTGGAACTCAAGTCGCACCTGCACTGTCTTGGCAATCGTCACGCGCTTGATGCTCAGCAAGTTGCGGGTGTTAGGGTCACCCACGACAAGCCACCAGGCGGTCATCTTGGTCGAGGGGAAGAACGGTGCAATTGCAGTAGGGTCCGGCATCTCGTCCTCGTCGTCCTCATCCACATCGCGCTCTAGTGTGGCATTAAGCACAATGGGCGTCGCACTATCCAGTGAATCCTGGTCGTCAATGGTAAAGTCAATCTCGACATAAGGGAATTCGTTGGTAAGACGCGCGACATCGGCTAACTGTCTTTTGTTCAGCTGCAGCAAGTCATCACGCTCCTTGTCGCTCATATCTGGTAGCGTATCAGCAAGCGCATACACATCCCCAATACCACGAGCCTGGCAGCGCTCGATGGTCTCCGAAGTGAAATGCGGCACTTGACGAAGGGGTGAGTCTCGGTCCCAAACAGCCTGAACACACATATGGCTCAGCTCCATCGCCACGATCGCATTTAACATAGTACCCGAACTCATCACATCCACACAAGCGTTTAACAATGTGAGAACACGGTTGAGAATATCATGCTGATCCTGCGCTAGATCGGCTGGTAGCGTCAGGCGCGAGAAGTGCGCCTGCAACAACACAAAAACCTTGTGATGAGGATTCTCAAAGTTGATCTTGTCCAGCTTCAAAGGCACCCGGTCGTAGATGCGGCGCAACAACACGTCCTCGTGGTGCCGGATAGGTACATCATCGAATTCAGATGCGGACGCCACAATCTCCAGCATCCCACGGAGCTTGGTGTTGGCCGTCAGTGACAAATGGAAGACATCAATCGTGGCGAAACTGACATTGTAGAAGCTTGCAATCATACCCAGGTTGAGCGGGCTCACGTCCATCTCATCCTCAATGGCCACACACTTGCTCTGCTCCAGCTCCGCCAGCGTAGTCTCCACCAGCTCGGACATAAAATCTCCGATGTGCTGCATATCACGACCTTGACAACCATAGGCCTGGGGATTGCGAGGAAGGCGTCGGTACATCAATGTCCATGTAAGGATATCAACAGCTCCTTGCTTGTCTTCCACCGTGCGAGCGACAATCTCCGCATTCAGGAAATCCTGGGTATAGGCACCAAGGCGACTCTCAAGCGGCAAACCTTCAGCCAAAAACTTCTTAAAGTAGTCTTTGCGGTTTGCCTGACACAGCAACATGCACCGACTGTTCCCATCCTCACCAGGCACGGTACACTTTCCAACCATCTCGATCATGTCCGTCAAGGGATAGTCGACATAGCGGTGTTCGCGACCTTCGTACGTTTGCAGCGAGAGGAGCAGCACCAGGTGCGCGCTCACCGGCAGGCTCCAAACGGTGTCCTTGGATGCCACCATCACCTGAATGGCGCCAGCAGCAAACAAGCGTTCGACTATACGCCGGTCGCCCTTGCTCAGCCCTTCATGGTAAAAGGCGATACCATATGCGACACACTCTGCCAGGTCCTTGTCTTGCAGTCGTTCAAGATGGGGCTGCAAATCCTCGGGCTCCATGTTCAAGAATCGGCACTCGCGACTTCCATCGCGATCGCTATCCGCCAGCGCATACGAAAGAATGTCATGGACTGTGAGTTTGGTCTGCTTCCGCGTGGGCACAAACACCAAGACCGGATCTGCTGGAGCGTATTCCAATATAGCTAGATAGGCCGGCTTGGCCATAGCAATCATCAACGAGGGGAAGTGGGGAATGTTGAACGGCTGAATATGCACCTCCATGGGGACAGGTCGTGCGCTGGGAGCAAAGTTAAGTGTGTGCTTGGCACCCAGCCATTCTCCCACGTCCGTTGCATTGGCCAGCGGCGCACTAAGACCCAAAAAGCGAGTCGTATAGTCTGACTGTGCCGCAATGAAGCGTGAGCGTGAACACACCACCTCGTATGTGGCACCCATCTTAGCATCGGTCAACAAATGCAAGTCGTCCAGGATATACAACCCCACCTGCTGCACATTTTTGCGCTGTCGCCAACGACGGCTGAGGACATCCCACTGCTCAGGTGTTGAAATTACCACATCTGCTTGTTCGATCAGGCGCAAGTTCATGCTGGTCTCGCTCGCAAGTGCAACAATCTCCTTGCCATTAAAACGCGCCTTCCACTCAGCGACACGCGGTCCGACCATGGATGCGTACGGTACAATGCAAACAGCGCGCTGTCCACCTTGGTTCCAGAAGCGATAGAGTGCGAGCTCAGCACACATGGTCTTCCCGGCACCGACTGGCGCTGCCAACAAAACACTGTCGTCAGTCTCAAAGAGCGCATGGAATGCCTGCGTTTGTACTCGATTTAAGTACTTGAACTCGTAGCGCTCCGCGGCCTTGGGTCCAAGAACATCCACTGGCTGCAGCTGAAGGTCCAGCAAAGGCGTTGGAGGTGCAAACTTATCCGGCAAAATCAGATGCTTGAATGAAATGGGCAAGCGAACCTCGCTGTGAAGCCACCTGTCGTTTAACAACGAGATGTAGTAGTTGGGAGGCAGCGGCTCCGTCAGCGGCACAGTAAAGGATACGGTATGCTCATCGCTAGCGTAACGTTTCAGCAACACGAACTGCTCATAAAACAGGATCGACTCGCCATCGACATCTTCGACCAGCAACCAGAAGCTCAGGGCTCCACCGTGAATGCGTTCATCCCACTCAAAGTCGGGCGTGATCGAAAGATGGACTTGCAACAAAGAGCGCGTCAACGGCTGAAAATAGGCCTGCAATTCCAGATGGGGAAATTGGAAGACTAGACGGTGGAGCAGCCGACCAGCGCGCGGAATACCAATGAGCTCACCCATCTCGTTCGGCTCAAGATCGCGCAGACGAGCCCAAGGGAACTCCTTACGTTCCAAGCGTCGAATCAGATCTGGTGCCACACCTGGGAACTGCCGCAGCGGTGTCATGGAGCCCCATTGACGGCGCTCGGTCATTTTTGCAAGTTCCAGGGCATGGCGAGTAGTACGAGCATACCCGCGAATAATGCAAATTTCCACCAGCGCACGCCAGATACGCGATGCGGACTGCGTCACATACACCATATCCGCTGCAAGTGCATATCCCTCGAGTGAGAGCTGGGAAATCCATGTCTGGAGCAGCACATTGATTTTTGCACTGGGCTCATCAACACTTTCCTTGATCGGGATAGGCACACGCTCCCTCAGCTTAGTAATCTCAAGTTTTTCGTCCTGCCGCACAATCTGGTGCTTGAACTCATCACTGAAAGAAAAAATGCGCAGGAGCTCAATAGGACCTGTGTGGCTGCGCAGATGCTTGTGGAACGTGCCCATACTGGTGTGCGTGAGATAGTAGTGTGCTGCAATTCGGGCCAGCTCATTCGACGTGAATAGTCCGGTTGTGCGGTCGTAGCGTACAAGACCAGCCTTCTCCAAAAGCACAGCAGCACTGTGCACAATGTCGGCCCGCTTTTGCTCCAGGAAAGGATCATCTTCCATATAGTCGGATGTGACACTGTATAACACCGGCGAGCGCAACATGCGAACATACAGATACGTGTAGCCAAGCCACGTCACAGCCTCGTCACGGTTGCGGATTGTGCCAAGTACGATTTCCGCATTGAGGTTATCTGCGAGACGAGACACAAACTGACTTTCGATTGGAAGCTGCTGGTTAAGCAGGGACAAATAGTACTGCAGCTCAGAATGCTGCGTGATGATAATACCCTCACCAATCGTGTCAAATTGAGGTCGTCCTGCACGACCCAGCATCTGGAGCATATCTTGAGGCGAGAGCTCGCACCACCGACTCTTCTCTGGATTGTAGATCTGGGTGCCTTTGATGATCACGGTATGGGCTGGCAGATTCACACCCCACGCAAGAGTGGCTGTACTGACCAATACTTGTAGGTGCCGGCTCGCAAACAAATCTTCGACTAATTCACGGTCAGAGCGTGTCATACCGGCGTGGTGAATACCAAAGCCGTATTGCAATAAATCGCGTAGGTTACTGTCCTTGGCGTCTTCAGCAGCCTCACGTAAAATACCACGACTCGCACTAGTCTGCGGCAAGAACGCACTGAGCGTCTCACGCTCCTCAGCAGTGTCACGCAGGAACTTAGCCGTCTTTCCTGTCTCCTTGCGCGAATGCGTAAAAATCATAATCTGGTTCTTTCCCGCATGCTCCATCACCTTGTCATAGGTCACTTCATTCATTAGTTGCAGTCGTTTGATAGCCTTTGTCTCTGTCAGACCGATAAATTCCTGCCGGAGAGGGCATGGGCGGTAGCTAGATTCAAAGTACAGCAGGCCTGTATTGGGATTCACGCGCAGGAACGCAGCCACGTCTTGATAGTTGGGTAGTGTGGCACTAAGACCCACAATACGCACTGGTTCATTCAGCTGCTCCATGCGTCGGATCGTGCGCGCTACGATAGCTTCCAGCACCGGGCCACGGTCGTCATGCAGCAAATGAATCTCATCAATAATCAACAGGCGAACCAAATTCGTATACGAGGTATCTGAGCTCTTCCGGCTGATTACATCCCACTTTTCAGGCGTTGTAACAATGACCTGAGTCTCGGCAATTTGTGCTTTAGTCAATTGGCTATCACCCGTGAGCTCATTGACAGTAATCCCATAGGGTTCCAGGCGCTTGCGGAAATTGTTGGCCTGTTCAGCGACCAGCGCTTTCATTGGTGCGACGTAGACCATTTTACATTGCGAAGCATCCATGATACCTGTTTCTTCATCGCGCCATTTGCCCAGCTCTCTCATTATCGTCAGCATTGCCACATTGGTCTTGCCAGCCCCAGTGGGGGCACAAAGAAGCATCGGCTCATCGCTGCCAAAAGCAACCGGGTAGCACTTGCTCTGCACAGGATTGAGCGTCGTCGCACCCGAAAAGGCCTCCTGAGCCCAGTCAGGCATACGAGAAATAGGCACCAGCTCTTCAGGCGATACTGTACGCTTCTCTGGGGCCGGGACATGTACCTCTTCGTATCCTTTCTTGGTCCTCTTGAAACTTCCAGCCGGGAGGCGCACCTTAGGATTAGTGTTTAGGTGGCCTCCCTCACTGAACGCCATGGCCTCTAGATCAACAACAGCACGGGGGGCAGCTGTCGAACCTGGCGCGAGTGTGGCGCGGGATGTGAGACGGAACTTTTCCTGTTTGGCAGCAGCGAGCTCATCTTCTTTCATGCCTCTTTGTACGTTTTCTCCTGCCAAGCGCTTCAGGATATAGCCCACATTCTTTTCACGCATAGCAACCTCAATGTCCATGCGCTCATCCTCCGATGCGCGCGCCAAGCGAGTACACCAATATACCACCTGGCGGTTTTTCGTCAGCGTTTGGACCATATCCATGTGCTCATAGTTAAACAGATCCATAAGGTTGTTCTCACACTCACGAACATCGTCGCTGGCACCAAGAATCTCAAGTGCAGCGTCTGCTTTCTCGCTGACTTCAATTTCATCTTGGTAATGCGAGCGAAGAAGACGTTGCAGCCAAAATGCATCAACCTCATGAACAGAAACACCTTGGTCTTTGCTGGTCTCTTTTCCACCCAGAACAAGCTCATCCTCTTGGCCCTCTTCGAAAGGAGCGTCCTCTTCCGACTCGTTTTCTTCATTGTCAGACACGTCGCGCACGACGTAAGTTTCTTCCTCAGGGTTGCTTTCCTGGTCCTCATTGTCAAAAAGCACGGCCACGCCTGTCTCGTCATCCATAGTGGCAGTGTCCGCAGTGCTTGTTCCTTTATCTTCTTCATAGTCTGTGAGACGCTTGCTGAGGTTAATATACTGGCCGAACTGTTCCTCTGACACTGGACCCAAAAAGCTTTCGACCTCGCGCTTCTTGTCTAGATCACGCATATTTTCATCTTTGAGAATCTCCAATGCTGTATCTGTTGCCGAACGAATGATTTCGCTTGTCTGATCACCCAACGCACTTTGCACCATGCTGAGAATAAGTTCATACACATGCCGCGTCTCGTCCGTGCGCGGGAGGTACCGCAGGCCATCAAGCTCGGCGCTGGCCTGCAGCACATTCGCATATTGTCCTGCTTCAGCATTGCTACGCTTCTTAATAGCGCCGAGTTCGTCATTCTCGGCAGCCTTACGCTTCTTTTTCTCGACATCCGTGACTTCGGCCCGGACGACGCGCGAGCCCATGGCCTTCGGGTCAATGCGACCTACAAGAGACTCTGCCTCACCAGTAGGTTCATTTCCCCCCTGTCTGCGACCTGCGCTTAGGACCAGCGACGACAGGGCCGAGTACTGGTACCCTGACAGATCCCGCTGGTTCTTCGGCGGCATGTCGACCGAGAGTCTAGAGTGAGGACGGCGACGGAGCGATTTGCCTGTCACTCACGTGACTGAGTGGCAAAATCCGAATTTTCTGTGCCGCGGCCGAAGAGCCTGTCGGCAAGACGAACCCTTCTCTCCTTACGCGGCGTGATACGCGATGAGACAGACCGCGCGTCGTTAAGTGTCTTGTATTGTGTATCGTGACCCTTGGAACGCGAATAGCAGGTATTTTAAAGTCGTTCTGAGTTCTGCTGCCACGAAGTCATCTAGTTGCGCCGCTCAGGCGCCCCATTGATGATCTCCCTTGATGACGCTATGGACCGCCAGGTACACATGCCTGGCGGTCCCTCTATACCTGGTGGCCACCCATACCATCAGGAAACGGGAAAACATAATATTCCATTGGCTGTGCCAGTGATGGGCTCGTTTGCTCGGGTGGATCATCACACACGACCCGTACCTACGCCACCTGCTGTTCAACCAGCACCTACCGACACACCCGCTGACGAGGCTGATGACGACCAGGAAAATGATCAGGGTACAGATGAGGAGGCAGGCGTTATTCGCTGCATCTGTGAATGCGACGATGATGATGGATTCACGATTCAATGTGACAAGTGTTTTGTTTGGCAACACTGTGCTTGTTTCGGCATGTCGCATTCAAGTGTTCCAGACGAGTATTTGTGTGAGCAATGTGATCCCCGCCCTGTCGATGTTGAGTATGCGCGCGCGCATCAACAACGACGCTTACAGGAGGAAGTGCGCAAGGCTCAGAAGGTTCGCGACGCTACCGCAGCTGTTGCGATGCTCGAGTCGGCCGCGAATGCTGCATGGAATGCTGCTATTCAAGGGCCATCGTCGCCAACGACACAGCGCCGGCGTAGCCAGGGTCAACGTTCGCCTCCTCGGCGCCCTGTGCCTGATACTGACCTGGCAGAACCTCCTGATATTTCCACACTGAATAGTGCGCGGGGTAAGTCTCGAAGCGTAAAGAAAACGCGGGGCGGATTGAATGGGCGCAGGCCCCATGCCTCTGTCTCTCGCTCTAAACACGGGGATGATGGCGAATATTCAGATATATGGGAAGCCTGGCACATGGAATTCACGGATATTGAGACTAACCATGTCCGGGATCAAAAGACTATGGAATACCTTGCGGAATACGTCTTAACATGGCAACACACTCCCCGCTTGGAAACTACAGTGGATGATCACGGCTTTCACCTTGTACCACTCCGGTACGCTCAGGATGTTCATGGCGATATTAGGGCACCTCCTAAGGGCGATGCGCATTTTGCTCGTTATGGACTCGCTCCTGTCGGACAGGAATGCGTTCCTGTCCATATTTCGTGTGAGAAATTAGAAGACATTGGCGCTCGTGTCCATGTGCGTTCCATCTCAGATCAAGTGGTGAACAATTTCTTCAACAATATTCACCACCTCCAGGCAATATCGTCGAATCCTCAAAAGATTTGGTCCGCTTCCAAAACGTTTTGCCATCCCTTTATGCACGGATTATTTGCTGAGGCAGCTATTCCGGCGGGTGCATTTATTGTCCAGTATCGTGGCGAGCTGTACTCTGCCGATGCATACCGAGCTGATCCAATTAATCAGTACGCGAAGATGGGCACATCGAAGCCGCATGTGCGATTACTGCCGGCGCCTCTGAACCTCGTTGTGGATGCGCGGATGTATGGCAATCTTGCTCGTTTTGCTCGTACAAGTTGTCATCCGAATGCGGTCTTACGTCCAATCCTCCAAAGGGATGGGGATTGTTTGCCAAAACTCCATTTTGGTTTATTCGCGCTTGCACCGATTCCGAAGTCACATGAGATTACTGTGGGGTGGGACTGGGATGACCATCACATTGTCCATGTTTTGCCTGCGTTAGTTCGGCGTCCATGGGCGATTGATGATACTCCACGCTTCGACACGCCTGCTGAAGCCAAGCTGCAAGATGAGCTAGACATGGAGGCCTTTTATCAGAGGGGCGACTTCCCGTATGCCTCTACAATATTGGCAACCAAATTTCAAGCTATCGTGTCTGTTTTGCTGAGCTATACCACTTGCGGCTGCTTAGGGCCATCACTGGGTGGAAGCAGTACGAATGCATTCCTTATGCGGCGTCAAAACTGCGCCGTGACACAGATGCTTCGCGTGGGACAGGGTATGCCATTGTTATACACCTCTCACATCTTGAAAAGCTTGTCCAAACCCAAACCTATTATGCTTGCGCCGCTGGTCGGCGTTTTCCGGCATTGGTCAGCAGAAATGCCTATGGATGCCGAGACACATCTCTGCTGTCGGTTGGCTCAAAATGCAGGCTACGTTCAGCGCGTTCAGCGGACGGGCAACGAACGACCTGTGTGGCCACCACCGCCGATGTCTATGGGCATGACTGTCTCCTCGAACCTGGACGAAGATACTAATGAATCAAGTGACACAGAGAGTGTGGGCCAGGAGTCGTTTATCACGGAGCCGATGTCCGATGATGAAATGCCGTTCGCCAGTGATGTGGATGATCCTGTGGTCACGAAGGCTCTACAGCATCTGGATGTTGTCAGCGAACCGGCCGTTTTGCCGTTTAAAAAGCGGAGCGACCGTACGCGCCTCAAGGCCCAACCGATACCGGTGTCGGATGTGTCTCGTGTCAAACGTCCTGCGCGTTCCGATGCAGAATTTGCCAAAACTGATGTACCAGCCAAGCGCCAGAAGGTGCGAGCGCTTTATGACGCGCCAGGTCAAAGCTCGCCTTTATTGCCCTCGTCGGAGGACGAGGATCAACATTCAGAACCAGACAGCATGTCTTCTTCGCAGCAAGTACCGCAAAAGTCGCCCGAGTCACATCAAAATCCCCGACCAAAACCGGTCGTGCCTCGCAAGCCGTCGACACCGCCGAATGCATTGCTCATGACAGCTCCTGTTCGCCGGGTATCGCCAACCACGTTACCACCGCACTTGACCACTACTGCAACACCGATTGCACCTGCTAGAGATGAGATCAAGATTCAAACGGCAGCGGAAACCTCTGACACAGAGACGACGTTACAGTCTTTATCGTTTGAGCCAGTGCCACTTGTATCAGCACCGACGCTGCCTCCTCGTGAGCCAACGCCACCGCCCCGTGAGCCTACACCACCACCACCGCCACCACCTAAACGTCTTTCTCTAGCCGAATACAAAAAACGATTGGCTTCGCGGCGGCAGTCGGAGGGGAAGAACACTTCGACGTCGTTGGAGTGTCACTCTACGGATGCCGCTCCTGCGTCCTCTTCGTTTGGTACCCAGGAAGAGTCAATCGCTCCGCGTGCGGTGTCTCCGGCTCTTTTGCCCGCGGTCTCGCAAGTACCTGCGCCTGAGCCCAGTGTGTCGGTGCCGTCGCTTCCCAGTGCTGCGGTGGTTGAGCGCGATGCCATTCGCAGTGTGTACATTCCGCAATCTCCGCCGCGCGCGGCACCTATGTTGCCTCCGTCAGGGCCACCGTCTGTGTTAGGAACTGGCTCCATCCCTGTGGCCAATACTGTGGCGCGCTCGAAGTCACAAGTCGTGCCTGTGGATGTACCCTCACCTGACCAGGTGTCGCCTGTGTCCGTGCTGCACCCCCAGAGTGTATCGGTTGCGGCGCCTTCGCCTCTGCCCAACGCACCTGCTCCGCCACTTACGCGCCCCACACCGGGGGTGGCATCTGCACCAATGTCGTTGGCTAACCCACCGTCGCCCAAAGCTGTACCAGCGCTGAGTGCGACACTGCCATGGGACTCGGCACCGGCTATACCTGTCAATAAAGCGTTGCCGCCCTCGCCACCTTCAAGGCCGCCAGGCCCGCCGCCCAAGTTGGGAGTGGGTGCGCTATCGGCTCGGCCGCCTCCTCCAGGTCCGCCGCCGGGTCCTCCGCCGCCCATGCCCGCTCGGCTGCGGGCGGCGCAGCAGCGTGCAGATGAGCGGCAAGGTATGACTGTGCGGCCGACAGCACCAACTGGCCCTACGCCAGGGGCGGTGCGACCTAGAGGTTGGGGAAGTGCTCCTGTGCGCAATAGCACCACTCAACGTGGTGCGGGTTTTGGGCGTGGCGGGTGGCGCCCTATCTAATCATAGACCCAATAGCTCCTGTTGTACTCTATCACGACCCGATTCGACTCTTTTTCTCGCGTCCTCGCGGCTTGGCATCGCCTGCCAAGATGCGCTCGGCGATAGCTGGATCCACGAAACGGTGCGAGGGGCTCGGTCCCTTCCGGAGAATGTCCGAGGGACAGGGTGTTGGGGACGAAAGAGGACGGATAGTCCATCCCTCTGAATGAGCCTTGCGCTGAATAACAAGTTCCGCCAGCTCAGCCACCACGTGTAAAGCATGATCTGCCTCGAAGCTTTGCTCCGGCGAAGTCACGTCTAGGTAGGAGCGAACGTCCGCGGCATAATGGGCAAGTACACTTACGTTGTCCTGCGTCGCGACACAGCGCAAGTAAAAGTCCATGTACCGGGCAAACGATGCGAGCTGCTCAGGTTGGTCCGACTGAAAATCGGGGTGGTGCGACAGTAGAAACAAGAAGCGTACCCACACGTCTTCCAGACGCTGCTGACGCAGCGCCTCGGGTAGCAGCCGGACGCGCCGCACATACGATGCGACGTGACTGAGCTGTTCCGGCTCGGGATCAAAGGCGACGAGGAAAATGAGCGCATGAAAGTCAACAGGCAGCTTATCGCACGCCAAGCGACTGAGAAGGTCGCCCAGCAGACGGCTACGCACTTGGAAGCACTCGTCTTGTAGAACATACACAAAGCGGCCCATGCGTGGGAGAATTCGTGTCGCTAAGGCATCTTGCGCGGCCAAGTCGAGCAGCGCTTCGGCGGCGCCTGACCGCAGGCGCGCGCGGACGGCTGCAGGCGTTTGTTGGTCCGATTGCGCCTCTCCAGCACCCAGGACAACCCACAACAGCTTCAAGATAGGCGCTGCTGCACCAGCGACGTCGTCTTGCGCTGCGCACACATACACGAGCATGCGTAGCGCCGCCACGCGCGCCATGAGGTCCGGTGGCGCACTCGGATCGTGCTCATCCAGCCACTCGATGTCGTCAAATTGGCCAACTGCACTCGGCCAGGGCGCCAGAAGGACATGGTGCAGCACATCCTCTACCATTCCATCCATCAGCGGAGCCATCTCGATGGGCGCATATTCCCATACATGTGCTAGGCCGGCCACGGCCGTCGCGCGCTCCGAAGCCGAACCGGAAGTGACGCGCCCGCGCATCTCCTTAGCCATGTCCGGTACGGCGTCCGGTGCGAGACAAGCAAGGGCCTGCGCCGCTTCTGCATGCGATGCCGCCTGCGAGTGAAGTACCTCTAGGAGCACAGGTGTTGCTTGCACAGCGGCTTTGTCGTGGCCAAGAAGTGCCGCGAAGAGTTTTAGTGCGAGAGCATCACCTTCCACGACCCGCTCAGTCAACGCAGAGGCATGCGGTACACAGAGGTACGGCGCTTGCCTTGCCACATACGCCACCAGTTCAGTAGCATGCGCGTCTAGCAGGGGAAGTACACACGACTGGTTGAGAAGGGGAAATGAGCCGTCCCACAGGCACGCATAGAGCGTGTCTGCGGCGTCCACCAACACCTCCTTCATGCGTGCCCGCGCTTCGTGTCGGCGCGCAACACTCTCCGCGAGCGGCGTGGCGGGGTCGAAACAAACCTGCATTGCGTCCAGCACTGTCTCGTCGGGTGATGCTGCGAACGACGCCAAAACACCGGGAGCCTCTGCATCGCCCAATATCGCTGCCACGGCTCGCACACACGGATCGAGGCGTTCTAGGCCTTCACCGCGGCAACACTCGAGCCATACATCCATGGCCGACGGGCGTGCCAGCCGCAGATTGGTCATATGCAGAAAGATTGTGCGCTCCTGCTCCTGCAGACCGTTCCAAACACGCAAGAGTCGCTGTGTGTACGATGGCATATCCGCAAACGGCATAATGTACGTCTCCCAAGTATAGGTCACGCTGCGAGCGACCTCACATGCACCTGCAAGGACGCAGGTCAGCACCGCGCCGGGGATCCAGCCAAACTTGGTGTTGGCCGCTGCATCGTCTGCATCTGTACAGCCCAAGTCGAATGCACGACCGAGCGCCACGAGGGCGCTCTGGCGCACAGTTGCGCGCCGGTCCTTGCCGCGCTGCGCCAATTCGTGCAGAACGCGGGTGGGCACCTTGTGTTTAAGAGACTCATAGTCCAACGATCCAATGGCGTCCGCGAGTGCCGTGCGAACGTGTTCGTCGGGGTCCACGGCGCGTGCGGCCAGGGAGGGCGACAAGGCTGGCGCGACAGACTCGTGTGCGCACAGCACCCGCACGGCGCTCTGGATCCAGTCGGTGCGGATGGCCACTCGCTTATCGACAGTGCGGCCGAGCCATGCCTTCCAGGCGCTAGGATACAGGTGGATGAACGAGTCGCTTTCAACGCCGCTTGCTAGGGCAAAGAGAGTACCGAGCACACGCGTTGCTAGGTGGCGCACATGGTCATCATCTACGCCCAGCTCCGCCTCGAGTTGCGGCACCACACTGGTGAGCAGTGACGGCACGGCTTCTGCTACACGCACAATTTGAGCATGCAGCTGCTCGAGTGCCTCCATCGCGTCGGTGTCATCGGCGTCGTCATACTGCGACTCATGCAGAGCCGTGGCAAAGTAGCGTGCGACATGCTTCTGCAGCCGATCCTGCACGGGTCGACATACGTTCGTGGCCATTGTGGCTGCGGTAGATGCGGGATCGTCGGTGGCCAAGGCGCTAATCAGGACATGGACGACGGATTGTGGTATAGTAGCGCTTTCTTCCAGCAGCTGCACAAACATGTCTGTCATGGCTAGTTCAACATTCTTCGCAAGGTCCGATCTGTGTGAGCGGCAGCGCACGTACTCGGTCAGCGCCCACAGTTTCTCAAAGTACTCAGTCATAATGTCGTTGCCAGTCGGCAGATCACATACAAGCACGACGCTCTTCACCGTACTCAGGCTGTCCAGAACGTAGACAGCATCCTTGTAGAGAGGGTGCTCGGGGTGCGCGAGTCCCGCGGACGGGGCCACCAACTGCGCGAGCAGGAAACGGAAGAGCGACTGGGTAAGTGAGCAAAACACACTTTGATTTCACTGGGAGAAAACGGAGCATTGGGTGCATACAGTCTCAGCATATCTGCGAGGATACATGCGACCATGGACTGGACGCCTCGGTCCTTGTGTCGCAAGAAGGCGGGCCTGATCAGCTCGCGACAGTACGCGTCCAGTTCTGTCGTATCGATCGTACCCTGGTCCAAGCCGGCAAGTTCCTTGTGTAGCGTGGTCAGGCGCGCGCGCGTTTCATCTGGTAGCATGCCTGCCACATACAGCGGCCCCTCAAACCGCAGGCGCTGTGGCATGGCTCATGCACGCCAAGGGAGTCGAGGCTCAACGCGCGACGCGTCGTTGTGTCACGTGGGTCTATGGGGCCGGCGTCTCGTCCGGCGCGTCGAGTTCCAGCTCCGCAGCACTATCGTCAGGGTCGCCCGGGCCATGCGAGACGCCCATGTTGAGTGCGAGTACTTTAGCCAGCACATTACGCGACAGCAGCTGTGCATAGTGTGCCTGCTCGAGCCGCGGCGCCGCAGCCTGCTCCGACTGCACAGCGCGCGAGAGCGTGCTGTGGAGGGCTGTGAGCTCGGCGGCCGCGCTCGGCGCGGCAAAGTGCACGAGCGTGGGACTGAGGGATTGTGGTGGCGTAGGGGTTGGAAGCGGCACATACTCTGCGATTGACACGGGATCCCAGGCCCAGAGGTGTGCGTGCAAAGTGCCTTGCTGCGACATGGTTTGTGCGAGTGAGCTGGTTTGCTCCTCGGTGCAACCCAAATAGTTGGCTGCATGCGTTAGAGGCAGCGTGGAAAATAGGCGCGATAGTGTACAGAGTCTGTGCTGAGGCAGGTGCGCATTGCATGCTTCGCATAGGGAGCGTAGCAGGGGTGCTTCATTCTCCAGATCAGCCGGAGGCGACGGCGTCGAGGCAGCGAGCATGCCGCGCCACGACGTGGCGTGCTCGTACGCACGCGCATAGTCCATCCACGCTTCGAATTCGCGCGCCCAGTAGGTGCGCATGCTAGCACTCGTGAGCGGCATCATCTCCCTCAGCGGTGGTACTTGGGCGTGCAGCAGCAGCTTGACACAGAGGGCCTGCGGAAACACGCGCGTCTGAGCAGGATGCACTGCACCGCAGGGAATCGCGAGCGCCTGGATCAGGACCCTATACGTACTGTATCCCACAGCTCCTCGGCGGTCGCATACGAGCCAGCCGACGCATACATCGCGCCAGCTAGACTCACATACTCGGCCACATCGCCTGGATGCGTCAAGCACCCGGTGTCATCCGTGGCATTCAGCTCGGTACTATCGCAGATCTGCTGCGCTTTCACACTCTGACCTGTGCGCAAGTACGTCTGGTATGAGTGTAATATGCATACCTCCAAGAGCGGTGCGTGAACGCAGGTGACGCCGCGGTAGCCCTGTGCGAGGCACTGCCAGAGAGCCTCCAAGTATCGCGTGGTATCAAGCGTCTAGGTTAGATGCAAGTCAATGTACCTCATATACGAGTGCTTTGTAGCTCATCGTCCGCGCCATCTGCCCAACTGGGTGTGAGTGCGACCACGTACCTAGCCGCGGCATGCACACTAGATGCGCACGCAGGTCAGGCGCGGCCAGTACCTCCTGAATCGGCAAAGCTAGGGGAGCGACGTCGCCAAGGTCACTTGCACGACGCAACTCGGCAGATCTTTGTGAGTTGCTGGTACGCACATGCACGCCAAGGCGCTCAGAGGCGAGGCATGAGACGCGAAGAGTTCGGCCGTGCGGCCTGTGCCCTTGGGGCCGAGAATCAGGTCGTCCGCTTCCGCCGTGGGGGGCTCCGGTACATAGGTGCGAAGTACCTCGCTCACACGTACGGGATCGGAGCCGCCCTCTTGCACAGCGGCCAGAAACGCCTCAGTACCTGCGTGCATCGCGGCAGACGTGGGAGGCGGCCGTGCGCTAGACTGACTAAGCACGTGGTCTCTCAACGCGTGACGCGTAGGAGCACGGCGGCATGCACGCAAGTGAGGTGGCGAGCACCTGGCACGGGCCGCGCCTGCCCCTCATGCCGCGTCCGTGTTCAGGGACACGAGAGCGGAGGGCAAAATCTGACATACATGCGCCGTCGCGGCAGCGGCGCACGCTTCTGGAGTGCATGCCGCGGCGCACCGTGTTCCGCACGCTGTCGTACCTGTCCATGCACGATGTGATCCAGTTGCTTTGCGCAGACAAGCGCCTGCGTCCTTTCGCATATGCACCGAGCTTTGCTCCGTGGCGGAAACGCTACCTAAAGCTGCGCTACGCAGAATCGTTGTACGAGCAGGCCCTGCGTCACATACCGACGGATGACGACGCGTGCGTCGCGTCCGATGAAGCCCTTGTGAGCGCGTACGACGAGGCTCTCACGGCCATGCAGCTGCACAGTGCACCTATCCACCTGAGTGAGGCGGTCTGTGCCATACAGCTGTGTGCGTCTGAGACTTTGCCGTCGCCCCAGCAGGTCCAGCGCTTTCTCGTGCCGTGGATCCTGGGGCGGGTTAGCGCGGATGAGGCATTAGCCCTCTTCGACCATGCACAGGCTGTCGAGCTGCTCTACTTCCTGCGCGTCTTTCTCGCGCTAGTGCGCCTCTCACGCCTGAGTCAGCCGTCGTCGTCGACCAGCACGCAGTACCACCAAATGTTCCATGTGCTGGACGCCGACTGTGCCGAGGCATTGGATGCGTTCTTCGCGCCACCGGTCGAGACGCCATGCGCAAAGCAGCTCACAGCAGAGCAGGCACGCTTTGTCGACTTTCAGGTGCGCCGCTCTGACCTTCTGTGTGTTCAAGCCTATGCTGGGGTACGTGCATTTCTCTAACGCAGACCGGAAAGACACGCTCACTGCTGGCGTACGCAGAGCGGCGACCGCACCAGCGGTTCCTCTACATCACGTTCAATGCGGCCGCAGCGCGGGACGCGCGGCAGCGGTTTCCCCCCAATGTCGACTGTCGCACGATGCACTCGGTGGCGCTGCAGCATGTGACGCTTGCGGACGGGCAAGCGGTCGGTCCGCTTCGGCCCCGCGACGTGGCGCGGTGGCTGCCACAGCTGCCGGTCGGCAAGTCGACGAAGGCCCCGGCGCATGGACGCAACAGCACGCTTGCGCCCACGACCGTGGCGCTCTACGTGCTGCGCACGCTGGACCGTTTCATGCAATCCATGGACCCACATGTGCGGGCCGAGGTGCACACGCCATGGAGCATGACGCAATCGACGGATCTGTCACCGAATGCTGTCGCGGAGGCGGCGCAGGCGTTGTGGGACATGATCGGCTCGTCGCAGGCGCCTAACGGGCGGCGTGTGCCATGCCCCCACGACGCCTACGTCAAGTACCTGCAGCTGCACCCCGAGGTGTGCGTGCGCTTCTTTCGCGAGTACAACGCGCTGCTCCTAGACGAGGCACAAGACCTTTCGGCATGCCAAACGTCGATTCTCCTGGGCGCACGGGGACACTGTGGCGTGATCGTCGTCGGCGATGTGCACCAGAAGATCTATGGATTTCGCGGCGGCAGTGCGCTTGCTTTTCATGCGCGCTTATACCCCCCCACAGCCACGTTCCATCTCACACAGAGCTTCCGCTTTGGCCCGGAGGTCGCAGCGATTGCGACCAAGGTATTGCGGCTCAAGGCGCCGCCGCCCTGGCACCATGAGCGCGAGCACGGTCCTTGGCCGCGGCCGCGGCTCACGGGCCATGGTGCTGATGCTGTGCATGTACATGGGGCACCCATGGGACGGCCACACACGCGCATCTACCGTACGAATGCCCTGCTGGCGCGCGAGATGCTGTGGCTGGCCTCGACGCTGCCGCCCGGCACGTCGCTGTACCTCAAGACCAGTCAGACTTTGACCCATCGCGCGATGGTCGACCTGCTGCGCGACGGGCACAAGCTGTACCATGGGCAGGCGGACGCGATTCCGCATGGCTCACCGCTGCGCGACTTTGCTGCGTGGAAAGAGCTCGAGGAGCACGTCGAAGCGGAGGAGGGCGGCGACGGAAAGCTGGGCGTGGTCCTCTCGCTCGCCGAAGCCATTGCTGCGCCTGACTTTCTGGAGCGGCTGCGTGGCTTGGAGCAGCAGTTCGTGGCGGATGAGCGAGACGCCTCCGTGATCCTCACGACGGTGCACCAGGCCAAGGGGCTTGAGTGGGACTGCGTGCTGGTCGCAGACGACTTTTCTCCGGCGCTGCAGGCGCGTGCGCTATCACTGCGGCCGCAGGTAGCGCAATTCAGTGCGCAGGACGAGTTGAACCATATGTACGTGGCCCTCACGCGCGCACGTCGCGAGCTCATTATCCCGCCATGCGTGTTGCAGTGGCTCGTGGCGTCCGAGGGCCTCTTCCGCTACCGCTTCACGGGCAAGAGCCGCAGCAGCGCAGCGTGTGGGCAGTGCCACGCGCGCAAAGTGTGCCTCGTGCAACTGTGCCGGCGGTATGCGGGCACGAGTCGCTTCGATGATCGCGTCGACACGCTCGGCTGCTTGCGCTGCGTGCGGCAGCAGCTGGCCGACGATGAAGACCTTGAAGACTTTGTGCGATGGATTGACATGTGTGGGGTCAGCACGGCCACAGGCCAACTGAGCACGTCAGCCGTGGCGCGCACGCTGCGGCGCTACCAGGCTGCAGCGAGGCCATCCCCCAAGCGTATGCGCTCCGAGCGAGCGTCGACGGCTGGCGCAGCGCATCCCGACGAGCGCGCACGCTTGGGGGACCTGGCGCGTGCCGAGCGCGCGGAGCGCTACGAGCATTTCCTGGAGGAGCAGCCATCGCGCGTCGAGACGTGGCTAGCGCTCAGCGTCTTGTGGAGCTCCGTGCTATCATAGGTCTATCCATGCATGCCGTGCATGCCCGTAACGTCGCGGATGCGCGCAATGTCGCTAGCGCTCAGGTAGTGCTTTTGGCTGAGGAAAAAGTCCTCGAACAGCATGGCCGCCTCCGACTGGCCCGGCACGCGGATGCGCGAGGACGAGGTGTCAGCATCTGTCGCCATTTCCTCCGCCTCTGCATCGGACGCCATGAGCTGCGCCTCGAGCGTGTGTCGGATTTGGAGCCAGAACTCAGGGTCGGAGATGCGTGTGCGGTACAGCCGTGAGGTGCTGAGCGAGTCGGAGGTCCGCATATCGTAATCTGACTGTGACGATGCGCCTGACGATCCATTGAAGACATTCTGCGCCTCGGTCACAGGCGTCAGCGTGACTTCCGGGACCGCCGACCGCTCAGGCGTCAGAGGCAGCCGCAGCGGCGGCACTGGCGGCGCGCTGCTCCCGGCCGCCTGCTCCGCCACCGGTGCTCCAGCAGACGGTGCCTGGGTCTCGCTGCGTGCATACTTGGACTTGAGCTCTTCGAACTGCTTGCGCGTGTAGGTTTTCTGCGAGAATGCGTGCATGGATGCGATTTCAGGCTTGAGTCGATCATTCACGAGGCGGTGGCGCTGCAGCGTCGACTTGCCTTCAAACTGGTCCGAGACAATGACTACATCGTACGCCTGTCCACATCCGCCCGAGACATCCGAGACAAATAGCGTCTCAATGTCGCCCAGCTTCGAGTGGATGGCCGCCTCCAGTTCCGACGGAGACACCATGGTCGACGTGGGCGAAGTGGAGGCCCTGTGGGTGCCCGCCCGATCGGGCCAGTGCGTGGCGTCCCCACCACGATGCGCATTGCGTGTGTGCAGTATGCCCCCGAGTTGGGGCGCGTTGCGCAGAACGCTGAGCGTGTGCGTGCACTAACAGCATCGTACGTGCTCCTACTAATGTCAGGCTGAAGCCTGATCAGGTCGACTTGCTCGTGCTGCCCGAGATGGCCCTTACAGGTGGGTACCGTGCGCACTGACGCAGGCTACATGTTCGACTCGCTGGAAGAAATTTCGCCGCTACTCGAGAACCCGTACACGGGCGAGGGCGCGACTTCCGTTCTTGCGGCGGACCTGGCACGCCATCTGCAGTGCCACGTTGTCGCTGGCTTCCCAGAGCGGGCCTCGCCCCGTGCGCTCGAGGAGCTTGGCTCGCGGGGCCAGCACGACGCGCGCATCGCGCGCGAGAAGGTGACGGGTCTCGCACACCTCCCTCGCATTGAGCGGCAGGCGTTCAATGCGGCGATGCTTGTCGGCCCTGACGGCTCGCTCGTCAAAGTCTTCCGGAAGCACTTTCTCTACGAGGCGGATACCACGTGGGCCGACGAGGGCAGCGGCTTCGAGTACCTCGACGTGCCGGGCCTTGGGCGTATATGCGTGGCCATTTGCATGGATTTGAACCGTACGTACATGTGCCTTACGCCAGCCTATACCCTCGAGTCGGAGTTTAGCCGGTATGAGCTCGCGACCTATTGCGAGCAGCACCGCATCGACTGCCTGGTGGTGCCGATGAACTGGCTCCTGCCCGAGGACGATATCGAGGCGTACCAAGCACAGACGAGCTCCAGCGACCCAAGCCTCGCGACGATCAACTACTGGGTCGCCCGCTGCATGCCGCTATGGATGCCGGGCCTCTGCCAGCCCGGCCACGAGGGCCACACGACCTACCTCGTCGCGTGCAACCGCACAGGTGTGGAGCGAGGTACGTATCCATGCCTCACGCAGACATTGTGTTCGCTGGCTCGTCCAGTGTCATTGCGTTCACGTACGCAGATCGCGCCGACCTGCTGGGCACGACAGGGGCGCGCACCGAGGGCACGCTAGTCGTGCACACGGCCTAATCGGCGCTACTGGCCTGCGACGAGGCCCATGAGATTTCGTCGTCGCCCACCACAAATGAGTCCTGTGAGTACTCGCCGATAGAGTGTGGCTCAGCCTCAGAAGAGGGGCGCATGGCGTCGCGGCGCTGCAAAAGCTCCCATAGGCGATCGCGGCGCCGGAACGGTGTCGGCGCCTCTTGCGATAGCATCGACTGCAAATACACGGCTTGCTGGCAGTAGCCCGCCTGTTGCGTCGGCACAAAGTCGCCCACGGCCGCGCGATCGTCGTCGTTCTCTTCGCTGGTCGATGGGCCGTCGTCGTCCTCGTCTGACTCGCCATGCATGTCCGAGTCAGTCTCACGCTCAGCCTCGTCACAGAATAGCTGGTGGTGCGAAGCCGACGGCCGCCGCCGCTTGCTTCGCCGAGCCCGCACGGGCGACTTGGGAGGCGCAACAGCAGGCGTCTGCACATGCAGCGATGGCGACGACGACCGCTCCGGCGAGAAGAACAGCGGCGCATTCGCCGAGCTCGTAGACGTGCTCGGCTTGTCATCCGCCACATCAAGTCCTTCTTCAAGCGCAGCGATCAGGGGATGCGGCGCAAAGCGCGGGGGCGACGCGGCCGGCGCAGCCGGCGCAGCCGATGGACTGCGCAGCGCGACATGCCGCACACCCAACGTACGCCCTCGTGTACCAGGCGCGCTCTCTGTACGTGCGCGCGCGGCCACGTGGGGCGACGCCGCAGGCGCCGCTGCAGGCGTGGGCGAGAAGACCGAGCTGGACCGCGCCGAGAGCGGCGCACATAGTGCCTGGTCGTCCGAGTCGTCCGATAAGTTGGCCGTGCCGTTCAGCGAGCTCGAGCGCAGGAGGGAGCTCGAGGACGAGCGCGGGCGCTCCTGAGGCACAGGTGGAGACACAGGCTCCGCTTCGCCTTCGCGGTGCTCGTCACGATGGCGCAGCTCGGTTGCCCAGCAAAATGTGAGTTTGGCATCGGGTGGCGGCGGGGCGCGGCGCTTGGTCCTAGGGGGCGGCTTTTCGCGCCGCTCGCGCTTGGCCGACGGCCGCATCTTGGCAGGCGCAGGCGCAGGCTGCTCGACCTCACGCATAATCGGCTCTGGCTGGATATGCGGTGGCACCAAGCGTGGTACGTCGGTGTACAGCTCAATCGTCCTGGCGTCGCGCACCAGCCGCTGTACACTCTTGTAAGATTCCTTGGAGTGATGCCAGTTGCTTTCCTCGCGCCCCTCAGACATGAGGACAACGACGCGGCCATCGCGCAAGCGCCCTGTGCGGCCGATCCGCTGAAGCCCGCGTACCGAGTCGCGTACTGCATCATAGCACACAATGAGATCGACCTCGCCAATATCGAGCCCTTCTTCGCCAATGGACGTCGCGACCAGCACCTGGTACGTGCCTTGCTGGAAGTCGCGAATGACCTGCTCCTGGACGCGCTGCGTGAAGCCTCGATTCCCTTTCGAGTCACTTGCTTGGCCGACAAATGGTGTAGCGCGAATTCCGGCCGCGCAAAGCAGCGCCACAATTTCGTTAACGACTTCTCGAAACGTGCAGAATACCATGGCACGCGTGGCGTCGCGCTCAGCAAAGTGGCGCGCGAGCACGTCACGCAGCATCTGCATCTTGGGGTGCACAATGAGCTGCGCATCACTCTGTACCGTCTCAATATCTTCCAGCAGATCACGGAACGTGGCATTCTGGGTAGAAAATACTTGCTCGCGTTTTGTTGTGCCCTTGCCGGGTGCCGACATGGCCTGCACGCGTTCACAGAACACGCGGACAGACTGCTCAGTGAGGTATTGCATGATCTGCGACATCGTCGCGAGCTGCTGCAGAAAGCCGCGCAAAAACGGCCGGGCTTGGAGGATCGCCCGCCCATTTGGATCGCCTCCCGCGGAGCGCACAGCAAATGCACGCAGCTGTGCCGGATCACACGCTCGCAGCACACCGTGCTTGTGCAGTGGGTCGTAGTACACGTGCATGAGCGCCGCCCAGCGGCGCCGCAAAGAGTCCAGGGCGCCGGGCAGGGGGACCTGTACAAGGTCTTCGCGCTTCTTGTGTAGGTATGGCTGGATGTCTAGCGCCTCCTCTGTGCGGATTTCAATGCGGTTGATGTGCAAATTGTTCACCACTTCTTGTACGCGCTCAGCATGGTTGCCTGGCGTCGCAGTCAAAGCCAGTACGCGGAAATGAGGGTTAAAATACATGAGGTGGCGGATTACCTTGCAGTACGCGTAGTTGCCGGTGGCACGATGCGCCTCGTCGACCACGACACAGACGACCTCGCTGGGATCGCATGTCGTCGAAAGCAAGTCGTTCTCAAAAGTCTGCGGCGTCATGTAAAAAATACGCTTGCTCTTCCATTCGTCGTCGCGTAACGAGCGTTTTGTCGAGCCGGTGAGCTCAATCGCAAGGTCCCATGGCAGGCCGCAAATGCTGTGGCAGGCCTGCTGCTGCTGATTCACGAGTGGGCGCGTGGGGGCAACAAAGATAATTTTACCTCGCGGGAACCAACGCACATAGTTGAGGATGACGACTGCAGCAATAAATGTCTTGCCCAGGCCAGTCGGCAAAGCGACGAGCACATTGTTGAAGAGGGCCTTCTTCACAATGTTCAGCTGGTACGAGCGCAGCGGCTTGTTGATGGGGTATATCCATGTCTGCGCCTGCTCTTCATCGACGGCCACAGCCATAGGCCGCGGTGAGCTGTGAGGGATAGGCTCAGCAAAGAGCAGCTCCTCGGAGCCGTCGTCGTCTGGCGCGCGCTTTTCGACGCGGTTCTGCTGCTGCAAAAATATTCGGTTGTCCCAAACCTTGCCGCTGCGGAGCCCAAGCATTGCTCCTTGAGCAGCGGCAAGCGACACGAGACCCTGCGCTGTGTGTACCTGAGAAGCCGTCTCCTCCGACGATGGGCGGTGCGCGGCGCGCGGTGCCGCTTGAACGGGCCGCCCAAACAGACCCTGTTGTGTAAGAGGGGCCGGCTTGGCCGCCACAGGTCGCGCAACCTGTACGTTCGTCGTATCTTGCAGGGGCTCTCGCCCGCCCTGACTTCTCTGGATCTCGTCGTCGAGCTGGTCAAAGCCCTGTAGCAAGAGCTCTTCGAGACCGGGATCCAGCGCGTCCTCCCTGGGCGGTGCGGTCTTGGGGCCGGCGGGGGGCGGCGCATGCAGGCACCGGGCCTCGATGGCATCGACCTGCGCCAGCCACTCGGAGCCGACAAGGTCGTCATCAAACTCATCGAACTCGGCCATGGCGGCCCGTGCCACGCTCCCTCGTCGTCGCGGGGGAGAACGCCACGCGCGGAAGACGCGTCTAGGTCGGCCGAGCTACGGATGGTACAGGTGGAGGAGATTCGCCTCGAACTCGGTCAGGATGAGCTTGAGGTCGCGGCGGCGAAGGCCTTCGCGCACCACAATTTCCTCCACGGTATGCTTTCCATTGAGGTAAGGAAAGAGGCGAATAAGCCAACGCGTGTACCAAGGGTGCTTCTCCGAGAGCATGGCGGCAATCCACTCGCTCTCCGTCCGGTTCGCACGGGCCGGCTCCGGGATCAGGACCGGGCACAGGGCGCGATTCGGCAGGACGTCCTCTAAATTCTCTTCGTCGGAGTCCATATCCAAGTCATCGTCTTTTTCTAGGCGCAAAGGGGGAGGCCGGTGGTCTGCGCCAGGCTCCCGGGGAAGTCGGGCATACATCCACTCGTCGTTGCTCGAAAAGCTGCTTGCTGTCGACGCCGTCCGCTGGTGGCGATGCCGGTTCTGGGGATCAGGCACAGGCCGCTCTGGCTCATGAATCCCCTGTTGGATTTGACCGCGCAGCGTATCAATAAGGGTCTCCGAGTCGGACTCGGACCCGCTGTTGTTGTGCGCCCTCTGCTTTTCGCGGCGCAGTCGCTGCAACTCGATGGCCTTGACTTGGTCGCGCACCGTGATGACCAGACGAAGGTGCACGTGTGTCTGGATGACCACGTTATGGCGAATCAGCCATAAGAGAAGGTCAAGCGGGCGGTGGTCCGTGGGCAGACGGCCGCAGTGTGATGCAAAAGGTCGTAGCTGCGATGAAAGCGCATCCATGAACCAGGGCAGCGGCGGCATCGTTGGAAAAGCATCGGCCCACTGGTCACTCAGCTCAGAAAGCATTGCCATATCAAACGTTGGGTCCACTGTGTAGATGCTCTGGATGCGTGGCACATCGACGACGCGCGCTTCGCCGTAGTAGACAAGGTAGCGCACCAGGGGGTATAAGTCTTTGTACAGGTCCCAGCCGAGGATCTCGGCAATTTGGCCAAAAGTCCGACTGCCAGATAAGGTCGTCTTGAAATGCGGGACAAGCATGCGCACAGTGTCGTACGCGGTCTTGCCTTGCGTGTGTGTGAACGCATCTTCAGGCAGGATCAACGTCTGCCATGGGCGCAGCAACGGACCTGTAGATGTGGTCCATGTATGAAGAAGGCTGTCCGACGTCGTCTGCGCTAAGTTCATATTCCGCTGCATCGGCGACAGGTCCCGGGGCTCTGGCTTGTCGCCGCGAAGGACGACCGGATCGTGCATATCGATCGTGGGCTGGACGTCTTTCGCTTTTTCGGCCTTTCGGGGTGTCTTGAGGAGGGGCGGAAGCTTGACGTACAGAGTCAGTGGGCCATACGAAAGGAAACCACTCCGGCGCGCTCGTGCAAGCAAGCGGTAGACGTCTTTCATAATACACGAGACCGATGCAGTCTCTAGGCTTTTCTGCACATATTCGGAATAGGTAACATTGTTTTGCATACACTCCTCGCGCAGCAGAGAGAGTGCGTGGGACTGCTCGGAGACGAGGCCTGACCGTGCCTCTTCGGCAGCAAACACGGCTGTGATCTTAAACAGGATGGTGTAATATAGGGAGAGCCAGGTGCCATAGTCCACCGATGGGATTTCAGGGAACATATTTGTCCGATCAAACACCATTACAAAGTTAAAGATCGTCGACGGGGGCTTGTTTCGGGACTCAGTCTCGTGCTGCTGACACACGGGATGTCCCAGGAAGATGAGGTCGTCGACAGACAGCTCGAATCTCTGGAAACATTGGCTCTCTCGAGGAATCAGGATCGACGCCAGCAGCTCCAAGTCAAGGCCCAGATACGTATGAAAGTCCTTGAAGGACTTGTCGTCGGGATTGTGGCCATCGCCCAAGAACGTCGACTGGGAGATACGCGGCGGCGGGCGCGAGGCACTGCGACTGCGCCCACTAGATACACGTCCATCAGGAGAGGATCCTGATCGTGCACGCGACGTCGATCGCCCGAACCGTCCCGAATCGCGGAACCGCCTCATGGTCGATGCGTCCCGTGTGATGCGCTCCTCGTCATCGAGGCGCAGACGCGCTACCTCCTCCATGAAACTTGCCTCAGATGAAGCGGAAGAGGCGTCTGACTCGTCTGCACTATCTTCCGACTCGTCCTTATACGCGAGATCGTGCGGCGCATGGATCGAGCTGAGCCGAGGGTGCTCGTCAGGATTTGCATAGTAGCGCATGTGTGTGCGCCGTTTTTTGCGCATCACCGTAGGAGGCCATTGGAAGGCGATATTCGTCCCCCGAGAGGACGACGTAGCCAGCAGGATCGCCAGCAGCGGCGAGCTCATGGGTCACTCGCGCGGGCGATGGGAAGCGCGCTACGCCCTGTCGGGCCTTTACCTCCACATGAGACACTACGAGCAGGCCGGCGCTATGTGGGCGTCGCTCGCACTGTGCTTGTGCGTGCGCTGGGTTTAACAGAATGCGAGTGAATAGGAAAAGATACGCGTTCGATACTGACATGCCGCACCAGTGACACGGTAGACCGCTGACTCGAGGTCCGCGGCCGTGGCACAGGCGTGGCGGGGGCGGGTCGCGACGCTTGCGGTGCCTTTGGCGCGGCATCCGTGCTTGTATTGATGGTCTTCTCCATCTCATACTTGAGCTCCATGCGGATGGCACACAGATGTGCCAACTCGGCATGGAGAGAAATATAGTACACCTGGGAGGCCATGGAGATGGCTTCGAGAATGCGCTTCAAGCCGGCCTCCTCGAGCCCCTGCATGAACAACGAAGCCGCGCGAGGGCACGACGTTTGTAGGGACCTCAGTACGGTGGTGAGCAGGCGCAGATGCGACGTCAAGTACATGGTGGCGTCCCATTCCACACTGCCTGTGATCCCATTGGGAACTTGGGGCGCGGTGACAGACTTGATATCCAACTTGTGCCAATCGAGCACCCTGTTTTCTTTGTGGCAAAATATCCAGAAAAACTCTTTGCATACTTGCTGAAGAAGAGAGATATACGTGCGAAGTGGCTGGTGCTCGTTGGGCCGCTGCAGAAACTCGACTTTGGTTTCAAAGGCGGCAGGCTTGGGGGTATGAAGAAGCATGGCCACGAGCACGGCTCCTGTATGGACGTCATTGGCCATGGCGGCAGAGACACATGACACGTCATCCACCGGGACGCGATGTAGTTGGCGCTTATCGAGCACCTGCGGTGAGAGAGAAAGGGGAACGATCTGGATGAGAAGCTGGATAATAAGGCGGCGAGTGTCGAGCTCGCCCGGTGTCCGGTCAGAAAAGAGGAGAGCGACAAGCTGCTCCATCGGAGCGGGCGCAGCCGCCTCGATACAGGCCAGTCCTTTTGGAGATGACGAGAGAGTATGGAGACAGCGAAGCAGCTCATGCAGGAGGGTATCATCGTGCTGTTCTTCGCGCCATTCCATCTGAAAAAGGTCGTCGAAGCGCGCTAGCAGCGCCCGGTACCCGCCCGCATCGATAAAGGTCTGGATCCACATGTGAGACTCAGTAGCAAGTGCTACACGCAGCTGCCGCACCATGTCCACAGGCACTTGTCGTGCAGGAAGCTGCAGTTGAGCGAGGAACTGGGTCGGCAAGAGGCGCTTGGGCGCCTTTTGCGAGGTATCACGGAAGGCGAGGATCGAGGACATGCGGTGTGGCCGCTTGGGCTCCGCAGTGCTCTTTTTGTGCATGCCGACGATGCGCTCCTTCATGCGCGGATCGAGCGAAAGGGCCTCGATGTGATCGAGTAGGCTGTGGTCCAGCGACTCTGCGGATGTTTGTGCAGGCGCAAAAGGAATGGGCGCTGCGTCTTTCTCGCTACGATAGGTCCGCAGAAGTCGCTTAGGAGCCAGGGTCGGTCCCGTGAAGAGGCCCGAGCGCTTAGACCCGGCGTGTGGCGTCGCCGGCACGACATTTTCTTTCTCCATCGCTCCAAGAGGCAGACCCGGCGGTTTCACGCGTGGAGCAATAACACACCGTGTGGAGGGTCAACACACGAAAATAGCAAGATAGATGTTGCTCTGGCAGTGGAGGCGAATCAACACCACGCGAGACGGTCCTTCTCCCCTCATGCCACCCGCCTGGGACGGAGGAGCGTCCTCCAGCGCGAGTCTGCGTGAGAATGTGGCCGTGTGTGTTCGGACGCGCCCACTCTCTGGCGATGAGGAGTGTACGATTTGGCGGCTCGACAAGGGCCAGTGCAGTGTGACGCCCACCGAGCAGCACCCCGCGCTAGCCCGCCGCGGAGGCAAGAGCATGCAAACCAACGACGACGACGACAGCAGTGGACTCTCAACCTACGACTTTCGTTTTGATAATCTTGTGTTGGGTGATGAGAACACGAGCGCCCTGTACAGTGAGAACGTGTACCCAGTCGTGCGGGCCGCCATGGACGGATACAACGGTACGGTCTTTGCGTACGGCCAGACCGGGAGCGGCAAGACCTACACGATGAGCGGCACGCCTGACGAGCCGGGTGTAATTCCGTGCGCTGTGAATGATGTGTTTTTAATGATTCGTGATGCGCCCAAGCGCGAGTTTCTGCTGCGTGTGTCGTACCTGGAGATCTACAACGAGACACTCCGGGACCTGTTGGCAGACCCTAAAAAACGCGAGAAAGCCCCGCGCATCGTCGAAGAAAAGGGACGCATTGTCTTGAGCGGCATGCGCGAGGAAATCGTCACGGCGCCTAGTGAGGTAATGGCCCTGCTCGAGCGGGGCCAAGCGGCCCGCCATGTGGGCGCCACAGACTGGAACACACGGAGCAGTCGGAGCCACTGTGTATTTCAGATCACGATCGAGAGCCGCGAGCAGAGCGAGGACGCTCACCGCGAGGTGCGCGTGAGCCAGCTGAACCTCATTGACCTGGCTGGCTCTGAGCGGGCCGCCACGGAGATGGCGCGACGCAAGGAGGGCGCCTTTATCAACAAGTCGCTGTTGACACTAGGCACGGTGATTGCCAAGCTCACCGAGACACAGACGGGCGCGGATGCGCATATCCCCTACCGAGACTCGAAGTTGACCCGCTTGCTGCAGACGTCGTTGAGCGGCGATGCGCGTGTCGCGGTGATTTGTACCATTACGTTGAGCCGCTCACATGCGGCCGAGACACTATCGACGCTCAAGTTTGGCCGCCGCTGCAAGATGGTCGTGACCAAGGCGCAGCGACACACAGAGATCAACGACAAGGCGCTCCTCGAGAAATACCGCCAGGAGCTGGACATGCTCCGTTCGCAGCTGGCGTCTACAGGTCAGAGCGAGCCGACCTCGCCGCTCTGTACGCCGACCAAACGCGATTGGGCGGCGCTGAGTGAGGAGCGCGCGGCGGCTGAGCAAGAAGTGGCGCGAATGCGCGAGACGCGGCGGGACCTGCGGGAGCAGATTGACCACCTTACTCGACTCATCCTCACAAGTCGGTCTGTGGCGGCTGAGACGCCTGCACGCGCCATGTCCAGCGGCTCTGACGTGTTTGCATCGCCGGCGCGCCGCGGGCCGCGCATGAGCGACCTTCCCGCGCGCTTGGCGCCGGGCGCCGGCGACGCGGAAGTCACACAGCTGCGGCAGGAGCTGGCACATCTGCGCATGGCGCACGAGGCGGAGCGGCATGACCAGCAGCGGCGCATTGAGGGGCTCGAGACGGAGGTGCGCCTTCTTGAGGAGGCAGCGCACACCGCGCACCAGCGGAACCGGGGCGCGGAGCGCGAGCTTGTGCGCCTGCGTGAGGAGCATGCGACGGATGAAGCCCACCGCGAGTTCCGCGAGCTCGTCTCAGCGCGCCCATCGCCCGAGTTGCGCCCGCACACGGATTCGGTGCATTACGAGGCGCGTATTGCCGCGCTAGAGCGCGCGCTCGCGGAAGAGAAGGCGATGCGCGACTTGACGTCGCTGCCGGAGCGCCCGCTCGCGCTACCTATGCAGGCGCGGGGCGGCATGACGCCGCCCTGCGTGCCGCTGCGCTCGCGCTCGACGGGCGGCAGCCCCAGGCCGGGGGCTAGCGACAACGTCGAGGTGCTGCAGCGCCAGGTGGAGCAGCAACAGGCTCTCATTGCGTCCCTGGCCCAGAGTGTGCTGGGCTGGGAGGCACGTGTGAAGCAGCAGGCGAGCCTGATTGCGAAGCTGGCCGAGCTCGTCAGTGGCGACGCTGACGAGGGCGAGGAGGCGCTGGCGCCCCCAGCCCCGCAGGCCCGGCCGCGCCACAGCGGTATCCGGCCGAGTGATGTGGTGCAAGGCAAGGTGAGTGTGGGCGACGCCGAGGCCCAGCGGCGCCTTACACACGAGCGACCGAGCCAGGATCTCGATACCCAGGCCCACGCCGGCAAGGTCGGCGCGATGGCCAAGGCCCTGGAACGGCCACGCTCCGCCCATGCGAGCGAAGCCTCGAGCCCGGCCATGGGCAGCGGCGACGGCGCGCGAGCGTGCCTCAGCGAGTCGCCGCAGCCAGTGGAACAGAGTCGCATGCCGCCGGACGTGCCGCCCATGGAGCCGGAGATCCATGTGCCGCGTGCTGTGCGGCCCGAGCCGCGCACGGCCACGCTGCCTGCGCGCACCCTGCCGATGCCGCCCGGGGGCCCGACGCGCACGCTGCCGAAGCCACCGAGCACGCACCATGTGGCGGCGCTGCGGGCCTCGCTGCAGGCGCCCTCTGAGCCGCGCACGGCGCGTGCGGCCTTGCCGCAGCCAGTGGAGCGCAAACGGCCGGCGCCCTCGCCGCCCCAGGTGGCAGCCGTGCTACCGGCGGCGCCGGAGCCACCGAGCAAGCGGTCTGCGGCGCCCGACACGCATACCAGGCTGCGTGCGCGCATGTCAGCGTATGCGGCGGCGACCGAGCCGGCGGGACCGCCGCGTACGTCGCCACGAGCCGCGATGCCGCTCAAGCCGGCGCAGTCGATGATGCAGCTCTCGACGGAGCGTCGCTCGCGCGATGCGGCCATTCTGCGCGAGCTGAATGAGCTCAAGTCGATGCCGCGTGTTGAGAGCAGTCGTGTGATGTACATGCCGCCGGCTCTGCCCTCCGACCTAACGCATACGCGCCTATCAGCCGCGGCGTACAAGACGGACGCGAGTGCATACTACATATAGGCTTCGAGTGGAGGCGCGAACGGGGCAGCCATGTGACCGACGCTCATCATCGGCCGACACTTTTTCTGCGCGCTGGCGCCCGCCGTACGGCAGCTCCAGCCGACCCGACCCGGTGACGAGCGAGGGGCCGCCTTCGCAACATGGACGGGCTGACCGTGGGACGCTCGCCAGCGAGTCTGGCAGCGGCACAGGGGCCAGCCGCGGCGCCCAGTCAGGGTGCGTTGGAGGGCGTGGTGGTGCCGAGGCCGATGCCCGAGAGCCCCGACGACGTGCTGCGCTGGCTGGGCGTGGCGCCTGAGCTGCGCTTTGACGACGTGTATGATAACCAGCTGCCGTCTCTCCGCCGTATCCGGCTTACGAATGCGAGTGAGGGGCCGGTGTGCGTGGAGCTCCCGCTGGCGCGGCCTGGCCTGCGGTGGGTCCAGCCGCGCCCCGGCGCGGCGGGCAGCGAGCCGTGGGCCACGGACGTGGCGACGAACACGGCGGCGTGGGTGCATGCTGGGGGCTTAGAGCCCACGCAGCTGCGCTCACTGCGGCACAAGGCGGCGAACTTGGACGTGTGTGAGCGCGTGGCGCTCGCGCCGCTCGAGGCCGCGGACGTGTTTCTCGAGGTGCGGGTGCGTGAGCTGAGCCCGCCGTCGCCGCGCTCGGAGGCGGCTCCGGCGCGCAGTGACCATGTGCCGCACGAGCGCTCGACGACGATGCTTCTCGCGCCGATGCACGTAGCCACGCCCGAGCGCCGCGTGACGGCGTCGGTGCCGGTGCTCGTGAGTGCGTGCGAGCCGGTGGTCTCCGTCGAGTGTGTCGATGCGCAAAAATCGAGCGTGGGCCGCGACTACCAGCTCATGCTGGATCTCGGCGATGTGGTCGTGGGCGAGCACGTCGCGCGCGATGTGCTGGTGACGAACCACTCGGCCATTGAGTGCTTTGTGCATGTAAAGTCGCACGACGACGGCACCGACGGGCCCGTGGTTGTGCTAGACCCCCAGGGGGGGCGGCGCGTGGACGGCGGGCTGCTGGCGCTCGCGCCGTTCGAGGCGCGCACGGTGCGCCTATTGCTGGCGCCGCAGGCGTCGCATGCGAATCTGGAGCAGACGTTCGTGTGGGAGAATGCGCATCGGCCGTCGAATGCGACGCGCATTCTCGTGCGCGCGAACCTGCTCGGTGCCCCGTCGGACGACGCACTGCAGGTGCTGAGCGAGGCCCCGCTCGACTTTGGCGACTGCTGCGGCGGGCAGTGGACGCGGCAGCTGCTCGTCCTCAAGAACCAGAGCGATGCGCTCCTCGATGTCGTGTTCCGCGCGGAGCCGGGCATCGAGGTGACGTTCCAGCTCGCGGAGCTCGCGTCGCAGCGCGACAGTGCCGACGAAGGGGAGGCGCCGGACGATGATGTGCCGCTGGGCGGCACGTCGAGTTCGACGCGCGTGTGGACCGGCGAGAGCGAAGAGGTGGGCAGCGGGGGCGGTAGTGCCATGGACCGCAGCAGCAGCGGCATGGGCGGCAGCGGCGCCAGTGCTGCCCAGGAGGCCGACGACGCTGCGAGCGACGTCTCGTCGAATGCGTCGCAGGCCGGCTCGGAGGTGGACAGCGGGGCGCAGCGCACCGACCTGTTCTCGCGCGCGAGCGAGGCAGAGACGCAGGAGGCGGGCCCGAGCAGCAGCGCGGCCAGCTCGACGATGCCAAGCGGCAGTGTACCGAGTATCGCGCCGAGCTCGCACTTGTCGGGCCCCGGCGTCGGCCAGCGCATCCCCTCGTACTCGGTGAGTGCGCTGGCCACGTCGCAGCCGCGGCAGCGGCGCCTGCACGACCCCATGGCGATGTTGCGTGGCGGCGGCGAGTCGCAGCACAACGAGATGGAGGAGCTGGTGCTGCGCCCTGGCGCGCAGTACCGCATTGTCGTGTCGTACCGCCCGCCGCGCGAGGCGGCCGACGAGGCGTTCACCGCGGGGCGGCTCAGACACACGTCGTTCCGTCTGTTCCTCGACTATGTGCGTGCGTCGGACCATGTGCGCACGCACCGCGGGCGGCAGCGTCGCGACATTGTGTGCCATACGCGGACGTGCACGCCGTTCATTTCCGTGTCGCCGCGCGTCGTGGACTTCGGGCTGGCGGACGTCGGCGCACGGAAAACGGCCCAGGTGGCTGTGACGAACCACTCAGAGCTGGAGACGCGTGTGCTGCTGCGCTTTGTGTCCAAAGTGCTGAGCATGTACATGGACGAGATTGCAGTGCCGGCGCGTCAGACGGTGGAGCTCAAGATGGACTTTTTCCCGCGGCGCGTCAACGACTCGTACCGCAAGCAGATCACGGTGATGAACCTGCTGAACCGCGAGAACGATCAGATCCTCGAAGTGCGTGCGCGCAACGTCGATCTGCAGCGCGTGAGCTTCCACTCGCTCTTCTACCGCATCCTCACGCCAAGTGGCTCGAACTACATCGATTTTGGTGATGTGAACATCCATGCACCGAGCGTGCGCAGCTTCGGCATCGAGAATCTGTGTGCGACGCGTCTCTCGCTCGAGATGAGCGTCGCACACCCCGAGGATCTGCAGCTGTACATGGTGCCGCCCCAGCAGCCGGCGCAGGTGGCCGATGCCCCGCCGGCGCCGCGCCGCGCCGCGTGGAAGGAGCGCTTCCTCGAGTCGATCAGCACGGATACGCCGGCGGGCGCCCTGGCGTCGCCCGCCCGCACGAAGGCCAACAAGCAGCGGAACCACGTGCAGGCGCTGCGCCGCGGTAGCCGTGGCCGCGCGACGGTGCGGGCCGGCGCAGCGATGACGTACAAGGACGCGTCGCTCCTGCAGGGCCTGCAGTACCTCGACCTGGCGAGCGGACTGCCCGGCGCCGCGCGGCGATCGTCGCGTGCCACCAAGGGACGCGCGGCCGCTCCGGCGCTNTGGCGCCGCCCGCGGTGAGCGACGCGCCGAGCCCTGGCCGCGCGCGGGGCCGGCGGCCCGCGGACAGCTCGCCTGCCCTCACCGGCACGTGGCGGCGCATGGCGCCCCTGGTCGAGCCGCAGGACGTGGCCGCGCTCGACACCGAGTCGCTCGTCCGGGCGTGGGAGAGCCAGCCGTCGTCGCTGTCGGCGTTCCTCGTGCGCAATGTGGAGGCGGAGGAGAAGCTCGTGCGGACTGAGATCCATCTGCAGCGGGCGCTGCGCGAGGCCATCGCGCGTGGGCAGCTCGTGCCGATTGGGCTGCTGGACGTGCCGCCGGCGGCAGTGATGCAGGTGGTGGCCGTGTACACGCCGCAAGGGAGCACGCGGCCGCATATCCAGGGGACGGCCCGGAAGCAGGACTCGCGCATCTTCCTGCGGCTGCTCCAGTTCGACCGGCGCCGGGCTGTGGGTGTGCCCGAGTTTGAGGCGCTGCGGGACCGCGACATTGATGAGCTGCCTGTGCGTGACCTGATGGTGCGTGCCTCGGTGTGTCGGAGCATGCTGGAGCTGGGGCAGCCGCACATCAACTTTGGGCACATGGACAAGGGCGACCGGCGCGAGCGCAAGATCTGGATCCAGAACCGCAGCGAGTGGGCGCTGCGGTACTGCATCCGCAAGAGCGGGAGCATAGCGTCGGGCGATATCCGCCTGGGCCGCGGGCGCTACGGCATCGTGCCGGGCTACGGGAAGCGCGGCGTCGACTTTACCTTCTCGCCGTCGCTGAGTGGCCCCTTCTGCGAGCGCCTCGTGGTGGAGAACGTGGCGGACCACGACAACGACCAGGCGATTGTGCTCAAAGCGAGCGTGCGCAAGGTGCCCAACTTTGCCGTCGAGCCCGGGGCGCTGCAGCTCGGCGCATGCCGCGCCACACCCGGGGCGCCCGAGAGTGTGCGTGTGTCGAACGCGACGCCCAAGCCACGTACACTGGTCGTGCAGGTGGACGAGGCGGCGGCGCGCGCGGTGCCTGTGCCTGTGCGTGTGCTCGTGGCTGCCAGTGACGACACGGCGGCACGCCGCACACTCACGACCGAGGAGGAAGAAGAGGTCGAGACCCTGTACCAAAAAGTCAAGATTGCGAGCCGCAAAGGCAACGTCGACAAACTCGCCAAGTACCGCGAGCGGCTCACGCAGCTCGGCGTCGCTGTGCCCGAGACGACGGCGCCGGTCGACGCGGGCGCAGCCCCGCAGGAGGCGGCCGCGCCGCTCGACGATCTCGCGCGCTACACATGCGTGCTGCGCGACGGGCGTCCCGCGGACGCACTGACCGTGACGCTCGCCGCGCACCGCTCGCAGAAGCTGCTGGTGCGCGTGTGTGCGCCGTCCGGCGCCGCCCGCGATACGGACGTGCAGGTGCCGCTGCAGCTGCACGAGGCGAAAAACAGCGACGAGACGCGCCACGTCGTGCTTCACGCGCGTGTCGTGGCCTCGTCGCCCGATACCACGTCTACGTAGATGGACTCGCGTGCTCATGCGCTTGCACGGCGCAATAGTAGTGCATCGCCGCGCCCTGCGCGGGCAGGACGGCCAGCACAGCCTGCCCGAGGCGCCGCTCACACCGCGCACACGTGCGCCCATCGGTAATGAGCACGCGCTGGGCGTGCCGCGCGCGCACCTCGCGCGTGAGCGCGGCCTCGCGCGTAGCGTACAGGGCCTCTTCGACGCGCAGCTGCGCGCGCGCCGCACCCGTCGCACTGAGCGAGCGCTCCAGCAGCGCACGCACCTCGGCCACAGGCGTCGCGCGCGGCAGGAGGGGCAGCAGGTCGTCGAGGGCCAGCGCTGACGCATGCTGCGTGAGCCACGCATACACATGCGGCAGCTCGCCCGGCATCTGCGCCGCCACAAGGCGCACCAGCGTCGTGAACAGCGCGCCGCGCGGCGCAGCCGCGGCGTGCGCCGCGCAGTACGCCTCGGCCGCTCGCACATCGCGCAGGACCTCGACATGGAGGCGCAGCGCCTCGTCGTGGCGGCCCAGGCGGCCCAGCAGGGCGGCCCGCACGGCGGGCAGCGCCGGCGCCGGCGGCATATCGTCCAGCAGTGCCTCTGCGTCGTACAGCGTCGAGCTGTGCAAGAAGGCCACGAGCTCGTGCGCGTCCGCGCCGTGCGCGCTCGCCTGGAGCGCCCCCTGCGCCCACTGCGTGTGGAGCGCCGCGTCCTGCGAGCCCGTCTCGAGGACGCGCGCGAGGTACGCCTGCGCGAGGCCCGCGTCCTGCGCCGCGAGGCTCGCGGCGACGCGGCGCGCCGGCAGCGTCGTCAGGTGCTCCTCGCACGTAAAGATGGGCAGCGCTTGCGACGGTGCGTGAGCGACGACCCAGCGAGCGTGCGCCAGGAGCAGGTCGAGGTGCTCGGCGCCGAGGCTCGCGAGGTACGCGACGAGGCGCTCGACCGCGTCCTCCTGGCCGTCTGTGCATGCGCGCTGCAGTTCGTCCAGCGCGGCGGCATGCAGGCCCTTGCCGCGGTACAGCGCGACGAGCTCGGCGCGCAGGCCGTGCGCCTGGAGGAGCGCGCGCACCTCGTCGACATCGCATGCATTGTCGACGCGGCACAGCGGGCCCACGAGCGCCGGCTTGGTCGCCAGGAACACCTTGACGAGCGCCGTGTCGACGAGCTGGGCCATGGCCTGCTGCTGCGCGGCCGGGAGCGCCGGCAGCGCGCATGTCGTGGGGAGGGCCAGGAGCGCCTCGAGCGGCGCCGGGCTGCACGTCGGCGCCGCCACGAGAGGGCGCAGCACACGCCGCCGGTCCGTGAGGAAGCGGGCGAGGGCATCGAGCGCGCGCCGGTCCGGCTCGCCGGCGGGCGCATCGCACGGGTCACGCACGCCAAAGTGGCGCAGCCACGCGGCGCGCGGCCGCGCGAGCGGCCCCGCGACCGACGCGGGGTACAGCGCAAGCGCCCAGGCCGGGTTGAGGTCCACCTGCAGAAACTCGTCCATCGCCGTCTCGTACTCGCTCTGTGCAAACGCCACGACGCCGACGAGCGTGTGCAGGTGGGGGCGCCGCGCGGCCATCTCGTCGGGACACGCGTCGAGCGCGTCCAGGAGGGCGAGCGCCTCGCGGTACTCGCCGGCGTCCGTCAGTGCATCGAGCTGTGCCTCGAGCGAGGCGGCCTGCAGCTCGTAGAGGGGTGCGTCGTGGCCGCGCGCAGCGGCGCCGAGCACGTACGCGGTCGGCGCCGCGCCGGCCGCGAGGAGGCGCGGTGCGGCGCTGCCGGGCAGCGTGAGTGTTTGGGCCAGCCGCAGGGTGCGCTGCGTGTATACCTGCAGGGCGCCCTGCGCGTCGAGCAGGAGGAGGTACGGCGCACATGCGATCGCGCCCAGCGGCGGCGCGTCCCAGCGCAGCGCGGACGCGCGCGACGGCTGCCCGTTCGCGTGCACCAAGACGCCGGCGTGCTCCGTCGCGAGGAGCACGTCGTCGGCGAGCGCCAGGACGAGGGGGCGCTTGGGGCGCGCCCACCACGCGCGCGCATCGCTCGCGGCCGTGTCAGGGACGGGCACCGCGAACGTGTCCCAGGCGTGCGCATCGACCCACTGCCCCGACGCGAGGGCGTCGCTTGGCGGCGTGCGGTACGCGACGCTCGAGGCGTGCGCGGGCGGCACGGGAATGCGCGCGTACTCGTACGTGCCGTAGCCCACAAAGAGCACAGGGCCAGCGAGCGCGAGCGTCGTCGGCGTGCGCGGCAGCGGCACGACCTTGGCGTCCCAGAACTGCGCGTCCGCCCAGCGGTACAGCACAGCCTGGTGCGGGCACGCGATGGCGAGCACGGACACGCGCGTGTTGTGGGGCGTGCGCTGCTTGTGCCGCGCAACGTCCTCCATGCCCTGGAGCCCGACGGCGCGCGCGTCGCTCGCCGCCGGCGCGGGCGCCGGCTGCGTCGTGGCATGCCGCGCCTCCCACCAGGTGCCGGCCGTCATCGTGCGCGCGCCGCGTGCGAGCGGCAGCGCCGTCGGCGTATCGATCGACTCGGACGTGCACAGGCTCACGATGCCCGAGTCGCGGCGGAGCGCGAGCCAGGGCGTGCCGGGGACGCCACAGATCTGCTCGACCGCGCGGCGCGACGAGCCCGCGGCGATCGGCGTGCTGGCCAGGCCCGCGCGCACGCAGCCGCGCGATGTGCCGATATACACGTCCGCATCCGCGCCGACGCACGCGAGCGCCGTCGCATCCGCGCACGACGCGCGGGCGTGCGCCTCGTACACACCGGCCATCGCCGTGGCGGAGGAAGAAGCACGTGATACTCACCACCATGCTCGAGGCGCAGCTGCGCGCGGCGCTCGAGCGCCGCGAGCGCCGGGGCCTGCGTCGCACGCTGCAGACGCAGCCGGACGCGGGCCTCGTGGACGTGTCGTCGAACGACTACCTGTCGCTCGCGCGCCTGCCGTCGATCCGGCAGGCCGTGGCGGCCGCGCTCGCCGACGTGCGGATCGGCAGTGGCGGGAGCCGCCTGCTCGATGGCGACTCGCCGCTGCATGCGCACGCCGAGGCGCGGCTCGCTGCGTACTTTGGCGCGCCAGCCGCGCTCCTGTTCAACAGCGGGTACGACGCGAACGTGTCGCTGCTCACGACGCTGCCGCAGCCGGGCGACGTCGTCGTGCACGACGCGCTCGTGCATGCGAGCATGCACGACGGACTGCGTGCGTCGCGTGCGCGCGCGGTGCGCTCGTTCCGGCACAACGACGCCGCGGACCTCGAGCACGTGCTGCGGGGCGTCCTGGAGGAGCTGGGCGCCACGGACGACGCGCGGGCCGGGCGCTGCAACGTCTTTCTCGCGCTCGAGAGCGTGTACAGCATGGACGGCACCGTGTGCAGCCTGCGCGCGCTCGCAGAGGTCCTCGCGCGGCATGCGCCCCGCGGCGCGCGGCACATCCTCGTGGACGAGGCGCACGGCGTCGGCGTCTATGGGCGCGGCGGGCGCGGCGTGTGCGACGCGCTGCAGCTCGCGGACGTGCCGAGCGTGCGCCTCGTCACGTTCGGCAAGGCATGGGGCTGTGCGGGCGCGGTCGTGCTGTGTCCGCCGGTGTGGCGCGAGTACCTCCTGAACTATGCGCGCCCGCTCATCTACTCGACGGCGCTGGCGCCGATGCAGGTCGCCGCCGTGCTGTGTGTGCTGGACGCGCTGGAGCGCGGCGACGTCGACGTGCGGATCGAGACGCTGCATGCGCGCACGCGGCAGCTGTACGAGGCGCTGGGCCGCCCGTACGTGTGCGACCCGCTGCCGCCCGCGCCGATCGTCCCCGTGTACACGGCGCAGCCGCTGGTCCTCGCCGCGCGTGTGCAGCGCGCCGGCTTCCTCGTGCGCGCGGTGCGCTACCCCACCGTGCCGCGCGGCGAGGAGCGTGTGCGCCTCTGTGTGCATGCGCACAATACACGCGAGGAGATGGCGCAGCTCGCCGCGGCGGTGCACGCCGCGCAGGGCGCGGCCCTGTAGTCTAGGTGCGGTGGCGCTCCGCGAGCGTCTGCACGTTCCACTTGCCCCAGCGCTCGTAGTCGTCCAGCGCGCCAATCCCACACACATTGCGCAGGACCTCCACGACGACGACCACGTCGGGGTGCGCGAGGTCGACGCGGTGGCCCTCGTCGGCCGGCACGCACGCGGCGACGAGGGGGATGAGCGTCTCGCGCGTGAGCGAGGTGTGCGCGCGGATGCGCGGCTCGATGCGGTACTGCGTCAGCGCGGCGCACGTACGGTCAGTGGCCGGTCCGCCGGAAAGGCGGCGCGCAGCGCGCGCGGCGCCGCGGCACGGATCGACTCGGTGTCTGCGTGGCACAGCGCGCGCACAGGCGTGAGTCGCTGCACAAAGCGGCTGCGCGCCTCACCGCGGTCTGCGGTCTCTTCGAGCAGGCGCCGCACGAGGCGCGTCGCGTCGGCCGGCGCGGGGCACGCGAGGAAGCACACTGCGTCAGCCGCCGGTACGCACAGCACTCGGTGTCGGTGTCGAGCGCGAGCACATGCTCGCGCGATGGCGCGCGCAGCGCCGCCAGCTCGGCGTCGACTTGCGACTCGATGTCGCCGGCCGGCGCGGCGCGCGGCGCCGGCGGGGGGCCATTGCGCAGCGCATCCATATCGTCAGAGTCGTAGTCGACCGCCCGCGGCGGGGGGTACAGCTGCGCCGCGTGCTGGTGTAAGGACGCGCACGTACCTCGTTGAGCACGTCCACGAGCTCCAGCGCGGCCTTGCGCTCTTTGCCGCGCGCGCACGACACAAAGACGCCCGTCGCACCTGGCATGGCCAGCACACCGGCTACCTTCGTGCGGTGCCGCTGGTGCGCGCCGCCCTGCGCGCGCCGCCGCTTGGGGCGCGCCTCGCTCGCCTCGCTCGCGCGCTTCGCCATGGAGGGAGCCGGCCGAGCGGCGCCCGGTGGAGGTCGCCGGCTGCGCACGACGATGGACGACCCAGGCGGCGTGCGCGCGCTGCTGGCGAAGCTGCGCGAGCAGCAGGACCGCGTGGCGGCGCCGGCGGCGCCTGTGTGTGGCCCGCCGCGGCGGCCATGGGACAGGGCGCGCCTCGCGCAGGCGGCGCCGGCCGCGTCCCTGCGGACGCTGCCGTACGCACTCGCGGTCGAGCGCATCTACGAGCTTGCGCGGGATCCCGCGTTTGCCGCACAGATCCAGCAGGTGCGCCGGGCCACTGACGCAGCTCTGTGACGAGCAGGCAGCGCTCGAGCGCACACTCGCCGCGCAGCGCGCCGCGATCGTGGGCGAGCGGGAGGAGCGGCTCCACGGGCCCATGTACGTGCTAGATACTCACGCCAGGGGCGCCCGCACGCAGGCGCAGCACGCGCGCTGGGCCTGGGACGCGCTCCAGACGTGGGACGATCGCATCGACGCGCAGCAGCGGCATCTCGAGCAGGTACGTCGGTGTGCTCACGCAGCTTGGCGTGCCGTGCTTCTACCCCACGCGCGAGACGGGGGCCGTCGAGACGCAGCGCCGCCTCCTCCGCGAGCTGCACGCGGCGTGCGCCGCCGCGCCCGGCGCGGGGCGCCCGCCTCGCAGCAGTGGAGGCCCATAGCCTAGTAGGTCGAGCGCCCAAGGCGCGCGCGGCGGCGCCGCTCGTCTCTCCATGTGGCCCCTCGCGCAGCTCGTCGCTGTGCTCGTGCTCGTATGGCATGCGCTCCTGCCGGTCCGCGACTTTGCGGCGTATGTGCCGGCGACGCTGCGCCCCGGCATGTCGCTCATGGCGGCGAGCCGCCTGCCGGACGCGCTGCGGCCCGTGCACTACGACCTCTCGATCTTCTCCGACCTGCAAGACCTGCAGTTCCAGGGCACCGTGAACATTACGCTGGATGTGCTCGCCGACACGAGCCTGATCCAGTTTCATGCGGGGCGCAATATGCGCCTGAGCCAGGTGTATGTGTCGACGGCGTCGGGGGCCCACCTGCTGCACCCGATCGTCGACGCGGGGCATGAGCAGGTGCGTGTCCTGCTTCCCCGCGCCGTGCGTGAGGGCGAGCGCCTGTGTGTGGTTGTAGGGTACCGCGCGCACATCGACAACAGCATGCGCGGCTACTACTACTCGACATGGGAGCACGAGGGGCGCACCGGGCACTATGCGCTCACGCAGATGGAGCCGACGTCCGCGCGGCGTGCGTACCCGGGGTGGGACGAGCCCGCGTACAAGGCGACGTTCCGTGTGCGGCTCTTGCACCGCGCGGCCACGACGGCCGTGGCGAACATGCCGAGTGCGTGGGACCGCGCCGTGCACGCCCACGAGAGTGCCGCGCTCTTCCAGACGCACCGGCTGCAGATGGCGGCGCCGGCGCTCGGCGCGGACGCGTGGACGCTGACGGAGTTTGAAGAGACGCCGGTCATGGCGCCGTACCTCGTGGCGTGGGCCAACGGCGAGTTCCGCCATGTGGCCGGCCAGACCACGTCGCCGCTCACGGGGCGCACGATCCCCCTGCGCCTCTTTGCGACGCCCGAGTCGGTCGAGCAGGCGCACTTCGCCGTCGAAGTGATGCGACGTGTGCTGCCCGCGTACGAGGAGGTGTTTGGCATTGCGTACCCCCTGCCGAAGCTCGACGCGCTCGTGGCGGCCGACTTTGACTTTGGCGCGATGGAGAACTGGGGCCTGATCACCGGGCGCCACTCGGCGTTCCTGTACGATGAGCGCTCGGGCCTCCGGGGGCGCATGGCGACGGCCGGGATCATGAGCCATGAGATCGCGCACATGTGGTTCGGCAACATCGCGACGCTCGCGTGGTGGGACAGCCTGTGGCTCAACGAGGCGTTCGCGACGCTCATGGGCGAGCTGATCGTCCTCGACCGCGTGTACCCCGAGCTGGGCAGCTCGCACGAGTTCCTTGTCGCGCAGTGGATCCGCGCGATGGACCTCGATGCGAAGCGCTCGTCGCACCAGATCGAGGTGCCGCTCCAGGGCGACCATGTGGAACAGGAGATTACGCAGCTGTTCGACGGGATCACCTACTCCAAGGGCGCCGCCGTCCTGCGCATGCTCGCGCAGATGCTCGGCGAGGACGTGTTCCTCGAGGGCGTCACGCTGTACCTCAAGGCACACCTCTATGGCAGCACCGTGACGGACGACCTCTGGCGCGGCCTCGCGGCAGCCTCGGGCGTCGATGTTGCACGCGTCATGCGCGCCTGGGTGCAGCAGCAGGGCTTCCCCGTCCTGTTCGTCACCGAGAGCGCGCAGGGCATCCGCGTGCGCCAGCACCGCTGCCTCGAGACGGGCGATCCGACCGACGCGGAGGATGCGACGCTCTGGCACGTGCCTCTCGCGCTGCGCACCGCCGACGGCCGCGTCGACCAGACGTACGTACTGCAGGGCGTGCGCGAGGCGGCCTATCCACTGCCGCACGCGCAGACGACGCCCTGGAAGCTCAATGCCGATACCATGGGCGTGTACCGCGTGGCGTACACGCCCGAGCACCTCGCTGTGCTGGCGAGGGCCGCGGCCCAGCGCGACAGTGTCTTTACGGCAGAAGACCGCCTCGGCCTGCTGAACGATGCGTTTACGCTGGCGCAGGCCGGCTACACGAACACGTCGGCCGCACTGGACCTCCTGCACACGTGGAAGGACGAGCGCAGCCCGCTCGTGCTCCAGGCCGCCGCCCTGGGCCTTGGCCGCCTCGCGAGTGTGTGGTGGGAGCAGCCGCGCCGGGTGCGCGCGGCGGTGGACCGTGTGCGCCAGGCGACGTTTGCGCCGCTCGCGCGGGCACTGACGCTCGAGCCGGGGCCGGAGGACACACTCGCCACGCGCGAGCTGCGCACGACGGTCGTCGCGGCCGCTGCCGCCGCGGGCGATGCGTGGACGCTGCAGGAGATCCAGCGCCAGTTCGCGTCGCTGCAGCGCGGTGAGGACCACCGGCTGGAGCCGGACCTGCTGCGCACCGTGCTGATCGAGAGCGTGCGCCACGGCGGCGAGAGCGAGTATGCGGCGGCGCTGCGCATGTACCACGCGCCGGCCACGCCCGCCCACCGAACCGCCGCGCTGCTCGCACTCGGCTCGGCGCAGCAGCCGGCCCTGATCGAGCGCACGCTCGCGATGGTCTTTGGCGGCCAGGTCAAGATGCAGGATATGGCGTCAATTTATACGGCGCTCTCGGCCAACACCGCGAGTCGCCGCCGGCTGTGGGAGGCGACGAAGGAGCGCTTTGACGAACTGGCCGCGAGGCTCCAGGGCAACTTTTCTCTCATGGGCATCGTCAAGGCAGCGATCAGTGGCCTCACGAGCGACAGCGACAGGGAGGACATTGAGCGCTTCTTTGCGGGCCGCGCGACGTCCTCGTACAGCATGAGCCTCGCGCAGGGCCTCGAGTCGGTCGTCGCGCAGACCCGCTGGCTCGAGCGCGGCGGGCCGGATGTGGAGATCTGGCTGCAGACGCACGGCTATCTGTAGCGACTCTGGTGGCGTGTCGGTTCACGTAGTCTTCCTATGTCGGTTCCCCAGTCATGGTGCAAGACGGGTAGGCCGCAGCTCGCACGGGCTTTGGAGCTGGCTCAGGGGTGTATATACAGTACGTACGTGCCACGGCCACGCTTCGGCCTGCGCCTTGGTCGCCGCGCTCTCCACGCAATTTTCGATACGTGGAGCTCAGAGCCGATCGGAGAAAAAGCCCGATAGGCCGCCAGTATATTACCGGAGGTCGGAGTGTCGCACCTTCTCTCCGAACTATCGTTGACAATGCAATACGCAACTTTGAACACTGGTGCAAAGATCCCTATGGTGGCTATGGGCTGCTTCATGGGCAAGGGTGCGGACCCTGGCGACCCGGACATGGCTGGCGACGCTGCTAAGCTCGCTCTGGAAGTCGGCTACCGCCACTTTGACACGGCGGCGCTGTACCAGAACGAAGCCCTTGTTGGCCAGATCCTCCGCGAGAGCGGTGTGCCCCGCGAGGAGTTCTTTGTGACGACCAAGTTCTGGAACGACCGCCACCACGACGTGGAGAAGGCGTTCTTCGAGTCGCTGGAGCGCTTCAACCTGGGCTACATCGATCTGTTCTTGATGCACTGGCCGATCTCGTCCAAGTCGGGCAACGACTTTGAGAAGGACGATACGACGAACTACATCGAGACCTGGAAAAAGATGGAGCAGCTTATCACTGATCACCCGGACAAGGTCAAGGCTATCGGTGTGAGCAACTTCAGTGTCAAGACGCTCAGCGATCTGCTGAAGCACGCCAAGATTGTGCCGGCCGTTAACGAAGTGGAAACCCACCCGTACAACCAAGAGCAGGAGCTCGTCGACCTGTGCAAGAAGCACGGCATCGTCGTTGAGGCGTACTGCCCGCTGGGCCAGGCCGGCTCGCCGATCCTCAAGGACGAGGACATCCTGGCGGTCGCCAAGGAGGCCAATGCTACAGCTGGTCAAGTGATCCTGAGCTGGAACGTGCAGCGCGGCGTCGTTGTTCTGCCGAAGAGCACGCACAAGGAGCGCCTGGCTCAGAACATCTCGACGGTCAAGCTTACCGATGCCCAGATGGAACGCATCCGCCGCATCTCGGAGGACCCGAGCCGTCACTGCCGCTTCTGTGCGGTGTACGACCCGAACACCAAGACGGTGCTTAGCTGGACGTACGAGGAGCTGGGCTGGGAGAAGCCGGCGAACATTGAGTAAATCTATATACAAAAGCCCACTTCTCTAGAACTGCTGTGTAAATGGACATGAAAGATGCACCAGCCACAATGCGCTCCTCGATGCGTCGTCGACGGCGCCCCGCGTGGTCACTGTTTGTACGCGCTCGTCAGCACGCTCGACCCGAAGGCTACGGTGAAGCGTCGGCGCGTCTTTACATCTTCTCGTTTTCGTCCGAGTTTTCACTCACATTTTTTAGCCTGCACTAGCGCCAGCTCGCACTGGGCCTCGCGTCGGTCGTCGCACAGCCCCGCTGGCCCGAGCGCGGCGGGCTGGATGTGGAGATCTGGCAGCAGGCGCTATCTGTAGGGAGAGTAGATCGTCCATGTGGCTCTCCGCGTGGTGGGCGTCGTGGGCGCTGGTGGCGTCGTCGCTGATGCACTTTCTCACCCATGGACCGCACTCCTTCCAGCTTCCGACGCATGTGCGTCCGGCGCACTACGAGCTGACCATCCTCTCGGACCTAGCGTCACTACAGTTCCAGGGCGCGATGCAGGCCCAGCTGCAGGTCCAGGAGGCGACGCACACGATCGAGTTCCAGGCGGGCGCGAACTTGGCCCTGAGTGATGTGCGGGTGCGCGTCGATGGCCACAGTATGCTCGTCGCACCCGATATCGACCGCGAGCGCGAGCGCGTGCAGGTGCGTCTCGCCTCGCCGCTAGTGCCCGGCGCCGATGTGCAGGTGCTGGTGGGCTTCCGCGCGCCGATCGACCGGAGCATGCGCGGCTACTACTCGTCGACGTGGGCGCACGACGGAAAGAACGGCACGTACGCCGTGACGCAGTTCTCGCCCGCGTCTGGGCGCCGTGCGTTTCCTGGCTGGGACGAGCCGGCGTTCAAGGCGACGTACACGTTCCGCATGATCCATACGGCAACGACGCAGGCGCTGGGCAACATGCCCGTGGCCCGGTCGACGAGCGTCGATGCGGCCGCCATGGCCTGCGCCCTGCACGCCGATGACCTGGGCATGCCGCTGCTCGGCACCGCACACGAGCGCTGGGTCCTCACCGAGTTCGAGGAGACGCCGCGCATGTCGAGCTACCTGGTAGGCTGGGCGAACGGCGTGTTTGAGCACCGAAGCGGCTCGTACACGTCGCCTCTCACCGGCCGCACAGTGCCGCTGCGGATCTACGCGACGCCCGAGTACATCGGCCAGACGGAGCATGGCCTGCGCGTCATGGAGCGCGAGCTGCCCATCTACGAGAGTCTATTCGGCATTGCGTACCCCCTGCCGAAGCTCGACGGGCTCGTCGTCGCGGACTTTGACGTGCATGCGATGGAGAACTGGGGCCTCATCACGAGCCGCACGTCGGTGTTCGCGTACGACAAGGCGTCCGACCTGGCCGGGCTCAAGAGCGCGACGGGCACGATAGGGCATGAGCTGGGGCATATGTGGTTCGGCAATATGGTCACGATGGCGTGGTGGGACAACCTGTGGCTCAAAGAGGCCTTTGCCACGCTCATGGGCGAGGTCCTAGTCTTGCGCCGCGCCGTGCCCGAGTGGGACACGCAGAGCGACTTTGTCGCGGCGCATGTACACCGCGCCATGGCGCTAGACGCGAAGCGCTCGTCGCACCCCATCGAAATGCCACTCAACACGGAGCATGTCGAAAAGACACTCACGCAGACATTTGACGCGATTCCCTACTCGAAGGGCGCGAGCGTGTTGCGCATGCTCGCGGCGACGATCGGCGAGCGCGTGTTTCTCGAGGGCGTCAGCGCGTATTTGAGGGCCCACTTGTACGGCAACACTGTCACAGCCGACCTGTGGAACAGCCTCTCCGAGGCCTCTGGGCTGGACGTGCGCGCGCTCATGTCGACGTGGACGCTGCAGCAGGGCTTCCCCGTCGTGCAGGCCCAGCAGCGCGGCTCGTTCATTGAGCTGCGTCAGATGCGGTTCCTAGAGACAGGTCCGCCGATGCCGCCGGACGATGAGACGCTGTGGCAGATCCCGCTGGCCATCAAGACCTGGTACGATGATGCAGAAGTGCATGGCGTCATGCTCCCTGCCCGCCGCACATACAAGGTTCCGCTGCCACGCGGCTCGCGATGGAAGCTCAACGCGGATACGTCCGGGTTCTACCGCGTGCAGTACCCCCCGGACCATCTGCGCATGCTAGTGCAGGAGGCCAATATGAGTGTGGCCGACCGCATGGGCCTGCTCAGCGACGTCGTCGCCCTAGGGGCGGCCGGCTACATGTCCATGACAGAGAGCCTCGATGGCATGGCGCTCTTTGAGCGCGAGAGCAGCGCGCCTGTCCTCCACGTCCTCGCGCAGAGCATGGCGACGCTCGCGAGTGTGTGGTGGGAGCAGCCGGAGCATGTGCAGGCGTCCCTCCACGCGTGGCGTGCCGACGTGTTTGGCCCCTGGGCACGCAGGTGCATGCTCGCGCGCGACGGCGACTCTGCCGAGGAGCGGCAGCTGCGGGCGGTCGTGGTCGATGCCGCCGGTGCGGCGGGCGATGCGTGGACGTTGCGTGCGATCCGCGCCCAGTTCGAGCAGCTCCAAGCGACCGACGACGACGCACACATCCCGGCCGACCTACTGCGCCCCGTGCTGCGCGAGTCGGTGCGCCATGGCGATGCACAAGCGTTCGATACCGTGTGGCGCATCTACGAGCGCCCTCGGTCGCCGGCTCACAAGGTCGCCGCGATGCACGCGCTGAGTGCGACGCGCGACGACCGCCGCATCGATACGCTGCTCGCCTTTGTGCTGGGCCCAGAGATCAAGACGCAGGACGTGCCGATTTTCTTTGCGGCGCTCGCGTCGAATCCGGCCGCACGACGCCGCCTGTGGGAGAAAACCATGGCCCACTTCGATGCGCTCGCTGTGCGCTTCGAGCGCAACTTTTCCTTCAAGAATGTGATTCGCTCTGCGATCGACAGCCTCACGCGACATGAAGATGCCGACGCCATCGAAGCCTTCTTCCGCACACGCGACACATCCACCTATGACATGAGCCTCGCGCAGGCGCTCGAGTCGGTGCGCGCCCAAGCACAATGGCTCGAGCGCGGTGCGTCGGCCGTAGAAGCTTGGTGCGCCGCGCGCCGCCGCTGATAGGTTCCTGCCACGTGCGCGACGCTGGCGCCGTAGTCGTCCGACGCTGGCGAGCTCCGCACGTCTTTTGCGATCGTTGGGTACGTAGGGCCAGGCTCATTGTGCAGATGTCCCTAGTGCTGACTCGGCGTCTAGTCCGAAGTGCACTCAAGTCTGATCGATTGTATTTGGCCCCCCTCTCACGGCAACTCTCCTCTGCGAGCCGGCCCCGGCGCGCATTGATCTCGAAGGTGTGCAGAGCGCAGCATGTTGGAGCAGAATACTCACACATGGCTTTTTTCCGTCATATGGATGACACTGGCGTCTTTTATGCAGTTTCTCACTCCGCTAACAAATCACACACCCTCTTCCTCTGTCCTGCCCTACGCAACGATGAGCACGGCCCCCGCTAACGAGTCACAGTGGTTCCGCCTTCCTGCGCAAGTGCGCCCCTCGCACTACGACATCACGATGCTGTCCGATCTTGAGCGCCTCACGTTCCAGGGTGCGGTGGAAGTGTCGCTGGACGTGCTCGAAGACACGCGCACGCTCGCCTTCAACATCGGCAAAGGGCTTACGCTGAGCCAGGTGCTCGTGACGAGTCCTACGTTCTCGGAGCTGCTCACGCCCAATGTCAGCATGCAGCACGAGCGTGTCACCGTGTCGCTTCCCGCGAATGTGTCCCAGGGCACGCAGGTCACCCTGCTTGCGGGCTACCAGGGCACGATCGATCAGAGCATGATGGGCTACTACCAGTCCACCTGGGAGCATAAGGGCAGGAAGGGCAACTATGCCCTGACGCAGTTTGAGCCGACGTCCGCGCGCCGTGCATTCCCGTGCTGGGACGAGCCGGAGCTCAAGGCCACGTACCGCCTCCGCATGCTGCATCGCCAGGACACGACGGCGCTCGGCAACATGCCGAGCGTCAACACCCAGCCTGTGGACGCTGCGCAGGCGGCCGAGGCGCTCCGGGTGAAGCAGCTTGCGTACGAGGAGCCACAGCTCGGCGACGATGCGTGGGTCCTCACCGAGTTTGCGCCGACGCCCAAGGTGTCGAGCTATCTCGTCGCGTGGGCGAACGGCGTTTTCGAGTACATCGAGGGCTCGTACAAGTCGCCACTGACCGGCAAGGACGTGCCGATGCGCGTGTACACGACGCCCGAGTACATTCACCAGGCGCAGTTCGCGCTCGAGGTGAAGCAAAAGGTGCTCCCTGAGTACGAAAAGGTCTTTGACATTGCGTACCCTCTGCCCAAGCTGGACACGCTCGTCGCGTCCGACTTTGATGCAGGCGCGATGGAGAACTGGGGCCTGATTACCGGCCGCACCTCCGTCTTCCTGTACGACGAGAAGACGGGTCTGCAAGGCATGAAGACAACAGCGGCCGTGCAGTCGCATGAATGCGCGCACATGTGGTTCGGTGACATCGCGACCATGGCGTGGTGGGACAACCTCTGGCTCAACGAGGCGTTCGCGACGCTCATGGGCGAGATGATCATCCTGGACAGGGCCTTTCCCGAGTGGAACAGTGCGAGCGAGTTTATCGTGTCGCACTTGAACCGCGCGCTGGAGCTGGACGGCAAGCGTTCGTCCCACCCCATTGAGGTGCCACTGCAGGGAGACAATGTCGAGGACGCCATCAACCAGGTGTTTGATGCCATTTCGTATTCCAAGGGCGCTAGTGTCCTGCGCATGCTCTCGCAGATGCTTGGCGAGGACGTGTTCCTGAAAGGCGTGAGCCTCTACCTGAAGAAGCACCTGTACGGCAACACGGTGACCAAGGATCTCTGGGACGGCATCAGCGAGGCCTCGGGCCAAGACGTGAACGCCATCATGCAGGACTGGGTGCTCAAGCAGGGCTTCCCGGTGCTTACGGTCACGGAGAAGGCCGACTCGATCGTCGTGCGCCAGAACCGCTTCCTCGACACGGGTGACCCGACGGCCGAGGAGGACCAGACGCTGTGGCAGGTGCCGCTGGCGCTCACCACGGTGCAGAACGGAAAGCCCCATACGGATTATGAGCTGATCCTCAAAGGCGAGCGCGAGAAGGAGATTCCGCTCGCCCGAGCGGCGGAGAGTGTGTGGAAGCTGAACGCCGGCACCATTGGTGTGTATCGCGTGGCATACTCACCCGAGCACCTCCGCAAGCTGGGCGCTGCGGCAGCCGCGAAAGACAGCCCGTTCTCGCTCGAGGACCGCGTCGGCCTCGTGAGCGATGCCTTTACGCTGGCCCAGGCCGGCTATGCAAAGACGTCGGGCGGTCTCGAGCTGATGCACGCGCTCAAGGGCGACCACAGCTCGCTGGTCAACCTGGCCGCGGCCAACAACCTCGGCAAGCTGGCCAGCGTGTGGTGGGAGCAGCCCGAGGCGGTCCGCCGTGCCATCAACCAATTCCGTGTGGACGTGTTTGGCCCGCTGGCCAAGGAACTGACGTTCGAGTTTGGTGCGAATGACTCGAGTGAGCTACGTGAACTGCGCTCGACGGTGATCTCGGCCGCCGCCGCCGCGGGTGATGCATGGACGCTCGGCGAGATTCACCGCCGCTTTGAGCCCCTTCACGACGGCGACGACAGCCTCATCCACCCAGATCTGATGCGTGTGATCTTCGCGCAGTCGGTCCGCCACGGCGGAGAAAAGGAGTTTGATGCTGTGCTCTCCGTCTACGAGAAGCCGGCGACCCCCGCGCACAAGAACGCAGCGATGCTCGCGCTCGGTGCAGCCAGCGACGAGAAGCTTATCCAGCGCACGCTGGACATCGTGTTCAGTGGAAAGGTCAAGACACAGGACTATATGTACTTCTTCGCGGCCCTCTCGAACAACATCAAGAGCCGACGCCAGCTGTGGGAGGCAGTCAAGCTGCGCTTCGACGACCTGGTAAAGTCCTTCGAGGGCAACTTCTCGCTGGCCAACCTGATCAAGTCGACAATCAGTGTCTTCTCGGCGGAAGAAGATGCCGAGGACATAAAGTCCTTCTTCGAGAAGCGCGACACCTCGAAGTTCAGCATGAGCCTAGCGCAAGGCCTCGACGCCGTGCGTGCCCAGGCGCGCTGGCTGCAGCGCGATCGGCAAGACGTAGAGGCCTACCTCCACTCGAGCGGGTATCTGTCGTAGTCGCCAAAATGGCCCATTTTTTGATGGAGCGCCAAGTTGATCAGCACCATGGCGCCCGTACTCATGCAGACTGGGGCATCCCGCGGTAATGCGAACAATGCGGACTGGTGCACCTATGTAGAAGTCAGGCATAGGTATGATGCGAGCAAGTATACGGTCGTCTACGGGCCTACCGTCTACTCGGTCTCGGGTAGCTTCTACACCGTGAGTCGATGGCCACATACCTTGAAGAAGCGAGCCCGCCTCTCCTGCGTCGACGCCAGCAGGGGGCTCTCGGGATCTGCCTTTTCAGCGCCGTTGGGCAGCAGAGGCAAGCCATTCACTAGCGAGGAGCCGGCCGCCTGGAACGAGCCAACCAGCGCACCAAGACCCGCACAAGACCCAGCCATCACAGGCACGGAGCGAGCTAGGGTCAGTCGTATGCAATACATACCCGCAGCGCCTAGAACGAGACCCGCCGCGCAGCCGCCGGCCGCGCCATTGTAGCCGTCCTCCTTTTGGCGGTAGTTGGCCAGCGACGCACTGGCATACGCGAAAAGACCACCAACGAAAGCTGCGTCCGTTAGCAAAGATCACTCGCGTTCACGTACTGCACAGAGCAATGGTGCCGCCCGTGCGGGTAAAGATACCCATAGCACCAGCCTTGTGCTTCTGCAGACTATTCTGCACCGCACTCGCCAGGAGGCCGACACCAGCACCAGCTAGACCGGCGTTGAAAGTTTCATTGACAGGCTGCCGCACATGGAACATCTTCGGGGGCTCCGACGCAGACATCGCTCGGTCGCAGAAGTAGACGCTGCGTCGGGCACACGCCCAAAGTGCATATTTCCCCGACACAACTAAGGCGACCCGTGCGCCCGCTAAGTGGGGTCCAGGCTCGATCTTGCTGGCTGCTACGACCACTATGGACGAAGACATCGCACAGTTCATCAACGTGACAGGGGCATCGCCTGAAGTGGCCAGGTATGTAGCGACAGACTGACACCCAGGGCGCACGTGCTATCGGCCAAGGGCGATGTGGCGATGGCGCTCTCTGTGTACTTTGAATCTGGCCTGCATGAGAACTCGGTGCCATCTGCTGCTGCGTCTTCTCCCCGCGGTCCGGCGCCAGAGGCATCGCGTGAATCTGTATCTCAAGGACCGCGTACGCTCACCGGCGCACCTGCCCCTCCGTCAGCACCGTGGCCGTCCGCTTCGGCCGGCACACCAGGTACCGCGCGGCCGCGTGCTGGTGGCATCATGACATTCCGCGATCTTCGGTCTGATGCAGAGGTGCCTGAAGCTAGAGACGGCGAAGATCCCGTGAACTTGTACACTGGTGGCGAGCGCAGTGGCCTGAGCGTTGAGAACCCTCGGCAGCGCGATGATGCTGGCCATGGCCTGGTCAACGACATTCTTTCACAAGCATCCCAGTCTTCTCACAGACCACCCAGGGATACACGGCCTGCTTCATCGAGCGCTTTCTCCGGCAAGGGCTATTCGATCAATGGCACTACGGTGGATGATGAGTCGCATCCCTCCGGCGACCCCACGGATGGCGATGTAAGCGATGAAGAGCCTGCTGTACGTCATCTTACGTTTTGGGCCGACGGCTTCTCTATTGGCGACGGCCCGCTCATGCGGTATGACGACCCCGGAAACCAAGAAGTCTTGGAGGCCATCCATGCTGGTCGTGCGCCTCTGCATCTACTCGACGTGCGATTTGGACAGCCCGTGGAACTGGTCGTTTCGCGCCGTACAAACGAGAAATATGTCCCACCCCCACCGCCTCCCGCAAAGCCTTTCGAAGGCGTCGGCAACCGCCTTGGAGCGCCGAGCGTCGTCCCCGCTCCTTCAAATCAGGCCCCCAATGTGGCACCGCCCACTCCTGCATCTATTCAAGCTGACCCGTCCCAGCCCATGACGCAGATTCAAGTCCGACTCCCGAACGGCCAGCGACTCATTGCCAAACTGAACCTATCGCATACTGTCGCAGATTTGCGCACATACATTCTCTCGTACGTTGTTTCTATGGACTAACCCGGCAAGCCAGCAGCCAGCGTTGCATCCGGACTTTACTCTTCGCACGTCTTTTCCTCCTCAGCCTCTGCTAGACACGTCGCTTTCGATTGCTGACGCCGGCCTTGCCAACGCTGTTGTGGTGATTACTTAGCTGCATTTGATTGGCGGCAGGCCGCGTCCCCGATGGTCTGAGCGTGCTGCAGGAGGCGCGATACCCACGTGCTTGGTAACGTAGATGCATAGGTTCTGTGCGGCCGCGCCGTGCCAGCACATGCGCTGTTGTAAAAATTACCGGATTTGCCCGACGCGCATATGTCCCGACCGCACATAATGCATCTTGCAGCTTACCGGCCAATTCTCGGAACGTGCAGGGGTCCGTTCGGTTGGAGGCACTCGGTTAAAGGCCTCGGCCCAGACGCCCTTTTTTCTCTTCACCTCTACCAACTGGTTCGTATCAACCATCCCGTTAGAAGTGCTAACACTTTCAGAACAAAATGGCTGGTGACTCGAAGCCTGCTAAGTCGATGCAGGGTTTCCTGACGGACTTCATGATGGGTGGTGTTTCCGCCGCCATCTCGAAGACCGCGGCTGCCCCCATTGAGCGTATCAAGCTGCTCATCCAGAACCAGGATGAGATGATTAAGCAGGGTCGTCTTGCCTCGCCTTACAAGGGTATCGGTGACTGCTTTATCCGCACCTACCAGAACGAGGGTCTGGCCTCGCTCTGGCGCGGTAACACTGCAAACGTCATCCGTTACTTCCCTACCCAGGCTCTGAACTTCGCCTTCAAGGACTACTTCAAGTCGCTCTTCAAGGTGCCTAAGGACGCTGCCTACTGGAAGAAGTTCAGCTCGAACATTGCTTCGGGTGGTGCCGCCGGTGCTTCGTCGCTCGTCTTCGTGTACTCGCTTGACTACGCCCGTACCCGTCTTGCCAACGACTCGAAGTCGGTTGCCAAGGGTGGTGAGCGCCAGTTCAACGGTCTCATTGACGTGTACCGCAAGACGATTGCCATCGACGGTGTTCTGGGTCTCTACCGTGGCTTCATTCCCTCGGTCGTTGGTATCGTTGTGTACCGTGGTCTGTACTTCGGTCTCTACGACTCGCTCAAGCCTATTCTGCTGCCCGGCAAGCTCTCGGAGAACTTCCTGGCTTCGTTCTTGCTTGGTTGGGGTGTCACCACTTCGGCTGGTCTTGCTTCGTACCCTCTCGACACTATCCGTCGTCGTATGATGATGACCTCGGGTGGTGGTGTCGCGTACAAGAGCATGTTCCACGCCGCCTCGTCGATTATTGCTGCCGAGGGTGTCTGGTCGCTCTTCAAGGGTGCCGGTGCCAACATTCTCCGTGGTATCGCCGCCGCCGGTACCATCGCCGGTTACGACCACCTCCAGCAGCTTATGTTCGGCAAGGTCTACAAGGGTGGCTCGGGTTAAACAGCCCATTTTACAGTTTTGTAGCTGGTTCTGCCGGGATTTTTGCTCGGTCGCCCTGTTGGCGGTTGAGCCAAAGTCCAATAGGCTTGTCAATCGAGCTGTACAAACATATGGTGTTGGAGTCGTTTCTGGCAGACATCAGCACGGGTGCCGCTTATAGATGCATTTATGGACAGGAGAAGGAATCATCACTAGCAATTGCAGCCATCTCGGGTTGGAAGGCTAGTACGTCGCTGCAAGTCCACCAGTTCGTTGCGGACACCGCTGCTCGCGTTCGGATCAGCCCGTGGCTTGATATCGAGGGGGATGTGCTTGGCCACTTCAGTGAAGGCCTCCAACACGCCTTCACCCGTTTTGGCACTAGTTTCAAAGAAAAGGAGACCTGCCTCATTAGCATAGCTCTGCGCCTCTGATATTGGGACCTCGCGCTTGACCGCGGTCGCTGAAGCACCTGTGTCCTCTGCATCGTCATCCTTGTTCACAATGCTTGTGTCCTCGGCAGGCTCAGAGATGAGGTCTACTTTATTGCCCACAAGGGCGATGACAATGTTCGGGTTCGCCTGGCGCTGCAGCTCCTTCACCCAACTCTGAGCCTTCTCAAACGAAGCCGCCTTTGTCACGTCATAAACAACAACGCTGGCTTGAGCGTTGCGGTAGTACATAGGTGCCAAACTGTGGAACCGCTCTTGACCAGCCGTATCCCAGATCTCAAACTTAATAAGACGGTCTTCCAAGCGGCAACGTTGCTAGATGTCAGAACATCATACTCACAGTCAAGAAGGCTGCGCCAATCGTCGGTTCACGGTTTTCCTGAAAATCATCTTGCACAAAACGATGCACAATCGATGTTTTTCCAACAGCAGACTCGCCCAGCAAAACCAGCTTAGTCTGGATTGGCTTCATGCTGATTTCAGGAGCCGGGGTCTGATCCTCCGTTCCCTGAGAAGGTGGTGGCGCCGACATGATGGTCCGTCTGCGAGTCACGGTGCCCCGCCCATGGGCCACAAGCGTGCATCATCCAACAGGGATATAACACTTAATTCCCATTTGTCCATCGGCTTGGGCCGTTGACCGAGGTCGCGATCGTGACGCGCAACCCGTGGAATAGACCGCGTGTGTTATTCGGCAAAGATGTACACAGGGTCTCCTGGTCTGCAGAAACAAGGGTCTTCCTATGCGCACCCCTCTAACCAAGTGCAGGCCCAAGCCCAAGCCCAAGCTCAGGCTCAAGCACAACGGATTCGCGCCCGCAACCATTATGACATACTTGTCGGTGAAGGCTTCCGTGGCACGAAGCGCGACCGTCCTACCGATCGTAGTCTGCCTCCTTCACTGAAGCGTCAGGTGAAGGAAAGTGCCTTCTACAGTGACCTTCAACGGATGGAGCGCCAGCTTGACTGGACCATGGCGCGCAAGCGCGCTGAGCTTATGGACTCTATGGGGAAGCCTCCAAAGGTGAAGCGCACTTTGCGCATTTTTCTGAGCAATACATGTGCCAACCAGCCTTTTCAAGTTGAAGAAAAGGAAAAGAGTCAACGTGATGCTGATGCTGCCGATGCCGATGACGCCGATGGCGGCGACGAGGAGGATGGAGCCACCGCGCCGGCCGCGGAGGGCAAATCTGCCGCGCCCTCTTCCGATGTTCCGTCATGGACACTCCGCATTGAGGGTCGCCTTCTTGATCCGAGCTTTCGGTCGCGGGCGGGGGCCGCGCTCTCTGCCCATGCGACTGCTTCGCGCATTGGTGCGCACAAATTCAGCAACTTGATTAAGTCCTGTGTGGTCGAATTTATGCGGGACCCCAACTTGTACCCGGATGAACAGATGGGGGCAAGCAACATCGTGGAATGGCACCGCCCTGCACCTAGCGTTGCGCCGCAACCACCGATGCCGGGTGCTGGTGGTGGTGCTGTAACGGAGAACCCCCTGATTCACAGTGCCGAGCCGGCGCTCGATGGATTTGAAATTAAGCGCACAGGAACGGAGCCTGTGAAAGCCAAGATTGTGCTGTATCCATTGTACGTGCCAGAGCGTTACTCTGTTTCGCCACCCCTGGCACAGCTACTTGATGTGCAAGAAGAGACTCGTGCTGGTGTGCTGAGTGCTCTTTGGGCCTACATCAAGCAGAAGAATTTGTTGGATGAGAACGACCACCGGGTTGTGCGCCTAGACCCGCCTCTGCAAGCCCTTTTCCGCACTCCTACTATCAACTTCCACCACATACCCGAGGTGCTGCATCGTTTCCTGCACCCGCCTCAACCTATTGTTTTGGAGTACTATGTTCGGACTGACAGGGCTGAGTACCGACACCCTACTGCGTTTGATATTGAGCTGGACATGGAAGATTGGGCACTGCGGACGAAGCAGCACAATGTGCTCTCGCGCTTCGATGCCAACAGCTCCCTGAGCAACGAAATCCTGGCGATCGATGACCAGATTGCCCAGGCCGCTCTTACGATTCGGAACCGATCGGCTGCCCAGCACTTTTTCTCGTCGTTCGCCAAGGACCCCAAGGGTCATCTCCAGGCATGGATTGCTAGTCAGGCTCGTGATCTTGACATGGTGCTGGGCGCGTCGCAATCGGGACGCGGTCCAGAGGGCGATCCCACGTCGTCGGTGCACTTCACGTCAGAGGAGATGCGTCGCGCGGAGACGTTCCATGGCCCATGGGTGAACGAGGCGGTCATTGTGTCTGAGTCGCAGCGCCTGGCGCAGCGACTCCAAGAGCTACAGTCGGACACGGTCCGTTCTTCCACTCAAGGCTCGTAGGCAGGTAGCTATCGAGTACACGAGCACATTTTGGGTAAAGCATATATATTGCATCTCGAAGGGAGCGAGAGCCTTTTATCCACCGAGCAAGGAACCTATGTCATCACCGCCGGCAGAGTACAAACGTCCAAGGGAACAAACCCTGAACAAAATAGCAGCCAAGCCAAAATGCAGGAAGCTGCCGTACCAAATTGCCATTAACGGTACGACTTCTGGCGGCGCGCGCGGGCACCACGACCACCGAACTTCTTGGGCTCGCAGCGGCGAGGGTCGGCGATCAGGAGCGTACGGTCATACGACACGAAGAGCTGCTTGAGCTCAAGAGCCGAGGCAGCGTCGTAGTACTTGGCGTAGTAGGCAACAAGGGCCTTGGCAATGGCCTGACGGATGGCGTAAACCTGCGAAGTGTGACCACCACCCGAGACACGGATGCGAATGTCAACGGTGCTGCTGGTTAATTCAAACAATGGGTACGTACGAGAATTTGTCCTCACCAACAACCAGGACAGGCTCGTACACCTTCCAGCGCAGGGCCTCAGGCTGAATGAGAGAGATGGGCTGGCCGTTCAGGCGGATCTGGCCCTTGCCCTCCTTGGCATGAGCGACCGCCGTCGCAGTCTTCTTCTTGCCGAAACACGAGACGAACGGCGTCGCACCCTTCGCTTCAGACATCTTTTGTGTGTCAGTTCTGTTCTCGCACGCGGAGCGCGAACGTACCTTGATGTGTGGTATGGTAGAAACCTCGCGGCGTACGTGCGGTTTTCCAGCCGGGCGCGGTGTCCCAGGACTGTCCACGTGACGACATTCGAACCATATAGTTCTATGGGAAGTCCTTACTAATCATTATCGGCCGAGCGAGGGTCTTCGCGACCACGCCGCATCGACACCCCCGGTCGCCCAGTGAGCGCAGCAGGATGTTTGTACGTGCAGCGCTGCAGGGGCGCCAGCTCTTTTCGTGCCCCGCAGTAACACCAACGGGGGTGTATGGAGGTGCGATGGTTCGAGCTCGTGCAATGCACGTCTCGCTCCCGCGCTCCTCCGAGGCGGCACCGGCGACGGAAACGGACGAACCTGTCGTGTATGGTACGTGTCCTTCACTCACAGCAGCCCTGGAGCGTTCTTCCCCCTTGATTCACACGCGCATGTCTTATTTGAGCCCCAAAACGCGTCCAGATTCGCAGGAGAAGCACTATGTTCCCATGTCCGCACATGTGTTTAATGTGCCGCCGCACCAGCATGCAATGCACATGGCGGTCGTGTACTATCTCGACGCTATGCGTATGGGCACAGCGAGCACCAAGACACGCTCAGAAGTGGCGTTCTCGGGCCGCAAACTGCGCCCCCAAAAAGGGTCTGGCAAGGCTCGTCTTGGTGATGCCGGTAGCCCCATGCTCCGTAAGGGTGGCGTGGCGCATGGTCCACGCCCCCGCGACTTTAAGACGGAGCTTCCACGCAAGGTGCGTGAGCTCGCTCTGCGCTCTGCGCTTAGCGCACGGATGCGCGAGGGCCGGCTGCATGTGGTGCCCAGCCTCGAGTGGCAGCCGGCGCCCATGTCCACCAACAAGCTGGCTCGCCTGCTCGGCTCGAAGCAGTGGACCGATACGCTATTCCTCACTGCTCCGCGTCGCCCCTTGTCACCAGTGTCCACCGAGAGGGGCGCTGCGCGTGCGTCATCTGTGGATCTCGAGTACACAGACGAGCAGGTGCTGCGTCACGCGCGCTACGTGCGTAACTTCGACGTGGCATCGCGCAACCTGCCTGACGTGGCACTAATGCGTCTGCATGCACTTGAACCTCACCCTCAGCCACGCCTCGAACACACGAAGCAGCCAGGCGAGCTGCATGCGTACGAGGTACTGCAGTTCAGCCGCATTGTGATGGACCTGGGCGCCCTCGAGTGGCTTGAGGAAAAGTTGGGCGGTTCTCTCGTCCACGAAATGTACAAGGAGGAGCTGCGCTTCTGGGAGGCCGAATGCAAGCAGGATGCTCTGCCCGAGGACGCGCCGGCGCCGTCCGAAGAGCCTGCCGCGCCGGCCCCTGCGCCGGCTCCGACGCCCTCGCCGTAGTCTGCGACCGATACCAATATCCTTAGTCAGCCATTTTTTTCTCTGGCTGCCATGGCGGACGGACCACCGGCGCCCGCACGGAAGCCTAAGAAAGTGCCGAGGTACGATGAATACGGCAACTATTTGGGGGACGTAAGGGAGGACGAGCTCCAGGCAATTGAAGCTGCAGCAGCGAAGCAACGATCGCCACCACCACCTGTGGCCCCAGCCGATGCACCGTCCTTGTTTCCACCCAATGGTGCCGCTCGGCCTGCGCCTATGGCTGCGCCAAAGCCGACACGAAGACCAGTGCCACGGCCCAGTGGACCTTTGTACTATTGTGGACTCGATACGACGTTGCTATCGCAGCCCTCTCGCTGCACGTTTGCGGCAACGTCTGAGCTAGAGCTCATGCTCCACCGCGCCGACAGGCACCTTGTATACCCTCCTGGCGGCATGGATGAGCTACGAAGACGTGACCCTATGCGCATAGCCGAAGAACGTGAGCATCTAGCGCGGCAACGCAAAGGTAATGCGCGTGCAGCGGACGGCCCCTCCGACTCGACGATTCTGGGCCTGAATATCAAGTTGGATACCCCGGAGCTCATTGAAGAATGGATAAGACAGCGCAAGAAAAGGTTCCCGACTGCTGCACTCATTGAACAAAAGCAGGCGCGTATTCGACTTCGTGAGCTGCCGAGATCGAACGCACAGGTGCCACGCGCCCCATCTTCGACAAACGAGGCGTCGGGCGATCCGTCTTTCCAGGCAGCCGGTCCGCCCTCAACTTCTGCGTCTGATGCCTCGCTTGATGCAAAAAGGGCCCCGGCAAATCAGTCTCATGCGCCGGACACTTCGTCGGGCTCGTCCGACTCTGACACTGACTCGGACTCGTCATCAGAGTCGTCCAATTCAGATATGGACCCAGTGCGAGACGCGGTCTCGTCGAAGTTGGACCCTAGCGACCCACCTGCGTCCGAGGAACGCAACAGCGCTCGTACGCCGCAGCACCCGTCTTCTAAGCGGGCATCGACCGACGGTGAGACTTCTCTACGCCCCAAGCGCCGCGCCGTGCCACGGCGCGCTGCACCGAACCCGTTCGAGGTGCCAGATTTGCTCCGACAGCTGCTGGAGCGCGAGATCCTGCAGCATGTGGATGCCCTAGCGCAGTGGCTCGATTTTGTGCTGGACAACAACTTTTTGGCGAGCTTGGAGCGACACCGTGGCGAGGCAGCGGCACAGCGCGCGCGGCGCGCCAGGGTCACGGACCTGTCAGCGGAGCTGGCGGCGCCTGTGCCTGGCACTGGTACTGCTTCTACGGCGGCACTGCCGCCGGTTGCATCACCTCCTCTACGAGCGCTCGATGAGCTGCTGTGGCCCGACGAGCCCGATCCATTGATCTACCTGGATCCGCTGCGTGCTGCGGACCCGAAGCCGTTGCGGCTGAGTGAGCTGGAGACACTTGCTATGGATCCTACACTGCGAGCGATATTGCAACCGACATCCTCATTGCACCCCCGTGGCGAGGACAATCACGCGCTGCGTCGTGCCCTCGAGACGTGGCGCGCTCTTCCGACGTCGCGTCACCGCGAGGCAGCCCTGCAGCTGATCCTCGGCGTGGGAGCCGACAGCCCTGTGCATGCCCACGAGGCGTATGCACCTGCCTACCAGCGTGTGCGCGGGGCGCCGCGCGGCACACACATGCAGCAGGGGCGGGTCATTGGCGAGACGGAGCTCTTTCGGCTCGGGCTGCGTGTGTCACCCGTCGAAGTGCGTGAGATCCAGCACATGGCTGAGCGTGTGGCTGCAGTGACTGCGCGACTCGAGTACGAGACGCTATGAGCGACGACGCAGCGCGGCATCCTCCGCGGCTTGCACGAGAGCCTGGAACTCTGGTGCGCCCGCGTGTTGACATAGTGTATAGAACTTGGACTTGGGGTTGCGCAAAAGCTCGGCGGGCTCGCCCCACTCGGCCACCTGTCCGTCTTCCAGGTACAATACACGATCGTACGCAATGACCGAGCGCAGGCGGTGTGCAATGGTAATGACTGTGCTGTCACGGAAAGCCTCCTGGATGACCTCGGTGATCTGGAGGTCCGTCGTGTAGTCGATGGAGCTCGACGCCTCGTCGAAGAGCACAACGCGTGACTTGCGCAAGAGGGCCCGCGCAAGGCACAGCAACTGCCGCTGCCCCTGGCTCAGGTTCGCCCCATTCTCGGCGATCGGCATGGAGAGGTCCTCCATCGCCATTGAGTCGTCAGTGATGAGGTGCACGGCACGCAGGCTTTCGAGGAGCTGTGCATCGTCAAATTCACCGGCCACGTCCAGCACACTGCGTAGTGGGCCGGACAATATGACTGGGTCTTGGGGCACAATCTGCAGGCGCGAACGCAGGTCATGCAGAGCGAGCTCGCCAATGTCGCATCCGTCCATGACGATGCGCCCGGCGGCCGGCTCCAAAAAGCGCAGGAACGCGCTCATCAGCGTCGACTTGCCGCTGCCGGTGGGACCGACGATCGCGAGCTTGGAGGCACGCGGCACCTCGAACGACACACCTTTGAGTACATCGGGGCGGTCTGGCGCGTACCGCAGGCGCAGATTCTCGACCTGGATATGACCGTGCTCAGGCCACGCCGCAGAGGGCACAAGAGCCTGCGGCGCCTCAGGCTCCTGCTCGATCGATGCTGCGAACTCAAACACGCGCTCCACGGAGACGGCGCTCGTCTGCAGCGCTGTGTACATGCGCATGAGGATCAACAGCACAAAGTTCAAGTCGATGAGGAACGTCAGCGAAAAGTCCACGGACGCCGGCTCGGTGTGTGGCGCAAGCAGTACGAGCACACACGAAATGAGCACGAGCATCGAGCTTATCAGGTTGAACATTTGGCTCAACCAGCGGCTGCCCTGGGCAGTCCACCACACGAACCGGTTGTAGTTATCGAGCAGGCCGAGCATATCGTCAGTGAAGCGCTCTTGCGCACCGAATGCACGGATCACTTGCACGCCTTGCACCGTATGACTGAACGCATGGACCACAAGAGAGCGTGAGGTCGAAGTGAGACGCTGCAGGTCGCGCGCCACGCCCATGTACCGACAAGCGACCCAGCCGTAGAGCGGCAGGAGCGCGAGGAGCACAAGCACGAATAGGATGCCGCCGACCATGTACAGCGCAATCGACGTGGCCAGCAGCTGCGTGACACGGATCACCACGTCTGCAATCGCGCGCGCAAACGTCGCGTCAATCACTTCCATATCCTGCCCAAAGCGGTTGAGTAGGCGCCCACGCGTCGTCCGATCAAAGAAGCGCATCGGCGCGTGCATTGTGCGCCACAGCATCCGGCCAAACAGCGTACGCGACGCGCGCAGCGACATGGTGTAAATGCCGACCCAGCGAAGGACGCCAAACACCACGCCGACCAGTACCAGGCCCGCATACCGCTCGAGCCACCAGGCGCTCGAGTGGCCACGCCCACCACTCGCACTCCAGTCGCGCACCCATGCATTCGTGACCAGGTCCCACAGGTTCGCCAGCGCGAAAAGCAGCATCGTCAGCAGGCACAGGGACCACCCACTGCTGGCTGCCACGTACGCACTCCATACCTTCCATGCAATGCTGCCCGTCTCGCGGTGCTCGAGCACGCGCTTCGCCTCGGTCGTCGAGAGCGGCGGTTCGTGTGGCTCCGAGGCAGGCTCGTTCCGCTCCTCCTTCTCTGCCGTCTGCCAACCCGAGTAGTGCGGCGACTCGAAGAACGCCGAAGGCGTGCCGTGGAAGGCCACGCGTCCTGGCTCCATATACACGACTTGATCCACGACTTGGCCCACCTGCGCGACATTGTGTGAGACGAGAAGGACGATACGCTGGTCCAGCAGCGGGCCAGCCAGCAAGTGCGTCGTAAGGTACCGCGCCGTGCCCGTATCCACCGCGGAGAGCACATCATCGAGCAAGACAACTGTCGCTCGTGAGTAGACAGCGCGCGCGAGGCCAATGCGCGCCTTTTGGCCGCCGGACAGCTCCGTGCCGTTCTCGCCAACAATAGTAAGGTCGCCATGCTCCCACTGCTCGAGATCGTTTGTAAGAGCGCATGCTTTGAGGACGGCCTGGTAGCGCGTCGCGTTGCCGAGCGGCAGTCCAAAGAGGATATTGTCGCGGATAGTCGTATTCATTAGGAATGGCTGCTGCGGCGCGTAGGCGACCATATCAGGGTGCAGCCACGCGTCCGTGCCAAGCGCGCGCTGCGCTTCTGTCAGGCTCTCGGCCTCGGCCGGCACACTGATACTTGGCGAGCGCGGACATTGCACGGTACCATGCAGGACCTCGGCCTCGTGTAGTAGTGCGTGAAGTAGCAACGTCTTGCCGCACCCCACTCGGCCACAGAGGAGCGTGCGGCCCACGGGAAACTCGACGCTGATATTGCGCAGCACAAACGACGATCCTTGGCCTGTGAGTGGCCATGCCACAGTTGCCTTGTCGAGGCGCACTGTCGCCGGCGATGCGGGCGATGCGCGCAGCGTGCGCGCAGGCGGCGACACTTCGGGACTGTCGAGGTACTCGGCCATTCGCCCAGCCGAGACAAGTGTCTGCGCAAAGCTGGTGACGGCGCGTGGCAGCATGATGATTGTCCAGCGCAGCTCATTAAAGACGGCCAACGACGTAAACGCCACTTGGGGCGTCAGCGTCTCGTGCAGCACCTGCGTGTAAAAGGTAAACGCGACGAGGGTGACAAGCAGCGGGTTCAGCTCGAGCACCACCGAGAGCAGCGACTCAAACACAAACGACCAGCGCAGCTCGCGGATCTCATCCGTGCGTGTATGGTTAATCTTGCCATCAAACATTGGCTCCCACGCCTGGGCCTTGATCATGCGGATGCCGAAGAAACACTCATTGAGCAAGCCCATGCGCCGGTCACGCACACTCATCAGGCGCTCGTTGGCGCGACTGTACGCCCTACTCAGCGAGCCGATCAGCGGCATGAGAACGACCGTGGTGCCGAGGCCAACGAGCGCACTGATTCCTAGCACACGGTACGCAAAGTAGCCACCCAGCAGCAACTCGCAGGGTGTCGTAAGCGCGGCGAAAAGGTGGAAGCACACGGCCGTGATGCGCCCGAGGTCGACCAGGTGCAGTGTGAGCACTTGGCTGTCTCCTTTTCCGTCGGCCTCAGCACGCGCTCCCAAGCGACGACGCAGTGTTTTGTTGAATAGCAGCATCGAGAGTTGGGACGATAATGACACGGTCAGTGTGCCCTCCATGCGGCTCCACAGCGCACCTTGGATAGTGCTGCTGACGATCACGGTGCAGAACAGGCCCAGAACCCACGGCAGACACCGGTAGAGCGTGTCCACCTGCGTATCATCCACGCCTACACTTTCGTCCAGCGCCTTGAAAATGCGGTTCGCAAAGAAAGCCGGCGCATAGTACGTCCCGATCGCCAAGAGCGTGAGTGATATTAAGAAGCCGAAATGCAGCGCATTCGCACGCATCAACACCCACACAAGGCGCAGGCCCCGGTGCCGAGCATTGGATGCCCCAGGCGCAGTGAGCAGCGGCGTCGATTCGAAGGCGTTCGGACGCACCACGCGCCTCCGCATCCACTTGGGCTTGTGCAGGAGGCTGTGAATATGGCGGCTGAGTGTCTCTGCTTGCATGTTTGGGCCCAGCAGTGGTACATCCCTCGATGCTAAGCGTCCGCTGCGCCTGACTGTGCGCACAAGAGTCCCGACGTGAAGGAAGAAGAGTGCGCCCAATACTGAGTTGCTCATCGGTGCGGTCGGTGCCATCTCGAGCGACTGGCTCTGAGCCTCGTCGGCGTCCGAACCTTCCTGCGGCTCATCTTCGCGAAGGGCCACTTTGACGGCAGTGCCCTGCACGGCCACATGCCGCGGAATGCCGGGAAGCAAGCCAATGGTCCCGGACAAGAGGCCTAGCAGCACCACATTTACCCACAGCACAGGCGTAAAGTGCTCGCCAAACGCAAAGCGAAACAGCTCGCCAACAAAGAAGCACGCGGTCACTGTAAAGAGTGTGCAAATGCATGTCCAGCGCACCTCTAGGGCGAATTTGGGGTGGCTGTGCTCGTGGTACAGCCATGCCGCTTGCAAGGCAAAGGGAATATACAGGACTTGGAGGTCCTTGTTCCATAGCTTATTACTGAGCAGACCTGCGCCTCCCACGGCCAAGAAAAACCAGCGCGCATACTTGTACTGCCTCCAGAAAGCGTACTCGTTGACCACCTCTGGTCGGATGATCGTGCTCCCTGGATGTGCCATGGGCGAGCCTAACACATGCTGCATGATCCATCGCCGCAGCGAGGAATGCCGCCGCGTACCCAGATACAACCGACGTAGCGCATGAAGCCGAGTGCCTAGGAGTACGACAGCCACAGTAAACACCCAGAGTTCGCACACATTGATCACGCCCGAGGGCGTCCACTGCTCCATGGGTGGCGGCGGTCTGAGGCTATGTGGAGAAGCACGACCGGCCTCCCCGGCGTCGCTCGGTGCCTGTTTAAACCTATTGCCATGTTCGTATCCACGTCGCTGAAGCGCGGCTCAACGCTGCGTATCCCTGCAGTTTCTGCCTTGCGTGTGCATGCGGCTATGCCTCTGGCATCTCGTGCTGCTCTACACACGAGTGTGCCTCGAAAGGAGGAGGCCAAGACATGTCTGTACAACTTCCATGTAAACCATGGGGCGAAGATGGTGCCGTTTGGCGGCTTTGCGATGCCCCTCACGTACGACGGCATGGGCCAGGTGGCTTCTCACAAGCATGTGCGTGAGCACGCCGGTCTCTTTGATGTAGGCCACATGGTGCAGCACATGTTCGAGGGCCACACGGCCCTTCAGTTCTTGCAGCACATTACTCCTTCTTCGCTGGAGTCGCTGCCGCCATTCTCATCGACGCTCTCCGTATTCCTCTCTAAGGATGGAGGTATCCTCGACGATCTGATCATCACAAAGCATTCGGACACCGACTTTTACGTGGTGACCAATGCCGGTCGCCGTCACGAAGACTTGGCCTTCCTCCGCGAGCAGCTCGACGAGTGGAACCGACGCAACGGCGATGAGGGCGAGGTCACCCACCAAGTGCTAGAGGGCCGTGGCCTCCTTGCCCTCCAGGGCCCCTCGTCTGCCCGTGTCATGCAGAAGCATCTGCCGCACGACTTCGATCTGTCGAAGCTGACGTTCGGCCAGAGCGCCCTGGTGCCTATTCGCCTTAGCGGCCAAAACAACGCGGATTCGGTTATGTGCCATCTGGCTCGCGGTGGCTACACAGGTGAGGATGGTTTTGAGATCTCGATCCCTCGCGAGGCTACCGAGGAAATCGCCCGCGCGCTGCTTGACGACAGTGAGGTGGAGCTCGCCGGTCTCGCGGCGCGCGACAGTCTGCGCCTTGAGGCTGGTATGTGCTTGTATGGCCATGACCTTGATGAGAGCGTCAGTCCCATTGAGGGCGCTCTGGCCTGGACGGTCGGTAAGGACCGTCGCGAGACAGGCGACTTCCTCGGCGCCGAGCGTGTGCTGAAAGAGCTCAAGGAGGGTCCGCCTCGCCGCCGCATCGGCCTGCTGGTGTCGCCAGGATCCCCTGCTCGTGGTATGTATATTGCATCTGACTATCTACAGAGGGTACCAAGGTGTTTGCCGAGGACGGCACGACGGAAATTGGCCGTGTCACATCGGGCATCCCGTCTCCAACTTTGGGCCAGAACATTGCGATGGCCCTCGTGAAGAATGGCTACCACAAGAAGGATACTAAATTGCTCGTTGAAGTGCGCAACAAGATGCGCGAAGCCACGGTGGCCCGTATGCCATTCGTGCCGAACAAATTCTACCGCGGATAGGCTTATAGACCTGCGTACCTTTTGCCGGCCGTGCGATGCGCCCGGGTCAGTTCACCGTGCGCGCACGTGAGCAAACTTACAGGCACGAGCACGGACCGATTGGCGCACTCGAGGCTTCGTTAGTCAGCTGCGCGGACCCCTCTCCTGGCGTGTGCTGTGTACACTTGTCTAGAGATTGGACCCCGCTCTAGGGCCAGCCACTTTCCCGGACATTATCTCGACTGACACACTTAGGCAATCTGTGGTATGTCGCGCGCGGTCAAATCTGCGATCGCAGCGCGACGCAGCGCGAGCGACACCCCTGAAAAACAGAGCGCCCATGCGGGGTACGACGCCGAGTCGCGCACCCAAAAACCATTGACCGACGCTTTGAATGCGGCATGCACTTCTGGTTTGTACCTTTCGCTGATATCAGGTCGACTAAATCTTTCGGGCCGCTCCCCACCATTGACAGAGTCCCCTACGGAGCTGCTAGACTTGCTGCAGGACGAGCCCCCCGCGTGGTATACGCCCGCCGAGGACGAGGCTGCGTCGTGGTCCTGTCGCACTAGTTTGCACATACTCTTGCTGGGCTCCAACCAGATCGACCAGGTGCCTGATCGACTCGCCGAATTCAGGGACCTTGCGCGACTGGAGCTGCAAGGAAACCAACTTACTACGTTGCCGCTCGCACTGGCGCGGCTGCTAAACTTAACGTCGTTGAATCTCACGAGCAACCAGCTTCAACATGTGCCTGCATGCATTATAGGTATGCCGTCTCTCGTCCACCTTGATCTAAGCCACAACGCATTGGAATCTCTGTGGACCGCGAACGATATGCAGCAAGGCCATCAGGCCGCCTCGGATGCCGTCGAGTCATCACCTTCCTCTGGTCATTCCGAAATGGCCCTCCTTCCCCACTTGAAAACGCTCGATCTGAGCCACAACAAGCTTACCACATCGGCATTGGTAGTATCTTGGCCCAGCTCACTCGTGCAATTGGATTTGAGTCACAACCTTCTCCAAGAGCCTATTCTCGTTGCATCATGGTACCCTCTTACTAACTTAGAGGATCTTTCTCTTGCCAAAAATCCACTTGGAGATACTATGTTTGTTTCGGATAGTCAAAACAAAGTCTTTTCCAAGCTCACGACGCTCGACATACGCGGGACGCAAGCTACCGCTCTGAACGCTCTGGAAGTCGCATTTGCATCTGCTCCCTCTGTGAGTCTCAGCGAAGCGCGTGACCGACAGCGCTCGCCACCTACGCCTGCCGCGTCTTCCGGATTGTGCACAGCGCACCAACTAGTCCGCGTGGCTGCCAAGCCTGCCCCACACGACGCCACCGAAGTCAAGTCAGCTTTACAACAGACCTGCGCACTCCCTGCCCTGTTTGTTCTTTCGGATATCCAAGTTCGCACGGAATCGCATCGTCGCCGGCGCGGCGGACGCGGGCGTGGTGGTGAGGACCGGAATCGTGCACAGCACGACCGTGAGGACGAGGGCAGCACACCTCCCAATGCGGGCAGCGCGCTGGCTAACGCCAAACTTTCCACCAAGAAAAAAGAAGCCCTGGGTCAGGTGCCATGCAAATTTTTCCGCAACAACGGATGCTCAGCTGGCGAGGCATGTCCGTTTGCTCACACACTTCCAGGAGAAGGGCAGCCGAAGGCAGTATGCCAGTGGTTTATTAAGGGCAGCTGCCGATTTGGCCATCGTTGTGCGCTGGCGCACATCCTGCCTGGACAGCCTATGAGTGTACGTATGCTCGTGCTAACCATATCAGATGGACCGAAAGAACAAGCGTGCGGCACAGCAAAATGCCACGCAAGCCGCCAAAGGAGCGGAGGAACAGCGTGGCGCCAACGAGAAAAGCGACACATCTCAGGGATCTCGTACAGCTCCTGTGCCTGCGCCAGCCCCCCCTGCGGCATTCCATGGTGCGCGCGATGCCACAGGCGACGACCTGCCCATCGCTTTGTCCGCCTTGACGCCGGACTCGGATACGCCCTCTCTTTCGCGCCCATCTGCTTGGGGCAGTGACATGCCCCTTACGGCGCGCACTTACGAACCTCCCAGTACGACGGCCTTTGGCACGAGTCCTTTTGATCAGCCCGGCTCTCACAGCTTCTTCTTCAATGCGGCTAGTGCCGACGCGCGGCCGACACGCGATATCTCGGCAGTGTGGGGTGCTGACTCTATACGGAGTGAAGATATGGGTCCAGAGGCAGGTCATGCGGAAGACTTCCTGCCGTCTAGCTTGACCGACCTGCTTACACCGGCGGAGCTGGAGCGACGCATGCGACACGCTCGGGATCCCGTGTCTCACAACTCTACGTCTGTGTCACAAAGTCTTCCAGCTCATTCACAACCATTTAATGGCTTTGGTACATCGCCTTCCGTTGCGCAGCCCGGACGCATGTCATTTGGCGGAAGTATGTCGCTCATTGGCGGCATATCTGCAACTAGGCGTCCCTCATCGAGTGTACATGCATCGCCATTCCTACCGCCCCTACTCGACAACAACCTAGGATCTCCACCAAATATGAGCCCTCCTGGTACACTCTCGTCCTCCCTGGGCGGCGAGAGAGTCACCGCGCCGTTCTCTTCGCGAACAGGCAGCGAAGAGGCGCGGCGACGTGCTGCGCCTGGCAGTGGCACGTATCATGCACGTGGGCATCCTCCTATCTCTCCAGCCATCCTTCCGACACTGGAATCGGATGCTGATGAAACTATGTTCGAGCTCGAGTAGGCAAGTGTAGCCTGCGGCTCATGTAGAGAAAGGTTAATGAACGCCCTTCTATGCTGTCATGGAGGGTCTTCGTGGGCTGTCGGCCGAGGTGTCTTCTTCGCTCCCTACGACAATGGCGCAACGATCTCGCCAGCTCTTGGTCGAGGTGTACAACCGCCTGGTCACGGACCAAGGCGCCCTCAAGTCTCTCGTTGCTTCTGAGAAACCGCTCCGCGCTTTTGCTCACGAGCTTGCCTCGCTCTCCTCCTCACCCACGTCAGTATTGGGTACCTCGGACGCCGAGATCAAGACCACGGATGAGTGGCTCGATCAGGTTGAGGGCATGAATGGCAGTCTTGAGACGCTCGACAAGAAGCTTGAATCGCGCACTTTCTTGAGCAGCAACTCGCCGACGGCGGCGGACTACTCGCTCTTTGCATCGCTCTACGATGTGGTATCGACGCTGCCGGCTGCCGCACAGCATGCGCACCCTTCTCTCGTGCGCTATTTCTCACACATGTCCCACCTTACCGCAGGTGCGAAACTTGACCCGCCTGTGACGGCTTTTGATCCGGAATTCAATGGCTTCCCGAAGATCGAACGCAAAGCTGAACCCAAGAAGGAGAAGAAGGAAAAGAAAGAGGCCACGGACAAGCCAGCCGAGGGTGCTGCGGCTGCTGCTGGCAATGCCCAGCCCAAGAAAGAGAAGAAAGAAAAGAAGGAGAAGAAGGAGAAGCCTGCTGCTGCTCCTGAGACGGGCCCTCAGCCGAGCATGGTGGACCTGCGTGTCGGCAAGATTGTGTCCGTGGAACGTCATCCTGATGCAGATGCGCTGTACCTCGAAAAAGTTGACTTCGGCGAGCCGGATGGTCCCCGGACTATTCTCTCGGGTCTCGTCCACTTTGTTCCGATTGAGCAGATGCGCGACCGCTGGGTCGTCGGTGTATGCAACCTGAAGCCTGTGGCTATGCGTGGCATCAAGAGCTACGGTATGCTGTTGTGTGCCACGGCCGCTGGCGGCAAGGATGGCGGTGTGGAGCCCGTGTCTCCGCCGGCCGGAAGTGGGCTCGGAGACCGTATTTACGTGGATGGCTACGAAAATATGGAGCCGCTGGAGCAGTTGAACCCGAAGAAGAAGGTATGCACATGTCTCTGACGCATAGATTTTTGAAACAATCCAGCCCAACTACCAGACCACTGATGCGAAAGAATGTGCATGGTTTGGCCCAGGTCCCAATGAGCCCGAAGGTGAGAAGCGCGCCCGCGTGCTGCGTACATCTCGTGGTCCATGCACTGCGCCCTTTGCGGGGGCGACGCTGTCCTAAATAGTGGATAGAAGCGCGGTGCCACGTTTTGTCCGTGCACGCATTCCTCCACAACACGTGTCTGGTGTGTCTCGGTGCCACGATGTCCAACATGGCTGATTTGCGTGCGAAGTACGACGAGGCTGGTCAGTCCCACGTATTCACGTACTGGGACGAGCTCTCTGATTCTCAGAAAAGCGATTTTGAGAGGCAGCTCCGCGCAATCGATCCTGTCCGCTTGAATGCGACTTTGAAGCAGGCACTGGAAGCGGATCAAGCGGCGCGGGAAGCTCGCGACGTCAAAATCGAGCCTCCTCCTTCGTCGAGCTTAGTCTCTACGGTAAACAAGGAGGGTGAAGCCGAGAAGTACCGTCAAATGGGTTTGCGTGCCATTGCGAAAGGGCAGGTAGGTGTTCTTCTTATGGCTGGTGGTCAGGGCACTCGGCTGGGCTCGTCAGCGCCAAAGGGCTGCTTCAACATCCAGCTTCCCAGCGGCAAGAGCCTGTTCCAACTCCAGGCTGAGCGTATTCAGCAGTTGCAAGTTCTCGGTACGCGCTTCAGTGGCGAAGATAAGGTCGTTATCCCTTGGTACATTATGACCTCGGGTCCGACGCGGGAGCCGACCGAAACCTTCTTCCGCGAACACAACTTCTTCGGTTTGGACCCCAGCAATGTAATCTTCTTTGAGCAAGGTACTCTGCCGTGTATCTCCAATGACGGCAAAATCCTCTTGGATGACAAGGGCAAAATCGCTACTGCGCCTGACGGTAACGGCGGGCTGTATGCGGCCCTGCGCGCCCCGACCGGCCCGGGCCAGCCGTCTGTGCTTGAAGACCTGCAGAAGCGAGACATTAAGTACTTGCACGCCTATGGCGTCGACAATTGCCTTGTGAAAGTGGGCGACCCTGTGTTCATTGGCGTGTGCCTGGAGAAGAATGTCGCTGCTGGCGTTAAGGTTGTGAAGAAGACGGACCCTGCCGAGTCTGTGGGTGTGGTGGCTTGCAAGGACGGCAAGTTCAGCGTGGTGGAGTACTCTGAAATCCCGCAGGACCTGAGCGAGGCTCGCGATGAGGACGGCGAATTGAAGATGCGTGCTGCCAACATTGCCAACCATTTCTACACGACCGACTTTCTCGTGAACCAGGTCCCGACCTTCGAAGAAAAGATGGCGTACCACATTGCACGCAAGAAGATTCCATGCGTTGACCTGACCACAGGCCAGCGAGTGAAGCCCGAGTCGCCCAACGGTATTAAGATGGAGCTGTTCATCTTTGATGTTTTTCCCTTCTGCACAGACCTCGCCATCCACGAGGTGGAACGCAAGGAGGAATTTAGTCCACTTAAGAACGCCAGCGGTACGAGCTCCGACAACCCGGAGACGTCACGCCGCGACTTGCTGGCCCAACATCGTCGCTGGCTCGAAAAGGCGGGTGCCACTGTGGCTCCGAATGCCGATGTCGAGCTTAGCCCCAGAGTGACTTACAGCGGCGAGGGCCTTTCCAATGTGCAGGGCCACTCTTTCACTAAGACAGAGAACATTGAGTCGCTCTAAACCTATGGGTTCCGTTCCACAGCCTTCCGTAGAGACTGCCACGCACTAGAACCGAGATCTATCTCGATGCCAGAGGACCGAGTCAGACTTTGCACCGATGTTTCCAGCGCTCCCACATCAGCTTGCAATTGCGAATACACATGGTCATCCGCTCCAATTTCCTCTGATGACAAGCCCATAGTTCCACGCTTCAGACGGCGTAGTGACTCCAAATTGCGCGTCACAGTATCCACTGCCGATGCATACCGCAAAAATGTACTGTCCAAGGCTTGTTGCACGATTGTTTGAGTTATTACCCGTGGAAGGCAGCGGAATGGCGTGTCAGACGATGTTCCTAATAATTGCTCCAGGGGTTGAACAATGCATGAGATGAAAGTGCTTGGCGAAATGTTCTCCTTAGTCGCATGTGAGAAAGGCCGGTACTGGGAATTGGCTGCACGCACGTGTCGAAGGGGCTCAGCACAGCGGCGCTTTAAAACAGAGAGGAGCAGGTCCGTGACAGCGGGCTCTGCAACGGTCCAAGCTCCAAGGGATTCCTCCATGGCATTTTTTAGTGCCCCACGAAGCGCATCAGCCCCTTCATCATCTCGCTCGGAGATCGTGGCAAGCAGCTTGGGGAAAATAATGCTATCCGCCACTGCACGCACCCGGTTCTCAAACAATGGCACATCCACAAGAAGCCCACACGCCGAATTCAGCATTCTCAGCTCTTCTTCTGGCAATCCCATGCCAACTGTCGCATTTTGTGTAGGAGGCATCGAATCACTTTCCTCTGTAGGCTTTACTGGCAATTGCTGGGACAGCCATGTGCGGTAACGACTTAGAACATGCAATGTCAAGCGCCATTCACGAGCGCGAAGCGATGGAACATGTCTCGTAGTAGTCCATGGTTCGACATAGGCATGTAACAAGTGCGCAAAGGCAGGGTGAAAAAAATCACTTGCTCGGTCCTTGGGGAACCGAAGTGCGTGATCCAAGACACCGACCATGTCTCGGGTCCGCATATGAAAGAATGCCGATAGTTGCCAGCGGCGCTCGAGTGTCAGCGTTGCTTCATTTTTTTTGAAAGCTTGTGCAGCGCGTTTCGAAGGGGCCTTATTGTACATTCGTTTTAGCCACTCCTGTGTCAAAACATAGTTCTTATGGAACTCATTCGGCTTGCCCACAAAGAACAGGTGTGACCCATGTCGCTCCATCAAAGAAGTAACCATTTCCGTCCATAAAATATCATTAAAAATGTCCAGTAATTCCCCGCCCACGCGCTCAGCCACCTGGCATACAAAAGATAACCGATCTGCGGCGCAGAGAAGCGCATTGTAAAGCAGTCGCAAAGGATTTTTGGTAACAGGAGATATGGACTCCCAGTCATTCAAATGGGTCAAAGCACGTATCTGTGCTAGTTCTGTAGTGTTACTGTAGACACTCTCGTCTAGTTCTTCATGAATTGGATCTGGCGCGTCGAAGCATGCTTGAATCAGTGGAGAAATGAAGCTGGACCGTATTCGGTGAAGTACCTCTGTAGCGCATGCTTCACCGAGCTCAATACTAATGTCCAGCACAAGTTTGAACTGCGACATCCGATCATCTGAGAGCCCAGCTGACGACGTCAGGGTCGCAATCATGTCCTCCTCCAAATCGGAAAACAAGGACAAGGTATCTTTACACAATTCTTCATAAATACGTCCAAGACGTGGCTTGATATTCATCAAAAATGGCTTTGCCAGGATGGGCCATGGCCGACTCAATAACATTTGGATCCATGTGTAGGATTGATGCTCATGGTAAACGCGCTGGTAGAGCGTGCATGCATATACAGGATCATCAGAATAATCAGGTGCCTCCAATCGTACATTGCCATCCTCATCGTCGATTTTAGCCCATTGACATAACGTTGCCCTATTGAGCAATGGTTCATACGTGTCTGGCCTGATGCCCACAAGCACTTCCAGACGCAGCACAGCTCGCTCCAATTCTAGAAGTAGTTCTAAAACACGCCGCTTTTCATTATCATGACGTTGCTCTTCAATTAATGTTTCCACGTCGATTTGAGCGTGTGCCATTCGAGATCGCATTTCACCCAAAACATCCTGGACTTGTATCCAAGATACTTGATCTGTGAGTTTTTCAAAAGGCTTCGACTCAGACTTTATCATTTCTGACAATGATACGAAGTCCCGATACTTTTCTTTTATCATTTGAACCAGATTATCCTGCAAGGTCTGTTTGTACGCACGCAATTCCTTAAGGATCGATGGTGCATCTTGACCAACCGCTCGCGAACACAAAAAAGCGTCAACATCAAACTGAGGTTGCTTATCAAAGGCCAGTAAAGGCATCCCGGGTCCAAGTGCCGGGGGCATTTCGAACTCAGGCACCATGCCCTCGTTGTCGCCCCGCGTTGCCATAACGGTGATCCTAACGCAAGTCCAATCACGTGCTACATGTTACACAAACTGCAGGTCAACCCACTATGGATGTCGTGTGTCAGTAGTTGACCGATGCTTTAGGAAAGGTATCCGAGGCACCCATTTTGGCATGAACACATCGGTACAGGGATCAATACGTCCAAGGACATGCAGAGCGAACCCGAAAATCCGGTGTTCAATCCAATATTGCCAGAAATAGCGCCAGGGCCCCACCACAGACCATTTCATCATTCGTCCATAAAGAAAGTAGTTCGGCTTGTCATACGTGACAATCAGATTAGGGTTCACATAAATGCGTGGTCGATGAGGCGCAGCAATACGATGCATATCCAAACTGCTTAACAATGACTCAGAAGAGAAACATTGAGAACTAGGCCGGAAAGTTAGGGGCAGTGTCGCTGCCTGGTCGGTGCCGTCGTTTACCACGAGAGGGGGGGACGGAAAAGTTTTTGCAGCGTTTAAAGAAGGGAAAAGGTAAGGATCTCGTGAATTACTGGAGTTGCTAAACCAGCGAGCATCAAAAGCTGTAATACCATTCCAACAAGCGTTGACAGGCACGGGGAGTCCTGCTCGTACGGCATCTTGATCAATTTTTGCCTTAAAATAGGGCCAGAAGGGTCGTGTTGTCCGACCATCTGCGTCGCGCATGACCCAGCTATTGTGAGTTCCCCAAACGTACGTATCATAAAATCCGAGCCAGCAGAAATCCATTACACAGGCCTGGTCGAATTCACCGCCCACTGTATCAAGTAGAGCATGTACGGTGGCTAATTTAGTGCGAAAGACATACCTGACTCGAAGAGAACATCATTGATCCAAATTACTTTATCAAAGGGCTGACCATGTATACCACCATGTGCCACAGAGTTTAATGGTTGCATTGCTAGATTTCTGTACAAAGACAACCGCTCAATGCGCCCATATTTCAAAATCTCTTCTGGCTGCTTTGCAGTGACAATATGTGTTTGTACCCCCATTTGCCTCAGCGTCTTATTCAATGTTCTAAGAATCATTGGAGTGTTATCTGTTGAGTCATTTTCGTATATGGAAACGAAAACATTTTCTGGACCAAGCTCTCTGACCAACTGAACAAGTGAATGTTTATAGTGGGGAAAGATAGATTCCGAATTGTGTAGTAACGAGGCAATATAGTATTTGTGATTAATAGGATTTTGCCAATGTGCCGGTGCAGATGTCGTATAGAAGACATCATTAATTAAGCAAAGTGTCATGAAAATGGTGACAGCTCCCGTCAATAAATTGCGTCTTGTCCAAAGTGGAAATCTTTTGGGCCTCTTCCTAAAGTTCCAAATATTGGCTGCGAGCAGGGCAGGGGATGTGAAACAGACAATTACAACATAAACATACAATGAAGATGGCATATAGAAGTACATGCTCATGCACACAATCAAGAAAATAGAGAAATAGACAATTACAAGGTCTTTATGATCAAGTATCAAAAGCCTAGACTTAAGTGACTTTAAAACGTGCTTACGCAGGGAAGACGGCTCATATGAAGTTTTGAATGTAGGTAGATCATTTTGTATTTGATTTTTTGAAAACAATAACATTACTTGCCCCTTCAAAAGCGAAGTTGATAAAATACTATTATATCGAAGCGTGTCGTTGTATACGAATTTCCAATCTGGTCCATGTATGAATTATGGCAATGTGGAGGCGCACGGCTTAAAGCCAAAAGTCGCGAAGCATGATTATTTACGTAGGGTTATGGGAAGAGCGCTGCTCTTGCGCTGCCTGAATATATGGAATCAGGGAAGTAAGGCTGTCTGCTTGATCCAGGAATGGATGATCAAGAAGGCATATCGCATCTGGTCGCTTATCTGCATCAACATCAAGGCAAATGTTAAGAAAATCATTCATCAAAGGTGACAGCTTCTCCGGATTGTGAAGTTTTGGAGTCCCATTCGTTGCAATCAAGTACAGAGCCCGCAATGGATTCTCATTTAGATAAGGTGGCTCTCCTTCGATCATTTCAATACATAAAATGCCCAAGCTCCAGATATCCACGCGAGGGCCGTATTCCTTCCGGGTCACCACTTCAGGCGCCATCCAGTAGGGTGTCCCTACCATTGTGACGCGCTTAGTTTGACTAGGTCCTAACTGTGCACAGAACCCAAAATCAGTCAGTTTAACTTCGCCACGCATGCTCATCAACACATTATCGCTCTTGATGTCACGATGGATGACCCCTTGGCTGTGGAGATGGCGCAAACCGGTAAGAACTTCTCGAGCAATGGCGGCAATTTGTCCTTCACTGAGAATGCTGTATAGCACAATGTCTGTGAGAGGCCCGCCTTCCATATATTCCATAACAACCCAAAGTTCGCCGTTAGTCATATAGGCGCTCAAGAAATTGACAATGTTGGGATGTCGTGATTGCTTCATAACTTCAATTTCGTTGACAATAAGGTCTTTTTTGGGCTGTTGCTGCAAAACCATTTGTTTGATAGCCACCAGCTGGTTCGATCCTAGACTGCGTGCGGTAAACACGCCCCCTGATGCGCCTTGTCCAATCTTGTTCAAGTTCGTGAACATTTTGGACGGATCGCCTGGCATACAGACAGCACGCAAGCGCTCCATGACTTTCGCATCAGAGATCTTGGAGCGTTGAGAGCGCCTGCGTGGAACTTCATTGGTACCTAGTGGCGGCCGCAATTCCTTTTCCTTTATAGTGCGTTCCTTCTCTCGCTGGGAATGGCTTCGTACAATCATTTCTGCCTTTCCGGGGCTTGGATTTGACGTGTACGGCTGAGGAACAAGCTCATTTACAGTGGCTTCTGTGGCCAACCCTTTGCCAGATTGGAGGAGTTCAGGAGGTCTGAACGTTGGCTGGCGCGGCGGCGAAGATGCCTGGGCATCGGGCATAGGCGGTGGCAACGCTGGTAGCGATTTTTCCGAGTCAGTGGGTCGAACACCATTGGAGGATGGTAGAGGCTGTAGGGGTTGTAGCGGTGCGCCTGACTGTGCTGCCCATTCCTCACTCCCCTGAGAATCCTCCATCATTGACGGAAACTTTGTCCATACATTGTCATTCTCACCACCCGGCGGCTGCTCTTGAGCTGCATCCTGGTAGAAAGCAACAATATCCATCACTGCTTGAGGGTTTTGCTCCTGCTCTTGACGGGTGATACCCGAATGCTGTAACAAAATCTGCCACTGGCGAGGCAAGCCGATAAATTCGCCCGTTGATGCATCCACACCAACATGAGTAAGATGCACTGGGTCGTAAGGAATTGATATTTCTGGTCGCTTGGGCGCTCCGCCAAATGCATCATTGACTGAGTGGACGAGGCCATCAATCATACTTTTAATAGAACGTGGTGTTCCTCCAATAGATTCACGCTTGCGAGACCGCAAAGGTTCCCCTAGGCTTTCCACAGAAGGTTTGCTGAGACGCTGTGCTTGCAAGCTTCGACCTGCAGGGTATTGGGCCGATGGACGAGGAGACTGGTTAGCAGAAGCAGGAGAATCAGCGCCCTTCCGTAATGTACGATGGGTCGCCACGCCTTCTACACGCTTCGGTGTTTGATTCACGCACATATCCACGCTTTGTGACCGGCCATGTTGCTTGGGAGGCGACGAAGCCGCCATCCATGCCTGACTTTGCATAAAAGTGCCTTGTCGTTGGTCAATTGGCCTTACTAGATTTGGCATACTATGCGGCAGTGCATATACATTTTTATAGTCAGATGTAGCAGAGGAGGAGTCCATGTTTGTCACATACGGGTTCGGCATAGGCTCCGTACGAGGTGGGGTCGGTACGCTGCGCTGCGGCGAATACAGATTGGGATCCGTTTGCATACGTGGGAGATGCGCAGGTAATGGCACATCATTGGTATACGGACCAGGAAAAGTCCCTGGAGGTACCCATTGCCGTTGCTCAGGCTGCGGAGGCATGCTGCTGCTTATGGGGGCAGCGAAGCAATGGATCGCAACACGCTGTCGATGGTCCAAACACGCGAACGAGTTATTCACGTGCTGTGTCAGGTTACGATGTGGAGGTATCTGGCTACAAGAACAAGGGCTCAAACTGTAATGTTAGAATGGCAGTGCAACACGTACTCGTTTCTTGGTTGGTTGCGTGCTTTGCGTGGCGGGTATTTCTTCGCTGTCTGAATCAGGCAATGGTGGTGAATGGTCTAGAGATTCCTGAAAAAGAGTGGATGGGTGCTCATCGCGGCTTCCGCTCGCTTCCGCCGGCGTAGGTGCGACCGTGGCCTGAGGCGAGGGCGCAGGCGCGACGTCCGATAGAACCAAAGGCTCAGTTTTGGGACGAACTACTCGAACAGGGAGTAAGTCTTCTTCTGAGTCATCTGGATCATATTTCACAGGCTGCGTCGGTACCGATGCCACTTGCGACTGCGCATGCGCCTGTGGAAGCGGTGTGGGTGGATTTAGCTCTTCCGTCCTTTGTAGGGGCACCTCCTGTGGTAGCTCAGTCCGTGGAACTGAGCCAACTGGTGCCATTCTTGTGGAGGAGCGACGTGTCTCCCTTCCTGCCGGACGTTTGCGGGCGGCGGGTTGAATATGCGGCTCGCCGGTTGTAGCAAGGATGAATTCGGCACGCAACGTTTCATTGGGCTCCAAACGCAGAAAGAGAGGATCACCTCCTTGGGCGAACTCGAGCTGCACTGTGGATCCAAGCAGCTCTGCTGTTTGGATCACCGCACGAAACTCCCAAAGAGAAAAGTACACTGTGGTCTCTGACACCACCTGATACTCAATCATTTCGCCGATGTGCGCCTTGACCTCGCTCTGGATGGACGAACGCACTGTGTTAGCAGGGTATACGTACATGTACCATCAAGAGGCCCGTCGATCCTACAGCGTAATGCACATTGCGTTGGAGATGCATGGAGCGAACATTCACCAGTCTTGCCTGTGCTGAGAAAGTAGTCGGTCCATTCTTTCGCTTGGTGAGGATCCACAATGATTCGAGAAGGTGAGTCCGCCTCCACCGCAGGAAACAGGCAGGGTCTCTCCTCATATGTAAGATTATGATGCTTGCGCACGCCATGATCATAATGAAGGGTCATTGCCAATCGTTCTGTATGCCTAGGTGGCCCCGTAGCAATGCTACACTTGCGGATATGGCCTCTTGAACGCACAATACCCAGAAGGGGTTTTAAATGGATGAGACATTCAAAGAGTTCAGTATCGATGAGTTGGATATGCTCGAAAAAGTGTTTGTTGAAAATAAAGAGTCCATAGGCCGACCCTGACGCATTGACCGCCGAGAGATGCACCTGAGGTGTGGCCGCGGCGTGCGTGCTCGACTCGCCACGATATACACTGATCCAGCATTGATCATGGAGTCGATACAGGCAAGAGAGAGCATGGGTCAGCGCTGCGAGTCAACGCTTCGAAGCACGTACGCCGAATCTGGTCCCCCGCGACGACGAGCTCCATTCGTAGTGGACGTGCGCCGGCAAGTATCGGATGACTAAGCTTCTGAGTCAGGCGGAGGTGTGGCGCGCTACACTTGATTCCGCTATCATGGCGGAGCAGCTGAAGGCGACATTTACGCAGAAGAACGAGAAGGTACGAGCGCCATGCTTACTTTAGAATCAAGCCGTCTTCGTTGCCTTTGTTACGGCGGGATTTCCGTCCGAAGAGGACACGGTGGACGTGATGTTGGCGCTCGAAGCCGGCGGTGCCGACGTGATTGAGCTGGGCGTGCCGTTTTCCGACCCCCAGGCAGATGGCCCTGCGATCCAAATGAGCAACAATGTGGCTCTTAGCCAGGGAATTGACTACACACAGTGCCTTGAGTATATCAAAGCCGCGCGTGCAAAGGGCCTTCAGGCTCCCGTCGTGCTGATGGGCTACTATAACCCCCTTATGGCGTACGGAGAGGCGCGTGCGATCCATGATGCACGCCTGGCCGGTGCCAATGGGTTCATTGTCGTTGACTTGCCACCGGAGGAGGCGACTGATTTCCTCCGGGTGTGTCGCCAGGAGAAGATGGCCTTTGTGCCTTTGATTGCACCTACGACGGACGCGGCACGCATCCGGTACCTGTCGACTCTGGCAGATGCCTTTATTTACGTCGTGTCCAAGCTGGGTACCACAGGTGCTTCAGAAACTGTGTCATCGACACTGGGCGAGTTTATCTCCATGATCCGTACGGCCACCGATGCACCCTTGGCCGTAGGCTTTGGTGTATCCACGAGGGACCACTTTGTTGAGGTGGGTGCACTGTCGGAGGGTGTCGTGATTGGCAGCAAGCTGGTCCAGTGCCTCAAGGAGGCACCACCATCCACCGAGTCGCGTGCTCAAGCGGCGCGGGCGTTTTGTGAGCAAATCACTGGTGCTGCCGAAGGCTTTCTTCCGCGTGCGACACCGCTGCCCAAGCCCAAGTCCATGGATGGCAAGAGTGTGCCAGCGAGCTCGATCTCTGATGCGGCCCGCTTTGGTGCGTTTGGAGGACAGTACATTCCAGAGGCGCTCGTACAGTGTCACAAAGAGTTGGAGCTCGCGTACAACCAGGTGCGCAATGATCCAAGCTTCTGGAAGGAGTTTCAAGAGCAGTTCAACTACATTGGCCGCCCAAGTGAGCTTTACCTGGCAGAACGCCTCACAGAAATGGCGGGTGGCGCCCAAATTTGGCTCAAGCGTGAGGATCTGAACCACACGGGTAGTCATAAGATCAACAATGCCATTGGGCAGGCGCTCATTGCCAAGCGACTTGGAAAGACGCGCATCATTGCCGAGACAGGTGCGGGTCAGCATGGTGTGGCGACGGCGACAGCGTGCGCCAAATTTGGTCTGGAGTGTGTGGTGTACATGGGCGCTGAAGATGTGAAGCGGCAAGCGCTCAATGCTTTCCGTATTCGCATGCTTGGTGCCAAGCTAATTGCTGTCGAGAGCGGAAGCAAGACGCTCAAGGATGCGATCAACGAGGCGAACCGTGACTGGGTCACGAACATCCACAACACACACTACTTGGTGGGCTCGGCGATTGGCCCGCATCCATTCCCGACGATGGTGCGTGACTTGCAGTCGGTAATAGGACGTGAAGCGAAGGAACAGCTGCAGGAACAGGCCAAGTGCCTACCTGATGCGGTTGTGGCGTGTGTTGGTGGTGGCAGCAATGCTATCGGCATGTTCTATGGGTTCATTGACGAGCCGAAGGTGCGCCTCGTGGGTGTTGAGGCTGGCGGCCAGGGCATCGAGACGGCCGACAATTCTGCAACGCTCACACTGGGTACACCCGGTGTGCTGCATGGCGTTAAGACATACTTGCTGCAGGACAAGGACGGGCAGATCAAGTCGACGCACTCAGTGAGTGCGGGTCTGGACTACCCAGGTGTGGGCCCCGAGCATGCCTTTTTGAAGGACAGCGGCCGCGCGGAGTATGTTGTGGCGACCGATACCCAGGCGCTCACTGGCTTCAAGTGGCTCGTGGAGCGGGAGGGCATTATCCCTGCACTCGAATCGAGTCATGCCGTGTACCATGCCGTGGAGCTGGCCAAAACGATGCAGCCGGATCAGCACGTCATCGTGAGCTTGAGCGGCCGCGGTGACAAGGATGTGGAGCAAATTGCCCGTGGTCTCACCGAGCAGGGTTGGGGCCAGGCGATGGGCTGGGTACTGCCGCCGCTTGTGTTCCAGTAATGGGCTATGTGGCGATACTATCGAGCATATTCAAAAGAGGGCCGTGCCGTGCTGGACCACCCGCCTTGTAAATCAAATAGTCTCGTAGAGGATCACGCAGCGTGGGTTGTTTGCGGATCAGCTGTTCGAGCTGGGGCAGCGGAAGCTGCAACATGGCGCCAAACGATGTGGGCGCTGTGAGACTTGCACACAGCGCGAATCCGTCCCATAGCCGCGGTTCCTTCCAAATTTCCTTCTGCACGAGGCGCGAGAGTAGCGATGTCGACACGTACGAGCCGAGCGTACGGAACGACTTGGTTGCCATGATCGCCGTTCGCATGAACAGTACAGGCACAGGTTCCTCCTCCACAAGGCGGTTTAGCACGGCCGTCAGCACATCGCTGCGGAACACCTCGCCCATCGAAAAGCAAATCTGCACTGCGACTAATGCAGGTTTGAGCCCAATCTCTTTCTCGTGCACATGTAGCAGGACCAGCAGGTCGACTGGCGTCAGCGTTGCCGTCGTAGTCGGTTGTTCGCCACCGCCCTGCGCACCGGTCGCCTGGATCGCAGGCGCAATGAGCGTCTGGAAGAGGTGATGCACCTCGATTTTGTGCTCCTCCGTCGGGTCGCTGAGCACCGACACAACCTTGGGCAGCGCCTCGAGCATAGCCTCGCGGTCGAGGTGCGCCACCAGCGGCAGCAAAAACTCCACATCGAGCCCGCGGTGTGCACACAGGTGTTGCACCAGCTCCGCCAAGGCGCGCGTGTGGCTTTTCTCGGTGAGAATCCGCAAAATAGCGACCACCAGCGTATCCGCGCCATCTGGGTAGTAGCGCAGCACGTCCAGAAGCGCTGTGCTGTTCGGACCCACGGAGCGGGCCACCGGCGTGACGTGCTTCTGCATGGCTGCCTGCACAGGCGCAGGCACAAGTGGGTATATGCGCACGACCTCGGCAAAGAAACTCGGCTGCTTCACACTTAAGACAAGTGCAAGCTCAATGAGACGCAGCACATCCTGCTCATTCAGACCCAGAGGGTCCGCTGCTGTCTCCTCCGCCTCTTCTGCCTCAGTCGATGCAGGCGCCTTGGCCAAGGCCGAGTCATGGGCCTTCGCCTCCTCCACCAGGAGGTGCAGCGACTCGCGCGCAAAGTCAAGCACAGGCTCGGCCAGCGGGCCGCGCTGGAGGACCCATGTGCGGGCGGTTACAATGGCCTTGCCACGCACCAGCCGCTCACTGTGCCGTGTCAGCTGCAGCACTTTGTGGCACACCGGCACACGCAGCGGCGGCCTGGCCGTGCTGACGTCACGCAGCAGGGAAAAGCCTTCGCCAATCGTGGAGCGCTCCAGACACAGCTCATACAGGCGATCCAGCACCACAAGCGGAATCTCAGGCAGCTCGCGCAGGAACGAGCCAAGCGCCACATCGTCCACTTGCGGCGTGCTCAGCTGTGTATCGAGGATGCGGTCCAGCCAAGTGTGGTAGGCGCTGCTTTCCATACCGTGCTTCTGGCGCATGCGATCGCAGGCCCACTCCTCGGCGAGCCACTGCTGTGCAATACCGCGGCGCTCGCAAAAGTCCTGCGATACAAAGTCCAGTAACAAGCCGCGCACTTTGTCGGCCTGCGCTTGCAGCTCAGGGAGTGCCGGTGCCGGCACCGCCTGCACCGTCGTATCGAGACCGCGCGTCGCGAGACGCACAGCAAGCTTGATCCAGAGCGCTGCGTGGCCTTCCGACGCACGCTCAAGCGCCTGTGCTGGTACTAGCTGGCTGCCTGTTTCGCAAATGCGCGATACAGCATCGACAATCAAGGCCTGCGCCTCGCGCTGCTCCAGTGGCACGGGTGACGGCAGCTCAAAGTGTTCCAAGCTCTTGAGCGGGGTGCTGTCCTCAGCTGTGGGCGCAGCCGGCTCAACCGGCGCGATATCGTCGTCACCCACATCCATCTTGAGTGGATCCACAGGTTCTTGTGGCGCGACCGGCGCCGATGCACGCACAAACTCAGCAATGGCCGTCTTGAGCCGCGCCTCGGGCACGCTTTGCAGCCCAGCAATGATGGCGTCCACGACACTGTTGAGCGGCAAGCGCGCGAGATCTGCGGCAGTCATGCCCTGAGGCTGCCTCGGATCGTTAGGCGTCGCAGCACGCGCGCGCTTGGCCATCGCTTGATCCGAGTCCTTGAGCGAGTCGCGCTTGCGGCCCTGCCCCTCTTTCTGGGCCATGTATGCCTCGCGAGCCGCAGTATCCATACGCTGCTTCTGCCTCTCGAGGGCCTGCGTCAACTGCGTCGTTTGCGGTTCCACTGAGCCATGCTGCAAAAAGTGTACCATGGCGAGGCGAATGGTGTTTTCGGCACTGCGGATGTGCACTGGTGCTAGCGAATCGAGACTTTGTGGTGTCCAGCTCGTAAATGACTCGATGACCACTTTATTGAGCTTAGTGCGCAAGCGTGCCAGACGCGTGAGCACTTGGGTGACGGCCATGACGAGGCTGGGCGCCGAGCTGGTGAACAGCAGCGTAATCAGTTTCGTGAAAACTTGGTCACCCTCAGCCTCGAGTTCAGGCGCCTGGAGGAACGGATGTTCGCGTGGAATCACATTTAAGTTGATCTCGGCACGGTTTTGGAGCTGGAGTCAGGCAGGCGGTACGTACGCGTGGGTCACCGTCAGGCGTGCTTTGCACCTGAATCCAGCGCTGGCATGCCTTGGCCGCGCCAATACGTGCGCCCAGAGCACCATTGTCGATAGTGAAGGTAATGCGCTCCTTGATCGCACACACAATCTGCCAGAGATGGCGGCTCATGGGCGAAAGGTCCTGAGACACGTGAAGAAACACACGGGGGTACACCGAGGCAAAGCACTCACACGCGAGCTTAGCATGTGCACCGGTGGGGTCAGCAAGTAGCACCATCAGTGCCGCCGGCACATGCAGAGTGGCTGTGGTAAGTCGGCGTACACCTACCTCGCTCGCGTACTTCTGCAGCGACGATGCGCTTCCCAAAGAGGAGGTCGACGACCTCGGCAAGACGGTGGATGCCATCTGGCATGCGAAGATCCACCACATAAGCGCCACCGGTCGCCTGCGCCAGCACCCCACAGAGGGCCTGGATCGGATCGACCGTCGCCATCGTCGCGCACAGAAAGGACGCCGGCGCCGCGAGCATGGCGAGAGAATGTTATGTAATCACACGTGCGCGGGCCGCTCACGCCCCAGCGCGCCCACTGCCTGTCCCTTGTCCGAGCAGCATGGTGCGTGCGCGCTAGCGCTGACCTCAGGTGGCGCAAAAGTCACAGGGTATTCAAACGCTGCTGGAAGCGGAGAAGGAGGCCTCTAAGATTGTTGAGCAGGCGCGATCCTGTACGTGCGCGCGCCCGACTGACCACAGACCGCTCCCAGAAGCTGAAGGAGGCGCAGTCGGAGGCCGAGAAGGAGATTGCCGACATTCAGGCACAGAAGCAGAAAGAGCTGGAAGAATTCAAGAAGAAGGTAGGTGGCAATGCACTGACCGCAGTATGAGGGCACCCAATCGTCGAGCCAGGACAAGATCGACCGTGACACAAAGGACCGCCTGCGGGAGATCGAGCAGGCGTTTGAAAAGAAGCGCAGCGAGCTCGTCAAGAAACTGCTGGAGCGCGTCGGCAAAGCAGACCCACAGCCCCACCGCAACTTGCACAAGATCGAGGCCTAGCCGTATCTACATGGTATCTATATTGCCTCCATAGTCCGCGATCCACACAGCCCCCCGCACACTCGCCAGACAGACGATGCCACGCGCCTCGTCCACTGCGAACTCGGAGAGCATGTCCACACGGCTCGAAGGACTGGGCACCGTGGAACTCGTCGTCGATGTCGACGAAAACGAATCGACGCGCACACGCCGCGGTGTCGGGCTGCTAGGCGGCGGGGCGCCTGCCGGCACCGGGGCTGGTCCCAGTACGGGCACCGACAGCGAGTCACCGGGAACTGCAATGTCGGGCGTAGGTCGAATGGGTAGCAGGGGTTTGTCCCGGGTATACAGGCGCACTGCACAGATCGGCGGGACTCCCCCCAAACTCGACGCCAGGATGCCATGGTGCCCCGAGGCGCCCACTGACGCACCGATCAGCCGTTCCGACATTTCATGGTGGGCCACGAGCCTCGGCGGCTCCGTCGGATGTGTGTAGTCCAAGGACCAGTGCGTCAGGCCTGTCGGATCCACACACAGCAGCGGAAGCTCCCCCGCACCAGGTCGTCGACACATGCCCATACGCCGCTCATCGACGGTACCGAGAGACGCACTGAGCAGTGGATGCTGCCCGACGGTATGCTGCCCGACCCGGGTTGCGTCCGCCGTGCCGCAGCGCTCGTAGATGGTGATATGACCCATGCGCGACACAGCTACCACATGGGTATCTAGCAGCGCCAACGCAGCAATGGAGCCGCGGTCCAGCTGCTCCAGCACGGTTCGTTCGCCCGAGCGCCAGTGAAGCAGGTATATGCGCCCAGTATAGGTGCCAATGGCTGCGTGAGGCTACCATACGTACCAACCACGTCATCCAGCAGCGACACACACTGTGTGCCGCCCCACTCCGGGGGATCCAGCGAAGCACAAATGTCCAGCATGTGTGGCAGGGACCGCAAACGCAGTTCGTACAGCAGGGCGCCTGCCGTGCTCTGTGTGTGAGTGTATGGCGACATACATAATACGACCCCACAGCGATGGTCATGGTGCGCATCTCCGGATCCACTTGCGCGTCGATCGACGTGACGTCGCCGCCAGTATCGACCTCCGCCACGAGAAAGGCCCGAGCGGAACGCTTGATATCATGGGCAGGGTCCGTCGGGAGCACGCGTGGCTCATCCTCGTCGCAAGTGCTTTCGTCGCAAGTGCTCCGGAGCAGCGCATCCACAGCCAGCTCCGGCGTGACATTGAGCGAGCCATCCTGCTGCAACACGCGGTTGACGTCCCACACCCGCACATATCCATCAACAGAGCCGGTAAGGAGCCAGCATGGCGTATGTACGCCCCCTTCCCGTGGATGTGGGGGGCCTACAACGAGGCGCACGCTGGTGATGCGGTTCACATGCGCGCGGAATCGGATCACACGCTCCGGCTGCGCTCCCCGTGTGGCCCATGCGCGATCCATCTTGTCGCGCATGAGCAGAGCCCTCTCCATCGCATCAACAGATACGATTTGACTCGACGTATAGGCCGCGAGCGGGCTGTGCTGAGCGCGCTGCACATACAACTGGTGCCAGAGCGCCGTTGACACACCTGCCACGAACATGGCACGCATAGTCTATATCAGCCAGTAATCACATACTTTGCGTACGCGCACAATCTCGTGCGGTGCCATATACGTAAAGACGACCGTCCATAGCTCCAGTGGTACGCGGTGCACCGCTGGGACGTGTCGTGCCATGCCCAAGGTCCGTGACCTGGCGGAGCGCCACCAATCCATTCATGACATAAGCGCGCACCCCGCATTTGCCTTATGGCCACCGACGCGCCGCGTATCGCGCCGATCGCGCCGAGCGATGTGCGCCGTATTGCCGGTGCGCAAGTCGTGCCTGATATGCGATCCGCGGTGAAGGAGCTAATTGAGAATGCGCTGGATGCAGGCGCCACAAGTATAGGTGCGTCGCGCACAACTGACGCGAGAACTGCGCTTCAAAGAGTACGGTCTGGGCGGCATCGAAGTGGTGGACAACGGCAGCGGTATACGCAGGGACGATTATGCTATGATTGGTACGTGTTGCTGCTAATGTCAGGGCGGCGCCACCATACATCCAAACTTATGAGCTTCGACGACCTAACGCGTGTCACGACGTTTGGCTTTCGTGGCGAGGCACTGGCCTCGCTGTGCTCCGTTGCTGATGTGACTATGCTCACAGCCACAGAGAAGGATGCGCCCATGGGTACCCTGCTGGAATTTGCGCATGATGGTTCTCTGAAGGCGTGTGACAAGCGCATCGCAAGGCAGCGTGGCACGTCCGTGACTCTGCTGAATCTTCTCTCGGGTCTGCCTGTCCGTCGGCGCGAGCTAGAGAAGAATGTAAAGCGCGAGTTTGCGAAGGCGCATGCCATGATCCAGTCGTATGCCCTGGTTAGTGAGGGCGTGCGTTGGGCCTCTTCCGTCCTGCTGGCAGATGGAAAACGCGTCTCGCAACTCGTTGTGCGGGCTTCGTCGGGGCCGCAGTATCTGCAAGCGAATATGGCCGCGCTCTTCGGCACCAAGGCCTCGGCGGCTATGCAGTCCATGAATCTAGATCTCTCTGACGACGACCACGACGACGACATTCGCATGCTGGGCCTCGTCTCGAAGCCCGCTGCGGGCAGTGGGCGCAGCAGTGGCGATCGCCAGTACTTTTACCTGAATGGGCGTCCATGGGAATGTCCTAAGCTGGCACACATTTTTAACCAGGTGTATCGCACATTCAATGCAACACAGTTTCCTTGTGTTATTGCGGACCTGCGACTCGGTAGGCATGCCTACGATGTGAATGTGAGCCCGGACAAGCGGACGTTGTACCTCCACGAGGAAGCTGTTCTGCTGGAACGCATTCGCGTAGCGCTCGAGCAAGTTCTTGAGCCATCTCGGAGCATCCTGCACGTGCAGAATCAGGCGTTCGAGTCGACACCGACACCTTCGGAAGAAGCTCCCAAGCGTAGCGCGCCGGAAGCTACACGCGATCCCCCCAAATCGGCCCGCACAGAAACTTGTGTATCGACGCTGTCAGCTTCGTGGAGCTCCCCACCGGTTTCACAAGATGCTAGTGCTTCGCAGGGCGTCTCGTCTATGCGCGCGCAGTTTCGACAGGCCGTACAAAACTTTGCAATGAAGAGAGCACAGTTGCCTGATAATTACGTGTCGGAGTATGAAGAAGAAGGTCTGGATGGGTCGGACATAGAGGACCAGCCCATCTCACCAGGCAGCCCAGATGCGTCGTTGCAGGGTGAGACTAGGCACAGATCCCCCATGACGACTCCTACTACACCAGCCGAGCCTGAAAATACAGTGGAACGCCCAGCATGGCAACGTCACAAGCGGCGCAGACTGCCAGAAACACCGATCCAGGCCCAAGACTTGGACGATGACCAACCAAATAACGAGCCCGATCGCAGGGCACAGATACCAGACGTGCCTGTGTCGCCGGGTGTAGAAAGCCCCCCGTCAGACTGGGAGGAGCCGGCTCGACCAGCTGACTGTCCGCCCGCATCCTGCTCCACGCCGCAGGTCGATGCCCCTCACAACGAGCAGGATCTGTTTACAATCACAGCGACGTCTGTGTCTACCGAATCTAGTGATGAGCTGGACGAGGAAGCTCAGCCCTCCTCGCCCGTCCATGTTCAGCCGATGAATACCCAGGACAAGGGTCGCACTGTACAAAGATCAACAAATCGCAGTTCACTTTCGGCACACACTGTCATACTTCCGTTTGATTTTCAGAAATATCGTGGCCGTTTGGAGCGCGCACCCACGCCGTGCACGCCCAGGCCTTGGCAGGGAGCGGAAGTGGGTGTCCCTGATCAGGAGGTGGTTGCAGCTTTGGAGCGAGTCTTGGCCAAGCCGGACTTTAGCCAAATGCACGTTGTGGGGCAGTTCAATTTGGGTTTTATTATTGCCAGACGAACCACACCAGATATGGACGACCTCTTCATTATTGATCAGCATGCAGCGGACGAAAAGTTCAATTTCGAGACTTTGCAGCGTACCACCAAGATCCACAGCCAGCAGCTTCTGCGCCCCCAACCTGTGGAGCTGGCACCCACGGACGAGCTTGTAGCCATGGAACATGCTGAATGGCTACGCATAAATGGCTTCGACGTCAGTGTGGACGAGGAGGCTGCACCAGGTCATCGTATCAAGCTGCTCTCTAAGCCGGTCAGCAAAGACACGGTCTTCGACCTGCATGGTACGCAGCATTTCTAACACCAGACTTCGAGGAGCTACTTTTCCAGCTGCGTGAGACACAGCATGGTCAGGCTTGTCGGGCACGCTGCACTAAGGTCTATGACATGCTGGCGAGTCGGGCTTGTCGGAAGAGCATCATGGTCGGTTCGGCATTGGACCTCCGCCAGATGCGGCAGGTACTCCAGCACATGAGCGAGACGGAGCAGCCATGGAACTGCCCCCATGGACGGCCTACAATCCGTCATCTGACGACGCTGGGAACACCATCGAGTGCGCGGCCTGTCGCATGGTCGGCGCTATCGCTTCTGTAGCAAATGGCACGTGCGAGACGCCTGCCCTGAGGGTGGAGGTAAACCGAGGTCGATCAGCAAGGTTGGCCCACGATGGACGACGGAGCCGAAGCGTGGCAGGCCACACTACGGGCCAGTGAGTCTTTAGAGGCACTACAGGATGCTATATTTTCAGCGGAAGAAGTGATTCAGTCTCACTCACATATTTGGGACTCGACAGATATAAGCGCAGCGCGTCTACTAGTCAGGCTGGACGAGGTACGGGATCGCCTCTCGCATGCGCGTGAAACGGCTCAAAAGGCATGCATGCTACCACCCAGCACCGATGGTCCACAGCGACTTTTCGATGCTGTCGCATCTATTCACTCTCACTTTCATAAAATCCATGCCGACGCGCTGGATTTGGAGCTTCAGCTAGAGAGCGAACGCGCAGTGCTGACTGCCTACGACGTGTGCATGCAGTGTGAGCGCATACTTCTCCATTTGGAATCAAACTCTGCATCTGAATCTCCGGGTTCCAAAGATGCCTTGGAAGCGAAGAAGCGGCATATGCTCTCGACATGTGCGCATCTGATATCTACGATGCGTCGATCTCTACCCGTGCAACCCAAGGCGAGAGCACGCTACGCTCAAATTGAATCACGTTGGAGTATACTGCAGCAAAAACATCATATGGATGATGTTCAAGAAGCTTCCGACGTGTTAGCCTCGTCGCTTACTATCAGCACGCCGATGAGCAAGCGTCCAGCCGGTGACGACGACGCCCGCAAGCGGCGCTGGTCCCTTGGTACACCGAGTCGCTTGCCGCGGACGCCGGGATCTTTACCGCGGACACCTTCACACACCATGTCGCACGTCACAGGTTCGTCACAGAGACCGCGAACAACGGGGAGAATTCGCTCCGAACGCAGCGCTAGTGCCTCCATGTCGCTGCATAGTCCTGGTTGGATGGTCGTCCAGGCACCTTTGGTCGAGGATTCGCCCAGCGAGCGGGCGTCTACAAGACCTATGTCAGCTATGGACCGGCCAAGAACACCTAACGCGCGTCCTCCATCGTCTCAAGGAAAGCGCCTAACACGGCGTGCATCTCTTTTACCACGTCCCTCGCACACTCTGGCACAAGGCTCGCCTGTACCGCCTGTACCCCCTGTGCCGTCTGTGCTACCTGTGCCCGTGACACCCCCAAGATATACCCCTAGCAGGCACTCAGCCGTAAATGGCGCCCGAAGATATGTGCCGGATATGCGCGATGCGTTGGATATTGGTGTGGCTCGTATATGCAACGCACGCAATGTAATGGTGGAGCGCCTGGAAGAACCCCATGCTAGACAGGGCGACGTATATCATCGGTATATGTTATTGTCAAAAAACGTGACCTGTCGTTTACTCCGGATCGTATGTATACAAGATGGCTGACCAAAGCACATTCCCGAGCACCCACGAGACGTGGATCAGCGCAACATTCACGCGCGCGTGGGTGGCGGCTGGATCGAGCTGGACATGTGGCTAGAAACGCGCTAGCATTAGGCTCGCCATACAAGGAAGGCCATGGGGCCGAGATCTAGATGAGCAGGCATAAACATACAAAAGTAAAGAAAGTACTTAGACTCTTATTGTGAGCACTAAGTACGTACCGTGTGTCACAAAGCTCCCGAAGCTGCGACCGACAATAACGTGCCAAGTTGTACCGAACTTTTTGTCGGCAGTGCGCTTCATATGGGCGGCCATATCCTTCTCGAGTTCGAAGCGCATCATGGCATCTGCTGCCATCTCAACTATCTCCTGCTGCATTTCTTGGTCCATGTCAGCATTCTTGATAACAGCCTTGCCGGCATCGGGTGCCGCCGTTGGCGTCACACTGTCGCTCATCGTGGCCCGTTAGTGGGGAACCCAGGGGCGTGTCACTTGCAGGGACTCATCACGTGACTCGTCGTCCGTTGCGCCGCTCAGCTTAGCGTGCCTTTTCTCCATTCGTTTTCATGGATCCAATTCTGCTCGACCGGCTGAAGCTTTTGCTTCCCTTCGCCGAATCGATTCCTGGTAGGATCCTAGAGTAAATGCATCTGCTTTGTTGGATGTGCGTGGAGTGTGTAGAGTGCTACCTCCGGTGCAGCGGTGTGCAGTGCTGTAACAGGCCTGGATTTGCAGCGCTGTACCTATGGGACGCACGACGCAAGACGCAACATAACAGATAATGGATGTAGTGGATTTGAGTAGTCGGTTAGTGTTCATGTGTTTCAGTGGCGGATCGCAGCAAAGATTGTAACTTCTCCTTGGACCACCATGGCCGACGCCGCAACGCCCAAGCCCGCCGACGCGGCGCCAGTCAAGAAAGACAAGAAGGCTGCAAAGGAAGCCAAACGTGAGCGTCGCGCAGCTGCCAAGGTTCAGCAGGAAGGCCAGACACAAATTCAGGGACAGCACAGTTCTGGACCTGTCCAAACTGGTGGTGCGACAGGCGCAGGTAAAGGGCGGCCTGAGAAGCCAGCCATGTCCAAGATCAAGGACGCAGCTCCGACGCCGTCGCTCGATGAGGATCTCTCTACGGTTGGTGTGTTGGGAGATGCCTCGCTCTTTGGAAATGTGACGCTGCCGCGCAACGCCCGCATGAATGCCATAAACTGGAGCAGTGCGGCAGCCCGCGGCGTTATTCATCCTGCTGTGCTGACCCTGTGCCACCAGCTGTCGACCTTTGCGATCCGTGGAGCGAACCAGCGCGCTATAGCCGTACTTCGCGCGCTTGGCGAAGTGATCCGCGATTACAAAACCCCGCAAGGTGCTGTACTAAGTCGCGACCTTCTTACCCGCGTGTCCCAGCAGGTCGGCTTCATTGTGGAATCACGCCCATTAAACACGGCCACGGGTCATGCTGTGCGCTTCCTCAAGTACGAAATTAGTGTGGTGGAAGCGTCGCTTAGCGAGGAGGACGCTAAGGAACACTTGCTGGGCCGGATCGAGCACTTTATCCGCGATCGCATTGTGTATGCCGCCAAGGTCATTCAATCACACGCGGCCGCAAAAATCCATGATGGTGAGGTCGTTATGACATATGCCCACTCTTCTGTCATTGAGGGTACGCTGCTACAGGCCTTCCGTCAGGGGCGCCAGTTCGAAGTGATCGTCGTTGACTCACGCCCACTCTACGAGGGACGTCAGCTGGCTGAGCGGCTACTAGAAGAAGGCATCCCCACGACCTACGGCTTATTGACGTCGCTAAGCACTCTTGCGCCTCGAGCGACACTCGTGCTGTTGGGCACATCGTCGCTCTTGTCCAACGGTGCACCCTATGCTCGCTCAGGCACAGCCATGTGCGCAATGATGGCGCATGGCTTCCACATTCCGGTGATTATATGCTGTGAGACGTACAAATTCAGCGATCGCATCCAGCTCGACAGCTTCGTTGTGAACGAGGCAGGGCAGAGCTCGGACCTGCTCTCTCAAGAAGACGATACCTTGCAGACACCTAGTGTGCTGCTGACTCGCGCCGAATGCAGTGCGCAGTCGCGCCTCAAGGTCGTCCAACTGCTCCACGATGTGACGCCACCCCGCTATGTAAGTGCAATTGCATCCGAGGTGGGTCTGAGTGGAACGGAGAGTGTCGGTGTCATTTTACGCGACTACAAGAGTGTACTCTTTGGCGTATAGATTGAAACTACGCTTCACGCACATAGTTTCCAGGGAACACGCCTTCAACGCCATTCAAGCGGCCTGTCCACCAGTCCTCCGCGCTGGGAGTTCGCTTCAGCACTTCAATTTTGTCACCAGCGTGGAACGACAGGTCGCCATCAGCGGTAGCAGCATAATCGTACAGGGCAATGACATAGTCGGCCGCCAAGGGGCTGGGCTTGGGGGGTGCCGTCGCGGCCGCAGTACTCGGTGTATAGGCGGGGGGTTGTTCCGACGCAGGGGCTGTCGCAGGAAAGCTGGAGGCGGGGAGAGCTGCTGCAGATTTCGGGTTCGTGATCATCTGACTCTTGGTGCGTGTGCTGAGGGACGTTCCGCTTTTGGCCATCTGCAAAATCCGTGCGCTGGGTGGCACCGGTTTCTGGATCGAGAACGACTCCAGCTCAGCGATGATTTGGCTCATATCGATTGCATACTTGTGCTCGTGCGAGATGAGGTTGTTCTCAGACATATCAAACTTGCCAGAGGCAAACTGCTTGAGCTTTTCCATAGAGAGATAGAAAACGTTCAGCTGCATATAGTAGAAGGAGTAGAGCAGCGGCGTGATGAGGCGCGTTACCATGTCCATGAACTTGGGCAGCTCCGCCTTCAAGAGGTTATTGTGATGTTCATAGTCGGCCGCCGAGGCCTCTGACTCGTGCTCAAGCTTGAACATGTTTTGGTCTTCTTTGGCCGACCGGCTCTGCTTCTCCTTCAGCTTCGTGTAAGAGTTCGAGTGGCGATCGAAGTCAATCAGTTTGTGATCGCGCTTCGTGATAGCCTTCTCAATATTTTTGAGCAGGCTTTCAAGTTCTTCGGCAGGCGCAATCACGCGGGTGGCAATAAGCTCGAGCTCGGGACGAAGCGATTCACGCAGATCGTCAATGTAGGTCATGTAGCCGCTGAGGTTCACCAGAGTCTGCACGACCTCCGGGTGCCTGCGCTCGAGGTCGTACTCCAAGCCCAGGGGGTGGTAAAGAGTACTGAACTCACTGGTGAACATACTGCATGACTCAAGCATCTTCTTGATCGCGTCCAGATAGGTACGAGACTCTCTCGTCAACTGACGAATTAGCTTTTCCACCGCTGTGAACTTGTGGCGCAGATGATCAAATTCAACATCCGTAGACTTGGCAGAAAGTCCCACCTTGGATGTCACAACGTGAGGCGTCCGTTGAATGAACTTCGTAAACCCCTTCATGTTGAAGCCGTGCGGCGTTGCGTCCTAGGACAAGAGTGCCAAACGGGAGGCGGTGTGGCTCAAACGCTTATGTCATCCACACGCTTATTGCGGGGATCCAACAAGCACGCGACACCGCATCGCCAGGCACTGCGACTCGGCGCGCGACGGGGGCGTCTGCCATGCGAGATGAGAAACGGCGGCCTAAAAGCAAGCAGAAGAAGCCACCTAGGTCCATCGAGGAGCATGTGATGCGGAAGATGTCACTCGGTGTGTCGGAATTAGTGTCTCCGGCCTGGTGTGAATACGCGTACCAATATAATGTACTGTTCCAGTCACACCTACCGCTTTCGATGCGGCCGCTCACTATTACAACACCCAGAGGGACAGTAATGGAGCCAGACTGGAGCTCTATGGAACAGAAGGAGGCTGTGATGGAGAAAGGTTCAGCCATACACGAGGACATCGAACGAGATGTACTGCCTGTCCAAGTGTCGATTCGCGTTGAAACACGGGAAGATGAATGGGCTCTCCTGTTATTGCAATTTGCAACAGGGCTTTATATCTTACAAACAAGCGGGCGCACTCGTGAAGTGCCTGTTTTTGGAGTAATACATGGAAAACTGATCCGAGGTATCATTGATGAATTGCATCTTGACGAGCGGGGCGAGATTGTCCTTCTGGAGACGAAGACTCGCTCATCAGCAACGATCCCATCACGCATTGACCAGCAGCAGGCTCATTGGCAATGCATGATATACCGCCGCCTACTCGTGAGCATGGCTGCCACTTGGCATTGCGCCCTCGAGGACAGCGCATCTACCTTGGACTTGGCCGTGATCTGGGAGACGTTCCATATTCGCATGGATATACCCTTGACGAATGCCTTCGTCGAAGACCTGGAGAGAATGGTACATCGCGTTGATACGCCTTGGGAAAGGGGTCATTTGGCTCCCGATCTGACGCTGCAGCACGTCATGGATATGGTCAAGACCACCTTGCGAGGTATCCATAGGCGAATGGCGCCGATGATGAAAATTGTATATATGCGACGTGATACGGCAGAAGCCCTTCAGAGTGTTTCCGTCACAAACAATAAACCAGCTTTGGACGACTTCTTGGACAAGACATTCGCATTGTTGGATGGAAAGCGAGAGCCGGAAGGGGTTGCCGTTGCCAGCACAAACCGTTGCGATAGTTGCGCATGGCGCAATGACTGCGAGTGGCGCGATGATATGGCTAAGGCAGCTCAAAAGCGTGGTCTGAGACGCAGTTTTGAGCGTCGAGGTCATGGAGACGACGATGAACAACTGTGGGCACAATTTGACGAAAAAGACCTGCTCAATTTAGATTGGTAGTTACTTCTCCTTCCTCTTGCGTAAACTTTGAGACTTATCTGCGACAGCTGCGCGTTTCGTACGCTTCGATGCGGGTGCCGGAGGGGCATTTGATTTCCGTCGCGAAGCAGCGCTAGGTGGCTTCTGAAACGTAGATTTAGGAGACGAATTGGCAGAGAGGAACTCATCTTCGGAATCAGAAGCTGAGTCCTCGCTCTTTGATTCACTCCCAACCTCAAGCTCATCGTCCGATTCATTGAGGAGTGCATGGGCTTCTTTGAAATCCTCGTCTAGTTGTTGTTCTTTCTTCAAAGTGCGCCTCGTGGCTTTCCAGTCGCCAAAAGTGCGTCTTGTATTTATAGATTCTTCATTGGTAGCACCCATAAGCCATTCACCCCAGTTGTCCTCGACTTTTGGTGAGGTAACACGGTGGGAAAACGGCACGACCCATTGATCTGGATCAACGGATTCTGATGGTCCTTCAGGTGCTTTGTCTTTTACTTGGTCCGATCCTTTTTTCTCAGATTGTAGAGCAGCGCGCTGAGCACCTCGCTGCATGAACTTCAGCCCCTGAAGTCGACTCGACATGGGTTTGGTCGTCATGGTGGAGATGGAGGAGACAATAAATTCTGCCCGATTTCAATCTAGATCGATGAAGCCGTCCGACACATCCATGGATGAAGCATGCCTGGCTCAGCTTGAGTGCGTATGAGTCACTAATTTAAGATCGTCTTGGAAGGAGCTATTAGCCCAGCAGGAAGGGTCTGTAAAGGAAAGAACTTTTTATTCCGTTCTATGGCGCCTACGACTTGACGACGTTTCAAACGACGCTTTTCGCTCATGGCCATCAACTGTAAGACTTCAACGGCGAGCGTATCGACATCTGCAGAATAGGCTGGCCTTTGTGTGGCAAGGACCTCTAGTACCTATTGATGATGAAGATATGCACCCTCTCCAGGAAGCGGTTGGTAGTATCGTCACTTACCCCAGACGCCGAGACAAAAGATGGATAATATCAAAGCCACGCAAGAACTCATTGCCCTAGATCTCAAACGTCTCTCCGAATTGCCTTCTGACGCTGGTGTGGCTTCCTTACAACGAATATTGACGATATGGTCACTTACCCAATCTGATTATGACTATCGCCAGGGTATGCATGAAGTGGCGTCGTTCCTGTGGACATTGAGGGCACGCGAATCTCTCCCAACCCCTGTGGACCCCCAGAAAGAGACATTGGATATCCATTCGCTGCTAGCACCTGAGGAAGTGGAAGCGGACACGTTCTTCCTTTTCTCAGGCATCATGCAGCGCCTTGCTTCACAGTACTTCATCGAGCGCGCCGGATCCCCCTCACTGATCAAAGCCATTTTGTATCGCGTCGATCGGATTTTGGAAAGCCATTTATTCGGGCTTGAGCTGGAATGGTCACCTATACTACTGTACGCATTTATGGCTGACCTTGCAGTCGTTGGCATCGTCTCATGTATCTCCACGAGGTATGTGCGTTCTACTTACTCAGTTTCCTGTGGAAACAAATACCCTCCTTTGGGATGCCATGATACGACGAGACCCTTCCCTATCGCTGCTGCCCTATGTATCTACAGTCTTGATTCTGATGCACCGTGACCGCCTCATTGTTTCTGACTATATCGAGGCCATGCAGTTTCTCATGCATCTGCCGACTCCTTCGTCAGCATCAGACCTTGTTCGTGAAGCCGAGCTTTTGCACAAGACCCCCACTTCCGAAATGGGCATTATCATTCTTCGCGCACATGCGCAGCAACCTCCTTCTTTGGATACCCCCATGCTAGAATCGGCAAGAGCGCGTCTGATGGAGCTTTCCAGTGCGCACGCTCCACGAGTAATCCAGAACCTTTTGAATCCCGCTGAGCAGCAAGGCACACCGAACTGGAGCCCTTTATCTCAGGCACGGCTTCACTCCGAGTCAACAGACACTTTTACACAGCGAAGACGTGCCATGCTTTCACTGGATGATGTACATAATAGAGATCTGTAATACATTCTATGGCACTGTTGGTGTCTCTTGATACCGTTGATTCACCTTATCGATCATCGCTTGAATTTCTTCCGCCGATTTGGATGGGGGATGCTGCTGTGCCTCGCGCTCGTGGCGGCGTTTCGCTTGCGCCTCCAATTGCGCCACCACTTCCACGGGCATATCAGCTGGTACATAGCCAATGCCAATTACGCGGCCAGCACTGGGAGCTTGTGCCCAGGGCTCTGTTTCTGTTTCCTCGTTTGTATCGTCGAGTGGCGCTTGAAATGCCTTTAACTTTTCCGCGTGTACAGCTTTGGTAGTCTCGATTTCATCCTGGAGCGATAAAATTTCGCTTTGTAGCTTTTTCCTGTCATTGGCATTGTAGACGGGCGCGGGTGCTGTCATTTGGTCTAGGCGGGTAGGACCCAGCAATTTATCCATCCACTCATGGTACAGTGCGTAGCGGGCGGCAGCTAGATCGCGTGGAACGACGACATCGAGTGGATCTAGATGTAAGTATCGCTGAACGCACCAACAAGGGCATCAGCCACGTCTTCATCCTGCTCGCGACCATAAATGATATTCGCGTAGGGCCGTTTCACGATCGGCGCACTGACGCCGAGCATCCCCGAGGCCCGGGGCATATTGGCTCGCACCTCATTCGATGGATCCCATGCAAATGGATGCTGGGTTTTGCGCTTGCGCCCTCGCACGGGGGCAGTGTGCATCGTCTTGGATGCTGTTCCTGGGCGGGGGAGGTTGGGCAACCGCGTTCGTTCGCGCTCCGCCGATCGCTCCACGCGGTCCACGTGGACCCACGTGTCCAGAACTTTCCAACGCGCGGGAGATCGGGGATTTGTGTCAGACCAACACATAAAAGTTAGCTACAGACGAAGCGGTGGCGATAGCCGAAGCCATGCCAAACGATTGGTACTCTATTTTGGAAGTGGATCCCAATGCTTCCGGTAATGAGATACGTACAGCATATCGTAAGCAGGCGTTGAGGTCACATCCTGATCGTGCTTCGGCCTCTGAGAAGGAAGAAGCAACGGCCAAATTCAAGCTTGTGGCGGAGTGCGTATTCTGTAGCTAACGTCCCAGAGCCTATGAAGTGCTTAGTGACGACAGGCGGAGGTGGGAATACGACAGATTTGAGTACCCGCTGCTTACGGGGACTATGCCTGATGGTTCGGACCCGCAGACGTCTATGTCTCCCGGCGGTCACACATTTGTTTGGGAGAGTAGCTTTGACTCGGCACGGAGAGCGCAGGGCCGACACGGAACAGATGGATTTGCACGCGGCTCTTTTGACCCTTTTGAGTTGTTTAATTCTATGTTCGCGCGCGACTTTCATGAGATGGAGGCCAACAGCGGGTTCGACGACAGCTTCATGAACTGGGGCATGTCTTTCCCTGGCGTGTCGAATATAGGGCGTCCCACTTCCTTTGGCGCACCTCCGCCTTTCGCATCGCGCAACCCACTGGTTGGTGAGTCTATGTCGCCGCCGTCCTTTCCTACTATGGCATCGTTCGGCTCACTCTTTGGACAGCAGCCCATTCACGCCAGCATGCCTGGTGGCAATACCGTTTATTCGAGCAGCTCGTCCAACTACTCGTTCCAGGGCGGCTCTGGAAACGCGTCAGAAAGTCGTCGTACAACTGTCGTCAACGGTCGACGGGAGACCATTATTACCAAGCGGGATGCGCAAGGCAACGAGACGGTGCGGAAAATCACGCCAGAGGGCGAGACAATTCATATCAACGGGCAGCTTCAGACCGCTCTGGAGGCCCCGCCGGCACCGCAGGCTGTGGAAATGGCTCGGGGGGAGGAGTCGTCGTCAAAGGAGTCCAAGTCGGACTCGTCGGGCCACTCTAGTTGGCGAAAAAAATGGAAACTGTTCTAAGCTATCAATATTAAGTATCTACTATCGTACTCTTTCTTTCGCTTTGCTTTCATAGGCTACACACGATCTTGCTCTCTAGCGTAGCGGACGGGGCCGTGACACATCCTCCTATTAGGTCCAATCTCATGTTATCCGTACACGTGAGGGTGAAATTTTTTTCGGCGGTTCGCGGCCGGTGTTGCGGGTGACCAACATGGATGTGCGTGCGACGAGCGGGAGCGCTGACCCTAGCCGGCTTATGTGCAGGAGCTGCACGGTATTCTGCAGCAAGCCAATGTGCCCGACACGGCGGCCGTGAAGGCTGTACGTATGCGTGAATGTGAGCTGACGCTAGGCGACGGAGGCACTCCAATCCCGATACCTGAAGGACAGCAAGGCTGTACCTGCTCTCTTTGAGATTCTGGCGTCGTCTTCGGACTTGGCTGTGCGCCAACTCGCCTCTGTGGAATTGCGGAAAAAACTGTCGAAGAGCAACAAGGTCTGGACGAAGCAGCCCGTCGAGATCCGTGATGGCATCAAGACCAAGTTTCTCGAGATTATTTCCGCAGAGCCAAGCCACCTGCTGCGCAATGCCATGGCGCGTGTGATTGCGGAGATTGCTCGCAAGGAGCTTCCGATGCAGTCGTGGCCTGCTCTGCTGCCGTGGCTGTTTACCTCGGCGGAGTCGCCAAATGCCACGCAGCGCCAGACGGCCATGCTTGTCCTGTTTATCATTCTGGAGACGTTTGTGGACAGTGAGGCTCTCAAGTCGCAGTTGCCGCGCATTATGGGCCTCTTCGCCAAGGGTCTACAGGACCCCGAGAGCATCGAGGTGCGCATTACCACTGTGCGCGCGCTTAGCAAAGTGGCTGAGAACCTGGACTCGGACGACCAGGCTGACCTGTCGGCCATGCAGAGCGCGGTGCCGCAGATGGTCGAGGTACTGCAACAATGCCTCGATGCCTCACACACCGAAGGTGTGCGTCAGATTCTCGACGTGTTTGAGAACCTGTGCATGCTCGAGGCCCCTGTTCTGACGGCGCACCTTGCCGACCTGGTGGGCTTCTTCGTGCGCAACAGTGCGAACCGGGACCACGAGGAGGACCTGCGTCTCATGTGCCTCAACTCGCTTGTGTGGACGATCCAATACAAGCGCTCGCGTGTACAGAGCCTTGGTCTGGCCAAGCCGCTGCTCGAGCAGCTTATGCCGATTGCGACGGAGGAGGAGTCGGACGATGTTGAAGAAGACACACCCGCGCGCCTTGCGCTGCGTGTCATTGACCAGCTGGCGACTGAGCTCCCGCCGAGTCACGTCTTCCCTCCACTGCTCGAGCTGGTCCAGGCGTATGCCCACCACCCTGATGCTATGCACCGCAAGGCGGCGATGATGGCATTCGGTGTGAGTGTTGAGGGTTGCTCGGAGTACATACGCCCCCACATGGACGAGCTGTGGCCGTTTGTGGAGAGCGGCATGAAAGATCCTGAGGTGGTGGTCCGCAAAGCGTCGTGCATTACACTGGGCTGCCTCTGTGAAATGCTGGATGAGGAGTGTGCCGCGAAGCATGCTGTGTTCCTGCCGCTGATTATGGAGCTGATCAATGTGCCAGAGACGCAGCGCGCTGCCTGCACGGCTCTGGATGCCCTGCTCGAGGTGATGGGCGATGAGATCGCTCAGTACCTGCCCGCCATCATGGAGCGCCTGACGGGTCTGCTGGAGACGGCGCCCGTTGCCGTCAAGGCTACGATCACGGGTGCGATTGGCAGTGCGGCGCACGCGGCGAAAGAAGGCTTTGTGCCGTACTTTGCGCCGCTCATGCAGCGTGTGCAGCCATTCCTGCTGTTTACCGAAGAGGGCGAGGAAATGGACCTGCGTGGCATTGCCACCGATACCATCGGCACGTTCGCCGAGGCGGTGGGCGCAGAGCACTTCCGTCCGTACCTGCCCGATATGATGCGCATTACCGTCGAGAGCCTGGCGATGGACCAGCCACGCATTCGTGAATGTGCGTTTATTTTCTTTGCGGTCATGTCGCGTGTGTTCAAGGACGAGTTTGGCCCCTACCTGGAGCATGTGGTGCCTCGCATGCTGCAGAGCTTCGAGCAATCGGAACACGATCCTGTGCCGGGTGCGCCGGGCGATGGCACGATCACTGGCTTTGGCGTGCCGGACGAGGATGAGGAGGACGATGGGTTCGTGGACATGGAGGAGCTTGCGAACTCGTTCCTGAACGTGTCCACAGCTGTGGCCATCGAGAAGGAGGTGGCGGCCGACTCGCTGGGCGAGCTGTTCCAGTACACGCGCGGTGCGTTCCTACCTTACGTGGAGCGTGCGACTGAGGAGCTGATCAGTCTCACGTCGCACTTTTACCAGGGTATTCGCAAGAGCGCCATCGCGACGCTGTTCACGTTCATCAACACGCTATACGAGCTGAGTGACTCGCCTGAGTGGGTGCCGGGCGTGCAGGTGAAGGTGCCGCTGAACCCCGATGTGCAAAAGATTGTGCAACTAGTCGTGCCCAACATCATGGAAGCCTGGGAGGCCGAGGACGACCGCACCGCCGCTATCGAGATCTGCCAGTCGCTAGCGGGCTGCCTGAACAAATGTGGTCCTGCCATCATTACGCCAGACTGGCTCGAGACTACGTGCCTGTACACGCATCAAATTCTCGACAAGAAGTCCGCGTGCCAAGTTGACCCGGAGGGTGAGGAGGCAGAGGACTCGGAGGACTCGAGCGAGTACGAGTCGGTGCTGATCAGTGCAGCCACGGACCTGGTCGGCGCGATGGCGAACGTGCTGGGCGGCGACTTTGCGGGTCCGCTGCAGCAGTTCCTACCGCTGTTGTGCAAGTACTACAGCCCAGGCCGCTCGACGAGCGACCGTGCCACGGCAATTGGTTCGCTGGGCGAGGTTATTGTGGGCCTCAAGAGTGCCATTACACCGTTCACACAGGACATCCTCACGGTGCTCTCGCACTCGATCACCGACGAAGAGGCGTCCGTGCGTTCGAACTCTGCGTTTGCCGCTGGTGTGCTGATTGAGAACAGCGACGCGGACTTGTCGCCGCATTATGCATCGCTACTTACCGCATTGCAGCCTTACTTTGCCAAGACGGCCGACGAAGCGGACGATCTTAAGACAGCGCGCGACAATGCGTGTGGGTGCCTTGCGCGCATGATCATGAAGAAGCCCGACGGTGTGCCCCTGGACCAGGCGCTCCCTGTGCTTTTCTCGTCTTTGCCACTGGAAAATGACCACGCAGAGTGGGCGCCCGTGCTGCTGTGCCTGATCCAGCTTGTGCGCGCGAACCACCCTGCTGGCATGCAGCACCTTGACACAATCTTACAGCTCTTCAGACACGTGCTCGGCAGCTCGGAGGACGTTTTGGGTGGGCAGTTACGGGGCCACGTGGTGGCGTTCCTCTCGCTGCTCCACACACAGGCACCCGAGAAGGTGCGCGAGTATGGTCTGGAGGCCTACCTGGTGTAGAGGCGCTGCACATCGCGTTGCTTGTAGAAACATGACGGATTCACGCTACCGTGTCGATCCCTCGTTGCTACGAACGGTCATCCCGGCAGGGGTAGCGCGTGGCAGAAGCGAGCCATCGCTCCGTGGCGCATCGCTCCGTGGCACGCGGCGCGTCGAGGGCACCCGCGGCGGGGCACCACCTAGCTCGGCGCGCTGCAAGAACCAAGGGTGTCGAAGCGCGGCCTCGGGCTGTAAGCGGCGTTCCGGGTCCCATGTAAGGCACCGCGCGACAAAATCGAGGAACAACTCGTCGTTTGAGCGCACCGCGCTGATCAACGACTTAGAGTTGGGCCGCCGTTTTTGTCCACGCGACGTGACGACGGGGCGTGGCGCACCCGTGCTGTCGAAAAACAGCTTGCACCGCGTGCTGCGCTCGAGAAGGCCGCGATCCGGCACGCCCAGCACTTCCATCATGCACGCCAGTTGATCCTGCTCGTTCTCGCCGGGGAAGATCGGGTAGCCCGTGTGCAGCTCGACGAGGATGCAGCCCAAGCTCCACATATCAATCGCCATGTGGTAGTCGACACCAAGGATCACCTCGGGCGAGCGGTAAAAGCGGCTTTGGATATACGTGTACACCTTTTCGTCCTCGAAACAACTCGAGCCAAAGTCGATCACGCGGATCTCACTGTGCCGTGGATGCACGAGCAAGATGTTTTCCGGCTTGAGATCGCAGTGCACAATACGCGCTTGCCACATGAGCGAGAGGCACGTCAGTGTCTGATACGCAAAACGACGGATCAGCGTCGTGGAAAAGCCCTCAAAGTTGTTCGCTTTGATCAACTCGTACAGGTTGATGCTCAACAACTCCATCGTCACACACAGGTGGTGCCGGAATGTGAACGAGTCCGACATGTGCACGACGTGATGCCGGCCATCTGAATCAGCCTCTGTGAGGTGCTTCATAATCTTCACCTCTACGACCGCCTGGTGGTGGAAGCGCCGCTTGTTGCGGATCAACTTGATCGCCACATATCTGCCCGTTTTGTGGTCGCGGCACTGAAGGACCTGCCCAAAGCTTCCGCGGCCAAGCAGCTTGATGATCTCATAGCGGTATGCCAAATGGTCGCGAATATTGACAATGTAGTCGCCTCGCTCGTCGTCGTAGCCATAATTCCGCTCCGGCTTGGTCGGCACGGCATAGTGCTTGTGCCGCGCAAACGAGCCGAGGTAGTATATGTTTTCATACTCCTTCATCTCTTGCATCTCGTATGGGCACAAGTGATTGCCATAAATTACCTCTGCCTGCCGGGGCGAGAGACGCTTGCTCGCCGCTACCGGCTGCGGGAAGGAGAAGTGCTTGTCCAAGTCCTCTTGCCGGGCGCCCGCAGCAAGTTTCCGCCGGTATAAGCGCTGTACATGTCGCTCCATCTCCTCGTCCGCGGCAGCCGTATCATCCACGAACATCGGCGTGCGTGTCGTGCGCCGCGACTGTACACTCGATGATCGCCGACGCATATTTGTCGGCACAGGGATCCCGGACTCGGGCACATAAAGGCGGCTCACACTCGCCGTCGACGCCGCAGGTGTCACGGCATTGGGCAGCGAACCCGGCGTCGCTTGCGTCGCTGGCATCTCAGACGACAGCGTGTGGGTAGTAAATTCCGCGCCATCCGCGCCATGCTCTCGCATCCGGGCAGCGCTCGCCGACTCGTCCTGCGATTGGCGCAGCGCTTCCGTGGCCTGGTCCCGCTGCGATGAGACATGCATCGGCTGCTCGACTCGTGACCCAGCTGCAACTACACCGCTGGAGGGTATCGATCCAGGCGTACGCTCCTGCCGTGATCGGGGCGCGCCCTTTTCCTTCGGCGTCGCGGCAAGCTGACGCTGACGACGCAGTGCTTCCATCGCCTCGCTGCTCGCATGCGACTTGCGCACACTTCGCGCTACGGCGGGCGAGCCAATGTCCTCAGCATGACGACGGAGCATCCCATTCTGCTCCGGCATCAGCGAGGCACGGGCTGCCAACATGCGCTGCGAAGGTGACTCGCTGATCGACGATACACTCTGCATCGAGGCACTCGTGGGCATGCTTGGCATTTTTTCGTCCGCTTCCGCGGGTTTTCGATGTAGCACGCGCATCATGGACGAGGCGCGGGGGATGCGGCTGCCTTGTGCCTTAGCCGTGTAGTACGGTGAAGGCTCCGTACGTGAAGGGGGTGCTGCATCTGTCGCATCACGACGACCCGCCTGGGCGGCGCCATAGGGTGCCGACACGGGAAGCGCCGACGGCGGCACGTCCGGCGGCACCGTATCGTTTTCTCCTGCATGCACAGCGTCCGACTCGGGTGCACGAGAAGTTCGAAGGTGCGTGCTCTGTCGGCGCCGGCGTGTGAGCGAGATCCGGGACGCCCGCGATGGCGTAGAAGAGGCATCGGTTTCCAAAGTTTCCAGCTTCGTGTCTTCCTTAACCTTATCGCGGCGTGGACTCACTTTGAAGATAGAACCCAGGGCCATGAGGGAGCGGCGCGAGAGTCGCCCTGCTATACTAATGCTCTCGTCGCCATCATCGTCATGGGCGGACGAACTTTGGCGACGCCAGCGTGGCGACTTGGGGGGACGAGGCGATGCATCTGGCACAGGCGGCGGCGCTGGATGGGTCTGCGAGACCGAGGGCGTAGCCATGGGCGATGACGGGCTCAACATATGGCCCGTGGGAGGCGACATGTTATCAGAAAGTGGGTTTTCCCCGCTGTTCGGCATCACCGACCAACGCGTCTGATCGGCACCTGCCTCCTTTTCCAGGCGCGAAAACGCTGGGCGCTCCGCGAGATCGGACGACAAAGGCCACTCCTGGGAGGCTAGTGTCATGGTGGGCATCATGGGCGGCATCTGTCCCGTGAATACATCGTCCAAGCTCTTATTGTCCGGCTGTGGTGCCGTGGTAGCAGGGGTGTAGGCGTCTGATACCTCCAGGTGCTGCACATCATGTACCAAATCTGCGCCAGAGGTGTCTGATGAAGCCTCGTACGGGTGAGCTTGCATCAGAGGGGGAGGGAGCAAAGCCGCATGACCAATCGATGGATTGACGCCAAGAGAGGGCTGGCGCTGGTGCGTCCGATTGGCGGGCGACGCTACCTTCGGCAGGGAGGGAGATTGATGGCTTGGGTCTTGGATATGGTAAAGTGTCTCTTGAGGCATTAGATTGTCGAATTGCATGGACGTAAATGACGGTAGCGATGCTGGAATCATATCTGTACCGCCTTTCGAACGGTCGATCGAGTACGAAATCGCCCGAGAATGTCGCGCGGCCGTGCTGCTAGCAGACGCAGCGTGCGGGTCCGCCAGAGACGTGTCTTGCAAAAGTGCTCGTCGTGGAAGGGGACCCGATGGCGGCGTCATCAATGGCTCGTGGGTGCCCTGTGTGAGCATCCATCGGGGTGTGGCCAGCTCGCCGAGGCCCACTTGTCCTGTACGGTCATACAGCACTGGCGATGGCACCATAGTGCCGCTTGGTGGCGACCGTGGAGACTCCCACTGCACAGATGCAGGCGTACGAGGGTATGCGGGGGACATATGCGGTGGACCCGGCGCCTGGGCCGGCGACCCTGGGTAGGACGAGCCACTGACACGTCCAGAGATGTCGGGCCGCATGGGCGGCGTCGGCTGCATTAGCGGCCCCATCTTTCCTCGGGGACTGTAAGGCGAGCCCGAGGCATCCCCGGCGACTGGGGCGGGCCCGTTCATCACAGTCGCAAACAAGCCAAGCTCGTGGCTAGGTCTGAGCCCGCACGATGGCCGCACGCGCCCGCACCGCATGCATGATTGGCCTCGCCCACTAGGTCCTTTTTCTCCACGTTCTGACACGTTTACGGCGCACAGCCAGCGGGCCGCGGGGGCTGAGACTACATACGTGGCGGTTATGGATTCAGGTCCAAATCAAATGCATCTTCGTCGTCCGTGCCAAAGGAGTCGAGGACAGGTAGAGCACCGTGTGTGGGTATAGTCGTCTCTGGCATCTCGCCAGGTGCTGGTGCGCCCGAAGCGGCAATTTCGCCGCCCTGCTCTGCCGCACCGACACCGCTCTCCATAGCAGCATCTGCGTAGAGAATACCTTGGCGCATAATGCGATCTGTAGGAAAAGGGAGCTCCTGTGGCATACTTGGGATCATCGGGTCGTAGTAGGCCGCTGCACGTGTTGCATCAGGGTTGTAATCCGCTTGGGCCGCCTTGCTGGGCTGTACGGCACCAGCTTGTAAATCGGACAACTGGTACCCAGGAGGAGCTGAAGTATACTTGGCCAGCCTCTGTGCATAGTCCAACACATCCTGGGCGATCAATGGGGCCGCCTCCCCTCGCTCCAAGGCTTGTGCCTCCGTCGCGCCTGCCTCTCGCAGTGCGCGCAGCTTGTCCCGTAGCACGGTCAGACGAGCAATCGTAGCACGCTGCTGGGCATCACGGGACTTGATCTCTGCAACGAGTGGCATAATACGTGATTGATTTTCTTGGTGCTGCGCAATGACGTGCGTCAGCTGCACCAGCTCGGCATGACGATCGGCCAGAGACTGGATCTTGGCCAGACTCGCAGGGGTATCAGGTTTTGAACTGCGCGCTTCGAGAGCTGCCTCCCGGAACATGCTGGAGAAGAGGTCTTTCACATCTTGCTCAAAGACAGTCAGCGTCGCATGTACCTCGTCGCGTAACGAGCGTGCCATCATCGCATGGCCTCCGTGGTGGAGTGCAAATGTTGGCTCGGCCCTCGAGTTCTCCACAAGACCCATGGCGGGGCCACGGTCCAATTCGCCAGGGTCGTCTCTTCTGTATCGTGGTTTGTCCCCCTCGAACACGGAGGAAGGTCGTATCGGACATGATTCGACAAACGATGGGTCATGGTCTAGTGCACTTCGATTTGCTCCTCGTAAAAGGCCCGCTGCCAAGGCTTCTACGCAGCGGACGCCTGCCTCACTGCTAAAGCATCCTCCCGCACCTCAAGCGCCAGCGGTGGTGTCAGAAATTGTCATGCAGCTTTCTGCGGACGAGCTGGAGCAGGATAAACGTTTGGCCCAGGCTGCTGCTGAGGAGCGCGAGGCTGCGCAAGACGGGGTTCGTAAGATGATACTTATCTCAGGGAGACTTGGGCATCCATGAAACCTATCTGAGGAAGAACTATGACCCGCACGAGCCCAACGATTATGTGACGCTAAAGAACTCAATAACACTCTGGCGCCAGAATCGACAGCGAGGCGACGACTCGGACGAAGAAAGCGGTGATGACCGTCCTAGGCTACCGCAGTTTGCCCCGCCCGCATCTTACACACCTGTGCTGGGTGACCCAGACGAAAAACGACCGCCCACTCTCGGTGACATTCCTGCAGCTAAGGCACATGTGTCTCCGCCTGGACCCCCTCCTAAACGGCCTGACGTCGTGGAACGTCTGGCGACGCGGTCCACAGAGTTGCCACCACCTGGGCCTCCCCCAGTGAAGCCTGTCCCAGCGCGACGATCGCCAAGCGTATCAGGCGAGCGCTTAGCCCCTCAATTCGTTCGCTCTCATGGTGCAGAGCTGACATCAAGTTTTATACAACGTTCTGAGAGAAGCCCGTCACCCTGTGCTATTTCAGATCACCCCTTTGATGCTGCCACGTTTGCCGAGCGACTCATGGCTCGGTATGGATACAAGGAAGGAGAAGGACTCGTATGTGTTTCATGACTAATGATTCAGGGCGCGGAAGGTAACAAGGGGATATTGACGCCTTTAATCGCGAAGAAAGTCTCTGGAGCAAGGGGCGCGCAGCGCGGTACTATTTTGAATCATAACAAAGATGAGAACCAGGAAGAGAGCCTGGCGCGCTATGGGGAGCCAAGCGAGGTCATTGTTCTTAAAGGATTTTCTAGCGCCCCAGTGCCATTTGAAGAGCTGCGACAGAAAATCAGTATGTTGTGAGAACTCATATACAGTGGACGCTTGTTCTGTGCACGGCTTTGTTCACAAGGTTCTATTATACCCGAATAACAACGGTGAGCTGCAAGCCTTTGTTCAATTTACAGGCATGGCTGGTGCTTATAGGGCCGTGCGGGAGCTTGATGGCCAACAATGGTATGGGACCGATACTATTTCCAGTCATTATTTTCCTCTATCTTCCTTCCACGCAGGTCAGTTCGTAGATATACCACCATACGCTACGTAGAGCAAAAAAATCCAGCCACCGTGATTCGAACACGGGACCTAAGGTGGACCTTAACTGGTTTCCAATTACAAACCTTCGCTCTTCCAGCTGAGCTATGGCTGGGAAACTACTGATTGGCAGCCGGTCTAAGTGCATTATGTAGATGAACGTCAATATATTATACCTCGAAAAAGGATCCAGCCACCGTGATTCGAACACGGGACCTAAGGTGGACCTTAACTGGTTTCCAATTACAAACCTTCGCTCTTCCAACTGAGCTATGGCTGGTTACCTGTTGGCTCGCTTCCTTTGATACTATGTGACACCATGGAAAAATTTTTAGCTACCAAATGCCTCAATCTGGGGTTTCTCATTGACCTCATGCATAGTAACCCGCAGGATGTCGAGGCAAGGAGCAATGTCCCGGACTGGTCCTATATCGAGGACCGAATCGTTGATTATCGAAGAAGTCACAAACAGCCAGCCCAGAATGTACATCATTCGGACCAATCTGATGACTCCGAGGCTATAGATGACGATGACGAGCCGTGTCGCTTTCATGTTCGTCCATGGTTTGGTCTTAAATCGCCTCTAGCTCCGCATGAATCTACCCGTGATTTTTGCAGTACGTATATACCTGCTCATTCTAGTGCGCGAACGTAACTTTCTCTCTTGGGTCAAATTCTTTATGATGACTACGGTGCTCTCTGCAACCATGTTTCTGGACTTACAGATTCAGGATTCCCAACAGCATGCTGAGAAATTTTTCAGTAAAATCAACCTTTTGAATACAGACTCCCCTATTTTTCCGCTTCTTCCTCGAGGTCAAGATGTGTATGCCTTGCCCTCTGCACATGGATTGAATTCCAACGGCTCACCTCCTTCCTCTCTTCCTTCAAACCATCATTCCTCTATATCATCTTTGCCAGCGGAAAATATTGCACTTGGAACAATTTATTTCGTTGTTGCCTTTGTTTCTTGGGGTATCTCTATCTATGACTATTTTAAATGTGTACAAGAGCTTGAAACAGAGCATACGTATCTCGACGAATGTGAAGGCCATTCGCATCCCGTTGTTACTATCTTATCCGTCTTCATCTGCATCATTGTGTTATCCACGGTGATATTGATGCTTGTACAGCGCACGACATAACTACACATGTACATTTTCTATGCATAGTAAAAGTGATCGGACTTTTTCAAGGCCTGCACTTCGAGAATGCCGCCCAAGAAATGTTCGTGATCCAACTCTGTAGCACCTTCACGCAGAGCAATCATGCCAGCCTCGACACACACAGCCTTGAGCTGCGCACCGTTCATCTCGTCCGTGGAGCGCGCCAGTTCGGCAAAGTTAACATTGGGGCCCACAGCCATCTTGCGGCTATGAATCTCCATGATGTGCGCACGAGCCTCCTCGTTAGGAAGTGGAAATTCAATCTTGCGGTCAAGGCGGCCCGAGCGCAGAAGAGCCGGGTCGAGGATATCAATACGGTTTGTTGCAGCCACCACTTTGATGCGATCGTCACTCGAGAAGCCGTCTAACTGGTTTAAAAGTTCCAGCATGGTGCGCTGAACTTCGCGGTCACCAGACTTATCAGAGTCAAAGCGTTTGGTACCGATAGCATCAATTTCATCAATGAAGATGATCGCAGGCGCCTTTTCGCGTGCAAGTGCAAACGCATCCCGCACAAGTTTTGCACCATCTCCAATGAACATCTGTACGAGTGATGGTCCAGCAAGCTTCAGATAGCAGGCATTAGTTTGTGCAGCGCACGCTCGCGCGAGGAGCGTCTTTCCAGTACCCGGTGGACCGTACATCAGCGCACCTTTAGGCGGCTTGATGCCCAAGTTCTTGAATTTTTGTTCCTGTTGCATTGGGAGCACAATAGCCTCAACAAGTTCTTCGATCTGCTTCTCCAGACCACCAATATCAGTGTAGGTCTCTGTGGGCCTTTCGTCGACTTCCATCGCCTTAACGCGCGAGTCATATTCGGCGGGCAACTTGTCCAATATCAGATAGCTGTCCTTATTCACACCAATAAGATCTCCAGGCTCGAGTTCGTTGGTTGGCACAAGGCCCACTAGAGGGAGAAAAATGGTCTGGCGCGTCGAAGTCTTAATGACAGCGCACTTATGTTCGTGATGGTCCTTGTCGTCCATTTGCTTAGCCTCCTCAGAATCTTCATCGACATCCGGGTCAATGTCCAAAATTTCCACAACATTTCCGACAAGGTAAGGCAAGACTTTATTCTGAGACACCTTGTCCGCATTGTCTTTGATACGTTCTTTCATCATGGTCTGCTCGTGCAAGAGACGCATGTGCTCCGACTTCATCACACGAATCTCGTTTTCTAGCATGCGTGTGCGCATCTGGATCTCCTGAACATCAGCTTGGAGGATATCCTGTGGCAGATCCTCCGCCATCACCGCATCACCTTCGCTACTCATGCCGGTCGCAGGCCAGAGGCAGTGAGGGAGCGACGGTCGCCACGCACGCCCCACGCCGATCACATATCACGTGATCTTCTTGTGTCGCGCCCCGGCGCGCCGACACAACACCTCCACGCCGCATCGTCGTTGCACGTTCGCACGCCCGCTCCGCGACGCCATGGACGTGGATGGCCCACGTTCATTGAGCCACAAGGCTCCTGAGCGTCCCGCCGGGTTTGTTTCCATTGCGGACACACCCCCTATTCATATGGAGCTGCGTTCTGGCACGTCACGAACTCCCTTTATGCCGTCGCCCCGCAAGCGGATGGCCCGGCCTGTAGTGCCACTATCGACGCCCACACCTAACCGAAAAGTCATTAATTCATCTCCTGTGCACCGTGGAGACCCTTTATCTGAAAGTTTGGAGGTGAACCAGCGTGGCTGCGCTGGTCAGAATACATTAAACATCATGACTCGAGCCCCAAGCGTTGCCACGCCGCCTCATCGTGCAGATGCGCCAAGCACGGTCACAACCAGAAATTCACCGATGTGTCGAACTACATCTGAAGAGAAAGGTGTGCGTCGTCCGACTACTTCGCTGGCACGCCGCGCAGACCAGGTCCCTGATCGCCCCATGACATCCATGGGTCTTGCGCACAGTAAGCCCTTTCTAGCTGAGCTACCGTCAACAGCGACTATGACCCCTCGCACCACTGCGAAAGAGAATTCCATGTCTATGTCCATTTCCCGCGATACCATACGGACATGTGATTCGCCTATACCCGCTTCGGAGCCGATCCGTTCTAGTCGCGCTGCACGCGCGCCAGTGGCACAGAAACCAGTGGCATTGACGTCTCGGGCTGTCGACTTTACTCTTCCGTCAGAAGGAATCCCTACGTCGGCACCGCGCATGCCTGCCGCGCGTGGTGTGTATGGCAGCTCACCAACGCGTGCGGTGCGTGCCAAGGTGACCGAAGGCCTCCCTGTGCGCACACGAGCCGCTACCACCACCACGTCTACAAAAGCAAGTGACCCGCCTCCGGGTCGTTTGTATCGGCAAGTACGTCCACTGGACCGTCCCGCCCACGCACCCATTCCTCGACCGCCTGCGACCGAGCGAATTGATGTGGCAACTCTTGAGAGTGAAGTGGGCGATGGCTCATTTGTATTGGAGCCTGACGATAGACATGGACCTGACTCAGTGCAGGTGCATGTGCGACTACGCCCGACAACAGATGACGAGGAATGTGCGTGGCAGACAGACGAGAGGAATGCAACACTGATGCTCGACGACCGTCTTGCTGCTACCAAAGGTCCGCCTCATGTAGGCGTGTCGTACCAGTTTGACGGACTGCATACGGGAAGCTCGAATGCTGATATTTATGCAACGCTGGCACGCCCATTGGTGCATTCCGTGCTCCATGGGTATCATGGTGTAATATTTGCTTACGGTCAAACAGCTAGTGGTAAGACATTTACGTTGTCCGGTGACGAGGCCGGCCTAGAGCCAGGAGTAATCCCTCGTGCGGTACAGGACCTCTTCCAGGGTATCTGTCAGGGCTCGGCGCAGCGCGAGTTCCTGCTGCGTGTAAGCTATTTGGAGATATGGAATGAAGTTGTCAAAGATTTGCTCGAGCCCAGTAACCAGCCACAGGTGCGCGATGATCGCCGGCGTGGCACACATGCTGTGTCAGTTGCACCGCTCCATGAGGCTGTGGTAACTTCGCCTGCCCAGGTATTCAAGCTGTTAGCGCGCGGTGAGGCCAATCGCCACATGGGTGAGACGGACTGGAATGAGCGGTCCTCACGCAGCCACACCTGCTTCAAAATCACAGTGGAGTCGTGGGACCGCACGCCTGGCGCGCGTCGTCCGTACCGACTTAGCGAGCTCTCGCTCATTGATCTGGCAGGGTCGGAGCGGTACTCGGCGCAGCGCACGCACCGCCGTGCCGAGGGCGGCAACATCAACAAGAGTCTTCTGAGTCTCGGTAAGGTCATCTATGCCCTCTCCGAGAAGCAGGCACGAGCGCCGGGCAGTGCAGGAACCGTGCACATACCGTATCGCGACTCGAAGTTGACCCGTATTCTGCAAAACAGTTTGAGTGGTCAAGCACGCATCGCCGTGGTATGCACGCTCAATCCCAGCCCTGCTATGGTTGATGAGAGCCTCGGAACTCTCAACTTTGCACGGCGGATCAAGCACGTTGCGGTGCGGGCGGAGGTGAATGAGTTCGAGGGCGAGGTGGCCAGCGCTGGCGCGGCTGCGCCCTCATCACCTGTGCTGCTTGCGCGTTACCGCGAAGAGATGGATGCCTTGCGTGCGCAAGTGGACAGGCTACAGGGTCCTCGCGCCGTGACCAACAAGGGACAGCCCTCGCTGCATGCAGTGCAGGCACGTCTGGACGAGTTGGGCGCGCTGATCCTGCATGGCGGTACACCGATGCCCGACTCGGACACATGGCATCCTGTATCGCCGGCCAAGCAACGTGGCTTTACCCTGGACGATCCGCTACCGCGCGTGCAGGAAAAGCTGCATGCAGCATTGACCAAGATCAGCCGTCTGGAGCGCAAGCTCGCAGCGCGACTTTCTCTCCCTGGAGACGCGCAGTCACGCGACGAAGGAAAGGATATGCTTATTCGCGATCTCATGCAGCAGGTGCGCGAGCTTGAGACGGTGTGTGAGGCGCAGGTTCGCGATGCGCCCCAGCCGATGCGCGAGGAAGTTGAGGCGGAGTGGGCGGAATTAGTGGCCGCGGCACAGGCCGAGACCCAGGGGCGCGACGCGTTTATTGCCGAGCTACATGCCGAGTGTGCGCGTCTGCGACGTGCGAACGAGGCACTGACGCGTCTAGTACACGAGCAAACGGCCGATATGGTGCAGCAGCTGTCCGCCAAGGAGAACGAGAACCGTGCTTCGCGACCGGTTCTTTCGCTGTTTGCTCCGCAGCTGCGTCCGGCCACGGTTCTGGGAACACATGCACCGCCCGCGACCGACCTCAGTATCGACGACTCGGCGAGTGAGCGCCTATCGACGAGTGATGTAGACGAACTGCTAGAGGAGGCAGATTCCTTGTAGATGTACAATATGCGCTACGGCTCTGGAGAGCGACTGGGTGAGCGGCTGCGGAACGCCGGACTGGGCGACCGAGACGATGCCCCTATGGGGGTGCGGTCAGGTGAGACACTGGGGGTGCGGCTGCGCAGGATACGTGCGTGCAGCCGTTCCTCGTCGGACTCAGACTGCTGCGACTCGTACTCGTCCATATCGCCGCGTGCACGCGCGGTGAGGGCCTGACGCTCGGCACGGAGTGCGTCGGCCTGTGCGATGCGGTGCTGCCGCTCCGAACGGATGGCGCGAATCGAGTCATCGGAGTCATTTGCATCATCGTCCAGGCCGTTAGCCTCGCCAAGCACCATGGCATTCTCAAGTTTTGATGTGCGGGGTCGCAGGCCCTCCTTGCGTTCTAGGACCGCTCGCTTCGTAAGTCTTGGCAATATTAAATCGCACACGCGTTCTTCTGTGAGCAGTTGATCAATGAACTCGTCCATATAAGAAAGAGAGTATTGTCCCGTCATGTCGCGCCAGCGCAACTTGTGGTAGTCGTTTAAAAGTGGCTCCAAAAGTTCGTACACCTCCAGTGAGGGAAATGTGAGTCGAATGTACATGGCCGCGAGGGCTCGAAGGTATTTGAGATCTTCTGCTGCGAGATACTCGAGCACAATGTCCCGATCCGGCTGTAGCTGTAAAAGCTTGCATACAAGGCATAGAAATGGGCTGGGACGAAGTGCGCCGTAGGTCCCCCCTACGTACGTCAGCTCCACGGCTTTGTCGACTAGGGACGCGGCATTCAGCGCGAAACAGTCCTGTTTCCAGTAGGTAGAATCGTAGATGCGCGTGCGGATAACCCGCTCAACGAGAAATTGCGGGTTGGTCCCGTGGATCGCGAGCGCATCATGCGCTGTGGTGTTGGCCATGGCGCTGCGCCGCCGTGGCTCCGAAGGCAATTCGCTACCGCTTTGCGGCGGGTGTTGGTTATGCACGTGATGTGCTCCACTAGGTGCGTGCGCGCTACGCGGGCGATCCGCAACCGACATCCGCCTCAGGTGTCATGTCGCGCTTTTTGTCGGCTGATGAAGCTGACTACCAGGCGCTACAGGACAAGCTTCTGCGCCGCTCGTCGGTACAGGAGACTGTAGCTGGTGGTGATGCGGATCCCGAGGTCGAGACGGGCTCCAGCCACCGCCTCAGTGCGGGGTCTGGCGAACTAGGCGCTCTCTCTTTGGGCGCAGGCCCAGGTCATGGCACATCGAAAAGTCCATCGCTGCATCGGAGAAACTCAGATGATGCCCAAAGCGTTCCTGTAAGTCCGCAGCTGCGCGCAGATGCTGGCCGTCGCTCTGGTATGCCCGACGAGGCGATGGCTTCGGCTGTTTTGCATGGAGGCCGCTCTCGCACGGCTGGCATGCTTCCCGCAACAGAGCTAGGCGTGCGCAAACTGGGCACATGGGATGGTGTATTTATGCCCGTCACGCTCAATGTGCTTGGTATTATCTTGTTCCTACGCTTCGGGTTTATTTTGGGCCAGGCTGGCCTTCTCGGTGCTTTGTTCTTGTTGGTTGCGAGCTACGCGATCGACACGCTCACGGTTCTTAGCCTGAATGCCATATCCACAAATGGCCAGGTGCGTGGCGGTGGCGCCTACTACCTAATCTCGCGCTCTCTCGGGCCGGAGTTTGGTGGGTCGATCGGTCTAATCTTCTTTTTTGGCCAGGCATTCAATACATCAATGAATGTACTGGGTTTCGTGGAGAGTCTGGTCGGCGTGCTAGGTCTTGAAAAGGGCAGTGTGAGTATGCTGCCAGAAGGCACGTGGTTCTTGTACCTGTATGGCTCCGTGGTGCTGTGGATATGTACACTCGTGTGTCTTTTTGGCTCGTCACTGTTCACGCGCGCTACACTTATTCTTGCCGTTGTGATGAGTCTGTCGGTGATAAGCATTCCTCTGTCATCGATCCTTGTCCGGCCTTTTGAAGACGCCCATCACGACGTATACTACACAGGTTGGAGCCTCGTTACCCTCTCGGAAAACCTGTGGCCACGCTTTACATCTGGCGCGGCAGGATCCTCGACGGCTCCTAACAAAGAAACGTGGTTCTCTGTCTTTGGTGTGCTGTTTCCTGCTGTATGTGGTATACTCGCGGGTGCATCCATGTCGGGCGATCTGCGCAAGCCGAGCAAGAGCATTCCGAAGGGCACCAACTGGTCACTCGTGTTCACGTTTACTGTGTATGTGATGTGCTTTATCATTATGGCGTCCACGATTCCTCGCGAGTCGCTGTATTTGAATGTGGGCATTGTCAGCGACGTGTCACGGTGGCCTATCGTTATTGTCAGCGGCGAGCTGGCCTCGTGTGCATTCTCGGCCCTGATGGGGGTTATGGCGTGTGCCAAGGTGCTCCAGGCTATTGCTCGCGATGATCTACTGCCTCAGCTACTGCCTTTTGCGCAGGGCACGGCACGTTCTGACATTCCTACTTATGCGGTGTTGTTCACAGCAGCCTTTTGTCAGCTGGTCCTGCTCCTTGATTCGATTAATATGATCGCGCAGCTGGTCACGATGACGACTCTTTTGACGTTTGGTGTACTGAGTGCGGCTACATTTGCTCTCAAAGCAGGAGGCGCACCCTCGTTTCGCCCCTCATTCCGGTACTGGAATATATGGACAGCCGGGGCAGGAACGCTGGTCTCCTTCTTGGCCATGCTGCTCACAGATGCATCGACGGCCTGCATATGCATTGCTGTCACTGCTTTTTTGTTCATCTGGATCCAAGTTGTGTCGCCGCCCAAGCCATGGGGCGATGTGTCCCACAATGTGACATACCACTTTGTGCGCAAGTATCTCTTGCGCCTCGACGAACGCAAAGGTCATGTCAAGTATTGGCGGCCACAGATTCTGCTGCTTGCGAACCACCCTGACCGCGAGAGGAATCTGATCATGTTCTGCAACTCGCTCAAGAAAGGTGCTCTGTATGTACTGGGCCATGTTCTCAAAGGCGACTTTCACGAGTGCCTGCCAGAGCTACGGCAGTCGCACCTGGCGTGGCTCAAACTCGTGGATGTCAGCCGCATCAAGAGTTTTGTTGACGTGGTCATTGCGCGTGACGAGCGTGAAGGTGCGCGGAACCTGATTCTCTCATGCGGTCTGGGCGGTATGCGGCCAAATATTATTGTGTTAGGCTTCCCTTCTGCGCTAGAGGACGTTCCGCTGCCGCCCACTACGCCGCCACCCCGGGAACTCGAATCTGTGCCCGAGCTTTCGGACGACGCAGCTCCTACCTCTGCGCCGATCCGCACGGCGACCTACGTCGGCATTCTGGAAGATGCACTTGCTCTGAACAAGGCGCTGGCCGTCGCTTACAACTTTTCGCGCATGACGCTCCCGAGCCAGGACTCCGTATACAACAAGTCCGAGAGGTATATTGACCTGTGGCCGATCCAAATTGCCAATCCTACAAGCAGCGCGGAGCCGACGTGGGATACCTATACCATGGTGCTGCAGCTCGGCACAATTCTCAGCTTTACTGGCACGTGGCGGCACCACAAGCTACGGGTGAGTGTATTTGTGGAGCATCCCGACGAGCTGGCCTCGGAAAGTGCGCGTGTGCGGACGCTGCTAGATAATCTGCGGATCCCCGCGTCTCTGCGTGTGTTTTGCCTCTCGAATGGCAGTGTGCCGCGCTACGATGCCATTGTGCTTGGGAAGCGCGCACTGGATGCAGACGTGGCCGATGTGCTACGCTCAGATCCGTGGTGGCGCCAAATATGCGAGATGCGGCGAGCGCAGGAGCAGGCTCACCAGGCCGCCTCACAGCCGCGTGCGGAGCCGATGGACGGTGCGGTGCGGCGCAGCAGCAGCCAAAGTGGCGGCGTGCGTCGCCGGCCAAACCCGCGGCAGTTTGGCGTGAGTCTGCCAGATGAGCACCTGGCGTACCACCATAACAATATTCGGCTAGGTTTGGCGCATCCTCGATCACGGGAAGACAGCGATGACGAGGTGGATGGGTTGGATATGGAGAGCGATGGTGGGTTTGACGAGTTGGAGAACGAATTGGCGTCTCTGGCTGTCGATTGGGATCCCAAGTATCTGATTCGCGCGCGCCGTCGGCAGGCCGAAGAGACGAAACGGCTGCTCGGTCAAACGAATACCAGCTCGTCGTATGGCTCACTGTCGTCATCGCAGCGTACCTTAACGCCGGCGATGGTGCAGAGTAGTGCCGATCCACCGGCGGACGGTACCAAGGCAGATACGCCCAAACGGTCTCCCCGTTCCTCCACTGTTAACAGCGATCTACGGTCACCGCCTGTGATGCGTCGAGCGCGGGGGCGCGCTCCAACGCTCTCGTTTAATGACTTACCAGACCGGGCGCAGTATCTCATCCTCAATGAGCTGATCCGGCTAAATTCAGGCCCTAGCACTTCGGTGGTGCTTACAGCGCTCCCGGCGCCGGCGCCGGGCACATCGACGACAGAGGAAGAAAGCCTGGCGTACCTGCACCAGCTACGGCAACTCTATGGCGGCGGCCCGCCCGTGCTGGGCGTGCATGCGACAACGCTTACCATGACCATGACACTCTAGACGCCTAGGCGACCTTGCTTGCTAGATTACGCAAGAGTGGCACGTTCAGGTAGGCAGGGCAGTACGTCTCGATGCCTGTGACTTCTCGAGGCACTGGAAGCTCGTACGGTCCTGCCTCGTCGACTTCAGGAGGCAGTAAAAGGTGGTCATTTCGATCATTCGGCACGACGCGGCTCGCGACGGCCTTGAGAATTTCTGGTGATATAGGGTTTTCATAGTCAGCGACATGGTAATGGCTGATGAGTTTCTGGATTTGCGTGGGTGTGAGCATCCAACAAACGTCATAGATGATATCAATGTCGCTCATGGTGGCCTTCTTCAGCTGAAGTAGCTTGGTCGCTTGAAGAAGGTGCTCCAGTTGCAGTGAGCCCTCTGGCATGTCGTGCGACTTGCACCACTCCTCGAGACGTGTGATGTTGTACTGGATCTGCATTGCACGCTTCCATGAGCAAAAGTTACGGCGCATCAACAGGTCGTTGAAGGAAGTGACACCAATCATCTTGAGTAGGTCTGTAATGACTTGCTGGGTGACACTGGGCTCCACATAGTAGCTCTTAAGACACTTCCAGATCTTGTTCAGTAGCGCCAAAATGTCGTCCATGGTGTAGGACGGCGCGTTGGTGCCTGCGAGAAGGCGATTCAGTAGCCGACCGCCAGAGTCATTCGTAACAAAGCCTGGTAGTGACTGCGACTCGACCAGCGCAGGGACCACCATTTTGTTCAGTCGCTTCTTGGCCTCCTGCATCCACGTGTGGTAAATGTTGTATTCAAGCGAGTCCAAATCGTGCTTCACGATCGTCACCAGTCGCTCATAGTCGCCCCACTCAAAGTCGCGTGCAGCACCATCCACGCCAGGACCCACACCTTGCAGCATATCGCTCTCCGCAATGCACACAAACGACAAGATTTCGTGCACGTTGGACAACCAGAAAATGCCAGGAATCACAGCATCATCACCATGGAATGACATAACATGCTGCTGGATCGTTTGCATGACGTTTGCAAGGAAACGCTCGCTCGCGCGCACAAGCCCATACTTCCACATCTCATTTGTAACAAGGCTGATAAGGTGCGCAGGGAACAGCACCTCCTTCGGAGCGGGAGGATTTTGCAGACTAGGCGTCGGGATCTTGAGATACTCAATTAGACCGTGCAGCACATCCTCGTCCAGCTGCACCTCGTCCTCAAGTAGCTCAATAATCTCGTCAAACGGCGCCTCACGCGGAGCCTCAGGCATCTCGTCACTGGGCTCTTCCATAAATTCGCCACTCATGGGATGAGGACGGGGATGCAGCGGGACCATCGTGCCGTTGCGCTCATTTTGTGCCTGGGCGCGGCCCAGCTGCTCGCGCAGCGACGCGATCTCGTTGCGCAGGGACTGAACGACCGAGTCCGGTGCGTCTTTCATGCGCAGTTGCGACTGCAGCGTCGCAATCTCCACCTCCAAGTCGCGGATGCGATGCTCCGCCTGCTCCAAGGCCGTCTGTAGCGTGGAACGCTCCTGCAAGAGCGCCTCATGCTCCTCCGACGGTACACTGGGCTTTTGCACCTCGGCCTGTAGGCCGCGTGCACGGGCATCGAGCTCTTCGTGACGATTCTGCCAGGTGGCCAACTGCTCACGCAACTCGGTCAGGATGCTACGCAGCTCCTTGTTTTCGCGTGTGCGGTCCTGTAAGCTCTGCGTTAAATCGACCACCTTATTCTCCAGCTTGTATGACACCTCCTGGAAGTGCGAGGCGCTCTTGGCCTCAGTGCGCCGCTGCTGCAAAGCTTGCCGTGCCTGTTTACGCCGATAGAGCGACTGCAGCAAGACCACCTGTCTTGTGCGCTTTGAGGCTCGGCGGCGCGCTAAGACGCCGCGCAGACCTGTTTGCAGTACGGTCGCATGGTGGTCCAGGCGGTCCTGATGGTAATGCAGGCGCGCCTGATGTCCGCGCACGGCTGCCTGGATGAGCAAAGCTGCGTGCACAGCACGTGTGCGGTACTGTCGCTGGAGAAGCGCACGAGCAGCCACCTGTAGTTGGAGCACAAAGCGCTCGCGGCGGGCCGCCTGGAAGCGGGCCTGAGCCAGGCGTCGACGCACATTCGATTGAAGGGTCAGCACGCCATGACGCAGGGCCGTATAGCGACTCTGCGCTGAATAGCGCCGCCATGCAGTCTGGATGGTGCGTGTACGCTCATTTAGCACGTTGCGGCGCATCTGCTCAAACGAGGCTAGCACACCCGCGCGGAAGAACACCTTGGTCAGACCAAAGTGGTACTGGTCCTTCTCAACTGTGGCATTCAGGATGATCTGCGCGAGATCCCGCACCTTTTCGAGCGAGGACATGTCCCACAGCTTCGACGGAACAAGCACATAGTAGCGTTCCACAAAATCAGCAAATGCCCAGCGACCAGGATAGCCTGCACAGCTAATGCGAATCGTCTCGAGTACACCGCAGGCGCGCAATTGCCCCAACACATTCTGTGGCTGCACTTCCCATGCCATCTTGGCATCATTAGGTTTGATACAGCGAATATAATGCACCTCTGTTGAGTTGATCGTGTCCATAAGAGCACCGAGCGACGCTTTGAACTGCGAGCCTAGGGTCGGCTTCTTGTTGGAAACGGGCAACGAGCTCTTGCGCGCCGGTGGCTGGGGCAATGCTAAATCAGCAGCTGCACGTGCATCAAGCACGTCCTTGAGGAACGGCGATGTGGTCGTACTAAGTAGATTCAGCAATTCATCAGGCACTGTGTCCTTGTTCTTCTCCATGAACCCATCCACGTCGTACGTGACATCCAAAGCATAGTGCCTCACAGTGAATGCACTCTGTGCTCCAAAGCGCGGCTTGGTGAGAAAGTTTTGGTACTCGCTCTTGGGTTGCAACTGGCCGTATACCTTTTGCAGGAACGATGAGTCTTGCCCAGAAGGTAGGCGCGACTCCTCGTCTAGCAGCGACAGCAATCCAAACTTAGATTCAATCATGTCAATGCATGCCTGGTTGTCGGAAAAGCTGATAAACTCCCACGGGATCTGCTCTGCAACATACTCTTCCTGTTCCAGCTTGAAAACATGGCGGTTGAATTCATGTTGCAGGCGCTCGTTCGCATAGTTGATGCAGAACTGCTCGTAAGAATTGACCTTGAAGCATTCAAAACCATATATGTCGAGAACGCCAATCATGCTTGTTGCTGCCTGTGGATCCTTAGGTGCCAGCGACTTGTTCATCTGCGCCACGAGCCAGTCGAAGAGACAGGTGTACACGTACTTGGCGACCGAGTCACGTACCGCCGTCGCCTGAGCCTGCGAAAGGCTAGACACGATCTTCTCGCCACGAAGTTGGATCTGGCGCTTCAATGTCCATTTTCGGAGCTCGACCGCATCCACACCCAAGAATTGGGCAGCCAAAAAGAGCGCTGGGTCCTCAGGTGAGATGTTCGCATCGTTGCGGCTCGCAGTGATGGATACATTGCCCAAATGAAGCAAACCGGCTAGTACAGTGAAGATATGTTCCTGCACCTCGTCTGGGACACCCACAGTCGTGAAGGCCTGTGTGGTGGCCTGGAATTCAGCAGCATCATCCACGCCCTGTATGGCCAAATGCTCGGTGCCACCCTGGTTGAGATAATGAAAATCACCCGCACTCGTTAGGCACAGCTTCTCACGCAAGTCACTGGATGCGCCAGCACACAACTGATAAAAGATGTGGTAGTTGCGCTCGACTTCGGGTTGGTAAACAAGCCGCGAGCGCTCCAGTAGATATGTGCGCATCTTGGCACCTGTGATATCATGTCTTTCGTTGAAAATGATCTCCAAATACTTGCCAAAACGTGACGAGTTGTCATTGCGCGTCGTTTTCGCATTACCAAACGCTTCCATAATGGGATTGGTCGCGAGAATGGCAGTCTCCGTCTCACTCATACCGCTAATGCCGGCCCGACGAGGACCTACATTGTCCGGGTCTTCCACCGTAGCAAAGTACCGCATAATGTACTTGGCCGACATGGTTTTTCCAGCACCACTCTCTCCACTTACCACAATGGTTTGGTTGCGCTTATCACGGATCATGCAGCGATACGCGTCTTCTGCTACCGCAAACAAATGGGGTTCAAGCTCACCACGGCGCCTGCCAGCATATGCCTGGATAATCTCCGGACTGTACAGATTCAAATCAAAAAAGGGATTCACAGCAATGAGCACAATGCCCGAATACGTGTAGATGGTGCGCTGCTGGTATCGATTCAAGATCGTATGGAGCACGGAAGCCTCGTTCAAATGACTGAGAGAGGTAAGGTCATCGGAGGCCTCGAGTAAGGGTGGATTGCGGAGTGGCGGAAGTTCATCTGTGCCACCGGGTGCCTCGAGCTTCTTCATGGTGGTCTCGACTGTTTTCTCGACGCCTGTGTCATCAAGAACAAATAACATGGTAATCCGGCCGGACTCATCCACTTCCGGCTCTTTCGAAAGAGTCCCGCTCACCCAACCATGCTCCTCGTCAGGAAACCATGCCTTGGTTCCCGCTTCATATGCTGAGAGCGGCTGCGAAATCGGCGCCATGTTCACGGATTGCGAACGTCACTAGCCAGTTTTGCTACCGTTGCAGCGGATAGGAAAGAAATTGCACGCTTTCACTCGCAATCCACCAAAAGACCGGACGATCGTCCCACTCGCACGGCGCACTGGAACTGGGTTCAAGACGTGTGACGATGCGCGCAGGTGCCGCCAGTGGCTCATGCCAGGGGCCTATCATCACGTGTAGTATCACGTGTGAGGTGAGCACACGCGCCTGTGGAGAACAACCAAGCTCGACCATCGGACGCTTGCGGAGGCGTTCTCCAACGAGCCATGATGTCTCCCGAAGCTCATACACCTGGTGGATCTAAAGGGAAACGCCATATTCCACCGGAAAAAATGCGGGCTCTATCTGTAAGTTGAGAAGTCATCTCACATTCTCAGCTGAGCAACTCACTCACAACTAGGCTGCGGTTTGCTCTCTTTAAGGTTGAGAATGGCTGGACGCGTCAATCGCTATCTGAAGTCGAAAATTTATACTACCGTCGGCACATGAGTGTCGTCAATACGTCCCCGAACAACAGAGGGTTTCTTACCCCGCCCGACAAGCATTCTTGGACTAGGACGCTGGTAGCGAACTCGCACGCATCGCCCTCTCCGGCCCAACCATATGACCAACTGATCGGATCTCTTGATAACTCAACCTATGCTGAATTCTGGAATAGGCTGGATACGAATAGGCACAGCCCTAATCAATCCAAGAATGCCCATGTGCAGACCGCCGATGCCCCCATGCCGGCTGCTGCCGGCACAACGCTATCCTGTGTCTCCACAGAGAGATGCTTTAAACCAGGGCCTACACCGCCGCCGACTAGCGCGGTTGCTCAGTCGGATCCTGTAAAAACTTCGGACATGCATGGAGCGTCCTGTACCACGGATCCATCGCTTGCAGAAAAACATGCGGCTGACGATATGTCTGCCGACGATTTAATACCCAAAGACTCTCAACCATGCAAGCGCTTCAAGCAGGATGCCTCGTGAAGGGCGCCTTCATGGCCTCACACTTGGCCTTTCCGATAGATACCTGGCCTTATGCCTTGCCATTTTGATATCGAGGAAGTATGTTTTGTCATGGAAGTAAGGCTGGGGCACCCACGCTCCACCGACAAAAGACAGCCTGTAGGTCGAGCGCGTCGTCCTCGCGAAGATGAGCGAGCTGGTAGCGCCTTCGGCCCAGGATTATTTGAGACATGCATTTTTTTCATTGCATGATGCTCATATTCTACAGCCCTTACCAGAGGTGTGTTTACTACAATCTAATGACAGAGCGATGCACGGCATGCGATGCTGCAGCGATATGCACCAGATTCAGAACATGCACACATAGAGATGCTTGCGCCGGTCGATTCAAGCACATCACCCATGGAGAAAATGTTGGAAGCAGTTCAGACTAACCATTGGCGTCAGGTGGCCGTGATTGCTGGCAGTTGTGTGAGCCTCCCTGCGGACCAAAATGTGCCCGTGACAGAGGCTGATTTGCATTGCACACTAGCATGGTGGCATATTCGCATAATTTCTTTGAGCAAAATGCGACTTTTTACCTTACTCCGAAAAGAATTAAATGCTCTTTGGACAGTTCTTGAGACTGTGCGAATTTGGGATGATCAGAAACAAGATATTGTGCCACTAGTTCATGCCTCGGTGGTACCATTTTCACTTCATGTGGTACATGCACAGCAGCTCTTCTTGGGAGGGTTTCAACGGGAGGGCACTGCGCGTCTGTGTCGATTGACAAGGATGGCGGAGTCCATGTCACAGACGGAGAGCAAAAATGTATGGCACATCCGAGCCATTCGCTTGCGAGTTCTTTTGGCCTCCTTGCTGATTGAAACAGACCAGCTCCCCGCAGCCACCACTGTGATGGTTGATTTGGAGTTATCTCTTCGAGCAAAGCGGATTCCTGATCTCTCAACGCTATGCATGCTGATGCGTTTATACCTGGTCATGGGAAATATTCAAAAAGCACGCTATATACTCGATGAGCTTCACAGAGTAAATCCTGAGCCAACGCCCGATACGACGGCCCGTATCGAGACCCACGAGGCATTATTCCACTACATGATTCGACCCCATGAGCCCTATGACTTTCCTGAGACAGTCAAGTCATTTGAAGCATGTACAAACAACCAGGCATTAACAAACACTATGGCACTTAGTGCGCTTCTTCATGGCGACATTGTGCAGAGTGTCCAGCTACTAGAACGCATTCTTCAAGAGCACCCTACCGTTGTTGCTTCGTCAACGGCTTTGACCCACAATCTACTAACGCTTCATTCACTTGGGATGAGAGAGTACGTCTAAGTTTTACTTATGAAGTGCAATGGAGGAGAGAAAGCGTGTCGTGCAATTTCTCGCTCAATGGGCAGGCGATGATGGCACCTGGGTAAATGAAGGATTATGAATGCAGGTGTGTATAGGCAGCCGATTGGTGCGGCGCTTGGGAGCTACCCTTCCTGTGATAATGTATCTATATTCGCTAGGGTCCTCCCTATTGCTATTAGTCTTGATTTTAAGTCCGTATAGCACATTGACATCAGTATGTTACTGGCAGCGTGGACGGATTGCGGCGCATTTGAGTGAGCCAACGCGACAGCGCCTGGAGTCGCTGCTCCAGCGGTTCCTGCCCTCCAGATATTCGCGGCTTGGCGTGTTTGACTGGAACACGGCCGTCAATGCGGGATTGACCAGCTCATTATTCGATATTGAATCTAATATCCAAGATGGTGACCCCCGTGTTGGGCTGGATGAGGCAGGCATGGAGCAGATTCATCGGATAATGCATACCCAGGGTTTGGTAAGCCAGCAGAACTGACCACAGACATTCGACCAAGCGCGCCTGCAGCGTCACCATGCGTTATTGCGGGACCATAATATCGATCCCCAGACAGGAATACCCCTTGATTCAAAAGCAATCACGCATTTGTAGACTATGAAATTTAGCCCAGACGCAGACCAAGAACCAGACCAGCAATGAACGTCGCACGCTCCTGGAAGTCCGAGGTCAGGAACTCCACGAGACGGTTCCAGATGCGCACAAGAGGCATTTGCTGGAATCGGCTTTTGCTCGGGTCAAGAGGACCTGCAAGACGTTCCATTTCACGACCGTACGAGGAGGACATGCTCTGCCAGTTGATGTTCACTAGACGCTTCGAAGCAAGGTACTGCAGGAGCACATACGCAGCGCCAAGAGCCACAGCGATAAGCTTAAGTCCTTTCTTGATAAAAACACCAGCACAGATACCACAAATGGTACCGAATGTGAGCTGGTACACGTTGACAATGCTCTTGGCTTCCGCCTTGGTGCCAGGCTTAGGGACTGGCGGCTCAGGCATGACCGCATCACACTCCACTGGCTTGGTAGCCCAGGCAATAGCGCCACCAGCAAGCATCGAACCGCCGGCCATGAAACCCAGCGACCATGTCTTACCAAAGTTGTTCGAGAGGCGCGGGATGCTTACGGCCGGACGGGGAGGGTGAAATGCACGGACCATCGACGGGATGCCCATACGCATAGATGACGCACCACGCAAGTTCCCGGTGAGAATAATGGAACGAGAGGGCATCTGCCTAAACATTGTGGCAAACGACATGGTTATGGACGGAAATGAGGTCGATAGGCTCGTGCTTGCAATAACCCACTTGCCCCACCCCGCCTCGCATATCTGACATAATGGATGGGTGGCACGTGGTAGCTCATGGAACACTGCGATGGACCTGCCGTCGGGAACGGACACTGTGCAGGACGCGCAAGGCCGCAAGCGTTCCGCAGAAGATGAACCTAAACCTTCGAAACGACCTGTTGTATCAATTTCGACATGGCTGAGTTCGTCTACAGGGAATGCTGATGCAAACGCCTTGCCGGCACCTGTTACATGCGAGGAAGCGTATATCGAAGATCGCAACTCGGTCTTTATAGGCTACGCTATGCGGCTTACGACCGCTTCACCTACTTACATCGCTGCCCTTCTAGACAATTTGACCCATGTTATTCACCCCGCTATACCCATTACAAAGCTTCCATCACAATTCCGTCATTCGGCACCATCGAAACGAGGTAGTACACACGATATGTACGCCTTCCGCGTTCTGCAATTGAAACCAGGGCGATCGGGCCTTCGCGGGCCAAGTGACTTTGGCATCGAGCAAGGAAAAGAAGATGACGGAGAAACATGGGGGGCCGACAAGATTATGCGGGTCATCCGTGAGCTAGGTGCAAGCGACGTGCTCGTGGTGGTGAGCCGGTGGTACGGGGGCCAATTCCTTGGCCCCGTGCGATTCGAACATATTACGAATGCCGCCCGTGCAGCCCTTCAAGCGTACCTTATGGAAGAACAAATCAACGAGCTAAAGGTAAAACTACGAGCGCTCGATAAAAAAATTGCTGGTGCCCGACGAATCCCATACAAAGAGAATGCGTACAATGGTTTGAAAATTGAGCAAGCCAAACGCTTGCTCGTAGCAAGAACAAAAACGTTCGACATTGTACTGGCACAACAGGATAGTATAGATAAAAGATGACAAAAATTGAATCACCAAAGGTTCAGAAGTTCTTGAGTGTCGGATTCGAGATGGGGTATATCCATTTGAAGGGCTTGAGACGTATTCGGCATGGTCCCCGCATTCATGGGCCAAACTGGCATTACCGTGCCATTGGGTGTTTGCTCAGTTGGCAAAATTTGCGGCAAGCGGTACAGTCCACCCAAGTTGAGGGTAGCCGCTAAACCATTTTCAGTGTCCTGTATAGGCCCCACAGGTTGCATAACCGGGGGAACATGACTTGGCAGTCCACTGACCATTTCATCCAAAAAGTTTGATTTGATATTAGAATTGGAGGGGAGCGGCCAATTAAAGTCTTGGGGTCCTGCAACAGATTGTGGCATATTCACCGTCATATCGCCGGATGGCCATGAATCAACCGTCAAAGCAGGCAAAGGAGGCAATGTGCCAGTGGAAGACATCATTGTAGGACTCGCATCGGTAGATCCAACCTGTGGTGCATTGATCTCCACGCGTCGGCGTTTTGATGACTCGACAGAGTCGGGAGAGTCACTTTCTGCGTCATTGGGGGCCTCCATGGCGATTTTACTGTTGTCGTGCTCCAGAAAAGCTTTCACCATGTGGATGTCTCTTTCCACATCTTCGTCGCGACCTTGGCCTCGCTGACTCTCACGCCAATCAATATATTCTTGCATATATTCCCGTAGGAGGTCAGCATCTTGGCCAGGGGGGGTCAGAAGAAGCAAAAGACTTGAGACCACGATCGTATTGTACCAACGGGACGCCGCTAGCGATGCGCGGCTACGAGAGGGAACATCAGGTACTTCTTTGTCTTTCAGCAGCTGACGGCGCATGTCCAGGCTTAGCTTGGCCGCTTCCATACAACTCTCATACGAAACGGAATAACGACCCTTCTGTGACTTGCCCAACATCCGCAGAAGATACGGGCAATGAAGCGAAAGGGTGTAAAAACAAATGTCGCACCAAAGATGGTAACGCTGCAACTTTAAAAATGGGAAGAATGAGTCGCATCGAGAATCCACCACACTCTCATTTCGCACCAGTTTGATTTGAAGATAAAAAGGAAGCTCAGAGACAAACTTGACGAAAGCATTGTGCAACTCCAGTACCTTTGAGTAGCCGAAGGAATTGCTAACATTATGGAGCTCAAACGACAATTTGCCGATAAACCTCGCGAAGCGAGAGCGGATAGTATTAATTTGCAAGGGATGAGGCGCGGGGTCTTTTGTAAACATGTGCGCAAAGGTGGACGGTACTTTATGAACACACGTCTCCGTTCTTGGCAGTTTTGTATCACAGAATGCATCCATAATCAACGGAGGTCTTCCAAAGCCTAGACAGTAGGTTTGTGAAGCAGAATACACGAGCGCCCAAATCATCCGACGACGCTCACATTCTTTGTCATCCAGACCAAAAACTGAACCATCACGATGGAGACCAAGTGTATACGAAACACGTACAAGGTGAACGACATGAATGTAAGACCGGCGAGGACTGCCCGTTACAAATGTGTACCGTGCCAAAACGAGGTAAGTCAACACTGAGAAAACGTCTTCACGACCAAGTGCCTGCAACGTGTGGCAAGCAAGTTTCGCAGCATTGTACAAGCGTCTGGAAGCATTTAGGTCAATATACTGCTCATCCAAATTCATAGCATCCCTAATTTCCGCATTGCCCACAAACATGAACACAGTGGAGATGGCCAGAACAGCCGCCAATAGACTGAACCTGGAAAGAGTTCGTTCTGTTACCAGCGTATCATCCTTATAAAGATCCTCAATAGCCTCATCAATAATATCCTTAGGGACCGGATGACGCTGCAAGTTGAGCGTCTGGAAAAACAGATCGATCAGTTTGGTAGTCACATCTTTCGGATAGATGATAGAGTTTAAGCTCTCCTGGAGAACAGGGGAGAACATATCAAGATTTAAAATATCCTGAACTTCAAAGGGAAAGATAGGTGGAATGGAGACGGGGACATGCTGTCCCGGAAGATCAACCATCGCTTTGGCAAGTGCACCGGAGTTCAAATCTGACGATATATTGTTGACGTTCAAATTCAAACCGTCTTCATCGCTACTAGCATCAAACTCGGTGCCTGCATTGGGGCAGGGGAAAGGAGACGTTGTATGGTTGTTGTCTTGAGAAGATGATGAATTTGAAAAGGGAGGCGAACTCCGTTTCATGCTGTGGACCTCATTCATAAGGTACTTCAGACTCTCTGTAACAGAACCAAGACCCTGCTCAAGAGAATGTTCCAAGTTGGCGATGTGGCTGCTCAAGTCACAGGGGGTTTCCTCTTGTTTGAACACTTTGCATTGCTCAGGTATTCTGCGGGCAATACACTGGTTGTTAGTTTGAATGGTACTTTCAACATACATTTTGGCATGGAATCTGCCTATTGCAACGTTGTTTCCGTCGATAACATTCTGTACCTTTAGATAAGTCAAAATGTACGTACAAGCAAAATGAACCCGATTCCGGCGGCCCGAAGACCGCGACTCCATTGAGTGGTTCTTTTTATCGGTGCTCATAGGATTTACAATGCCAGTATCTGTGCCTGCGCTTGAAGACGCCTTTGTCATTTCCAAATCAAGGAAATGCAACAAAGAGGCACGGTGGTTAGAGAGATCCTCGTGGCGCTGCTCCTTCAGAGACTTGAGATTACTGCCGCCCGGTCGTTTAAATTGTGACCAATCATAGCTCAAAGAAATAAACCTCCATTTCTTTGGCGCACTACGACCATGTCTAAGTAAGTGGCGCAGACGATCGGCTGACTTTTAGGCATCACACCGATTTGGTATTATGTCGCAAACTTCCAGGGATTGCTATAGGGAGGCTTTGTGAGCGTTGTGATGGGAAATGGTACGTTCTGGGCACATTGACATGAGTCCCATATGTGACTCCTATGTGCGGCCATCCGCCATAGTTCGTATCTGTGACGAGTGCAATTTTGGAAACTATGGCAACAAATGCATCGTGTGTGGCGGCCATGGTGTCTCTGTATGTGTATCACAGCTAATATAACAGGATGCCTACTATTGTGCCGAGTGTACACGATTGGAAAAAGACCGTGATGGATGTCCTAAAACTGTCAACCTAGGACATGCCCGAATGGATGCCATCTTCAGCAGGAAGATGCAAGGAATGTATGTGAGATCATTAAAACACGCTAACTAGCACAGGTTCCAACGAGGGTAGACGAAAATGGTGACAATATACCCGCTCTGAAAATATCAGCATAATGGTTTATTTACCGTTGTCTTCGAACCGTAATCCTATATACATTTAATGCCAACTTATAAGGGAACAAGCACGATTCAGCCACGAGAAACCTGAATGCTCTGTTTGCTCGAGGCTTGGCTCACCAAAGTTCTCGGATGACATAACGCCATCGTCACTGGTTGTCGGTTCGTTGGCCGACAGGCACTTGTCAGGCTCGTCGTCGTGAAGTTGCCCATTGAGAATGTCCTGATGAACTGAGTCAGGGCCCGATGAGCTAGGTGTCGAAGAGTCTAAAATCATCGTACCTGCACTTTGCGGACTAGAGTGTTGCCAGTTCACGGCAGGCGGTCGCTTGGGAGAGGGAAAATGAGCGGAAGAGGTAGTTTCCAGATGGAAATTGGAAGGATTTGACATCCATAAGTCTTTGATCGTATCACTTTGGTTTTCAAAGGCTAATTTGAATTCCGCAGGAGTGTGAATCATTTCGACTTGAGCAAAGCGTCGGAAAGGGGAGGGAAGCTGTGTAGATGTCGAGCCCTGCCAGTATCGTTTGAACCACGGATGAGCTAGTGCCTCTCCAGCTGTGATCCGCTTTTCCGGGTCCCACTGAAGTAAACGGTTCAATAGATCTAGAGCCATCTCTGGAGATCCAGGATAGAGCTTCGACCATTGGACACCCTCACAATGGGGCAAAGATTCGATATGATGCCGCGCATGGGCCGAGCCCATTTGATCCAAAAGAGACTCAGAAGGACCACCCAGCACCTTGTTGATGCGTGACAGCTGATCCATATAGTCGGATCCGGGAAAAATGGGACGGCGGCCAAGCAACTCGGCCAATATGCATCCTACGCTCCACATATCCATGGCGGGCGTATAGCCACCTTTGTTGCGGAGCATCACCTCGGGCGCGCGGTACCAGCGCGTGGCCACATAATTTGTTAAGGGAGCCCCAGGAAAATGAATTTGAGATGGCTTGGAAAGAGGCAGAGGTTTTTCTTCGCTACCAGCATCAGCACCGCCAGAGTAGAAGAATCGCATAAAAGCAGCTTGATCGGATTTGTCAGTGTGAGGGGTGTCTCGCCGATCAGCTTCCACATCGATGACATTCATGGCAAAGTGGTCCTGCGACGAGTCATCAGGTGTCGAAACAATGGAGCCATTGGTGTCATTGTCACCAAGGCTAAGATGTTGCCGCAGATAGTCAGAATTTTGTGATTCAAATGCTCGCGACATGCCAAAATCGCAGATGAAGAGTCGGCAATCGGTGTTTACCAATAGGTTGCCCGGCTTCAAGTCTCGATGGATGATATGGGCGCTGTGCATAGAATGGACACCGCGTAGCAACTGGACCATGAAAAATCTGATATGGGACTCTGTGAGCTCCTGGTCCGAACGAATAATTTGAGACAGATCGGCATCACACGCCTTGAATATGAAATAGACTTCATTGAGCTCAATAAACGATACATCAAAATCCAGGATCTGGACTACGTTAGGACAGCCCATAAGGTGAGAGAGCGATGCCACTTCCCTCAGCGTACGCCGTGTTAGCACTTCTTGGTCAAAAAAGTTGGATACTTTTTTGATAGCGACTTGCCGCTCAGATTGCTCGTCAAACGCAAGTGCCACACAGCCGTACGCCCCAATACCAAGCTCCCGAATAAGTGTGTAGCGCTTTTTCACATGAAACGGAATATTTAGGCACATGAATGTATGGTATCCCTTCTTAGAAAGATTGTGGGATGATAGAGGGTGGTCTTTTGGTGCTGTCTTCGACCACCCCACATTATTGCTCGTAGGCTGCTCACTTCGAAGATAATTTTGTCGTGTGCGCGTTCGCGTACGTGATCGAGATGCATGTCGTGGTCCAGAAATGTTCCGGGCGTATGGGAGGCGTTCTGCCTTGCCCTCTCGTGGGTGCTCCGCAGCGGCAGGTGCCGCATACGAGGCAAATAGGCTCGACAAAGCAGAAGCTCCGAACATGCAAAATAGTCTCAGCCTGGAATTTTTAAATGAATTATAAGGGCAGAGGGAATGGAAAGACTGGCTGAAGTTGGTAAGTGACTGAGACGCGCAAAAGACAGATGCGTTGTGCGACGGAGGTCTGGCCTGCGCCCCTGCAATGCGGGGCTGCTGTGGCTAGTTGCGGAAGGGCATCTCCACTACCATTGCTTACTCATCATGCAGGTCCCTTCGGCGTTGCCTATATATAGGAATGATTAGCTGAGCACCCTAAAATTCGGACACGTCACCAGGAATCGGAGCGCGAGAGACGCTATTCTACGACCGACGGCGACGGTGGTATGGTGGAACGTTAGGCCATGCCGCTCTATGGGACTTGTCATGAGTTAGGTTGAGGTTACAGACTCTTTCAGCACGTAGAGAATGCCTAGTTCGGCACAGCCCAGTGGTCCTTATCGGTGTAGAGCAAAATCCTAGGGTGTGATGTTGGCTTCTCGGGGTGTCATTACATTTGATGGAGGCAATGCCTGTATGGATGGCTACGACGGGAGGAGGGGGCCCAAGAAGACCGGACAAAGCACACGCGCTGGCACATTGGTTCACAGCCAATCGCCCGAGGCTGCCAGTCTGCATGCCGGCGTGCGCCACGCCCCCATCCCCGAGATCACGTGAGTGTCACTCGTTGCTCTCGCGCGTCAGCGAATCGTGGCTGATCCAAGCAACACAGTGTCCGTAATCCACCATGGTAAGCGATCGATGCCCATAAATGCTTACAGAGTAGGATCGTATTAAGGAAAAGCTGAACTCGCTTCGTGCTGAGGCGGACGCTGCCTTGGAGCGCGCTGAGGCTGCCGAGGCTAAGAACAAAGAGCTGGAGCAGGACAACCTCATGAAGGAGCAGGAGATTGCGAGTCTGCAGCACAAGTTGTCCGTGGTGGAAGCCGACTTGGAAAATGCAGAAAATAAGCTGAGTGAGGCTCAAGTTGGCAAAGAGGAGGGAGAAAGCCACAAGTCCAACGTCGACATTCTGCAGCGCCGCATTGATATGCTTGAGGAGCAGCTGGACTCTACGGACAAGAATCTGAGGGAGACTACCGAACAGTGTGTATGATTTTCTGACAACGCAGGCTCCGGCAGACGGATGTGCGTGCGGAGCAGCTGGAGCGCCAGATCCAGGGTGCCGAGCAAGAGCGCGACCAGTGGGAGCAGAAGTACGAGGAGGCCAATGAGAGGTACCAGGCCTCCAAGCGCGAGCTTGATGAGGTTGTCCAGCAGATGGAGAGCCTCTAAGTGTGCTGTTCTTTGTGTTTGAGTGCGGCTGATGGAGCGCCTATCTGTTGTGTACACCATAGACCGACGCAGCACAGTATGCTTCGATGTTATCCATTTCTATGGGCCGAGCCTATGCTACCTGGTTTTGAGCCTGGAGCTCGCGCGCGATCTGGCGGACCTTGCGCCTGATCGTTAGTCGACCCGACTTACTCGTATGCGGCGCGATCCTGCCTGCAAGCGTTAGTAAAGCGAGCACGTACTTGAACAAGTGAAAGGCATCGGCTTGCGCGGGATCGCCAGGGTTGGGATCGTTGAGCAAATCCTGCACACCGAGGAGGATCTGCTTGATCGTAATTGCTGGCTTCCAACTCTTTTCTTCGTCTTTGGTTAGTGGGTGCACCTACCTAGAATCGACAAGCACACAGTGCCGGAGGGAAAAACGTTGGGATGGAACAGGGGGGGCGTGAACTTGCCTAGGGTGAGGGAGCGCTACGCACACTTCGGTGGCTTGGATGGATACTCCTCGGGGAAGTACATCTTTAGTTTGTAGACACCACCCTCCCAGGGCGTCTGAATGTGAGTGGGAGGCACATACATTTGCCTTGCCTGGAATCCCTACCTCCCAGACAAGTAGATTCAACGAGCCATCCGCCTCTTTCTCAGGTCGGGCATAGAATCCCTAATGTGAGTACGTGTCACATACGAATGGGTGGTCACGACGCCATTGTTTCCTCTCTTCCTGGAGCCTGTCGTGAGAAAGCGCGACTGCGTACCGAGTGCGGCAAATTCCCGACATGCTCAAAGCACAACACGACGTCCTCCTCCGCGCCTGACTTCGTCTCCACTATGTCACGTGCATACCATGCTCGCTTAGGCCTCGAGCACTGTACGGAGCGCAAGCAAGGGCAAGGTAGATCGGCTATAGAAGGTACGGACAGACATCATAGAGGGCGCAGGCGACAGTCAGCCCGCCGCCGACGGTGGTGTGATGTGGAGGTATCGCTGTCACGCACCTGCCTTCGTGCGCGACGCATGGCTGGGTGGGCTTCGTGGGCAGGCTCGGTGCTGGCCGCTGCAGCGCTCCTTTGGTACGTCACATTGTGGTATGTGTGCTGTATCGGGCGGTCGGTAGCAAAGCGGTACTTTCGCGAGCCTTGGCCGCGTTCTCCCCTGGCATCTGGTTCCCAGGGCGAAACCGAGACGGAGGTGCCAGGTGTGTCAATTCTGCGCCCGCTGGCCGGCTTGGACTGCCACTTGTATGCAAACTTGTGCTCAAGCTTTGAGCAGCAGTACCCACGCGACCGATATGAAGTTATTCTCAGTGTGCGATCTGAATCGGACCAGGCCCTTGGCGTGGCACGACAAGTCGTCGCGCGCTACCCGCATATCCAGAGTCAGATCCTTGTGGGCGATGCAGACGCCGGTGTGAATCCCAAAATCAACAACCTCGTCCGTCCGTACGCGTTGGCCAAGCATGACATTGTATGGGTTGTCGACAGTCAGGTCTCGCTCGGTCCGCAGGCGATGGCGCGTGCCGTCGACGCGCTGACGATGGCGCCTACGCGCCCGCTTCCCCTGTGGCTACGTCGCGAGCCACACAGCAAGCGTGTCGGGCTAGTGCACCATGTGCCACTGGGCGTGCTGCCCGCCGATACATGGGCCTCGCACGTCGAGCGGGTATTTCTCTCGACGACGCATGCGAAGATGTACTTGGCGATAAATGCGGTGGCCGTCGACAGCTGTGTCATGGGCAAGAGCAACATGTACCGGAAGAGCGATTTAGAGCAGGTGCCGGACTCGTTTTTCCACCTGGACCGCCACGGCGACAGATTCGGTAGCCGGGCATTTGACGACGCGCCATCCGACCAAGACGACGTTGTGTGCCACGGCGCTCGGGCTCTCGCACGCTTCGGCATCTACCTGGCTGAGGACAACATGCTCGCCCTGAGCTTGTGGCGTCCGCCACAGCAGCTGGCGCACCGTGTGGCGCCTGGCGACGTGGCTCATGTGGCTGTGGGCGACATCCAGACTATGACGGAGTATGCGAAGCGGCGCATGCGCTGGATCCGTGTGCGGCGGCACATGGTCCCGGCCGCCACGTACGTGGAGCCATTCACCGAGAGTCTTGTGGCGGGTCTGTGTGGCTGGTTCGGCCTGCGAGTCTGGCTCCTGGCGCCACTGGGCGCATCTGGCTCCCTATGGCTGCTGTTCGTCGTCTTCTATGGCCTGCACCTCGCAGCGTGGTACTGGGTCGATACGGACGTGCACCTCTCGTTGCGGCAGGGCGTGCCTCTTCCGGCGGCCGAGCAACAACGCTTTTTTGGTGCTTGGTGCCTGCGAGAGGCGCTCGCGCTGCCGATCTGGGCTTGGGCCATGGCCGGAGCGACCGTGACGTGGCGTGGTCAGCGCTACCGCATCTTGGAGGACGCCCAGGCAGCCCCGGCGGAGGGCGGGGCGCCGCTCGCCGACTAGTGCCACGCGGCGTCCATCTCGGCTCGCCAGCGGCGCTGCAGCTGGATGCACTCGTGGAAGATGCGGTACTTGGCAGCAAAGTGAGCGCGCCATGCGCTGTCGTCTGTTGGCCATACAGATTGGCCAGGCGGTGTGGCCTGTGCCATAATGGTCCACAGTCGCTCCGAGTGCGTCGGAGCCACCGCGTCGGCCTCGGCCTGTGTGGGGAGGACCGACTCGGTGGCACGGACGGTGCCGGCGCGTGAATGCGTGACATCGGCGGCGAGGTGGCCCAGGATTGCCGCCCCGACAACCACGCTAGCGGATGTCTCAGACGGCATCTGCACACGCAAGCCGCACACGTCAGCGACGAGCTGAGCATAGATGCGGTTTCGCGCCTGCCCGCCGCCGGAGAGGTAGATGGCCTCGATGTGGTGCCCACTCTGGTTCATCTCGTCGACAATGTGCCGCGTCTGCAGCGCAATGGCCTCGAGCGTCAGCAGGTACTTGCGTGCGAGATCCGCGCGCGAGTGGTCCAAGTCGAGACCGATGATCATACCGCGGAGACGCGGATCGGCGAGGGGCGAGCGGTTCCCGTAAAAGTCAGGGTACATGTGCGCATACGACACGAGGCGTGCGTACGACGAGGGCGACGATATGGCCCAGCCACGTGCATGCATCTGGGCCGCCAGTGACTCTTCGAGCAGCTCAAACACCGATGCGCCACGCGCTTGGGCCAGGCTAAGGGTGGCCGCGTACGCGGGGTGAGTCTCCAAGACGGCGTCGATCAGCTGGCCGGTGCTGCTCTGTCCCCCCTCGTTCATCCACTGGCCGGGGAACACGGCGTGGTGGTACGGTCCCCAGACGCCGGGCACATGTACACCATCCGCACTTTGGATACAGTAGCACGTGCTGGTGCCGGCAATGGCCACGAGGCGTGTGTGTGCGTCCTGCAGCGACGCAGGAGGCACGGCAGTATCGAGCGAACTGGCCGCGACGGTACCGACCCACCCGGCGTAGGCATCGATCAGGGCGGACGCCACAGGCGTGTGGGGCCGGAGGCCCAGGTCGCTCGCCGCTGCTTCGGACAGGCCCGCACCGACGGGCATGCCGGCAGTGAGCACAAGGCCGTGGCGACCAGGCACGCCACCGAGCTGTGCATAGTCTGGCGCGAGGCACCCGAGTCCGACCTGCTCGAGAAAGTCGGGCTGCCAGCCAAGTGTGCTCCCAGCGGTGCCCGGAGGGATAAAGCCACACTTGCACACGAGGCTGCAGTGCGACCGTGCGCGTGCGCCCGAGGCACGGAACGTAAGGTAGTCGGGCAAGTCGAAGAACTCGCAGCGCGCAAAGGCCTCGGGGGCGAGGTGCTCCCGCAACCATAGGATCTTGGGCATCTCCATCTCGAGGGACATGGTTCCGCCGACATAGTTGAGCACTTTGTGGTGCGTTTCGTTGATGCGGAGTGCCTCTGCCTCGGCGCGATGGTCCGCCCACAGGATGACATTGCGCTCGGCGTGCCGGCCGAGGTGTGGCGGCGTCACGCTGACTGGCGCGTACGACGAGCGGTCTACGACAACGAGGCTGCACGTCGCATCAAAGCCGATTCCATGCACGTCGTCTGGAGCGACGCCGGCATCGTGGATGACGTGGCGCACACATTCGGTGATCGCCGACCAAATCTGGTCGCCAGACTGCTCGAACAGATGGGGATCTTCCTCGTAGCGCCACGTCTTGAGCGGCGACGAGTGTTGAGCGAGAATTCGTGCATCTTGTCCGATGAGCGCGGCGCGCGCCGAGCCCGTGCCGACGTCGACCCCGAGGAAATACGGGCCGGTCATGCTGCACTGCAACCGCCCGCCGTGGCGGTGGACGGGGCACGGGCCTCATCACGTGAAACGGAGGTGTCCTCGGGCCACAGTCGTGCGACTTCACCATGACGACCGAGGGCCAGACGATCACTTGCAAGGCGGCGATTGCGTGGGAGGCGCAGAAGCCGCTCCAGGTTGAGGAGGTGCGTGTGGCGCCTCCCCGCGCCGGAGAGGTGCGCGTGCGTGTGACGTTCACGGGCCTGTGCCACACCGATACGTACACGCTGTCGGGTGGCGATCCCGAGGGAGCGTTCCCGGCGATTCTGGGCCACGAGGGCGCGGGCATCGTTGAGTCGGTGGGTGAGGGTGTGACGCACGTGAAGAAGGGCGACAATGTGATCCTGCTCTACACGGCAGAGTGCCGTCAGTGCAAGTTCTGCCTGTCGGGCAAGACGAACCTGTGCCAGGCCGTGCGGGCGACGCAGGGTCGTGGCGTGATGCCCGATGGCACGAAGCGCTTCACGTCGGTGCGCACGGGCGAGGAGCTCTTCCACTTTATGGGCACGTCGACGTTTAGCCAGTACACGGTCGTGTCGCAATACTCGCTCGTCGCCGTCGACCCCAATGCGCCGATGGACCGCACGTGCCTGCTGGGCTGTGGTGTGACGACGGGCTATGGCGCTGCCGTGTACACGGCGAAGATCGAGAAGGACGCCACGGTCGCCGTATGGGGCGTTGGCTGCGTTGGTCTCGCGGTGATCTACGGTGCCAAGGAGCGTGGTGCGAAGCGCATCATTGCTATCGACACCAACCCTAGCAAGGCCTCGTGGGCGAAGAAGTTTGGCGCTACCGACTTTCTCAACCCGACCGAGGTGCCGGCCGTCGAGAGCGGTGACCCCGTCGTGGCCCACCTGGTTGAGATGACCGACGGCGGCCTGGACTACACGTTCGACTGCACGGGCAACGTCAAGGTCATGCGCACGGCGCTGGAGGCGTGCCACAAGGGCTGGGGCATTTCGACGATCATTGGCGTTGCCAAGGCCGGTGAGGAGATCTCTACGCGCCCCTTCCAGCTCGTGACGGGCCGCAAGTGGCAGGGCTCGGCGTTTGGTGGCGTCAAGGGTCGCACGCAGCTGCCCGGCCTGGTCGAGCGGTACCTGCGGGGTGACTTTGTGGTCGATGACTACGTGACACACCGCAGCACGCTCAGCGAGATTAACCAGGGGCTCCAGTACATGAAGGACGGCGAGTGCATCCGCTGCGTCGTAGACCTGGCCTAGGGTATAGAATTCATCGTGTAGGCTGGTGGCTGCTCAGTCGGTACAGCAGGCAGCATCGGCGCCGACAGACCCAGTGCCGGCGGCGGCGGCGGCGGCGATCGAGTGCGATCGAGCCACGAGCTCGGTGAGGCGCGCGATTCGGACCGCGTCGACGGCGGCCTCGACAGGCTGTGCCGGTCCGCGGGGGGCGCGCCTGGCTGGGTGTTGCCGCTCGCTCCCGCCTCGGCCCCGCCCCCAGGGCGGTGCTCGTCCGCCGCGAAGAACGAGTCGTCCAGCTCGCCCGGCTTCTGCCCGGGCCGCCCGTGCTCGACCATGAGCGCAGTCGCGTCCGTGGGCGGCAGCATCGCCTGCTCCGCCGCAGACAGGTCGGCCAGGCTCATGCCACACACACACATGTTGTGCGACTCGCCGCGGTCCTGGTTCGCCATCACAATTTGCTCCCATGTGGTGCCGGTCAGGTGCTTGAGCTGCGGCACGGTCGAGGACGTGGGCGTCGCACTGTAAGGCGGCAGCGTCACGGCATCGAGCGCACAGCAGCAAGAGGGAATCACAATGCTCTGGCGCAACGTAAATACCTTGAGCTTGCGCCGCCCCTCGGGCGTGAGAGCATCCGGCACAGCAGGGTCAGAGCGACTGTGCACGACCTCGACGACAAGCACGTGGTGGAAGCGCAGGGGCGAGCGCGTCCCGGGCATGGTGCTGGGCCGGATCGCGTTGTCGTCGGGAATGCGTGCCACGCCCTGCACCGTCCACGCCGACGTGCTGCCTGCATAGTGGATGTAGCCCGGTAGACGATCCGCCTCGTCGCTCAGGGCCCTGTCTTGCGGCGCCACACATCCCTTCTCAAAGAGCTTGCGCTTCTGCACGGGCGTTACCTGACGCCCCTTGCGCTTCGTGAAGAGCTCAATAGTCGTGTGCAGCGAGATCCGCACCATATACACCAGCAGGTCGGGGGGCGCCGACGGACTGTGGATGTCAATGTTGAAGAGGCCCCCCACAGAGATGTTGTTCGACGTGCACGCCACAGAGAGCATGCCGACCGTGTCGTGCATGTCATTGAACAGCACCGTGAGCGGGGTCACCCCGCCATCCGGCGCGGGGTTCACCATGGGAAAGAAGTCGCGCCACTCTTCCACATGGCTGCGCGCGCGCCCGGCGCCGAGCGCGGTGACTTTGACCGTGTAGCGCACCTTGCCAAACGGACTGCGGTCGTATGGAGGAGCGTCCGCGGGAATGATAAAGGCAAACTCGAACATGTGCACGCCCTTCTCGAGAAACAGGCCGTCCTCGCCGTCCTGGCGGAACACCTCAAAGTTGTTCTCCATAAGCGACTGGTTGGAGCGTGTGCCGCGCTCCGCTGTGCGGCCTCGCTGCTCATCCTCCTCTTCGTGGATCTGCTGCTGCTCCAGGCGCCGGTGCAGATGCTGCAAGTCCTCCGCGGACCAGTCCGCGTTGCTGCGCCGGTGAGGCGTCGAGGACCCGGAGCCCGCCTCGTCAACCGGTGTGCGCGTGCGCGACTGCGAGCGCGAGTAGCCGCCCTCATCGGTGGGCAGGAGGCTCCGCCCACGCAGCAGCGAGCCCGTCTGCGACGGTGGCCGGTGCGTGTGTCGGCCGCGCGAGACGCCGCGCACCATGTTCCGGAATATGTCGTTGCTCGAGTCGCCGTGCCTCGCGCCACCACCTGGCGTGACAGAGGGACTGCGCGGACGCGGCATGCTGTTGGAGCGATGATGCTGGAGCTTGCTGAGGCGCATAGGCACGCCGATCTCGAGAACACGCTCCATGAAGGTGGCATTCTCGTACGAAGAAGGAGTGTGGTTGTATTGCGTCGTCTCGAGAATGGCCTGCGAGATGGTCGCACGCAGATGCACGCGGATCCCGTCAATCTGCCGCTCCGAGGGCACGTGCAAATGGATGATGCCACGCACAAGCTCGTCGTTGGATAAGGGCGGCCGCTCATGCGTGCGGTTCTCGTGGTCCATGGTAGGACGCTGCGGCGGCCGCAGAAAAAAGACATTATGAATCAAGTTGACTTGGATCTCACATGGCTGAAATATCGTTGATAACATGGTTCCAGGCAGGAGATAAAGTGGAGATGCACCGGTTCCTCGGCCGGCTTGGCCGCGCGGCGATCGGGCGGCGCAGCATCCACGCACGGTCATGAGCCTGCAAGCCCAGTCGGATGCATGGCACTGGCACGCGAAACGGAAGCAGATCGATGCAGAGCTGGTACGTAGACGGCTCTGATCCAGGCCCACTATCACGCCGTGCTCGAGCAGAACCAGGCCACGATGTCGTCGGACCTGCTCGACGCCGAGGGCTTCCCCCGCGCCGATCTCGATATCCCTACTATCCGACAGGCGCGCAACCAGGTCCAGCGGCTACGGAATGACCGCCGCGAGGCCGACGAGCAGCTGGCCACCCTGCTGACACAGGCGCTGCCCCCCCATACCCCGTCCCTACCCCAGGCGGTGGCCGCCGCACAGCGCGGCAACACCCGCGCACGCCCCATGGCCGTGCGCTCGGTGGCCCCAAACGGCCCAGCAGCCAGGGCGGTACGTCGAATGACTGACAGCAGGGCCTCGAAGCAGGCGATCAGCTCGTGCGGTGGGGTCCGTGGGACCCGATCACGTCCGAGCACATGGCAGCTCTGCCCGCCACTGTAAAGGAGGGCGAGGCGATTCCCATCCTGGTACGACGTGCTCTCGTAGACGGACGCACGATCGACGTATCCATCCACCTTACCCCTGCGCCATGGGACGGGCGCGGTCTCCTAGGGTGCCACCTGGTGCCGTTGTAGAAAAAGGGCCATTCTCCACTTGTCCGAGCGTCCCCGCCTCGCCACCATGGCTCGATCGGACACAGAAGTCTGGGCGCTCAAGCTCGCCAATGTAGCCAGCTACCTCCTCTTTACATCCTCCAATGTGTACTCGGGTCTCTCAGGCCACAAGATGGGCGGCCCAATCACCACCTACATCACGCCTGCGCCGTGGTTTTTCGGCGTGTGGTCGCTCATTCATACGCTGCTGTTCGGCCTCATGGTGTATCAGTTTTGGCCGTCGGGCCACAAGGCTGTGACGGAGCACCTGGGATGGAGACTCCCTTTGCTTCTGTTCCTCAACTCGCTCTGCAGCATGTTCTACTCGTTCGATGGATCTCGCGTCTTCAGCCTCGGCGCCTTTTTGGTGCTCCTGCTCGTGGCGGGCATTGTCAGCCACATCTACGGCATCCTGCGCATGTCCAGCGATAGCTCTAGCGTGCCTGAAGTCCTGTTTGTCCATCTGCCCGTGTCCTTGTACCACGGATTCATCGTGATCATTTTCTTTGTCGCTGCGTTTGCCGTGGCAGGCGTCGATGCACACGCCCACCAGGCGGGCCTCATCACCAAGGCACTCGTCTTCGTCTCCCTCTTCTTTCTGGAGAGCACTGCGGCAGGCTATGTGTTCTATGGCAATGGCGACATCGCCGGCGCCTTGGTGATCTCAATGGGTCTCCTCGCCATTGCCTGCGAGCAGCGATCGTCTCGCTTTATTCACTGGTCGGCCATGTACGTTGTTCAGCGCACTAATATTCTACAGCATATTTTTCGTGATCTCCTTCCTGGCTGTGCTCCGCGCCACAGTGGCTGCCATCCAGAGCAGGCGCCGATCGTGGACTGTGCCCACCAGAGCCGACGAGGAGAGCGCTCCTCTCGTCCACTAATTACTTTTTCCGTTCATTGGACCACTTGTACTGCTTCTTGGTCCGAGTCGTCACATCGTCTTCATCGGCGTCCGTAGTCACGACGAGGCCCTTGGACGTGATTTGCGCTCCCTTCTTCGCCACGTCGTCCTTCATCTGCTGCACCACCCTCTTGGGGACCGCATGCGAGCCGCGCGTCCGCATGAGCGTGCGCACAACATCGAGCTTATTCGCCGCCTCGGCAAGTGCATCGAGTCTGTGCTGCCGCGAGGCCAACTCGCGGATCTTCACACCCAGTTGCCGCTGTGGTAAGTAGGGCCGCACGTACCTCTCCCACCTTGTCGGCGGGCGTCAGCTCGGCTGGTGCGGCCGGCGTTCTGCTCTTCTTCGACTTGGATGCCATAGATTTCACTCCCGTCAGTACTTTGCACGCACTCTCGTTCACACTGTCCACCCACACAGTCTTCTTGCCAAAGCCATGGAGGCGCTGCTGCTCCTGGTCGCCCGCGTCCGCCTCTTCGCCCACGGCGCCGAGCAGACCCGCTCGCCTCAGCGCCGTGATATACTGGGGCTTTTTCTTAAGGTAGGCAATGCGCATACCAGGCACACGTGGCGCGATCTCCTCTATCAGAGCGTGCAGCTTCTTTTTCTCACTGACGATCTGCTTTCGGACGTAGCCAGCATCCTGGGTCTTGAGCAGCGACACAACGTCGTTGTCCAAGGGCCTATTTCCACGAGAATCAACATGGACTCCTTTCTCTGTTTTCTTGCCCACCATGCCGAGGTAGAATTCATCTTGGTTCTTGTCAGCCGCCTTCTGTCGCAGGCGTTGCAGCTTGTCACGCTTCGCGTGGTGATCACGCGCACGCTGAACATAGTCTTTGTGTTTCTCTAGCAAACCCAGGTGCTTCCTGTGCGCGAGCTGACCACGCTCTTTGTGGTTGCGGCGCTGCACATAGTTGCGGAGCGCCATCGCGATCGTCTAGCACGCCCCCGCTCTGACGGCTAGCGTCGCCACTTTTTTTGGCTTCACGTGACTACTCCACCCACCGGCTGCGCCCCATCGGGGCACCGCCGAGGCGCCGAAGCACGGCGGAACCCTTCTGCTCTACGTAATTAGCCAAGGCTTCCGTCAAATGCCCTAGAATGCGGGGACATGTTGGTGGTAGCACTATGTATAGCATACATGGATGCAGCGCCCCATCTTGGGACTGTTCGAGCTCTTATCATAGCCTCCACGTGATAGCTTATTGAGCAGGAAAGCCTCAATGCATCTCTGCCCGTTACAGTATGGCAGCTACCGATCATAGCGAGAGTGAGCCACTGAACTCGGAGCAGCTCAACTTTACGTATGGATCCGCACAAGATCACGAGAGCCACACTCCGAAGCATGCGCCATCGCTACTGCGGACGTTGCTTCCATGCATGGCGCTGTGGTGCATAACTTTCATTTCCAGTCTGGATACCACAATTGTGGCGATGTTATTGGGGAACATCTCGTCCTACTTCAAAGCTGCGGAAAAGTCTTCGTGGCTAGGATCCACGTACTTATTGAGTGTTTGCTGCACGGCACCACTGTACGGTCGTCTGTGTGACACTTTCGGCCACAAGCGTAGCCTGATCCTAGCCGTGTCCATTTTCTTGGTCGGCACCTTTTGGTGTGGCGCATCACGCAGTATGAACGAACTGCTCCTTGCAAGGACTTTTGCTGGTATTGGCGGCGGTGGCCTGAGCACCATTACCAGTGTCATCATGTCGTCTCTCGTGCCTCTCCGGTCTCGTGGCCTCTTCCAAGGCATGACAAACATCATGTATGGTCTAGGCGGTGCGACAGGCGGACCTCTTGGCGGTATTCTATTGGATATTGTGGGGTGGCGCGGGTGCTTCTTCATCCAGATACCCGCTCTTGCGATTGCTCTTACTCTCATCTTTACACTCATTGAGCGCGACGAGGCCGCCCATTTTGCTCCAGATGAAAATACGTGGACAAGAATCAAGTCCGTTGACTTTCTGGGACTTATCTCCTACGCGATGATACATATATCTGCCCTGGTCGCGTTGGACCTGATCAGCACGCGCATGATGGCGGTTACCAGTGGACCGGTGCTAGGCTGTATGGCCACGGCCCTGCTGTGTTTGGTCCTATTCATGTACTTTGAATGTCGTGCCAAGTTGCCGCTAATCTCGTTTGAAGTTCTGTCTCTCCGCACTGCTTGGTCGAGTTTGTGGGGGTGCCTATTCCTCACGATGGCCTACACTGCCTTTAACTTCAATTTCCCTCTCTATTTCCAAGTGGTTGGCCAGATGGCCCCCTCTGACTTGGGTATTCGCATGATTCCTGCCGGTGTTACTATTGGGTTTTCAAGCATTATGGCGGGTCTTTATATTCGCAAGCACGGTCGCTACTACAAGTGCTGCCTGCTCTTTATCTGCATTGCCTGCTTGACTTGTATCCCCTTGACGACCTATCGCACCAATCCCCCCACGGTCTCCCCCTTTATCCTGAATATCTTTATGACTATGGGCCAGTCATGGTACCTGGTTTGCTCCCTGATCGCTCTTATCCACACTGTCAGACCGAACCAGATCGGCGTTGCTACGGGTATGAGCTACTTGTTCCGATCAGCCGGCCAAGTGATGGGCGTGGTGATCCCTGGCGGCATTTTCCAAGTGAACCTGCTGCGCCAGCTTCAGAGTCGAATTCTTGGACCGGGTTCCGACGATCTGATCTCGCAACTTCGACATGACTCTACGCTCATCCCCCAGCTTCCTACGGAACTTCAAAACGAAGCACTGGCGTCCTACGGAGACGCGCTGCACCTGGTATTCATCTTTGTGAATCTATGCTACGTGGCTTGCATTGCATTCTTCATTTTCGTGGAGGACGTGTCTTTGGAGGAGCATCCCAACGACCGAGACGAATAACCTGCTTCGCGTCTATACATCTATTTGCTGTTTGATCAACTTTGCCATTCGTCCTGTCGAAAGTCTGTGACCGTGGTCTCTTGTTTCTCACGGTACTCGGCCTTCTCGACATCGTCCAAGCCATCCTTGTGGACGCCAATCGCGAGCGAGGGAACATCTGTAAGGAGGATGGGCGGCCCTTGGAAATGCTTGTGACCCCATAGCAGATACCAAAGAAAGCTAATAGCAGCAAATCCGGCGAAGACCACGCTCGCGTAATTCATAGACGATTCGTCTAGGTCCTTGAGGGACGTCGGCATGGACAAGAGGAACACAGCCAGCACAATCCAGCAGATCGTCACTGTATTTACAAAGAAACCCATCCGTCCGAGCGAGAATCGTGCACCCAAGACTTTACGGCGCCTGTTTATTAACGAAACCAGAATCGGGAAGGCATACGAAGCCGACAAAGAAATGGTAGCCACGCCTGTGAAGCTGTTAAATGCCGCTTCAGAACCAAAGTAAATGAGCCCCAGCAGTGCGTCAATGACGGCCGACAGCGTGAGGGCAAGAATTGGCATATCGAAGCGTTTATCAATTCGAGACCAGTACTTTGACCATGGGATCGCACCGTCTCGCGCGAATGCGTAAGTGCACCGACTAGACGCCGTCAGAGCGCCAATACCAGCAAAGAACCAGATCCCCAAGATGAGAAACAGCAGTCCAAAGCCGCCACCTGCGCTGCCGGTAGCATGCTTGAATATTAATCCGATTGGCTGGCCACTCGTAACATTCAGAAGAGCGTCGACATCAGGTAGCACAAAGAGAATAGGAATCAAATATACAAGACCAGTCACACCAGCTGCCACGACCGACAACACGATAGCCTTGGGAACTTCTCGCTCAGGGTTCTGGACCTCTTCGCACATGGCAGCCACCATGCCGTACCCCGTCAGCACGTATGCTGGTTGCATCAGTCCGACGAAAAAGCTCCAACCTGTGGGCCACCCAGATTGCGACGAATCATAATGGGCAAAAACATACTCAGCATCGTGCCTTGATGGCGCCATAGTGAGAACGACAATCATGATTATGATTATCGAGCATCCGGTCCAATACACACAGATCGTGTTGATCTTGTCCAAGTACTTGGCGCCAAAGATATTGACTAAATAACACACGAGCGTTACGCACCAGAAGCACAAGACTGTCTGCCATGCATTGGCCGAAAAGTCTTCATTCCAGAGAGAGATGGCGCTAAGAATTAATTGGGCCCCGCCGAAGTTAATCGATAGCGTGACAGTCCAGTTTCCCACAAGCGTGAGCCAGCCGGTAACCCAGCTGCAGATCGGGGCCCACTTCTTTGACGATAGTAGGGCAGCCCAAAAGTAGACCCCGCCAGCTGTTGGATATACGGAGCAGATTTCGGCCAGAGACAGCGCGATGGCGATGGATATCAATGTGACTAGCACCCAACCCCACAAGATCGTGACAGATTGGCCATTGACCAAGGAGACAAGGAATGTGGTGCTCAGTCCGTATGGAACTGCCTGCACTGATTAGCGTCTCGAACATACCATTATAGCGAATGAAAGTCCCATGACAGAGAACATACTAAGTCTTCTGGGCAGCTCATTCTGATAGCCGAGACGAGCCAATTGCTCGTTCGCATTGACGGATGGGGCATCCGCAACGACGCCTCTCTCAGACATCTGGGACGCTTCCTAAGAAGGGAGCTGGCTCTTTCTTATTCCACTGTTAAATCCCATGGCCATAATCTATCTCGGTTCCGATAAGCGGTGCCCATATCTCAGGCGGCGTGCCCTGTCCATGGCCAAGTGGAGTTACGCCGTTATCTCTGATGGCTTTAATTTGTTTTGTGCGTATCACCGCCGTTCTCACGTGCATCCACACTGAGGCCTAGCAGATCAGCCGCCATGCGACTCAGCACAAGCTTTTACGTAGGTACTCTATCGTCGGTACATTAGATAGCGGTAAGTATGTTTCAGCATGAACACAGAGAATGACGTTGGAAAGGCCGACGCAAATTCAGCGCCACTCAGCCTCGTTAGCAGGCTGAGAAGCCATATACATAGGCTGGGCGGTGCTGCTTCCAGGCATGGCAGACGGGCTCATGGGAGCGGACTCAGGCAACATGGCACTCGTTGAGGGCATGGCCCGCGCATAGTCGTTGGCAGAAGATACCATCGGCGCACGCACTGGTGAGTCCGCACTGGCCAATTGGTCCGCCGGCAGAACCTTGCGTCGAGGCGCCTGACCAGCGCCGGTCGCCTTTTGAGCCGCCTCATCTTGGGTGGCTGGAGCTGCCAGACCACGCGACGGGTGCTCCACCCGTTCCCGCGGCTGGATGCTCCAGTCATATACATAGTCATACTGGTATCCCTCCCGAACAAAGAGGTCACGGAAAAGTTTGCGCAAGTAGCTGTAATCCGGGCGGTCGTCAAAGCGGAGGGAGCGACAGCAGTTGAGGTATATGGCCATCTCTGTCGGGAAGCCGCGGCAGAGAGACTCCGTAGGCGTCATCATCTTCTTTTCCATGATGCGTTCATACTTTTGCTTCTTGGTGGCAGCCTTAAGTCCCTGCCAAGGTAGCGAACCCCGCAAGAAGTACATCATTACATAGCCCAGAGACTCCAAGTCATCGCGACGAGACTGCTCCACACCCAGGTGTGTATTGATAGACGTGTAGCGAGCCGTGCCCGTGAGATTCTTGTTCTCACGGTAGGGAATGTGCAGATGCGTCTTTGGGTCACGGTACTTTTTGGCGAGACCAAAGTCAATCACGTTGACTTGGTTGCCGCGTTTGCCAATGCCCATAAGGAAATTATCGGGCTTAATGTCACGGTGGATAAAGTTACGTGAGTGGATGTATTCGACGCGCGAAATCATCTGGTCTGCCAGCAGAAGCACTGTCTTGAGCGAGAAACGCCGGTTGCAAAAGTTGAACAGATCCTCTAGCGACGGACCAAGTAGGTCAATCACCATCGCATTGTAGTCGCACTCCTGGCCATACCATCTCACAAAGGGCACGCCCACACCCCCCGCAAGAGTCTTGTACACCTTCGCTTCATATTCAAGTTGAGGGTGCTTGGCCTTTACAGACTCCAATTTAATGGCAACCTCTTCGCCACTAATGATATTCACGCCAAGGTAAATATCACCAAAGGAGCCAGATCCGATCTTCTTTCCAATACGGTACTGCATAATGTTAGTTCTACTGTCACGGTCAACTCGGTGACATACCCTGTCAAAGGTTAGCATCCAGTCCTTGAGGCCGTTCGATGACGACAGCCACACTCTCAAATACGTACTTTCCTCCAACCCTCAGATCCATGATGAGGACAGACGGCAATGAAAAAGGGCAGAATGTGTGGGCCGCTACAGCCTCCTTGCTGTCCGGTCGTCAGGAGGGACGGGCTGCGCAACCGCGCGGCGGATCGGTTGGCCAGCGTGCTCGTAGGTTCTGTTCTGCACCTATTAGGCTCAACTCACCGTTACCTGGGCTCCGTGGAGCCAATCGTGATTGACGTCCGAATACCCACGTGATGTCTGCCGGGGGGATCGTGCCACGGTGGCACGGTCAGGGCTATGTAATCGGCGCGTCGACGGACGATAGACGGATGACAGGCTGTTCGCAACGTGGGTAGGAGCGCTCCCGACGGGTTGGCCCAGGCAGGTATATAGCATCATGGAGGGTCCAGAGGCCTCGTAGTCGACATATGTGGCAAGGTCTGGTAGCGAACAGGTTTGTTATCGCCCACCATTTCCACGCGCCGGCATCGAGACGTGCGTGCAGCTTTCGCCTTCTCGCCGCCAAGTTCAACGTTGGCGGATGCGCAGGTAACAGATACGGCCTCTAGTTCGAGTGCCTATCGCTTTCACGTACCTCTTTCTTCATCTGGCAGCTCAAAGTGGCATCGTGCGGGGATGCGGGGTACGGACCAGCGTCTCTTCGAGAGCAGCGAGGCGTTCGATGAGCCCTATACCATTGATGTACTAGCACCTGCATATGAAGGCCAGGGTCTGTCTGGTGCATCGCCCTATCGCCTTACGCGCGAGGAAGTGCTCAAAGGATTGGCGAACCGGTTTGTTCATTCCACCACCTATCTCTATCTCTATGCGAGCATGGCGGGTCTGTCTTTCCTGACCGTGGCCATGTCCCTGCTATGGACATGTCCTGGCCCGTCGTTTTACATTCTCGAGTTACTAGTGAATATGGCCCTCGTGGGCGAAGTGGGTGTGCGTCTCGTCGCTTTTGGCAAACACTTTTGGAAATCGACGTTCAATGTGATCGATCTGTGCCTAGTTTTGTTGTGTGTCTTTACGCTCATCGTGTTGTTTGTGGGACACGGATGCTCACCCCTGTCCGAGAGACCCGGCATGGGCGAGGAGCTGCTGGATAGCGTGCTCCTGATCGTACGCAATGTGGTACAATGCATGCGCCTCTTGGGTGTGATTCGCCGCAGCCGGCTCAACGTGACGAGCCGCATCACCTCTATCGATTTGAACGATGCACAGGGATTCAATCTGGACCTAGATCTCGAGGAAGAGAATTCTCGTGCACAGCAGCGCATGCAAGATGGACTTGGCGACCATGCCGGCGAGTTCGGTTGGAATCCCTCTCCTTCCTCGTTGGAGTCGGCGGGGCAGCCCGCCCCGGAGAGCATCCTCACGATGCACGGGCCGGGGGACGATTTATAGCAGCACACGGTCGATGTGGAGAATGCCTAATGACATCCACGTCGGTGCCCCGCGGGGCGTATCAGCACCTGCGAAGTGAGGAGGATATGGCGATGCTCCTGGATCGCTATGATAACTTTTTGTTTGACTGTGACGGTGTGCTGTGGTCGGGTACGGAGTCGCTACCCGGCGTAGCGTCTGTGCTAGAGAAGTTGCGGGCGCGTGGCAAACGCATCCTCTTTGTGACTAACAATGCGTCCAAAAGCCGTCGTCTGCTGATCGAGCGTATTCAGCAGGCCGGCATCCATGCGGAGATTGACGAGGTCTTTTCCTCTGCGTATGCATCTGCCCTCTATTTGAAGCATGTCTTGCAACTGCCGCCCGACCGCAAGGTGTATGTGGTAGGCATGGCTGGCCTCGAAGAAGAGCTACATGCGGTGGGCATATCCTACCTGGGTGGCACGGACCCCGCTGACTGCGCGCCGCTGCAGGGTCTCGACTTCTCGCCGCTGCACGCGGACGGCGCGATCGATCCGACGGTGGGTGCAGTGCTGTGTGGCATTGACACGGCCCTCAGCTACCCCAAGCTGGCTAAAGCATTTCGCTACATCACGCGGCCCGGCGCCACAGGCACGGTCAAGGCGGGCGAGCTCGGGGGTGGCTGCCACTTTGTGTGCACCAACGAGGACGTGACGTTCCCAACGAAGGAGGGACTCTTCCCCGGTGCCGGATCCGTCTGGGCCGGTCTGCGCGACTCCTCCAGGCGTGATCCTATCGTTGTGGGCAAGCCGAACCAGCCCATGATCGACACCATCTTCGCCAGCAGCGACTTTGAAAAGTCACGCACGATCATGGTGGGCGACCGCCTGAACACAGATATTTTGTTTGGACAACGTGGTGGTATCGACACGATGTTGGTCCTCACCGGTGTGAGCCAGCTAGAGGACGTGGCTGCGCCGGACGCGCCGGCCGTACCCACGTATGTGCTTGCCGGCCTGGGATCGCTAGACGCTGTAGCTTAGTCAGCGACGCACGCTCCTTCGCTCCATGGCCAAGGTGTTGGTGTATAACGGCGCGCACGCGGGCGCTGCACACTCGCTCGTCGGTGTATTTCGCCAGGCAACGGGTGGCCATTATGATGTACAGGCGGTTACGCTCGAGGCGCTGCATGCTGCGCCCTGGGAGGCTTCCACCTGCATGATCGTGCTGGGCCCCATCGATGCGTCCGATGCCCTTTGGCAGCCGTCAGATGCGAGCCGCGCTGCTCTGGCGAAAATACGTACCTGGACCGAGTATGGTGGGATTTTAATGGCAGTAGGGGAGGCTGCGAATCACCTCTGCTTGGTCCTCGAGGCCAGCGGCGCCTCGAGCGCCGGGGCAGCCGTGACCGTCCCTCACGGTCAGGGGCACCTGCTCTTGTTCCGGACAGCGAACCCTAGCGCGGGGGATCTCGTGCCTTTTTTGCGGTCCTTGAAGATTCACTGCGGCACACAGGACGCGCCCGCACAGCAGCTGTCGCCGCTGTATGTGACAGCGCTGGCGGCACCCCTGCTCGATACATGGCTCCAGCACCTGCTTGCGCCAGCCTCGCGGACCGGCACTCCGCCCACTTGGCTGAAAGAGGCGCCTACGGCACTTGCCGTTTGGGAGACGATACCGGCTGCGTCGGTCCTGGAGGCATGGGACGCGACAGACGCGCTCGCTGTTGTGGCGGTGCGACCGTCCGAGTGGGCCGACGTTGCGCCCCGGACGCCCCACTTCCGAATGGACATCTACTACGAAGCTCTCAGCGCGGCCCGGGCGCGGTCCTCTGTACTGCCGTGGCCGTCGCCCCGGTCCTTCCAAGTGTCGGTGGGGAATCTCCTTGTGTACGGCGAGCGGGTCTCGAGCACACAGACCCTGCTCGAATCGGACCGTCACCTGCTTCGCGCCTGCCCGTCCGGCACCACGGTGATTGCGACACACCAGGTGCGCGGCCGTGGCCGGGCGCACAATGCATGGCTTTCGCCGCTGGGCTGCCTGCCTTTCTCCACGACCGTGCACTTGCCTCTGCACATCGGCAACAAGGCCGTGTTTCTGCAGTACCTAGCGGCGCTGGCCATCGTATACGGACTGGAAGCAGCCTATCCTGCGATCCAGGGACGCGTGCGTATAAAGTGGCCCAACGACATTTATGCCCAGGTGCCCACCGCGCAGCTCGGGAGTGTGTGTCTCGCAGCAGACGGCCAGCCTCGGCACTTTGTCAAGATCGGCGGCATTCTCGTCACGGCCGTATGTGAGGGCGATACTTTCTATGCAATCGTCGGCTGCGGCGTCAACTGCCTCAATGACGAGCCGACTACGAGCATCCAGGAGCTGGCGGCCCAAGCTGGCAGCACCGGCGTCTTGCTCGAGTCGTGCGCTGGCGCGATCCATGCCGCGCTCGAGTCCTTGCTGCGTGTGTGGGCCGACCATGCGCACTCGTTTGCACCGTTCGTGCCGGCGTACCGCCGCGCATGGCTGCATTCAGATCAGGTGGTGACGCTCGTCGGTGCGCCTGGGCCGCCCAGGCGCATCGTAGGTGTCACAAGCGAGCACGGGCTCTTGCGCACCGTCCCTGTGGACGCAGCGGTGCATGCGTCCGACGCACATGCGTGGCTCGCTCCGACGGTGCCCGGCGCCGTGGATGTGCAGCCGGACGGCAACTCGTTCGACTTACTCGCGGGGTGCGTGCGACCTAAGAACTAAGGGACATAGTGGTATAGGTGCGTGCTCGCGGACAACTCGATACAATCCTGCGGTAAGTAGCGCATCGTACCTTGTCGCACAAGCGGTCCAGCGCACCTTGCAGTTCGTCGGCACTCGGCACAAAGCTGCGTTAGGGGGAAGCACATACCGTGAGCACACGTGCTCTTTCATCGCGACCGTGAGAGAAGCGTGCGACTGTGGCGACGCGGCTTTGAGGAGGCGCATGGCCGTCGCTTGGAGCACTACGTCGCGGTCCATAGTGACGGGCTGCTCGTCACGTAGTGGCGCCTGCGTCTCTTCCTCGTCCTCACACTTCCACAGCACGACACAAGGATTGTCGCTGTCGAGCGCCTCGTTCACATGGAACGTGCTCGTATCGCACACGTCCGACCCGGGGGAAAGCTGGCGCAAGACGCGCGTCGACGCCGGGCCGCTCGTGAGACTGTGCAGGACGCGCCGCAGCATCGCCGGCTCCAGGCCAGTGGCGTTGCGCAGCTCCGCCAACGTGCGCGGCTGCATCCCCTGGAACTGCAATAGCACCACAGCCTGGGGCGCGCTAGCGTGCAGCTCCTTGATGCCTGCTGCGCCGAGGTCAGCACGCAGCTCGACCGTATCGAGGCCATGGTGCCAGCGTAGCGAGCGACTCGGGTGCTGTTGTCGGTAGTACGCCTCGAAGCGCGCCGCCTCGGCCTCCACGGCGGCCGGCACCGCCACAGGCGATACATGCTCCATCGCTGGCCAGTGCGCTTGCGTGAGTACGTGCATGGCCACGGGAAACGGCGCCCGTGCAGCGTGCTTGGACGCACTCGACCAGGCTGCCTGGAGCAGCTCGGATGTGCGCTGATCGTGCCACATGGTCTCGAGGCGGTGGGTATAGTCGGGTCCGCATTCCTGCCGCAGCAGCGCGAGCATCGCCTCTTCGGCGCGCGGCGATGCCGCCAGCCTTTCCAGAAGTCGCTGCGCGAGCTGCCGCTGGTACAGTCGTTGGAAGAGGTCCTTGTCGTACAAGCACCGGAACAGCGACACGATCGGCTGCAGCGTGCCGGAGACATCGTCCGATGCCCATGCACTTGCGTCGCGCAGGCGCTCGTCCACAAGCGCCACGAGTCGCTCGACCACGCGGTGGCGGCGCACATTGATGGCCGACTCCAGCGCATCATTCACCGCGTGATGCAGCGCCGCACTGTCTCGCAGATGCGCCACACACAGTGCATGCCACGCGGTCTGTGCTGCCATCAGGCGGGGCAGCAGCGTGGCGGGCTCCGCCTCCATATCGCGCGCCACCTGCTGCTGGACATGCTCACGGACGGCGTGCCGCAACGGCTCCAGCAGGTGTGCCTCACAGCTTAGGTCGTAGAGCGCTTGCAGGTCACTCGGTGCGTGCTCGCAGAGCCACGGCACAGTCTGCGCCCAGCTGGCGAGATGCGGCTGCACCACTTCAGCCACCACGACCTCGGCGGTGCTGCGCTCCTCGGCGCCGGGGACCCAGCACGACCATGCACGTTCGTTGCGCACAGCCGCGAGGACGCTGGGAATCTGCGCTGCACGCACGTCCGTCGGCACAGGAGCGGCCATCGTTGCGCTCATGGCGCGATAAAAGGGCGTCGCCTGCTCATAGAAGAGATGCACATCCCATGCGAGCTCCGCGGCGGCGTGCATCGCCTGCTGAAGAAGAGGCGCATCCAGGCGGTGCTCGCGGACCTCGCGCACAAGAGCATTGAGCGCACGATGCAGCTGTGTCTGCCGTGAAGGGTGGCGGAGCACAGCATGCGCGCATTCGACGCACAGCGCGTGCACGTCCCATGTACCCTGCGGCTCAAGTGCTCGTGCACGCACAAACAAGGGCTGCACGAGCATGTGTACAGTGCGTGCGCGGGCTACGACGGCGCACCACCGCTCGATCCACCTTTGCAGCCACAGCGGGGCCGGCTCGGACGCGGCGCACGCGGCGTCTTCCAATTGCGCCTGGACACAATGCGCCGTGTGGGCGTGCATCTCCTTGGCCAAGGGCAGCACTACTGCGTCAGGCTGCACATCCATGGCCAATACATCTTCGAACAAGCTCTGGAGCGCGCGTGTCGGTGGCGTGCCTCCCACGAGATCCGCCACGACCGCCGCCCACGCCGGCAGCAGGTCGGCCGTTGTAGACGAAGATGGCTCCGTGAGTCGTATCTTCCTCGGCCATAGTGCACTTCCCTGCCCCTCGTCGGGCAGCTGCGCGCCAGCGTGCGCGCGCAGCGTCTGCAGGAGCATGAGCGTGGTCCGGCGGCGTGCGGGGTCGAAGCGCCGAGGCTGCACGTGATGCGCCCCCAGCGCGCGGCTTCGCGGCGGTGATACACCGCTGGCATTGCGATCGCCGCCACCGCCCTAGTTTCGTAGCGGCGATGAAGATCACCAAGGCGCCGAAGCGCAAGCCCGAGGTACCGGCCGACTTGGCCGCCTTGGGCACGCGCATGGTCGAGGCGCCCGAGCCTGAGCTGGCGGGCCTGCTGGCTAGCGTCGACCAGTGGGTCTGGCCACGCGGCGATTTGTACTCCTGGGTCGCCGTGCTCAATCGGCTGGACGATATTCTAGCGCGCATATGTACGGAGACGCCGTTGCGTCCGTTCCAGACGGCGCCGTTCGCACCGGCGAACCGCACTCTGCTGCTCGCGATCCTCCATTTTGCGCGGCTGCTCCTGGAAAACTGCATGAACCGCAAACTGTATGCCTCGTATGAGCACCTGGACACGCTACTCGGCAGTGACGATGGCGAAGTGCTCGAGGCGCTGCTCTACCTACTGCTACGGCCGGCTCAGCAGCACACGGGCTCCGGCCGTCACGAGTTGGCTGTGGACCATGCGCGGCTGGCCGTGCTGGCGTCGGCGTGGCCCCCGCGCGACCACGGCGTTGAACTAGCAGATGCTGCGCAAGAGGCTGCGGCATTTCCCGCTGGTATGCAGAGCGTGCAAATGCACTGTCACCAGCGGCCCGGCGGGGAGGAGCCCGGGCCTGCGACGCCTGTGCGCCACACCCACGACGAGCCGTCCGACTGGGTCTATGTGCACCATCTCGACACCGAAACACGCTCTGCCGGCGCGATTGTGCTGGCTGCCGACCGCCATGGGCGTCTCTCGGAAGAGGAGCGCTTTGAGCTCTTCCACAAGGTGCGTGTCGCACTCGCCTTCCGTGCATGGCCGTCGCGGCAGCAGGCCATCGTGTGCCGTCTTCTGGCCATTGCATGCTTTGCGCACACCGCGCCAGAGTCGGCTGTGAATACACGTCTCTATATGGTCGAGCCCTCGCTTGTGTCGCGCACCGCCGCGTTGCTGGAGCCTGCGCGCCACACGGGGTACTGGGTGCAGAGTGCTGCGCTGTACGCGCTGGATTCCGTCGGCCACTTTCGCGTGCGCCTCGGCGAGCTACTTACCGCGGTGAATGCGTCTGTGAGCCACGGCCTGCTCCTCCAAGTCCTGCTCAACACTCAGGAGGCACTCCAGGCCAGCGCCGACGGACCAACGCCGCCGCTGGGCACGCACATGGATGCGTTTGTGGACGCGCTCATGACGCTCGTCGCGAACCTCACAACGACCGTGTCGGGCAGCACGATGGTGGTGAGTGCGGGACTCATTCCACAGCTGCTGGAGCTTGCGTGTATTGTGTCGCACACCAATGCACTTGTGCAGCGTACATCAGCGCGCGCCATTGGTCTGCTCGACAGCCTGCTCTACTCGTACCCGCCGGCGCTCGAGCAATTCACCGCTGCCCGGGGCATGGATGTGCTGGTGGCCCGAACTGTGCAGTGTGTCGACGATGCCGTATCTCGCAATGCACCGCTTCCGTTTGGCGCCACGAATGTGCTGCGCCAACTGTTGCGCCTGTTCCACCATCTAATGACGACCACCGGCTTGGCTGACGGGCTGCGCAACCTGATTGACACGCCACTTGTGCCGGCACTGCGCACGATCATGGAACAACGTGCCCTTTTTGGTACGTCTGTGCTGGCGCAAGCCATCACGATCATGGCCTCTTTCGTGCACAACGAGCCGACGCAGTTGGTCACGATCCAGGAGCACAAGCTGCCGGATGCCTTTTTGGGTGTCGTACAGGATGGTCTTGAGCCGAGCTTTGAACTGCTCAATGCCCTGACCACGGCCATCGGCGCGTTGTGCCTGAATGAGGCAGGGCTGCACCATATGACGTCACAGCCGATCGTGCCTCACGTCCTGCGCGTCCTGACGGATGAGCGCTACCACCGCGTGCTACTGGACCGCGACAATGCCAATATCTTCGGAACGGCCGTCGACGAGCTCGTGCGGCACCATCCTAGCCTCAAAGAGGGCGTGCAGACTGAGCTCGTGCACCTTTTAGATGGCCTTGTGGCGATGGGCCAGGCCTTCTCCCCCCCGACCGAGCCGGCCGCGCGTGCTCTGTACGAGCTGCCGTCCAGCGGAGACGCCGTGTCGCCGCAGCCCATTTCTACCGCCGAGCTCGTGCTTGATGAGCCGGATCAAACCGTGCCTGAGCCGGTTCCCGGGGACGCCAATGCGCCAGTGGCCTCGTTCGATGTGTTATGTCGCTTTCTTGAAGGCTTCTTTCGAAACGCAGCGCTCTGCCGCGACTTTATGCGCAGCGGCAGTCTTGCACGCCTGCTTGCCTTTCTTTCGACGCCATGCATCCCCTACCACTTTGGTACTTCGACGCCGGCTGACTCGTTAGTCATGCTCCTCCGCACTATGGTCGAGGAGAGCCCTAGCACGGTACTGAGCGCGCTCCTTCGTGACGTGCATCAATCTATGACCGAGATTGCGTCGCCCATGCTGGCGCTTCTCGAGCCGCATGCGCCTGAGCTTCAGCCCCGCTTCCGTACGTGGGTGCGACTGCATACGCGCCTGCACGTCCTCACGGACGTGTGTGAGACGTTTGTGCAGTCGTTCATGTTCCCGAACGCGAGCACCAAGGTGCCACTCGCGCTTTTCCGCGCGCTGAGTGAGGGTGGCGATGTCGCGACGCTCGCACAGCTTGGGCAACTTGTGCGCATGTGCGTGTGGGAACACTTGCGCGTCAAGGCAGCCTTGCGTGGCCGCGATCTTTCCTCGCATGCTGGTGTCACGGCGGTGCAGTACATGGCCGTGCGCATGCAGGCGTCACTGCAAGCCCTCTTGTCGGTTGTGGCGCGACTGCTCACACCCAAGCGGCACATGGACGCAGAGTTTGCGCGCGTCTCCGCAGCGACGACCGATCAAATGGCGCGTGCTCTGCGTGCCTGGCAGGCCAAGCGCAGCGATGCATCGCCTGGCGATACGCTGGGCGAGCATACGTACCTGTATCTGATGCTCGCGCACCTACTGTACGATCGGCGCCCGACGCATGCCATGCATGCTCATACCATGCTGCTTCATGCGTGGGTAGAACAAGGCGGTGATGCGGCGCTTGGGTCCCAGCTTCACGAGCTGCTGCCGCATCTGGAGCATGATGTATCAGACGACGAAACAAGCGTGGGCGCGCATGCCGTGTGTACACTGCGTGCCTATCTGGACCTGTACGCACGCCTCTTGCAGGCGCGGCCGCTTTTGGATGCGCCGCAGACCACTCACCTCACACGCGACGCGCCTTCTGCGCCCCACAGGCTACTTGTGGAGCTGCGCGCACGAGCGCTCGATGTGCTAGAGCCGCTGTGGCAGGCACCATGGCTCGCTAAGCTGCCACTGAGCCCCGTACGAATGACGGGCCAAGCGCTTGGCCTGATCCTACAAGCCGACCGTGAATCGCCCCCACCGCCCCGACCTACGTCGTCGGTGCCCACCGATCTTCCCTCGGCACTCGCTGCAACGCTGGGTGGTGCGCCGATCCCCTTCCCACCGCGCCCCACGAGCCTCGAGGGATCGTCGCGCATCGTCGCAGACGAAGCACGCCTTGCGCAGCTCGTGGAAATGGGCTTTCCCCGCGGCGCGGCGCGGCGCGCGCTCGAGCGGTGCCACAATAACGTAAGCGCGGCGACTGAATACGTCTTGCAGCATCCTGAGCTGGAAGACGAGCCGGACGCGCCGCCGACAGCACCCGAGGGTGAGGAACGTGCCGAGGAGCCTCGAGAGGCGGCCTCAGAGCCGCCTGCTACGTCGGCTCCGCGCTCGGTCAGCGAGGCGCTTGCGCAAGCGGTGCTGTCTCTTGATGACGGGTCTGGCGCGCCGGAGGCACCTGCTGACAGCGCAACGGGCGGCCCGTCCGAGTCGCAAGAGGCATTACGTACTGCCAAGGCAGCGCTGGATGAGCGCCGCTCAGCGTTCCGACCCACCTTTTTCCCGCGTCTCTTGGCGTTGGCGGATACACACGAACCGCTGGTCTTTGATGCGAAGCAGGTGCTTGGTGCAATCAGCAAGGACAAGGAGCGGGTTGCAGCACTTTGGGAGCATGTGCTGCAGCGCCTCCCTGACGACGTGGCCGATCCTACGCTGCCTACACGCCTGCACTTTGTTGCGCTTCTCGTCACGTACGAGCGTGTGCAGCTGTCGCTCCCCTGGTCAACGTTGCCGCCTCTCGCGCAGCGCTTGCTAGGCTGGGCACAAGCGCAGGCACAGGCCCCGTCAGAGCTGCCGTTCTATGCGTCGGTGCTTATGGCGCTGAACGGTGTGCTTGGCCTTGCAGAAGCACCGAATGATCAGCCATGTGATACGGTCTTGCCCGGCGACCGTCTTGCTCTCTTACGTGAGGCGCGCGCGCAGCTCCTGCCGCTCTTGCTACAGACGCTGGAGCGCGCCCCGCAGTTCTCCGCGAGTGCTCTGCTTGCCACGTATCGTGTGCTTGTGCTGGTGACGCGCGATTCCGTCACGGCCGCGGCACTTGCAGAGGACCAGCAGCTCGCCAAGGTGCTTCGCCCGCTTCTCTCGACCCGCTTCTCGCAGCTCGCGTCTTGTCAGCGCCTCGTGCTGATGATCCTGCGACATGTGGTCGAAGCGGGTGGCACGCTTCTCTCGCTTGTTGCGCACGATATTCAGGCGTGGTTTGCGCACATGTCGCGCACGCGGCACATGGAAATTACGCATCTTCTCAAAGCTATGAGCTACGCGGTGCTGCGCGATCCTGTCACGTACATGCGCGCAGCATCGACGCAGCTCGAGCTCGTGGATGGGTCTGGCAGCCCGATGTCGCATGTGCGATTACAAGCCGGGGCCAAGGTGCCTGCGCTGCCGGACGTGGCCCAGTCGCTATGCGATGGTGTCATGGACACGCTGCTTGGGCAGGCGCTGCACGTGCTCCGCGGCGAGCTGGGACCACTGCCTGGCGAGGCTGCATCGCCAGACGCGCTTAGCGAGGCGGACGCGCGTGATGCCTATGCGTTCTTCCTGCTGCAGGCCATGGTCGAAATGACGTCGTCGTATATGGGCTGCAAGCACAGTTTCTTGCGGCATCACGTCGGAAAGGAGCCCATGCTCGCGCATATGTTGTCTACATGGGTTCCCAGTGGCTTCCTGCACAACTATGAGCCGGACGAGCTGCGGAAGCGCATGGCGCAGTCGAACTGGGCCATGTCGCTGGGCGTGGCGCTGGCAATGGATCCTGCGCCGATGGCGGACGCAACTGCTGTACCTGAAGCTCTTGTGGGCGTGCGCAAGACGCTGCTTGACGCACTACAAACGGCCATCCGCGAGGCGCAGCAGAGCAGCGAGGTGGTAGAGGTACGCTATGGCCGGCTCTATGCGCTCGCGGACTTGTGCCACCGGCTGCTTACGGCGCAGCCTCATCCGAATGGCGTTGTCGCTAAGCGCTCGGAGGTGGTCCTGCACCTGGCCAAGACTATGCTAGAGAAGAACTTTGTGCCGCTCCTCGCGAGTGTTCTAGCAGACGTCGATCTTGGCTTTCCATCGGTGCGTGCGCTGCTCGAGGCGGTGCTGCGGCCGCTCGAGCATCTGACGAGGGCTGCGATCAAAATGGCGCGTGCGCATAGGCATCGGCGACCGGCTGCGGCAGACGGCACGGGCGCACCTTCGGGGGCGGTGGATCATCAAGACGTTGGCTCGTCTGAAGAAGAAGAAGATGATGACGACGACGACGAAGACATGCAGAGCGACTCTCTCGAGGAGGACGGCGAAGGTGCGCCAGACTTTTACCGCAACTCGTCGCTTGGTATGCATACAGGCGAGATGGAGCAGGGCGCGTACGATTCGGCCGATGAGCTGAGTGATGAGGATGACGACGCCGAGATGGAGATGGAGGAGTACGACAGCGAGGAGGGAAGTGAGCTCAGTACGGACGCTGAAGGTCTCGATGGCGATTCGACGCATGTGGTTGAGGTCATGGAAGAGGACGATTCCATGGATGAGCACGATGGATCATCGGACGACATGTACGACGAACTGGAGGATGAGTGGGAGGACGAGTATGACGACGGCCTGAACGAGCTCGACGATGAGGACGTTGACTACGTCATCGAGGATGACAGGTCCGCAGGTGACGAGGGACCCGATGCTGGCGATGAGCATGGCGTCAGTGAGATCCTCGAGGCCCTGGATGATATGGAGGGCGGCCACGTTGATCTACTGGAAGGTGATCAGGCGGAGTCGGGCGACGAGGCCCTCCTTGAAGCTGACGATGCGGCAGAGCTCGACTTTGGCGACGACTCTGTATGGCCCCCACCACGGCACACCGACGACCGCTTCGGCGCCAACTGGTCGTGGACGCAGGCGCCGCGCCCTGGTCGCCGCGACATGACTGGCCCGCCGACCTTCTTCACCGAGTCGCTCGCTCCCCACGGCGCATCGGATTCGGCCGTGCGTCCTACGCCATCGCCCGCGCGTCACCATGACGACGACGTGGCGTTCCATCCCTTGCTGGCCGACGACCATGCGGCGCAAGGCGATGGCGACGGTCCTCCTTGGTCTCGGAGCGTGGAATCGCTCATGGGTGGTCCTACGATGCAGTTCCTCGAAATGTTTCTCCAGCGCAACGTGCCAAGTGGTACGGATGCAAGCATTCGAATTGAGCTCGACCACGGGCACGGCACACCGCGCATGCACATTGCCAATATGCATGGCGATTCGCTGCGCCCTCGCCAGGGGCCGCCGCGCTCGCGTGAGGGTGCAAGTGGTGCTGCCGATGTCGTCGCCGAGTCGCATCGTTTTACACCGCTGCACACGAACGCGCGGCGTGGTGAAGAGGCGCTTATTCTCCTTGGCACAGCGGCCTCAGAGCTGGGCGCCGCGCTGCGGACACAGCTCGTTCATGCGCTGCAGCCGCAGGAAAGCTACCGCACCAGTGAAAACCGCGAGCCTGAGGCAGCGCAGCGTGCTGCCTCTGACACCAAGCGCAAGCATGCCGAGGTCGATCCGGCGTCGCCCGAAGCGCCCCCCTCGCGTACGACGGTATCGCTGCATGGGACGCCCATCGATCTCTCGGATACGGGCATCGATCCGACATTCCTCGAGGCACTGCCGGAGGAACTACGGGAAGAGGTGCTTCTCAGTCAGCAGCTCCACGAGCGTCTTGCGCGCAGCCAGCGGCGCCCCCCGATGGCGCCCGACTTTCTTGACGTGTTGCCGCGCTCGCTGCGTGCTGAGCTGCAGCATGTGGACGATGATGTGCCGCAGGATCGGTCGCGCGCATCTCGCCCGGCCCCCGCGCCGCCCCGCGACGACGCGCACGGCGAGGTTGCCGATCGGCAACGACCTGCAGACAGCACGGAAGCGCCGAACGCTGAGGGTCAACCCCGCAATGCGATCCAGCTCCTCGACCGGGCCGGCATGGCAGCGCTTGTGCGTCTCCTCTACTTCCCATCCATGCATGCTCGCCCCTCGCTCTTGCACAAGGTGCTAGCACATCTCTCGGAGAATGCGCGTAGCCGCACGGAGCTGCTGACACTGCTACTGCTCGTCCTGTCAGACAGTACCACGAGTTCCGGCACCGTGGACCGTTCGTTTGCGGCGATGAGCAACAAGGCTGCGCGCCAGACACCGCAGCGCGGCACGCCTCGCCGTCCAGCGACGCCGAATGCGTCCGGTTTGCTGCCTCCTGCGCTGCCCGCGCCGCTGGCCCTGATGGGTGGTGAGGCACCGCACCTGATTGCGTCGCGCAGTCTTGAGACGCTCACCTACCTAACGCAGGCGAATGACCAGGTGGCTCTGCACTTTTTGAGGGAGGACAAGACGCGCAAGGGCACCAAGCGCATGCCCGTGCAAATCCTGCTGAGCTTGCTGGAAAAGGATGCACTGCTCGAGCATGCATCCCTCGTCAATGCCCTGGTGCAGCTGCTTCACATGATCACCAAGCCGCTCGTGGCGTCACACCAGGCGCCAGACGGCAAGAGTGCCGTGCTGGATGGGCCGCACGCGGGTGTCGAGGTCGCTCCAATCCCAGCAGAGCGCCTTGCCGCATTGGTCCAGCCGCTGAAGACGCCCATGTCGTCGCGTGCCTTCCAGCACACATTGGGTGTGGCGTCCAATCTGGCTCATATGCCCGGTGCACGGGATGTGATTAGTGAGGCACTACAGCAGGCTGCGACGCGTGCGTCGAAAGCGCTCGTTACAGACTTGGACGCCCTCATCGAAACGCTGCCGCCCGCAGAAACAAGTGACGAGAGGCCCCAGAGCGAGGCGCTGTCCAACCCCGCACTACCGCCTCCACCACCTGCAGGCCCCAGGACGGCAACCTCGTTGCCACTCGCCAAACTCGCGAGCCCGACGAGTGCACAGGCTGAGTTTTTACGGTGCTTGCGCGCGCTGGACTATCTGTATGTCGGCAAATAGAGTACAAAACTAGTTGGTGGAAGCCGGTACGCCCGCATCGACTTCATCGACGATCGGCTGTGTTGGTACAGCGGTCTCGGAGGTATCTTGCGCCTGCGTCCGAGACACGGAGAGGTCTGTGGTTGAGCTACGCTCCGCCGTAGCGTCTGAAGCCACATTCGCGTCCCCCTGGCGCATGCCCAGAAGGAGACGCAGTGTCTCGTTTTCTTGACGGAGGTGCTCTAGCTCAGTAGCATGCTCCAGAGCGTCGTTACTGCCCAGCTCGTCCTCGCCATCGAAGGATTGGAGCGCGCCGCGCACAAGGTCTCCAAGACGCTGGTGCATATTGTACATGGCATGGCTCTCACGCTCCGACGCCTCATCTACTTTGCGTGTCTGCGCCTCGAGGCGGCTCTCGTAGTAGGCAGACAGGTCCAGGCCATGCTGCTGCGCCGCATGTGAAAACGCGCGGAACTTGCCCATGACCGTCTCGAGTGTGCTTTCACACTCACGCAGTAGCGTGCCAAGTTGCTTCGACTCGTGCGAGAGGAGAGTATTCTCGTTCGCAAGCTGTGCATTCAGCCGCTCTACCTGCGTGAGAAAAGCCTCTTGCGATAAGTCCACATTAAAGCGGCGCAGCGCATAGCCCGTTTTGGAATGAATGGCCTGGCCTTGTAAATCCTCCAACTGCTTCTTTAGCGACTCGACGAGCTTCTGATTCGCCGCCACTTGCGCAGATAGATCCAGCACGAGCGACCACAGCTTCTCGCTTGGGTCCCCGCTCTCCGCCGGCATGATGAGACGTCGGCAAGACACAAGCGCCCGCGGCTTCTGACCCACCTCCACACTGGCCGTTCGACCATGGCATCTAGAGCCGCGCCGCCCGTGTCGGCGCAGCTCGCTGCGCTCACGGCATGGGTGCAGGCCGTGTGTGACGTGCATCACATTGATGATTGTAGTAGTCTTTGCGATGGTAAAGCCCTATTCGAGGTCTTGGCCGGCGTGTACGTGTGCATAACTGACACAGTGACGATGTGTACTTTACGGCCCCACAGACGTGCTCCTTGGACCTTTTATTCCGTCGTTTGCAGACATAGTGTGTCGCATGAGCTTACACAGCTATACAGAGGAGCTTGGCATGTCGCAAAATGAACTTCCGGACATTGATACCCGGGCTGCTTCCCAATCTCCGCCAGCCCAAGACGAGCTCGTCAAGCTGTTGCGCCTAGTCGTAGGCCTTGTCGTTAGGAGCGAAGACAACAAAGAGCATGTCAATGCCATGCAGTCCCTTCCCTACGACGATCAGGTCACGATGATGAGTATTGTTGAGAGTTTGCTTGCCGATCCAGCGCAAACTCCTAGCCAAGAGGGCGCACAAGACGCGAAGGCTTGTGTGCGCACAGGTGCCGCAGATATACCGGAGGAGATGGAGAAGGAGATACAGGCGCTTCGGTGCGACTTTGAGCGGGCGACTGAACGCTGCCAGATACAGCATGAGCGTCTCGTGACTATGGAAGCTGAGCTGCAGCGTGTCCAGGAAGAACACCAACAACTTGACCAGCTTGTCGAATCACTCCGCGAGGTGGAACGCGAGCGCGATGCTCTGCGGGACAAGCATGACGAATGGAGACACATGGCCGAACTTACAAAGAAGCAGGAACGCCAGCTGGACGTGCTTCGTGATCGCGTAGGGGAGACAGCAGAGCTGCGGCGCCAAGTCCGAGAGCTCGAGTCAAAGAATACCGAGCTGACCAATGCGGTCAACAGCGCTGCTAACCGATCAGCTATGGATCTTACCGACAAAAATTGGTCGGAAAGACGCGCCATGGAGCGAAAGTACGCAGAGCTTCTAGAGGCCCACGAGACTGTTTGCCGGGATCGTGACAAACTCGAGTGCCGATGCTGCAAGCTTGAGGAACAGCGTCGCACGGATCAAGAACAACTAAGTACTCTCTTCGCCCGTATACGCTCCTTGGAACTGGATGAAAGTTTACACATGTTATCCCTTGTCCCGGAAACGAGGGAGCCACCAGCAGCAGAGCCCGTTCGAAAAGCTGCCCTAGAAGCTGAATTAAAGCAATTGCAAAATGAACAGGACCGCTTGCCGTCCTCCGACAACGAGAATCATTCTCACGCCGTTATTGCTCCTATTTTCTCAGATACCAAGCTAATGCGGGACCAAGCACGCCTCAAAGAGGCAGAAACTCGCAAATTACTGTCGCAGCTTGAAAAAAAGATGGACGAAGAGGACGTGGTGCTGCTTGCCGATATAATCACCGAGTCTTTTGCTCAGCAAGACCTCCTTTACCAGCGTCTCCAAGCGACCTCAGAGGAACTGGACAAGGTACGCGGCAGATCCTAACTGACGGCAGCGAGAAAAATCTGTAACACCAATATCAGATTTATCAGATGTGCAGCGCGAGTGTAGTGCGCTTCGGCAAGAGCTCATGCTTATGGCCTCAGCCTACCAGAAGCTGAGCCTGCAACTGTACTGTGATACTAGTGGAGTCTCAGCAGCCAATAGCCCATCTGCAGCACCGGCGCTACCTGAGCTCCCTGCGAATGGCACATCGTGGCTTTCACGCCAGCGCAATGCTTTAGCACAAGCGCTGAGTTTGTCCAAAAACCCCTAAGTTGTACCTATAGAGTAGCTCGCGTAGGCTTCTAGTCTGTGCTCGATCTATGTGGAGGACCACATGGCGTTTTGTCATACAGAAGTCCCTGGAAGGGCATGGACGGTCCAACGCTGCAGGCCGACTCCCATGTGGAGGTAAGAAGAAGCGCACGGAACAATAACGAAACTTTCTTGGGCTTTCTACTGGTCGCTGGCACGCCGTGGAAGCGGCTGCCGAATGTGTGGGCCATACTATAAAATGGAAACCCGTGAGCGCCCCGTCTCTCAACCAAACCTAATTGAATATGGGAAAGGCTGTTGGTATTGATTTGGGTACCACCTACTCTTGTGTGGCCGTCTGGCAGAACGACCGTGTCGAGGTCATTGCCAACGACCAGGGTAACCGTACGACTCCTTCGTACGTTGCCTTCACCGACACGGAGCGTCTGATCGGTGATGCCGCCAAGAACCAGGTGGCTATGAACCCCCACAACACTGTCTTCGACGCCAAGCGTCTGATTGGTCGCAAGTTCAACGACACTGAGGTTCAGTCGGATATGAAGCACTGGCCGTTCTCGGTCATTGACCGCTCTGGTAAGCCCGTTATCCGCGTCGAATACAAGGGTGAGGAGAAGATCTTCACTCCTGAGGAAATCTCCTCGATGGTCCTGCTTAAGATGCGTGAGACCGCTGAGGCTTACCTTGGCTCGGACGTGAAGGATGCTGTGGTGACTGTCCCGGCCTACTTCAACGACTCGCAGCGCCAGGCTACCAAGGACGCTGGTGTGATTGCGGGTCTCAATGTCATGCGTATCATTAACGAGCCTACGGCTGCTGCTATTGCCTACGGTCTCGACAAGAAGGACGAGTCCGAGAAGAATGTACTTATCTTCGACCTGGGTGGTGGTACTTTCGATGTGTCGCTCCTGACGATCGAGGAGGGTATCTTCGAGGTTAAGGCTACCGCGGGTGACACGCACCTTGGTGGTGAGGACTTTGACAACCGTCTTGTGAACCACTTTGTGCAGGAGTTCAAGCGCAAGAACAAGAAGGATCTGACCACAAACGCTCGTGCTCTGCGTCGTCTGCGCACTGCTTCGGAGCGTGCTAAGCGCACTCTCTCGTCGGCTGCCCAGACCACCATTGAGATTGACTCGCTCTTTGAGGGTATTGACTTCTACACATCTATTACTCGTGCCCGTTTCGAGGAGCTTTGCGGTGACCTCTTCTCGCACACCATTGACCCTGTCGAGAAGGTCCTCCGTGATGCCAAGATCGACAAGGGTTCGGTCAACGAGATTGTGCTGGTTGGTGGCTCGACTCGTATTCCTCGCGTGCAGAAGCTCCTTCGCGACTTCTTCAACGGCCGCGAGCCCAACAAGTCTATCAACCCTGACGAGGCCGTTGCCTACGGTGCTGCCGTCCAGGCTGCCATTCTGTCCGGTGACACTTCGGAGAAGACGCAGGATCTGCTGCTGCTCGATGTCGCCCCTCTTTCGATGGGTATCGAGACCGCCGGTGGTGTCTTCACTCCTCTGATCAAGCGCAACACGACTGTGCCTACGAAGAAGTCGGAGGTCTTCTCGACGTATGCCGACAACCAGCCTGGTGTGCTGATCCAGGTGTTCGAGGGTGAGCGTGCCCGCACCAAGGACAACAACCTGCTGGGTAAGTTTGAGCTTTCGGGTATTCCCCCGGCTCCTCGTGGTGTTCCTCAGATTGAGGTCACTTTCGATGTCGATGCGAACGCCATCTTGAACGTGTCGGCTGCCGACAAGACGACCGGTCGCTCTGAGAAGATCACTATTACCAACGACAAGGGTCGTCTGTCGAAGGAGGACATTGAGCGCATGGTTGCCGACGCTGAGAAGTACAAGGCTGAGGACGAAGCGGCTGCTGAGCGCATCAAGTCGAAGAACGGTCTCGAATCGTACACTTACAACCTGCGTAACTCGCTGAACGAGGAGGCCTTTGCCAGCAAGCTCGATGCTTCGGACAAGGAGACTCTTAAGAAGGCGATTGACGAGACTATTGAGTGGCTCGACAACACTCAAGAGGGCTCTATTGACGAGTACAACGACAAGCAGAAGGAGCTTGAGGGCATTGCCAACCCGATCATGCAGAAGGCTTACAGCGCTGCTGGTGGTGCTCCCGGCGGTGGCTTCCCTGGCGCCGACGCTGGTGCGGCCCCTGGCGCTGGTGGTGACGATGGCCCTCAGGTTGAGGAGATCGATTAAATGTCGACACATTTTAGCTGCATACCATAGCATACCAGTGTAATTTGAAGGTTACGAATTTAAGAATGTGTAAAAGTGCGTGCTAGTTCTCCACATAGACATATGTATGGCAACGGGTCAGGTTACTGATCTTAAGGGTGAGCACGTAGATGGCGTTGGTTATCTGGGTGACATCGATTGTGCAATTTGTCTCGAGCCTGTAGAAGATCGCTGTATCTTGCCGAACTGTTTCCATTCATGCTTGTACGTACACGCTACCTAACCATAGCTGCTTCAACTGCATCTTACTATGGACACGTACGCAACATGGCTCAAAGACATGTCCGCTTTGCAAGACACCGATGGGACCGCACATCCTGCATGCACTGGATCCAATAACACATCGTTTTCTCATACACTCACTCTCCAATGAGGAGCAGCAGTCTCCGGGTCCAGACGACGCAGCCGATGATCCCCAAGCCTCCCCGCCACATGAGTCTCCTCGTGCGGAGCCCAGTCCCAGCCTACAGGATATACGGCGCCGAGAAGAAGCACGGCATCGCCGTCTTATGCACCAGTCACTCCTTGCACGCCGTCGAATATATGAACATCATCTCTATGCGAAACATGTGGCGTCCAATCGTTATACCAAGTACAAACCATACCCGGGACCTGCGGGATTTCGTCGTAACGCAGCCTATGCGCGCCTCTTATCCACATTTCTTCAACGTGAACTGCAGGTATGGCCACATTTAGACGTTTCCTTCCTGAGCTATTATATTCCTGCCATGCTATCGTATGTCGACATTGCGTCAGATGCCATGCTGGAGCGCCTGACAGAGTGGATTGGCGACGCAAATGATGCACGGCATCTGGCCCATGAAATGGAGTTGTTTGTGCGGAGTGGTCTGGGTGGTTTGGGGCTCGACCAGTATGACAGAAATCCATGGCTACAATACGACACTGTGTCGCCAAATTAGTCTTGTACAATAGTTTATACATCCTCCATGTCATCCACGGAAGGGTCACCGGAGGGACCCTGCCTGTCGCGATTCTGTGGCGTATCGGCCTTGTGGCGATGCTCCGCAAATTCTCGCTTCAGACTCCATGAGCCAGCATATGGTCCGTTCTGATGCTGGTCAGCGATGGACGAGAGCACCTCACGTAAATATACATAGGGCTGTTGCGTTTCTTCGCGCAAACGCTTCAAGGACCAGTGTGTATAGCGGTCGAACAAGCTGAAGAGCGAGTCCAAAAGCTCGTTGCGGGGCATACGAGCGAATTTTTCGGGGGCCTCGTTCGAACGGGCTTGAGACGCAGCCAATACAATGTTGGCCGATCGAGTCTTGACGTGGCCCTTTCCCACACCTGCAGCCAGCATATTGTTCGATCCCGCGTCCGTTTCATCAATCATCATGACACTGCGCTTGGGCTTGGACGACTCCAAGCGGCGTTTTCTGAGAATTTCCCGGTACTCTGGAGTCAACAAAGAGCGCGAAGTTCCCGCGCGGATGGACGCTTTCGAGTCCGGCAAGTTGGAAGGAGGTGTCTTCTGAGGCTGCAGAGCAGTTTCATTTGTGACAGTACCTGTCAGTGCAGTGAGACGGCGTTTCTTGTTCGATAGGCGGGCGGGCCCAGAGGAATGCGAGGGCTGCAGTTTTGGTGCACCTGCAAGCACAACATCTTCGTCCACGCCAAGATCACTTGCTGCATCTTCATCTTCGATGACTTCCTCTTGAAACGCATAGAGATTTTTTGCAAAAGTTTCTTGGGTAGTAGATGTCAACCGCATATCAAAACGACGAGGTATGTTGGCATATCTAGCACACTGCAACGGATCTTCAATGGGAATGGCAGGAGATGGTCCGTCTGGTAACAGCAGTTCCATCTTCTGATGTCCATTTTCATCTGGGTCATATACCCGCACGGTTCCTAGGCGAACATCCTCCTGTTGTACCTGACTCCATCCATCAATAAGAAACTTGGGCACCTTTACGAGCCAAACCTGGTGCCGCCCACGAGAGGTGTTTAGATCCTGGTCTGGCTCAGGCGAAAGATCTCTGTTTTGATTTTCGTATCTTAACTGTGAGGTGCTAGGTTCCACACTGGGCTCAGGCGCCGGGTCATAATCCTCTGCATACTGGGACATGACGATGTGTTCCAAGTTGTACGCCTGTGCGCGCTCTCTGGGAAGGGAGGATGACTAAACAAACGTTGGTATAGTGACTCGAACGTTTCGAGCACAGGTCAGCCTACGCCCTCGATGAACACGGACGCACGCGCGCAGACGGTAAACCTGGGCGCCGGACCCTCAATGTTGCCGACAGATATATTGATGGAAGCAGCACAAGGGCTTCTTGATTATGGTGAAACTGGAATTGGTGTCACTGAGCTGAGTCACCGCTCTAGCACATTCAAAGACCTAATCGAGCAGGCGGAGAACGATCTGCGTGCTTTGCTAGATATCCCGACTGAATATGCTGTCCTCTTTCTGCAGGGTGGTGGAACTGAGCAGTTTAGTGCCACACTGCTCAATATGCTAGCAGCCCACGCTGCGAAGCAGAACGGCCAAGGCGCACCACCGCCCGTGGACTATGTTATTTCGGGGACATGGTCCAACAAAGCCTATAAAGAAGCACGCCGTCTTTATGACCCCGTACGCCAAGTCGTAGACTTGAGGAAGAATATTGGAGATCCTAGCCAGCCCATTCCTGAACCTAGCGAGTGGAATTTGAGCAGCATCGATGAAAATCCTGCGATGCTGTATTACTGCGACAATGAAACCATCGATGGTTTTGAATTCCCTCAAGAATTTTTTCAGCGTCTTCCGGAAGAGTACCGTCAACGAGTTCCTATTGTGGCTGACTGCTCGTCGAACATTCTGAGTCGGCCTATTGACATTCGGTCCCACGCAGTTGTATTTTTCGGTGCGCAGAAAAATGTCGGACCCAGTGGCGTCACGATTGTGGTAGTGCGACGTGACCTAGTCGTGGATCCAGATATGGTTCAGCAGTCCTACTTCCCTCGCATTCCCTCGACTCTTGTTTACAAGAATGCCATGGACAACGGCTCCCTGTACAATACACCATCCATTTTTCCCATCTACGTGAGTGGACTTGGCTTTCGGAAATTAATAAACGAAGGGGGCGTGGTTCGTGCTCAGGAGCGCGCTAGTGCAAGATCAAAGCTGGTTTATGATAAATTGGAGCAACATCCGACCGTTTTCAGGGCTACAGTGGCCCACGCCGACTTTCGCAGCAAAATGAACTTAACTTTCCGTATCTTGGATGCTAAAACAGGCGAGCCATCAGAGACTGAAGAAGCGCGTTTTGTCAAGTTCTGCGATGAAAACAAAGTCGTACAGGTCAAGGGACATCGCTCTGTTGGCGGTATTCGCATAAGTTTGTACAATGCATCGACACTGGAAATGGCACAGAAGGTGGTGTCACTAATGGAACAGTTTATTAAGGCATAGTTTGATCCGGCATTATGAACTGCTGTCTTCCTCTGGCGCCTTATACGCAAAATTAGCTAAGGTAGACTGCCTAGAAGCTGTGCGCTTCTCAGAGCGATCTGGATTTTCATCGTCAACTTTGCGCTTTGGCGCTTCGACACGTTCAAAGAAGGATTGACTTTTCTGCAAGTGACGCTCCTTTGCAATAGATTGGGTGCGCGCAAAAGGATTGCTCCGTGTTGGGGCTGACGGCATACTAGATGTAGATTCTGATAGAGGGCCTGCTCCACTCAAGGGGGGTAAAGACCAATCACTCGGTGTCAGAGATGACGGGGTCTCTGTGTCAGGGGCTTGAAGGTGAGCGAGCCCTTCTAGTGCAAGCACGGAGGTGCGGCTTGATCGTTTTTCGGGCGCCTCAAAGCTATCCTTTTGCAACTCATCCGCAGCTGTACGACGCTCGGTAGGGACGACGGTCTGCGGTGCCTCAGGCACTCGCACACGCAAAACATTACGAAGAAGAGCATCCGTACCACAAGCCCGCTCAGTTATCTCAGGTGCAAGTTGTTGACGGTCGATGAGTGGGGCTCGAATTTGCTCCATTCGATCGGCCAGGCTAGGTAAATGGAAGAAATGGGCGATCTTTAAAGCAGCCTCAAGTGTCGTCTCTGTATGCAGAGATCTGGCAGCATCCAGCGCCCGGCCATAGCGATCCGCCTTACAGGCAAGCTGTACAAGCTGCAATAGTGCCTTGTCTGCTTCCATGTCTAATAATGCAGGATCACTCTCATTAGTGCGATGAGATGCATTTAATGTTGTGCCTGTGGCTGCACGCCCATCGCGAATGGCACCAGCAAGAAGGGACTGCCTTAGAGCTTGCTCCTCGAGGGGTGCTGAAGCTCCGTCGCGTTGCGCCACGCACAAGCTAAATTCGAGTTCCTGGACCAATGGATGAGGGCCCGTGGCTTGTGGGAATCGCTGTGACAAGGGAAGCAAGAGGCCAAGAAGATGTGTGGATGTAAAACCAATGGGCCAACATCGGGCACGCGGCGCAGCAGGTTCTGAGGCATCCTCTGACGCTGTCTGTGGCTGAAGCGCAACTTGGCAATCTAGGACTGGAACCCAACGTCCCTGACCTGGGCGCCAAGCGCGATCTAGGGCATACAAAACGCCAGTGGAGTCAAACACAGCGGGTACGCCAAGTTCGTTGAAGCCAGCCCACGTCAATGTCGATTCTTGAGGCAATGGGAGGATACCTTGCTGCATAATACTAAGCTGCGAGAGCTCGATAAGCAAATACTCCAAATGCAGATGGGAAGCTTGGACAAAGCCTGACTTGTAGACAACCAATAAACCATGTGCACCAGCTGCCAATGTAACAACAGATGTACCTAGGGCCCATACGTAACGCTGCATTCCACTAGGACCAAAGAAGCGTAAAAAGCCTTTCGTCGTGGCCACAACCGCATTCGCATAGGACGTAAAACATTCGTCCGCCACACCCTGAGGACCATCAAGAATATCAGCATGAGAACCCACATTGGGAATACCACCCAGGGCAACAGCGACCGCATTCTCACCCGGAGGCAAGTTTATCGTCCATTCAGTCTGAATGCCTGGAACATCATCAAACGGTCGGTAAAACACAGAACTAGGGCTGCTGGATTCAGCTGGACAAGCAAAAAGAATTCCCTGGGGTGCCACGCTGGCCAGGCTGTAGCCATAGTGGTCTGTGAACCGGAAGTTTCGGCGAGCCGACGTGTCGTATGAATCGAACACCACTGTTTGGTGGGTATCTTGATCAATAGAAATCAGAGCGCCCAATGGCGACAAGCAAAGGTATCGTCGTTGTGAAACCATGGGTGTTGAGCCTGGTTGAAACGTAGGCTGGGAGAGAGTCTGCTCAGAGAATGATAGGTGAGATGGACGCCCTCGCGTTGTTCGATGTGAGTCTGAATCTCGGTCATCATCGACTGCAAGACCATCATCAAAAAGGTCATCGAGATCACTCTCCAGGGTTGTGTTTTGCTCCTTCGTCGCATTTGCATGAATATCCAATTCTTCGAAGCCATTCGGAAGATTGGGACCAATGACGGATTCCCAGCGGACAAGTTGGCCTTGCATATCTGTCCAAGCAAGAACATCTTTATGGGGATGCCAGCTCAGGCTCGTGGCCATCGCTTCGGCGGTAAATGACCGGACCACATTCCGCGAATCCATAGCCCATATGGTCACCTTCAAATCTTCTGTGGCAGTCGCAAGGTATCGACCATTTGGACTGAACTCCATCGCAGCAAGAGTCCCTGACGGGGTAGTGAGTTCTGGTGTAAGAGTGCCATTGGATGGGCCTAAGGTGCCCATAGATGTCCACGCATCGCTGTTCCGTAGATCATTCATACGAGAAGGTGCTCGAATTAATCCCACTTCGTGTGTCTTGAGAGGAATCGCTAGCATTTGGCCACTAGGATGCCAGCATGGCACCGAAGAAAACTCACTTTCGGGTCTGAGGGCAGGAGCTTGATTTGAAATGACTTTGATACAAGAGCTTTCGGAACCAGACATATCCCAGATCCGGAGATCACCATCGCTTCCGCATGAAGCAAGGAGGGGCAACTTGGGACTCCAGCTGCAGCCTCGGACACCGCGAGAATGGCCTGTAAGGAGGGTGATATTCCTCGGGTCGGTGGCAGACACAACACGGATCAAGAGTTCATCAGAGCAAATGGCAACACGGAGTGAGGTACCATACTTTTCGAGTGCAGCACATCTGACTGGCAGAACCTCTCTGCGCACAATGTGAATGAGTTCAGCCGAAGATTTGCCAGAGTGCTTATAGAGTCGCACTGACCCATCCTCCGATGCAGTAATGAGGAAGTTTTCGTTAGCATCAACCCAAGAAACGGGTTGTGTAGCATCCTCAATAACTGATGGAATAACATTGGTGGCGGTGGCCTCTGCGGGAAGCAGACGAACAAGGTGATCCTCACCAGCCGTAACCAGTCGACTAGCGTATAAGCGCGAAAGAAAATACATACTCAGAATCACCAATACCATAGATATACCTCAGTCGGGTGACTCCTGGGACGTGAGTCACCTGTACAGGGTGCTCATCCCCAACCAACGACATGGCGGATCGTGAACACGAAACGCGACCGCGTCACGCGTTGCCTTGAGATACATGATCTAAGACTTTTGGATGCCTCTTAAACAACTATAGCCAGAATCAAATCCCGGCTAGCTCAGTCGGTAGAGCGTCAGACTCTTAGAAAGAGTCTCCTCGATTCCGAGGAGTTATCTGAATGTCGTGGGTTCGAGCCCCACGTTGGGAGCTTTTTTGGTAATTTTCAATGAAAAATTTCTTTTATGGCGAAAGGTTCATGTTACTACATGTTTTATCAATACTCTTTTGAATTAGAAACCATCCATTGCGATCCCATCAACTACCAAAAAAATACTAAAAATTGACAATACAGTCGAAGCGAAAAGAAACGAAAAGATGACAGCCAAACATTCAATCAATGAACATATAGGCGACATGACAGATGCCTTAGAACTTTAACCAGCATCATAGAGTACATTTAAACCCATTCGTAGTTACCGCGGCGCTTCTGCATCACCGCGTGAGCCAGTTGACGCTTGTCTTTATCGTGGTGTGAACCAATAGAGTCCCAAATAGAGTCCCAAATAGAGTCTCCGTCAGAGTCTCCGCCAGAGTTGCCGCCAGAGTTGCCATTGGAGCCCTGATTGTTACCATCACCGTTACCATTCTCTGTCAAAGGAATCATACTTTTGCCGGCCAGCCAAGTATGAGCAGTGTCACGAAGAGCACCACCATTGTTGAAGAAGGCATTCAAAGGAGTAGCGAATTCATCCGGCGGATTGTGCATATTATAGCAACCATTCCATGCAGCACGCACAACATAGTCCTTCGATCCCATCCAATCAATAGCTTTTTCCATAAAGTCCTTGACTTGATCAGCATTCGGGTTAGAGGCGGCAGTAACACCAAACTCAGTGACCCAAATAGGCAGTTTGAACTTGTTGTAAACGGTGTCAATCCAGCGTGTGAACGCATCAATATCCTGGTAACCACCGTACCAGTGAAGGGCAACAAACGAAATCTTGCAGCCCTTAGCTTTGCATTTGTCCATAAAGCTTTCAAGCCAGCCAATGTCGTACACCATCTGAGGAGAACTGACGTTAATACCCTTGTCAGCGAAAGGTTGGAGTTCCTTCATAAATTCCGACACAGCCTCACTCGGCGTCATAGCAGCCTGCGATTCAATGTCTGGCTCATTGAATGCTAGGATGTTCTTGGGTTTGTGCTTCTCAATGTAGGCCTTGCGATGATGCCAATCTCCCTTCTTTTTAGGTCCCCAGTACATAGGAACATATTCAACTTTTTTGTGGATGTTGCTAACTGGTCCATCCTCCCAATGGTGGTACCATGACACAGTCTTGTTAGTTACGGAACCAGCCCAACGATTGTCAGCCGCCCACGGCACACCGTAAGCAAACTTGGCAGTGACAGGGGCCGCAGCCCATAGGGCTGCAAAGCAACTAGTGATAGCAATACTAGAGAACTTCATGGATGTTGAAGAGACGACCAGCGCCTATGATGGGAGAGGTAAAGGTTGGGTGACAAACAAGCGAAAGCTTAAGCAGACTTGACGCGATCAATAGCGCATCTAAATAACAAAGCCGCATTGATTTGACCTCATGGCTGTGTTGGTGCACTCAATGTACGCGTGTTGATGTATCGCATCAGACGACGGCAACATACGCGCGAGCCAGTCATTATCCAATCATAACTAGGTATAGTACATAGGCATGCTTTATTCTTGCCAGCTGGATGTTACGTAAGCAATGTTAACTACGCATAGCCCACCCGGGGGGTTTGGCGGCTACGCTAGTGGATGAATATCGTGTGTGTGCATACTTGCAAAACTAATGTATCCCGAATGTCAAAGAGATTGCGCTCCATACAAAAATGCGCTTGGCCAAACAACAACCCCTTACACGTCGCAGTCGCACTGTGGTCTGTAATAAAATTGTAGCGATGTTTGATACTTAGCTAGGGGACCCTGTTGGTCACGTATTGGATCACCTAATGTTGTGTTGGAACATGTTACGCGTGAATTAGATTGCTAGGGGCATCAAGTTGACAGTATTATTGTGGCTAGCTCTCCCAGATTCAAGTGTCTTGGCGAATAGCATCGTTTCGATTTGTGTGCTTACAAATGCGCTCAAGGGGTGCGAACGGATTTATCGGAGCTAATTTACAAGTATATGAAGACAGTATGACTGTTCAAAAGATGTTTCAATTTGGCTACGATGTTTGTGAACCATATTGATGAATGCCGAGGGCAGCTTTCTCCAGAACACGGTGAAGTGATCAAGGCCACGCTTCCTCTTGTGGGTGCTAACATTGAGAACATCACAAAATTGTTCTACAAGACTATGTTCGAGAAACATCCAGAGCTCATTAGGAATGTGTTCAACCGTGGTAACCAAAAACAAGGTGCACAGCAGAAAGCACTCGCTGCTTCAGTGGCTACGTTCGCCTCGATGCTGGTGAACAAAGATGCGCCGCTTCCTGACCACCTACTGTCTCGCATTGGCCACAAGCACGTGTCATTGGGTGTGACAGAGGATCAGTACCAAATTGTTCACGACAATCTTTTCTATGCAATTGTTCAGGTACTTGGTGCTGATGTAGTGACGAAGGATGTGGCAGAGGCATGGGACTCTGTATACTGGATTATGGCGCGTCTATTGATCAACTTCGAGAAGGACCTCTATAAGGGTGCTAAAGTGGAACCTGGCAAAGTGTTCCGCCAAACTACCGTGCTGGAGCGTGAGGCCCTTACTAGTGATGTGGTCCGCTTCACTATTGAAAGTAAGGACGGCTCGAAGCCCCTTCCTGCTCACTTACCTGGTCAGTACATTTCTGTCCGTGCGAAACTCCCTGATGGTGCTGGCCAGCTGCGCCAGTACAGTCTGGTCGATTCGGGGGAGAAGCCTGGTCGTCTAAGCTTTGCTGTGAAGGCGCTGGAAGCGTCCGAGTCAGCACCTGCTGGCGAAGTTTCCAACTGGCTTGTGGATAACGCAAAAGTGGGCACCGATCTGGAGGTGTCAGTGCCGTTCGGTGATTTGGTGCTCAACACAGAGAGCAATGCGCCAGTGGTTCTGATCTCCGCTGGCATTGGTGCGACCCCGATGATTGGCATGCTTTCCCGTCTGTCGTCAGTTGCCTCAGAACGCCATGTCGTTATTGTGCATGCGGATACCAATTCGGGTACTGACGCCTTTGCGACTCATCGGGAGCACTTGGCATCAGCTTTGAAGAACTATGAATTACACGTTTTCTACAAGGAAGGTGCCTCTGGCAAAAATGTCACTATTGGCCACTTGGATGTAAGCAAATTCGCTTTCCCGAATGACGCCGAGTTTTACTTGTGTGGCTCTACCACTTTCCTTCAGGAAGCTCGCGAAGGTCTGAAGGCCAACAATGTGAAGCCGAGCTCGGTCCACTTCGAGCTGTTTATGCCTAACGACTGGCTTCTTGACGAATAAGTTGATCGTGCCTACTTTCCGCCTTCAATTTACATAATCACCGCTTTAGCATCAACCTACATGTTGTGTTTGTACACAAAGAACATTCTATCAGATTAGTCGTCGAATGTCATTTTTTTACCGGCAGACTTCGCGATTGCACCGCTGCGAGCACTGCCAGAGGCACGAGATCCCCAGCCGTTGTCACGGCCGCCACGAGCTCCGCCGCGGGATCCTCCTCGGCCTCGGTTGGAGGCGCCGCCACGTGGAGAGTTAGTGTTGTCGCGCTTGCCCGCAAAGTCAATGCGGATAGGACGGCCGCCGAGCTCCTGTCCATGGAGAGCCTCGAGAGCCTGCGCAGCATTTTCCTGAGAAGCGAATTCAACATAGCCGAAGCCCTTGGGACGGCCTGAATCAATCTCTTTTGGCAGACGGACGGCAGACACTTCACCGTACTCAGCAAAGGTATTCCAGATATCGTCTTCAGTCAAAGACCATGCGAGACCACCAAGGAAGAGTGTGTTAGAGGGAGCACTGCGCTCATCGTTAAACTGCTTGGCACGCGAATCGGCACGCTCCTTGGGAGCGCGAGGAGCCTGCAAATCAACGCGAAGGTTGCGACCGTCGACCTCTTTGCCCTGCGCCTTCTTGGATGCCTCCAGAGCCTCAGCAGACGTAGCAAAGTCGACGTAGCCAAAGCCCCGGCTACGACCAGAGTCGCGGTCACACTGTACACGCGCATCCGTCACGGTGCCGTACTCTTCGAATATACTTTTCAGCCAGTCATTGTCAACGTTCCAGCTTAACTGGCCGACCCACAGAGTCTTGATACCTTCGTCAACACTCTCGTCAACTTTAGTCTTCTTCGGTGCGGCTTCTTCACCGTCATCAGCCTTGCGCTTCTTCGATACGGGCTTGGGAGCGTCTTCAGACGAGCTCGAGTCATCATTGGATTCACCTGAGTCATCCGAGTCGTCGTCCGAGTCTTCATCCGAGTCGTCATCCGAGTCGTCATCCGAGTCGTCATCCGAGTCGTCATCCGAGTCGTCATCCGAGTCGTCATCCGAGTCGTCATCCGAGTCATCATCCGAATCTTTCTTCGACGTCTTCTTGTCTTTATCGTCGTCGGAGTCATCATCCGAATCATCATCCGAGTCATCATCCGAGTCATCATCCGAGTCATCATCCGAGTCGTCATCCGAGTCATCATCCGAATCTTTCTTCGACGTCTTCTTGTCTTTATCGTCGTCATCGTCAGAATCGTCGTCAGAGTCAGAGTCGTCGTCCGAGTCATCGTCAGAATCGTCATCAGAATCGTCGTCCGAGTCGTTGTCTGAGTCTTCTTCTTTTGACTTCTTGCCTTCATCGTTATCCTCATCGGAGTCGTCAGAAGAATCATCTGAGGAATCGTCAGAGGAATCGCTAGAGTCTTCTTTCGAGCTCTTTTCATCATTGTCGTCCTCGTCGGAGTCATCGTCAGAATCATCGTCAGAATCATCGTCTGAGGAATCATCAGAGTCGTCGTTTGAGTTCTTTTTCTCCTCGTCGTCGTCCTCATCAGAGTCTTCATCGGAATCGTTAGAATCAGCATCGGATTCATTGTCTGAAGAATCGTCCGAGGAATCGTCATCATCGCTCGACGAATTGTCTGAGGATTCATCCGAAGAGTCTTCTGAGGAGTCCGAGTCCTCCGGCTCATCTTCAGATTCCTCCTCCATAGGTTCAGGCTCTTTCGCCTTCACCGCCTTCTTCTTTTCAGTGGCAGTCTCTCCCTTGCGGGTAGAGGCCTTTACGTTCTTCGATGCCTTGACAGGGGCAGCTGCAATTTTATCTTTCTTGCCCATGGTGTACGAGGCGCCGTGCCACCGATAGAAAAATACGTTAAAAAATTTCCATGACATGCAGGTTTACTAAACAGCTATTGTGGAGAGGTTATCAGTGTCAAAGACCAAGGGGCGGCACGGAGGTAAGACAGGAGCTGGGCTAATCAGAGCAGGCATGCCGGTTCCCACCGTTTGAGCAGGGTTGCCCATAATAATGCTTTCACTCACACCGGCGATAGAGTCAGATTTACCGTAGAGGGCCGCATCAAATAGGTGATCAGTCGTCTTCTCGAACGACGCAAGCATCAGGACCGAGTCCTTCATCTTGGCGACGCCAAAGCGAGTGATACCCAGGACTTCACCCTTGTATGTCATCACGTCGGCCAGGAGCATTACGTGACGAGGATCAATTGACATACCGTGGCTGGCCATTGTGTAGTCAATCTCACGGTAGATGGAATTGCGTGCTGCCTCAATACCCAGCACTTGTTGCATTTCCATAACATGGTTCGTATATGTTTGGGTCCCAACGACGCCCTCAGTCGTCATGACTTCCTTCAGGCCATACCCTTCGACGAGGAGCTTGCGCTCGCCCTTCTCATCGCTGATAACGGCACGAGTTGCATTTGGAATGCCCTTGATGACGACCTTCGGAAGCAGACGCTTGAGATGCTTGAGCGCAAAGTACACGTCCCGTTCCTTGTCCTCTGGATGAATGTAGATGTCGAGGCGGTTCATCTCTGGCAGAATCATCACACGTTCATCACGGATCTTGAGGCGGGGTATGGCAATAACAGCGCGTTTGATATCGTCAAGAGTGACCTCCAGCTGTAGCTTTTGGATCGCATCCATATCAATATGCACCCGTAGGCAGGTGGAGTGGCCAGACCATACCTCTTCGATCATGGAGGCCACGTCGCCCAGGAACGTCTTCTCAATGCGTCCCTTAACAATGCGGGCAGCCTGCTCACTCTTCTCGCTTACCAGTTTTGCAGCAATGATGGGCGTGTTGATGGACTTGGCCGCATTGATGATCTCCTTGATGCGGGGCACACCTAGAGTGACGTTCATGGAGGCGACACCCGCAAAGTGGAACGTCTTGAGAGTCATCTGTGTGCCAGGTTCACCGATTGACTGCGCGCCCACCGCACCCACAGCCGACCCTGGCTCGATCTTGGCGCGCATGTACTTCTCCCAGCACAGGTCCAAGAACTCCAACAGGTTCGCCTCCGAGACACGCGCTTTGTTCTCCACAATGGCGCGCTGCGCCGCCTCAGCGCCCAGTGACAGATCGGTGTCCATGTCCCAGTCGCCATCGCGCTCCAGGGCCGGGTACATACCGTAGGCCTCGCGGATGGCTGCCACACGCTGCGCCAACTCCACGTAGCAGAATGCGCGTACCTCCTCAATGTACTTGGATGTACAGACACGCTCAAAGCGGTCTTCACTTAAGACCCGACGAACAATCTCAATAATTTCAAATGGCAGGAGTGATCGGCTCTCGATATGCGCGGTCTTCGCGGCCGCGTGTTTGAAGGTGCGGAGGTAGTCGACCGGCAGCGCATTGCCCTCGAGCTCGGCTGGGTCGAGGCCGTCGTCACCATACAAGAATTGCACGACGCCCCCGACGGAGTTGCGGACAGAAAAGTCATAGTGGGTCGACAGGTCCTCGAGCGCCTTCATCAGACGGCGTTGCATATAGCCTGTTTCGGCCGTCTTCACTGCGGTATCGACAAGACCCTCGCGGCCGCTGATCGCGTGGAACAGGAACTCAGTCGGCTCAAGGCCGGAGAAAAAGCTGTTGCGCACGAAGCCCTTGGACGGCGGGTCCTTAGACTTTTTCGGGAAGTGCGGCAGCGAGCGGTCCTGGAAGCCATTCGGAACACGCGAGCCTGAAATAATTTGCTGCCCGACACAGGCCACCATCTGTGCGACGTTAATTTTTGAGCCCTTGGACCCACACACGGCCATGAGCAATGCCGCGTTGTGGCGACTGAGCTCGGTCATACAGATTTCGCCCACATCACTGCGCACGCTGCTGAGGACACCAGAGATCTTGCTCTCTAGCGTCTGTTCCTGGTCACAGCCGGGCAGATTCTCAAGCTTGCCTCGCTTTGCCAGCTCGATCAGGTCTGTACACTGGGCATACGCGTCCCGCACGTGGCGGTCTTTGGTATCGCGCAGCCTTTGACCGGGCGTCACGTCGCTAATGCCGAGCGAGAAGCCCTGGTTTGAGAGCCAACGGGCGCAGGTTTTGGCAAGACGGTTCATCGCTGCAATGGTCGCGTCAGGGCCATAGTCGCGCAAGATAACGCCGAAGACAGAGTGCTTGTTGCCGTCACCCACGGTCGCCTTGTCCATGACACCACACAGCACCTCGCTGTTTTGGATCACGAGGTAACCATCGTTGGGCGACATTTCCTTCGGGTGCCCATCACGCGGCTTCTCAAAGGTGCGGCAGCGCGCCTCGACGTTCACCAAGACCGGGGAGCTCTTGTTTGGCCGGATCAGGCAGCTGAACAGCTGCTTGCCTGTCCACAGACGCACGGGCTTCTGGATCGCAGGCGGAGGCAGATCAACCCGCACCGTGCCGTCCGCAAAGTACGAACACAATTGCGTGAACTGCGCTCGCGTAAAAAACCGATCGCGTCGTGAGAGCAAGAACGAAGCCGTGATAAAGTCCTGGATGGCGGCGATAATCGGTTCACCGTTGCGCGGCGTCACCAGATTGTGTTTGACGCCCATGAGGGTGAGCGCCTCAGTGCGCGCCTCCTCCGTCTGCGGGACGTGCATATTCATCTCGTCGCCATCGAAGTCTGCATTATACGGGTTGCAGACGCACTCGTTCAGGCGGAAAGTGCGCCAGGGACGCACCTTGACTCGATGGCACATGATCGACAGCTTATGCAGCGACGGCTGACGGTTGAACAGGACAATGTCGCCGTCGCGGATGTGCCGCTCGACCACATCGCCGACGCGCAGGTTGGCAGCAATGTCTTCGCGCATGCCCGGGAACTTCAAGAAGCGCTTGAAGCCATCGCGCCCATTAATATGGTAGTTGGCTCCAGGGTGCCTGTCGGTGCCGTTGCGAACAGCTTCGCGCATCGTCTCGATATTGTGCGCAAACACGCGCTCTGGATATGTGAGCGTTTTGGCGACGCGCTCAGGAACGGCAATCTCATCGATAGCCAGGTTGGGGTCCGGCGAGATGACCGTGCGTCCAGAAAAGTCCACGCGCTTGCCGCTTAGGTTTCCACGGAAGCGGCCCTGCTTGCCTTTGAGGCGCTGGCAGAACCCGCGGATCGGTTTGTGCCCACTCATCGGCGGCACACCCGGCATCTCCGAGTTGATGTACAGCGCGACGCTGAGCTGCAAGAAGTCCCATTGCTCTACCAGTTGCGCGGTAGTTGTACCTTTGCTGCCTTTCGTGAGGCCCGACTTGATGATGTTGTTCGTAAATACAATTTCGGTCAACTTCACGGTCAGGTCGTCCTCGTTCGTCGCGCCGTCCTGTGCCACACTGGGGCGAATACACACGGGCGGTACACAAATATACTGCCAGATATACTCCTCGGGGCGCCCGAACTGCGGCTTGAGACCGAGCAGCTCACAGTCCTCGTCGGAGATGCGTCGGAACAAGTCAAGGACACGAAGGGGGTTCAGGTCCTCCTGTGCCTTGCCGAGGTGCGGTGCCAGCTCGCCATTTCCCATGCTGACGGCCGTCATGAATGTGCGGCGGAACTCGAGCATTTCCTCCTCCGTCTTCTTCTGCCGGAACTTTTCGTGCACCACTTTGAGCACGCCCGCCTTCTTCACAGTGCCATTCGTCGCCCCACAGTAGGGGCAATAGAGCGTCTTGCGCGCTACAGCATTCACAGCCTTGAATGTCTGCGTGCGCTGTAAATTCTCCAGGCCCGGGCGGCGGAAGCGCCGCAGAAATTTCCGGCGGTCCGGTTCTTCAAGCAGAATGCGCGCGCACGACTTGCACACCATCTGTAGAATACTCACCACATGCTTAAAGAAGCCGACGTGGAACACGGGCAGCACCAGCTTGATATAGCCATAGTGACCGACACAGTCGGCCATGCGGTGTCCACAAGTCTCACACGTACTTAGCTTGTCGCTCACACCCAGACGCCGGTCCAGCACACCACCAGTGCGTGGCTGCCGGTTCGGCATGTCATAGATATCGCGTGTGATGACCTCCAGTTCCGCGAGGTTCACAATCTCCTGCTTCGACATGACGCCGAACTGGATGTTTTTGCTGCGGTGAGTGGCATAGTACCTACATCTTCTTGGGAGCATCTTGCACGCTGCTGTGTGAGTGGTATTAAGGTACGTACACTAGCTCCTTCATGGTGGCGGCGAGCACACTCCTGATGAGTCTGGTGACACGTTGCCGTTACCGCCACTTGACTAGGAGGCAGGTGACGCGCGGAAAAAAATCCGGCCGATTTCCGTAGCGGCTCCAGCTCGAGCCTCGCTCCACACATCGGACCCCGAATGGCAGCGGGGTGTTGGGACGTGCTGCTGGGCCACGCCCACGCGGAATCGTCTCGTGACCAAGCTGCGGCACTGGCCGCGCTCCGTGAGCTGGATGCGACTGCGGCCCCAGAGGCACTCCCTCTGCTAGCCGCGGCCGCCGCTGAGCGCCCCCTCCGTGTATTGGCCGTGCTAGGCCTCGTGTGCCTCGTGAACCCGGCACTTGCACAGGCTCTGCTCCGCGACGACGTGCTAGCCTATGCGGTGCCTACGGACGAATCGGGGGAGCGTACAGGAGCTTTTGCGCATATGCTCAGCGAAGGGGCCTCTCATCCTGCGCTGCGCCAGCACTTGAAGAGCCAACCGCGCATCCAGACATGGCTTCGCGAGACAAGCCCACCTTCTGGGTCACTGGCGGCCGCATGCACTGACCTCGCGCGTATTAAGCTGGCCATTCCGACGGACACCAAAGCGATCCCGTCAACGCTGGACCTCTCAGACGACGAATGCACTGACTTGTATGAGCGACTCGCAGCGTTTGTGCGCGACCACACCTTCGCAGCCCCCACGGACTCTGCGCCGTGGGCGTGGGACGCAGTAGCAGCTGCTGAATCGGATGCCTTGGAGGGTCTCTACTACCTTTCGTCGCTGCCGGCGCTCCGAGAGGCGCAGAGTCTTGATGCACCGCTCTTGCGCAAGCTCGGGGGCTTGCTGAGTGCGCGGACCTCTGCTACGGGCCAGCCGAGCGCACATTCGTCTGAGGCGTTTGTGACGGTGTCATTGCTGGCGAATCTTGTGGCGTACCCCCCTGTGCTGAGTGAGCAGGAGAGGCAGGTGGAAGCTCTGCGCCGCTCAGCGACGAAGCGTGGTCCTGATGACGCTCGCCTTGCGCCGTCGAGTGTTGTGCAGCGCGTGCGGCGGGTCGTAGACGCTGGGCTTGTTCCACCTCTCGTCACGCTGACCACACGGGCATCCCCCCAGCTGTACCGCCCCCTTGCGGACTTGTTTCTGTCGCTTGTGACAGAGCAGGATGCGGCTTTTCGCGGTCGACTTTTGCAGCTGGGTGTCAGCCGGGCCCTGCTGTGGCTCGCGCAGCAGTCGCTGGCGGCGCTTTCGTCGTCGATGGACGCGACACAGCTGTTACCCTTCCAGGCGCTAGCGAAGCTCACCATCTCGGTGGACCCTGCCCTCATGTACGGCGTCGATGGAGCGGCGGTGCGGGCTGTCGTGTACTTGGGCATTCTCTTCCTTGCGCCGGTCTCGTCCCTGCTCCAGGTGTTTGAGGCTGCACTCGCATTGACCAACCTGGCGAGCATGTCGCCTGCCATGGCGACGGCTGTGGCGCATGCCTCGTGCCCGCACTCGGAGCATAAGAACATCGCCGACTCCATTGTGCCCCTGTTCCTCCAGCACGACTCGCTCATGCTGCGCCGGGCGCTGATGGAGCTCCTGTGCAATATGGCACAGGACGACGGCGTATTTGCGCATTGGTCCGGCGAAACAGAGCGCGATGGCCCCGCCACGACGGCTGTGCCAGCGCCGAGCGACACCGCGCCGCTACGGCTACATACAGCCGAGGGACGCCTGCGCCTGCTGCTCTCGCTGTGCCATGTGAGTGACGATGTGCATGAACTTGCGCTGGCGAAGGCGGCGAGTGGCCTGCTGGCCATGCTTTCTTCGTCGCCCGTGGCGTGCGAGCTCCTGGTCCACCTGCCTACCGACGCATGGGGCCCCATCGCGGCGCTGCTTCCTCCGCCGGCGCTCGCGGCCACCGATACCTGGGAGCTCGAGCTCCGTGCCCTCTCCATCCTTCTCAGCTTGTGTGAGTATGCAGCCTGGCTCGGCTCACCTGAGCGTAGCGCACCCGTATTTCGCAAGATGCAGGCGGCCGGACTCGTGCGTGCTGTGGGCGCCGTCGCGGCCGCCGAGGGTCGATCGGCGACGAAGGCCATGCCGGCGAGCGCACGTGCTCTACAGACGCAAGTCGTGTCGCTATCGCAGACGATCCTACAGAGGGTGCCTACTTGATGCGGACGGACACCGACGGCACCTCGACGTCCTCGCCCTGGCGGTCGTCCGCCATAATTTCGATGCCAATGTGCGTCACGTGGGGCTCAATCGGCTTCTTCGACACGGTCGCGACGAGCTCGCTGATCTTCATGCCTAGGCGCTCTTCCTTCTTTTTCGGCGGCATGAAGTCCGCGTACAGCATGGCCATCGCCCCCGAGACGAGCGTGATGTCCAGGCCATGCACATCGTGGAAGTACTGGATAAAATCGCGCAGCGGCATATCGTCCACATCGAAGCGCGACCATAGCGTCCATTCTGTATCGTTGAATTTGTGCTTGGGCGCCGCAATCGGGTCGCTAAAGGCAATGAAGGGAAGCGCCAGGTTCACAAAGGCGTTCGAGTACGACTCGATGTCACGCTTGCCGTCCAGCAGCTTGTACAGTTCTAGGTTGACCAGGCCGGTTGCGAGCGCCGTCGTCGTCGCAATCGCAGGAATGATCTTTCCCGCAATGCCCTTGGTCGTGTGCCGGTCCACAGGCGTGATCTGGTAGTTCGTCGCACGCAGATTCGATGCGGCCGTGATAAAGTCAATGTGGTAGTTGGAGTCGTCGTCTTTCTCAAAGTCAGCCGGCTGCAGCCGGTAGCCAGCGAGCGTCGACGGCGCAGGAAGACTGGCGACGAGCTCTTCCAGAGCAGCCTGGTCCTCCGTTGCATTGCCCACAGCACTCGGCGCAGGGTCATTGTCGTTGATCTGCACTTTGGCCTCGCGCGGCACAAACGTCGGCACTTGCACCTGCGATGCCACCTGTGCCATGTGCGCCACATCGTTTGAGCCGTGCAGCCCATAGTTGAATGCGTGCAGGTTCGCAGCGGCCACGATGTACGCCATGTGCAGCTCATTTTGCGGGTCAAACGTCAGCGGCGTCGGCGCGCGCTTCGGGCCACTCCAAAATGGCTGTCCTGTTGTCGTCTTCGCATCTGCTGGCAGGTTGAAAAGGAGCTGCTTGATCATGTTCACATAGTTCTCCTCAAACTTCTCGCGTGCCCACACAATGCACGCGTCAAACGACTGGGGACGCGCATCGACCAGGTACGCCTTGATCTGCTCCACCTGCTGTTTGTAGCTCGACTCGCCCGACGCAGCCAGCGACGAGAGGTAGTCACTCTGCGACAGGTACTGGTTGACATTGGTCGCCGGCTTCTCAAAGAGCTCGTCAAACTGCTCGCGCGCCCACTGGATCGTGTGCTCAATCTGGTTCGGGAAATTCTTCAGCGTACAAACAGGGATCGACTTTTCCGGCGGGTCTTGCGACGACGCGTACGACTCGGTGAGATCCGGCACCACCACTTGCGTGTTCGCCTTCGTGCCCAGCGTGCCAGACTCCAGCAGTGGCTTGCGGAAGTACACACAACGGCTGTCCATATAGACACGGGCCGCCACATTGTCCAGCGCATTCGTCACACCGTCGAGCTGGGCAAAGAAGGCTGCATCGTACACGTCTTCCGTCTCGGTGCCCACACGGTTCTGGTACGTGACAATCTTGCCTTTCAAGTCAGGGTTCATCTCCATGACGGCTGCCGCCGCCGTGTCCGACTTAAATTGACCCACGTCCTTGGGGCGGAACAAGAACTGACGGTTCAAGTTGCTCTTCTCAATCGTATCCAAGTCGGTCACATAGATCCGGCCCTCAGGACCCGAGGCCAGGCCCATCATACTCCAGTTCTTGAGCATTTCACAGCCAATCGCACCGCTGCCCACGAGGAACTCACGCGTATTGGCGATACGGGCCTGGAATGCCTTGCCAAACACGGCAATCTGTCCATCGTACCGTGAACCCTGCGGTGCGAACTCCGACTCGGGCAGCGACGACACCTGCTGAGGCAGAGCCTCGAGCGCGTCCACGTACATGTGCTGCAGGAGTGGATGGAACTTGCCACTGCAAGCCTTCAGCACTTCCTGTGCGACAAAGCCACCAACAAAGGCCGACATCGGCGACAGATCACCGGTCGCTTGGAAAGCCAGCTCACGCACCAGCAGATGCACCAGCTTTTTAGTCGCTTCATCCTCGGCCGCTTGGCCGCGCGCCTTGAGCAGGGCCAGCGCTAGATCCAGCACCGCCTGCGCATCATCCGCATTGCGCGGACGCGGCGAGCGGCGGTTCTGCACTTCAAACGAATACAGTGCTTCAAAGGCAGCGTGCAGGATCAGCGGCCGGTCCATTTTGGCAAAGTCCGACATCATACACTCGGGCTCCAGCTGGCTCTCGCGCAAGCTCTTGAAGTGCAGTTCGCGCGGCTGCTTGACCTGCTTGAATACACCCCCGCCCACATAGTCGCCAAAATTCGACGTGTCGCCAATGGTGAATGTATAGGGCCCCTTCACCGTGACACGCCGCGGCTCGATGCCATTCAGCTCGGTCATACCTTGCACCTCAGCAAACGTGACGTAGTCGCCGTCCTCTAGACCGTGACGTGTCTCGTCAACGGTCGTGACAAGACCTTCAGAGTCCTTCGATACGGACACGACCATGCCATGCAGAGCCGGCTCGCCAGTGGTATCCTTGCACACAAAGTGCGATCCGAAATCGTTAAATACCGTGCCGAACAGACCACGCACGTCCGCAGCAATAAAGTGGGTGCCCTGGTCATGCGTAATGTCGTTTACGCGGAGCTGCTCGCCCAGGTTGGTATGCGTGAGCACCACCACCTTGAACGACAGGAGCGTCTCCTTGTCAAGCTCAGGCACATCGAGCGCCCTCACAGGCACGTAGGGGTTTAGCTCCGCCAGCCGCACGGCAGTAGCACTCGCACGCGTCACACCAGGCTTTCCCACATCCTCCATGCGCAGGAAGAACTGCGAACTCAGGTCCTGCACCTGCACCGGGTTCGGGTCGTACAGCGTGACGCTCTTCACACCTGCCAGTGCGATGTCCTTTGCGATCTCAGCACCGAGACCCAGCAGACCCACCACTAGCACATTGCTAGAGGACATCTGCCTCATGGCATCGTGCCCCAGCACGTACAGCTGGCGACTGTACAGCGACTCGTCAATCGTATCGTGGGACATGATCAGCCAGCCTGATCGCCCGCCACGGTGGCAATGCCCCGCTCGCTGCCCACCTGCATGATTACATAATCTCTGGGGGAGCGGCGTACCGCCGGATGGGGTTCATGGCACTTGCGTACGGGCCATGTCGAAGCAGCCATGCCATCCAAACGCCGCTGCCATGGCCAGGTCTGCGGGGCCGCCTATTCGCCGAAAGAAGAGTCATTTAGCGCTGGAGGCCGCGTCAGATGCGTGCGCAACGGCGCCGGTGCCACCCACAGGGTCCCAGCCACTGTCGCTTCACGATATAGCTTCGCCTGTGATCGACGAGAACGATCTTGGCGCAGCGCCACCCAGCCCCAGCACGCTGACCGACATTATTCTTTCGCTTCATGCATCGCTGTATGGTGCGAAGCGGAGTGTAGATGAGATCCGCGGCATGGTCTGGCGGTACTACGACAACAGTGCAGGTACGTGCGCACCGCTAAGTCGCCAGTGTTTGACAGCCCTATCGTGTTGGCCCAAGGGCGGCAGCGCATTGCCGACCAATTTGTGCTGGCCTTCGCCTTACCAGGCCTGGAAGTCCGCTCGGAGCTGCGCGATGTTATCTGCAGTGACTTTGAGTTTGACGGCACACGCGCCGGTCTGATTGACCATACAGTGACAGTGACGCTGTTCCCTCAGCTTGTAGGGCGCCCACCCGAGAACTCTGAGGGTGCTCGGCGCACGCCAGGCGCGCTCGCGAGCCAGGGAAGCATCACGCCTCATCCGTTCTTCAACTATCAGGCGGCGGGGTCGACGCCGGGCGTGCCTGGGCCGTCTCACCGCCGACGAATGAGCTCCTATGTCACGAGCCCGCAGCAGCCCTCGGCATCGCATGGAAATGCACAGACGAGCGGTGGCCGACACCGTGCGCCGACGGAGCCTCCAGATGACGTGTCGTTGGGTCCCTCGGCGCTCGAGCCAGCCTCTGTGAGCGAGTCGCCTCCTGACGATGCGCCTTTGCCGTCGTTGATACCCACTGTGCCCCTCAGTGGCACACGATCGCACTGGTCTGCACCCAATGGACTCGGTCGCCGTCCAGCCTGGGCTTTCGTGTGCGACATGCTCCACCCGAGTCACGCGTTGCGCATGTTGCTCTCGGTGGAGCTGCGACTGCTCAGCCGACTTGAGTTTAACGAGGCCGGCCGCATTGTCCATCACGAAGATACTTGGAGCGCTCGCGAGCTTATCGAAGGCATATTTCCTTTCCTTTCGCTGTTTTCCTATGTATGGCGCATGTTCACGGGCCTGCTGGTCACCTGGTGGGTCCGGCTGCGCTGCTAGTCGTGTATGTGGAGGTCTGTTCAGATGGCCCCTGCGCTTTCATAGATCGTGGAAGTTGGCCGAGGATCTAACTTCCTCTCTCGGGTCGTGGCCTGTGTGGGCACATAAAAGCCCTCGTATGGGTACGGTCATCCACCCCCCTTCCCGCCCCTACGTGTGCCAACTGGCTTGGACACATCCCTCTCTCTCCCTACTGTACACATCCCTTTCCCTATGAAGTTCTCTACTGCGATTATCCTTGCTCTGTCGCTGGCCATTCACACGGCCAGCAGTGCGCCTGTGAACACGTCGAGCGCATCATCGAACTCGTCTGCTGGTCCGACGAGCTCGCATGCGAGGCACCACAGCCACCACCATTCTAAGCACACGTACACGAGCCATTCCATTCACTACGGAACGCAGGCCGCGGGCGGAGACACCGACAGCCTCCCTGAGGCGCAGGGCCACAACCTGGCGTTTGCGGGCGGCCAAATGATTGGCAGTGACCCTGGCAGCGGCCAGGACAACCTCTTGCAGAACATCCTGGCTGGTGCTGGGGGCCAAAGCTCGCAGCCGACGCAGTCGGCGCCCAAGTACCCCAACGCCCAGCTTACGGGTGTGCCTTCACCCGAGGAGATCCGCTCCATGCAGCACCAGCAGCTCGTCGACCAGCTGGAGGCTGAGGAGAATGCGTCGTATCTGTCGCCCGCGCAAAAGTCGGTGGTGCAGGCTTCGCTGAGTGCGCTCACAGCTACGGCCACACCTACAGGTGCGTCCACGTCCTCACAGACAGCTGCGCACTCATCTCATTCGAAGGCAAAGAAGGGCTCGAAGCACCATGCAAGTGCGTCGGCGACCTCGGTACCATCGAATGCGACGAGTGTGCAGGGCGCGTCGCAGGAGCAGGCGAGCGCAGCCAACAAGGCTGCGCTGCCGCAGGCGAAGTCCAAGCAGCACGAATCATCGAGTGCGACAACGACGAAGGCGGCGGGGCACAAGCACCAGTCGAGCTCGAGTACGACGGAGGCAAAGAGCCCTAAGCACCAGTCAAGCTCGAGTGCGACAGGGACAAAGAGCCACAAGGCCAAGTCGAGCTCGAGTGCGACGGGGACGAAGAGCCACAAGTCCAAGCCGCACAAGTCAAGCTCAAGTGCGACAGGGGCCACGAGCTCTGGCTCTTCGTCGAGTGCAGCGGCGACTTCTCCGTCTTCGAGTGCAGCGGCGACTTCTTCGTCTATGAGTGCGGCAGCGGTTTCTCCGTCGTCGAGTGCGGCGGCGATGTCGTCTCTGTCTGCGCCAGCGAGTGAGCCGACTTCGAGTGCATCGTTGTCTATGGCGGCTAAGCGCAGTGAGCACCCAACCTCGAATGCATTCATTGCGGTGCAGCCGAACGGCAATGAGAGCGCGAACACAAGCAGTGCGACAGAGTCGACCTCGTCCCACAAGGGTTCGAGCACGTCGTCGCCGTCGTCGTCGTCATCGCACAAGGGCTCAAGCACGTCGTCGCCGTCGTCGTCGTCATCGCACAAGGCTTCGAGCACGTCGACGCCGTCGTCAAGCAAGACCTCGGGCACATCGTCGGGCACGTCTTCGAGCACGTCGACGCCGTCGTCGCAGAAGGCCTCGGGCAAGTCGTCGAACGACGAGTCTTCGAACTCGTCGCCGTCGAGCTCTGCCCAGACAACGATGCGTCGCTGCCGCAACAAGAACAAGAAGCTGAATGCTACAAGCACCCAGGCCACCTCGACGTCGACGCCGTCGTCGACCTCGAGCTCGAAGCACCACTCGCGCTCGAGCAGTGCGGCGCCGACCTCGAGTTCCTCGTCGGCCTCGCCCTCGCACGGCGTGATCGTGTCTCAGGGCAGCTCTGCCAACCTGCACGCCGTCAAGACCATGGCATGGAAGAACGGCATAGAGAATTTCGATCAGGACATGCCCCAGGGCCTGGGCGGTCTCTTTTCGAGCAGTTCGTAGTCGCATAGAGTCCTATTACGCATGGGCCAACAATGCCACGTGCCACGGTAGGAGCGGCGCCGGCGGTGGCCAGCGCAGCTGCGTCATGGTATGGAGCGCATGGAAATGGACGACCACATCGTGCAGCACCGCTGCCTCCTCGTCATGTAGCACCCAGTGCACAGCGTACGCACCTGCGCTCACGTAGGCCGTGCGTGCAGCGACCACGGGCGCCTCCGCATGCATGGCCAGGCCCGTTGTGCTCGCCGTCCACGCGTGAAGCGCGCCATCGGCGACGACACGGGGACCGTCGGTGTCGAGGCTCACGACGACCACATCGAGCGCGTCTGTGTCCCACCGCTTCTGCGCCTTCCAGGCGGCCCACGCGTCTGCCTCTGCCTGCGCCATCGCACCGTACCGGCACACAACGACGTACCAGCGCGCTGCTGAGGCCGCCAGCAAGCCCCGCACGGTGTGCCACAGCTGCATCACGTCGGCCCTCTCGTCCACGGCGTCCCACGCGCACGTGTGCCGAAGCCATGCCCGCTCGTCCGTCGCGACCAAGCGCACGACGCCGCCCCGTCGGTCGTATGCCACGTGCAGCACGGCGCCGCTGTGCAGCGGCGACACGGCCGGCTCGGCACGCGGCCACTGCCCATCCCAGTGCAGGCCCTCTTTCAGGCGCGTGCACGCGCGGTAGGTGCTTGGCGCGAGCTGGCACACGCGCGCGTTCGCATCTTCGTACGCCGCGTATGCAAGCGCCATGGACCACTGCATCGGAAGCATGTGCGCCATCGGCACAGCAACGATCGCAATGCGCGAGCGCGGCATGGGCCATGTCCGATACAGCCGCTCGCACACGCCCGGCTGCTCGTACACGAGGTACACGACGTGCCGCTCGCCTGCACTCGCTGCGCTTTCCGGCACATTCGGCATGCCACTGGCCCACAGCCCGCCGTGGTACCGCCACAGATTGCCGGGCGTCAGTGTGCCAAGGCCGTGCGCCGCGTACGTGTCGGCTCCGAGCGCGAGCCACTGCTGCACGACGGCCGGCGGCACGTCGACATCCAGAAGGGCGACGTGTGCGACCACATGGCGCGGTCCGCCGCTAGGCTGCAGGCCCAGCCACCGCCAGCGGCGCACCGCGTCCGGCTCGACGTGGATGAGCGCAGCTTGACACCCTACCAGCACGCTTGGCGCCGAAAGCGGCACAGCCGTGCCAGGACTCGTCAGCGGCGCGGGCGGCTGCTCCGCTGGCGGCTCAGGCGGGTACCGCGCGGCGCCTGCGTAGGTGCACGTCCACTCCAGGTGCACACGCTCGGTGAGAGCCTCTGCGCTGCTGCCTGGAGCTGGTAGCGCCGGCCCGCAGAGGGCGCTGTGAAAGCGCGCACATGCGAGGGCGCATTGCGCAGCCGGGATGCGCGGCCCCTCGTCCGACCCCTCGTCCGGCTCGTCCCACCCAGACACCTGCGATGGCGAGCTGTGCACAGCACTCTGCGGCGTGCTCAGGTAGAGTGCGCGGGGCGACACGGCCGTGCGCATGTCGCTCTCGGGTATTCGGCGGTACGCGCTGCCGACGAAAAATTTGCCGTGCATGTCGTACTTGACAGCGAGCGGTGGGTGCTGTGGCTCACTCACATGGAGCGTGGGCGGCGGCGGCTCGGGCGGCGCTTCCGTCGACACGTCCGCGGCGGGCGGCGGCGGCGGCGGCGCGGGCGGCGCGTGTGCGCCAAAGAAGCTGAGGTCGTCGTCTGTGAGCTGTCCAATGCCCTGGAACACGTCGTCTTCCACGGGCGACACGGGCGGCGGCAGCGGCGCACCGATCCCCACGACCGGGCCCATCGTCTCGGCGGGCGCAGGCGACGACGGCTCGGCCCGCGGCCATGTGGCCGAGGCGAGCAGGTCGGCCGCGCTTTTCCTCAGAAGGGCCAGTGGCGGCGGCCGCGGCTCGGGCGTGCGGACGACGAGACACAGCGCCGCGGGCCACAGCAGCTGGCACGGCACAGCCGTGTCCCGCTGGGCGCCCGGCGGCACACTGAGCGCTACGGCGTCGAGCGGTGCACCCGGCGGCAGCCATGCGATGGGGACGCGGACGACCACCCAGTGGTCCGTCCGGCCGCCGACCTGCTGGAGCGGCGTGGCCAGTCGCGTCGCGAGCGCCGCGCACGCCGCATCGTCCGGGGCCGCGAGGGTATGTAGCAGCGTAGCGCGCTGTAGCGTGGGAATGAGGCACACGGTCGTGTGACCCAGCTCGACGTGACGCGGCACCGACTCGCCAGGCCGCGCGCGCATGTCGAGCGGCGCCCATGGCTTGTGCGTGCTGACCACTTGCACGACCAGCTCGTCGGGCGTCGTGTGCACTCGCAAGCGGTGGAGCTCGGCGGCGCGCGGTGCAGCGCCGTCGGCCGGCCAGGGCGGCACGCGCACGACGCCATCATGCACGGCCACGAGTCCCTCGCGCTGCGCGACGGCGTGCGCGATGGCGTGTGCGGCCGCCTCGAGGAAGAGGGGGGGCGCCCGCGCCACACGGTCGCAGCCACTCGCCTGGAGGTGCACGCGCGACGGCAGCTCGAGATCCAGCACGGCGTCCTCCCACGCAAACGTCCAGAGGGCCAGCGGCACGCCATCCCGGCTCTCGACGGCGGCGAGCGGCGCATGGTACATGTGCGCGAGCACATCGTGCACGGGCTCTGTGCCGGGCGGCGGCGGCGCGATGCGATGCGCGAGCTCTGCGAGCGCCTCCGGCGCCTCACCCGCACACGCCTGGTACGCCCGCCAGCGGACGTCCCCGCCGGGCAGGCGCGCGCGCGCGACGGCCCACGTCGCGGGGCGCATGCAAGGCGAGGAGCGCCGCTCGGCCGATTGCCCTCCTCCACGATGCCTTCGTGGCGCGTCTATGCGGCGGATCGGAGAGTGCTGTCGCCTGGCGAGCACGGCGCGTACTTGCAGGATTTCGTCGCGTCGAAGGGCGAGGATGGGTCGGCTGAGGAGCGTGTGCTGTTCAGCCGGGTGCTGCGGGAGGATGCGTCGTTGCTGCGCTCGCACGACGAGCGAGTGGCGCTGGCGCGCAGCGTGCGCTATCTGACACGCGAGCGTGCTGCCGCCGAGGCCTGGACCACGGAGCTCGCGCTGCGCACGCTGTTTCAGGTGCAGCCCGAGGTGCAGCTTGTGCCCGGCGATCAGCTGAGCCTCGACGTGCTGATGGCCTTCTGCAACCTGCTGCAGCACGACCAGCAGTGGACCCCACTGATGGCCGCGCTGTACATGCAGGCGCTGATGCGCGTCGTCGCTGACCCGGACTTTCATGTGTCGACGACGGAGCCTGATGCGTACACGTTCCCTGTGCTGCTCGCGCTCTCGTACGTCGCCGGGAGCGCCCGGTTCCAGGCGCTCCCGCACGCCGAGCGCGCGGCGCTGCTGCCGCCGGTCCTGCGGCTCCTGCGGGCGCATGGGCCGCCGGCTGACGCGCGTCTCGACACGTGGGCGCCGCCCAAGTTCTACAGCGCGCTGATGATCACGGCGTTTTACGTGGTGCGCGACGAGGCGGGCGATACGGGCGACCTGCACGCGCTGGCGATGCGGGCGGTGCTGTACGAGGAGCCGCAGGAGCCATGCCCCGTGTCGATGCTGGCCGCCGCCTCCATGAACATCCTGGCGGTCCTCCCCGCGCCCGCGACGCCGGACATGGACCCCGGGCTCCTGTTCGACCTGGGCCGCAAGATCGCGAGGCTCTTGTACGCGCTCGTGCATCTGTACGTGGACTCCAGCGGCGACGCGAGGGCGTCGCTCTTGCAGGAGCACCAGGTGCACGTCCCGCTCGAGACGCTGCTCCTGCCGCTGGCGGGGCAGCTGCTGCGCATGCTCGGGGCCCTGGAGGATCTGCGGCCGATGGTCGAGACGATCTTCTGCACGACCGAGCCGCCGGACGCACCCCTGCCGGAGGAGGAGCTGGCGAAGCTCCGCGGCGTCGAGGACCGCGGCCTCTACGCGCGCTCGCCGGCGATTCCCGCCATGATGTCCTCACAGAGCATGCCTATGGTCGCGATGATGTTCGCCTACTGCATGTTCGCGGCGGGCAAGGAGGACGACGAGCTGTTCGTCGCGCGCTTCGGGTACGAGGCGTGCGCAGGCGTGCTCATCTCGGAGATGAGCGAGGAGCACTACCAGACCTTCAAAAAGACCTTCGAGGACGCCGAGTCCCGCCAGCCGCTCGGCTCCGTCAGTATCTACGACGAGGAGGACGCGGACGTGCCTGACGACGCCATGTCGCCCGACGAGCTGCTCGAGCGCCTGCAGCGCCTCCAGGAGCTCGGAATCACGCACGAGAACCCACTCGAGCTCGCAGCCAAGTCTGGCCTCCTCGAGGAGGTCGAGGCCCGCATCCAGGCAGAGCAGCGCGCCAAGGACGCGCGCGAGCTCGCCGAGGCCGAGGCGGAGGTCGCCAAGCTCCGCCTCGGCCGTTCGTAGTCCTCCACACGCCTCTCGCCATGCCCGCCACGCGCCGCGCGTGCGAGCAGTGGTGCGCACGCACCGTGCTCCCGCTCGCCGAGGCACTGCTGTCGCATGCCGCGCTCGTGCGCGAGGCCAATGTGATGTGTCTGCAGCTTGGCCTGCACATACGCGTCCAGCTGGGCGTGCAGCGTCCCGCGCGGTGCGGCGATACCCACTCGTGCCACGACAGCCTCCTCGCGCACAGCGAGGCGGACCTGCGCGCACACGAGCGCACGTCGGCCCTGCCATGCGCTGTGGTGCGCGTGATGGACATGGACGCGTGTGCCGTGCACGTGTGGTCCCTCGAGTACCTGCGGCACCAGGCGGCCATCCTGCAGCGCCTCTGCCGGCTCGGCCGCTCGCGCGCGCACGACGTGGATGCGCGCACCGAGCTGCTCGGCCTCGGCGCGGCGCCTGCGTATGTCGCCGTGGCCACCGTGTATGTGCCGTGGCACAGCGGCCGCTGGGCCGACGTGCCACTGCGTGCGCTGCAGGGCGTGCCGTGCCGCGCCTCGTGCCGTCTCCAGGTGCATGTCCTGCGCACGCGCCGCGCATGCCGCATCCACGCCGACGCGCTCGTGTGGGACGCCGCGCACGCGAGCGAGCTCCACTGGCAGGTCACCTGGGCGGGCCAGAGCTACGCGACGCAGCCGATGGATCTCGCGCTGCATGCCGCGGCGGAGGTGCGATTCCAGCGCACGCTGGTCGTCCCACCCGATGTCCCGTGGCCGGACGGCGTGCACCTCACGCTCTTTGCGCGGCCTACACGGACCTACCTCGCGCAGCTCGAGGCGCACGACCAGGCCGTGGAAGACGCCGTGCGTGCGCGCGGCTTGGACCTCGCACTGGTCGGCGCTGCGCCCACGCCGCGACCTGCGCGTGTACACGAGCGCTACCGCCGCTGGGCGTCGAGCTATGGGGTCCTTGCGCGCGTCCATGTCACAGAGGCGCACCACGGCGAGATGCGTGCCGTGCGTGTGCAGCGCACGCAGCCGCCCACATGGACACTCGCACCGGGCGCGCCCGTGCTGGTCAGCGCTCTGCTCCAGCTCGAGACGCCCGAGCCGCTAGGCTTGCACATCCTCAAAGTGTACATGGGCGACGTGTGCACCGTCGACGCCCACGGTGCCTGCTACTCGCGCGACGCGCGGTCCCTTGTGCTCCAGCGGGTCGCGAGTCCCGCGACGAGCGGCGCACTGCGCGTCGATGCGCTGTGGGCCCCTGACGCGCACGACCATGTGCCGCCTGCGCAGGCAGCGCGCCTTGTGCGTGCGACGCTGCGCCTGGTCCTCGCGAGCCCAGCGACACCGCCCGTGCTCTGTGCGCTTCCCCTCTGGTTCCGGTGGCACACGGCGCTGACGGCCGCCCCACCCGCGTGGACGCCGCTCGCGTCCACGCCCCACACGGTCGACCACCTGTGCCGTCTCACACTCACGCCGCAGCCGGTGCACAGCCCACACGAGCTCTGGCACGTTGATACCCGCGACGTGCAGGTGCCTGGCAGCGATGCGCTGCGCGCGTGGCACGTACGTGGTCTCTCGCTCGTGCGCGACGTGCTGGCAGAGCACGCGTTCGAGAGGCGCGTCGACGCCGCGGCGCGGCGCGGCCTATACCCCCCTGCGCCGACCATCCCGCCCGACTCGTTCGACTCGGTACGCATATCCGACTCACACAGCTACGGGCGCACTGGGCGCACCTGCGCCCGTCGCCAGCGCCGGCGTGGCTCGCGCATGTGGAGCGGGTGGAGCCCAGCGTCGCGACGCTGGGCGGCTGGCTCGACCTCGCGACGGACCTCCTCGCACGCACCTGGGCGCCATACTGGTGCGAGCTGTGCGCGTGCGTATCGCCTACTCACGCAGGCCCTTTCTGCTGCTCCGTTCGGCGCCGTCGCCGACGCGCCCTCTCGAGCGCGCGCTCCTGCTGCACAACGTGCACGTAGATGCGACGCACGACCCCGACATGCCCCACACGTTTGCTATCTACACGGGCGCCGCGTCGTACCTCTGCCGCGCCGCGTCACGCACCGCGATGCACGCGTGGATGTACGTACGCCGCACTGACCCAGGCACGCTCTCGCTCCGAGCACCGGCCGCACGTGATCACGGGACTCGGCCGACGCACACCCCTTTAGCGCGCGTCCCCCTGCAGCTCGCCCTAGGCGTCGAGCGGGGCTGCCTCTTCCCTCATGGACGACGGGGTCGTCCTGCGTGCGGGCCGCGCCGCTGGGGTCGCGCGGCATCCCAAGCACGACGAGGAGTGCACACGCCCACCGAAGCGCGCCTGCCGTGGCGCAGGCGCAGACACGGAGGACGCCGGCCCCGAGCTCGTCACGCCAGCGTCGCTGCGCGAGGCGTACGCGGCGCGACGGCCCGTGGCGCCGCTCGGTGCGGACCTCGAGCCGGCCAAGTTTCGTGCGCCGAGTGCCGTGAGTGCGCGCCTGGTCGAGCGCGCGTCGCCCACGCGCACCAAGCAGGCGCCCGAGCGGTTCTCGCCCTCGGACATGGCGCACGCTCAGCGGGCCGCCGCACACATTGCATCGCCCCTGCCGTACGCACTGTCCTCGTCGCTGCCGCTGCCGGCCGCATTTGTGCAGCTGCTGGAACTGCACACGGCTGTAGAGCAGAGCCTGCTTGTGCACATTGCCACGCACGGCGCGCCGACGGCCGAGCCTGTGCCGGACGACACCGCGCGCGTGCGTATCCCGCACGTCATCACGTTCCAGAAGCTGCGTCCGATGGTCGAGCGCACAACCCGCCGCACCCTGGACGCGGCGTCGTTCCGGCGCCTCGCGTGGATCTGGTCGCATGCGCCAGGCGTGCCGACCGATACGACAGGCGCCTACGACGCTGGCGGCATGGGCTTTCTTGTGTCGTGCGTACGGACACTGCATCCGACCACGCGGCGGCGCACGCTCGACTGGTCGCTCACCCTCGAGATGTCGCTCCGGCGACCCCCCCCCACGCCGCCCTTGGAGGTGCACTACGGCTCGCCGTCCAACTTTGCCAGCCCATCCAAGGGCGCGCCGGCCTCGCCGGCGCACGCGAGTCCGAGCCGCGAGGAGATGAGCCACCTGGCCCTCTGGAACGCCGGCATCGACGAGCGCCGCGCCGAGGTCGCGCGCCGTCTGCACCGCCTCGTCGCTGCTGCTCACACCACATGGCTTGCCCAACACGGCCTTTCAGCCACGACGGCGGGCACCCCGACCCGCGCTACGTCGGACGCCCACGCCGCGCTTGCACGCGCCATCGATGCAGCGCCGCCACGCACGCCCAAGCGCGCCGGCCCACCAGGTCCTGTGCTCGGCGATGCAGGGCTCCTTACCCCGCAGGCCAGTCGCACACCGGACGGGCACGCTACGCGTGTGGTGCGCTCCATCTCTGCGCTGTCGCCGCCGACGAGTCCCCTCGCGGCCCGCTCGAAGCGTGCGTCGCCATCCCCGCCCAGCAGTGCGCGGCTCCCTGCGACGCCATCGACGCCGTCCTCTGCGCGGTGCCTGCAGCCCATGCTCCGAGCGTGGCACCCCGACTTTCCTCTGGACGATATGGCACCTATACCCCTGGCTAAGCTGCCGCCACTGGCTGTGCCGCCGGCGCCGATCACAGCCGCGGCGCAACGGCGCGCTGACTTTGCCCAGCGCGTCGCGACTGCGTCAGCCGAGCGCCCCGCGACGGCCTCCTCGTTGGAAGAGCGCATCCGCGCCAAGGAGCAGGCGGCGCGTGCGGCGACCTCAGCGGATTCGGCGCGTGCCTCACTGCACGAGCGCTCGGTCCTCTCACGGTTGCGCGAGATGGCCGATGCGATATACCTTCTCTACACGACAGGCGCCACAGCGCCCACCGCTACGGGGCGGCAGACGGGCATCCTGCCGCTCCTCGATGTCCTGACTGCGCTCGAGCACTCGTCGAGCGTGGCCATGAGTCGACGCGAGAGCCTCGCGTGTGTGAGGACGCTCATGGACGTGGCCCCTGGCTGGCTGGAGATGCAGCGCGTGGGCTCGAAAGAGTGGCTGCGTCTGTCCCACGACCCCACATCGGGCTGTAGCCTGCGGGACGTGCATGCGAAAATTCAGACGGCCATGCAGCGCGCCAAGGCCTCATAGATTGTATACTACGGAAGCGCACGCAGAATGGCAGCCTCGACGTCCGACGTGGTCGCCGAGCCACCCGGAAGGTCGGGCGTGAGTGTGCTGCCCTCGCTCAGCACCGCGTCGACGGCGCGGTAGACGCGCAGCGCAGGCTCCGTGTAGCCCATGTACTCGAGCATGAGCGCAGCCGAACGCACGGCGGCAATGGGGTTGGCCTTATTCTGCCCGCAAATATCCGGCGCCGAGCCGTGCACAGGCTCGCCCATGATGAACGTGTCGCCCGCATTCACACTCGCCACGAGGCCGAGCGAGCCGACGAGCGCAGCGGCACCGTCGCTGATAATGTCGCCGTACAGGTTCGGCGCGACAATCACATCAAAGACGTGGGGCTCACGGAACATGCGGTACACCATGCTGTCAACGAGCTGCTCATCGAGTGCAACACCTTCGTAGCGGCCCGGGCCGCCGTTCTCGACACGGTCGGCGTCGTACACGCCACGCACCGACGTACGGAACAGGCCGTCCGTCACAGACAGCACGTTGGACTTGTGGCAGATGGTCACCTTGGTCGGCGCCGAGCTGCCAGCGGCCTGGCGCATGGCCTGGCGCGTGCGCGCCACCTCGAGCGCCTTGCGGCCGATACGCGTCGACGCGTGCTCCGTGATCTGGCGGATCGCGCGAGCCACCTGGCCCTGCGGCGTGTCCTCCAGCGTCTCCGACTTGATGTACTGCGGTCAGCCCATCAACATACGAGGCACTCGGTGTTCTCACGGATCGTCACCATGTCGATCGGCTTGTCGAACGCGGCGCCCGGCAGCACAGGGCCGGTCACAGGGCGGATGTTCGCGTACAGGCCCAGCTCCTTGCGGAGGCGCACAATCGGACTCGAGTAGCCCTCGACCTTGTGCGATGGGCTCGACACAGAGCCGAACATGGCCGCATCACACTCGTTCTTCAGCACGTCGATCGTGTGCTGCGGCAGTGCCTCGCCCGTCTTTTGGAAGTGCTCAAAGCCGGCCTGCAGCGGCACGAACTCCATCTTCGGCAAGCCAGGCGTCGCCTCCAGCACGCGCTGCGCTACAGGGAGCACCTCGCGGCCAATTCCGTCAGCAGGAATCATACCGATACGCAGCGCTCGTTGCATCATCACCGACGAAGGACGGAGCATGGTCACAGGCAGGATCGTAGCCGCCCGCTCTCACAAGGCCTCTGCTGCACGCTTATGTTATGCAACACCCGGCCGATCGCCGCGGCCAGCCGGTACTGCCTGCCGCCATGTCGCGCCACCGCGCGGTGCGCAATCTCGACTTAACCGAGGAACTTGCCGACGATTATGACCATGATGCCGACTTTCTGGGTATGTTTCGTGTACTTACATCAAGATGATATTTCGCCAGAGGACCAAGACGCTCTCGAACAAGCCTTGCTCGCTGTGATCGACACACTCGGCGAGCCAGAAGAGTGCGGGATCTCGGAGCGCCGCATGAAAGAAGCATTATGGGAGACCTACTTCGATGCGCCTGCTGCTGTTGACATGCTCATGGAGGCGAAGGAGCAGGAGGAGGCACAGGCCCGCAAACGCGCAGGTACGTATCTTTACATGTCAGGCACGCGGCCGGCCGTGCGGCGAGCAGACCGCTGACGGAAGATGGATTCACCAACGTCGGGACAAGCGCCAAGGCACCGCGCCTGCAGCATATACCGCCGCGCCGCGCAACGGCCCACCGGCCACCTGTGTCCGATACCCGGGCTTCTGCGCCGCGAGACTCGCCACTTGCGTCTCCTGTCAAGGCAGCTGGTGCGAGTCCTGTGAGCTCGCCACGCACTGCATCGCCGGCCAGCGGCTCGGCTTCCAAAAAGCTGTCCAAGCTGCAACAAAAATTACAGGCAAACCGCGAAAAATTGGGTGCTGCTGCGTCCGGCACGAGTGCTAGCAAGGGCATCGCACGGCTCTTGTCTCCGAGGCCGTCTACGCAGACGCCCCCTCGTGTATCGTCACCGATGCCGACGGCGGAGCCTGTGACTGTTGCACCTTCTGGAACGCAGCTATCTACCTTGTTTCCTCGTACGCATCCCCAGCAGCCCCTCTCAAGCTTTGGTCGGGCGCTTAGCAGTGTGGCGTGTGGGCACGCGGCAAGCACGCACATTTCTCTCTCATCGAGGACGGATGCGGAGATAGAGCAGCTGCAGGCGGTGTTTAGCCAGCTGAGTCCCGACGATGTGGTCCAGCAGGCACGGCAGGGCACGCGCCTGGCGCGCTAGAGCACACTGACCGCAGAAAAGGAGAAGCGCGCACAGGCGCAAGCCGTGGAAAAAGCCAACAAGGCCGCCTCGAAACCAGCAGCAGGGCGTGTGCAGCAGCTGCGACAGTCGATGGGCAAAATGAGTGTGCAGAGCTCGCCTAGCAGCTCGCCCGGCAGCACGTCACGCTCGTCGATGCCGCCCACGCCGAAGCTGGCACTCTCGCGTGAGCAGATCCTCGAGCAGCTGCACGCGCAAGATGCGCAACAGGCGCGTGAGATGGGTCTCGTGGTTGTGGGCCACGTCGATGCGGGCAAGTCGACTCTCATGGGGCGCATGCTCGTGGAGCTCGGTCAAGTGTCGGAGCGCGAGCACCAGTCGAATGCGCGCCAGAGTGCGAAGATGGGCAAAGGCAGCTTTGCGTATGCTTGGGCGCTCGACTCGTCCGAGGAGGAGCGCGCACGAGGCATCACCATCGATGTGGCGCAGGATTCGTTCCGCACCGAAAACACTGTGTTTCACCTGCTCGACGCACCTGGCCACAGCGACTTTGTGCCCAACATGATCAGTGGTGCGGCGCAGGCTGATGCAGGCGTCCTCGTCATTGATGCGATCACCGGCGCCTTTGAGGCAGGTTTTGGGCCGCGGGGGCAGACGCGTGAGCATGCAACCTTGCTGCGCAGCCTGGGTGTGCAGCAGCTGATTGTGGTGATCAACAAACTCGATGCGATGTCGTACAGCCAGGCTCGCTACGAAGAGATTCGCTCGCAGCTGCAGCCCTTCCTGCAACAGGGCGGGTTTGATCTGAGCCGGCATGTCCAGTGGGTGCCGTGTGCGGCGTTGGAAGGCGAGAACTTGCGCCATCGGTCCCCCGATGGCCTTCTGGCTACGTGGTATACCGGCGCTACGCTATCTGAAGCGCTGGATCGTTTGCAGCAGCCGCCTCGCATGTACGACGCTGCCTTCCGCCTGCCAGTAAGCAATGTCTTCAAAGGCGGCTCTGCGCTCAGCTCAGGCCTTGGCGTTAGTGGGCGTATCGTAAGTGGTTTTGTGCAGGTCGGTGAGGTGGTACGGTCGCAGCCTGGCGACGAATGGGGCCTTGTCAAAGCCATTGAGATGGACGGCGACTTGCGTCCCTGGGCCGCAGCCGGCTCGAGTGTCACGCTGTACCTGACGAACCTAGAGACGAATCAGGTGCATGTTGGCAGCCTGTTGAGTCCGCCGTCGGCGCTCGTCCCTCTGGCTAAAGAGATCATTGTGCAAGTGCTCGTGTTTCAGCCCACCTATCCCCTGGTGCGCGGCACGGCCGTCGAAGTGTACCATCACAGCGCCGATATGCCGGGCCAGTTGACAGAGCTGATCTCGCTTCTGGATAAGGGCACAGGCGAAACGGTGCGGCACCAACCGCGTGTACTGCAGCACCACGTTACAGCGCTCGTTCGCGTAAAGTTGGGCCACGGCACTCGCGATGCAAGTGGCTTCCCGATGGAGGACTTCAAAACGAACAAGGAGATGGCGCGCGTGCTTTTCCGCATGAATAGTGAGACAGTGGCTGCAGGTATTGTCGTAGACGTCTTGTAGCGATACAGCCTGACTCACGAGCCCGGCTTGGAGCGAGCCGTCGGCCGCGGCGGAATGGATTCGCCGCGCTTGCGCCGCTCTTCTTCTTCGCGCCGCTGTAGCAGAAGCCACCGCTCACGGACCATCTTGTCTGTGCGCCCACCAACATAGTTGGCTACTTGGACCCATGACTTGCAAGAGTGTACACATGCTCGCAGCCGCTCGTCCTCTTCTTTGGACCAAGCGCGCCGCACCGCCTGTGTTTCGCCCTCGGGTATATTCGCCAGTCGTCCGACCCAGCGCTCGCGGCATTGCTGACTGGTGCGTCCTTGCACACAGACCTCGACCCTCTTCCAGTCACATCCAAACTGTGCGACAGCAGCGCGAAGTGCAGCATCTTCTGTAGCGCTCCAGCGACCCATAACCACCGTATGTTTCTTCAGCTGGATGTGCCGCTGGTGACACAGGCTTGCACTGGTATTGGGAAGCTCTAGACGCGATGCCACGAGCTTCCAGTCCGGGCCAAGTTCTTGCACAGCCTGCATCAATGCTGCGTCCTTCTCAGGCGTCCACTCAATCTTGGGCTTGACGGTGCGCTGATACATCTCAAATGCCTGGTAGCCTGTGCGCCCTGGCTGGAGAACAGCTGCGACCTCATCCCACGCGGGTGAACCTTCGCGCTCGACATAGCTCACCAGGTCGCGCTTTTCCGCAACCCCCCAACGACTGTGGTTCAGGCCAGGACGCTCGTGAAACGCCCATCGTGTGCGACAATCCGCAGGGGTATGATACGGCACATGCATCGCGATGCGAGTCCAATCGAGATCCGCAACAGTTCCGCGGAGTGCCTGCTGTCGCGTTATCTCATTGCAAACTGCGACCTTAAGGCATTCCAGATCGCGATTACTCCACGGCGGCGAGGAGAGCAGCGCTCTGGTCTGTCGTCGCGCTTGTGCGTGAGCGCGCAGGAGAGGAATAGCATCCACATCTTCGCGGCGCAGTAGCGGCAGCGAGTACTGAATTTTCGGACGTACTGGACCCAAGACCCATTCGCTTGCCGCCGCTTCTTGCTGCTCACACAGGTCTAGCTGCCTCAGGGTTTCCTCGATGCGGCGCTGCTCCGACTCGAGCGCAAGATGCGCCTCCGCTTGTGCCTTCTCCTGCAAAAGACCTGCACGCTGTACAGCCTTAATATGGACGTCAAGATTTTGAAGCGAATTCAATTCCGCTTCCTCCGAGCTCCAAAGCGAGGCCGACGCCATCGCGCAGGGCACGGCGCGGTAGAAAACAGGTACGTAGCCTCCACTCGCGCAGCGATCCGCCGCCGACGCCCCCGCTGCCAATCGCGCCGGCGGTATGTCATACTATTTCTGCATAGTCGGTACGCGCGACAACCTCCTATATGAGTCAGAATTATCTTTGCCTGGTACGACGGCGGCGTCGAGCAGTGGCGCAGGTCCGTCAGCGAGTGCCGGTGGTGCGGGCTCGTCCGAGAGCCATCGCACATCCAGTGTATTTGGATTCACCAGCGCCCTGGGGCATTGGTCCGGCGGCTTCCGGATGCCACTGCGTCAGGCAAGCGAAACCAAGGAGGAAGCGGGGCTCGCTACTCCCAGTGCAGTGCATGAGCGGCACATTCTTCAAATGATCGCCCACGGCTCCCTGGACATGCTCGAAGATCGGCAGTTTCTTGACAATGACATGTGCGTATCCGCGTCTCACCGTGCAGCTACTTTAAAAATATCGATCGCATAAATGACTGGAATGTCTCTCTATTTTGTGTGCCTGGAAGTAGGTACTGTGCGCTGACACAGACGTGAAGCTGATTTTGCTCCATCAACATAAGCACGACGAAGGTATACGGCTCTTTCTCATGGACGCATGGGAACTATGGCTCAAGGTAAGTCTATCGATGCTCATCCAGTCCATGATGAACCCGTTCCAGGATTTAGATGCGCCCATCCGATCGCGATCTTTCGACGTGCGCCTTCGCGCCAGTGCACGGAAGCATCTGTGACCGGCCTGTTTAGTCATTGTCCATAGTGGTCCGTTCGTCGGTAGATCTCCGTTCCTCTATGCAGTCGTATGTTATGTATGTCGGCGGTGCTTATGCAGCATCTTCAAGGACGGTGTCCCTGACGAGGAAATCAAGCACCAGGCGAAAGAGCTGAGTGCTCTGGGCGGGAACATCGCTCATTGGTACACGACGTCCTTTCTGCGGGGCTTTTCCGCGCAACTGCCAAATAGCGTGGCCGAACGGCTCAGGCATGAGACAGAGGAGAAGCAGCACCCATGCATGTAAGCAAAATCGACTCATACAGTGACTATATAGAACCAGACCAGCCCATGCGGATGCAGTAGGACTTAGAGCTCTTCGTGGTCAATGCGCGCCTCGTCCGCCAGATCAGTCTCTGTCCTGAAAGGGAAACAGACCGCGGGTGTTTTGGCGTGCATAGTATACGTGCACTTCTCAGCTTCCAAGACCCTGACCAATTCGTTGGTCTCACCGCACTCCAGTGTCACGCGTGTAGAGCGTGCAGGGCCATTCCAGCACCCTTGACCGTGCTCGTACTGCATCGACAGATAGTGCCGATCGTCCGTCATGTCAAACTCGGCGTTCACATCAAAGCGTGAGAAGCGACCCAGATCAAAGCGGTATCCATCATTGTTGGAGATCTGTGTCGACTTGCCGCCAAAGCAAAGTTCGTAGGTATAGGCACCCGTGTCCTTGGTCATACATGTACCCTCTAGCGCCCTGAACTCACTGTCCCGTCCATACCTCTCGGGATCATCCTTGAGTGAATTTTTATGAGTCACGACCTCGTTGTTAATCTTTTCAACTTCGGAAACACTTTCGTCATAAGCAGCACGCGCCGTATCCAAAACCTTGGATGCCCTTCCATGCACTTGTACAGGCGACAAAACATCGAGGTGTACTAAGGTATGGAGGACCCATGAGATCAGCTGTTCATACATAGGCACCAGATTCTCAGGTAGGTAAGAAGGAATGTGCCGCAGACCAGGCCTTGTCTCTTCAGACACCGCACCGCTTGGCTCTCCATCGAGCATCTCGAGAATGTTCATATTGGCCATGTTTTCAATGTCCGACGAGGAAGGAGCCCAGTCACGGATATCGTCCAGCTTGGCATCGAGTGTGATTTGTTCTCCCTCTTCCGTCTCGCCCAGCCACAGTTCCAAAGCGTCCTTGGATTCTTTGGTCTCTGCGCCTTCGGCGATGCGGGCCACGGCACGGAGCTCATCCACAGCATTGTCCAAGGCACGCGAGAGAGTGCGAATCATTTCGTGCCGTTGCTCAATCTGCTTGTAGAGCGCTGGGATTAGCGGAATATACGTACGGCTCTGCATCTGCATTTCCCGCACCTCCTGGTCGCTCAGTTCCTCCTTCTCTAGTGCCCGTTTCAAATCATCAGCCCGTTTCTGAGCTAAAGCCATGTCACGAAGTAGTTCATCCAACTTCTTTTTGTGCACTGCCTGCTCTTTCTTGGCCGTTTCAATGTAGCTGGCGCGGATACGAGCGCCGTTACTGTGTATTTTCAGCTGCGCTTTGCGCTTTCTATCCGCTTCGGTCGCTTTCGCGGTGCACACATTGGGGCATACCACCTTGCCATCTGTCTCGTCAGAGCCGTCGCAGCACTCGGGATCTTTCAGTTAGTTGCCTTCACGTACCACAGACACCATCATTGACGCGAGAGCTGCGGATTACGCCTGGAACGAAGCCCTTGTTCTCACAGTAATAAACACCGTTGGGGCATGCAGAAGTACCAGGTTCATCTGTACCATCAGGACAGTCGCAGTAGTCGTCGTTGACGGCACTCATGGGTATCCATTTCTCCGTGCGTAGACATCGAAACATAGATACTCCATCCTTTACAACTGGCTTGTACAAATGCTGGTCTGCGGATGAGTATTCGAGCCTACTTACCTTGCGGGCTAACACCCCGAATGTGCAATGCGCACACACTTGCGCAGAACACAGTGAGGCACGCAAGCCACTGTGTCAGCATAGTGCGATGCGAGCGGGCGGAGGACAACGGCACGCAAGACTCCACCATTATTTCCCACTATTGACATGTAAGCTCGAATTACTACTGCACTGACCCCTGGGAGGCCGGCACGAGGCCATAATCGCTCGGATGGTTTTGTCCAAGAGGGCTTTTCTGTTCATTCGAAATATTTTCCAGGTGACGGATATGCGAGCGAGCCTTGCCTGAGCCGATGAGGCGCGCGGCCAAGCCCGCAAGGCCATACACTCTCGGCGGGGCAGGCTTGCTCGATGGATGTGCCGCCAAGTATGTGTCACGGCGATCCAGATCCTGGTCAAAGCGGATGAGGCGGTCTTTCATCTGCTTCTCTACCGTCTCAAGAAGTTGGTCGACATCGTTGTCGGTGAGGCCCTTGGTTTCGACAGGCGGAAGCACAGCCACACGCAGCTCGCCGCCGTCGAAGCGTGTCTTCGAGTCGAACATACGATGGTAGTTCTCGCACACAATTGGGATGATGGGAAGCTGTGTCTGAATGGCCAGATGGAAGGCGCCCTTCTTTAGCGGCAGCAGGCCAGGTGTCGCCATATGCGACCGCGTGCCCTCCGGGAATATAAATAAGGCCAGCTTGTTTTCGCGCATGTGCTGGCCGGTCTGGGCCATGGTCTTGATGGCGCTGGAGCGGCTTTTCCTGTCAATGAATGCAGTGCCACTAAGCATCATGAACTGACCGAGAAGCGGGGCAAACTTGAGCTCCTTCTTGGCCATGATAACAGAGCCTGGCGGGAAGACGCGACCCAAGTACAAGATATCTAACATTGACTGGTGGTTGCCCAGCATAATCGACGGGCGGTTCTGAAGGTGCTCAGCACCCTCGAGCGAAATTTTGTATCCGATAAGTGTACCAGCAATAGCATAGAAAGAGCGTGCCACGAGATAGTTTGTGTTGAAACGCTTGCCAGGAATAAGGCTAAGACAAAGGGCATACACGACGCCTAGCGAGCTGCATACGCTGACACTCAGCATGTACAAGAACGTGTTGAGGTAATAGCGCGCCTTTTGAGAGCGCGCAGAAGCAAGTGTCAAGAGCACAAATGACACAGAGCTCGTAGAGGCTAGTGCGTTTAGCAGCTTTCCCATGGTGGTGGAAACACGGGAGGAGCACGTGGAGGTGCGCGTGCTCTGCGGAGCTACGAGACATGACTTACTTTGCGCATTAAGGACGCCAGCGCACGGCCTGCTTGCGGTCCCCATTCACCCATGGATACCTGATCACAGCAGTATTCAAATTCTTCAGACCTCGATACTTCTTGCCAGTGATGAGAAATATAGTTTTGAATGGCCTGCTGCAGTTGCTCAAATAGAGCTGTCAAGAGCAGGTAGTTGATGGCATTGTGAGGTGTTAGTAGAGAAATAATGTGTGACGTTATAAGGTCACATAGTTTCGTGACATGGTACCTGTGTGCCAGGCGATAGAGTGAGAGAGGGGAGGCTGGCGGCACAGGGAGCATCGGCGGATGAGGATGGGGGTCCGAAAGATTGGGCGGTTTGAATTCGTTCACACGTCGCGCAGCGTCACGGGTCTCGTCCCTGCTCATGTAGCCCTCAGAAAGAATAGGTTTGGAGGCTTGGCGCATCGGATAGCATGCATCAACGTCCCACTCATCCAGACCCTCAACGCTGCGCCACTTCCAGTCGGGACGCGCCGACTTGGATTCAATACCAAGGATCCATGCGTCGTCCAAAGAAACAGCCTGAATATCCTCCGTGTTAAGCAGTTCGACTTGATCCGTGTACAGATACCGCAAAAGCCAATACATTGTCACGAAATCTGCCCCAGGTATACGCAGCATACGATAGGGCCGGCGCCAGGCATCCTTAGATCGCCCAGTATGAACATGCGTGTCATGAAGGGTGCCCTCGCTGAAGTTGGATTCAATCATAGCTGCAAAGACTTCACTGCGTTCCCGCAAAATAGATGAGTGCGCCCACAAAACACGATCACGGACAAACACAGGGGGAAGTTGTCCATCCTCAGAGAAAGGCATCGGCATGCCCGCCGGCCACGCCTGGATAAAGTGGGTGAGACCCACGCTCTCGGCCAACTCCTGGGAGGGATGCTGTTCAAGGCCCTTTTCGCTCACAGTAATCATAAGGTCACCCGTATTGGCATCATCTACCAGCGCAGAGAGCGCTTGCAATAGGCTGGGCGGCAAACCCACAAGTCCTGGAGTTTGGAAAGGCATACGCATTTCGCCTTGCTCCTTGTTCGAATGCACATCTTTGGCTGGCAGTACTGATGGCCCCGTCCCAACCTGGACAACCAAATCCACCGCATTGTATTCGCGTACGTGCGCATCTGCCATCAGCTGCGCGAGATTAGGAAAACGGTCAAAAACGAGCGTATCATTATTGCGCTCAAAGGTGAACGAGAAAAAGTCTCGCCATAAAAACTCGTGTGTGACGAGTTGCGATTGTTTCACGGCTCGCTGTGCTGGTCGAAGTCCAACCATGACATGGGTAGGCAAGGCAGCTGTGAAAGAAAGGCCCATCAATTCCAGGTAGGTCATCTTGAGCGTTAAGATATAATCCTTCTGGTGCAATGATGCCCGTCTTTGGGGCGTAGGTGACGTTGGTAAGTCGGTTTTGCGTTGGCGCACAAGCTCAATACGCCATCGCTCATCCCCGAATAAGGGTTGAAGGTTCCAAGCCTCGCTCTTATGTCCTCCAGAAGAAGACTTGGAGCCCATAGTAATTTCTTCATGAAGTAGACGGACATCTTCGATCATCCAGGACAATGACAAGAGTGAATTCTGCTCGAACTTTTGCGATACATGCGCATTGCGTACCTCAGGTGCCCTGGGTCCCAAGTCAGAAATAGTGCCGGCAGGGAACGATACAGAGCCAGGTTGAATTTGCGTCTCCTGCACAAGCGCAGATTGAATGCGAGACTCAGAACCAGGAGAGAACATTACCTTCGCATCAGTAGGCTGCAGATTGGACACGCTTGGACCACTCGCAAGAATCCTTTCAGTTAGGCCAGGATTCATACGGCCCATGCCGCCACTGCTCGTACTTATTGCTCCCTCGCCTTGAACTGTAGCGAAAGATCCATGGACATTGGCGCCGTATGCAACCGCTGCTGGTCGCAGAGAAGATGGGGCCGGCTCGTTCGAAAAATAGCCATAGAGACTAGGAAGCAAAGTTCCAGGACCTGCTCCAGTTTGGGACGACAGAGCAGCAAGGACAGGGTCGCGGCGATTGGATTGAAGTATTGAGGAACGCCTGCGGCTTTCACGGCGGCGACTGCGCTGCGCGGCAGGAGACGTAGAGGGAAGGCGAGAGGGTCCCATGGTAAGTTGGGCCTCAGCACGGTCAATGGCGCTTGGCCTTGATGGTGTTATGGTGGATGTATCATTGATAGGTGGGCCTTGGGCTGGAGCTTCGCGAATATGGGTCTCTGGTAAAGTGGCATGATCCGCAGGCCTAGCATCAGGTTGGGTATTAGCATCGGCTTCTGCCTCGTCCTCGGCTCCTCTGCTCTCGGAAGCTAACTGGGTAGGTGGTAAAGGGGACAGAGTATCGCCGTTTTCTCTTTCCTCATGTTCGTCATCACCGTTAATGCCAGTTCCATGGGGGGGCATAGGTTCAGTGACGGAACGTCGCGGTGAGGCAACAGGAGCATTACGGCGATTTGGGCGCAATCCAGGAAGAGGTAGAGCGATAGAAAGTGCAGGTAATGGTCGTGGCGAAGTCAGGTTTGTGTGGTCCTCAAGCGCAGAAGGGGCACCAGGATCCGAACTAGTTTCAAACGTGTCCGTGGCGGGATTTTCCGGGTGAGAAGTCGTTTGATCAGAAATTGGATTATTATTTCTCTCCAAAGCATGGAGTCGAAGTTCTCGAAGGTTATCAGGAAGTTCAAGGTTGCTAGATTCAATATCAGAGTCTGTTTGAAACGACGTTGACGTGTCAGGAGCCGCAGGGGGAGTTGATGACGCGTTCATTCGAGCTACGCGCCCAATATCTGAAACAGATCCAAAAGAACGGGGTAATTTGCGCTCTGGTGGCGCTCGTGGCCCGCGCACCCCGCGTGGCGATGTCGTCCGCGAAGGACTTGGCTCCATCGTGATGGACAATACGCGACTGTGATCGGTAGTAGCACAAGTTTATATAAGCGAAAGTAACACTAGTCTGCCACTTACGAACTACTCATACAGGCCATCATGCTCAAGGCTAAGGCGGATATTGACAGCGTCGCTAATGATCTGGGTTAGCGCTAGGTCACTTACACGATCTACATCCAGGGAAGGAAGCGAACATAGCATGCTCATAGTTTCAGAACGATCAAGATCCTCGAGCGCATCTTTGCAGTTCATAAGAATGGCCAAGCAAACATAAAGATGCAAGTCGAGCAAGTCTGGCACGGCAAAATAGGTATCTCCAGGGTAAGACAGTGTATTACATACCCCACAATCGCATGAGGTCATCCATCTGCATCTCACGAGCAAGTAAATGTTGCAGCCAGCTAGTGGCTACAGCGAGTACATCCACTTCTTCCGTCTCGAAGTAGGCATGCAATTCTGGGAGAGATGTTCGAAATAGTGTCATAAAAAGAGAAACGCGCTGTGGTAGTGGATGAGAGTTATTGTACTCTTCTACCGTAAGTCAGAGATTAACATCACATACCAATCATCGACATCAGCCTTTCAAAGGCAAAATACATGCCTGCTTCGGCTCGCACACACTGTGCAAATGGAGCGCATAAATATACAAGAGATGGATGAAATTCGGCCAAGTTTATTGTCTCATTGGCGGCCATGGTAGAAGCCGTATTTGGCCCCCATGGATATTCAGCCGCGGCCTGGGATTTGATCGAAGCTTGCTTTGCAGCATAAGCATATGAACCAGGAACATCTTTCTTTCTTGAAGAAACAAGATGGCGATTTAGGTAGGCACACATAACGTTTTCGACACTCTGAGCCATTTTTCGTTGACCATCAATAACTTCTGAGTCATTCACACTTGGATTAAACCGCATAGTCGCTAGTCCATATTGAGTAGAGGGTAGAATGCGGGGGATTTCTAAGGTATCCATGTCCTGCATTTGCCCATGTACTGAATCTGTCGTATCAGTAATACCCGCACTCTCGTTTGTCGAGGTATTACGCGAGTTGCGGAATGCTGAATATAAGTGATCCAAACCAACCTGAAGTAGCATCTCTCCGGATCTTTAACGAATGAGAACTCATCCTTTGCCTAAAATACCACAGAACTTCTGTCCGAATTTGTTTCTCGAGCAGAGGTATGCGTTTGCTTACGCTTTCGTATTCCAGGAACTTGCTGCGAACTGCTGTCATTTCCTGACCTAATGTTATGTTGTCATACTTACTTTTGTCCGCAGAAAGAACTCCGAGCAAATAGAGCCATACCTCCTTTCTGTTAGAGCTTGACATTAGAACGTACACCGCGAACTTGAGGATGCACACCATGTCTTGCGTAATTCCTTAACTTAGCTAGGTCAAGGTGTCTTCAATCAGCCCAAAAAAAAACATACTGTTCCTCATTGAGAATCTGATGTCAGACCTGATATTCGCTAACGTACTTCTAGGAACTCCTCGAGCGTTACAACACTCATTCGGGGACGGCTTGAAGCACTGGCCATCAGGAGGAGTAGGTCTGTCACGTGCCACGTTGATTCGGGTGTTGCGCTAGTGGAGGTTAGACGGCCGCGGTTAGGCCCTCTTCGACGATGAGCACGACGGTTTGGGACCAGGCCTTTGATGCCGAGCATGTCGGCTTCAATATTTCTCAAGCATATGCGTGAGTGGCACAAAATTTACATCAGGTTTCGCTCGCTGACATTGTCAATTGCTGGATCAATTGCTGGTGTCTTAGGGCTTCAGAACTTGGACGGGTTCCTGTTCTTCTTTCTTTCCGTGATGTTCGTTAACCTTGTCCTCGTTTTCATAAATGCGCATGGAAATCCCGAAGAATACTTCTCCCTTTATCCAGCACCCTTACTTACCACCTCTCTAGAAAAGCTTGTGCCCTCGACAGCTGAAAAGTTGCGGCAACCCGTTCCGCCATTGATGAGGGCGATGCGAATTACCCAGTGGGTCATTTTCCAGGGCTTGCAGGAGAATATCCTAGCGTTTATCTTATGGTGGACATTTTGGCATGGTATTGTACATGGTAAGTCTATTTTTGTAACCTGGCAGTGTATGACTGAAATGTGTCATTATAGGCGTACAAAATGGGTAGCTATTCCTTCTCATCGACATACTCCTCTAATAATGGTGGTATGAAAAAACCCACTTGGTTGTCATCATCGACAAACATATTTCTTGTGGCTGGCTCTGTCGCCGAAAGAATGGGTGCCAATGTTGAGTGTGTCAATCGTACTTGTATTGGCTCAAGCGGTTTAGGGAGGGATGTCTCTGGCACTGGACCATTTTCAAATACGTTTACATTTTGCGCTTCATCCTGCTGTTGACGATCCGTATCTTCGAGATGATCCAAGTCGAACTCATCTTCTCGCTCTTCATATTCAACATTTCGCTCGAGTTCCTCGAACCCAGGAGCATAAGCGCTCCAAATCTCTGTGGCTAAAGTAGACCAGAGGTAAACATCGCCCGAAGACGCGATCGACGCAATTTGGGGTCGTGAGGGATGCCAATGAGCGCTGATTAATGGTTCTTTGGGACCCTCCAAAATTTTAACGAGAACACCCGCGTCTCTGTCCCAGATATAGACATTGTGAGCGGTACTTTGAGCAGCGCCGCCCATCACATATTCTGAATCGCTGCTAAATGCCACACCACTCCAAGGGGTACGGCCAATCAAATCTTGAAATTTGTGTCTTGCAACAAACTCAGGGGGGATTCCAGACTCTGTATTCACCACTGAAAAAGTGCGAACGGATCTATCGTTCAAATTTGCCACTAGATTTCGTCCGTGAAGGTCAAAGGAAAGTTGCCGAATCGCCGACGAGGCTACCTGGTTCAATTTAGTGGCTTGGATGCCCGTATTTGCATTAAACACTGATAGACTGCCCTTGCTTGTACCTGCAATAATCCAGGCACCATCAGGTGTGAAACAAGCTGTATTAATAGGCTCATTGGCTTCGAGGCGAATCCGAATTGGCGTCGATGATGGTTCTTTAGTTTCATCAAACTCAGGGAACGTAACAACATAGAGCTCGCGGCTTTCTAAGACCACCAAGAGACTTCTGCTTGTTATAGGAGAAAAAAACGCCAGTATAGCTGGGCCATCCCAGCGGAGAGTGCGAACACATCGGGCAGGACCATTACCCAAATCCCAAATGTTGACATTCCAGTCTGAAGAAGCTGATGCAAGATAGCGACTTAATGGTGACCAGCTGGTGTAAGTAAAACGTACAAACCTAACAGAAGAGACAGATTTCAGGTGAGCATTGAACCACCTAAGTATGGTGCGGGTCTCAAGATCATATATAGAGACCCAACCATCGGTGCGACCTACAGCCAAGTAGTTACCTGCAAACAGTCCAAGACCAGCATTGAACGCTAGACAGCTTGCATAAGCATTATCTAGAGTCCCTTCGATGATCTCAGGTGTATCTCGAGCAAAAGGGTCTTCGGTTAGACCGATACATTACGCCCCACTCACTCAGCAGCTGTGCATTCATGTAGATCCACTTAGAACACGCGCGCAGGTTCGGTGTCGCATGTCACGTGGAAAAATCGAGACGGCACGCGGGGTACCCCGAAAGGCCTAGAATCACTCGCACGGACTTAATTCCGACTCCAAAATATATAAATAGAAGAACCATCTCCAGTGGCGCCACCACCAAATGTCTGGATTTGAGTTTACAGATCGTGCTCAAAATTCTTTGGCTGCTGCCTTCCAGCTGGCAAAGGATTATGCACACGCACAACTATCACCAGCGCATATTGCGCTTGCACTGCTTGAAGATGATACCAACAATTCAACTGGAGTTCAGAGTACAAACAAAGACTCCCAATCTCTTTTCAAGAGTATCTGCGATAAGACAGGAGTGAGTGTGCCAGCTTTGGAGTCGAAACTCCGTGCGGCACTGAACAAGATTCCACAGCAAAGCCCTGCTCCAGACGACGTTAGTCTTACGGGAGCCGCCAACAAGGTGCTAAAAGCTGCCCAACAATATAAGACAACTCAGCGAGACTCCTTTATTGCTCAAGATCATATCCTCTTGGCCCTTCTCGATGATTCTAATACTGCTGCTATGCTGAAGGAATGTGGTTTGGCCAACCCGGAGCTGATGAAGAATGCACTTAATCAGGCCCGCGGTGGTCGCCATATTGATTCCAAGACAGCTGAAGCGGGCTATGATGCGTTGTCAAAGTACTGTGTTGACTTGACAAGCCTTGCAGCGGAAGGGAAATTAGACCCAGTGATTGGACGTGACAACGAGATTCGACGAGTGGTTCGCGTTTTGTCCCGCCGCACAAAGAACAATGCCGTCCTAATCGGTAGCCCTGGTGTCGGTAAGACGGCTGTGGTCGAAGGCCTTGCTCAGCGTGTGGTGGATCGTGATGTTCCTCCCAATCTTCTCGGCAAAATTCTTTCGTTGGATATGGGTGCATTGATGGCAGGTGCCAAGTACAAAGGTGAATATGAAGAACGTGTCAAGTCTGTCCTCAGCGATATCGAGAAAATGACTAATGATGGCACACCCTGCATTCTTTTTATCGATGAAATGCACCTTATTATGGCCGGCAAGGGCGGTGACAGCGGTATGGATGCTGCTAACTTGCTAAAGCCGATGCTGGCACGTGGCAAGTTGCGTTGTATCGGTGCCACGACTTTAAACGAATACCGTCAGAGTATTGAGAAGGATGCCGCCCTTGAACGACGATTCCAGCAAGTTATCGTCGAAGAACCGACTGTGGAAGATACAATCGCAATCCTTCGTGGTCTTCGTGAAAAGTACGAGGTTCATCATGGTGTGCGCATTTTGGACAGTGCCCTTGTGTCTGCCGCCCAACTGGCTAAGCGTTACCTGACTGCGCGCAAGCTTCCTGACTCTGCTATCGACTTGGTTGACGAGAGCTGTGCAGATGTCACGGTGTCGAGGGAGACCGTACCTGAGGCTATTGATACGCTGGAGCGCCGTAAGGTCCGTTTGGAGATTGCGATGACAGCACTGGAGCGCGAGAAGGACCCTCAGAGCAAGGAGCGACTCGAGGAAACAAAGCGCGAATTAGCTCATCTTGATGACGAGCTGGCTCCTCTTAAGGCAGAATTCGAAGCACAGCGTGCTAAGGGTGACGAGCTGAACAATGTCCGTCGCAAGATTGAGGAGCTTCGTGCAAAGGCGAGTGATGCAGAGCGTCGTTATGATCTTCAGACTGCATCTGACTTAATGTACTACGCAATTCCCGATCTTGAGAAGCGCGCGGAACAGCTTCAGGAGCAAGCTCGTAAAGACGAGGCTGAAGGCAAGACGAACACTGCTAATACGGTCACAAGCGAGAACATCGCCGCAATTGTGAGTCGCTGGACTGGTATCCCTGTGTCCAAGATGATGGAGAGCGAGCGCATAAAGCTGTTGAAGCTGGAGCGCATTCTTCAGAAGGAGGTTGTGGGTCAGGAGGATGCTGTGAAAGCAGTGGCGCAAGCTATTCGCCTGTCTCGAAGTGGACTTTCTAATCAGAACCGGCCTATCGCAAGTTTCCTATTCTGTGGTCCGTCTGGCACAGGTAAGACGCTTATGAGCAAGACCTTGGCATCATACATGTTCGATGACCCAGATGCGATGGTTCGCATTGATGCAAGTGAATATTCGGAGAAGCACAGTATTTCGCGTCTAATTGGTGCACCGCCAGGCTATGTTGGTCATGATGAAGGTGGTGTTTTGACGGAGGCTGTTCGTCGTCGTCCTTTCTCGATCGTACTCATCGACGAGATCGAGAAAGCAGCGCGCGAGTTTGTACAGCTCTTCCTTCAAGTGCTGGATGAAGGCCGTCTCCAGGACAGTCAAGGTCGTCTTGTGTCTTTCCGCAACACTATTATTATCATGACAAGCAACTTGGGTTCTAGCTATATTAACGATTCTGAAGAGGAAGATATTACTCCAGAGATTCGCCAGCTCGTCCAATCCGCTATTTCAAGTCACTTCCCACCTGAGTTTATCAACCGCATTGACAGCATTGTCACATTCCGCAAGCTTTCTCGAACTAACGTTCGCCATATTGTGGATATCCGCCTTAAGGAAGTCCAAAAGCGACTCGTCGAGAATGGACGTCAGTGCAAGCTGTTGGTGGACGAGGATGCGAAGAACTGGCTCGGCAGCATGGGTTACTCGCCTACTATGGGTGCTCGTCCTCTTGGTCGCGCCATTCAGGACCAGCTTCTTAACCCTCTGAGTATTCTCTTGCTTCGTGGTCAGATCCACAACGATGACCCGGAGATTCACGTTACATTCGACAAGTATCGTAACGCGCTCACTGTTCAACCAAATCACGAAGCCGTGGGAAGTTTGGATGACGACGAGGTGGATATGGACGAAGATGAGCTTGACGAGCCTCTCGACTAGATATACCTTCCCTCCCTATTGCAGTAATGTAGAGCTTAATGTTTAATGGAATGGCATATTTATAAATTGTGTGTCCTATTGAAAAATGAACAGTGTCATAATTTAAAAAACGTACATGGGTTCTGCATCGCGATTGACTACGATCAATGAATTGATGGACTACTACGTTAAGATTGTAGGTATTTCATTTTTTGCATTCAATTAGGCCATTCGGACCTATTCAGTCTGAACAGATAATTGAATAGGAACAGCTTTCAATGTTCACCGGCACACCTCCACCCCATAGTGGCCGGCTTTCACGTGTCATTTAAATGCATGGGGCAACAGTCGTTCGGTTGTCTGCCTTGCTCGTTCACGTTCCAACATGGAGTCAATTGTGAAGGTAACCTCTCCAGAAATGGTCCCAGTTATAGTAGAGAAGCTTAGGGCCTCTTTCTTAACTGGTAAGACAAGATGCTTGGATTATCGCAAGAAACAGCTAAAACAGTTGTATTTCCTTGTTCACGATAACCAGCAAGCCTTTGTTGATGCCATCTATAAAGATTTGGGTCGACCGAATATGGAGACTTCGTTTGGAGAAATCATCACTTTTAAGAACGACTGCTTAAAGTCGATCAAAAGCCTTAAAAAATGGGCCAAGGATGAAAATGTTTGGCCAGGCTTGCCCTTCATGCTTCATTCCACCTATGTTCGCAAGGATCCTAAAGGCACTGTTTTAGTTCTGGGAGCTTGGAACTACCCAATTACTGTGCAACTGAGTCCGATGATTGGTGCCATTGCGGCCGGTAACACCGCTGTACTGAAGCCCTCGGAAATCTCGCCGCATACGGCCCAGCTGATTGCAGATTTGTGGCCCAAATATATGGATCTTGAAACTACCGCTGTGATCAATGGTGGAATTTCGCAAGCCCAGGCACTTTTAGAAGAGCGATGGGAACACATTTTCTATACAGGCAATGGCCGTGTTGGTCGTATTGTTGCCGAGAAAGCTGCGAAATTCCTGTGCCCGGTCACGCTTGAATTGGGCGGCAAATCCCCCGTTATTATTGACGATACGGCCAATCTGAGCATTGCAGCACATCGAATCCTATGGGCCAAGTCCTTCAATGCAGGTCAAACTTGCATCGCTCCGGATTATATTCTCATTGACCGCAAAATTCAAGATAGATTTGTCGCTGAACTGCAAAAGGCGCAGCGCCAATTCGGGAAGGAGGCGCTTGTTAATGGGAAAGATATTGGCAGGATCGTAAATGTAAATCACTGGAAACGCATCTACAATCTTGTGACCTCGTCTACGGCGGAATTGGTTCTTGGCGGGGTCGATGAGGCAGATGAAGAAACACGTTTCATGCCTATCACAGTCTTCAAGAATGTACATGCGAATGACTCGACGATGAGTGAAGAGATCTTTGGTCCTGTTCTTCCTATTATACCTGTTGACAGTATTCGTGAAGCTGTTGACTTTGTGAATGCGCGCGACCAACCACTTGCGCTGTATATGTTTTCTGAGAACAAGGCTGTGTGTGACTATATAATGAGGTACACTCGCTCTGGTGGCGTCGTCCGTGGAGACATGCTCATTCACTTTGCAATTGATGCGTTGCCATTCGGTGGGACAGGACCTGCAGGTTTTGGTGATTACCATGGTCAAAACAGCTTCGAATGCTTTTCTCACAAGCGTTCTGTCGTTATCGCCCCAGCAGGTGGCATTCTTGGCTCTCTTGTGGAGAAGATCATGGCAATGCGTTACCCCCCGTACTCTAATGCCAAAAACAAGTTCTTCCAATTAGTGCTTTCTGATCACGCCAAACTCAGTCGTCCCCTTGAGCCGACCAAGTCGAACACAAACATTGATCAACCGATCAATAGGGTACGTACCTAACTTGTTTTTGTTGACACGAAAGACGGCTCTGCTGCGGATCGTATGTCGCAAAAAGCTTTTCTTGGCGGTACTATTGCTAGCCGTGGTGCTTCGTGTCTATGGTTAAAGTTCTTCGTCTTCTTCTATCAAGGGTGTCTGCAAGTCGCGTTGCATTTTTTGCCTCATAGACTTGGTATTCTCAAACGTAGATGTTTTCTTATCGTTCGAAGCGGATCGTGGAAGCTGCATACGTGGGGGACAAGGTGAGCCTCGACGAGTCTGATGCAAAGGTACCTCTGCCGCAAGAGACCCCAGTTGACCAAGACCTCCTAAGAACTCGTCTTCATCGATCCAGTCATCATCATCACTTGAAAGGAAAGACTTTTTGATCTTCTGGAGGCTCGCTGCATCCACTCGCTGGTCTTTGTGTGGCAAAGGTAGACGGGTCCTTGGTTCCGGTGATGGAATAGGTCGCATGTTAAAGCCAAATGCAGACCGGCTGCCTCGCATAAATGCAAGAGAAGTGCCATTAGGTGGTGTCGACGCACGCGAGAGGCTAAATGAGTTGAGCTGTTGATGTATATCGTAAAGGGCCTGTTCATCAAGAGAAACAGGTCGCTCGCAGCCAACTCGTGAAGTTGGAGTGTGAGACAGAGATTGGTTGGTCGTTCTGGGACGTGAGATAGGAAGACGATGTTTTATTACAGTAGATTCTGAACCGCGGCGCCTTCTTGTCATGTGGCTGGAAATGCTGCTGACTTGCCGACGTAGGTGACCACTAGATGTCAGGGGAAATGATTCCAAGCTACGCGACGAAAGTCGGCGACTGTATGACCTTAACATGGGATGACCGATATGCTCTGTGGTGGATGCGCGACTAGAGACGGAGGACATCCGATGGAGCATAGGAGTGGATTGCGACATACTCAGCTGTTTTTCACGAAGACCTGACTTTGCTGGTAGAAAGGGCTGTCTTACAGTGGATGATGGAGCGAAGGGGTCGCCTTGTGGCGCAGCGACAGGCGCCAATAAGGAGAGTGCATCGGTCGATGAAGCATTCTGTTCATGGCTGAGATTCGCCGTACCATGATCTGGTACTCTTTGGTATAATGGAAGTTGGGGTGACGGATTTTGAACAGGTACACGGGACTCAAATTCAGTGGATGAGAGAGGCGATAGAGCAAGGCCTAACGTCGGGCATGGCGGTACAGGAGAAGAGTTCCTAGAGGTACTCTGCGTTACATCCGATTTTCTTATTCGCTTTCGCAACAAGAGCCACCAAAAGGCGCCAGCTGTGTCACATGCGAACGTAGCGACGCTGTGTTGGATTTGACCCACAGCAAAGCCGAGATCCTGGAGATTCATAAAAAGGTCCTTTTCGACAGAGCTTGTAAATAAGGCAGGTCGGGGACTAGATAACATGTCCAGGTAATTCGTGGTGCAAGCCCGAAACCAGGGGTGTGATAAGATTTCCCGGATGGTGAGTCGGCGAGACCCGTCTTTTTGCAACATGCTTGCAAGAAGATCACGGGCTTCATCTGATAGAGTAGCAGGTATGTCAGCCTCTTCGTGCATGATTTTCCATTGCATCATAAAATCATTTTCATCGTCAAACGGCAAATACCCGCATAACAGCACATACAAGATGATTCCCATGGACCAAACATCGATTTCTGGTCCAACATAGCGCATACCAGCTAGTACTTCAGGTGCCGAATAGGCTATTGTCCCGCATTTGGTTTGTAGTAGCTGATGACCCTGGTATTCGCGAGTGAAACCAAAGTCACTAAGTTTGATGTTGTGATGCTCGTCCAGTAAGATATTTTCCAACTTCAAGTCACGATGCACGATGCCCTGGTCATGGATGTATGCTACTCCAAGACATATTTGGCCAAACATAGAGCGAGCTTCAGACTCTGAGAGCTTGCCACGCTCAATGATATAGTCGTAGAGCTCTCCGCCAGCACAAAGTTCAAGAATCATCCATATATGAGACTCGGTCTGAATTACTTCAAAAAGTTGTAGGACATGAGGATGATGGAGCCTTCTGTGGTGATGTATCTCCCGTGTAAGATTCGCAACATGCTCCTTGGGTATCTGCTTGACAGCTACTCGAGAATTTGTCAGGCGGTGAGTAGCCAACCTCACACGACCGTAGGTGCCTTGACCGATGGTCCGCTGTAGCGTATAGTTCCCTACCACAGTGAGTTTCCCTGAGGTGAGCTGTCTTCCGAGTTCATGGTATTCGGATGCGAGTCTGGCCTGACGATTTCTGGCGCTCGATGGTGCCATCACCGAACCGCAACCGTGCGCGGAGGCTAAGGCGCGAACTCTGACGCGTTTACATGCCACGTGCGCATCCAGTCCCGACGGCCACAATTATAGACTTCGCACCATTCCCACCATGGCAGATATGTCCAAGTATACCGACGCAGACTACGTGTTTCTCACAGACTTTGATGGCACCATTACTCTGCTTGATTCCAATGATCATATGGTAGACACCTATGGTATGGGCTATGCAGAGCGCCGAAAAATCAACGATGACATTGTTGCTGAGCGCATCGGCTTCCGTGATGGCTTCCGCAAGATGCTCGAGTCGGTCCACCGTCCATTCCCTGAGATGCAGGAGCTTGTTCGCCGTGATGTAAAGCTGGACCCTGGGTTCAAGGAATTCCATGCTTTTGCCAAGGCGAACAACATTCCTGTGGTTGTCGTCTCTTCGGGTATGACCCCCATTTTGCGTGCCATTTTTTCGAACCTCATCGGCGAAGAGGAGGCCAGCAAGCTGGAAATCATTTCCAACGATGTCAAGTTCACCGACCCTGAACAGAAGGGTGACACCTGGGAGATCGTCTATCGTCACCCCGATAACTTCTTTGGTCATGACAAGTCTCTCAGCATTGAGCCGTTCCGCCAGCTCCCCAAAAAGCCTCTCCTGTTCTTCGCTGGCGATGGCATCTCGGACATGTCGGCAGCACGACATGCAGACGTTCTTTTTGTAAAGGACAAGCAGGACAATGATCTGGCCACCTATTGCAACCAACACAATATCGGCTACCACCTCTTCAAAGACTGGACTGTACCCAAGAAGATGCTGGAAAAGCTGCTTAATGGAGAAATGTCGCGGGACGAGCTCATTACCAACCGCTTTTAGGCCCATAGTCGACCATTCGTCCTCATGCAGCCGCGCATGGACCTCGTAATCCACGTGACTCGTCGGCTGCGCGAGGCGGCCGCGCGGCCTTGACCAGGACACTAGCTCCCAAGCAGTATCATGAGCGCAGGTGCAGGCGAAGGAGCCTATAGCTTCTCGCTTACCACTTTCTCGCCGAGTGGCAAACTAGTTCAAATTGAGCATGCGCTGGCGGCTGTGAACCAGGGAACCACCAGTCTGGGGATCAAGGCCTCGAATGCGGTTGTCATTGCGACGGAAAAGCGTCCACCGTCGCCACTGGTCGATGATGCGGCGATTGAAAAAGTGGCAGTAGTGTGCCCGAACATCGGCATTGTATACTCAGGCATGGGCCCTGACTTTCGCGTCTTGTTGGCCAAATCACGCAAGATCGCTCAGTCGTATTGGAAAATCTACGGAGAATACCCTACCACGAAGGTCCTAGTGCAGGAAATTGCTACTGTCATGCAGGATGCCACGCAGAGCGGTGGTGTGCGGCCATTTGGTGTCAGTCTCCTTGTTGCTGGATTCGACGCAGTACGCGGCCCCTCCCTGTACCAGGTCGATCCCAGTGGTAGCTATTTCATGTGGAAGGCGAGCGCCATGGGTAAGAATATGACCAATGCGAAAACCTTCCTCGAAAAACGTTACAGTGAAGATATTTCGCTGGAAGACGCCATTCATACTGCCATCCTTACGTTGAAAGAGGGATTCGAGGGCCAAATGACGGAAAAGACCATTGAAATCGGCATCATCGGCGTCGCTACGAAGGCACGTGTAGGTATGAGCCAGGAGCCCACACCGGTGTTCCGGCGCTTGACGGAGCAAGAGGTGAAGGATTAGTATGTATCTGAATCGCTAACAGGATCAGCTTGGCTTTGTAACTTATTGACTATGAGCCCGCATCGCATTTTTGCTTGCACTTCGGGTAGGCTTGCGACGCTCTGTCCGGCCAAACCTAGCCTGCTTGGACAATGCATCGACTCCGTAGCCTTCTTCGACACCAGCGCCCTTGGATAGACCCATACCAAAGGTTTCTTCGCGGGTCGGCTTCGGCTTCTTGGCCTTGGGTTCACTCGGCTTACCTGAAGGAGTCCAGGATATAGTGCCTCCGCCCATGTCTTTGTCGCTCTCCTTGTCGTGGGGGCGCCACTGACGCGCGCGCTCTCCCAGCGGCATGTGCTTGGCATCGTCCTCTCCGTCAAAGGCCGAGTCGAAACTCTCTACCACGCGAGGCATGTGTACCCGGGGAGCCTCCTTCGGCTTGGCAGGTGGCTCACGATCAGATTCCTCTGAGGCGGATCCGGCAGACTCTTCTTGATCCGGATCGAGGGACTCGACGTCGCTTTCCTGCTCTTCCTCCATGGCAGGTACGAGAGGTCGTTGCGATTCGCGAGGGGCCGGGCGCTCCTTGATCGATTCACTGGGATGCAAGAGCGCATATTCGCGACTAGTCTCATCCACCTGGAATTCAGGATTCGTGAACAGCTCCTTGAACCGGGAATCCTGGAGCAACCCTTCACCTCCTTCACTTGTGGAAGCAGAGAGCTTCTCAGCTAGTTGACGATTGACCTGGATGTGGCTGCCAAGCTTGCGTGTGTTCTTCACGCTACGCACACGACTTTCTGCTTCGCGCTCGAGTCGGCTCTGAATCGCCCGTTGCTTGGCTTCCTCGAAGGCAGTAGGGTGGGCCAATAGACGCGCACGCTCGTACAGTTTGAGCGAAAGGAAGTAGCCGTGCATGTAAGGACGCAGCAAGGGTGTCCCGACAAGGTGGCCCAGTTCGAGGCGTTCTAGCTCGGCCTGATCCACAAACTTGAAGTCTTCGTAGGCATTAGCACCACCGCCCGTGTTGGCTGTATCAGCTGCCTCGATTTCATCCGTGATATTGTCGATAAAGCTGCACCACCGTGGAGCAGGACCCAATGCAGGCACGTACCAAGCTGCCATCTGTGTCGCCTCCACAGCCGCAAACAGCAGACCACTTCCAGGGTAGTGCTGCACATGGTTCAAGTTCGTCAGCGGGCCAGCAGGCGCCACAGATACCAAATTATCACCCGTCTGCTTATCCCAGATCTTGATCACCTTGGCATCGGCGCTCATGACCTTCCCTTCGGCTTCTGAGCGTGTGCGCGAGCTCGTACTCTCATTGGCGTCACCAGGCCATGAAAGTGACTTGATAGGCATGCCAAAGCCCTGATCCTTGGTGGTATAGGGCTTATCCATGCGCAAATCATACAGAAGAACGTGACCCGTGTTGGTGCCCACAGCCAAGTTCAGGCCATCAGCTGCACTCGCTAGAGCAGTCGTGGCAAGAGATGACGAGGCTTCTGAAACCATGTCCTCGTTGGCATCGCTGGAAAGAGAAATACTAGGCATTTGCCGACGTGCCATAAGCAGGGCAGCGTCCAAGACAGTTTGTGTGGCAATACTCAACGATCCTGCTAGACGACGCATGCGAGGATCCCAAAGTTCGATAATACCCGCGCCTTCCGTTCCAAAACTAAGAAGACCGTGGGCGGGATTGACATCAATCGCATTGCAGCCTGTCACAAGATGGCCCTGAGATCCCAGGGTATATGGAGCAAGGTACCGACCCTGCGCCAAGTTCAATCGGTAGATCTCAGTACCAGATGCCCCCACCAACGCATCCGCAGAGGGATAGTGGTATGCAAGTGCGCGGCCAAAGCGAGGCAAGCGCACGCGCGTATGCGTGCCACCTTGATTATGCAGCTCCAAAGAGCGATCAGCTTGCAAGTGCAGGGACTTGGTCCAGTCATCAGAGAGAAGCTGAAGTTAGTGAGAAGTCAAAACGTACCACAAAGTCCACGTTCTCCGCATCGGTGTGGCGCTCAAACTTCAAGCTTAGTTGCTCGCATTCCCACACACGAATCTGCGGCTTATATGTTCCAGTAGCCATAATATGCAGCCCATCACGGGTAAACCGGACCTTGTTGCTCGCAATGGGGAATTCAAAGTCTTGGATCAGCTCGATTTTAGAAAGCAGTCGATCATTCTCCAGGGCGCCTTTTCTCTTTTTTCGTTTATTAGATGACCCTGATCGTCTCAATATGTCTGGTAAAGAAGTGGAATTGTAAGAAGCTTCCTCCGGCGCCGATGCTGTGCCACCCGAAACGGTGTACACCCGCGCCGGCTCATGCGTGGCCGACATGGTCAACGGTAGCCTCCACTCGATTTTTTCGTGGCAGAGCGTACAGGCCTTCATAGGTCACGTGCGAGTCAGAAGGCCTCGTTCAAGGGCGGCGAGCGTCCACCGCATCCAACCAATGTCAAAGGCAGGCGGCAAGGCCGCTGTAGCCACCATTGTTAAGCTCATGGTGCCTGCAGGAAAGGCTTCTGCACAGCCCCCTGTAGGACCGGCACTCGGTGCAAAAGGTGTCAAGGCTATGGACTTTGCAAAAGAGTTCAACGCGCGCACAGCGGACCTGGAACCTGGGCTCTTGACACCGACAGTGGTCACGATCCAGCCAGACCGCACATTCAGCTTCAAAACACTAAGTATGTGTGTTCAGACTCACACCAGCCCCACCTACATCGCTTTTGCTGAAGCGCGCTGCGAATATCACCACAGGAGCTCGCAAACCCGGAGCGGAAGTCACGGGCACCATCAGCATTAAGCATGTCTATGAAATCGCTAAAATCAAGCGCAAGGATGTGGACGTTAGTGAAAAAGAGGTGAGTTGCTCTTTCTTACATTAGCTTTGCAAGGTGGTCGCCGGCAGTGCTCGCAGTCTTGGTATCAAGATTGTCCGCTAACATCGCACCTGTAGGATACCAAATCGATGATAAGGCATCTAGTCGTATTGAGGACGTGTATTTTCTATGGCTTGTATGGAATTTACCAGCAAGTGAAACCACCGTCCACGCGCAGCTGGCTACCAGTCATGTAGCTGGCGTGGTCACTCAGCAGGAAAGCAGCGGGCTCGCCCTGCTCCACAGGCTCGCTGAAGCGACCCATGGGCACGCTCGAAGCCTGGTAGTCGCGAATCTTGGCATCCATGCCGCTGGTCTGCTCCGTGTTGCAGAAGCCAGGCTCAAGGGCATTGATACGCACACCGTACTTGATAAACTCGGTAGCAAGACCCTTGACCATGTTGGTAACAGCTCCCTTCGAGGAGTTGTAGAAGATCTGGGTAAGAGGATCGTTAAGACCCTTCTGGTTGTAGATCTCAGAGCTCATCGACGAGGTGACAACGATGGAGCCCTTCTTGTAGCCAGTCTCGACCCAGTGGGAAACAACGCTCTTGCAAGTGTTAAACACACCCAGAACATTCACGTTGAAGACTTTGTGGAAGTCCTCCTCGGTGAGTTCAAGAGCAGGCTTCACGACCGACACACCAGCGTTGGCAGCCAGCGCAGTAATCTGGCCAAGCTCTTCCTCCGCCGTCTTGAGGACCTTCTTAACCTGGTCAGCATCGCTGACGTCGCACTGGTACGCCTTCACTTTGACGCCAAACTCCTTCGCCACAGCCTCGGCGTTCTTTTCGGCGTCGGGGTGGGAGCGGTACAGGACGGCGACATTGGCACCAGCCTGCGCGCAAGCACGGGTAATGGCAAGACCACTAAGTATGTTAATCAAAAGAACAGTTTACTTACATGCCACGGTTACCACCGCTGCAAACAACAGTACCAGTGAGCTTAACTTCGTAAACCATCGTGTCAAGACGTTAACAGCCGTGCGGTCCCGTACGGAAGACTATCTCCGAACCTGTCAATGCACGCACGGGCTTTCCATGGCTTTCGCCGTAGATGACTAATTGCCTGTCAGTTGTGGGTCAAAGGACGCTAGATTATCAGACAGATCAACTAGGTCAAAGCTGATTGGCTAGTGTGTCGGTCAAACCCAGCCATCCGCTCGACTAAGCGAAGGCCTCTTGAGGGGGAAATCGATCGTTGACGCCTAATACAAGAAAGATTCTTTCCACCACTCCAGCCGACATGTTCTTGAGTATGACCGTGCCGACTTTGCGAACCACCGCGATGCGTTTGCCACGCGCTACCGCGGGTCTTGTTCGGCCCGTTCGCATGTACCATGAAAAGGTGCTTGACCACTACAACAACCCGCGTAACGTAAGTGCTCGTGTGCCAGGGTATTGCTAACCATATCAGGTGGGCTCGTTCTTGAAGACGGATAAGGACGTAGGCATTGGCCTGGTAGGTGCTCCTGCCTGCGGCGATGTCATGAAGCTTAGCATTAAAGTCAACGATGAAGGTATCATTGAGGATGTGCGCTTCAAGACCTTTGGTTGTGGCTCGGCCATTGCAAGCTCGAGTTTCATGACCGAACGGGTAAAGGGTATGTCTCTGGACGAAGCTGCCGCTATCAAGAACACGGAGGTGGCTCGTGAGCTGTCTCTTCCTCCTGTCAAGCTTCATTGCTCGATGCTGGCCGAGGACGCTATCAAGAGTGCGATCCAGGACTACCGTGCGAAGCGACAGGCGACAGGAAACTTCAAGCAGGGCCATATTGAGGTAATGCAAGAGGCTGCTACCGGGAAGACGACAGCGACAGCGCACGTCGGCTCTGGCACCGTCTAGGCAGCCCGGTGCTTGATTGCTACGAACATCCGATTTCCTTATCTTTGTACTGGTATACGACTTATGAACTCTCTGTGATTATCTCCCGCTGATAACTCGAGGAAGAAGGCTGTGTAACCGTTTTATTGGGAATGCTTGTCGGTGGCGTAGGAAGCGCGATGCTCGGTTCCTGTACCGTCTTTTGCGTTGCCGCTGAAGCTAGCTGTTCAAGTTCTGCCTCGACAGCCTCCTGTTCTTCCAAAGTAAGATGTGAAGACAACATGTCGTCAATTTCCTGAGACATTAGATAGAACCATGATATGATAACATACGCGTTGGTATTGTTGCGCCTCTGCGGTATCGTCTAGAAGACGTTCGACGCGATCCATACTAGTCTCTTTTTGTATTTGTCGAAGGACTTGGTTGCCTTGTTCTAGTCCGTACATGATGCTCTGTTCAAGCTGGGCATATTCAATAGTAGATACCTGCTAATGAGTGCGCGCACACGTACCAATTCCTGCAATGTAGCCAGCTGCTGGTCTGTTTTCTCAATGAGCCCTTGCTGGTAGGCGCGACGCCGAAGCGCTAGTCGTGCACGCTCTTTGTATCCGGACCGCAAAGCCTCGCGCGCTGCTTCGTATTCACAGTCCAACACATGCTGAAGCTGGCGTTAGCAGACCTGTACATACCTTCAGTTGATATTGGCGAACACGGTCACGCTGAATTTTCAAGCTATGTGTTCGTGAGTGACGCTACGCACTCTAAAACGGCGCGGTCTTGCTTGGTGACCTTCGGTCCCCTCGAGCTCTGAGCGCCCATGACTCGAAAGCAGCAAGGTTCCTCCACATATCACTACGGAGCTACTAGCCACGGCGGCCGCGCTTGTGGGGTTGTCCACTATGTGATGTGCCTGTTCGCCGTGTAGGCAGGAAATCTGTGCGTGCTCCGCCACCCAACGCAGCATCAAGGGACTTTTTCTGTTTCTGTGCATCCTTCTTGCGTTTCCGATCCATCGCTTTTCGCAAAGCAGCGGAAGAACCTGACTCGCTAGAGCCGGTCATAGTATCGAATTTCTTCCGCAGGATAGCTTCTTGAAGCTGGTGTTTCTTGGGGAAGAAGGGTTTCATACCAGCATCCACACGACGTTGGTTTTCCTTCTTGAAATCCGATTTAACACTGCGCTCGAGCTCGCGACGTTGGCGCTCATTGTCTTGGCTTTCGGCACGGCGCAAGGCGCGTTCAACCTTCTCTCTTTCTTCTCGAATTTGAAGTGCCTGCTGGCTTTTCGCCTTTGGCCCTGCATGGTGCGCCTCCATTTGTTTCAACCTGCCATAGGTCGATCGTAGCGACTGGATTTCATTTTGATACATGCCGGGTATGAAGCTGTACGACTTGGCATGCAAGTCCAAGTTGACAGGGCCCGCCGACAAAGAGTCAAAGCGAGGATCGCGACTCTTTGTTCGATGTGACGGTTCAACGACGTTACGCTTCCGCGAAACGGGTCTCCGAGCGGACATGACAGTTGGCGCATTCTTGGATCCTCGAGTCTCAAGTGCATGCTGCACCTTGTCACCTTGCGAAAACTTTTGCATCATCCCCAATTCACGTAGACGCTGCTTGGCCTGTTCCCGCTTTTCACTGATATCGGAAGAGTCAGGAATGGCTGGAGCATCCGCAGTATTACCTCGACGAAGTGTGCGCTGGGCCTTAAGGAGCTTTGAAAAAGGGATCGATGTGATTTCTGTGTAAGTTTTGGGACGTACGCTGTCGCAGAGTGTCTTCCTCGTCCTCGTCTGTGACGACCTCAGGTTCCTCATCGCTTTCGTCATCAGGATCAATAAATTGGGCATATCCAGGACCTTCTTCTTCATCTGAAAGTTCTTCATCATCTTCCAGTACGCCTTCCTCGTCGCTACCAGACGACTCCGAGGACTCATCATCGTCTCCATCCATGGCATGCTCAGTCATGTTTTCATCGCTTTCAGCACCCTCTGGTACATCCGTAGAACTATCTGAGACGTCGTATTCACTGATTCCTCGATGTACGGGGGCATCAGGCTTCGTTAACGCATCGCCATGTCGCCTTGCGGCACGACTCATGGTAGATGGCAAAAAAATGGTTGGATGACTAAGGCATTGGTGGTCTGTGTGCACTAAAATTTGCGCTCTGCGGTCAGTTCTGAACATGCTACGCACGAATTGGATCAATCCGTTGGCCCATCTTGGTCGTCACGCGGGGGAGGGTCAGACGCTGGTGTTGTGTGCGCGTATTCCATTCTGCACCGATGGGCGTACGCATAGCCGCCTCGTACTGCGCGGCGCTCGTGTATGGGAAAGGTAGGTCTTTGGCCTTGTACTTGCTGGCCTTTTTATCAAGCTTCTCATTGACAATGACATGATCCATACCGTAGTCCTTTCGATTTCGCGGGTCGATACCGGCCACCTTCTTGATGAGATGAGGGTTCTTTTGAGACTTGCGTCGAACGCCTTTTCCACCCCAGCTGCCCCAACCGGGTAACGTCGTGTCCTCCTCCCTTGGCGCCTCGGCTCCCACCACGGCTTGCTTTTCCTTCACAAAGTCGACAGCGACATCGTCTCCCGCAAAGGCCTCAGACACGAGGTCCCGCTGCATCGACGGCAGAGTCGAACTGTGCCTCTTACCTCGCCCACGCTTCCCGCGACTGGTCTTGGAGACCTCAACTGGCTCTGCGTCGCTGTCTGACTCGGAGGCTGCGGCCGCCTGCATCTGGGCATGGGGATCAATGGCAAGTGCGGCATCATCCATGGCCGCTGCACGCGCTTCCTGTCCCCGCTGTAAATGACGTTCTGTGCGATGCCGCGAGCGCGCCGCTGCAGTATTATCCGTGCCACTGGGTACCGACGATACAGCAGGTCCCTTAGTACGTTCCTCGGAATCTGCCAGCCATGGATTGCTCTGGCTTGTCTTAAAAGGGTTAGCTGGGCGCTCCGTTGGGGCCTGGGTATGATTCTCACGAGCCGCAGCAGTATGGTACACAGCACGACCGGCTGCATGACCAACTTGGTGCACATCCACGCCGTCCGGTCTGCCGGCCTCAGTGTCACTGGTGTCGTCCTCTTGCGTGACCATATCGCGGAGGGATTGGATTGTTTCTCTCGCTGCCTTGGATTGCCGTTCGCGTGCGTCTTTCATAAATTTCATGTTTAACAGACCCTTGCCCTTCTTGTCTGATGCCTCCAGCTCCGCCTCTTCGCGGGCATCTCTCTCGGCTTCCTTCTGTTCAAAATCGGCCAGTTCGTCGAAGGCAGTGGCGCGCCCATCTGTGTCGTCGTCGTCCAGAGACAGCTCATCGTCGTCTTCATCCATTGTATGAATACGCTTGCGCAACTCATCGCCACGACGAAGCTGCTCTTCCAACGCTAGCGTCGCGTCTCGGGACGCCTCGTCATTACGACCCACATGCATCTTGGCCCATTTTCCGGTGTTCTTGTGCCGCAACGTTGCACGTTCTTTGGCACGGTCCTTGGCAGCCTTGTACATGAGTTCCTCGCGCTCCTCATCGTCGAGACCCCCCTCTGCAGCGGTCAATTCGGCCAGTTGCTGCTGCATGCGCTCGCGCTCTTTCCGATGCACGCGTCGATACGTCTTGCTCTTGATTTTGTTGGCCCGACGAGCTTTCTGTTCCGCACGGAACATGAGTTCGCGCATGCGACGAAGCTCTGTCTGTCGACGTAACGCTTCTTCAGGGTCGAGAGCTTTCATAGCCAACCCCTCCTCTTCGGCCATTTGCTTCTCCGTGAGACCTCCCTCCTCCAGCAGAGCTGCTACAGAGCGCTCCATGTCAGTGGTAGGCTTGAACCTAGATGCAAGGCCTGCGTTAGAGGCGGCTGGGGGTTGGGCAGTTGGCTGCAACGGAAAGGACAGGTGCTCAGCCTCGCGAAGGCGCTTGATCGTAGGTGCCCAGCCCTGGACTTCCTCTTTTGAGAGCTTGTATGCGGCCGAACGATCCAAGCGGTCCTGTACAATCCTCGGGAGTGGTGCCTGTAGCACACCGCCACCGCGCTTAGATGCGATAGGGTGTCGGCCATCGTTGGGCGCCTCGGCGAGTGCCTGGACTTTGCCCATCAGCGACCCTTTACCTAGCGCCATCAAGTCCTCGAGACGGAGCTTGGTCGTGCCGCCAGCAGCATCGGTGCCTTCCTGGACTGCCTCAGTGCGCTCCTGGCGCTTCCGTGGCTGATCATCGCCTTCGGCATGCGAGCGCTTGCGCGACCAGAGAGCAGCCAAATCTTCATCAAATCCCTCGAACCCTTCCTCGTCCTCGTCGGAATCGCTGCCTTGGTCGCCGGCTGGCGCGTGGGATTCCTCGTCGGGCGCCTCGTCCAAAAGGTTGCTGAGCGCGACGATGTCGTCGCCATCATCGTCTTCGAAATCGGATGGGCCCTCTTCACTATCATCCTCACTTTCTGCCTCCTGATTCGAGCGAGAAACGGACTTAGGCAGCGCCCAGTCGTCGTCTTCACCAAATGCTTCGTCACTGTCAATCTCCTCATCGTCCCCCACAATGCCCTCTGGCTCGTCATCCGAGTCATCGAACACACGAGGACCGCGCGGTCCAGTATCTTCGTCACTATCGTCCCATTCTGGCGCGTGTGGCCGAACTGACGCTTTCCGTCCGTCTTGCCGAGGCTTCCTGGATCGGCGCACCATGAGCGTAGCGTGCAGATGCGTGGGTGGCCAGAAAAAGTGGAAAGCCACGTGCTGCTCGTTTTTTTCCTAGGCCTCTCTTGCACTACGGCCGCGGCTGTCTTGTCGTTGCAGCCATGCGTCCCCTTACGGATGCGGAGACCACAACGCTCTTCGAAAAGCTTGCGCACTATATTGGAAAGAATCTGGTACATCTGATTGACCGGCCGGATGACCCGCACGTCTTCCGGCTGCATCGCGACCGTGTATACTATGTGGCGGAGGCGACGATGAAACTGGCCGTGTCGGTAGCACGCCCCAACCTCATGTCGCTTGGTACTTGCTTTGGCAAGTTTTCTAAGACAGGCAAGTTTCGCCTGCACATTACAGCGCTAGATCACCTGGTGCAATATGCTCGCTACAAGGTGTGGATCAAGCCAAACGGTGAGATGCCTTTTCTCTATGGGAACCACGTCGTCAAGGCGCACGTCGGACGCATCACCGACGACACCCCCGAGCATGCTGGTGTGGTTGTGCTTAGCATGAGTGGCGTGGGACTCGGGTTCGGCGTCACTGCCCGTTCTACTGCGGATACCCGGAACATGGACCCGACGAACATCATCGTGTTCCACCAGGCCGACGTCGGCGAATACCTTCGCGACGAAGAAACGTTGTTTTAACTAAGGCTGTATGAAATAGAATGTGTGTGATGCGTTCACTCCTCTTCTGGCGAGGGATTGCGCACGACCAGTCGTGCAGGTGCATGCTCCACAAGCGCCGATTCACCTTCCGTATGAGTCAACGTCGACTCAGTGTTCACCGCTTCGCCCTGCATAGGTGCGCCGCTCATACGCACAGACTCGCCAACAGTCTGGTGGGCTGGGACCTCAGAAGTGGGGAACCATGCACTTGACAGAGCGGGTGGGTCCCACTCGCCGTGCTCCAGAGCGCTTTGGCCCTCGGCGTCCGTGCCAAACGCTCTCGTCACACCCTGCCTCGCTTCTGCCGCCGAGGTGTAGGTATCAAGCGAAGTCGGCTGGGCCGTGGTGTCCACAGGCCGTTTCTTGTCAGACGTCACAGGCGCGCTCGGGCCCGCCGCATATGGCGGGGCATCGTCGGACGCTGTGATGGGCACGGGCAGTAGACCACCCGCTGTCACGGGCGGGGCCTGATTCACTGCCATAGGTCCGCCAACTTGCGTGGGCTCCGGCACCGAGTCCAACGACGGTGCGTGGTAGGCATTATAAATCGTACTGGGCACGCCCGTCGACGACGACTCCAACGCATGTCCGCGGTTTGACAGGACTTGGTCATGCCCATTGTGACCATAGAAACTGTACTGAGGTACTTCGGGATCATACGCGTTGGGTGCGGCCGTGTGTGTCAGGTGGCTGGGCGCCAGCTCATAGTCCGCCGAGTGCGACGTGCGCTCTGACGTCATCGAAGGAGCCGATGGGCCTTGGGCCATGGTGCCATCATATTGCTGGTGCTCGGTAGGCGCAATGGCATAGGCAGCGGCGGATGAGACAGCCGGAAGGCTCGCTGGTCCAGCATCGTATGGCATATGATTGTACGCATACACATGGTCGGTCGGCAAACTTTCATACGTGTTGCGCGCCACATTGTTCGGAGCACCGGGTCGCTGTGGCGAGTAGTATTGAGAGGCAGCCGAAACAGGTAGGACGGGCACCACCACGCCCGCACCTTCGGAGCCGGGTGTCGCCTCGGGGAGCGAAGGTGGCGAATAAGGGCCATCAGATATCCGAGCGTAGTGGTTCGGCTGGTGGAAGCCAGGTGAGGCAGGGTATTCTGGGTTATAATAAGGGTGTGTTCCACCAGTGCCACTAGCGGCACCAGGTGTACCGTACGGTCCGGTAGGGCCGTCGTCGTCGTCATCGTCGAAGGGTGTACGTGTAGTGGCTGCAGCAGCAGAAGCAGCAGCCATTACATCTGCGTCCATGCGCTTCGCCTTGCGGCGGCGGTAAAGGAACCAGCCAAGGCCGGCTAGAAGTGCCACTGCAACAATGCCCACGGCAGCAAACGTGCCACCCACGGCACCACTGTCGTGCCAGTAGCTGCTGCCACCCGACTCCAAGCGTTCTCCTGGCATGGGTGTCGATGTGATAACAGATGTGCGAGTAGACGTGATAGCATGTCCGTTGATGGAAGTGACAAACTCGTCGTAGGAGGTCGAGGTATACAGCCCAGAGTCGCTCTGGCTGCTGACCTGCGACGGACTCGAACTCGGACCTCCGCCAGCTGCTGCACCACCGCCCGAGCTCGAACTAGGCGAATTGGTATCGCTGCTGCTGCTGGTAGGCCCCGAGTCGCTGCTGCTGGTAGGCCCCGAGTCGCTGCTGCTGGTAGGCCCCGAGTCGCTGCTGCTGGTAGGTCCCGAGTCGCTGCTGCTGGTAGGCCCCGAGTCGCTGCTGCTAGGAGACCCCGAGTCGCTGCTGCTAGGAGACCCCGAGTCGCTACTGCTGGTAGGCCCTGCATCGCTGCTGGTGCTCATGGCGCCGCCACCGCCACCACCGGTAGAAGAATTTTGGTTGTCGCTGGAACTCGATGAGGTGGGTCCAGAGTCACTGCTCGAGCTTGTTGAATTGTCGCCACCTTCGCTGCTAGTGTTGTTGTCATTATTGTCAGAGCTCGAAGAGGTAGGGGACGCACCCCCGCCCCCGCCGCCATTGTCACGGCTGGAGCTAGAGCTGCTGTCTCCCTGAGTGGACGTAGGGCGTTCGTTATCGCTGCTGCTACTGTCGCCGCCGCCGCCGCCGCCGCCGCCTCCTTGCGTGTTTTGAGTGGGACTTGGGTCATTACCGCGGCTCCTGCTACTGGAGCTAGTTGCGGAGCTTTGATCGCCACGAGATGTGCTGTTGTCGTCGTTCGAAGAGCTGGAATCACTGCCAGAAGATGAGGTCGAAGCCGATCGAGAGCGTGCGTGTCAGTCTTCTGAACCGTCAGATGAGGATAAGAACCGAAACGAAAGCACATAAACGGTTCCCATACCTCGTCGACTCAGTACATACCTTGTAGTTGGTTGGTCCATCGAGCTGCTACGACGAGTGCTTGAAGATGAAGACGTGTCAGAAGCTCTTCTAGTAGAAGCGCTTGAAGAGGAAGACGTATCAGACGCACTACGGGTAGGAGTGCCTGAGGAGGAAGACGTGTCAGAAGCGCTACTAGTAGAAGTGCTTGAAGAAGACGTGTCAGACGCACTAGAGCTCTGCTGCCTACTTCCAGAACTCGAAGTGCTAAGGCTCGATTCAGAGCGGGAACGGGAAGTTGACGAAGAGGAGGAGCGTGAGCTTTGCTCCACGTCTAGTGGTAAGACAAGGACGCCAAAGACTTACCCATCCAAATTCGTACCCACTTGCCAAAACTGTGGTTGGGAACCGACACAGCCTGCTTACCGGTGCCCCAGGCACTGCCTGCAGGACCCCGGAATTCCATACAGCCACGTGGTTGACAAAAAACAGGCGATACAGAACAAAGAATATTTTTAGCATGCATAGAACTGCATAGGTACAAAGGATGCGCAGCGAACCTAGCGCGACGGAACGCGTAGGGATACGATCTATAGCAAGCTACCGGCGCTTGTACAAGCAGGGCTTGAGAATCGAAGGGCCCCTGCGCACAAGCTCCTGGAGCACCACAGAGGCCTGCGCGTCTGTGCGCACGGACTGGGCCAACGCCAGCACGGGCGCCGATAGATCGAGTGGTGCAGCCGCCTGCGCCGTACGCGACTCGGTGCGCTTCGTAAACTTGAATAGGGCGAAGTAAGTGCTGTTCGTAGTGTCCTGCCAGTCCAGGTCAAACCCGAGTGCGCGCACCATATCTGTAAAGGGACGTACATCAGCTGTAGAGCTCAGCCGGCTCGTTACCTCTGCCACGATGAGCTCGCCCTGCGGCCGAAGGATCCGCCATGCTTCCGTGAGCATATCGACCCAGTTGGTGCCCATAAGACTGAGGCAGAACACCACAACATCTACCATCGCTGGCGACGGCCCCGTGTCCGTCCACACCAGGCCCAGAGGCGCTGTGGTGCCCGGAAGGGGCAGTGTGCCGACCGCGGCGGCATCGGCACCCCGCACCCAGCCGTCAGGGGTATCGACGAGGTCGTAGCTCAGAACGTGAAAGCCGTGTGGCGCCAATGTCCGCGCCAGCCCTGCCTCACCCGCTCCCATATCGACGATCAGGGCACCGGGGCTCTTAGCGGCGCGGACATCGTACGATCCCTTCTTGCCTTTCGCGCCGAGTAAAAGCTCTGCAATCCGGTCCACTGGGTTCTTGGGCCACTTGCGGACCTGCTGTCGGAAGCCGCTGTGGTACTCGTCAAAGAGTTGCGGCTCCTTCTGAATCATGGCCAGTGCATCCTGAGAGCTGTGGGTATATAAATGCTCGTTGATCGATCGAAACCGAGCCCCCTGCAGACTTGCGAGCATAGAAGACTGCAGTTGTGTGAGAGGTGCCTTGGAAGCAGCCAGAGTTGACGCAGGCGCCGCCGTCGTGGCGGGCGGCGCCGATGCTGGATCCTCTGCAGCCTGCGCTGCGACCCGCTGGCGCTTGTTCCACTTCTTGCGCTGGGCCTTGCTCATTCCTGGCGGTGCATGTGGCTCTGTGGCACCATTGCGCGCCTGAGCGGCTTGGATCTTGGCCTCTGCAGCAGCAAAGACATCAGGCGGTCGGGCAGCGCGTTTCTTCGAGGACACAGACGGGCGCTCATCCTCCTCTGAGCCCGAGTCCCCAGCAGTTGCTGTCACTGTGGCGCGCTCATGCTTCTTGTCTTTGGCAAAAGCGCCGAGCTTGGCGCGCAGCTTCTGGTCGGCAACACTAAACGATGGTGCGTGGCTGGACGTCGAGGCACCGACACCGAGCTTTGCCGGGCGACGACCTTCCGACACAGGCGCTGGGCTGGGAGTAGCGCCCGGCTGAGGGAGATGCGCCATAATTTTGTCTGCCAAAGAGGCGCGCTGCTCCTGCAGCTGCTCCTGCAGCGCCTTCAAGTCGACCGAGTCGCCTGCCATAAGGAACAACTTGAGTCGCTGGCACCACGACGTTGGTGATTAGTCAGCACACCCGGCCGCCGCGGCGTGTCGCAAGGCACGACGACTGTGTTCCACAGCATCGAGACGTCGCTGACTGATGGCGTCCGAAGAGCCTGGGCATAAGTCTGCCGACGCAGGCATGGAACAGGGGGTGCCTGCTGTGCCCAGTTCAGCTCCATCGCAGCCCAACTCAGCCTCCCAGGAGGGAAACCTACTAGGCATGGACACAGCTGTGCCCGAGTCACTGGCTAGCGAGCCGCCGGCGCCGGATCATGCGCCCGAGCAGGATGAGAGCGAATCTAAGCAGGGATTTCACGCAGAGACTGCACTAGAATACGCTTCCGAGTCGCCCTCCAAAGAGAAACCTGTGCGTGATGAAGAAGAGACGTCCCCCCAGCCTGTGCCCGCCCCGAATGAGGCAGCGGCGCCGGCAGCCGAGGTGCAGAATGCTGAAGTGGCGCCAGCAGAGACACTTGCACCGGTGGAGCGATCTAATGAGCACGCTTCTTCAGAGAACCGTGCGCCACTGGGTGACGCGACATCGACGGCCGACTCTGACCCGGTGCCTGTTTCTACGGAGGGCACCGAGGCGGGCTCTCTGCGGCCGAGTATGCAGACGGAGCCTGTGCAAGAGATTGGTGAGCGTGTGGTACAGCACTCGGCGTCCTCTGCGAGCAGTCTGAGCCGGGGCAGCGCCGTGTTTGTGTTGTCGGCTCTGGAAACCATTTCGTCGTCGAAAGAAGCACGGCGCAGTAAGCCGCTGAAAGAGAGCGCCGTGGCAGCCCTAGACATGGTCAAGGCGGCGACGTCGCCGGATTCCACCTCGTCTGTGCTGGACCCTCGCGTGGTGTTTGAGCCACTGCGCCTGGCATGCGAGACAAAGAGTGTGTCGCTGCAAGCGTCTGCGCTTGACTGCATAGCCAAACTGGTGAGCTATGCGTTCTTTGCGGAGGACGATCCGAACGAGTCGGCGCTTGCGGATCTGGTCGTTGATACGGTGTGCGACTGCTTTGGCGACCAGATGGACGAGCGAGTGTCGGTGCAGATCGTCAAGGCGTTGCTGGCGTGTGTGCTGTCCACGAGTATCCGTGTGCACCAGTCGAGCTTGCTCCGTGCGGTGCGCACGGTGTACAATATCTATCTCATGGCCCGCACTCCGTCGCACCAGGCAATTGCGCAGGGCGCGCTAAGCCAGATGGTCGGCCATGTGTTTAGCCGTGTGCCGCGCGCCGGCGGGACAAGCGAGGTGGTGGAGCCTGCGAACACGGAGCCTGTGACACTGCAGATGCTGGAGAGCCGGCATTCGCTGGATGCGGCGGAACGGGACGAGATGGCGCCGATCGATGCGCCAGACCTGCATGTGAAAGATGCGTTCTTGCTCCTGCGCGCGCTATGCAAGCTGTCCATGAAGCCACTGTCGTCCGAGAGCGAGCGCGACGTCAAATCGTACTCGATGCGCTCTAAGCTGCTGGCGCTGCGTACTGTACGGGGCGTGTTGCAGCAGCACATGGACGTGTTCACCGATGCAAGCGTGCAAATTGTGAGCACGACAAGCGGCGAACAGGCGACGTTTGTGCAGGCTGTGAAGCAGTACTTGTGCCTGTGCCTGTCGCGCAATGCCGTGAGCAGTGTGCTGCCGGTATTTAAGGAGAGTTGCGAGATATTCTGGCTGGTGCTCTCCGGTATGCGGACCAAGATGAAGAAGGAGATTGAGGTGCTGATGAACGAAATCTACCTGCCGATCCTCGAGATGCGCACGAGTCCACCGGCGCAAAAGTCGGTCCTGCTTGCGACGCTACAGCGGCTGTGTGTGGACCCGCAGGCGCTGGTAGAGGTGTACCTGAACTACGACTGTGACCGCACTGCGCTGGAGAATTTGTACGAGCGGTTGATGAATGTGATTTCGCGCCTGTCGCAGGCGCCGACGTCCGATGTGCCGCCCAGCGTGGATGAGCGTGACGGCGAATCGATCGATGTGCGGTTGAAGCGGCAGAGTCTCGACTGTCTGTGCAGCGTGTTGCACTCGCTGGTCGAGTGGATGGACCGCCTGATGGATGAGCCTGTATCCACGAGCGTGCCGGAAGCGGACGACGACGACACTGGCTCGCAGCCGAGTGCCGATCCTGCTGCGCCTGATGAGGACGACGATCCGGGGCGCTTTGAAAATGCCAAGCAGCGCAAGACGGTCCTGCTCGAGGCCATCCGCATGTTCAACTACAAGCCGAAGCGGGGCATTGCACAGCTGCTGGAGCACGGGTTCATTCGCAGTCGCGATCCGCGGGCAATTGCGCGCTTCCTCTTTTACGCGGACGGGCTGAGTAAGCGGTCCATTGGCGAGTACCTGGGCGAGGGCGACGCAGAGAACATTGCCGCGATGCATGCGTTTGTGGACCTGATGGACTTTCACGACATGCCGCTGACGACCGCGCTGCGGCGCTTCCTGCAGGCGTTCCGGCTGCCGGGTGAGGCACAGAAGATCGATCGGTACATGCTCAAGTTCGCGGAGCGCTATACGGAAGGAAACAAGACGGCATTTGCGAATGCGGACACGGCGTACAAGCTGGCGTACTCGGTGATTATGCTCAACACGGACGCGCACAACCCCCAAGTCAAGCACCGCATGACGCTGCAAGACTTTATCAAGAACAATGCGGGGCTGGACGACGACAAGGATCTGCCGGAAGAGTACCTACGTGCGATCTACGACGAGATCCAGAAGAACGAGATCAAGCTGCATGGCGAGGAGGCGCCGGCCATGCCGCCGTCCACGGGCCTCGCGGGCGCGATTGCCACGGTCGGCCGCGACCTGCAGCACGAGGCGTACGTGCTGCAGACGCAGGGCATGGCGAACCGGACGGAGGTGCTGTTCCGCACGATGCTGCATGCGCAGCAGCGCCGCGGCGTGCACCGCGCGCTCGCGGACCGGTACTTTAGTGCGTCGCATATGGAGCATGTCAAGCCCATGTTTGAGGTCGCGTGGATGTCGTTCTTGGCGGGCATTTCGGCGCCGCTGCAGGACAGCAACGAGCCCGAGACGATCCGCACGGCGCTGCAGGGCTTCAAGGATGCGATCAAGATTGTGTGTTTCTTCGGCCTGGAGCTCGAGCGCAATGCATTTATCACGACGCTCGGCAAGTTTACGTTCCTGAACAACCTAGGCGAGATGCGCAGCAAGAACGTGGCGACCATCGAGACACTGCTGGACATTGCGCACACCGAGGGCAACTTTTTGCAGGGCAGCTGGCGCGAGATCCTGACGTGTGTGAGCCAGTTGGAGCGCTTCCAGCTGATCAGCGGTGGCGTCGACGAGCGCATGCTGCCCGAGCTGGGCCGCCGCCCTTCGGCGGGTGCGCCGCGCGGCGTGTTACTGCCGCGTGAGGATGTGGTGCAGCAGGGTGTGTCGAGCGAGATTACTGTGCGTGCGGACCATGTGTTTGCCGCAACGCCGCAGCTGAGCGGCGAGGCGATCGTCGAATTTGTGCAGTCGCTATGCGACGTGTCCTGGGAGGAGATCCAGAGCTCCGGCATGTCGGACAACCCCCGGCTGTTCTCGCTGCAGAAGGTCGTGGAGATCTCCTACTATAATATGGGGCGCATTCGCATGGAGTGGTCTCGCCTGTGGGCAATCCTCGGCGAGCACTTCAACCAGGTGTGCTGCCACCCGAACCCCGCGGTGAGCGCGTTCGCTCTCGACTCGCTGCGGCAGCTCGCGACCAAGTTTTTCGAAAAGGAGGAGCTCCTCCACTTTTCGTTCCAAAAGGACTTCCTCAAGCCGTTTGAGTATGTGATGCGGCGCAACCGCGACGTGGCGGCGAAGGAGATGGTGCTGCAATGCCTCGACCAGATGATGCAGGGCCGTGCGGAGCGTATCCGCTCCGGCTGGACGACGATGCTGGGCGTGCTGGGCGTCGCGGCCAGTGCGCCAGAGCGTATTGCGCTGTACGCATTTGACCTCGCGCAGCGCGTACACCACACACACATGGCTGCGATCCTCGCGAACGGGTGCTTGGCGGAGCTGTGTGTGTGCCTCGCGCACTTTGGCAAGGGCTCAAACCAGCGTGTGAGTCTGCCGGCCACCGAGCTGCTGCCCTCGGTTGTGCCGGAGGACAGTGCGTCGATGGAGCTGTGGCTCCCGATGCTGTTTGCGCTGTACGACATTCTCATGACGGGCGACGATCTCGAGGTGCGCCGCGTCGCGCTTGATGCGCTGTTCGCGACGCTGACCAAGCATGGTGCCTCGTTCCCGACGTCGTTCTGGGATGCCGTGTGCAACGATGTGCTGTTCCCCATCTTCAACGTGCTGCGGAACCGCTCAGACGTGACTCGCTTCTCGACGCAGGAGGACATGAGTGTGTGGCTCTCAACAACGATGATCCAGGCGCTGCGGCGGCTAGTGGCGCTGTGGGCGGTGTACTTTGACACGCTGAAGCCGCGCCTCCCGGGCTTGCTCGAGCTGCTGTGTGCGTGTATCTGCCAGGAAAACGACACGCTTGCGCGCATCGGCACCGCATGCCTGCAGCAGCTGCTCGTCGAGAACATTGCGCACATGGACCTGGTCGGCTGGCAGCAGGTCACCGATGCGTTCCTGCGCCTGTTCCGTGCGACGACCGCGTCGCAGGTGTTTGATCCCATGCTGTCGTCGCCGGAGAGCACCGTGTCGCCGGCCGAGCGGCGCCAGGCATTCAAGCATATTATCGTCAAGTGTGTGCTGCAGCTCCTGCTTATTGAGACGGCCAACGAGCTGCTACGGAACGCACGCGTGTACGAGGCGGTGCCTATCGCCCAGCTGCTGCGGCTAACTGCCGCTCTGGAGGACAGCTACCGCTTCTCGCGGCGCTTCAACGCGGACCGCGAGCTGCGCACGGCGCTGTGGAAGGTCGGGTTCATGAAGCAGCTGCCGAACCTGCTGAAGCAGGAGAGCACGTCGGCTTCGACGCTCGTGTATGTGTACCTGCGCATGCACAGCGACAGCCGCCCAGGCGTCGATGTGCACCGCCGCGAGGTGAGCGACCGGTTCCTCCCGCTGGCGGAGGAGATCATCACGGGGTACCTGCCGCTCGACAATGAGACGCAGGCACGCAACATTGCCGCGTGGACACCTGTGGTTGCGCAGGTCGTACAGGGCCTGGCGGACATGTACGAGGCGGATCCCGACGCGCAAAAGGCCGCTACGCCCACGTTCTTCCTGCTCGTCGTGGAGCTGCTCGACAAGATCACGCTGGCGCCAACGCTGGCGATGCCGCTGCGCCGCTACCTCACAGCGGTCGGCACGGCCCATGGCTTTGTGGACCTTGCCGCAGCGGCCGAGCGTGAGCGTGCACGCGAAGAGGCGCGCCTGGATATGATGCGCGCGACGCCGCTAGGCCGCGCCGACCAGTCGCAGACGGATTTGCGGCAGGTCGCACTGGCGAACCATTCGGTCGAGGCACTCTCGCCACCGTAGACGTACAGCTATCTACTACGCATACGAGTCGACGAGCGCGTCGCGCAGCTGGTTCACGACTGCACCGGCCTCCTGGCCCTGCAGGCGGAACGTCGACTCAATCACGCTCAGCTCGGTGGCCGTCGTGTCGAGACCGACGAACGCCGCCCAGTCGTTGACAAGGAGGCCTGCGCCGACCAGCTCCGAGCCGCGGTTGACAGTGCCCGCGACAAGCGGCACCTGCAGCAGCGACGAAAGTTCGTCCTGGTCCTGCATCGATGTTTTGGGGTGCACCAGCGCACCCTGGTTCGACAGCGCGGCGTACGAGCCGACAAGCACATGGTCGCCGACCGTCTGCCGGAACACCTCGACACGGAGCACATCCGCAATGATTTCCTCCGTCTCGCGGTCCAGGTCAGGATGCACAATCGCGACATAGTCTGGGTAAGTGGGCCCCACGTACCGTTGCAGGCAATGACATTGCCCAGCGCACTGAGGCGCTCCTCCACGCGCTGGATCGCCACCTCGTCCGGCAGGCTATTCCGCAGGTGCTGCAGCTCTTGGTCTGTGGTGGACATGGGCACAAGCAGGCCGTGGCGGTTGCCCACCGTCAGCCGGCCCACCAGGCGCGTGCCTGCAATGGTGCAGTGCACCACAGGTATCAAGTCACCGAGCTCCGCCTCGAACGTCGAATAAAAGTTCGCCGAGCCACCGACGGTGACCAGGCAGTACGAGTTGGTCAGGCGTGCAAACACGCCAATCTCTGACGAATTCTCAAACTGGCAACGGACGGCCATGGTCGTCCCAGTGGCTGGTCCGCCGCCACCGCGCGCCACCTTTTTTCGCCGCTGACTCAGCGTCGGTCGTCGCCGGGCGCGCCCGCCCCTTCGCCGTTGCCCACCATGGATCGTGCGTGCGCCATGGCTGACCCAGTGACCTCGCTTTCGTCGTCGGAGCAGATGCAGATGCAGCGCATCATTGAGCAGAAGCAGATGAAGGACTTTATGAACCTGTACTCGGGCCTCGTCCAGCGCTGCTTCGACGGATGCATTCACGACTTTACCTCGCGTGCGCTCACGACCAAGGAGACCACGTGTGTCGCGAACTGCACCCAAAAGTTCCTCAAGCACTCGGAACGCGTTGGTGCGCGATTCGCCGAGGAAAAGTACGTGGACACGACTTACCCAGTGCGCGTCTCATGGGCCAGCAACCGCAGTAGGTAGCCGCACGCGCGCGCGGCTGGACGTGGCCCCAGCGCACCGCGCTCCATAGCCTCGGCACGACGCACGCCGGCCGGCGGCCGCGCCAGCGGCGCCTGGCTGCCCGCCGGGCGACGACGTCCCTCCACACCACCACCATCCTCACCGAGCCATGGCGGCCGTGCCGGAGGCCGCACCGGCCCTGCCGCACGCGCGCCGCGACCGCGCGCGCGAGACGACGCAGCGCCTGGGCCATACCACCGACGACGCAGAGGCGTATGAGCTACAAGAGACAGCGCCTGGCGCGCCTACACTAGCGGACGCCGGTTTCGATCCGCTCACCGTCGGCGAGCATGTGTGGATGATCGCGTCCGTCATCGTCGTTCTCGGCATCACTTGCTTGGGGCTCCTGATGAGCTTGCGCGTGTAGCGACGGAGCCACCGTCTCGTAGGACGTAGCGACACGTGACTCCTTCCTCCATCACGATGCCATCGCCGCCCGCGCACGCGCAAGGCGCGCCGGCGTGGCTCGCTGACGCGGTGCAGGCAACGAGCGATGCATCTGCATGCTGCGTGCGCTTGCGCGAGGCGTGGTCGCACGACGCCGTCGAGGCGCGCGCGGCTATCTTTGCCCTGCTGCGCGCGCAGATCCAAGCGCCGAGCGTGGCCGCCGCGCACATTGCGCAGGCCCTGCATACCGGCGAGCCCGCGTGTGCAGACGCCATCGCCGATACTCTGTGGGCCCTCGACTGGGAGTACGAGGCGCGCGCCGAGTCGTCCGGCGCCCTGCCCCTCGACACGGCGCGCGCGCGCCTCGCCGAGCTCGTGTGCGCGGGCCTCGCTCTGGGCCTGTGGACGCGCGAGCAAGTGAGCCTGCGCCTGGACGCGCCGCTGCTGGGTGCAGCGCACGTCGTGGACCCCGCCGTGTTCCATCGGCGCGGCATCCAGATCCGCACGGCCAGCTTCTTCAAGCAGACCAAGTACAACCTCCTGCGCGAGGAGAGCGAGGGCTATGCGTCTGTGCTGGTCGCGCTCCTCACACACAGCGCGCCGCCCCTTGAGGTGGACGCACACGGCGCCGTGCAAGCGAGCGCCACAGACGCAGAGCTCGACGCGCACGCCGACGCCCTCCTGCAGCGTCTGTGGGCCCTGATCGGGTACTTTGCCCTGGATGCGAGCCGCGTACTCGACCTGCTGCTCGCCGTGTTCACGAAGCATGTGGCGCACCAGCACCCCTTCTACGTGCGCGTTCTCGCGCGCGGTCGGTGGGGTGCGCCGCGCCTCGCGCAGGTGCTGGGCCAGCAGCTCGCGTACTATGCGCAGCCGGACACCCGCGACGATGCACCGGAAGAGCTGTTCCTCGTGCTTGCCCTGCTCGTGCGCGCCGGCCTCGTTGCGTGGCCCGAGATGTACCCTTATCTGGCGCCAGACGATACCATGGCGCGCCTGCAGAGCGCGTACGAAGAGGCCCTCGCTGCGCAAGGCGCGGCGGGCGCAAATGCACTCACGATGGCCGCGCCGCTCGTCGACGATGACGCGCCGGCCGAGGCACAGGCTGCGCCCGCCGCGCCCGCCGCGCCCGCCGCGCGGGCAGCGGCGCCGTGTGCGCACGCGCCGATGGCCGTACGTGCGATGCTTGCGTGCGGCCTGCTTGAGCCGGTGCAGCCGTTCCTCGCGCAGCACCCGTGGGTGCTGGGCGCGTTCCCGAGCGTGACGCGTGCATACCTGCGCCTCGTGTGGCACCGTCTCGCGCCGGCGCTCGAGCGCATCGCGCTGCCGACGCCGCGTGTGCCGTCCGTGCACCGCGTGCCTGTGCTCACTGTGTATGCGCCCGAGCCGCGGCCGAGCGCAACGCACACGTTTGTGTTTTGCGTTGGCGACTGGGCCGCGCATCTGACGCCCGAGACGGACGCCGCGGCGGTGCTGCCGATGCTCGCGCCGGTGGGCGTGCATATCGCGCAGGACGCGCGCCTCCTGCAGGTGCTGTGCCGCTTCGCCGCGCAGGCGATGGACCGCGCACCGTGGATGCAGCTGCTGCGCACGCAGGTCCTGCCCGCCGTCGCGCTTGCGGAGGCGGGCGCGCCGCTCCTGTACGAGCTGTGGGCGTGTGTGCAGACGCTGAGTTACCCCGAGCGGTATGCACTGTACGGCGAGTGGAAGCACCGCGCGTTTCAGCGGCGCGAGCTGCGGGCGGCCAAGGCGGCGACGGAGCGCGAGGCGCGTGGAATCCTGCGGCGCGTGAGTGCGGACAATGTGCGCGCGAGCGGGCGGAGCCTGGCGAAGGCTGCACACACGAACCCGACTGTGTTTTTCGACGTGGTGCTGCACCAGGTGCAGTCGTACGACAACCTCATCGAGCCGGTCGTCGATGCGGCCAAGTACCTGACGCCGCTCGAGTACGATGTGTGCTCGTACGCGCTGCTCGAGGCGCTCGCGAACCCCGCGCGCGCGCGCATCAAGTCAGACGGCACACACGCGAGCCTGTGGCTCAAGAGTCTCGCGTCGTTTGCCGGCGCGTTCTTCCGCAAGTATGCGGTGATGGACTGCACGCCGGTGCTGCAGTACCTGGTGAACCAGCTGCAGCAGGGGCATGGGAACGACTTGATTGTGCTCTCGGAGCTTGTGCTCAAGATGGCCGGTATCGAGCCGGTCGGCGAGCTGTCCGACGCGCAGACTGCCGCGCTCAGCGGCGGTCCCCTGCTGCAGGGCGAGGCGATGCTCACGCTGATTGCCGCGCCGAGCCCGACGGCCGCGCTCCTGGCGCGCAATGCGTTCAAGAAGGCGGGCTCGCGCTTACACCGCACGCTCGTGCAGTCGCGTCTCGCGCTCGCCCTCCTCGTGCTCATGGCGCAGCATCGGCAGCGGTGCGTGTTTGAGACGGAGGCGCATATCAAGTCGCTGAGCAGTGCGTACGACACGGTGCAGTCGTACCTGTTCCAATATGCCCACTTTCTTGCGGCGCAAGGGGCGCAGGCGTATGCAGAGCTTGTGCCGTCGCCTGCCGAGTGGGTCCGGCGCTTCGGCGTGGATGTCCCCATGGCCTTCCACCTGGCGCGCCCCAAGCTGGCGTGGGCGATGCAGGCCGCGGCGGAGCCCATGCAGGTCGAGCCGTCCGCGGCCGGGGACGCGGCCGAGCCATGGCACGCCGCGCTGGCCCCGACGATCGCGAGCATCGGCGAGGCACTACCGCCCGACGCTCTCTCCGAGGTCGGCGCCGCGTTCTTCACCACGTTTTGGCAGCTCGCGCTCTCGGACATTACGGTGCCGATGGAGCGGTACCAGCAAGAGATGGCGCGCCTGGGGCAGGCGCTGCGCGACGTGGATGGCGCCGCCGACCTGTCCGAGAGTCTGAAAAAGTCGGCGCGTGTGCGTCTGCAGGAAAATGTCGCGCAGCTCACCGCGGAGCTCAAGGCGCAGACGCTCTCGCACCAAGCGACGCGCCGGCGCCTGCAGGCCGAGCGGGACCACTGGTTCGCGCCTGACGTGGACCGCGGACGCCTCGCGCAGCAGATTGTCGCGCAGTGCCTGCATCCCCGGGCCCGACTGTCCGCGACGGACGCCCTGTTTGCGGCGCGGTTCCTGCGGATGCTCCACACGCTGCAGACGCCGCACCTGCCGACACTCGCTGTGTACGACGTGGTGCTGTGCCAGCATGTGGCGCCGACGCTGTTTGCGGCGACAGAGAACGAGGCGCGCAATTATGCGCGCTTCCTGCACGGTGTACTGGGCGATGTCGATGCGTGGCTCGAGCGGGAGACCTACGAGAAGGACGCGGCCGCGCACATGCACCTCGGCTGGCAGGGACACCGCGGCCTGCCCGGGCGGCCAACGGAGGAGCCGCTCTCGCACGCGGCCTTCAAGGCCACGGTGCTGCGGTGGCACACCCAGCTGTACGAAGCGTTCCTCGCATGCTTTGGAAGCGAATACATGCGCATGCGCAATGCGATCGTGGTGCTGAACCGCCTCTCGGCGTACTTCCCACGCCTGGACGCGCATGGCCAGGCGCTGCTACAGGCGGTCGAGCGCGTGTCGCAGAGCGACCCGCGCGGCGACCTCAAGGTGCTGGCGCATGGGCTTGCTGCGACGCTCAAGAAGCAAAGTGCGTCGTGGGTCGACGTGCGCTTTTTCCGCCGCCTCACGCGCGAGGAGCGCGCGGCCGAGGCGCAGGCCAGAGCCGAGGCGGACGCGCAGGCGCGGGCCCAGGAGGAGGCGCGCCTGCAGCAGGAGCGTGAGCGCGCCGAGCAGGAGCGCCAGCGCGCCGAGCAAGAGCGCCTTGCGAAGGACAAGGCCGAGGCGGCCGCACGGCAGCGGGTCGAGGCGGCGCGGGAGGAGGCGCAGCGCACGCGCAAGGCCAAGGAGCAGGGCACGCCCAAAGGCAAGGCGGAGCGCAAAGACGAGCCGCGCGAGCTGCAGATGCGGGGCGCCGGCGAAGGACGCACGAAACCGACGCGCAGCGAGCGAAAGCGCGAGCGCGAAGAGCGGGCCGAGCGGGCCGAGCGGGCCGATCGCGACGACCGCGGCGCAGAGCGGGGCGGTCGCGATGACCGCGTGGCGGAGCGGGGCGGCCGCGATGACCGCGTGGCGGAGCGGGGCGGCCGCGATGACCGCGTGGCAGAGCGGGGCAGTCGCGATCCGCCCAATGACCGGGATCGCGCAGGTCGCGGCGACCGCGACCGCCGTGGCCAAGGACACTGGGACCGAGGCTATGAACGCGCACGCGACGACCGGCGGCCCAAGGCGGACGACCGCATCGAAACGAATGCGCAGTGGCAGCGCCGCGGCGAGAGCGATGCGCACGACGAGCAGCACGGGCGGAAGCGATCGCTCGCTGACCGCCTGCACAACACCGACGGTGCGGCGCACGACACGGTACGTACGACATACTTACGCAGCCACCGTCCGATGCCCCTGACAATAAGCGCATGCGCAAGGACCGCACGCCGCAGCGCCAGCGCCACGCCGAGGAGCAGCGCGACGCCCCGGGATGGAGAGAGCGCGAGCGGCCCGCGCGCAGCTGGGGCCGGGAGCGGCCAAGCGATGTGCCACGGGAGCACCGCGAGCGCGACCGCCGCAAGCGGCGAGCGGGCGGCGACTAGATAGACCTTGGAGCTACGCACAGCTACCGCGCTTCGAAATGCAGCTGCGTGTGAGAACGCAGTACGTACCATATTTTTCGTGCGCTTTTTGTACATGATGCGGTGACCACACTCGCGGCACCGGATTGGCTCGCGCGCGCGGATCTCGTTGATAGCCGAGCAGTCTGGCGTGAGTCACGCAGCGTACCTGCACAGATATACTCGACTGCAGGCTGGCGCAGCCCCGCGCCGATAGGCACAGCCCCGCCCGGACGCGCCGCGTAGCTCATAGTGGAAGGCGACGAAAAAGGCCGGGGCGGGTCTCGTGACTACACACCGCCGGCCGGGGGCCTCCACGGCCGTCGACGAGCTCGTGGCGCCGTGCGGCATGGACGGCCTCCTCATCGTGGGGCGCTCCGGCAAGCCCATTGTACTCTCGCGTTTCCGACACTCGCGTCCTGTATACCCGCTGCTGCATGCAGACTACCTGCGCGACCTCGTGGCTACGATCCAGGCGAATCCACACGCCATGCCCCTCGGCGAGGACGCCGGCGTGATGGCGTCGGACCGGGATCTGCCCCCTATTCTACCGGTCCCCGTCGCCGACGCAGCATGGGAGGAGGGAACAGAGGATACGTCGGACGAACACGACAGTGACACCACCGACGCACCCAGTCTGCCGGCCGAGGCGACTGAATGGTCCGAGGCGGCGCGCCCGCGCAGCCCGAGCGGGTCTGAGGAGCTGGAGGGCGGCTCGGTTCTGTGCCACATCAGGGTCGGTGAGCTGCGCTTTCTGTGCCCTGTATCGCGTGAAAGTACGTTGGATACGCTGACCCAGTCAACCCACTTGTGCCCCTGGCCTTCCTGCGCAAGGTCGTGCATGTGCTGCAAGAGTACCTGGTCGGCAGCACGAACCCGGAGCTGCTGACGGAGGAGGTCCTGTGCGAGCACTTTGACGTCGTCTACCAGCTGATCGAGGAGATGCTCGACGGCGAGGGCCACGTCCTTCTTACCGAAGTCAATGCCCTGAAAGACATTGTGCTGCCCCCCAGCTGGCTGGACAAGCTCATCCAGACGGTCGGACTCGATGCGTCCGCAGACCGGGGGCGCACGTCGCTCACGTCGCCCGTGCCCTGGCGTAGGCCCAACAGCAAGTACTCGAAGAACGAGGTGTACATGGACCTTTTCGAAACCCTATCCGGCATCGTGAGCGCGGACGGCTCGCCCGTCGCCCTCGATCTTTGGGGCCGCATGGAATGCACCGCCCACCTAAGCGGCCTGCCTGAGCTGCTCATCTCGCTCAATGCGCCCGAGCTCGTGGAGAACGCAGCGTGGCACCCCTGCATCCGCCGCGCCGTCTGGACCGAGCAGAAGAAACTGAGCTGCGTGCCACCCGACGGCCACTGCGAGCTGGGCACCTACCACTTACGGGCCTCCCGTGCCGCAGGCACATCCGTGCGAGGAGAACCGTCCATCGCACACTTGCAGCAGGCACTGCCCCTGTCCGTGCACACGTCGCTGCAGCCGTGGGATGCAGCGCAGGGCGGGCTCCCTTTCACCGTCACCCTCGAGCCCACCCTCTCGTCCGCGCATACGCTAGAGGATGTCTACATTGAATGGAGGCTCGGCGAGCACGTCCATGGCGTGGACGCGGCAGCACAGCTACAGGGCCTGTCATCCAAGGCATCTGTGTCCTCCGACATTGGCACCATTCCCCATGCCGCAGGTGCCCCAGGCTCCATGATCTATGACCGCAAGCACCAGCTCCTGCGCTGGACCATCCCGCGCCTGGTGCCCACTCACAAGACCGTCCTTCGAGGCACCATCCTCGCGTCCCAGGCTTGCCGGCCTCTGTACGCCCTGCAGGTTCGCTTTACTATCGTGGGTCTCTCTCTCTCTGGCATGCGCATCAGCTCCATTCAGCTCGAGCACGAAGCCTACACGCCCACCAAGAGCGCCCGCACGCTACTGACCGGCCAGCTGGAGTGGCGCTGTCGGTCGCCCGGATACCCTCCACTAAATTAGGGCCCTTTTCTACCTGCGCCACAGTGGGCGTCCAAGTCCCGATCTAGGCGGGCGAGTCGCGCTTCCGTAGCTCGTAGCACGCGGACTCGCCGCTCCTCCCGCTCCTCGTCGTTTGTGGGCATGTCGCCAGGATCATACATGGGCGACGAGGTCAGCATATGAGCCCCACGTAAACGGTCGCTCTCGAAAGCCTCTACTTCTCGATTCAGTTGCGAGTTGAGGACCTTGAACTCAGGGGGATGATCGGAAATCTGCATCAGAATACTAGGCGTACCTCATTGTGGGCCAGCTCGTGCACGAGGACGCGACGCGTCGTCTTGTAGTCGCGCATCCCATCGGCCGCATCCGTCCTGATCCGCAGCAGGATACGCTGTCCCTTGTTTTCGTTGAGTCCAAGGAGGTCAGGATTTTCATGGGGAAGAAGCTCCGTGAGAACGCCCACCTGGTATCCATGTGTCCGGCACACATGCAGGATGGCCGGGTCCGAAGCGAGTCGCTCGAGATAGCGCACGACCTGATCGTGGACGTCACTCGACGGCGGTGTGGATGGATGCGCCTCGCATCGCCCAAACACAGGAGGAAGAGGCTGGCTCGTGTTTCTCGGCTTGGCATCTTTTAGCAAGCTGGGGTGCAGGCGCCTCGGCTGGTGCAGGCGCCGGGCCTGTGCATCGTTTTGTTGGATCTGCTCCACCTCGGAATCCACAGCACCCACCACGGTCATACGCAGCGGCCCACGCAGACCAAGCTCTTCCATCGTCGTCGATCCCGCTGTCCCGGATCGCAGCGCTTGGGCGATACGCTGCGACGCCACCGGCACTAAGAGCTTTTGATTCGCTGGCCGCACATCTGTCCGCGCGTGCACCTCCTGCTGTACATCTAGCAGGGTTGCCTTGGGAGGAACACGAATTTCATAGATCGTACCTCGATGCTGTATCGTTATGTGCATACACGCGTCATCGGTGCGCATACAGGGTCGTGTTTAATGAACGCGTAGTCGACGGCCGATCGCTGACGTCATGCCAAGCTTCGTGACGTCCGTGCTCAAGTAAACTCCACAAGTAGGAACGTGCGCCATGTGATTCTAAACGAGGCCACTGGTCGGCAGGCACGAACGCCCAAAAATCGGACGAACTTCTACCAATATGGGGTCATTGGATCTCAAACTCTACGAGGACATTGCCTTTGACAAGCGCGCAGGGCTCGTAGATGTCCCATAAATGAAGCCGAAAGAACAAAGACCCTTTCAGACGCCTGCTTCTGCACTGTCCTGTCAACTTCGCGCCCTCTTGGCAACTAGCAGCTTTCAGGCCCGACAGCTACACTCATGAAAGTGAATACAGTGGTTATTGCCATTGCATTAGTCCTTGCGTCATCCATCGATGCGGAGTCTATGGTGCGCCGTCGTCCTCACCGAGACATCGCGGCGCACCGCAGAAGCTTGGACAGTCGCAACATCATTCATGATCTCGAGATGGAAGGCGCGTCCTTCCTGGATTCGTTCCGTCACAACTCGATCAGCCCATCACCCTCGACTGATGCGTCGGACTCGTCATCGTCGTCCTCGACGGCAATGATGCAGTCATCTATCGCGACAGCCTCTTCGTCACCATCGTCCCACTCTCCGGCTGCGACCTGGGGACCCTCATCTACTTCGGCATCCGCACCAGCGAGCCATGCCTCGGCCTCTACGCACAGCCACTCGAGCTCGCAAGCGCCCTCCAGCTCCAGCTCGGGTCATTCCCAGTTTGACTGGTTCAGGGGCCTGCTGGGCGGAAACAACAATGAAAACGGGCGTTCCGGCCTAGCCTTCAACTTTGGGCCCTTTGGCTCCTCTTCCAGGAACCCGCTAGCCTCCAAGCCCAAGCTGGGTCTTGCTTGGCCCAATGGCGACAGTATGAACATCTCCAACTTCCTTACATCGAAGGTATCTTGGTACTACACTTGGTCGCCTACTCCTAGTATGAAGAACCCTCCTTCGAATATTACTTTTTGCCCCATGCTCTGGGGACACAAACATGTGAACTCGTTCCGTAAAAATGTGCTGGACAACCCCGACGCCGAGCAGAATCGTGATAAATGCATTCTGGCTATGAACGAGGTCAACCAGAAAGGCCAGGCCGACATGAGCGTGAGCGATGCCTGCAATCTTATGCGTGAAAATATCGTGCCTCTCAAGCAGGACCACGACTTTTACGTGGTTGCGCCCTCTACAACTAATGCCCCAAGCGGCAAGAAATGGATGAACAATTTCCGTCAGCAATGCTCGGATGTCTGGGACTCCATTGACGCCATGTCCGTCCACTACTACGATACCAATGTAACTGCCTTCAAGGAATACGTGCAAGACTGGCATGAGACGTACGACAAGCCTATCTGGGTGACAGAGTACGCCTGCCAGAACTTCAACGGTGGCCAACAGTGTTCTGACCTGGAAACATTCCTTTTCCACAAGGAAATGTCGTCTTGGTTTGACCAACAGAGCTTTGTGGAAGCATATGCGCCCTTTGGTGTTATGCAACAAATGCAGGGTGTGAACCCGAATAACCAGTTGACGAGCAACGGATCGCCAAACATATTGTTTGACGCAATCGCATCGCGCTGACGGGCTCGCAGGTCGAGCACTACCGGGCCGAGTATTCCAAAGCATACCTGGATAGAATTTTCTATATGTTCCATGATATTATATACCGTAGATTAAGAGTAAGGATTTGAACGGCTATCTGGTCTTACCGTCTTCTCCACCACGAAACCGTGTGCCTATTTTTAGTCATATTTCGTAGTCTACGCATATGCAACCCAGCTTTGTTGTGTCACAATCATTGTGGTCTTTTACGCTTCCATGTCAATCGGCTGTCAATCAAGTATCGTGTTCACTAATTGACCTGTTGAAATACCAGTCATTTTTATCGCCTCTTTCAGTACAGCCATCTATGAAAGCTTTGCGAGAATTGCGCGATACTTGGAGGGAGCGTGGCTCTGTCCCCCTTCGCTACTCCCAAACCCATGGCTCAGGGGCCAAACATGCAATATCACTTCAGCCCCCTAAACGTGTGATACGTGCGACCCGAGATTACGTATCAAAGTCTCCTCATGAGCTTAGTTTCCACAATGGTGACTTTTTCCATGTGTTGAGCGACGAAGATCCGTATAGTGGATCAGGCTGGATAGAAGCCTGCAATCCAATGACTTGTGCTCGTGGTTATGTGCCGATTAACTTTTTTGATGTCCTGGAACGCTCGGTTCCTCGGTCAGCCTTCAGCTTAAACGTGCGGAATGAGCTTAATCCGCATGGCTCTCCTCTTACCCCTTCTCTGTCTCGTTCGAGTCGGTCTGACTCTACTTCATCTACTCGCACTAGCAGCAGTACGCTGGCGACGTTCAAATACAATTTTCAGGCTGAGCTTCCCCATGAGCTATCAGGAAAAGAAGGAGACAGCGTCTTGATCGTCGCAAAATCCAACAATGAATGGTTAGTCGCGAAACATGTTGGCCAAATTAGTTCTCCAGGTCTTGTTCCGGTTACCTTTATGGCTTTCCGAAATCAGTTCACAGGTCAACCTCTCGAGGAAGAAAGCTACGAATCCATCCTGGCCCAAATACCCAGTGTAGCTGAATGGGAGGAACAAAACAAACACCTCGCTGATCAAGCAATTCCCCTTGGTACCATTGACCATTATGGGCCACAAAAATGTCTAAACGACCCATTACCCCCTTTACCCACGCAATTAAAAACGTGGAACACCACCCCTTCTGCTGTGCATGTCATTAATGAGTACTTCCCCGAGACGGTCTCACTTTCTCGTACAAACTCAGGCTTGGTACATGACCCTACATCTTCACAAATGGGCCTTTTGACATCTGCATCTGTGGATGGAATGCAACCTGACTCAACACACATCTGGTTCTGCGTTCGTGCTTCTTTCACCTCGGCGATGTTCTCGCGAAATGCTCATGCGCAAGTTTGTGCCTATGAAGTACGAGAAGTGTTGGTTTTCCGTTCCTATCATGATTTTTTTGTTTTCCATGGTGCCCTCGAGCGCGAGTCCTATCAGTTCAATGACCGCTCTAGCGTTGGCCAAACCGGCACTATCTTGCCGCCGCTTCCGCGCATTCCTGATGTAAATTCAAGTGATTCAGCTGTGCAATGCTGCAAAGAACTCAATCTGTATATGCAACATATATGCGCTCTCCCAGAAAACTTCTTGAGAGCTCGTGCGATCCGAGGATTCCTAGAGCTTCGCCAAGGCGACAAGTGTCAGACCACGCTAGTGCCACATTCTCGGCATTCAAATACTTCTACCCTTGACTTTGATCTGGCGTCCCAGCTTGAAGACATGAATATGCGGGATTCCTTAGGAAGTGGGCGGCCTATCCTGTCTGGCAGTTTCACGACAAAGTCTGTCTCGGAAGGACCCTCCCTTGTGGATGAATCTATTCCGACATATCGTATTAAATTGATGCAAAGAGGCAAGGACCCTAAAATGATTGCAGTGAGTATGCCAATGAAATTTTCTAGGCAATCACTCTTGGTGAAGGTGCAAGAGAAATTGGGCCACAATGTCAAAGCCATCGAAACGCAAGAAGCATCAGGTGGACCTCAAATCTCTACAGACGAAGACCTTCAATCCTGGCTTCTCAGCTGCTTGCGTCATGGAAAAAAGCTTCTCTTGTTTGTGGACGCTGAGCCTTAAGACCCTAGCGCCTGAAACTACCTGTCCTGTATAGCCTGTACTTGTAACAAATTATATCCATATTCCTAACTGGTCGTAACCATACCTTATGCTACCTGATAAATTGTATCGTTGCTATGATAGTACAATGCTTGAACATTGTTAAGAGATGTTAGATTTTGGTCCGTTTTCTAGAAACCACATGGCGCGCATCCATCCTCGAGTTTTGGCATCTGGTTCATGACAGCCTTTGGATATCATTGTTTATCGAATTGATATGAATGAAGCATACCAACGTTCCCCTTGCGATGTACAATGACAAATTGAAGCCGTCTAGATATGAAATTTAGGCTGATTCTTCCATATCCTTGTCAAATTTGACAGTTTGAATGGTGCCGATATTGGGATTGTTGAACCATTGACGCTTTTCAACAGGACTTGCTTGAACAGTAACAAGGGCGACGATGCTAAGCAGCAAGGCAATATGGAAAAACTTCATTTCTTAAACCGATACGTTCAAGCTGAGCGTGGTTGTCCTTTTTATAACGGAGTATTGGCGGCAAGAAGGTGATTCTGCTCAGCCACACAAGTAATCGGTGGCCCCAAAATCAGAAATTAAGGGGGCTTCTTATTTGCTGGAGCGCTCGAAGTACTAGTTCGCAACGTACCATTGCGTTAAGACACGTGGGAATTTTTTGCCGATTTGTCCGATTGAATAATGGAGGAACCCCTACATATAAATAATTGCATTTTTTTCATGTGAAATGCGAGTACGTAATGATTAGATAGACCAATTGTCAAGCCTGCGTGGCATCGTTACGAAAATCTATAGTGTGCTGTTGAGTACGGCGCAGTCGCCGGGTTCAGCGACCAAAAAATGTCCAGTCAACAGCGACACAGCTTTGGATCTTATTCAAGACGTATGCCCGGAACCAGGGACGAAGGAGAGCGGAGTTATTCACAGCAAACAACAGGGAAAGCTAGCCGGCCCATGTCAGGACCATTTTCTCAGGGATTTTACTATCCTCATGAAGCGCCGGCCGTTCCCTCCGAAATGATGCCTTGGAACGTATTTCCTGGACAGATAAATACTCTAGCTGATGCCTACGGTGCTTCTCATGGTCAACCTCAGGCTGGTACCCCAAACCTAGATTGGATTAATGGGATGGCTGTATCTATGCTTGCCGACCCATCCGCGCAAGCTCATCCATATGGGGGCTACATGTTGGGGCACAGTGCAGTACCATCTACAGTGTATGGCCCTTCTCCACAGCTGCTGGCTCATCAATTATCGCAAATGCAACTTCAGAATGCGTCGTATGATCAAATCACTGCACAACAGAATCTCTTACTTTCGCAGATTCGGCAGGCACAGGCTCAAAGGAGCCAAGCGCAGTCTGAGATGCGTTCAGATCTTTCTTCAAATCTCTCTGTTGGAGACAGCTCAACCTTTAGTACTGGAACTCAACCATTGAGTTTCTCGGGTATCGAAGCCGCGGACTCATCGATGACTTCGCAGCAGCAATTACACCCTGACCTGACCAAAGCGCTATCAGCAATGGAAGCCATACGTCAACAATACCATGAAAAGCATACATCTACGGAAAAAAGATCACCCAATATGCCTAGGAGTCCCAGACCTAATTCTTTCGCTGGTCGAGACAACTGTGATTCCAGCCATCTAGCTACACCTATGCGTTCTGATGGAAAAAGGTATTCTGCACAACAACGGAATGACATGGAGTTTCCAAATCGTCGGCGCAGTATTACACCGTCTATTGTTATTGACCAAGTCAATGTTGAAGCCACTGATGAAGATTTGGAAAAGAAAGCCAATTCAGTTGGCATGCGTCTTGGTCCGCGCATCGCGACTGTTGTCCATGAAGTAACGCCAACAGATACCCTTTCATATCCTGCCAATACTCCTGAGAGAATACCAACTCGAACTACCGACTCTACGCGACACTCCAACACGCAAGCAGCAACACAGCCAATGATCATTCAGCCTCGTCGCCAACCGCGAGGTCCTCCCACCGAGTCATTTTTTGCCAACAATTTCCTGGCACGTCGTTCTCTACGTACACGAAGAGAAGCCATGTCGAAATTGTGTGCAAGTCCTCGAGCTCATAACTTTGGCAGCTCAAGACACTCTGCACCTCCCTCCTCCTTATCGAAACAATTGTAAATTATATAGAATCATTAGCTAAGGTTGCGGGGATGTAGTTTCCCTCAAACTGTGATTATGTCACCAAAAATATATGAATGCCGAAATAAGTCGATAACCGGAAGCTAGTTCGCTGGAGTGCCCAGAATCTGTAGGAATTTTGATGCGCAGCGTGACCGAGCGATAAGGGGGCGTGGGGCCGAAATAGCTAGGGATATATTGCTGGTTAAACTAAAAGGTCTTCAAAGGATTCTCCATTCTCTTCGGGAGGCCTCACGGCGAATCTAATCATGGCTCGTAAGTTCTCGTTGACATTCTGTTTCTAACCTGTACAGAGGAAGACTCCAAGGCGGTGGCAATATTAGCCAACCAAACACAGTATAATGAACACCTGAGATCGTCAGAGAAGAAGCCTAGGCGTTTCCCCGCTGCGTTTAAACATATGAAGGATGATGTTGACCCGTTTTCCGCAGGAGAGCAAGGCTACTTTCCGTCTGATGAAGAACGTATGACATTACGGCGCGTCCCCGAAAAACTGAGCTGGGCTATTTTCTCCATTGGTATCTGTGAGCTGGCTGAGCGGTTTAGCTTCTACGGTGCGACGCAGGTATTCTCAAACTTTGTGAACAGGCCGAGGCCCTATATTGACGGTCATGTTTCCGCGTCTGGAGCTGCCAAGCATTTAAATACCCCTTCTGGTGCTCTGGGTCTGGGGACCCAGGTTGCTAACGGTTTGGTGACATTCAACCAGTTCTGGTGCTACATTACTCCATTGTTAGGTGCATACGTGGCTGATGTTTACACAAATCGCTTCAATGCACTTTGTATTGGTGTTGGTTTCTCGATGGTTGGTCACATTTTGCTTGTCGTCTCTGCCATTCCTACTGTCTTGGATGATTCTCACGGTTCTCTGGCGTGTTTTATCATTGCGATGATTATCATGGGCTTTGGTACAGGATTTTTCAAAAGCAATTGCTCTGTTTTGATTGCCGATCAAATCCGTTTCAAGCAACAAACGGTTGTCACATTAGCTACAGGGGAGAAGGTTATCATTGACCCTGCACTCACTTTGCAGCGCCTTTATCTTTGGTTCTACCTGATGATCAATATTGGATCCTGCGCGGGCGAACTCGGTATGGTGTATGCAGAAAAATGGGTTGGCTTCTGGCTTGCGTACTTGCTTCCAACGCTAGTATTCACCATTCCTATCCCTGTGCTTTGGTTTGGTCGTAACTTCTATGATGTATCTCCGCCGAATGGATCCGTCCTTTCGCAAGCTGTGAAAGCATGGGGTCTTGTCATTCGCAAGAACTGGAGCTGGAATCCCGTTCGTCTCATCCGAAATGCGCAGTCGCCTAGTTACTGGGACTGCGTGAAACCATCACTCCTCACCGAGTCGGAGCGCAGACCTTGGATGGGCTATGAGGATGTCTGGATTGATGAACTTCGCCGTGGAATCAAGGCGTGTGCTATATTTCTTCTTTTCCCCCTGTACTGGCTTTGTTACAACCAGATCGTCAACAATCTTATCGTCCAGGCAGGTCAAATGAACATTGGCTCTACTCCATCGGAAATCGTATCCGTGCTGGACCCTATCTTTGTCATTATCTTCGTCTTTGTGTTCAACACAGGTGTATACCCCCTTATGACAAAGATGAAACTTCCCTTCACTCCTATTAAGCGCATCACTGTCGGATTTTTCTTCGCTTGTGCTGCTATGATTTGGTCTTCGGTTCTACAACACTACATATACATTCGTAACCCATGTGGCAACAGAGTGGGTGACGACATCGTTATCAATGGCAATAACTGCAGCACTTCATACGCAAACATATCAGTGTGGACACAAGCAGGGTCTTATGCACTGGTGGCTGTAAGTGAAATTCTGGCATCGGTGACCTCCATGGAGATTGCTGTGCTGATGGCACCCAACAATATGCGCTCGATCATTATGGGTGTTAGTCTGTTTACAACGGCCTTTGCGTCTGCGATCGGTGAGGCTTTCACGCCTCTATCAGTCAACCCTTTGTTTGTCGTCAACTATGCCGTCTTGGCTGGTTTGGCCTTTGTTGGCGGCATCCTCTTCTGGATCTTCTTCTACAAGCTTGACCGGAAGCAAGAGGAAATGAACTTGATTGGCCAGCAAGGTTCCCATGAAACCAAAGAGGACAGCCATTCCGGCCGTGAACCATCACTCTCTCTAATGGAAAAGCCACACACGGACCTCCATCCCTAATTTACAAACTATGTAGGACGATATCATTATATTGTACTTGCAATCTGCCATCCTGTTGACTTGAGGCCTGTGCTTCCATGCATGCAGCCTTATCCGCCGAACGTGTGTCATAGTTCCGTCTTACATAATATCTGCACTGCATTCGCGGATTGTGACGTACCTAGCGCGTGGCGCAGTTCAAATGGAGTCATCTGACTAGTACCCCCCCCCCTTAACCACTCTCTCTAACTAGACGGAAACAATGGCGTACAACATGCAAGGTGCTCAAGGTGGATACGTAAGTTCAAAATGAGAGTGAAAAAAGCTAACTTAGCAGTACCCGCCCCAGCAGGGTGGTTACGGTGGCGGTTACGCCCAGACCGCTCCTATGGGTGGTTCGGTATGTTTGCAGTGTTTGGGAGATACTGACCCTTTCAGCGGCTGGAGCAGCGTCGTGCTCGCGTGAACGACAAGCGTACGTGTCAATGCCAATAACTTACACACAGATGGTGCATGCGGTCCTTGGTATGTTGAATTTACCTAATTATTAGCTGCGCATTCTGTGTCGGCCTTCTCGCTTGCTGGTACGTTGATGTACCTGATCCACTAACCGACAGCTGTATGTTCATTTGACTTGCTTTATACTTACACAACAGGTCTCGAGGACATCATCTGCGCTGGCTGCCTGGACGCTGTTTTCTAAATTGCTAAGCCTACAATTCTGTCGTAGATGGTTGTGCAGTATGCACATCGTCTTTGCTAATTAGTTTCAGACGTCATTTTTTCGTTGTATAGCTCGCAGTCCCACACTTTGCAGGTGTTGTCGAGTGGATAAGGCCCGTACGGCGATGCGCCTTGATCATCTGTCAAATCCGGCCAGTGCCGCGCGCCTCCTACCGTGAGAAGGCATCGGCTTCGCTGCGGGTGAAAATGTACGCTGCCAACGGCATCTAGATGTGAGTTGAGTCATTCGTACCGGTATGGGCCTGCCACTGCGACTTAGGCGTTACCGGCATCGCCGGATTCTTAGAAGCTAGTACATCAGACCACTGCCAAAGTCGGACCGTGCCATGTTGGTCGCCTGCAGCGATAAAATTCCCGTGGCTGTCCATGTCAAAGTAGAGTCGCTGGTGAGATCCTGTGCAGTCGCGTTCGAGCCTAGCTATCAAGGCCGGGTCATCAGTCGCGAGGGGTTGAAACTGGAAGGGATGATTCATGCCGTACAGATAACTCGTGTCATAGACCAACAAATGCGTACTTCGACGCACGGACACAACGAGAATGTGGCGCTGAGCAGGATGCCAGGCAACCTGAACCACACCTTGGCCTTCGCGGATATGCCATCCACATAAGCAGAGTGACTCACCCGACAACGCACAAGATGTACCCAACAGGGGAGAATGCCATCCTGATCCTTGTTCCTCTAAAGCAGCAAGCCACGATGGGTCGGTAACGTAAATGCCCACAGCATTCGCGAACGTTGCCACCGCCGTCACCTCCAGCTGGTCACTTTGTAGGTCTCGCTCTACCACAGCGGGTGCCTTGCCGATAGCCAGGGCAGATACAATACCATGTTGGCCAGCCTCGATCCGAGATGACCTATGTGGTGACAAGCTCAAGGCTGAATGGGTATTGGAGCCGACACACGCCAGTGGGATCATAGCAAGCCCTGCGGTAAGTCCGCCATAGAGTCTGTTGTTAGTGCCTGCTCTGCGTACCGCATAGCATCCGGCGTGAAAGTCAGCACTTGAGGTGCAATATAGGTCTCAACGTGATTGACGATCGCATACGACGCTTTCGTCTGGAACAGTTAGCGGCGACACCTACCTGTCCGAACTGCGCATCTACTAGGCGCACGGGCATGTCTCTACAGCTGATGGCAAAGCACCATGCTGACGTAGATTTATCCGAGGGAATGTCCGCAGGGAGCGCGTACCAGCTCGTGTCCAAGATAGGCGCAGGGGCCTGATGTGTGTGGAGCAGGGACCATGTGCCTACGAGGCTAGTCCATATGTGCACACGATGCGACTCGGTGCGAGCAAGGATCAGTGACCCATCTGGCGACCTGGTCTATGAGTCATGTGGGCGTACCACTGCGCACAGCGCCAAAAGTCCTGGCGGTCTGGGCATACGAGTGTATGCACCAGCGTAGGATGCATGGAGTGGAGGAGTGTGAATCACAAGCACGTGGCAGGGGTATGGTTGGTACCTACGGGCTGGTTTTGGTGCGCGAGGCGCGCGCAAAGGGAGAGAGTTTGCGGGTAATCGGACGAGTACGGCCCCAACCACGACGCATGGCGACGCGACGGCGATCCTGTTCAAAGGCACGGGCAGCATCGAAACCGTTGCGACCGTAGCGGCCGAGCAGCTTGATGCGGCGCTCGTCGGCGCGTACACGAGGCGCGTTGCGTGCGTACAACTCCCAGGCCAGGCCAAATATGTCTCCATGCGCAGGGTACGGCGAAGGGATATCGGAGCGGTACAGCAACTGCGAGTAGCGCCGACCGCCACTCGAATCGTTATCGCGGGAACGGGCCACGTGCTGCGATAGGGTGGGGTGATGCAGATAGATGGCCGAGCATGTGCGGAAGCTGACATCGAGGTAGGGTGGGATAAACAAGAACGGCGCTGCAAAAGGCGGCAGGTGGAAGGGTAGAACGCCCGGTGCGAGCTCCGAGCCCGCCGGCTTGGCCTGGGACTCAGGTAGCGTCCCTTCGGACGGCGCTGCCTCCGCCGACTCGACAGATGATTCAGTCTCAGATGCCTTCTCGGCAGGAGATGCCTCGGCCGCCGGTTCGGCCTCAGGGGACGCCTCCGTCTCGGCATTCGCCTCGGGTTCCTCACGAGTGGGCGGCGACGGCGCGAGACGCTCGCGGTCAGCCTGAACGCGCTTCGCCACCTCCTTGTTGAGCATCGGCACGCACTCCGGCTCGACAGTGATCAGGTCGCCTTGCTCGAGCAGGTGACCAGGGTCGGTGATGACATGGCCATTGATGCGCACTTTGCCATGCAGTACAAGCGAGCGCGCGTAGTACACGCTGTGAGCAAAGCAGCAGCGGAAGACGACTGTGTCAATTCGGCGCTCGACATCGCGCATGAACAAAGTCTTGACGGGCGGCGTAGGCGTATCGAGCACGTCAGAGCCCTTCGACAAGGGCCCAGCCTTGCTCAAGGGGGGCGAAAAGCTGGGGAGAGATGTCGGAAGGAACCAGCGCTTGAAGCGGCGCTCTGGAATCCAGTCTCCGTGGTACGCGCGCAGCAGGCGCTTGGACCGCCAGCGCTGCTGGAACATGGTCATGCTGGTCTTTTGGAACGAGGTCTCGTTGACCAGCATAGGGGTAGATGAGCGTGCAATCAGGTTGTAGAGATTACGCGGCGACCACGACTACTGTGAGCACGGTCCATACGTACCATGCGTGGGAGCGCCGACTCGTGCCGGAACACATTCGGCTTCCTCATCGGCGCAAGCCTCGGTGGAGTTGCGGCGAGCGGCAGGGCGGCCGCGGCCGCGGGCGCGAAGAAAATGACATCAGCCGATGTCAGCAAGAAGATCCATCACGTGCAGGGAACGTGCGTGCATAGATGACGTGACAAGCGAGCACATGCCCTGAGCGGCGCGCGGCATTGGCTGTGAGCCGGGGGGTGCCAGCAGGGCGAGCGCGCGACAGTTGGGAAGCGCGCGCGGTGGGGACGTCTCCCCTGAGACGGCTCTACGTTCTTCCACGATCTACCATGTCTTCGTTCCAGCTGCCTGAAGGCCACTTTCTGTTCACTTCGTACGTATGCCCACTTTAATGCGGTAGCGAGTCGGTCGGTGAGGGCCACCCCGACAAGATCTGTGACCAGATCTCAGATGCCATCCTGGATGCCTGCCTTCAGCAGGACCCGAACTCGAAGGTCGCGTGTGAGACCGCGGCCAAGACTGGTCTGATCCTGGTGTTTGGTGAGATTACCAGCAAGGCCCACCTGGACTACCAGAAGATCATCCGTGACACGATCAAGGAGATTGGCTACGACGACTCGGCGAAGGGCTTCGACTACAAGACCTGCAACGTCATGGTCGCCATTGAGCAGCAGTCGCCCGACATTGCGCAGGGTCTCGACCACGGTAACCTGGAGGACCACGGTGCCGGTGACCAGGGTATCATGTTCGGCTACGCCTCGGACGAGTCGCCCGAGCTGATGCCGCTCACCGTTGTGTACGCGCACAAGCTGAACCATGCCATGTCGGCCGCCCGCCGCAACGGCCACCTGCCGTGGCTGTTGCCCGACACCAAGACCCAGGTGACCATCGAGTACAAGAAGGACGGTGGTGCTGTTGTGCCAGTGCGTGTTGACACGGTTGTCGTGTCGTCGCAGCACACTGATGATGTCAGCACCGAGGAGCTGCGCGAGAAGATCAAGTCGGAGATCATTGAGAAGGTGATCCCCGCAGACATGCTTGACGAGCGCACCGTGTACCATATCCAGCCTTCCGGCCGCTTCGTGATCGGTGGTCCCCAGGGTGACGCCGGTCTGACGGGCCGCAAGATCATTGTCGACACCTACGGTGGCTGGGGCGCGCACGGTGGTGGTGCCTTCTCCGGCAAGGACTTCTCGAAGGTCGACCGCTCGGCGGCCTACACGGCTCGCTGGGTCGCCAAGTCGATTGTGAACGCTGGCCTCGCTCGCCGCTGCCTTGTCCAGCTGTCGTACGCCATTGGTGTCGCGGAGCCGCTCTCCGTGTACGTGGACACCTACGGCACTGGCACCAAGTCGGATGCGGAGCTGGTCGACATTATCCGCAAGAACTTCAACCTGAAGCCCGGTGTCATTGTGCGTGACCTCGAGCTGCAGAAGCCCATCTACCGCCAGACCGCCTTTGGTGGTCACTTTGGCCGCTCCGAGTTCTCATGGGAGCAGCCCAAGACGCTGCAGTTCTAAGCAGCTCGTCCATCGGTTCAACATCGTCACTCGAGGAATGGGTGGCCGCCAAAAGCGCTCTGCGCCCAGTCATGCCCATCTGACGCACGCCCCGCCCCCTGTATGAGATAGCCCCTCCCCTCACGTCAACCGTGTTTATACAATGAATACTATCTAGTCTAGCTTGCCAACGCACTCGACATGGCCTCGCGGAAGCTCCGCAGCAGGCCGGAGAGTGCAGGCGTTTTCGGTGCAGGCGCCGGCTCTTTCGGCAGGAACGGGTCGCGACGCATGCGCCCTGTGCCATCGCCCAGCACCTGGATGCTGAAGTCAGCCTCGGTATCGCCGGCCGCCCAGCGCGAGGCAATCTCCATTTGGCGTCCGCGTTTCCGCCGCGCCGCCTCGAGTAGTCCTTGCACTTCGAGCCGCTGGCTCTCAGACAGGCGCGGCGCGTTCGGAGCGCCACGCGTCGCAAGCATAGGCGGCTCCCATATCGACGCCAAATCCTCAGAGCCCGTACCGACCGTCATCGCCAGATGCCGCAGCCACGCAAACGTACTAAACACGGCCGGGTCGACCTGCGCCCAGCGATGCACAAAGTTGTACCAGGAGGGCGCGGCCCGATCTAAGAACACGGCAATCGTGTTGATCGAGCGTGCTGGGTCCTGCACACGCGCACGGAGACTCTCGAGCAGATCAAAAAGACGCAGCAAAAAGGCGTGCAGGCCGAGAAGGTCGTCGTGCACGCCGTCTACGCGCTGCGCACGCACGAGCGCGTCGAGCAGCGGCTCGAAAAAGATAGTTAGCGCGTCGAGAATGGCGGGATCCTGTAGCATGCCGCGAATCTGCGTCACGTCGCGGTGCAGCGAGTAAATACGCAGGACACGCTGCAAATTCAAAATGAGCTGGTAGCCCGCACGGTTGTTCTGGCGGCGGCGCACCGCGTTCGGGTGCGTCGCCAAAAACTCGTTATACTCGTGCGTCGCCGCCATGACACGCTCGACCTCCGTCCGGGTCAACTTGGGTGAATCCGAGCCGCGCACAATCGCCGCCACGAGCGGGATATCGGCCTGGTCAGCATGCTGTCGCACCAAGCGCTTCATGTCCTCAGGGCTCTCGACATACATTCGCAGCTTGCGGATCATCGTGTCAGACCCAATCTGCTGCTGGAGTTCTCGCAAATTCTCGTCCATTACCACTGGGTCGTCGTCATAGAGGATCTGGAAAAGCGACTGCAGGAACCGCTTCCGCAAAAACTGCTTCTGCCACTCACGCACCGCCTGGATCGCAGGCAGACGCAGTGCGTTCGCCATCTTACGCCACGGAATCACATCCACCAAGTCGCGCACCCGCGCAAGGTTGGCGCGCGACTGGTCGCCCTGCACAAAGATGCCATACAGGAAGCGCGCCGTCTGCAGATGGCCCCACGACACCATCGTCTGGTATGATGTCGGCAGATCCGCAAAATCAGGCGTCGCTTTGAGCGCATTGTACATCTTTAAAAAGCCATCGCCGTCCACGCAGTCAGCCCAAATACGCTGCGCAATGCGGCGAATGCTCAGCACATGCTCACCGGCCATCTCGGCATCTTTTTCGCGCTCCTCAATGCGCCGGCTATCGACACGGCGGCGTTCGGCAATGTTCAGCAGTTCGTCCGTATCGAGGTCGCGGTCGTGGAAGCACCCAATACTCAGGAACGCCCGCACCTCGTTGCTCTCGCCAATGCTGCGGATGGCCAGCGTGTCACGCAGCCACGAGCGCAGCAGCCGGCGGTCCACCTCAAACCGCGGCACAGGACGCTGGCGCTGCCCGTACAACGGCGGCAAAGCATCAGCAGACGAAAGGCCGTCCGGGCGCCGAGGGCCATGCGCATCCACTGTGCTCTCTGAGTCGTACGATGATTCGTCATAGGGACTCGTCTCATCATCCTCGTAGCTTGTCCGCGAGTCGTACGATGAGCCGTCCGTTACCGACATCGACTCATCACTGGATGCAGCCAGCTGCTCACGCCCAGGAAGGCGCGGCAGCGGTCGCACATGCACAAACGGCCCGAGTTCCTGCGCCAGCTTTGCCCGGAATTCGTCCCAGTCGTTGTCGTTGCGTACAACAAACTCATCCATACGGTTCGGCCGGCGGATCCGCAGCAAAAAGTCGCGGTTATGATGCAGGTGCTCGCGCACAGCGACAATATCAACCTCCATACCTCCCAGGCGCAGCCGATCTGTCGGCCGGCGGTAGCTCACAAATGCCTCGGGTGGAAGAAGCTTGGCATTGGGCCACGGCAGCGGCACGTTGTGCATAGGCTCCGCGCCATAGAATGGGTTGCCAGGGCCCACACGTAACACTGCCGTGATGTAGCGCGTGGCCCACTTGTGCAGCAGCTGCCCCAGCGCAGTCAGCAGCGACTGCGCCATGAACGGCATACCATCGCTCTGCCCATGGCGCTCAATCGCCGAGCTCAACGAGCGCGCCTGAGCCTCACGCAGGAGCGGTACGATCGCTGAAAAGAAGTACGAGCGTGCCATGGCCGCCTTGTTGGGTGCACGCCCCTGCTTACCGGCCGGCTCCGGCGGAACAAACAACGGAAATGTGCAAAAGGCATTACGCAGGAGGAAGCGCATCAGCGGCAGGTCCACGGGCATCGGTGCAGGATCGTACACGTCGCGGCGGAACACGGCCTCGTCATCCGTCATATCCGCTGCATCATCAAAGTCACCAGCACGCGAGTCCGCATCAGAGGCCTCGTGCGCTGCGGGATCCGTGGGCTTCTCAAACGACGTAAGGAGAAAGAGTCGGTCCCATTCCCACGTCAGCTCCTTGGATACCATCTCGCGCAGGAGGTAGTGTGTTTGCTCAGGCGTCAAGTCACGTAGCAGCCACGAGCGCTTCGTAGCCGCATTCCGCGATGCATGCGCCCGGCGTAATGGCTCGTCGTCCGTCTCCGACTCGGTCGGCGCATTTGACGGCGTCAGCAGGTAGCGCGGCGCCTCACGCGGCTGTCGCAGCGGGTTGCGCGCACGCGAAGCAGGTGTTTTGTGCTCGAGACCTCGAAAGTTGGATACCTTGGGTGGCGGGCGTGGGCGAACCGGCGGCGCCGGCTTCACTGTCACGGGAGGTGGACGCACAGAGCTCGAGCCGGACAGGGACGGCGGAATCGGTGGCACAGGTGGCACATCGGTGGGAGCCGGTCGTACGCGCGGTACACGTTCGCGAGCGGCGGGCGCCGGTGATGCCTGAGGAGATGCCGTGTGCATTGAGAGCAAGTCGCTCGTAGTGCCGGTGGAGGGTGTGAATTTGTGTCGCGACATCATGCGGTCCGAGCGGTCCAGCGACGACGGATCAGAGATGCGCTGACCGCTAAGGGGCCCTGTGCGTGGCATGAGCGGACTCGCTGGATGCATCGATGTGCCCTCCGCTTCGAACACGCTCGGCTCAATGCTACGCGGCCGAGGCCCCTCGTACGCCACGGGCCCCATGGCGGGGCCCTCGCCAAATGGATCAATTAGCTGCGGCATACGCCCGCTCGTCTCGCCACGTAGCCGTACAGGCGACGCGCTGGGTGCCGCGGTGTCTCGCGTTGCTAGCGACGCCGCATCGCTCGCCTCGGGCTCAGCAGGAGCAACAGGCATAATGCGATGCAGCGAGTCTTCTTCTGGGGGCGTCATCTGACGCGTCTCGCCGATCCTGGGCGTCGACTGGGGGGGGGTCGGCGATACCGGTGAGAGACGCTGTGGGCGATCAAACAGCTCTGACACGCGTTCATTCGACTCATTGCGGTACGACTGGGACTCGGCATAAGGGTCCGAGATGATACTGTCCGTTTCGGTGTTCATGGACGATATGGGAGATGGTGAACGCGCCACGGGTGCTGCACGCGCAGGCGGCGACTCAGTGTGGATAGGCGGGGACGCGGGCGCCTCGAGTGGTGTGGTGCCTCGGTCTCGAACACGTTCGGTAGCACCCAAAAACGTAGCACCGCCGCGGCTCGGGCCGGGTGGCTCCTCGCCCCGCAGAACAGCCTCTGCGTCAGATCGTAGACCCTGTGCATGGTCCTTCCGCTGTGCAATCGATGCCAGCATGGAAGCACGCTTAACAGCTGGATCCTCCAGCGCAGGCTCGGCTGACGCAACTTTTTTGTTGCGCGAGAACCGCGAAAATCGACGGAAAAAGCCTTTGCGCGAGGTAGATGCCTCCATGGGTGGCTCTGCTGGCTCGTCCATGCGGCTCTGTACTGGGACAACAGGTGTCGGTGCAACGGCCGCATCTGCCCTAGGATCGGCGCGTTCGCCAAGCCGAGCTGCGTCGGGGGTAGGGGTTGTCACGATGCGTGAATTGCCGTGGTCAGCGTGCGCGGTAGTATCTGAGGCGGCTTCATCGTCATAGTCGCTTGCGTACTCGTCGAGATTTTCATCATCGTACATGGATGGCCCATTATCGTACATGGACGGCCCATTATCGTACATGGATGGCTCATCATCATAGGGCTCATCGAATGTTAGTGACTCTGGTTGGCCATGGAAGCCGGTGCCGAGACGACGCATAGAGTTGTCCTCCGAATAAGGCTCACTCTCGTACTCGTAGCCAGTCGCATCGTCGTCCTCATAGCCTGTCTCGTCGTCATAGTCTGTCTCGTCATCATAGCCTGTCTCGTCATCATAGCCTGTCTCGTCATCATAGCCCGACTCGTCGTCATAGCCTGTCTCGTCGTCATACCCAGAGCTCACCAACGAGTCATCGTACCCCGAGTATTCAGAGAAGCTGCTTTGATCCGGCGGGAGCATTGCGCGCGGCATCGCAGCGACGGCAGGTGCCGGCGGCACGGCAGGTTCCTCTTCAGCCAGGCCGCCTTTGCGGCGGCGTGATAAGTTCATCGCCTGAAACGCCTTGCGCATCGTGGCGGGCGCAAAATTAAAGGAAGGAAATAGGTCGGTTGCGAACGAGCGTGCTCTAGGATGTGGGAGTCCCCCACCTGATTCAAAAGCTCTGTCAGGTGGCCCACGCTAGAAAGGGATCAAACCTTTGCGACAATGGCTCCGACACACTGACAAGAGCGCTTAGCTACGACAGCCGTCAGTCGCAAGCTGCAAGGGCATGCATAAATGGCCCTCATACCAATGGGCCCCAACAACCGGCTTTTTGACGCACGCACATTGGGCCCCCAACCGGGGCCCTTGCGGCCTCCTTCGCTCGGCGTCGGCCGGCGCCCTCCACCACGTGGCGAAAGTGAAGCTAGCGATGACGTGATCCATCTCGAAGGTTGCGTGTAGACGGAAAGCGAACAGCAGTCTTCCTCCTTATCGGCATGGCGTCCAAGTCGACTGCGCTGAACGGCGCGGCCATCTTCGCTGGCGGTGCCTTTGTTGGGACGAGTCTGTATGCGCTAGCTCGCTCGTACCTGTCGAACCACACTGGCAAGCAGAACCCCGTCAGTGATGTGTCTTCCGCCGCTCGGCAGGCTCTCGAGTCTACGACCTTGGCCAAGGCCGATGGCGCGGTCGATGACGCAGACCTGTACGTCGCGCCTTCGAAGGATGTGAAGCCGGAGCTCCTGTACAACACGGCCGGCGTTATGGGAATTCCCTATGAGGCTCGTCCGACCCTGCAGGCCGTGCCGACGCTCGACACTCGCACGGATGTGGGCGACAATGAGCCTGTTTCTCTGGCGCTGCATCCTGTCTCGCTGGATCAGGTAGCCTTTTGCGCCAGCCTGCATGCCGTGGACATGCTTGTGTGGGAGAACAGCGGTACCGTGTTTACCTACGAGAGTGCCGCCACCGGTTTTGGCACCTATTGTGAGGCGCAGGCCGAGAGCACCGAGGGCCCGCAGGTGCTTCGCATGCAGACGCGGGCAGGAGCAGGCCAGGCCATCGCTGGTTTCCTTGCCGGCGAGGGCTCTGCAGCGCGCCCCGCCGGCGAACGAACGACCGTGTCCGTGCTGACGAACGCCGAGGGTCTCCTCGCGATGGGCCCTGCGCTCGCGAGTGTGTCGATGGACGGTACGGACCTCGTCGTGCACGTGTCCAGTGCGTCGCAGGCGACTCGCGACGATTTGAGCGTGACGAACGACTATGCGTCGGCGCTCTCCACGGCGGTCATGCTCGGTGACCTCGGTTACGAGGTGCTGCTCTCGGCGACCCCACAGGAGTCAGTCGATATGGCCAAGTATGCATATGCCCGCACCACCAAGAAGCCACTCGTGCATATCTTTGACGGTGCATATGCTGCATGTGAACGCCGCGTCCTTTCGCCGCCCTCGTCCAGCGCGCCGGAGCCGTTTGCTTACACAGGTCCCTCGGCGCCGGAGACAGTGCTGATCATGGCAAACAGCACGCAGTCGTACCATGCGCGCGCCTTGTTGCTCTCGCTTCCCCCTGCGCTGCGCAGCAAGGTGGGTGTCGTGAGTGTGCGTGTGCTGCGTCCTTGGGGCGCCGATGCGCTGCGCCAGGTCTTGCCCTCCAGCGTGAAGACACTGCGCGTCGTGGAAGAGGCATTTGCAGCGTGGGGCGGTGCCCTGTACGCGGACGTTCTTGAGGCTGCACTGAGTGGTGCACTGGGCTCGTCTGCGCCAGCTGTGCAGTCACTGGTGCTGGCGCCTGGCCAACAGCTCGACGTGTATGCGTGGGTCGAGCTGCTGCAAGCGCTTGCGCAGACCTCCGAGCCGGTAGCGCTGGCGCCTGTGCTCGAAGCAGCCGCGCGCCGCGAGGCCAAGATTCTCGATCTGCTCTCGCTGTCGGGCTCGGGCTCTCAGCTCATTACCTTCTTTGGTGCGGACACGGGCTGTACGCCTGCGGCAGCGGCCTTGCTGGCCGATGCATTGAGTGGAAACAAGTCTGAGCACGTGCGCTTACTTGCGCGCTACGACAACTACGCTGCGGAAGGGGCTGTGCGTACCGATTTGGTCTTTTCGGAGCGTCAGGGCGCCGAGATCCCGATGGAAGTGCTCACGCGCGATGCGCAGTCCCACATTGTGGTGATCAGCGATCCGACAGCGTTGCTGCGCGGATACCGCCTGCTCGACGCTCTGCGCCCTGAAGGCACGCTCGTGCTGCTTGCCTCGGCAGAGACCACCGATGAGGTGGCCAACTTGCTCAGTCCCGCGGACCGGCAGTGGCTGGCGCGTCAGCGCGTGCGTGTGTGTGCGGTTGATGCGCAGGGCGTTGCTCACACGCTTCTCGAGTCGCTGCAGGGCGGCAAGGAAAAGAGCGATGGCCCGTCGGCCGCAGACCTGGCCTCGTCGGTGGTGGCCGCTGGCGTCACTAGTGTGGTGCCGGCACTGCGCACGCGCACGCGTCGTGCGCCGTTTGCGAAGGACCACGCGCTAGAACAGGCGAGTGCACGCGCCGTCTTGAACGTTGACACGGCCGACTGGGCGGACGCGACGATGAGCGACGAGGAGAAGGCGGCGGCGGATGCGCGCGCGGCGCACCTGGCGTACAACAATGTTCGCCCCCATGCCACATCGGCGGGCTCAGCCCACGAGGTGACGCGTGCGTCGTGGGCGCTTGCGGCGTGGCAGTTGCTCTTCCGTGAGGCGTACGCGACGAACGAGTCAGCGCTGCGTCCCGACCTGCCCGAGAAGACGTACAATCTCACGGTGTCAGTGAACAAGCGTTTGACACCGCTGGAGTACGACCGCTACCTGTTCCATCTGGAGTTTGACACGACGGGTACGGATCTCAAGTACGAAGTCGGTGAGGCGCTGGGTGTGTACGGTTGGAACGACGACGACGAGGTGCTGGAGTTTATTCGCTGGAGCGGATACAACCCCGAGGAGCTGGTGTGTGCGCCGAGTGTGACGCACCCTGGCACGGTGGAGACTCGCACTGTGTACCAGACGCTGCAGCAGAACCTGGACATATTGGGCAAGCCGCCGAAGAGCTTCTTTGAGGAGCTTGGCAAGGTGGTTGCGAGCCAGGACGAGGCCAAGTGGATCCGCTTTATCAGTTCTGCCGAGGGTGCGAGCACGTTCAAGATGCTGTCGGAATCCGAGACAGTGACGTACGTCGATGTGCTGCACATGTTCCCGACTGCGCGTGTCAGTATGGACTGGCTCACGAAGCACGTGGAGCCGATCAAGCCTCGCCACTACTCGATTGCAAGTGCGCAGGTCGCGGTCGGCAACTCGGTGCACCTGCTTATCGTTACAGTCGACTGGAAGACACCGCGTGGTAGCCTGCGTTACGGCCAGTGCACGCGCTACCTTGCGCGTCTGCAGCCGGGCACCAAGGTGACGGTGAGCCTGAAGCCGTCGCTGATGAAACTGCCACCGCACGAGACGCAGCCGATCATTATGGCCGGTCTAGGTACCGGCGCCGCGCCGTTCCGTGCATTCTTGCAGGCGCGTGAGCACCAGCGCCGCCAGGGCAAGCAGATTGGTCCCATGTACTACTACTTTGGCTCGCGTCACCGCTCCATGGAGTACATGTACGGCGAGGAGCTGGAGGCGTACCTGGCTGACGGCGTGCTGACCCACCTGGGTCTTGCGTTCTCGCGCGATCAGGAGAAAAAGGTGTACATTCAGCACAAAATTGTCGAGGACGGCAAGCAGCTCACTGAGTTCCTAGTGCCGGAACTTGCGACCAAGGGTCAGCCTGTGGACGAAAGCAAACGCGGTATCTTTACGCTGTGTGGTCCTGTCTGGCCTGTGCCTGATATCCACGAGGCGCTGGTCACCGCATTCAAGAACCACGGCTGGACGCAGGAACAGGCCGAGGACAAGCTTGCCGAGCTCAAGGACGAGGAGCGCTACGTTCTGGAGGTGTACTAAGCGCACGGACCATAGCATGGACCTGCTCGGGTCTCTGTCACGTGATTATACAGAATGTATAGTTTTGCGCTCGAAGCCCCCGTTTGCGACGCCGGTGCGCTGTCTCTCCCAACGAACGCGATGGCCACTGTGAACCAGAAGATCTTCCGCACGGCGAATGCGCCGAACACTGCTCCCACTGAGGCCGAGACCACTGTGTGCCAGGCCCTCATTGACCTTGAGTCGCACATCCCCGAGCTCAAGGCCGAGCTCCGCGCGCTTCAGGTGAGCGCCGTCAAGGAGGTCGAGGTGAAGGGCGGCAAGAAGGCCTACGTGGTCTTTGTGCCCATGATCCAGCTCAAGGCCTTCCACAAGATCCAGCAGAGGTATGTTACACGAGCAGCACCAGCTTACTCTCAGGCTCACCCGTGAACTCGAGAAGAAGTTCTCGGACCACCACGTCGTGTTCATTGGCCAGCGCCGTATCATGAGCAAGCCCTCGAGCCACAGCCGTGCTAAGCAGCCTCGGCCCCGCAGCCGCACCCTCACCTCGGTGCACAACGCCATCCTGGAGGACCTCGTGTTCCCCACCGAGATCACCGCTAAGCGCATCCGCGTGGCGGCTGATGGCAGCAAGCTGGTCCGCTGCGCCCTGGACTCGAAGGATGCCACGAGCCTGGAGTACAAGCTCGAGACCTTCTCGAGCGTCTACCGCAAGCTCACCGGCAAGGACGTCGCCTTCACGATCTAAAGGCATGGCGTCTGCTCCTTTCGGTGCGACGCCCGGCGCCCCGGCGGCAGTCGCTGGTCGCATCTCCTGATCGGAGGTTCGTGCGCTGTGATGCCCTGTAGCCGTCCTTCTTGTTCACATACGGCGCCGTCCTACTGAGGTGCGTAGGTCATACCCTGTAGTCGGACGCATACGCCCAAAAATGCTAGTACATCGATCTATGTCTCGCTCGCATCGACAGCTGACCCTGTGCCAGCGCTGTTGCTTGCGTTGCTGCGCTGCGATGCGCACACGACGTCGTACGGCCTCGTCCAAAGCTCGGCTGCTAGGTGTGCGTCACGTGCATACGAGCACGTCATTGTAGGCAAGGCTTGCGACTGCCTCCACTAGCACGCAAGCACCGCCAGGTCGTGGCACGGCGCCACAGGCGCGGCCCGGCCCGCTTGTCTTTCGTCTTCACGCCGCTATGAGCACACGCACCGTGCAAAAGACATGGAACAAATTCCTACAGCGCTCGAGGCGCTCGACCAGCGACGATGACTCGTCGGACGACTCGTCACAGATGGTCAAGTCGGTCATGCTTGAGGGCAGCGGCATTCCGACCCGCTCGCCTGCGGTCATCGAGTCCATCGATTTTAGCAAGAACGCCAAAACGAACAAACTAGAGTTTTTCTCGAAGGACATTCCCTTCTTCTGGCTCAGCAACAGCTCTGAACACCCACTCTATGTCGATGGCGCTCGTTACCCCACTGCCGAGCACCTGTTCCAGGCGCAAAAGTTTATTGACCACCGCCCCGACATCGCCAATAAGGTGCGCAAGGCGCCCAACCCGATTGAGGCGATCCGTATCGCGCGCACCTATGCGAAAGAGATCCGTCCCGATTGGATCAAAGATGGCGTGAACGTCTCGACCATGCGCATGGTCCTCCTGACCAAGTTCACGCAACACACTGATCTTCGCCTCGCGCTCCTAGAGACAGGCGACGCCGAGATTGTGCATGCAAGTCCCAACGACGCTTTCTGGGGCTCCGCAGCGGCCCCCAACTCGGAAGGCCGCGGCCGCAACATGCTTGGTCGCACGATCATGCAGTCTCGCGAACTGCTCCGTGTAGCTGCTGGCGTCGGTGCCAACAGTGGCACGCGCACGGTTTAGACACACTTGATGTAGATGATACCCTTGGCTGTAACTCTATCGACTTTATTCTTGGCACGTGCATAGCGGCAGAATCTTGCGACACCGCACGACTCTGGACCTCCGCGATGGAGACATTGGAGCCTGGCCTGTATCTTGGCGCCCTCCCCGTCTGCCTTGAGGAAGAGGGACTGCGTCAGGCGAACATCACAGCGCTCGTGTGTTGCATGAGCAGTCCGCCTAGCGCGCCGGCGTCGTGCTCGATCGATGACAGTCATACGCTCCATGTGCCCCTGGACGAAATGGAGGCGTCGCCCCTGTTCCTCTTTTTTGGCATAGGCGCTCGGTTTATACAAAAGCAGCTAGAGGAGCACGGCCATGTGCTTGTCTATGGCGCGGAGGGCGAGACGTGCCACGCTACCATCGTGGCTGCCTATCTCATACACACTCAACAGAAAACGGCGTCGCAGGCGCTTGAATTCCTTCGCACTCGATGCCCAGCTGTGCAGCTCCCTGTCAGCTTCTGTGAGCAGTATGTATGCATCTTTCACACAGACTTGAGTTGTATGAGAAAGAGCAAGGGCGGGTGATTCTGACGCGCCCTGCCGTTCGACAGTTCTTACTCACGCGCACGAATGCACTAGACGGCTACGTGACACCTGGGATGTTCATTCGTGAGCATCCAGACACCCAAGATGATCCCTACAGTGATCCTGACGAAAAGTGCCTATCGGCGCCAGAGAAGGCAACCGGCACGACGCGCCTCCGATGCAAAATGTGTCGTCGCGAGCTGGCCTCCGAAGAACACGTGGTGCCTCATGATCCTGGCAAAGGAGAATTGTCGTTTGACCCTCACAAGCGCGACAGCGTCCGCAAAGGCCTCGACAAGGCGCCCGTAGCGCGACAACGAGGCTCTGGTCCCGCGGTGCCGCTGAGCAGTCCCGGCCACGCACCGGTGGCCCTACCGCCGCACCTTGCGCGGATGCATGCGACCATGGCCGCGCATGGCCCACGAAAGAGCCTCTTGCACTCGGCGCAGTGTTCGGCGTACTTTGTCGAGCCGCTGGTATGGATGACCGAATCGTCGGACGTCGTGGAAGGGGTAATCTCAGGTCGTCTCATGTGCCCCAATACCAAGTGTCAGGCCAAGCTGGGCAGCTGGTCATGGGCAGGGACTCAGTGCGCATGGTATGTATACTACGTCTGACTCGACAGTGGAGCGTGGGTTACGCCTGCTTTCGCGCTGCAGCGTGCCAAGGTAGACGAGGTGGTCAGGCCATAGCCGATTGTATATTTAGCCAAGGAAGTTGACCACAAAGAAATGGAGTACAATGGACGCTAACACAAATTCAGAGAAAGCCCTGGATGTGAGGGGAAGCGGCGTACCGTTTCTCAGACACGCGAGGCTGGCCGTCGACGACGGCGGCCAGCTGCATGCGAAGCGCCAACGCAAGCACAAATTGTCCAACAGTTGCGGCAAAGCTGCTATGAGCTCCCATGACGTACCCTGAGATGAAGGAGTTGAAGGGATAGTCCGACAACAGCACACAATACACGAACTGCAAGACACCCGTCAAGAACAGCATGAGGAGGAAGCCATCAATGAGCTTGAAGCGGGCAGGCGTGGTCCGCAAGTACGCATCCACCAATTCATTCTCGGCACTCTTCGGCTTCGTCGATGCAGTAGCACCCTTGGACGCGGGTTTGGGAGCGGCACGCGCCGCTACTTTGCCCTTGGTCATACCGAGCGGTTAAGCCACCCTGGCGTGGCCGGCGATGACCGCCCGCGTGGGGCCACGTGCTGAGGAAGAAAGAAATCTGATCGACCTGGCCTACTCCCTGGTCGACATCGGGCGCCACGGAGGCAGCATGAACCCCAACGCACCGAGCTTTGGCTTTAACCCCGCTGCGGCCGGCTTTGTTCCGCGCAGCATGCAGCAGCAGCCGCAGCAGCAGCAGACTTATGACGCATACTACAACCAAGGCTTTGCAGGTGCAGGGTTTGGTGGCGATATGCAACAGTACCAGGCCCAGGGTTTCAACCAGGGCGGCTTTGTGCCGCAGGATGCTTCAGCACCAGCGCCCGCGCCTGCGCCTGCACCTGCATCCAGCACGGGCCCTGCACCTTTGCCGCCTAAGGCAGCGGCAGCCGTGTCGAGCAAGCCGGCCGGCATGAAGAAAGCCGTGAGTATTTCTCTTGGTGGTGGTGCGAAGAAGCCCGAGCCCAAGCCCCAGGCCGAGAAGGGGGCCACCGCTACCGCACCCACGCCAGCAGCTGCAGAGAAGAGCGAGCCCAAGCCAGCGGCCGGGACTGGTGCCGCCAAGCCGGCTGAAGCGAAGGGCCAGGCCGGCAAGCAACAGGTCAAGGTCGAGAAGAAGGTGGCTGAGAAGGCCTCTGTTGATGCAGACAAGGTGCTGCAGGATGCCAAGATGGCCACTGATGAGGAAACGCTCCGTGATCTGTTCGGTGAGCAAGAAGTGAAGCCGCATATGAACGTGGTCTTTGTAGGCCACGTCGACGCAGGCAAGTCGACGATGGGCGGCAACCTGCTGTACCTGACGGGTATGGTAGACAAGCGCACGCTGGATAAGTACGAGCGTGAGGCGAAGGAAATTGGCCGTGACTCGTGGTACCTGTCGTGGGCGCTGGACTCGACTCAGCAGGAGCGCAGCAAGGGTAAGACGGTCGAGGTGGGTCGTGCCTACTTTGAGACGGATAAGCGCCGCTACACCCTTCTCGATGCCCCGGGTCACAAGTCGTACGTGCCTAGTATGATTGGCGGTGCGGCCCAGGCGGACGTCGCGATCCTGGTGATTTCTGCACGCCGTGGCGAGTTTGAGACGGGTTTCGAGCGCGGTGGTCAGACGCGCGAACATGCGGTGCTGGTCAAGACGGCGGGTGTGCAGCGCCTGATTGTGGTGGTAAATAAGATGGATGACCCGAGTGTGAACTGGGACAAGGAGCGCTACGACGAGATCGTGACCAAGCTCTCGCCCTTCCTCAAGGCGTCGGGCTTCAACCCCAAGACTGACGTCGCGTTCATTCCGGTATCGGCCTACTCGGGCGCAAACCTGAAGGACAAAGTCGCGGCCTCAGATTGCTCGTGGTACGACGGCCCGCCGTTGTTGACGTACCTGGACAGCTTGGACATGGGCGACCGCAAAATGTCGGCATCGCTGAAGATGCCTGTGAGCGAGAAGTACGCGGATATGGGCACGTACGTGGTGGGTAAGCTTGAGAGTGGGCGTATGAAGAAGGGCGACTCGCTCGTGCTTATGCCGAACAAGACTCCCGTCGAGGTGCTGGCCATTTTCAGTGAGGTGGACGAGGAAGTACCGGCGGCTGTGTCGGGCGATAATGTGCGTGTGAAGCTCAAAGGTGTGGAGCTGGAAGAGGTGCAGTCCGGCTTCGTGCTCACCGATCCGAAAGACCCGGTACATGTCGTGCGCCGCTTTGAGGCCCAGTTGGCCATCCTAGAGCACCGCAATATTATCTGCGCCGGCTACAGTGCCGTGATGCATGCGCACTCGCTGAATGAGGAGGTGAATCTGGTCGAGCTGCTGCACTACTACGACAAAAAGACGGGCAAGAAGAGCCGCAAGGGGCCGCAGTTTGCCAAGAAGGGTATGAAGATCATTGCCCTGATCGAGACGACGGCGCCCGTGTGTCTGGAGCGCTTCAAGGACTACCAGCAGCTCGGTCGCTTCACCCTGCGCGACGAAGGCAAGACCGTGGCGATTGGCAAGGTCACCAAGCTAATCACAGACGAGACCCTCGAGATGGAAAAACTCCAGCTCGGCAACTAGGTAGCTAGCTATACGTATCTGGCCTCGTCCGAATCGTACCGCGGCAAAAGACCCCATTCTTCCGCTGACTTGGGCGGCAGCGCCGGTGGCTCGTCTTCCAGGGTATGGTCAATCGGCACGGGCACGCGTAGTGAAGGTCCGGGCGGTGACTTGGCCTGCTCCTTATCGGCCGCGTCCTTGTGTCCCACTTCATCGCTCTCGCGCGTCATGTAGTCGGCCAGCGACAGCGTGCATACAAGAATGGCCACAATACCGAACACGAGCGCCAACGCTCGCCGCGTCGCATCCCACTTTATGCTCTGCTCAATCTCGGTGCGCAGGTCGCTCACAAAGATGGTGAACCGGTTGTTCAGGTCCTGGATTTCCTGCTCAAGGTTGTTGTGCTCCTCCTGGACCTCGGTCTTGCGGCTGTTCATGTCCACTTGGATATCGTGCTTGAGTTGCTCAATATCCGCCTGCAGCTTCTGCGCCAGCCCATCAATCTCGCGCTGAAGCAGGGACGACAGACTGCGCAGTGCTGCGCCATCGTTCCGTGCGCGCACACGGACTTCTGTCCGCAACTCCGCCAGTGCCGACGAGAATAGGTATAGCTGGTTGTCAAGGTCACTCCGATTGATGTGCTGCTCAGTAAGCTCCGCGCCGCGCCGCTGCAAAAGCGACCGCGTCAGCTCCATTAGGGCCTCGGCCAGGTCGTGCCGTTGGTAGCCATTGGAGTTGGGAGCCTTCGCGGCTGGGTGTCGCCACCCGCCCTCTTCCAGTCGATTCACAAAAGCATGCGTGTCGAACGGCTGGTCAGGCAGGGCAAACAGGTGGCTAGGCCGGATTGGCGCCAACGCCGCTGTCTGGAAAGCAGGAAATGGGACTTGGGTATCGGCAAAGGAGCCCTCGTCCTTTATCCGCTGGGCGCGGTCCGGCTTGGCCTCGGGCTCGCGCTCTGGCACAGAGGGCATGCCCATCAGACTCGTGTCGTTGGGCACCGTGTCAGACGGGTCGGAATTGGCATCCGATGTGTCGGACGGCCGGCCACGGAAAAAGGACGGCATGTCGATTGCCGTGCCACTGCCGCCTGTCATGAGTGTGTTTCCTGGCGTGCGCTTCTGAGCATGGAGGAACCGTTGCTTGAGCAAATCCTCCGCTGTGGGACTTACAAGCGGCACATTTGAATCGCCCGAATCGCTTCCGTATGTAGAGGACGACGAAGGCGCTTCCTTACGCGAATCCACAGGCTTCTTGTCGCTTTTGGAAGGCTTTCCTTCTTTCTTCTCCTCCCTGCGAGGCTTAAGCACGCTATTCTGGTCAGAGGCCTTAGGCGCCGTCCCTGACTGGCTCGCTGCCGCACTGAACAGGCACCGAGGTGGGGCAAAGAAAGCCTTAGGTCGCACAGACGTCGTCGAGATAAAGGATGCAGGTGCCCATGACACAGACCGCAGGCGTGTCGTACCGGCTCGGAGCACCGGCGGCACTGTCATCGCCCACGTCGTAGCGCTGCAGGCGCGTTCGCTGTGCGACCACGCTCTAGGTAGCGGGCTCGCCCCATGGTTTGTCAGCATTGAGTCATCCCCACGCCGCAGGGGCCACTGACGAGTCTACGCGTGTCGAACAAAGACAGGGGCGCAGCCTCACCCCACCAGCACGATGGCCAGCGAAACCCCTCCCAACGTGTCGGACAACTTGGACCCTACTCGTACGTGATGATATGTTGACCCTGAGCGACGGCCGGCTACAAGCCTGGCGAGAAAAAGTCGATCCAAGAGTATGCTATGCTCGACGCGCAAGACGAAAGCCTGCGCCACTGGAAAGAGAGTCTCGGTATTACCAGCGAAGCAGCTGGTGCGCTTAATCCTAATGCGCCCAAGGTATGAACACCTAGGCTGATATACAGCTCACAATTCACTTGCTCATGCTCGAGAGCCCACAGCTACCCGGCGGAAGCGTCGGCATCGAGCTCGACAAGCCCGGGCAACTCGAGGAGTTGGCCAAATCGCCGCTTCAGATCACAGAGGGCATTGAGTACTCTGTGGTAATCAAGTTCTCGTACGTTTCTCCCACTTACCCAGCGTCGGTCGTGAGGTACTTTCGGGCCTCAAGTACCTACAGGTCGTCAAGCGCGCGGGTGTGCCGGTGGACCGCATGGAGGAAATGATCGGCTCCTATCCCCCGCGTGCCGAGCCCTATGAGAAGCGGTTTGCCCCTAGTATCGCGCCTAGTGGCTTCCTGGCCCGCAGCGGCACCAACTCGGTGCGCACCCGTATTGTGGACGACGATGGCTCAGTCTTTGCCGACTTTAACTGGGCATTCAAGCTAGTTAAGGCATAGTACAATATTCTACAAGGGGGTGATGGGCGCGGCAGATGCCGGACCCTGTTGGTTTTGGCGCTGCGCCATGCGTCTGCCAGGTAAGTTAAGGGTACACATACCGGCGAGCCTGTAGAATCATCTGCGCTTTGCGCTCCTCTAGGCTTTTTTGGCGGTCGTTGGCGTTGTCGGACCATGCCGTTGAGATGGCAGACGAGGTGTCCGTATCGGCAAGGCGTCCCTCCAGGCGGTAGCGAGTTATTAAGTTCGCGGGAGCCGTAGGCGGTTCCGTCTCAGTTGATTGTTGTACCGGCTCTTCTACAGCAGGCCGTTGTGCCTCATCGGCGCCTGGGAATCCGTCCGGAGGCTGCTTGTAAGGGGCTACACCACGTACTGGAGGAAGATATCCCTGCTGCAGAATCTTATCGCATGTTACTTCCGCGCTTCCGCTGACCATTAGGTCATAGCGTATCGACGCCTCAGGTACATGGGGAAACATGGACTTGACAACACCGACCTGGTATAAGGCACTGGAACCCCGCACGTACCATCTGCTGCATCTGCTCGGTATTGCGCCCGAGAGAGCGACCTTCGCGCGATGCTTTTATTAGAAATATAAACTCACCACCTCCTATGATGCGTGCAATCACCCACAAGGTGAACAACGCAAAGACTACACCCACTAGATCGTTCATACCGCGCGTCAGTGACTGAGGAGCTCGCTGCGGAGCGGCGCCACATGAATGTTATCACGTGATAAGAGTGCTCGGCAGGCGGGCAGCTCGTCCGTGGACCTACGCTGTGGCCCAGTATGTTTGCCACGGTTGCTCGGCAGTCGAGTGCGTCTATGGCGTTCAGCGCGCTGCACAAGCAGTATGTCACGAACCTGTACCGCCGCTTTTTGCGAAACTCTCTCAACTGGCGTATTCGCCGGGACACATGGCGCGCGGATGCTGCCCATATTCGTGCTCAGTTCGAATTCAACCGTAACGTGAGGAACCCTCGCGAATTGGCCACGATCTTTAACAAGGCGGAGGAGCAGCTGGCGAGCCGCATACACCCTGACCCATACAGGCGTAAGTTGTTTTTAAGGAGATGCACTGACACTGATAGCCCCGACGTTTGTTGGTGGTACGAAGTGGTACGTTCGACAAATGAGCCTCAGAACTAACAGACAGGGAGCGGAACTTGCCTGTATGTGATCTAGCCATCACACTGACGCCAGCCCCGCATGTTCACGGACGAGGAGAAGGCCGAGTCTCTGAAAGACCAGAACGTGTAAACCATCTCTGGATAGCTAATGAACATGTGTTCTATATGCCCGTGCATAGAAATTTATGGTGCTACCGGTAGAATGCCTGGGTACTCCAACGGTAGGCGTGAGAGTCGGCGAGATGACCGCCGGACGATGCAGAGGATGCAATGTCATGTTGCAATTTCTGTATGGTTGTCCGACCTAACAGTATCTACATGCCGTTTGTGCGTTTCCCTGTAGCTAGTATCGTGGACAGTGTGTGCACTTGAAAGCTAGGATGTACTAAGCCTGCTAGAAGCTCAACAAGAGCGGTGAGGCTACTGCAGCGAGCCGTACTTTTGGTGCCAGTATACAAGCGGTGCGCGCTCAGAAGCTTGTGGGCCAAGTTCCACGTCATGGATCTGTGCGAGAAAGAGTGTGCTTCCCACCTCATCTGTGTGGACACAGCCATTGAGAAACTCTGTTGTGCCATGGAGATCAGGGGATGTCAGGTCCAGTTGGTAGACTAGACTGCAAGCAAGCGATCCCAGTGCCTCGCTCGGTATCAGCATGCCAGGCACACTAGTGGATGGCTGCATAGGATGCGAGTGGAAAGGGTGGCTGTCATCACGCGTCGATGCCGTAGCGTCATACGGGGAAGCACCCGGCCTCGCGAAGTAGTTGGACAGAGACTCCTGCATAGAGGAAAGGATATGGATCAAAAAGTGCGGTGTCTTGCTGGACGGACGCGAAGCACTTTGAAGGTCGGGACTCGAGGGTATGGAAGCACCTGCACGTAAAGCATCCGCCATACGACTGGGAAGGCGGATTGAAAAAGCGACAAGCGGAGGGGCTAAAGACACCGTTGTAAATGAGGACAGAGTTGTGCAATGAATCAGCCGCGAGCTAGAATCGGGTGCATCCGGTGGCATAAAGGCAGAGACCACCGCAATAGGCTGTGCGCTGCGCCGCATGACACCACGGATCGCTTCGCTGAGCGCGACAGGATCTTTTGGCTGAGGCATGGATCCCATGCCCCTACCTGGATGAATTTTCATCCAGGATCTTCGCCTCAGATGGGGCAAAAGATGGCTCCTGAGCATTGCGACGGCACAGTGGGGGGACAGTTCAAAACGACGGAGCGACTGGAGCACGATGTGGATTTATCGACTGTGGAGGCAGATGCCAAGCTATGTACCACCCGTATCTGTGCTCGCGCTCTGTGACCTTGACGGCTGACAGGGGTCAGCGAGGCGGCTCTACAGAAAGTGGCGTTTTTCTTGGTCTTCGTGCATGATCCAAGCACATATACAGCCTCCCGTCTCGCGATGGGATTCCTTCACAAGCATTATGCACATGACCGTCGAACAATGAGAGAGGAAACAGATTCATATTATACAGCTGCTTGGTTAACAGTCCATTCACACAGGTCCGAAACACGTTGATGGAATAGATTGGACGTGATAGGTGCCCTTGAAGGCTCGGCGTCCGGGGGCAGGGACGGATGGAGCGCCTCGGCATCCATCGGTGCAGATGGGAAGAGCTCGCCGGGCTGAATGGCGGCAAATGGGTTGGAGGTATAGAGTCCATAGATGCGGTGAATCGCTTGAAAGATCGTTTGCACGTCAGCGTCCTGCACACCGCGTGCGGTGTGGTCGAGAAACAGCAGAAATGTCAGCTGGGTGTTGGTCTGGTAGCCATATCTTCGGTTAGTGCCCTTGGCACGCACATAATCGAGTCCTCCATGCATAGTAGGAGACCAAGAAAGGGTTGGCGCTCAAGAGCCACTGCGTAAGCGCCTTGTGCATACCTCGCTCCTCCACCGCATCGAGGGCGCTGTGTGCGAAAAAGAACCATTTGGCGTCCGTGGTATCGCCGTACTTTGGAGATGATCTTATGTATAGGGGGGCATATTTAGGACCGAGAATGGCAACGCATTGCTGCTGTAAGACACGTCCTCGCTACCCACCACAGGACTGTGCGCCATCGCCGTCCAACGTGAGGAGCGCGTGCGGCCTAGCAGGAGTATCACGTGGATTTAGTCATCGAAAGAGCCCATCTCTCGTCTCGGTGGACATCTTCGTCCCTGCTTCCGTTCACGAAGACGGTTTCGAACACAATGCGGAGTTGGCGTAGTATGCTGCCGGCGAAGTTGCGCACGCGCAGGTCAATGGAATCCACAGTTTACGCGATGACTTTTCTGGCGGCGCTGGTGACGGTATCAGTGTCTGCATCGACTATACTCCCCTGCCCGGCCAACGGCTATGGCACGCTGACAGACCGACTTCACCCTGCGAATCGAGGCGCCATGATGGAAGAGTCGGAGAAGCGGGAGTCTACGAATGGCTTTACCCCTGAGCAGCTCCCTATACGTGGGTTGGGCCAGCGTGCGTACTTGACCAAGCGAGACGGTTGGATCGAAATTAATGAGCGGCCTTCCCTTTTCTCATGGCGTCGCTGGACCTCTACATGATGCGACGCAATATGCAGAATGTTGTCTGGATACATATACCACACGAGCGTCCGCCTATCCCATAGCATATACCCTAAACAATGCACGCGTATCTTTCAAGAGACAGTGGTTCACTGTATAGAACATCAGCGCAGTAGGCTTGCCTTGATGAGCCCTGGTGTACGCCATCTGATGGTTGATTGTACGCCACGGCGTCGTACGCAAGCGAGAGGTGGCCACGTGATCCCTACACTACGGTGTGTCTTTCGCCACACCACCATGTTTGGGCGCGTGCTTCACGTGTTTGTTGATGTGATGCTCATCAGCGTCGTGCTTTCGGGGATCAAGCGTAATACTGGGCTTACAGTAGCTCTACATCGCATTCGCCACACAGAAGTACGCAAGATGATGAGCGCCTACCTTGAAATGGGTGAATGGGTTCGTACGCCACGCCGCTGACACAGCTCATGGACTTTGCGGTCGTGGTCCTGGGCCGCTCGCGCTCCTTTGAACGGATTCGCTAAACAAAGATACCCGTCATGAATCACTACTGTACACACATGACTTATGAGACAGGGACTGCCGCGGCAGGAGGATGGGGTGACAGCACGCCAAGGCGCTTCGAAATGCTCTGCAAAAACTTTTCCACCGTGGAAATGGAGTGCATAGAAAGTCCCATTCTGTCCTCGCTCGGATCAAGCAGACCCAGCAAAAGTGAAGAAGCCGTCTCGTATGCCAAAATGCAAGGCGTCGCATCCCAGCCACTCGGGTTGCGCTTGTTACCCTCGAGCTCTTCGAGGGCGGCTGTACGTGCGAGCTCCAGAGCCTTGTCAAAGATTTGGCGGTCAATGTGCGACGTGGCTTCAGTCAGCGAGCTTGGGTCGCACTGCGCCCGTGCATGCATGGATTTCTCGTAATTTTCTTCGAACCGCGCACGGAACCATTGAACGAGATGGCGCATCTCGGGGTGCTGGTCGCCCTCAAGATGCTCCATATTAGTGCGGATAAGCTCAATACCGCGCTGAAGGAACCCAAGCGCACGCACATACAGCGCGAGACTCTCTGCCGCTGCGATTTCCTGCATGTGGCCGCCAGCCGAATACGGGCTGCTTTGCGCTGGTGAATAGGCTGGGTCATGGGGCGGTGGCGGCGACAGCTCCGCGAAGCGAGCGTCGGCAAACTCGGCAAGCACAAAGGCCTTTTTGGCTAGACTGCGCAGGTCATCTAGCACGGCGGTTGGGTCTGCTGGGGTCGGGACAGGCTGGTCACGCAGGCCTTGATTCGATGCCAAGGCCCCTGCCGCGGGCAACGGACTTGACAAAGGCGAGGTACCCTTGTGGAAAAGGCGTTCGCTGGCCATGCTGATAGCACGAGATAGCGCACTAGGGTGTCCGCGAGGCTTGGCCTCGGCGCACAGCGACGTCGTGGACGGTGCCGTCTCAGGTGCATCAAAGCCGACAGCAGACCGCGTAGGTGGGGCATCGTGGGTAGTCTGGCGATCTGCCTTGCTGGAAGGGTCCATGTCCACGGCCGCTGGCGCAGGTGTGGGCTGTGTCGCACCGTCCTGCGGCGGGGCAGTTGGTACGGGCCCCAAGAGCATGTCAGGCGGGAGCTGCGCGAGGTGCACCGAGGCGGCCAGCTCGTCCTTGATGATCGCACGACCCGAGTAGGGTACGTTCGTGATGACGGGGTCCGTGAACAGCTCGTCGAAGCTCATGCGCTCCACAGGATGGCGTTTCAGTAAGCGGCGGATGAGCTGCTTAATGTCGGGGGCAATCTCGTGTGCCGGCGGCCGTGGTGGCTCGCCTTGCAGGCGCCGGCGTGCCGCATCCTTGGCCATCGACTGGGGTGAACGCTCATCGGGAAACTTGATTCGGTCGCCGCTCTGCTCGATGCGGCGGAGAAGCTCGACATGGTTTGCCGCGCGGAACGGCGGCTTCCCCACGCACATCTCATACAAAACGGCGCCGACGGACCAAAGGTCTGCCTTCGCGTCGTACTTTTCGTACCGCAGAATCTCAGGTGCCATGTATAGGGGCGACCCACAGAGCGTCTTAGCGAGTGATGCCGCAGGCAAGGAGCGAGCGAAGCCAAAGTCAGCCACCTTGATCTGGGGAATTTCGCTGGGATGGCCGGAGGCGAGGCATTCGTCGTCAGGAATCTGGAGGAGGAGGTTCTGCGGCTTGATGTCGCGATGTACAATGTCCTTGCTGCGCAGAAAGCGCACCGCCGACACGAGCTGCGCGAGGAAGGAGCGTACCATCGCGTCATGAAGACCACCGTCCTCTGGATGCGGAAATTTAGCGCGCTGTGCCGCCGCGAGTGGGTTGATGGCAGGATCGCCGTCCCAAGGCGCCACATCGCCGTGCTTCCGGATGTACAGAGAGAGGTCGCCGCCGGGACAGTACTCCATGATAAGGTGGATGTGCTCATCCGTGTAGAGACAATCGCGCAGATCGACGATGTTGGTGTGCCGCATAGACTTGAGAATAGAGATCTCGCCTTCGAGATTTTCTAGCAGCTTGGGCGATAGCTTGCTGCGGGTCACTGACTTGACTGCGACAAGCTGATACGGCGGGTGCTGGTGATGTGCGCGGAAGACCTGTGCAAACGAGCCTTTTCCGATCTCCCTATCCAGCACATACTCTCCCACGCTCTGGACCTCCGGCGCGGGTTCTTCGCCGGACATGATGGATACGGGAGGGTCAGACCTAGGACGGGTGGCGTATCAATCCAACGATACGCACGCAATCAGTGAGTCGTGATGTGGCCCCTGCGTAACGCCACTCCCCACGTGGTTCACGTGACTCAATACCAGCCGGCGCGCGGTACGCTGCGTCGATGCCACAACATTGCGCTGGACCGCTGCCGACGAACATGTCGTCCGCTGCGCCAGGACCGGTGCCCAGCTCGCCGACGGGCAGTGTGCGGCACGGCCGCTGGTTTCACATAATGCGAGCGAAGCATAGGCGTGGGAACAGCGCATCGCGTGCCCAGCCAGGCGCATGGGAGACGAGCCGTGGATCGCCCTCGTCGAGTCCGTCGCAGCCGGCAACGCGGGTTCACAGCCCGGCACCCTCACTCGTGGGGCATTCGTATGGCATACCATTGAGCCGCAGTCACTACGGCGGCATGGAGCCGAGCCTGAGCACGAGCTCGCTCTCGACGGCGAGCAGTCCGCTCGCCCTCGCGCCATCGCTAAGCATGCTGGGCGATGTGCTGGAGGCGCCCGTGAGCATGGTACCCCCCTATGCGGCTGAAGACCCCCACTGGGTGCGCCGCGTGACCAGTGTCCCCGATACCAAGACCCTATTTCATGCGACGGCGCCTGACGTTGCCCAGCCGCCGATGCTGCTGCCTGCCTGGCAGGGCCCGTACGATGGGTGTCTGCCGCCCACCAGTGACTCTGCGACACTTAGTGGGAGCCCTGTGCTTGATGGCTCGAGTGACTCGAGCGCGGGCCCCACCACCGACTTGCCGAGCGCGCCGTCGTCCGAGGCGCACATGGAACGACATCCTGCGCCGACCAGTGCTGAGGCCGAGAGCGAGACGCGGGAATCCGGCACGCCACGGCGTGTGCGTCTGATTCCGTCGCTGCGGGTTCTGCCGCGCGTCCGTCCCACAGCGGAGGCCTCCGGCGACATGCCCAGGCGGCGCATCGCGCGGCTGTTCAAGTCGAAAAGTTCAGGCGCGCTGCATGCCGACTCGCGGCACCCGGGCGCGCCGCCCGTGCCACGCATGCCGTCGTCTGTGGGAGGGTGCAGCGAGGCGCTGCCCATGCCCAAGCCCGTCACGCGGGTCCGCGCGGGTGACGTGCAAGTGGGCCCATCTACGTTTGCATCGATCCAGCTACTGGGGAAGGGTGATGTGGGCCGGGTGTACCTCGTGCAGAACAAGGAGGATGGACAGCTGTACGCGATGAAAGTGCTTGCCAAGGCCGAGATGATCAAGCGGAACAAGATCAAGCGTGTGCTGGCGGAGCAGTCGATCCTGATCGCCTCGAACCATCCGTTTATTGTGCCGCTATACCACTCGTTCCAGTCGTCGGACTACCTGTACTTGTGTATGGAGCACTGCGCGGGCGGCGAGTTTTTCCGCACGCTGCAGTCGCTGCCGGGGCGCTGCCTGTCGGAGGACGCCGCGCGCTTTTACGCGGCCGAAGTTGTGGCAGCGCTCGAGTACCTGCACCTGATGGGCTTCATCTACCGGGACCTGAAACCAGAAAACATCTTGCTGCACCAGTCGGGGCACCTCATGCTCTCGGACTTTGATCTGTCGGCGCAGGCGCACGAGCAGACGGCGGCGCCCACCGTGTTCCAAGCGACGCCGCGCTCGGCGCCCATGGTCGACACGCGCGCGTGCATTGGAGACCTGCGCACGAACTCGTTCGTGGGCACGGAGGAGTACATTGCGCCCGAGGTGATCAAGGGGTGTGGGCACACGTCGTCGGTCGACTGGTGGACGCTCGGCATTTTTGTGTACGAGATGATCTTTGCCACGACGCCGTTCAAGGGCACCTCGCGCAACACGACGTTCGCCAATGTGCTGCGCAAGGACGTGTCGTTCCCTGACCACGCGTCGATGAGCGCGCCCGGCAAGGCGTTCATCAAGAAGCTGCTCGTCAAGGACGAGCACAAGCGCCTCGGCAGCCAGCTCGGCGCAAGCGAGGTCAAGCAGCACCGGTGGTTTGCACAGATCTCGTGGGGACTCTTGCGGAACCAGACGCCCCCGATTCGCCCGCGCACCGTCGACGCGCGCGCGCTGGTCCAGGCCGCAATGGCTGACCCGGGCCGCACGCACGAGTGGGAGCACCAGTCCGTGGTCCGCGTCGAGGCTGACGACGTGTTCTACGACTTTCGCAACGTCACTGTGACGAGATCTTCACCATAGCATGTACAACACTATGACGCCGCTTTACGCTTCCCTAGGGCTATGCGGATCTTGCCACGGGGCGCCTCGGAGGGCGAGTCGGCGGCCGGCGCAGGCGCAGCGCTCACAGGGGCAAACGCCGGCTTCATCGCTGGCTTAAAGGCCGGCCGCATCTCGGGCGCAGGCGCAGGCGGCGGCGCAGGCGCAGGCGGCGGCGCAGGCGCAGGCGGCGGCGCAGGCGCATCGACAGGCACAGGCGGCGCATCGGCCGGCGCAGGCAGCGGTGCCTCGGGCGCGGCGGCAGGCGGCGCAGGCGCCTCGCCCCTGGCCGCCTCGGCGGACGGCGCCTTGCGCCGCGTCGGCGCAGGCTTCGCGAGCGTCGGTGCGCCCAGATCAATGTCCTGCGGCGCATGGTCGCGCTGCCCCACGCTCAGCACCATGTGGGCTTGACCGGTGCGCTCGGAGCGCTCTTGGAACGCACGCGTCATCGCACTCGTATCGCCGGCCAACATGCGTTCGCGGCGCTGCTCCTCGGCAATGCGGCGCAGGCGCTTCTCCTGCGCCTTGGCCCCGGGAGCATTCCCATGGAACGTGTGCGAGAGCTGCTTCCACGCCTCCTTGGTCGATAGGGTGCGCCCATACTCGTCATGGTACTCGAGCTTGATGTCCGGCTTGTAGTCCCGGAACCTCTCCATCGCCGCCTCGGCCTCACGACGCTCGCGCGCACGCGCATCGCGGTCGAATTCGGCCGCCTCGCGGGCGCCCATGTGCGCCCGCGCGCGATCCTCGCGACGCCGCTCCTGCAGCCACGCATCGTGCTGCAGCTGCGTGCGCTCCAGCTTGCGCTGCTCGTCGGATACGTGCTCCAGCACGCCCTGGCTGCGCAGCCACTGCAGTGTCGACGCCAAGCCCCCGCCCTCGGCCGGGGCGGCAGCCTGTGCCTCGGAGGCGGCCGTGGGCGCTCCGTCCGCGGCCTCGAGGACAGGCGCCTCGTCCGGTGCCTCCGGGGCCGGGGCCTCGTCCGGTGCCTCTTCGGCCAGCGCCTCGTCCAGCGCCTCCTGGGCCGGCGCCTCCGGCGCCTCCACGGCAGGCGCCTCGTCCGCAGGCACCGTGGCTGTGGCGCGTGTCTCCGGTGGGCGCTCCACAATCTGCCGCACAAACTCCGACGTAGCATCCAACGTTAGGCCATCGTCCGGCTGGGTATCTGGTGCGGCAGGCTGCGAGGCCAACGACTGGGCCAATGCCTCAGGCGTCACCTTAGCCATGTGTGCCTTGGCATGCTGCCGCCGAGCGCGAGCGAGACTCGCAGCAAGCTCATCATCGTCAATGAGTGTCTCGGCCTTGGCGCGCGTGCGCGGCGCTGGATCCTCGGCCATGGGCACCGCCGCCTCATCGCCATGCGCCGCCTCATCGGCATCGATGTGCACGCGCGTCGAGCGCTTCTTCTTCTTCGACTTTTTCTTAAACGACACCTCATAGTCGGCCGCCGGCACATTCTTCTCGTACGAGAGGTCCACCCGCTGCTGCTCACGCGCAGCCGCATGCCGCTCGGTCTCAGCGCGAGCATGTGCGCGCGCATCCATCGCATCGACCGACGCCGTGTCACCGAGACGAAAGCCTGCGGCCCCGGCAGGGCCGGTGTGGTCCTCGTCGTACTGGCTCAGCACGCCAGCGCGCCTGCCTGTAGCGATCTCTTCGTCGTCTAGACCCGTGTACGCGCGCGGCGCCTGCTGCCGCGCCTGGGCAGCGCGATCACGCGCCACCGCATCGAGCGACGATTCGACCAGCTCGTCTTCCGCGTCGGCGAGTACATCTGCATCGCGCAACGTCAGCACGCGCTCGGCTGTGCCCGGCCCGAACTCGTCCATATCATGGGCGACGCGCAGACCCGCAAGCTCAGATGCACCGTACTCGCGCGGCGCTGCCGCAGCGTCGGCCTCCTCGCGCGCGCGCTGCGCGGCCCGCGCTTGTGCGCGCCGCGGCGCACTTCGCACCCAGTCGCGCGCACTCTCCGCCCTGTCGTTCGTGTCATCGCCCAGGGTCGGCCCACGCAGTTGGCGCGCAAGCTCGCGCCGGTCCTGCGCCTGCGCGAGGCGCGCCCGCACATCGTCGGGCGGCGCCTCGACCGGCGCGGGCGCGACGGATGCAGCGTCTGCACCGCGCTCGTCCGTCAGCGGCTTCAATCCCAGCGAGACGCGCACGCGGTTCGTCTCCTCGAGCGTGAGCGACTCCTTCTGGAACTCGGCCATGGCAGGGGCGCTGGGGCCGACCGCCGCGGTGCACGACAGCTGCACGTGATGCGTGGCCGCGGCCGTGGCGCGCGTGCCGCGCACAGCCGGCCGACACCCAGGACGCTACCAACGGTCCAGGCCTCGTTGCGCGCTGCCGTATGCCGAGTTTCCTTGCGAAGCTCCAGCGGCCTTTTGCGGAGCGCGCACCAGCGGAGCATGGCGCGTCCATGCCCGCCGAGGGCAGCGCGCCTGCCCGTGGCGCCACACGCCCTCCTAGTGTCGCATCCACGTCATCGAAGCAGAGCAGTGCCATCAAGAGCCTCGGCAAGCTCCGACACATGCGGCTTGCCGGGAAGAAGGAGGCAGAGGCAGCAAGCACGTTGCCTGTGCAGAGTGAGTCTGCGGCGGGCCCGCGGTCCAGCGACGCGAGCGACAGCAGCACTCGCGTGCCGTCGCGCAGCGCGCTGCGCCTCTCGCTCGACCTCAAGAACCGCCGCAGCTCCGTCTCGCGCGCGGCGGACGCGTCGGTGGACGCGTCAGACCTCACGCGCGTGCCGCTCGCTGAGGCGGCGCCCGACGTGCCGCTCAGCGAGTCGCAGGAAGCCCGCCTTGATGCTGAAGGCGATGCGGCCGTCCAGGCGCTGCACGCCGGGGCCGAGCCGGTGCCGCCCCCCAAGATCGTGGTCCCCGAGACGGAGGAAACGAGCGCCACGCTGACTGACGCGCTGGACGCGTCGTCGCCGTCGTCGATGGGGACGGCGCCGCCCATCGATTCGCCCGTGCTCCCTGACGCTTCGCCGCCGCCACCGCCCCTCGCGGTTCCGCCGCTGCCGTGGCACCAGCTGCGCGCCAAGCCCTCGTCGCCTAAGCTGACCACCGACATGGCGTCTCTCGCTGAGGAGCCAGCGGCGCCCGAGTCGTCGCCCTCCAGCACGCTGCCGAGCGCCGCGAGCGCGATAGACGTGTCGCCCACGGAGCGCGATGCAGGCGACAGCGACGTCAAGCCGTCGTCCAGCATGTTCCACATGGGCAGGCGCGGGCTGGAAGTGATGGGCCGCCTGCGCCCAATCCACATGGCGTCGAGCAACCGCATGCTCGCGCCGCGGTCGGAGTCGAACAAGAGCGACTACCGCCGGCGCTCTCTCTTTGCGCCGCTGATGAGCCGCGTCGATTCACGCGCGACCATCGCCTCGCCAACGCGGCAGTGGCTCGACTGGCTCGAGGCGCCTGGCCTCGCGCTGCCGCGTGCGTCCAAGCTGCGGGCGTTCCGCTCGCCGTCGGTGCTCTCGACGTCATCCAGCATGCAGAGCCTGCGGCAGGCGGGACCATCGCCGCCGATATCCCCGGTTGACGCGCCCGGCCTCTTCGGCATGCCGCTGAGCCGGGCTGTGGCGGCGACACGCGCGGCTGCTGCCATCTCGCCCGACCTGGTGCCACCTGAACACGAGCTGGCCACCGAGGAGGGGATCTTGCGACCGCCGCTATGGTCGCGCGCCGAGGCGCAGCAGCGGTACCTGCCGCGCATTGTGACGCGGTGCATTGAGAGCCTCGAGAAGTGGGGCTGCGACGAAGAGGGCATCTACCGCATCTCGGGCCGTAGCTCGCACTCGACCAAGCTGCGTGCGCTGTGGGACGTGCCCGGCACCGACCTGAACATGGCCGACATTGGGCCCGCCGACCTGGACGTACACGCCGTGTGCAGTGTGCTGAAAATGTACCTGCGCGAGCTACCAGAGCCGCTCGTGCCATACGAGATGGCCGCAGTGATGGAGCGCATGTGCGGTAGCACGGCGCCAGCGCAGTCGCCTGTCCTCTCGCGGCCCGACTCGGTGATGAGCACCGCCTCGCGTACAGCCCCGTCGGGGCTCGATGACGAAAAGCAGGCGGAGGTGGCGCGCGAGCTGGAGCCGCTCATGCACCGTATCCCGTACTGCGAGTGGTACCTGCTTCGCGAGCTCGCGGAGCACCTCGGCGTGCTGACCGAGCCTACGACGGTGGCGCGAACGAAGATGCCGCTCTCGAACCTCACGCTGGTCCTGGCTCCGACGCTCCAGGTGTCAGGTCTGCTGTTCATGACGCTCGTCCAGAAGCGACACATGCTCTTTTCGGAGGCTACGCGCCCTGTCTTCGATGCCCAGTCGCTCGCGGAGAAGAGCGGCTGGGCATCGCCCGTGCTGGATCGCGTCGAGCCGCCTACGCTCGCGCTCTCGGCCCCCGTGGAAGCCGCGCGTGGGCGCCTACCCCAACTCGACGTACCTGAAGAGGACGTGTCCGACGAACTCCACCCCGCCCAGCTTCAGGATGCGTCCGAGAACCCCGTCGAGCAACCTCACGACGAGAGCCAACAGGCGCCCGAGGCACCTGAGGCCGCCGAAGCATCCAGGGCAGCCGAAGCACCCAAGGCAGCCGAAGCACCGAAGGAAGCCGAAGCACCGAAGGAAGCCGAAGCACCGAAGGAAGCCGAAGCACCCGAGGCACCCAAGGCACCCGAGGATCCCGAGGCACCCAAGACAGCCGAGGATCCCGAGGGAACGCCTGAACCACTACCGATCGCCCAGCGCTTTTCCCAGCCGCGAAGTTCGATCTTAGCCGACTCTGTCCATAATATTACGCAGCAGGCCTCGTAAATCTACCATGTCCGCCTGGCAGCGAGTTAGGGCCTAACATTGGCGACCGGATCTAGCAGGCCGGCTCATAATCATACACTCAACATTGCCTTTCAACAAGTCGCCCGTATAGTATAGTGGTTATTATTTCTCACTCGTACTACGCTTCGGCGGAGTTGATGAGAGGGTCCCTAGTTCAAATCTGGGTGCGGGCACATTTTTTGCTGCCGTCTCCACCCCTCTTTTTGGCTGCCCATGGCCCTAGACCCCAGCCCCACAGCCCATGTCGATGCACCACAACGTGGTCCGACATACCCGGTCCGTGCTGGCTGCCCACAGCCTCGAGGCGGCCGATTTTAGGCGGCCACCCGATGCTAAACTGCGCAGACTCTGGCGTGAGCTCCTTTGCTGGGATGCCCTAGACAATGGCCTGCAGGCCTTGCGCTTTGCCTTGCTCCTTCTTCACGTATATGCACGCCTACGGCCGCCACGCACCACGTTCTATGCCATTGTACGCCCAATAAGCTACGCGCTGGCGTACATGCTCTCTCGGAAATGCCGTATCGCCCTGAGTCGTGGCTTGCTCATTGCCAGCGAGGGCGTCGCGAACGTGCGTCGTGTCGCCCTCCTCGCTCTATGGATGCTCACCTGCTCCAAGGAGCTGCGTATGCGCCTGCGTGAGTCATCCCAGGGCGACTCCGTTTCCGATGAGCCCATCCCCTTCGTGGAGCGGGTCGCGATTGGCGGCGAAGTCGTCGCCCACCTCGGCGAGTTGTTCGATGTCCTTGCCTTCTTCACCGGCTCTGGTCTCTTTTGGCGTGCTTTTGGCTTATCTGTCACGTCTGAGCTCCCACCGTGGCTGCAGCGACGCCGCCGCGGGCTCGAGCGTGTCGGCGTCTTTGTGTCGCTGGGCGCGCTGGCACTGCAGCAGTATGCACTGCACTTGCGCCGCGCCTCGATCCAGCGCCACATCCACGGCAGCATCCACCGCTTACAACAAGAGTTGGTGCCCATCGCGGGCGGGGCAGTCACCGAGCCGTCGAGCCGCGACGAGACGCCTGAGCGGTACCGCCGCATGCAAGAACAGTACGCCCTGCTGGTCGCCGAGCGGCGCCGTATGTGCTGGCTCATCATTGAACGCATCTGTCTGTACAGCGATGCCCTATTCACCACGGTCGAGGCGCTGGCGCCCGACGAGGACAAGGTCATGCTCGAGGCCAGCACGGGCCTTGTCGCGGCAGTGCTGCGCCTGTTGCGCCTGTGGAACGAAGTGCGATTCGGGTCTCTCGACCTCTAGATCCAGCCTATGGGTATCACAGCTAGTTGTCCTCCAGCCAACGGTACTCGAAGCGGAAGTCGTTCTTTCGCCGCTGGCACCACGAGCCTTCCCAGTCAAAGTACACGTACGCGCCCTGCTCGTACTCGTCCGTGATGGCCTGCGGCTCCGAATGCCGCTGGAACCACGTGAGGTATTGCTTGTGGAAGCGCCACGACTGCTTCTTCAACTCACGGGCAGCCAGGTATTGGTGGTACGTGCCCTGCTGGTAGTAGAAGATGTAAAATAGTGTGTCCACGTCAAACTTGGCGTAGAGCGCCGGATTATCAAAGAGGCTCGCAGGCGACTGCGGGTAGTAGCTCGGCGTCGGGAACGGGTCCTTCGGCACATAGTGCTTCGGGCTCTCCGAGTCCACAGGCTCCGGCGCGCCACCCGCGTAGCTCGCGTCCAGCGAGCGCTGTACATGGGACAGGTTCGAGTCGCGCAGGAGCGCCTTTTGTTTCGCCCATTCAAACGACGTCACCAGGTCAGAAAGCGTGTCGGGCAGCCGCGCATCGCTCCGCGCAGGTGCCGCACCACTCGCGTCGGCGCTCGCCGCACTTACGTCGCCCTCCGCCTCGACAGGCACGTCTGTTGCCGATGTATCGGCCGCGGTCTCCGACGCAGGCACAGGCACCGCCGTGGACGGGCTGGGCGCGCCTGCCGCCGGCGTGGTGGCCACCGCCGCAGCGGCAGCGGCCGCGTATCGGATCGGCGGGAGTGTCGCTGCAGGCGCAGGGGTCTTGTGCGCGGGTGGTGGGACGGGCAGCGACGTCGGCTGCAGCTTCCCCTGCTCGAAGTTAGTGACGACCCGCTCTTTGAGCGGCGGCTCGGCCGTCGTCGTGGTCACGGAGGCCGTGGTGGCCGCCTTCTTCGCCTTCTTCTCCTTCTCGTCCTTGGCTTTTGGCGGTGGCACTTCGTCCTTCTTTGTCTCCTTCGCAGCCGCCTTCGCCACGGGCTCTTCAGGCGCCGGCGCGGGAGGCGGCGTCGGCGGGGACTCGATCTTCTCTTCCTCGGCATCCCGGAGACCGAATGCTTCTTCCTCCTCGTCCAGGTTGAATTCGTCATAGATGCCCTCGTCCTCCTCGAAATCTTCCTCGGCATTGCTCTCGACAAAGTAAGAGATGTCCTCCTTTATGTCGTTGATCTGGTCGACCTCGAGAGAGCCGTTCTCCAGCATCCGGAGCAGGATCTCCAGACGGGATATGTGCCATTGTCGGCGCTCGTTCTGGTGCTCGAGCGTGCCGGCGCGGTCCTCTTTGGACGTCGACTTTTTGCTCTTCTTCGACGTGGCCATCATTTGCTCGATCTCCGCCTCGGCGGCTTCAATCTGCCGCGACAGCTCGTCGACCATCGATGTGAGCCAATTGGACATTTCGAGCTTCGCCTTCTCCTCCGGGCCCAGCTTCGCAGCGGCGATGAGGCCCTCTTTGGAGAAGGCTTTGGTCTTCATCTCCTTTTCTGCGGCCTTGAACTTTTCCATTTGCTATGGTCAGTGTCGCGCACGTACCGTCTCAATGAGCCGCCGATGGTCCAACAGTGGCTTCTTGTCCTTGATGTCGCTGCTCTGGAGCCATGTCTTGATCTGATCGCGCAGGCGCTGCAGCTTCTTGATCTGAGTCTTGAGGTCCGACTCTAACTTCTCCTTGTGCCCTGGATTCGGTGAGGTCTGTAATTTGTCGTATAGGCCCTCGAAGAGTTCGACGCCCTCCGCCACCTTTTTGAACGTCCGATCGATCTCGGCTGTCGCGGTTAGCTGTATCGTCGACCTACTTTGCAGCTTGCGTGCAGCCATCGTTCGTGCACTTGGTCTCGCGAGCTGCCCAACGAGCGACAGAGCAAGGAGACCCCGTCGGCCGCGGAGCGTGGCCACCGACCTTTCTTTGGAAATTGCAAAAATACCCCATCGCCACGCCCCTCGTCGCGAAAAGAACTTGGCGTTGCCCACGTTCACGATGCTGCGCTCGCTTGTCGCACGCGCAGCGGCCCGCGTGGCGCCGGTGGTGGGCTCGCCTCGCGCGGCTGTCCGCTCTATATCATCGACGGCCGCCCGCCTGGAGCAGGCCCCGGACCAGGAGCAGGGTACGTGTCGCGAATCCAGCCGACTTACACCAGCCGCGGCGCCCGCGTATCCGTTTGCGTCACATATCGTTACTCGCTCGCATGTGGCTCCGAAGGCGGACTCGGTGCGTGCACCGCCACCGCAGGTGAAGCACAGCTCGCGAGGCGTCATGCCTCGCGTGGATGCACAGCTCACCGCTGAACTGGACCCCGACGAGAAAATCGCGCGCCTGTTCTCTCGGCGCTCGCCTGAATGCATTCCGCCGGGCTCGATTGTGATGGTAGAGTCGTATCTGTCTGCGGGGCGATCTTCCACGACGACCTTTGCGGGCGTGCTTATTGCCGTTCGTCGGGCCGGCATTGCGACGACCTTCCTTCTGCGTACCATTGCACACAAGCTGGGTGTCGAGATGCGGTTCCATGCATACAGCCCCATGATCAAAGACATCAAGGTGATTCAGCGCGCTGACGCCAAAAAGGGGCAACCTGGCCTCCTCCGCACTCGCCGTGCGAAGCTGTACTACATGCGCCGCAACGAAGACCGCCGCGTCGGTTCCGTTGGGAACGTTGTCAAGCAGTATCGTGCGGCGGAGCAGAAGAGGGCGGACGCATCCATTGCCTCGTCGCGGCGTGGACCTGCCAGCCGTTCATAGTGCATAGGTTCCTGAGGGTGCTCAAAATTGGCCCTTTTTCTCTCGTCGCGCGGCAGGGCCGGCCAGATCCGTCCATGCTATCACAGCCAGTCGGTATCTACGCATCTATGCAAGGCCATGCGACTACCAAGAGGCCTTTTCAACGCCAGCAATGTCGCCAGCAATGGCTTTCCGGCGGAATTGGTACTGGGGATTAGCCGACAAGGGGGCGTCTAACGTACTCGGCAGAGACCGAACTCTGTAAAGATACCGCGGCCGCGGCCCGTCTCGACGCAGCGCTCCTTGACGACGGCCGGGCGCGACTTGTTCGGGAACGCGTTCAGCTCCAGCTGCGCCATGTGCCGCACGCGCGAGGGCAGTGTGGTATTGCGGGCGATGTACTTGTACGCCCGGCGCAGCAGTTCATTCGACTGCACCGCCTGGCGTGCTGCCATATCACGCCTGCATGGGTTAGCATCCACTGCATACGCACAGCATGCGCGCATTCGGTCTCACACCCATGGTCGACACGAGAGAGCCACCGCGGAGGGCAGATTCTTAGTCAGCGGTGCGAAGACTGCCCAAGCAAATCCCTGATTTTTGATTCGCCTGCGCCTTGGGCCGGCGCCCGCTGGCAAGCGGCGCACCGCCGCGGTGGCCAGATCTGTACCACCACCTCCCTCGATGGAAATGCTTCCGTTCTCTTCGTCCCGCGTGCGGGCGCTGTGCCCGTATCTGCGCGGTATGAGCCGCGAAAAGCTGCACAAGCTGTCGCGTTCTCTTTCTGTGGCTAGTGGCGGCCAGCTCCTGCTGGCTCGCGCCAAGCAATGCCCTGTTATGAGCCAGTCGATTGCTCAGTCGAATGATGGCTCCTCGGCGAACGAGACGCTTGGCGGTGCCTCGGCCAGCACTATGCAGCCTCCTCACCCCGTCTCGCGTTCGTGGGTCGAGCGCCACGGCGGCGTGTGTCCGGTGGGTGGCCACACCCTTTCGGTGAACTCGAAACGTTCGTACACCACGCAGAGCTTTGCCCCCAAGGCCTCCATGGTCATGTTTGACCACGACAATCAGGTGGAGCAGGCTGCCCCCACGACGACGCTGCCGCCGTACCAGAAGCGCACGCCGGGTTCGGGTCTGGGACCGCTGCCGGAGCCTGTGGCGAAGGACGGCCCGGGGTTTGATTTTGAGCGGTTCTACCACGACCAGCTCAAGACGAAGCACGAGCAAAACACGTACCGCTACTTTAACAACATCAATCGCCTTGCGGAGCGTGCGCCGATGGGCCATCTGACGGAAAACGAGGGCCACGAAATTACGGTTTGGTGCTCGAATGACTACCAAAACATGTCGCGCCACCCCCGTGTGATTGCAGCCATGAAGAAGACGCTCGAAAAGTATGGTGCCGGCGCTGGTGGTACGCGCAACATTGCCGGGCACAACATGCACGTCGAGCACGCGGAGGAGGTACTGGCGCGCCTGCACCGCAAGGATGCAGCGCTCGTGTTTGGCTCGTGCTATGCAGCCAACGACGCGACGCTTACAGTGCTGGGCTCCAAGCTGCCGGACTGTGTTATTCTGAGTGACAGCAGCAACCATGCGTCGATGATTCAGGGCATCAAGCATAGCGGAGCGAAGAAGATGATCTACAAGCACAACGACATGGCCGATCTGGAGGCAAAGCTCCAGTCGCTGCCAGTGTCTGTGCCCAAAATCATTGCATTCGAGTCGGTGTACAGCATGTGCGGGACGGTCGGCCCAATCGAGGAGACGATCGCGCTTGCGAAGAAGTACGGCGCGATCACCTTCCTGGACGAGGTACACGCCGTCGGTATGTATGGTCCGCACGGCGCGGGCGTCGCCGAGCACCTGGACTGGATGCTGAACGCGACGATGCCGCCGGGCCGCCTGCGTGGCACAGTCATGGACAATGTGGACATTATCACTGGCACGCTCGGAAAGGCGTACGGCAATGTGGGTGGCTACATTGCCGGCTCGAACCGCATGGTGGACCTGATCCGCTCGTACGCGCCGCAGTTCATCTTCAGCACGACGCTGCCGCCCTCGGTGCTCGTGGGTGCAGCGACGGCCGTTGAAGTGCTTATGGAGTCGAACCACACGCGCCAGCTGCAGCAGATCCGCACGCGCGAGCTGAAGAATGCCCTACTGGATGTGGGCATTCCCCTGCAGAGCAACCCGTCGCACATCGTGCCGGTGCTCGTGGGATCGGCGGAGCTGGCCAAGGAGGCGTCGGATATGCTGCTCAACGAGCACGGATGTTATGTGCAGCCGATCAACTATCCGACCGTGGCTATGGGTCTGGAGCGCCTGCGCATCACGCCGACGCCGCAGCACACTTCAGAACACGTGGCACACCTGGTCGGCGCACTCCAGCAGGTGTGGAAGAAGCTGGGTCTGCGCACTGTGGACGACCTTTTGGCTACGCCGCCGGGCACGGACCCGCTCGCTGACCTGTTCCGTCGCTCGCAGTTCGAGGACGACACGGCGCCGCTGTGGAGCGATGCGATGCTGGCGCTGCCGAGCGAGATGCTCACCGGTAGCAGCTCGGCATCGCTGCGCTGCCGCTGCACGCAGACGCCCTCGTCTCACGCCCGCGTGTCGTCCGCTCTGTCGGCCTAGGCCGCTCTTCGTGTTTTCTTCTGTCGGTGCGTGCACACCACGTGACCCGTAGCCGGTCTGGGCGCCCTTACGATGGTGCTCGGGCACTTTTTTATTGTAGCCAATCACCTTTTTTTCTTGATTATTGTATGCGATTGGCCTGCTACCTGCTGCTTTCGGGCAAGAAGCTGGCTTCGCGCCGATGAATGCAGCAGCGGAAAATGGCGCGTGTTGACGAGCGAAGGCCAAGCCTTGCCACTCCAACATCCCTCTTGCTCGGCCTTCTCGCGCTGGCGCTGATCCGCCCGACCCTTCCTATACAAGGCTTCACGATGCAAGCTGTCATGTTCTGGGGCGTATGGCTAGCTGTGCTCCTGTCCTGTGCTTGTGCGACGCCCTTGCAAGTGCGGCATGGTGATCACGAGCACGCAGGCACCGCGGGCAAGGATCCCATGTCGTATGCTGCGATGGAGTCAGGGACTGGCCACACGGACATGGCCTTTGGGTACGACTCGGTGGCGCCTCTTAAAGTTCCTCCGTTCTGTACAGTGGCGAACGCCACCGACAAGCTGAATCGCACGGACGTGGCGCACTGTATCGCGCTAGACGAGATCGACCGGCCGATCAGTGCCGCAGAGGCGGGCTGGGCCCTGCGTCCCAGCCCGCCGATCAATGTATCGAACGTGCATGCGCACGCACATGGCACGGAGAAGCCTATGGCCATGCTCAACGAGACGCGTCTCTTCCTCCGCAAGGGCGCGGTGCCCCTTAGCTACGTCGAGTGGGACTTTGGAACGGGACTCGGTCGTATGTCGGAGCTGCGCCGCTTTGCCAGTGTCGACGCGGCACAAATCCAAAAAATGTGGCCCAAGCGCCCAGTCATTGGCGCCTCAGGGGGCTACTGGCGCACGCTCGGCGACATTGACTACCCCGTCGCGTGGAATTCACTGCGTGAAGATATCCAATGGAGGACCAGCGGTGGCTCCCAGGAGCCATCGCGCCAGCGTGGCCTGCTTGTGGCCACCGTGTGCCTGTTTGTGGTGGCATGCTTCCTGCTGCTCCCGCTGCTCCTGTGCCTGCAGTCGTCGCAATCGTCGCTCGTGCCGCTGCTGTCGCTCTTGTACCTTGGAACCTTTACGCTCTCCGTGGTCCTGGGCCGCATGTACTTTGCCCTGTCGCCTGACCTGTACCCCCCCAGCGCGCTACCGGGTCTTGTACGCACGCTGCTTCTGCTGTCATACGGCTGCTTTGTCTCACCAGCGGCACAACTGCTCCTGCTCATCGTACCCCTCGTGCGTGGCCGCTTGCGCTCGTGGGCGGACGTGCAGCGTCTGCTGCAGGTGCTCGCGCGCGGCCGTGCCGTGTCGGATGCATCTGTGGGAGCGGCCCCGCAGTCGTCGCCGAGCACCGAGGGCACACTGACCGACGGCGTGCCGCCGCACGAGCGCGAGGAATTTCTCATGTTTGATCAGGACCAGGACGTGCCACTCATGGACGCCCCGATGCTGTCTGATGCGCGTGGGGATGACCTGCCGCTACCTGCGGCGCTGCGCCGCCCGTGGGAGCGCCTGGCCGATGCGCATCCGCGTGTGTGGTTCTCGCTGAGTCTCGCGTACACGACCATCTCGCGTGCGCTTGTCCCGCTTGCGTTTGTGGTCGTGTATGTGGGCATTGCGATCTACACGGGCTCGTGTCGTCGTGCGTACAAGAACGTGTGCCTGGCGCATGGCATCAAGGGTGCTGTATTTTTCTGGTACGGTGTCTTGACATTTGCGCGCTACCTCGGTGCCTTTGGCGAATATGGATGGGCATGGAACAAGCGCCCGACGCTGGCCAACACGAACAAATACGCCGCCTACTGGCGGCGCACGATGCCGTCGGGCGAATTCGTCGAATGCTTTGCTATTTTCCTCTATGGCATTACCAACACGTGGCTGGAGCGCCTAGGCGCCAAGCCGGGCGACCCCTACACGGTAAAGCAGCTCCAGCACATTTCCATTGCGGTCATGTTCTGGTTCGTCGGGCTCGTCGGCATGTCGCTCGAGTCCAACTATGTGCGCTCGCTCCTTGCGTACGCGGTGGTGCGTGGGCACCCCTCGGCTGTGGCGCCGCGTGGGAGCGAGAGCGAGGTCGAGGCGCAGACAGCGCCGCCGTCGTACAGCAGCAGCTTCAATCCCTTCCCCGCACTGATTATTGGTGTCACGGGCGTGGCGATGGCCCTGCACCACCAGGACTACGAGTACGAGGTGGAAGTGCACATTCTGTGGGGTATCATGCTGGCAGCTTTTGCGTTCCTGCGGTGTACTACGTACTTTTTCCTGTGGCTGCGCCCGCCCACAAGTGTGCTGCCAAGCCGCCCGCCGAGCGAGGCGATCGGCTCGTTTGCCCTGTGCTGTGGCGGACTTCTCTTTATGCTCTCGAACGAGGAGGTCTCGTTCGCAGCGATGCGTGCAGACTACGCGGATGGCATGGCCGTTATGAACCTGGCCGTGTCTCTCGTGGGCCTCGTGTTCTCATGGACCTTCTGTATCATGGTCGTTAAGGCCTGGGCCCTCCGCCGCGAGACAGCTGGCCGGACGCGGCTTGTGGCGCCTGCGCACTGGTCCAGCGCCTCCAAGGCTGCGCCCGAGTCCCTAGAGATGCGCATGCAGCCCTAGCGCAGGCTGCGCCTGCGCGGTGTACTCCCCCCACCGCTATGATGTAGATCAATAATGCCACACGACCTTGACAGGGTTTAGTCAGCTACGTTGATGCGCTGCGTCTCGCGCACGGTGGTGGCGCGACGCGTTACAACACACGCATGGCGACCATGCTGCCGTTGCGCCCGCGGCGGCCGCGCTCGCGAGCGCAGCAGTCGCGCAACTGGCACACGGTGCACAGCTTAAGCCCCGATGCCTCGACGCGGCCGCCCGGCGCGGACGGCTGCTCGGAACCCAGGCGACTCCGGACCCCCCTGCTGGGCAGCTTTTACCTGACGGATCTCGTTGTGGCAGCCTTTACCGTCATCGGGAATGTCATGTGCACATGCACATTCGCCGAGGTGCTCGACCTGCTCTATTTTGCCCTGGCGTATCATGGTACGTGGCCCGCGCTGACACAGCCGGAGGCGGTCTGTGGCGCGATATGCGCCAGCTGCGCTCCTCGCCACAGGGCACACAGGGTCTGTTCCACCTGTATATGCTGTGCCTTATGCACATGCTCTTGCAGTACACGCCATTTCTCCCGCCGCGCATCGCCCTCGCGGCCGAGTCGACCGGCCCGCTCCTCCAATGGCGCACAGGCGGCGGCGCTGCGCACCTCATCCGCGCGTATCATCACGCACCAGCCTTCCGTGCATTCTGGCTCGTTGGGTCACGCGTGTGCAGCACGCGCACTGTGGTCCTGTACGTGCATGGCGGCGGGTTTGCGCTCGGCTCCGTGGCTCTGTACGCCGAGCCACTCTTGCGCCTCCTCGCGCACATGTCGCGCCGCTGCCCGTCCAGCACCGTGGAATGCGTCGCGCTCGAGTACGAGCTCGTCCCGCATGTGCGTTTCCCTGCGCCTCTCCTCGAAACGCTGCGCTGCTACGCGCACCTCATCGAGCACGAGCACATCCCGCCTTCGCGGATTGTCGTGGCCGGCGATAGCGCGGGGGCCAATCTCGTCATGGGCCTGCTTCTGTGCCTGGCCGGGCAGGGCACCGCGGACGTGAACGAGCGCGACTGGCGCGCGCTTCCGATGCCCGCCAAGGCCGTTCTGATCAGTCCGTGGCTCGATCTGCGGCCCCAGCAGGCTGCCGCTGTCAAGTCGGTGCGTGCAGGCTGCGCACCCACGTTCGATATCCTGACGCCCGAGAGCCTCTTGCAGTTTGCGCAGCTGTACACGCGCCGGCTCAGCCGGCCGCGGCGCCTCCGTGGCCCATGCACTTGGTGGCTGACGCGCCTGCAGCGCCACCGCGCCTCGTGCGTCGCGGCCTGGCTCGCCTCGCGGCTGCAGCGCCCGCTGCTCACGCCCCACGCCCCACTGATTGCGCCGACAGACGCGCCAACGGATGCTGTGCGCCACACCCGCCACATGCTCGATGCCTCGTCCCTGGCTGCGCCCCGGTGTGCGTCTGACCGCGTCTTGCACACACACCCCCTTGTCTCGCCTACGCTCGGGCGTTGGGACGAGGTGCGCTTAGAGCATGGTATATTCGTGACATGGGGCGCCAACGAGCTCATGGCGCCTGATATTGCTGCGTGGACGGCGCGCGTACCGCACGCGGAAACGTACGTCGAGCCGGGCCCTACCGGTGTGCATGTGTGGCCGTTCCTGCATGCCTTGCTGGCGCCGTCTGGACACGAGCGCGAGCGTGGCCTGCAGCGCATCGCCGCTGCACTGTGCCTGCCTACGCCGAGTATCTCGCCGGCATCGATGCCGTCCGATGCCGAGGACGACGGGGAGGATGCAGCGGCTACCCAGCGTGCATGGGACGTCGAGCTTGTGCGTATGGGTGTACATGCATGAGGTAGATGAGGGAATACTATATCACTCCATGGGGTTCGTGCGTGCAGCTTGTTCTTCGTCGTCATTGTTGGACAGGCACAGTCCACAAGTGAGCAGCAGGTCCGACCAGTACCATGGCTGGGGGTCCGCGGGAGGCTCGTCGCGCCCAGCGCGGGACATGGGTGCGAGACGGGGGTAGCCTGTAGAGAGGTCGGGCAGTTCCGCGAGCGAGCCCTGCTTGGCTGGCTCCAACGCAGGCGGGTCGGCTTCGCCGTGGAAGGCGGGCCCACCAGCGAGCGCCACGTCTGCGCTCTCCGACTCGGGAATGGACTCGATGGTATGGCCGTGTCGTGCGGCGCTGCGTGGCATGGACGAGGGTGGCACACGAGCGGCCTGCTGCCGCCGCTGCAAACTGGACGCGCGCCCCACTGTGACGCTAGGGAAGTCGCGCGAGCGCAGGCGCGCCATGGCGCGCGGGGGTGCCGACTCGCTCATGGCCCCTGTCGGATCGACGGGGGTGATGGGCGACTCGGCGGGTGCATCGTCAAATTTCCGCGCGTCGCTCAGCATCGACAGGTCGTCGAGGGACGTCGACGAAAAGTCCATGGAGCGTACATAGGCGACTGGCTCCAGCGGGGTCATGTCCTGGAGATCTGGCCGGGTGTCCGCGGCGGGGGGCACGCTCATAAATTGCGAGTCTTCAGACTCGTCCGACACGGGCCGGTACTGTGTTGTGGGCAGCGCTGCATCGCGCGCGTAGCTGGACTGCGTCATCTCGTAGGAGCCGCCATGGGGGCTGGCACGCTGGGGGGTATGCCGTGCGCGCAGCGATGGCACACGCGCTAGGGACGCGCTAAATTTGCGCACGAGGGAGGTGCCGCCGGCGGGCTGCAGCGGCGCATGCTCGACGCGTTTCCGCCGCTGCCGTTTTTCTTTCTCAGCCAGGCGCCGCAGGTACTCTTCGACGCTGCGCGTCTCCTGCGCCTGCTCCTCTGTCTGAGTATATAGTGATCCGCTGGGGAGACTGTAGGTATCTGCGGCAGGATCACTGAGCGGGAGAGCGGCCTGGTACGAGCTGGCTAGCGCAGTATCCGAGGATGTGGCTTCCACATACTCGGTCGAGGCGGGCAGCTCGCCACTCATGTCGGTCGCGTCCTGGCAGCGCCGAGCTAGGGCGACGTAGATCGGGCGTCGTCTACCGTCGCCGCCGTTTTCCGCACGTGATCGGGAGACCTCCGCAGCAGACCCACGTGGATCTCTCTCCTGACCGTGTCGACGACGCGATGCGGGGCGTCGTACGTTGCGCCGGCTGACCCAGTGCGACCAACTTCGTGCGGACCTGGCCGAGTGCCTGAAAAAGTCTGACTGCATGCGCGTGCATGGGCACTCGGGCAACGAGTGCCTCTCGCAGTACCGTGATACCCTACCGCTCGAGTGCCAGCAGGCCTACCGCGGCTTCGTTGAATGCAAGCGCTCCTTGGTACGTACGGCACGCTGACACCAGTGGGACATGCGCAAGCGGTAGGCACCTTTTTTCTCACACCAGCTTCCGCGGCATCCCCGGTGCCGAATACAGCACGAGCTCGACGGTTTTTGGCGCGCTCGACAAGCGCTGGAGCGACAAATAGACATACCCTGTACCCCCTGCGCCGCCGGGCGGTGGCGCCGCGGCCGCGGAGGCGTAGCACTTGCTGACTCAGCGAGTGTCGACCGGCGGCCCGCGGCCACCGCTCTTCATGCTGCGTGCGTCTCGCGTCGGGCGCGCCCGCGCCCTGGCCGCCCCGCTGCTGCTACGGCAGCAGTCGACGGCGCGGCCCAAGTCGAAGCACGCGCTGCTCTATTCGGAGATCATACCGCCCGTCTTCCGCGTGCTCGCCTACAGCACCGCGGCGTACTTCGGCCTGCACCTGACGTGGCTGGCCCTCAAGAACCGCGAAGAGACGGAGGCGCAGGCCGCGGACATGGCGCAGCTGCGCACCGAGATCCAACGTGCACAGGCGCCCTAGTCTCGATCACCCAGTGGCAACTATGGCACGGGGTATACTACACATAGAACTTCTTATTAATGAGGCGGATGAGGGGATCGAGGTGGAACTGGAGGGCACCGTCGAGGGCGCTCAGGTACGGCTGCTTTTTGTACTGCGCCTCCAGCAGCTCGTCCATCTTCACCGTCATGGTGCCAGCAACAATGCCCGACACGGTCGTCTCGATCTGGAAGCAGCCGATCTCGTTGCTGGATAGGGTGAACGCCAGCTGGTCTAGGGCCAAGTTCTCGGGGCGCTCAATGTGCGCCAGCACACCTTTGGCGCGCAGGCGGGACGCCGTGTACTTGTACGAGCCATAGGCGGGCAGCGCACCTGCTGCCTTGAGGCTGCGCTGGTGGAAAAACTGCGGCGAGAACGGCATCACTTTGAGGCGGCGCCGCGACTTGTTTTGCATCGCATGCATACCGCGGTCCATGCACACCTCGTAGCTCTGGATCTGCGCCTCCATAAACTGCCGCTGCTCGCCGAGCTTCTGCAGCGTGCCAGCAAGCATCTCGTGCTGCGAGCGCCGCTCGACGCGCCGGCGGTGCTTGCCGCGGATATCCGCTGCGATCGCATCCAGCAGGTCTTGGTACTGGTTCGCGCGGTGCAGGCGCCCCAGCTGCTCGAGGTGCAGGGCATGCTCGAGGGCCTGCGCCTTGATGTCCGCGAGCGAGAAACCTGCAGCTGGCGTGTCCGCGTACGGCGGCTGCACGCGGCGCAGCGCCCAGGCGCGCTCGTCCGCGTCGGTGACGGGCGAGACGAGCAGCTCCACGAGGTTCGGCGCCGTCTGCACACGCAGCAGGGCGAGCACGAGGCGCTTCGTCTCCACAAACAGCTCACGCGTCACCATGTCCGCGTCGCCCATGCTGCCCAGCCTGTCTCGCACAAACCGCGGCGACAGCTCGAGCGTCACTTCACTGTCGCGCGCGCGACTCAACTCGGCGGTCGCCGACACGGGTGGCGTGCCGAGCGCATGCAGGAGTGTGTCCAGCGCGTCGCCAGGCGTCGCCAGCGACGCCTCGTTGTTGCACAGCAGCTGGTGCACCGCATACACCTCGTTCGGCGAGATATAAATCACCGGCCGCTGCTGGGTGGCACACACGTCCATGTACTCGTCGAGGCCAAAGTGCAGGTCAGGCGCTTCACACGCGTCGAGCTGCGCCTGTACCCAGCGGTGCAGGCGCGGACTGGCGTCGAGCACGTAGTCATTGAGCGGCTGCAGGTAGAGGCGGTCCTCGCCGAACGGCTCGCCACGCGCGACCTGCGCAAGCACCTCGCTCACCTGCGCGAGGTTGCGGCGCCCCGTGTCGGGCACGGCCGACATGCCGAACGACTCTGGCGCCACGATCGCCGGGTGCAGGTAGCTGCGGTACAGCAGGTGCGTCACGGTGCGGAGGCGCTCGGCAGAGGTGCTCTCCGGGAAGCGTGCTTTCAGGGCTTGCTCGTGCTGCTGAAGTGTGTACTGCAGGCCGTACGGCATCGGCGGGCTCGTGCCGCGCAGCACCTGGAGGAACGACTCGCACGTCGTGCGCAGGCGCTGCAGGCGCTGCAAGAAGGCCGCACGCGTCGGCGGGTCTTCGAGCGCAGCGACGCCGTCGACGCCGAGCGGCGCAGGTGCGCCTGCCGCGGCGGCGAGCGCGCGCTGGATCGCGACAGGGTCGGCCTCCAGCTCGAGCGTCGGTTCGCTGGCCACGCCGTGCACGGCCGGACCGAGCAGGAGGCACAGGTAGTCGCGCTCGCGCACGCCGCACGTAAAGTGGCGCAGCAGGCGCAGGAAAGGCGCCTGCTCTTCCACGTACGTGCCGAGCGCAGTGACGCGCGGCATCTGCTCCGTGAGCGCACTGCGCACCAGCTTGAGCAGCAGGTACTCTTCGCGTGGCCGCTGTGCGTACGCATAGATGGCGAGCACTGTCTGCTCGAGTTGGCGGCGCTCCTCCTCCGACACCATCGCCGCATTCGTCAGCACGAGTAGGCGCGCCAGGTATGTCGGCTGCGTCTGCAGCACAAAGAACAGCGACTGGTACTGCTCGAGCCGCTGCTGGGCCGCGGGGCTCAGCACCGTGTCGGCGAAGGGGTCGTCTGCCTGCGCCAGCACATGCGTCCATGCGCCAGCGCGCCCGGCACTGAGCAGGCCGCGTTCCGTCTTGGCCTTGAGCACGTCCTCAATGCCGATCTTGTTCTTGACCAGCAGGGCGATCTTGCGGTCGAGGTCCGCCACGTGCGTCTCCACGGCCTCGTTCTCGCGAAGCCGCTGCACGACGTCGGTGCGCAGGCGCGTCACGGCGAGCTCTTCGTCGTAGTCGCGTCCGCTGTCGTCGAGTAGGTGCGAGAATGCCTGGACGGTCGCGAGGGGGACATTGACGCCGCGGCGCAGTGCCTGGTACTGCTTCGACGCGCGCCTCGAGCGAGCCAGGCTCTGCACGAGCACCACGTCTTCAATCTGCGCCACAAAGCGGCCCAGGCCATGGTCGAAGACGCGGCGCGCAAGCACGCCGCGCAGCATCGACTGCAGGTACACGACCACGTCCACACTCGAGTGCAAGTGGTGCCACCACCAGTCGTATTCCTGCCGCGCGAGGACGCCGCGGATCTGCGCCTGCAGGCCCGTGACGTCCGGCTTGACATACTCCATCTGCTTGCGCATCTCCTGGTGCTTCCGTCGCGAGAGCGCGGCGCGCAGCGACGTCTGCATGCCGCTCACGGACGTGACAACTTCCGCGCGCCGGAACGCCATGCGCATCTGCGCATACGCTCGCCGCGCCTGGACGCCGCGCGCCGCGGCTTGCAGCGCCACGAGCCACGAGCCTTGCTCGACCGCCTCCATCCGCTGCAGCAGCGCGCGGCGCGCCAGCACGCCACGCACCGCTGCCTGCACATGCACCATCGTGCCGACCTGCGCGTCGATGGCGATGAGACGCCCGTACAGTTGCCGCCGCGCGAGCTCGCCCCGCACCTGCGCCTGCAGCTGGAGGACAAAGTGCTCGTCAATGCGGCTCAGCTGCGCGTAGAGCGCCTGGCGGACCAGCACGCCCCGCACTTGCGCTTGGACTTGCACGAGCTGGCGCCCGGACGCCAGCGCTGCACACCGCGCGCGCTCCTCTTCTGCTGCGCGGCGTGCCAGCACACCACGCACCACTGCCTGCAGCGGGGTAGCCATTCGCGAGGCCGTGCGCTCCCGCTCTGCCGCGTCGCGCCGCGCCGCCTCTTCGGTCAGCACGCGCAGCCGTGCCTCGGCTGCGGCCGTCTCGGCATGGGCCGCGGCGAGTTCCGCCGCATACGCCTCCATCTGCCGCTTCCGCTCCAGCTCGTACTCGAGCTCGCGGCGGAACCGCTCCTTTTCTTCGCGCTCGCGCTCCTCGGCACGAGCACGTTCCTCGGCGGCATGCACGCGCTCGATCGCCGTTTGCCGCTCACGTTCGCGCTCCGTCTCGAACCGCTCGCGCTCGCGCTGCAGCTGCTCAAGATGCGAGCGCTGCGCTGCGAGCTCGCGCTGCGTTGTGGAACGGACGCTCGTGTACAGCTGGTCGCGGCGCTCGCGGTCCTTGGCGAGTGTGGCAGCGCCCTCTTCCCGCAGACGCTCGCGCTCCTTCTCGCGCTCGCGCTCAAAGTCGGCGCGCTTGCGGAGCCGCTCCTGTTCGAGCTCGCGCATGCGCTCCTCGCGCTCCTCCCGCAGCCGCCGGCGCTCGCGCTGCTGGGAAAGGCGCTCCTGTTCGCGCGCCTGATCTCGCTCGCGACGCTCGCGCTCGCGCGCCTCCATCTTGGCGAGGCGCTCCTGGCCGAGCTGCGCAATGCGGTCCTCCTTGGCGCGCTGCTTCGTGAGCTCACGCTCGAGCGCATCGTGCGCGCGGCGGTCGGGGGAGCGCAGCGTCGGCTCGCTGCCGACTGGCTTGAGGTTCGCGCGCAGCGATGCGGCGGTGGTAGGCTCGGCCGGCTTGGCCGGCTCGCGCGCAACGGGCTTGAGGTGCGCGCGCTGCGCCTGCAGTGTACTGGGCGGGGGCACGAGCGGCTTGCGCCGCTCGCCGCTGGGCACGCGGCGCGCGCCGCCCGCGCCCATCTCCTGCGCGAGCGCCTGGCCGACGCCGCCGAAGCTCGGCATCGAGAGGCCCGACGCATCGATGGTCTTTTGCGTCTTGTGCAGCTGCTCCTCGTTGAACTCGAGCTTGCCGACGAGATCGTCGACCTTGTCGGAGCGCCCGTGGTGCGCCATAAAGTGACTGAGGGCGTGGAGACAGTACACAACCTTGGGGAAGTTTTTCTTCTCGTACAGGTCCGTCAGCTCGAAGCGGAAGCAGTTCGGCAGGCGGATCTTGTCGACAAACTGGAAGTAGTAGTTGATGTTGTCCGTGTGGCGGAACTGCAGTCGGGGGTGCACAAAGATGCGCGGCACACACGACGGCTCAAACGTCTTGGCGAGCTTGGCGAGCGCAATACCATTGCGCATCTCCTCGGCCATGTTCGCAATGTCGCCGCCGAGCGGCTCTCCGATCACGCGCTCCATCCACTGCTGCGCCTCACTGCAGTGGCACAGGTACTCGTACGCCTGCACATTATCGCGCTCCTTCTCCATCCACTTGGTCAGCGGGCCACTCGGACCGGGCGCGTCGGCCAGCATCGGGGCGCCCGCGCTGGCGCCGCCGTCGACGCTTGGAAAGGACGCAAGGCTCTGGCGCGACAGGCGGATGCGGCTGCTGCCAAAGACGCCCGCAGCCTCACTGACTTTGCGCGCCGTCTTGCTGCGGCTCATGACGGACGACTCCTGTGAGGCTGGCGCAGCAAACTTGCGCCGCGCCGCCGCAAATCCTGACGCGCTCGTTCCCTCTGTTTTGGCCGGCACATTCTCGCGGCCGGCGACCGCCGCCGTGGCCCGCGCCGTGCCGGCCTGGCGCGCCGCCTCCCGCTCCTGCAGCGACTGCTGCACGAACGGATTGGAGGCGAGTTTGTTCTCGAGGCGCGGCGTGGAGCGGCCCGCCGCGCCCTTGGGCACTGGCGCATCACTCGAGGAAAGCCCCGTATTGCGCGACTCACGCAGGGCGGAGCGCTGCGTAACGCTCATCGTGTCCCCGTCGCTACGCGCCCCGTCGAGGTAGGAGCAACACTGCCAGGGCGGCATAAACACGGCGCGTCCGTGTTGGTCTACACGTGATATATATCACGTGATCACTACGCCGCCCCGGTGGCTCCTCGCGCGGCGCGGCGCGGCGCGCCATACACGGCGGCAGCGCTGCCAGGCGAGGGCCTACGATTTCTGGTCCTACCCTGTTCCTGCGTGACCTGTTGCCACTACCTCGCTAGAGTCCACTCAGGCGCTGTGCCACCCTAGTCCTGTCAGTGTTGTCGCACATACTTTTCGCGGAAATTGGTGTACGCGTTCAACAGTGCTGCTGTTAGACATAGAGACGTACTTTGCTCGTTGATCTGCACCTCGATGGTATCAGAGCGGGGCCGTGTCACGCGGTTCGCGATCGCGGCACTATCCGTCTCGAGGATGATCCTGCGGTCAGCGGCGCACACGCACCCATCGTCGATACTCTCGTCCAGCGCTAGCGTGACTAGGTCCATGTTGTCGAGGATCGTGCGCTTGTCAATCTGGCTTTGCAGTAGCACCGACAGCGTGTCGTAGAACGACTGGAGGAAGCTGTGGATCATCAGCTCATTCTCGTGCTCTGGCGCAATCACAAAGAGATACACGTCGTACGACGCCTTGAACAGCACGAGCTGGTTGTCGTACTGGAACAAATCGCCTGCGGTCAGACCCCCCCACGTACCCGACGCCCGGCGCGCCTTGTCCCACACGCCATGCTCCAGCGCCTCCTGCTGCTTCTGCGTCTGGTACGGGTTCTTGGCGTACAGTGGCGCCAGGCCAGCGGCGCCCGCCCCTGCCGGCGCTGCGACGCCGTCCGCACGCACACCCGGCGGCTCATAGTACTTCGCGAGGATCCGGTGCCCTTCCGAGTCGAGCAGCAACACTGATCATGAGCATCATAAGCACCTACCGGCACGCGTAGAATACAGCGTCAGGTTCATGTCGCGCATATCGAGCTCTCCGTGCGTCCGACGGCGGAGCGACGAAAGCGCACGTCGACCGCGCCGCCCGCCGCCCAGGCATTGCTGACTCAGCATTGGCCACTACGAACGCGGCTGCGCCAGGAACAGCGCGAGCATGACGCTCAGCGCGCCGCCGCCCAGGCACAGAGATAGAGACGATAGAAGCAACACGGGAGGATACACCGACAGGCGGCGTAGGCGCGGCGCCTGCACCATGTGGCGCAATATATCCCGCGTGCGCGGACCCCGCGTGGGCGCCGCGCGCCATGCAAAGCTCGGCTCGTCGCGCGGCGTCGGCAGCGGATCGAGCGCGAGCTGCGTCGGCGGCAGCGCCAGGACGGATAGAGGCGCCGTGTCCTGCTTGTCCCATGTGAACAGCACGCTCTGGTCGCCCAGCACGAGGTGTGCGTGCACCGCAGGGCACCGCAGCGGAAAGGTACGCGCGAGATGGGCCGCGTCTTGCAGCACGCGTGTGAGCGCGCTGTCGTCGGCGGCCCCCTCTGTGGGTGCACTCGCCAGCACGGGGTGCAGCTCAGCGATATCGAGCGCCTCGATCGCGACGCGCGTCTCGGCGGCGACCTGCGCGACGCGCTCCTTCTGCGTGAGGAGGAAGGCCGCACACAGATACAGGGTGCTAGCAGGGCCTGCGCACCACACATAATCCAGTACACGCAGCGCCTGAGCAGGCGCAGATATCTCGTGCGTGAACAGCGTGAGCAGCCACGGCAGCGCCACAATCAGGTGGTTCGGGTAAAACGCGTTCTCCAGCGCGTACGCGTACGGCGCGTCCGCGGCACGCAGTATGTTGCGTACGATTTTGAGCTGGCCCATAGCCGGCATGAGGTCGCGCGTCATGCAGTCGCGCAGAAAGTGCAGGCTCACCTGGTCGACGACGCGCTGCATCGGGGCCCAGGCCGCCTCGTCGGTGGCGTCGGGGCACATGGTGAGCAGTACGTGCGCGACTACGTCGTGGAATCCTTGGAAGTAGCGGAGCGCGGGGTACCGGCGCAGCGTCATACGAATAGCGCGCCGCAGCTGGTCGCGCCGCCTATCGCGCTCGTCTGTCCCGTGCATGTGCCCAAAACTGCGCTGGACATCCAGGTCGACCTGCCCCTCGTCGGGGTGCGGGCTCGCCGTGTCGAGGTCGGCGGCGGGCGCCAGCGGGCGGCTCGTCCATATGTCGGACCAGCATGCACGGCGATCAAGGCCTGCTGCGTCCCAGCCGCCCGGCTGCAATGCACACTGCTCCCAGCGACCGAGCGTCGCCCCGTCCATGGCGCGCGGCACGGCGATCCGTGCGCGGTGGGCCCGCCCAGGGCCTACTAGCCCCCTCCACATGTTGCGAACAAGCCTCGGAACCGCGCCCGTGGCTCGTCGCGGATCCGTCGCAGGCACCATGGCCACGCCAGAGCTGCGGAGAAAGCGGAAGATTGCCGTGCTCGGGTCCCGCTCGGTCGGTGCGTAGATGCAGCTCATCGCAGGCAAGTCGTCATTGGTGGTGCGCTTCGTGGAGGACGCCTTTGTGGACTCGTACTACCCCACGATTGAGAATGTGTTTGAAAAGACGGTCAAGTACAAGGGCCAGGAGTACAACTGCGATATCGTCGATACGGCCGGCCAGGACGAGTACTCGATTTTGAACTCGAAGCATGCGATCGGCATCCACGGCTATGTGCTCGTGTACTCGATCGCCTCCCGCGCGAGCTTCGAGATGATCCAGACCGTGTACGACAAGATCCTCAACTATACCGGCACGTCGACGATCCCCTGTGTCCTCGTGGGCCAGAAGAGCGACCTGCATGCACAGCGGTACGTACAGCGCACTCACGCCAGCCAAGTGCCCGAGGCGGAGGGCAAGGCGCTCGCGCAGTCGCTGCACTGTGCGTGGGTCGAGGCAAGTGCGCGGCACAACGCCAACGTCAGTGCGTATGCTACGAGGCTAACAGGCAGCCAAGGTGTTCGAGCTGGTGCTCGCTGAGATCGAGAAGGCGTCCGCGCCCGGCGGCGCGGAGCCGCAGCCGTCGAAGTGCACCATTATGTAGACCACGTGGGGCGGGCCGTGGAGGCAGCTCCGCGGCGGCGGAGCACGGACGCCCACGACACCATGTCGAGCGAAAACAGCCTCCCGACCCCGCCTGCTGAGGGCAATGTATCGTTCGTGCTGAAGAAGGTGCACGAGACCGCGTTCGAGGACCGCCCGCTTGCGCCGCTCCGGCCGGGCGAAGTGCGTGTGAACGTGCGTCAAACCGGCCTGTGCGGCTCCGATTGCCACTACCGCGAGCACGGGCGCATCGGCGACTTTGTGCTCACGGCGCCGATGGTGCTGGGCCACGAGTCGGCTGGTGTGATCACGGAGGTCGGCCCCGGCGTCGAGGACCGCGCGGTCGGCGACCGCGTCGCGCTCGAGCCGGGCGTGCCGTGCCTGTCGTGTGCGATGTGCCTGCGGGGCGACTACAACCACTGCCCCAAGCTGGTGTTCGCTGCGACTCCGCCGCACGACGGTACTCTCGCTACCTACTACACGCTGAACTGGGCCTTTTCCCACAAGATCCCGGACAACATGTCGATGGAAGCCGCGTCGCTCATGGAGCCGCTCAGCGTCGGCGTCCACGCGGCCGTGTCGCGCGGGCAGGTGCGTGCGATGCAGAATGTGCTGGTCCTTGGCGCAGGTCCGATCGGCCTGATGATTGGCGCCGTGGCGCGTGCGTTCGGCGCGCGCCGCGTGGTGCTGTGCGACCTCGTCGACGAGAAGCTGCGCTTCGCCGAGTCGTTCTGTGCGACGTCCACGTACAAGCCGTCCGCGCCGCAGCCCGGTGAGACTGACCCTGACTGTGCTGCGCGCAATGCGCGCACGCTGGTCGAGCAGGTCGGCGGCGACGTGGCGCAGAACGACGGCTTTGACCTGGTCCTCGACGCCAGCGGCGCCCAGTCGTGCATCCTCCTCGCAGCGTGGGCCGCACGCTGCCAGGGCCGTGTCGTGCTTGTCGGCATGGGCCGCGCGGACGTGCTCATGTCCGTCAGTCGCGTGATTGTGCGCGAGGTCGAGGTCACTGGCTCGTTCCGCTACGGCAGCGGCGACTACGACATGTCGATTGCGCTCGTGGCCGCCGGCCAGATCGACGTCACACGCCTCGTGACGCACCGCTACCTCTTCGCCGACGCCGAAAAGGCCTTTGATGCCGTGACCCGCGGCCACGGCGAGGACGGCCGCACCTGCATCAAGGTGCAGATCTGCCAGGGCGCCGCGCCCGGTCTCTAGACACACACCTCCATACCGAGAATCTCTGCGCGCGAGGCGCTGCGCCGCCCGTATGCTCCGCGGCGTGGGCGCGGTCCGCCGCGGGCTCGCCCATGTCCGCCCGCGGGCTGCGGCGTTGCATACCGTGCCTACGACGGAGGCCCTGCCGTCCTGGCAGGCGCGCAGTGCGCGCTTGGCGGCGCTGCACCAGGCCCTCGCGACCGATCGCGCCGCGCACGCGTTTGACGCCTTCTTGCAAGTCGCGCAGCAGGATCCGACCGCGCTCACGAGCACTGAGCTCCGCGGCATGCTGCGCATCCTCATGCGCATGCGGCCACGCACGCCCGACGTGATGGACCGCGTGCTCGTGGTGATCGAGCAGGTGAAGCGTGCGCACCGCACCTTTTTGCACCGCTCGTCGCCGGCCGACGCGCTCGTGCTCGCCGAGCTCACGCAGATGCTCCAGGATGCGTCCCTGTGGAATGCACTCCTCACAAGCGCGCGGGGGCGGCGCAAGTACGTGCCTCTTGGCGCGCTCGAGGACCTGCTCGACCTCTTTGTCGCTGCCGAGACGGCCGTCGCGGCCGTCGCGCCGCCGCCGCACGCGAACGCCACGCCGACCTTCCCAGACACGGTGTCGTACAACCTGCTCCTGCACACGCTCGTGCGCAGTGTGCCGCGGCACGGGTGTGTGCACCCCCGCCGCGTTCGCCGCGCGCTGGCCGCGCCGAGCTCGTGGGCGGGCACACTGCGCCACCAGCTGCGCGCCGCGCCCTTTAGTGCGGCAGCGGCCGAGCAGTACTTTGAGGCGACGTGGGCGCACATGGCATCCAGCGCCTCTACGGCGCCGTCGCCCCTGTCGTGGTGTATTCGCCTGGCCCTCTACACGCGGCTCGGGCGCCTCGCGCAGGTCCACGCGTGCGTGCGCGACCTCGTGGCGCGGGGCCTCGGCTCGATCGATGTCGTGAACGCGGCGCTCAGTGCGTACGTCGCACTGGCGCCACCAGCGGCACGGCGCGCGCTGCCCCAGGCGGTGCAGCATGTGTACGACGCACTGCAGGCGCAAGCACTCGGCCGCCCGCCGCCGGCCAGCGCTCGCGCGGCGCTTGAGCAGGTGCTCGGCATACCCGCCCTCCCTCCCGGGGTCGTGCCGGACCGCACGACGTACGCTGTGGTGATCAAGGTGCTCGCCGAGGCAGCGGACCTGCCCGGCGCCCTGCACGCACTGCACGACCGGGTCGCGACGCCCGCGGGGGGCGGACCCCCCACGCTGGACATGTATCATACGCTGTTCGCCGGCTTTGCGCGCTTCGGCGTGCGCGCGCGTCGCGAGGACGGCGTGTCTGCTGCGCCGCCCGGGGCATGGACACTCGAGGGCGAGGGCGCCTGGACCATCTTTGCGCTGCACGAGCTGTTCGAGGGCTATCTGCGTGTCGAGCCTGCGCCCGCGTCCGTGGAGCGGCGGGTGCCGCCCCCGACGCCCCGTGCGCTCGCCCATGTGCTCGCGGCGCTGCGGCAGGTCAGCGGTGACGACCGCGCCTATGTCGGCGCGCAGTGGGCGCGCCTCATGGCGAAGCTGAGCGCACCGCCGTGGCAGCGCGTGCGCCTCGATACCCGCACAGCACACGCGCTGCGCGCGCTCAGTGTGCCTCTGCCTGCGTCCGCTCTCGGCGATAGTACACATTAAAGTTCCAGCGGCGCTGGCGTTAGCGAAACAACGTACCGCGAGATCCCGTACAGTGAGCGTGGGGTGGCGCTCCAGGGCCGCCATCATCGTGTGCATGCGGTGCTGGAAGTGCGCGTGCTCCGTGTGGAGGCGCTCGGTGAGCGTCGCCTCGGTGTGAGCGGCGGAGCGCAGTGGCTCGACGCCGCTGGCCACGCGCGCGAGCTCGGCTGTCGCGTGGTGCGACAGCTCGCTGGCGGCTGTGGCGAAGGCCAGGACACATGCGAGCTGCGCACGCACGTCGTCGGCGAGGTGGTCGCCCTGGCCGCGGCGCCCGCGCAGCAGCGTCGTGTGGATGAGGGTGTGGAGGTACCGGCGGTGCGTCTCGATGAGCTGGTCGAGGTCGCTGGCGCAGGTGCCCAGGTCGTGCTCGAGGCGCTGCCAGGCGTGCGCTATGCCCTCCAGCTCACAGAAGCTCTGTAGCTGGCGCACAAAGTGCACCATCTCGCTCAGGCGCCCGAGCGTCGTGGCCAAGAGCGTGCGCAGCGCTGGTGGCAGGCTCTTGTGGTGCCGACTGCGCATCGTGGCTTTTTGCGTCGCGAGCAGGAGCGCCCAGGCGCTGCTCACACTGGCCGACACGCGATTGAGCTGCCAGAGGTAGTGGAACAGCAGCTGGTAGCCGGCCATCGCCGAGGCGTCCAGCACCGCATTGACCGGCGACTCCACGCGGTACTCGAGCGTAAACGTGTCCCAGCCCGTGTCGCCCGGGCCAAAGTCGAGGCTGCGCGCGTCCAGGCGCCGAAGAAGGTCGGGGTCGTCGAACTGCGCGTGTGACGCGCGGATCGCCGTCTCGAGCGCCGCGCTGAGGTTGTGCTGGTACAGCGTCGACGCAGGACGCGCGAGACTCGGGCCGAGCGTCTGCAGCAGCGCGTCGGCAAAGTCGCCCTGCGTGAGCAGGAGGTACGACTTGAGGGCGCGCAGATGGTCGCGCAGTCGGAACTGGGTCAGGTACAGTGCACACAGGTGGCCGCTCGCGAGCGCAAACTCGGCGTCAATCGCATGCTCGAGGCCGGCCATGTCTGAGTAGCGCAGCTCGCGGCGCGACCGGCCATGCACGCCCTGGTCTGCGCCGCAGCACTCGCGCAAAAAGTGCAGGCTCTTGCCGGTCGAGAAGATCTTGCGCGCAAAGTGCTCGCTCAGGAACGTCGGCAGCATTTCAGGGCGCAGCACGAACCGGTTCTGCCACACGGCGGCCGCATCGACGCTCTGCTCGGTGGCCACGACCAGGTCGTCCGTGGGCTGCGGCGTGTGCGCGGCCGGCGCCGCACACGCCACGAAAAACTCGCCAAAGGGATCGTCGAGCTCACCGTCGTAGATCCAGCGCGAGAGGGTATGGAAAAACGGGCGCGACACCTGGTCGAGCAGCGTCGACGTGCACCGCCGAATGAACGGATCCCCGGTGAGTGTGTATGTGTGGATGGTCGAGACCATCGCGCCGCCATGCGCCTCGCGGCAGCTCTCGACCATGGTGCTCATGAGGCGCATGCGCAGCAGCGGCTCGCGCGTGGTCTGCACGAGCCGCTGCAGCGTGAGCGGCGGGCGGAGCGGCTCGCCCTCCTCCTGCGCATGCCACTGCGCATCCATCTGCGACACGAGATCGCAGTGCGCCGTCATCTCCTGCGCGAGAAAGTGCGTAAGGCTCTGCGCGGTCAGGTGCGTCGGCGTCGGCTGCGTGTGTTCGTCGACGTAGCGCTGCACGCGCAGGTACAGCTGGCCCAGCTCTGCGACGCGGTGGATCAGGTCGCGCGTCGGCGGCGAGATCAGGCCACGACTCTCGTCAAACTCCAGGCGCATGACAGTCTGCGCGCGCGTCGTGCCGTCCTCCCTCGGCAGCTGCCACTCGTGCTGGAAGCGCACGCACGTCCCCGAGATGCCTTGCAGCAGGTAAATCACGTCCCGCACGAGCTCCTGCTCGCGCACATGGACGACCCCTTTGCGAGCACGCAGTCGCTCCAGCAGCTCCGCACGCGGCACACGCGTCCCCGCTTGCAGGTCCGCGACGCGCACGACGGCGGTGCTCGCCATGGTGTTGATGGCCGCGACCTCCACCGACGCGCCGCCGCCCCAGGGCCACGTGGACCACGTGCGCCGCCCCCTCGCCGAGCGCCTGCCCCGAGCGCACCGATCGAGTCCCAGCATGAAGCTGCGCCGCCCCCGCCCGGCGTCTGTGGCGCTAGGAGCATCTGTTGGCGCACAGCCGCATGCACTGACGTCGCCGACGAACCAGACGAGCTTGCTTGTGCCGAGCGAATCGCGGGTAGGTGCGCCCATCCCACGCACTCCGCCCGCGTCGCCGTTCGAGCTCGATGCCCAGGTCGCTGCGTTCCGGCACGAAGTGCACTTCAGCAGTGCGACGCCCGTGTCCCAGTGGATCCGCTTGGCGGACCGGCTCAAGCGGCAGGCGGACCAGCACCACAACGCCGGAGATCTCGAGCGCCAGTATCTATGGTACGTGCGACGCAGCTTATTTAGTCTCGCCAAGTGCGCCAAGATCCTAGACGAGCTCTTGCCCAACGAGCACAGCGGGTGGTCGAAGCTTGATGATGAGCGTCGCGCACATGTCGCGCAGGTACGTATGGCCCGCTTACGCAGACCGCGGCGACCATTCGCAGCATGGTTCAGCTGACGCGCGATGCCATCCTGGAGGCGCGTCAAGAGCTCAAGGGGCCATTGATGCCTGCCGCTTCGCGCTCGCCCAGTGGCCGCTCACCTGGCCGCTCGTCACTACGGCAGAGCACATCTGATGCGCACGATACGCCGTCCAAGCGTGTCTCGTTTGCTGTATCCACTGACAAGGGATCGCCGCCCGCGTTCCCTCTATCCTCGTCCTCGACGTTTCGTCCCAAGCTGCCCTGGCACCGCGAGTCGTCACGCTATGGTGCCGCGCCGGCCGCGGCGCATGAGAAGCCCGCGAGTCGGCGCATGCCCTGGGCGCCTCGCTTGCACAGCAAGGGGAGCATGTCGTTCCTGGGCCCCGTCGTGGATGAGCCGCCGCCTCCGCCGCCGCCTGCGCCGGACCCTCCGCGTCCTACATGGCGCCGCAGACGCTCGGAGCGCCGCTTCCTCACTGCAGAGCCCGTTGTATCGCTATCCGTGGCGGCCCCTGAGATGCGGGGCGACTCGCCGGCATCGCCCACCTCCCCCCCCGTGACGGAACCGGCAGATACCCTGGCGCCGCCCTCCGGTGTGTCCGAGCCGCTGCGTGTCCACCCCCTGTCACTTCGGCCGGCCATGCCTACCAGGGCGACGCCCCAGCGCTCGACGCTTGACGGGGGATCGCTACGGCCTGTGCACCTGCCGCACTCGCTGCCCACCACGTTCCTCGAGTGCGCACAGGCGCAGCTCGCCGCGGACATTGAGACGTGCGGCCTGCTTTTGGGCCGCGCCGACTCGGCACTGCATGTGACGCATCTGCTGCTCCCCCCGCAGAACGGCACACCCGTTAGCTGCCATGCGGAAGGCGAGGAGCAGGTGTTCGCCTACCAGATGGAGCACGACTTGATCACGCTGGGGTGGATCCACACGCATCCGACACAGACGTGCTTCCTCTCGTCCCTCGATCTGCATACCCACGCGAGCTACCAGGCCTTGCTCCCCGAGTCGGTCGCGGTGGTCTGTGCGCCCCTGCACGAGCCGTCGGTCGGCGTGTATCGCCTCACGCAGCCTAGTGGACTGCAATATGTGCTCCGATGTACGGACGAGGAGCCATTCCATCCGCACGAGAAGGAAGCGTCGCTGTACATGGAGCCGCACGTGCACTGGGACCGTGCGGCGCCGCTGACGGTGGTGGATCAGCGCGCGACATAGATGTATCTACTAGTGTACGAAGGCAGGCGGCGCAGGCGGCGCCGGCCCACTGGTCCCACCGCGGATCCACGCGTGGTAGCAGTCAAAGTCGCAAGGTGAGCCGTCCGGTGCGGCAAATACCGCGCCTAGACACGGCTTGCGGCACCGCGTACAGACGAAGCACTCGCGGTGCCACACGGCGCGCAGCGCCTCGACATGCTCGTCGCCGACAGGCCGGTGGCACGCATGGCACTTTGGGCGGTGCAGGCGGTGGTGGCACGCCTCGCAGTACGCGTGGCGCCCATGCACGAAAAACGGCCGGCTGCCTTCCGAGAGGCTCGAGTCGTCGGCGTCCTTAGGATCGATGAATGGCTCGCCACAGCTCGCGCAGAAGAAGTGCAGCTCATGGTAGGCACGCGACTCACCAAAGGCATCCACTGTGACGAACCGCTCCTCGACGATGGGCGTCTTGCAGTGGAAGCAGCGGCGCGAGAAGAGCTCGTGAAAGTCCAGGTGGCAGTATGGCTGCCCGTCGTGCTCGTAGAACGAGACGTGCTCGAGCGGCGTCCCACAATGTGCACATGTAAAGCACCGTGCATGCCACTCGTGGCCCATCGCATGCACCATGGCGCCGCCGATCCAGCGTGAACACCGGTAGCAGGCAGCGGTGATGCCTTCCGACACGCGCGAGCCTTGCCACAGTTCGCGCTCCGCCGCCGATGAGCTCGACGCATGCTGAGGCGCCGGCGCCTCGTCACTCATGGCAATATTTGCGTCGGGATCCGAGGCCATCGGATCCATCATGTCGTCCGTCATTACTTCACCATCGATCATAATCACGGGAATCGATGGGCGGGTCTCGTGTGGTGCGCCGGGAGACGGCGAGCGCGCCAAGGGGGGTATCATGGAGTCGCTGTTCGTGCCCGCCGCTGCCGTCGGCCCTGGCGGCCCTGGCGGCGGGGGTGGCGACGGGAGCGGTGGACGTGGCGGGGGCGTCCCTGGAGGACCTTGAGCGCCCGTGCGCGAACTGTCAGGAGGTGCAGGTAAGCTGGGCTCAAAAGGTCGCGCCAGATCGAGCGCCGGTGCCCCCTCTGCCCGCGGTATCGGTACAGGGAGAGGCCGGGGATATGGACGAGGCCCATCGTCCAGGGACGCCACCGATGCCTCTGCGTCGTGCATGGCCTTTGAATCGTGCATGGCGTGGGCCCGAGGCGAGACGGGACGCAGGTCAGGGCCCGGACGGGGGCCAGGCGGAGGAGTGCGTGAATGTGGAATGGCCGGAAACCTGCGTCGGCGTGATGGTGAGCCTTGCCGCAGGATCTCCTCGGCCCGGGAACATACGGCAGCGGACGACAGGGGCGATGGGCCTGGCGTGGATGGTTTCGGCGGCACCGGCGGTGGGCTACTCGGCACGGCCATCTGTGCCCCGAAAGGCTGGATCTGAGCATTCTGAAACAAGTCAAACGCACTGGGCGACGCCATCAGCGGCCCTGACGGCCGTGGCAGGGGCCGCTGTGGCATGACGCCGTCACGGAGTGGAGCATGGGGCATGAACCCTGGCACCGCGCCATGCGCGCGACACATCACGTGCCATTTCGAAGACTGGCGGTGGCGACCGCCTTCTTGGTCTGCCATCATGTCCCTGTGCGGACGTGCTGCGATGCGCAGCGTGTCGCAGACGACACGCTCGTTTTCTACCACACAGTATGTGGGTGTGTCGCGCCGTGCGCGGCGCCAGATGCAGCAGCGCAAGAATGACGATCTGCGCCGCGCTGTGGCGCTGTACCACTTGACGCCCAGCTTCTATCCCACGTCGACGCAGGGCGATCACGATGCCGAGCTGGGCGAGGCCGTTGCCGAGAGCGTGCTCGGTCCATTCATGGGAGAGCGCACGGGTCGTCCGCACGTGCACTTTGCGACGACCGCCGAAATGCTGGCGCAACAGCGGCAGGCGCAGCAGTCCGGGCGGCGCAACACACTGGGCGAGCTGGATGTCTATGATTCGATGCCACTGCCAAATGCGCTCGTGGGCCAGGGCCCTGTGTCGGTGTCGCGAGGCGCGTCGGACGCTGCAAGCCTGCGGCGCCAGTTTGTCAAGGCGCCGAATGCCTACGCGACGCGCCGCGCGCGCGATACCGCAGGCCATGGCGATTTGTACGCCCAGGAAGAAATGTCCCTGCGCAGTGCGCAAGTACGGGATGCCCTGTTCGGTACGGTGGCAGGCGAGCTGCCGGGCCTGGAAATCGTGCGCGAGCGTGAGCGCGAGTGGAAGGCGAAGGAGCAGAACGAGTAGGTAGTAGCAAACCGGTGTCGCAACACGTAGGAGCGGCGGAGGTGGGGGACCTGTGGGGGGGACCGTATGCGTTTGGTACGTATACGACTTGTGGACACAGCTTTTCAACGCGCGCCAATGGTTTAGTGGTAAAATACAGCTTTGCCATACGGATTAGCTGTGCCGGGGGTTCGATTCCCCCTTGGCGCACACTTTTGCTGCACGTGAGCGCGTCGCGCTAGGGTCGGTCGTGCCTGCCCGCGCTCTTTTTACCGCGCGCACGATGAGCGCGAGTGCGGGCCCCATCCTGCCGGTGGTCCAGCTGGACATCCACTATGACCAGGAGCGCGAAAAGATCCAGGATTTTCTGGAGCATTTCAAGGCTGCAGCATCGGAGGTGCCGCCCCTGTCGGAGGTCGGTAGTGCGTCGCACGGTCCTGCCGAGGCGCCGGAACAGCGACTCGCTCAGGACCTAGGCGATGATTCCATGCACATTGACACGCCTGCGCAGGACGCGATGGTGAACAAGTACATGGTGCAGCTGCAGCGGATTGCCAACCGCGATCAAGAAATGCTCGTTATTGAGCTCGACGATATTGCGCAGTTCCGCTCCGCGAGCGGGCGCTTTGTCGGCGGCACTCTGGTCGCGTCGATCCAGGGAAACACGAAGCGCTACACGAATCTGTTTTGTGATGTCGTGGACAGCCTGCTTCCGCCGCCTGACCGCGACATTTCCGACAAGGACGACGTGCTGGACGTCATCCGACACCAGCGCATGGAGCGCAATGTGCAAAACGAGCAGGCCGAAGAAAACGCGGGCGAGGTCGCCGAGGTGTTTCCGCCGACGCTGCTGCGGCGCTACATGCTGTACTTCAAGCCGCCCGCGCGCAGCGCGGCCATGGCCGTGCGTGAGGTGCGCGGCGCGCACCTCGGTCGCCTGCTGACGCTGCGCGGGGTGGTGACGCGCATCTCTGATGTGAAGCCGTCGATCCTCGTGGATGCGTACGCGTGTGACGTGTGCGGTGCCGAGGTGTTCCAGGAGGTCACCGGGCGGCAGTACATGCCGCTCACCTTTTGCACGAGCCGCGTGTGCTCGACGAACAAGACGCGGGCGCCGCTCTACCCCCAGGTGCGCGCGAGCAAGTTTTTGGCGTACCAGGAGATCCGCATCCAGGAGATGACGGACCAGGTGCCCGTCGGCCACATTCCCCGCTCGATGAGCGTGCACTTGTACGGCCGCCTGACGCGCCAGGTGAGTCCTGGCGATGTGGTGCAGATCGGCGGTATCTTCCTGCCGCTGCCCTACACGGGCTTCCGGGGGATCCGCGCCGGACTGCTTACGGATACGTACCTGGAGGCCCAGCACATCCGCCAGCTCAAAAAGACGTACGAGACGATGGAGCTGACGCCGGAGATTGAGGAGGCACTGGCGTCGCTGCGTGCCGACCCGTTCCTGTACCACCGGCTGGCGACGAGCATCGCCCCTGAGATCTATGGGCACGAGGACGTGAAGAAAGTGCTGTTGCTCCTGCTGGTCGGTGGCTGCTCCAAGGCGATGGGCGATGGCCTCAAGATCCGCGGCGAGCTGAACGTGTGTCTGATGGGCGACCCTGGTGTGGCCAAGTCGCAGCTGCTCAAGTACATTGCCAAGGTCGCGCCGCGTGGTCTGTACACGACCGGCCGCGGGTCGTCCGGCGCGGGTCTGACCGCCGCCGTGCTGCGCGATCCCGTCACGGACGAGTTCGTGCTGGAAGGGGGCGCCCTTGTCCTGGCCGACCGCGGCATTGCGTGCATCGACGAGTTCGACAAGATGGAGGACGCCGACCGCACGGCGATTCACGAGGTCATGGAGCAGCAGACCATCTCCATCAGCAAGGCCGGCATCAACACGACGCTCAACGCCCGCACGTCGATTCTGGCCGCGGCGAACCCGCTGTATGGCCGGTACAACCCGCGCGTGTCGCCCGTGGACAACATCAACCTGCCTGCTGCGCTGCTGAGCCGCTTTGACATTCTCTACCTGATCCTCGACACGCCCTCGCGCGACAATGACGAGCGCCTGGCGCAGCACGTCACGTACGTGCACATGTACAGTGCGCCGCCTGCGCATGCGCAGGAGGCGATCCCGCCCAACCTGCTGCGCCACTTTATCGCGGCGGCGCGGCAGTGCCGCCCCACGATCCCGCGCAGCGTGTCGGAGCACATGGTCCATGCGTACGTGCAGATGCGCGCGCAGCACAAGCAGGACGAGGAGCGCGACGAGGCATTTACGCACACGTCCGCACGTACGCTGCTGGGCATCGTGCGTCTTTCGCAGGCACTCGCGCGCCTGCGCTTTGCCGACGAGGTCGAGACGTCCGACGTGGAAGAGGCGCTGCGCCTGATCGACGTCAGCAAAGCGTCGCTGTACCACTCGTCGCGGCCACGCGGCGACACGGGCGACGACCAGAGCCCCGTCTCCAAGATCTTCCGCCTGCTGCGGGAGATGGCGTTCCAGGCCGGCCAGGAGGAGGCGGAGCAGCGCGGCCCGCCGCGCCTCGGCGAGCTGTCGCTCCCGGACGTGCGCGCGCGCGTGCTCGCAGCCGGCTGGGTCGAGGCGCAGCTGCAAGAGACGCTCTTCGAGTATGCGTCGCTCGGCGTCCTGCAGGTCGTCGGACAGCGCATCGTGTTCCTGTAGCTACGTATGGTACGGCGCCATGGCTTGCACGATACGGCGCAGCGCCGTGCTCACTTCGTAGTCCACGCACGCATACGCCTCCCATGCGCGCTGCATCTCGTGCTGGAATGGCGCAAGCGACGGCGGAAACGTGGCCGCGTTCGCGTCGGCACCCGCGGCCGCGAGCGCCCGACGCACCAGCTGCGCCTCGCGCACCAAGTGCGTGTCGGCCTCGACGGCCATGTCCTCGGCGCGACGGCGCACCGCCATCAGACGCTCATGCGCTTGCGCGAGCGCCGGGACGAGCGCCGGCACATGCGGCTGCACACTCCCATACTTGTCCTCGGCCAGCGAGGCGAGCACGAGGTGCTGCAGCACCTGCGCTGCCCAGCACGCGCGCGCGCGGTCGTCCAGGAGGTGCGCATCGAGCCACAGCGCAGGGGCCGGCGCCACCAATGCCGAATAGAGCGTCTGGGGAAAAAGGACATGCTGCGCCTCGGACGGCATGCGCGCCCACAGCGACGACACGACGTACCCGAGCGTGCGCCACAGCGCCGAAGCGCGGGAAAGCGCAGCCGGCGTCGGGGCCGTGGGCGGCGCCGCCGGCGCCGCACCCGCCTCGGCCGGCGCGGCGAGGCGGTGCCACNGGCCATAGGGCGTCCATGCTGCTGCTGCACGTCCTCAAAGAGGGCGTGGCGGCGCGCCGGCTCGGACTGCGCCCAGTGGGCGAGCTCAGCGAGGGCATGTGCGGAGAAAAAGGGGTGCGGGTCGTGCAGGCCGCCCAGCAGCGCCGTGAGCGGATCGTTGAGGCGGGGCGGAATCGCGCACAGGGGCTGCGTCCAGTACACGTCGAAGAGGGTGTGTGTGGCTTCGAAGAGCACGAGGAGGAATGTGATGACGGGCAGGGCATGGAGGCCCAGGGCGCCAGGGGCGTACGGCACGCGGAACGACGGCACGAGGAAACGCCGCACGCTCGTTTCCACGCCGACGACGCGGAGGACGGCGGCCCACCAGGTGTCGCGGGCGAGCGAGTACGCCAGGAGCAGGAGCGGCACAGCCACGAGCAGCATCAGCGCGCGCAGAACGTGGCGCGGCAGGGCGCCGAGGCAGCGCGTGCGCAGCGAGGTGCCGAGCGCCGTGGGCGAGAACGGCGGCACGCCGCGGCGTCCGCCGGGCACAAGCAGCATGTAGGCGACCGCATAGGCAGCGCCGACGGTGGTGCCGAGACTGACGGCGCTGAGGAACGCCTCGTTCACATAGTACGCGTGGTGAGCATCGATGTAGCGCATGGGCGAGAGGGGCGCGCTCCAGCCGCGCAGGCATACCTGGAGCACGGCGCACTGCATGGCCACAAGAGCGCCGCACGCGGCATGGAGCGCCACCGCATGCCATGCGTCGTCGGCACGCAGGAGGTGGGCCACGAGCGAGGCGCGCGAGACGCAGGGCAGCGTGCGCGGTGGGACCGCACGGATGAGATGCGTGCGGCGGAAGAGCAGGAGCGGGACGACGGTCGTGGCCAGGACCGCCACGCTGCTCAGCACGACGAACGAGCGCAGGGGCGCCGCGGGCGCGAGCGTCGCGACGAGCGCGGCGTATGTGATGATCCAGGCCAGCACGTAAATGCGCTTCTGCCGTGGGCGCATGGCCTCCTTGACAAGCGCGCGGTACGTCGCCGCCGGCGAGCCGGGCGGCGGGGCGCGCGTGCGAGCGTCCATGGCGAGCGGCCACGGCGGGGCGCGTCGTGGCGGCAGGCCCTGGGTGTCACGTGCGGACGAAGAAGACCGGCGGGGCTCGTCGCGACGGCCTGGCTCTGACCATGTTGCGCACCGGACTCTGCCGCACGTCTGTGGCGCTGCCGCGCCTTGGAGGTGCGCGGCTGCTGCACCAGCTGCCTCCGATGCCTGCTGCGATTGCTGAGGGCTGCGAGCCGTTCCTGTCGAAGCGGACGACGAGCCTGCTGTGGACGCAGTGGCAGGCGGGGCTGCTGCAGCGTCTGAACGAGGAGGTGAAGGGTGCGTAGTGCGTGCTGACCCCAGGCACGCCGCATGCGACGGAATCGGTGGTCGAGACGGTGATGAGCACAGCGCGCGACCGGCAGAAGATCCTCATGTTCAACTACGCGTCGCTGGCGCTCAACACGAGCTTTTTCCTCGCGGGCCTCAAGCCGCACGACGCGCAGGCGTCGCGCGCGTACCCGCAGCCGTCCACGCACATGGGCGCGGTGCCGACGTTCTACGGCAAGACGCTCGCGACGGCGATTGCCGACCAGTTTGGGTCCCTGCCGCAGTTCAAGCTCGCCGTGTCGGCGGCGGCCATGGGCATGGTGTCGAGCGGCTGGGTGTGGGTCGTCAAGGACGAGCACGGCCGCCTCGGCGTTGTGCCGACGTACGGCGCCGGCACGGTGCTCGTGCAGCAGCGCCGCCAGAGCGGCCCGAGCGACCTCGTGACCGCCGTGCAGGACGGGCAGGGCGGCGCGGCGCCGGACGCCGCCGAGGCGCCCGCGCCGGCCCCCGCGCCGNGGCCCAGAGCTCGGCGGCTGGCGCCATCGGCCACCATCTATACCCCTTGTTCTGCGTCAGCGTGTTTGAGCATGCCTGGCTCGGCGACTATGGGTTCTGGGGCAAGGAGCGCTACCTGACGCACTTCTGGGACTGCCTCGACTGGGAACGCGTCGAGCGCCTGTGGGGCGACCAGCGCGCCTAAGTAGTCTCGTAGCCGCGCGCCGTGGCCCTCGCCGCGGTCGAGCGCCGTGGAGGCATATTTCCTCGGCTCACACAGCCGCCGAGCCTGCACGGACGCCACGACGCTGCAGCCGATGTACGTGCCCAAGCGCTCCGAGTCGGCCATGCAGCGTACGGGACGTGCGCAGTCGCTGCGTATTCACACGTCGCAGGTGCGCCGCAGCATGTCCCACGATAGCGAAGCGGCGCCCCTCTCGTCGTCGGTGCAGTACGTTGCCACTGCTCACACCAGACTCACGTCGGCGTCGATGCACGCGCACAGCCGGCCCAGCTCGCGCGTGGCGTCACCGCAGAGCGCGCAGGGCCCGCCATGGAGTCCGCCGCTGCGGCCCCGCAGCATGAGCCGCAACGCCGCCTACGCGGCGCAGTCGCTCGTGGGCGCCCTGGCCCGCTCCTTCTCGCCCGGCGCGCCGCACGAGTCGGTGACGTTGTTCTTTGATGCGCCTGCGTCCATGTCGCCCCTGCCTATGCGTGATGACGAGGCGCGGCGTGCCAGCTCGCCGCCGCCGAGCAGCGCGGGTCCGTCGGCGCATGCCGAGTTGTTCATCCCGATGGAGCAGCTGGTCGCGCCGCAGGCGCGGCACGGCGCCGTATACCTGCGCGATGCGCGCGCTCGTCGACGGCGGCGCAGCAAGCCGCCGCGCGTGTCGCCGGTGCAGGCGCTTGTGTCGTCCGTGCGCCGCCTGATGGCGATGCTGGCGCTCCTCGCGCGCCCGCGCGAGCTGGTGGCGCAGGTGCATGCTGCGCTCGCGTCCCAAGTGCACGCGTGGGACGAGGCCTTCCGCGATCCCGCGACGCGCCAGCGGTGCTGGTGGCCCGAGTGGATCGCGGCGTATGTGCCGCTGCTGGTGTGGGTGGGCGTCAGTGTGCTGAGCACGACGCTGGTCATGCTCTTCCACACGCAGGTGTTCCATGGGCTGCATGCGCTCTCGCTGCATCTCCGCTCGCTCGGGCTGCTCGGGCGCGTGCTGTTCGGCCTCATGGTGTTCGCGACGACGTTCCCGCCCCTGCCACTGTACTCGACGCTGATCGTGCTGTCGGGCTTTGCGTTTGGCGCGTGGCAGGGCTTTGTGGTGAGCTACATCGCGGCGCTGTCGGGCGCAGCGATGGTGTTTGTGCTGAGCCGCACCTGGCTGCGGCCCTGGATGGTGCGCCTGCTGATGCACGCAGGGCCGCTGAAGCGCGTCGTACGTGCGATTGAGCGGCAGCCGCGCCTGCTGTTCCTCGTGCGCCTCGCGCCGTATCCCTACAACCTGCTCAACACGCTGCTGGCCAGCTCGCATGTGCTCACGCTCCGCACCTACCTCGTGTGCACGGCCATGGCGCTGCCGAAGCTGCTCGTGCACACGAACCTTGGCGCGTCGATCCAAAACTTTGCCACCTATCAGGCGTCGTCCACGCACAACGACTCGTCGCGCGCCGACCAGCTTCGGCAGCTCGCGGGCGGCGCGGGGCTCGTGCTGTGCGTGGCCCTCCTTCTGTATTTGTACTCGGTCGCCCGCGACGCGGTCGACAGCCTGGACGACGAGAGCGACGACATACTTGACGACGACGTGGACAGCGCGCCGCTGCGGCACTCAGCGTGCTCGCCCCTGGGGTCCGCGCCGCTGCGGCGCGGCACGCCCCTCGAGGCGCGCGGCGAGCCCTGGCTATGGCGCGAGTCGCCCCTCCCGAGCGAGGCGCCCCTCCTCCCGGGCGCGGTGGCGGACCTCGAACGCGCGGCAGAAGATCACATGAACTAGCTAGGCATGTAGGTAGACGACTATCTATGAGCCTTCATCGACGTGTCTGAGGCTGATAGCGAATGAATACCGTTGCTATTCGCCAGGCAAGCACTACCAAGCCTGATACCGCATGTATGCCGTCACCTGCATGGGCGAGCAGGCACGGGATAAGGGAGCGGGCGAGTCTGACACCGTGTGCGTAAAAGCGCTTGCTGGCTACCTCCTACACATGGAAGAAAAAAGCCAAGGGGCGCCCGCGGCTGCCCTCCACCTACGATGGCGCCGCGCCCCGAATACATTGTCGAGCACATGGAGGAGGACGAGCCGGGGGCCCCCGCGCACTTTGCGCCGTGGGCCCTGCTCGAGTACCGCCACATGCTGTACCATGTGGGTGAGGGCACGACCGTGCACTTTACGTCGCTCTCGCAGGCGTCGCTCGAGGCGCTGAAGGAGGCGTTCGAGCAGCCGCTGCCGCCGCTCACGCGCCCGGCCCGGTTCGAGCTGCATGCGCAGTCGGTCACGACGCTCGCGCGCGAGCGCGGCTGGGCGATGGAGCGCATCTGCCTACTTGACCCCAAGGCGCCGCTGCCGCTCTCGGTGTGTGATGCAGGCATCCACACGTCGTCGGCGGGTGCGGCGCACGGCGACGCTCCGTTCACGCACTTCCTCTTTGGCGGCATCCTCGGCGACGACCCGCCGCGCGACCGCACGGCCTCGCTGCGTGAGCTGGGCTTCCCGGGCCGCCACCTCGGCAGCGTGCAGATGTCGACCGACACGGCGCTCGGCGTCACGAAGCGCGTCGTCGAAGACGGGCTGCGCCTCGGCCTCGCTGAGCTCGACGGCGCGCGTGGCGCAGACACGGCGCAGGACGGCACAGGCGCGCTCCGCTTCGTCGACAGCCCCACGCTGCAGTTTTCGCGCAGCGAGTCGGTACGTCGACCAGCTGACCCAGGTGGAACTGCCGTATCGCTACCTGGCGCAGGACGCCGCGACGCCGCTCATGGCGCCGGGCATGCGCACGATCATCTACCGCGACTTTGACCGCGCGTTTGAATTTTAGAACCTACGCAGGCGGCTTGAGCAGGAACTCGACGCCCTGCGTCTGCAGCTTGCGCTGGAACTGCTCGAGCCACCGCTGCAGGAGCGGGACGGCCTGCGGCGCCGAGTCAGGCGCAAACGACGATAGGTACGAAAACACCTGCTGGGCTGCCGGTTAGTCGCTCGACGTACCGATAGGCGCCGCGAGCTGCGCCGCCTGCTGCACGAGCGTGTCGGGCTGCGTGCGCGCCGCAAGCGCAAGCGCCTGCGGCGGCTCAGCCTGCGCGCTCTTGCCGATCGCCTGCATCTCGCGCTCAATGACGTCGAGCGGCTCGATGCTCAGGCCGAGCGTCGCGGTCTGCGGGCCCGGCGCGGGCGCCTCGCGCCTCGCGTCGCGCAGGCGGAAGATCGCCGAGGGCTTCGTGTTGAGCAAGCTGCGTCAGTCGCTGTACGCACCACCCTAGCAGCTGCCACTGTGGCGCGGCGCCGTCGCCGCGTGGCCACATGAGGTGCACGGTGGCACCGTACCCCTCCGGGAACGCCTGCTCGCCCGTCATAAACACGACAATGTGCTGGATCTGCTCAGCCGCCTCAAGGAGAAACACGGCATGCGTCGCGTCGACCTGCTGCGGCGGCGGCAGGGGGAGCCGCCCCGCGACCACACACGAAAACATAGCGACACGCCGCCGCCGCCGCCGCTTCCTCCACATCCCGACATGCGATGCCTCGTGCGGAGCAGCGTGAACATTGACGAGACGTTCCAGGGTGCGTCGCTCCCACTCACACAGTCCCGCACATTGTGCGCCCAGGCGAGACGATCTCGTCGTCGCACATGTGGTCGCGGCCCGGCGGCAAAGGCGCAAACGTCGCGGCGGCGCTGGGCCTCGCGGGCGTGGACGTGACGATGCTCGGCGCCGTGGGGCACGACGCGACGTGGCCGCTCGACGAGCTCGCGAAGCGCCACGTCGACGTGTCGAGCGTGCACGTCTCGAGCGAGGTGCCGACGGGCCGTGCGTTTATCCAGATCGCCGCGGACGACGGCGAGAACTCGATCGTGCTACTCAAGGGCGCGAACTTTGCGCCGAACGAGCGCATGGACGACCCGGCGGCGTGGCTCGGCGCGGACGTGTCGCATCTCGTGCTGCAGAACGAGATCCCGCTCGCGACGACCGAGGCCTTTGTGCGCTACGCACGCACGCGCCCCGGCATCACGACCGTGTTCAACCCCAGCCCCATGCTCACGGCCGACGAGCTGCGCGCGTTCCCGTGGGACGGCATCGACGTGCTCATCGTGAATGAGGGCGAGGCGGCGGACATGCACGAGGCGCTCACCGGCCGCGCGGCTCGCGCGCACCCTGCGCAGGCGCTCGCGCAGGTCCCCGCGTTCGCGTCGATGGCATGGATCATCGTCACGCGCGGCCGCCACGGCTCGAGCGCGGGCGTCCAGATCGACGGCGAGCGCGTATGGATCGATATCCCGGCGGCCTCGACGACGAAGGTCGTCAACACGACGGGCGCCGGCGACACGTTTACGGGCTACCTAGTGTCGGGCCTCATGCGCCTCGGCGAGCTCTCGCGCGAGAGCGTGCATGCGGTGCTGACACGTGCGTCCGTCGCTGCCGCCATGGCCGTAGAAGTCGAGGGCGCGATGGAGAGCATCCCCCCCGCCGAGGCGGTCGCGCGCCGTCTCGCTCCGTAGGCGCACGGGTCTGGCAGGTGGAGGCGCGCGTCGCGCTCCACCGCGCCACGATGGAAGAGGCAGCGATCGCGTCGGGCGCACCCACGTCGTCCGCCCGGTACGTGCGAGGGACGGTGTCGCCGCGCCGTGCGTCGCGCTTCTTCTTGCCGCGCGACTTGAATGTACCACTGGATGCGCCGCCATCGCCGACGCGCACGGGCAAGGCGGCGCGAGGCGCCGAGCGGACGCCGCTCGCGCTGCGTCGGCGCTCCGCCGTGGGCCGGCAGGCGCTGCATGCGTCGGCGCGGCGCCGCCTGCCGTACGAGCTCGCATCGCATGCGTACCTCGCTTCGTTCCACACGGACGCGGACGCGCCGTACCAGCTCGACTCGGGCTGTATACCCCATGGCTATGCGGCGCCCCTCAGCGCGTCGTACATGCACCGCGCGTGCGCGGCGCCCGGCGTGCCGCAGCTGCTCGCTGTCGGCGACGACGAGGGCCGCGTGCACCTGCTCGACACGCTCGTCGCCCCCGCGGCGTGGGAGCCGCGCGCGCTGCGGCACAGCACGCAGCCGCTCATCGATGGCTCGCTCTTTGCGATGGCGTGGCGCCCTGACGACGCGGCGCTCGCGCTCGGCGGGAGCGACTACTCGGTGTCCGTGTGGGACGTGGAGCGGGAGCAGTGCCTCGCCACGTACGATGCGCACCGCGGGAGCCCGCGCGCCCTCGCGTGGGACCCGGCGGGTGGTGGGCAGGTGCTGTGCAGCGGCGCGCGCGACGGCGCCGTGTACGTGTGGGATGTGCGGCAGGCGTCGCCGGCGATGCACCTGCCCGAGGCGCACCGCGCGCGCCGCGCGCGGCGCCGCGCGCCGGCGCACGACGCCGTGACGTCGGTGGCGTACCTGCCGTCCGGCCTGCTGGCCACGGCGGGGAGCAGCACAGCGGCGGTGCGTGTGTGGGAGCCGCGCATGGCGCGGGCCGTGCAGGGGAGCGCCGACCTCTCGCGCGAGATGCCGTGGAACACGCGGCCGCACGGCGTCTCGTCGCTGGCCGTCGCTGCGTCGCGCGGCCGCATGTACGCGGCGTGCACGGACGGGTGCATATACGTGCTGGACACGTCGGACGTGGCGCGCGCTCTTCCGCCCGGCGAGGCGCGCGCCTTGTGGGCGCCTGCCCAGCGGCACAATACGCTGTATGCGCGCCTGGCGCTGTACGAGGACCGGCTTCTCGCGCTGGGATGCAATTCGGGCGACGTGGTGCTATGGGACACGCAAGCGGCGCATGCGCCCGCCGCGGGCCGCGAGGGCGCCGTGGGCGGGGGGCATGTGGTGCCACGGGCCCACGAGGCGCAGTACGTATGTGCACGACTCACGCAGTGCGGAGGTGAACGCGGTGGCATGGAGCCGCGGGCCGCGGGGGCCGACGCTGGCGTCCGCGAGCGACGACGGGACCCTTCGGACGTGGCGGGCGGCCTAGGCCTGGAAGCCGTCGCGCTCGATGATCTCCTTGGTGCGCGCGACGAGCGCGGCGAGCTTGTCGGGCCCCTGCGCGGCGTCGACGTGCGTTACGCGGCGCGGCTTGTCGAGGAGCCCGTGCATTTCCTTGGGCAGCACGCGCGAGTGGAAGAAGGCCGCGGCCTCCTGCTCACTGGACGCAGGCGCGATGGACGAGACGACCGCGTCGGAGAACTTGGCGGGGTGCGCCGTCGAGAGGATGATCTGCGGGTGGCCCGTGGCGACGCGGTTCGCGGCCTCGAAGGCGACGGCCGTGTGCGGGTCCATGAGGTACGCCGCGCGGTCGCTGGTGCCGCTGTAGTAGCGCAGGATCGTAGCGCGCGTCTCGTCGTCCGACACACGCTCGGCGCGGAAGTCGCGGCATGCGATCGCATGCTGTGCCTCGCTCACGGCGATGGCGCCGGTCGACGCGAGCTGCTGCATCCATGCGGCGACCTGGCTGCCGGCGTCGGCGGCCCTGTCGGGGCCTGGCGCGGTCTCGTACGCGAGGTACCAGAGGAGGCGCTCGAAGTTGGACGACACCTGGATGTCCATCGCGGGGCTGAGCGTCGCGCGCACGTCGCTCGCTGTCGGGTCCTTCTCGTAGCGGCCTGTTGCCCAGAAGCGCTGGAGGATGTCGTTCTCGTTCGTGGCCACGACGAGGCGCTCCATCGGGAGGCCGAGGCGCTTGGCGTAGTAGCCCGCGAGCACGTCGCCAAAGTTGCCGGTGGGCACGACGATCTGCACGCGCGAGGCGTCGACGTGGGGGTGTGCGCGGCGCAGCGCAAAGTACGCCGCAAAGTAGTAGACGATCTGCGAGAGGATGCGCGCCCAGTTTATGCTGTTGATGGCGCCGAGGTGGTGCGCGTCGTTGAAGGCCTTGTCGGAGAAGAGCGCCTTGACGATGGCCTGGCAGTCGTCAAAGGTGCCGGGGACCGCGAGGTTGTGCACGTTGTCGTCGAGCACAGTCGTCATCTGCGCCTCCTGGATCGGCGACACGCGGCCCTGGGGGTGCAGGATAAAGACGTGGATGTTGGCCTTGGCGCGCAGGCCCGCGATGGCGGCGCTGCCCGTGTCGCCGCTCGTGGCGCCGACGACCGTGAGCGTGTGCGGCGCGCCGCTGCTCCGCGCGTTGCGGCGCGTGAGGAAGTACTCGAACAGGTGGCCAAGCAGCTGAAGCGCCACGTCCTTGAACGCAAACGTCGGGCCGTGCCACAGCTCGAGGCACCACTCGTGCTCGGACACGCGGTGCAGCGGCGTCACCTCCTCGTGGCGGAAGGACGCGTACGACTTGTGGATCAGCGCACGCAGGTCCTCGGGCGGAATACCGCCCTCCGCCTCGGTCGGCGGCACAAACAGCGAGAGCAGCTGGAACGAGAGCTCCGTGAACGGGGCGTCCTGCCAGGCCGTCGCCCAGTCGGCCGGGAGCGCCGGGATCGACTCGGGCACATACAGACCCCCATTCGGGGCCAGGCCCTGCAGCACAGCCTCCTCGAGCGTGAGCCGCTCAGCGCCGCCGCGCGTGCTCAAGTACTTCATCGCCGGTCCGCCGGCGGCGCGCCGGCGTACGACCCGTCGAGTCACGTGGAAAGCCGCCAGAGCCGCGCGCCGCGGCCCGGCTTGGCATGGCCGACGGACGTGCGCGGCCGCTGGTGTGTGGGGGCGACGAGCCGGCGCCCCCGTTCCCTACGTTTCTGTGTGGAATCGTCGAGCATGGCTTCGGGCGCGGCAGCAAGCAGCTGAACTGCGCGACGGCGAACCTGCCGACGTCGGCCCTCGAGGCGGCGCCGGCGGGCCACCGCCTGACCGACACGGGCGTGTACTTTGGGTGGGCGCAGGTGCGCGTGCGCGGCGATGCGTCGTTCCATGCCGAGGACAGCGCCGTGCACCCCATGGTCATGAGCATCGGATGGAACCCGCAGTTTGAGAACCCGACGCAGTCCGTCGAGGTGCACATCCTGCACGACTTTGCGCACGACTTTTACGGGCGCGAGATGCGCGTGTGCGTGCTGGGGTACATCCGTCCGGAGCGCAAGTACGAGAGCCTCGGTACGTGTGCATGCCTTACACAGACGCCCTCATGCAGGACATTGAGACGGACAAGCAGGTTGGGCAGCGGTCCGTCGCGCGCCCCGCGTACGAGGCGCTGCGGCACGCGCCCGAGTTTGCCATCACATAGGTATCTAGCAGCTCCTACTCTATCCAAGCGACACGTCCGTCACTTGCTCGTCCGCATCACGCACCAGGTCCGTGTACGTCATCCACGAGAGGCGCTTGCGCTCGCCGGACCCGGCGGCCGAGGACAGGCTCGCATCGGGCTGCACCTGCAAGAGCGGCGGCGCGGGCATCTCGGACGAGTCGGCGCTGCGTGGGCGCCGCGCCTGCCATGCTCGCCGGCCCGGCGCGCCCGCGCGCGCGGAGCGCGCGCTCAGAAAGGAGTGCGAGCGCTCCACGCCGGCAGGCGTCAGGGTCGAACCTGGCTGCGGCAAGTCGAGCAGCGTGTAGCGGAACTTGCCCGAGGCGCGCGCGTCGTCGGCGGACGGCGGCAGCGAAAAGTAGCTCGTCGACGCAGGCATCGAGCCCGCCGACTCGATCGGAGACGGCGACGCCACCGGCGCCGGCGAGGCCTGCGACGCGGGATGCACAATCACGTCCGCAAGGCCATCGAGGCTGTGCGCAACCATGGCCGCCTGCCCCTCGGGGATGACGGCCCCGTCAATGCTCAGACTCGGGCTCATGGACGGCGCCATCGAATCAGCGCGCGACCCCGGCGTCGTAGGCATCAGCAGCGTCGAGCGCCGCGAGCCCGCATGGGAGAACGCGCTGGGACTCGGCGGCATGCCCGGGAGGCTCGCCGCGACATGGGACTGCTCCGACAGCAGGCGGCGGTGGCCGCCCGGGCGCGGGGCGCGCGGCTGCCAGCTGTCGTGAGAGACGCCCCGAATGAGCGGCTCGCCGCCCAGCCGCCGCCGCGCGCGCATATCGGGCGACGCGAGCGGCGACGACGAGTGCGATCCGTCGCGCGGCGCCACGATTTCGAGGTCCGTGTCGCCGACGATCGCGTCGGCCGCGCCGTCCAGCACCGTCGGCACGGACGTATCGATGGCCTCCTGGGGCGTGCGCATGTGTGGGCTGCCGCACAGCTCGATATCACGCTCAAATATGCTCGGCTCGGGCGACCGTGGCGCGTTGCGGTGCCGCATCAGTGGCGAGAGCAGCGCCTGCGAGGGCGAGCGCGGACTCGAGAGGGGCCGCCGCAGCCCATTGTCCGCCTGCGCCGCAGGCACGGGCGACGTGGGCGCGCGCCCACGCGGCCCACTGCCCTCATCCGTGCGGCCGCTGAGGGTACGCGACATGGAGCTCGGCACGGGGCTCCAGGCGGGCGCTAGCGGTGGCGCGTAGAGATGGACAAGCTGCGATGCCTGCGCCGGGTCGTCAGGCAGCTCGTTCGCAAGCGGCAGAGGGGACGTCGTAGGAGCCGACGTCCCGAGCGGCGACGCGGCACCAGCGTGCGGCGATGGCGACGGCACGGGCCCCGGCCCCAGCCGCATGGGACTGAGTGGGATCCGGCCCGGCGCATGCAAGCGGAAAGACCCACCCTCGCCGCTCCTTGACGGCTTGGATGAGCTGTCGTTAGCCATGGAGAGCGATCCCCCCGGCGCTGTTGACACGGGAGGCGCTGGTGCGACCATGTTCGTCACGTCGGGCGAGCGAAACGGCCAGCGTGCCACCCGCGCTCGGCGTACCGACGCGCAGCTCGGCGCACAGCCTTTCCAGTAAATGCTGACTAAACACAACAGGCGCGGTGCATGGATCTCCGGGGCTCGAGTTCATGCCTCCAGCGTGCAGCGCGAGCGCGGCCCTGGTGAGGAGTGTCGCGTTGCACACATGCGGCGCCGCGTAGGCGATGAAGAGCGTGCGGCAGGACGTGAGCGCCGCCGTAGCTTTGCACTGCGCGCACAGTCCAAGGTCTGCCGCGTCCACGCGACTCCACGCCCCCACCAACCCGCTGCGACTCCCGCGCAGGGTCACTTGGACGACACGCGACGGCCTCGGCAGCGCGGGCGCGAGTCCTCGCGGCCCTTGGGCGCTCGCCCAGGTCAGGTCCTGGCGCGCGTTTGATCACGTGATGTGTCTTCGCGCTGCGCAGGGCGTCTCTCGACGCCCCCGCCACTTCGCGCAGTTTGAACCCCACAATGACTGCGCCCACACGCCTGTACGTCGGCCGCCTGGCCCCCAGCACAACACGCGACGATGTTTCGGACCTATTCAAGAATGTCGGAGTATGTATGTGCGTGACTGACCGCGCTAGCGCCTCGTGGATGTGCGCGTCCTGAACGGCTTTGGCTTTGTCGAGTTTGAGGACTCGCGCGATGCCGACTATGCCGTGCGCGTACGTACCGAAAATCTCACTCCAGGACTATGACGGCACCATGTTCATGGGCGACCGCATCATTGTGCAGCCGGCCAAGCAGCCTGCGCGTCGCGACCGCGACCGCGATGGGTACGGCCGCGGCCGCGACCGCGACGGGTACGGGCCGCCGCGCGACCGCTACCGCGATGAGCCTCCGCGCGACCGCTACCGCGACGAGCGCCGCCGCGGCCCGCGTCGTGGCCAGTACCGGATCATTGTGTTCAACCTGCCGCCCGGCACGAGCTGGCAGGACCTGAAGGATGTCGGGCGCGAGCACGGCCATGTGACGTTCTCGGACATCAACCCGTACCGGTCGGACGAGGGCGCCCTGGAGTTCGAGACGCGTGAGGACTACGAACGTGCGCTGGCACGCATTGAAGGCACCGAGCTGCGTGGCAACCGCCTCCGGGCCGAGCCCGACGGTGAGCTGCCGCCGCCCGAGCCGTCCTCGTACGACCGCCGCGACCGCAGCCCTGAGGCGCGCGACCGCGACTCGTACGCGCGCGACCGCTACCGCGACGAGCGCCCGCCGCCGCCGATGCGCGGTGACGACCGCTACGAGGACGAGCGCCCTCCGCCGCCGATGCGCGGTGACGACCGCTACGAGGACGAGCCGCGCCGCGACGAGCCTCCGGCGCAAGAGCCGGAGCGCGAGCCTGCGCAGGAGCCTGCGCCGGAGCCCGCGCAGGAGCCCGAGTCTGCACCGGCGCAAGAGCCCGCGCCGGCGGACGCGGCCTAAATGGGCCCCTATAGTCTCTGTATGGCTGGACTGTCCCTCCACGGCGCCGCGGGCCGCCGCCCAGCCGCGGCACGATCACGTGCCGTGACGCGCGATGCTGGCGCAGGGCACGTCGAGCGAGCGCCAGGGGCTGATCGATCCCCCCATGTCCCGGGCGAGTGGGTCGTACGTGGGCGGCGCCGATCCCAATGCGACGGCGATGGCAGGGCCGGCGGGCGTGTCGGCATCGGGGCCTGGGGCAGCCGGTGGCAGCGCCATGTGGGTCCTAGGCTCGAGTGCGGCGCCTGTGCGGCCACAGACCCGCATTGCGCCGGGCCAGGCGAAGCACTCGACGTATGCGAGTCGCATGCGTGCGGGCACGACGACGCTCATGCAGCCGATCTGGCGCGGCTCGCATGAGACAGAGGACCCGCTCTCGACGCGTGGTGGGCGGCATGCCGTGTACTATGGCGAGGACGCCTCGGACGACGACGATATCGAGGTCGACGATGATGACGACGACGATTTTGAATCGCCAGACGACGAGTACGGCTCGCAGACAAGCAGCAAGCGCCGGCGCAGCCACCTGGAAGACCGCGCGTCGAATAGCCCCGCCACCCGGCCCGGCCCGAGCGACGTGGAAGCAGAGGCCGAGTGGGCGGCGCCCGGTAGCCAGCTGGGCCTGCCCGTGCCAAGCAGGCGTCTAGTGGTGCGCCCAGCGAGGCCTGTGCATCCCCCCTACTTTTCCGACGAGCAGCTGGCGCAGCAGGGCGAGGCCCCCGAGGTGCTCGTGCCGATCCGCATCGAGTTCCACACGGACACGCACCGGATCAAGGATGTCTTTCTGTGGAACATCAATGAGCGGCTTATTACGCCGTACCAGTTTGCGCAAATGTTTCTGCAGGACCTGGACCTGCCGATCACGCCGCATGCCTTGCAGATTGAGAACGCGATCATCCAGCAGCTGGCGGACGCCTCGGCCGTGCTGGACAGCGAAGACACGCTGACCCGCATCGTGGACCTCAAGACAGGTGCGCGCGAGCGCAAGCGCCTCGAGGCCGAGGCTGAGGCGCAGCGGCGGCGCCTCGCAGCGACCCAGGCGGCCAGTGCGGACGGATCGTCGTCGCTCTTAGCGCCGCGCAAGCGCGGCCGGCCGCGGAAATACCCGCAGTCCGAGCCCAACGAGGGGTCGCCCACGGTCGAGGCGCCGTTCCCGCTCGCGCCCAGCACGGTGCCCGGCAGCGCACCGTCGGGCGGCGGGCCCGCAGCCGCGCCGCAGGACGAAGACCCGAAGACGGCTGAGAAGGCGCGCATCCACGACATGCTGGTCAGCGTAGATGCCGAGGACGACCTGCGTGTGATTGTCGAGTACAAGGTGCAGATCGCGCGGCACATGCTGCGCGACCGGCTGGAGTGGGACCTGAGCTCCGAGTGGACGCCCGAGGCGTTCGCGCGGACCCTCACGCGCGACTTGGGTCTGCCGCCGGAGGGCCGTGGCATCATTGCACATGCGGTGCACGAGCAGCTGATGCACCACCGGCGCGCCGCGACGGAGCTGGGCCTATTTGGCAGTGGCAAGATATACCGGTGCACGATGGACGAGCTCGAGCAGATTGAGCGGGCTGAGCAGGCGCAGCTAGCCGAGAGTGCTGCGGCCGAGGCACGCAGTGGCGACGCGGACGGCGGCGCGGCGGCGCACCGGCACGCGATGGCCGCGGCGTCGAGTGCGCTGGACGCCCTGGACGAGTACGCGGTGGGTATGCGCGACGAGGTCGGGCCGCCCAATACGCGCAGCCGGCGCATGGCTGCGGGCGCGCAGGGGGCGGCGGACTCGGCGGGTTCGATGCCGTTCCTCCTCCCGGACGAGTCGCTGCCGCTGCCTGTGCGGCGGCAGCAGGCGCTTGCGACGCTACGGGATCTTTTGTCTATCGGGCCACGACCGCTCGAGGGCGCGTGGCGCGACTTTGGCGATGTCGCTGACTTTGGGCCGCTGCTCGAGTACCTGAGCGATGCGGAGCTCGAGAAGATGGAGGAGGCGGACCTCCGGGCGAGTCGGTACGTACACCTTCCTCACCGCAGGCGCAACCGCCGCGAGGCGCAGCGCACGGGGCGCACGCGCCGAGGGTGACAAATGGTCACGTGAATTATAGCTATGGAAGTTCTGTGCATCACGTGTAGACTAGCCGCCTTCTTGTAGCGCCGGCGTCTGCGAACCTCTGTCCTCCTTGTCCACGATGGGTGCGTAGTGCTCGACGCTGACCGGCAGCTGTTGGCAAGAACAAGAAGCTCTCCAAGGGTAAGGGTAATAAGAAGCGTGTGGTCGACCCCTTCACCCGCAAGGAGTGGTACGACATCAAGGCGCCTGTGTTCTTCGAGAACCGCAACGTCGGCAAGACCATTGTCAACCGTTCGCAGGGTCTGAGTATGTACACGGATGACTGACCCGACAGAGAATGCCTCGGACGCTCTCAAGGGCCGTATCCTCGAGCAGTCGCTTGCTGACCTGAACAAGGACGACGAGCAGGCCTTCCGCAAGTTCCGCCTGCGCATCGACGAGGTGCAGGGCCGTAACTGCCTGACCAACTTTTACGGTATGGACTTCACGCAGGACAAGGTCCGCTCGCTCGTGCGCAAGTGGCAGACGCTCATTGAGGCCTACCAGGACGTGAAGACCACCGACGGCTACCTCCTCCGTGTGTTCGCCATCGGCTTCACGCGCCGCCGCGCGAACCAGGTGAAGAAGACCACCTACGCCAAGTCGTCGCAGATCCGTGCCATCCGCAAGAAGATGTTCGAGGTGATCCAGCGCGAGTCGTCGTCGTGCGACCTGCGCGAGTTCGTGGCCAAGCTGATCCCCGAGGTCATGGGCCGCGAGATCGAGAAGAGCACCCAGGGCATCTACCCGCTCAAGGACGTGTACATCCGCAAGGTCAAGGTGCTGAAGCGCCCGAAGTTCGACGTCGGCAAGCTCTACGAGCTGCACGGTGGTGCGGCCGTCGTCGGTGCGGAGGACGTCGGCACCAAGATCAAGAGCGGCGAGTTCAAGGAGCCCGAGATCCAGGCCTCGGTCTAAAAGAGGAGGCAGGGGCTGTTGCCGCTTCTGCGATGTCTCTTCATGATGCTGCAGGCACGTCGTAACGACGGGCGCCTCGCACCCCGTAGCGTCGCCCAGCAGCGTGCTTGTCTAGTAGAAAATATCCTTCATCTATTCGGCCGCGCATCGGGCCTGCCGCACGCCACGATGGCCAAGGGCGCGCAGAAACGCATCGCATCGACGAATGCCCGTGCGGTACAGACGCTAGCGCTGGGCTTTGCCATCAGCAACACGCTGTACGTGCTCGCACAGCTCGTGCGGTACCGCTCCCCCCGCTGGCCGGCGGCTGTGCTGGTGCCGTACCTGCTGACCGAGGCGGTCGCTGCGGGCCTCGCGTGGCAGCTCGTCGGCATGGCGCGCCATGGCGCCGACCTAGCGCAGGCCGGCCTCACCGCGTACATGTTCGACATCGTCTACATCACATGGTTCGTCCACGGCACGACGGCGCTCGTCTCCCGCCACTTCTGGTGGACCTACCTGGTGGTGCGTACGGCAAGCTCACACAGATCCCCTTGTATGCCCTGTACCTGCTCTACACGCACATCCTCGCGCCATACGTGCTCGGACGCGGTCGCGCGCCGCCGCAGGCCACACACGACAAGGCGCCCGCCGCCAGCAACGAGCCGGCGCTGAGCAAGCGCCAGGCCAAGCTCCAGGCGCGCCAGGCGCGCGGCGCCACGGTCCGGCAAGTGCGTCGTGCGTAGCCATAGGCCCACTACCGATTCTATGACGCCGGCCCACTGGGCGGCCGCGGCTCGGGCGTCGGCGACGCAGCGCCCGAGGCCTTCTTCTTGCGCTGCATCGCCAAGCGGTTCGCCAGCTGCAAGAGCTCGAGCTGGCCCGGCGAGAGCCGCACCGTGCTGCTGCCGCCCGCCTGCTGCTTCTTCAGGAGAGCAATGAGCCCAGCCGCCTCGGGGTGCGCGGCCAGCGCCGACAGCGCCGACAGCGGATCGTCGCTCTTGTCGGCGGGCCGCGCAGCCGCNCGCTCGGGGCCGACACGGGGATGCGAGGCACCTTCGGCACCTCGAGGCGCTGGTCGCTCGCCGGCACGCTCGGCGCCGCGGGGCGCCGCCGGGGCCGAGGCTGCCGGGGCCGAGGCTGCGGCGGCGCCCTCGGGGCTCTTGGCCTTCTTCATCTTCTCCTTGAGGTGCGAGACCAGGTACGTCTGTAGGACCTGCAAGGCCTGCTGTGCGCCGAGGCCCTCGATCTGGGACAGCTGCTCGCTCGACAGGTGGCCAAACACGGCCGGGCTCAGGTACAGCTGGCCCTGGTGGTGCGCAATCGGCGGCGCCTCGAGGAGCGACTCGATGGACCCAGGCGCGCCTTTGCCCTGGGCGGCGGTGCGCTCGGCGGTCGGCGGCACACCCACAACAAGGGGAATGCGCGGCATGGCACGCGCAGCGTCCGGGGGCGTCGCGCCCGTGCGGCTGTGTGACACGGGCGCCGGCGCGGCGGGAGAGGGGGTATCGTCGGTCGCCGGGGCGCTCGCAGCGGCGGCGGCCGCGCCGTCCTGGCGCGACGCCGCGCTGTGGGCCTTGGCGAGGTCCGTGGTGCTGAGCGTGTAAAAGATGCCCTTGCCCGGCTCGTCGGGCCGCCGCGGGATCTTGCAGAACTCGCGGCTCGTGCCGATCGTGTGCCGGATCGAGCTCTGCCAGTCGCGCCCGTTCTTGCGCCCATTCTGGCTGAACCACGGGTAGGTGTTCTGGAGCCACTCGTACACCTCCTGCAGGGTCAGCTTGTGCCCTTTCTTCGCACACGACTCGGACGAGAGCGCATTGGTGATGAGCTGCACGTTCGACAGGTCCGGCTTCTGGAACGCGGGCACAGGGCCAAGCGTGTGGGCGGCCACGGCGAGGGCGGAGAGCGCAGGCGACGTGCTTGCGCGGGCGCTGTCCGCGTCGGCCTCGCCCTCGCTCTTGACGCTGTGGCTGGCGGCCGGGTCGGCCGCCGCATCGTCCGTCGGGCGGCGCCGCTTGGCGTCGCTGGCATCGCCGTCGGCGCCAGGCGCGCCGCTCCGTGCCTCGTCGGTGTGCGGTCGCTTGAGCGCCTTGCCGAGCTTCGCGCGCGGCTTGAGCACAAACTTCGGCGCGGGTGCGGCGCTGGGCGCCGGCAACTCGTCCGCGTCCGAGAGCTCGGACGACGAGGCAGCGGCGAGCAGCTCGTGGTCCGACTCGCCGCTGTCCGCGGCATCGTCCGCGTCAGGCGGCGGCGGGAGCACAAAGTAGAATACGCGCTCGGCGATCTGGATCTTGGTCCTCGCGCCGAGCGGCACCACCCCGTTCATGCTGACCCACACGTCGTCGACAAACGCCCCGTTGCGGCCGAGCACCTCGAGGAGGAAGCGGCCCTCGGGCTTGGACGGCGATGCGCTCCGGGCGCTGCCGGCCGCCTCGTCGTGGCCGGGCGCCGCGCCGGGCGGCGCCAGCATGGGCGACATGGGCAGGGAGCTGCGGTAATAGTCCGGCTGGACCGAGTAAAAGATGCGCGCGTGCAGTCGGGAGATGGACTTGAGGGGGCCCAAGTCCACGTCCACGTCCTTGCCTGCGCGCCACGCCGGCGAGGCGGACGCAGGCGCCTGGGGCCGCCGGCCAATGGTGACCTGGAGTGTCTGGATGTAGTAGGAAAAGCCAGGGAACTCGAGCTTGGCATACGCGCGGATAGGGCCCTCGGGCTCCGACGACGCCGACGGCGCATTTCGGTCGGCCCACGACGCAGACCGCGACATGGGCGCCTCCTTGGCGCGCGATGGCTCGGCCGCCGCCGTGGACGGTGCGCCGGGCAGGGGCGCGCCGACTTGCGCAGACGCACTGGACACGGACATACAGGCACCGTGTTGCACAGACAGCCAACGACCCACGCTGGGTGCTTAGGCGGCGTTCCGCACTCGCTGGTCTGCCACCCGCGCGGGTTTTGCAAGGGCGCGAAGGCGCGACGAGCCAGGGCGTCGACCCTCGGGGCCGTGTATGGGATCTATGCGTGCGCGCCGTGCGCCGTGCGCGCCGCGCTCCACTAGGGCGAGGCGGCGCGGCGCTGCTGCTTCTTGCGCTTGTTCTGCTTGCGCCGGCGCGCCTTGTCCCACTGCGACTGCAGGACACTGGGCGCGAGTGCGCGCGGGACCTGCGCGCCGCCGCGCATGGGGCCCCATGACTGCTTGATGAGCAGCTCGAGGCGCTGGCTCATCTGGCGGCGCGCGATCTCGCGGTTCTGCGCGCGGCTGCGCGTCGCCTGGCAGGTGATGCGCGTGCCCGTCGGCTCGTGGACGAGCTCCACGTTCGTAGAGAGCTTGTTGATGGCCTGTCCGCCTGGGCCGCGCCCCCGGATGAAGCGCTCGCGCAGGTCCGACTCGTCCAGCGTGATCGGCCGCTTCTTGGAGCCATCGCGCGCAAACTCGTACGCGCCTGTGTGGAACCAGTCGGGCAGCGTCCCCGGCGGCACGCGCGTGGGGGGCGCGTCTGCGCTGCCGGCGGCCGCTGCGTCGTCGACGTACTCGCTGTCCGTGGCGGGTCTAGCTGGGATGAGTGGCACACACGTACAGCCCCGCGTCGTCCTCGAGCCACCGGCCCATTTCGTCGGCGCCCTGCTCCAGCGACGCCCATTCGTAACGGTCCACATCGCCCTCGTCGTCGTCGCGCTGCGCTTCGATGCGGTGCCTCTCGAACCACGGCACTTGGCGTGCCTCGCGCTCGGCCAGGGCGCGTGCGGTCCACACGACCCGCGCGGGGAAGAAGGGCTCAAAGTGGAACTCCGGGAGCGCCTCGGGGCCGAGCAGGTGGGGGTAGTCGACAGCCGCGCGCGCCATCGAGAGGGGCGGGTCCACGAGCTGCAGCGCCGACAGGGGGTGCGACGACGCATACTGCTCGGCGACGGCGCACACGGCCCCCGCCGCCGTGAGCGCCGGCGGAAAGGGCGGCACGCCCACCTCGGGCGGCGGGTGGCGCAGCAGGCGCACCATCTCGTCCTCCATCAGCGCGAGGATCTCGGACGGCGGGCGGCCGTGCGTGTCTGGGTCCAGATCGAGAAACAGGCTCGAGAAGCCCTGCTCGCGCAGGTGCGTCCACAGAGGCGCGAATTGCCTAGGTAAGTTCGGCAGCGTACTCTTGCGCCGGTGCACCGCCCGTCCAGCGCGGCGCGGCAATGAATAGGAGCGGCGTAGGCACCTCGCGCGGCGCTGCCTCGCTCGCAGGCACATGCCGCAGCGTCGACACCCACCGCCGCAGCGCACCGAGGCCCCCGCGCGCGCGCCGAGCGCTCGCGCCGTACCACGGCATGCTCGTCGTATCACGTGAAGCGCGTGCGAGGCGGCTCAGCGGCGCACGGTGCCGCGCCATGGGCGACACCTGCGTGGCGGTCGCCGCGCACGGCTACTACTGCTTTGACGTGCTTGTGCACGCGCTGGAGGGCGGCGCTGTGCCTGCGTGGGTGGCGCCCGGCGAGGGATGCCATGTGTACGTGACCGCACTCACACCAGGCCGCTGTTCGTCTCGTGGTACACGGCGCCGCACGGGCGCACCGAAGCGAAGCGCCTGCGTGGGTGCATAGGCACGTTTGCGCCGCAGGCACTGCCCGAGGGCCTCGCGCGCTATGCGCTGCAGGCGGCGCTGCATGACTCGCGCTTCCCGCCGATCCGCCGCGCCGAGTGCGATGCGCTCGTGTGCACGGTGAGCTTCCTGAGCCCGAAGGAGCCGTGCCGCGATCCGTGGGACTGGGTCGTCGGCGTGCACGGCGTGTACGTGACGTGGCATGCACCCGGCGGAGCGAGGCTCACGGCGACCTTCCTGCCCGACGTGGCGCCTGCGCAGGGCTGGGACAAGCGGGCGACGATAGACCATGCGCTGCGCAAGGCAGGGTGGCGCGGCGACATCACCGAGGCACTGCGCTCCGAGCTCGCGGTGGAGCGGTACCAGAGCCACACGGCCACCGTGACGTGGGCCGAGTATGTGGCAGCTGTGCGTCATAGAGGCTAGCTACGGGGTATCACCGGGGCTCGGCGCCGAATCATCGTGCGCCGCGGAATGTGCGTATCCAAAGAGCGACTGGTACGACGGCTGCGAGGGCAGCACATGCGTGCGGAGCGTGTCGGGCGGCGGCGGCGTGCCGTCCGGCTCGGCGCTGTCCGGCGCCGGGAACAGCGCGCGGTCCTCGTCGCTCGGCTCGCCCGCGTCCCGCGAGTCACGGCGGGGCAGGCCGGGCGCCGGCGCGCGCGTGTCGGTGCCCGCCTCAGGGCCGGCGCTCGTGGGCTGGAGGATCGTGAACAGCTCCCCGTCGCGCTTCGGTGGCCCGTACGAGCAAAAGGGGTCGGGGATATTCGCCATCATCGACTCGAGCACGGGGTCCGTCACCGCCTTCGCCGAGAGTCGGTCCGCGATGTCGACTTGCGCGCGCACGAGGAGCATGACTTTGGACGCGAGGAAGGACCACGTCTGCTCCTCGTTGTCGAGCACGTCCGTGTAGTGGCGTGCCTTGGTTTCTTCCATTTCGTTGACCTTGTCCTGCAGCTCGGTGAGCATCGTGCGGAAGCTGTTCAGGTCGCGCTTCTTCTTGCGCCCCTCCTTCTGGTACTTGGTCTCGATGTCCTTGAGCACGCGGCTCTGTGCGGCCAGCGTGGCCTCGTGCGCGTGCTGCCGCTCGTGCACGCTCGTGCGGTACACGTCCAGCTGGCTCAGCAGCGGGATCGAGAACTCTTTCCAGAACGTGTCGCACAGCACCTGCTCGTAGTTCGACTTGAGGTAGTGCAGGCCACAGGCGGCCTGGAGCGCGGGGCCGCTCGCGTGCGCGCCCTTCATGCGCGAGCAGTCTTCGAGGGCCTCGGCGAGCTCCGATGACGCCTTAGACATGGCCAGCATCGACGCCGTATACGCCTTGGACGCGCTGAGCAGGCGCTCGTACGCCCCGAGGCTCGCGCTGATGTCCGCGCGGCGGATGTACACGGGCGGCCGGTTCGGCAGGTCGATGCTGGACGCCTGCGTCATGTGGTCGATGGTCTGGATCGACCGCGCGTAGCTCGACGGCGTCGCGGTGGCGTCGGCGTCGTCCATGGGCGTCAGGCTGCGGGGGGGCGAAATGCGTCAAATGTGCAATTTTCGGGGCACTGCCGCACGCCGCGTGTTTATGTCGCGCGTGGAGCACGGCCGAGCCACCTCCCTTCATCATGGTGCGTGGCCTTGGCCCTAACCTGGCAGGCGGACACGGAGATCAAGGAGGCATTTGCCCTATTCGACAAGAAGGGATCCGGAACGATCGCAAGCGAGAACCTCGGTGATCTGCTGCGTGCGCTGGGCCAGAATCCTACGCAGGCGGAGGTCGCCCAGCTCGCGGCCGGCGCCCCGGGCGAGAGTACGTGTCGAGTGGCGCTCACAAGCAGTCGACTACGCGACGTTCACCAAGATCCTGAACCGGCCCAATGGCTTCAAGCCGGCGGGCACACCAGGTGCGTTGCTGCCGCGCTCACACACAGAGGAGTTCATCCGCGGCTTCCAGGTGTTCGACAAGGACGGCACCGGCCAGATCGGCGTGGGCGAGCTGCGCTACGTGCTGACGAGCCTGGGCGAGAAGCTCTCGGACGAGGAGGTCGACGAGCTGCTCAAGGGCGTGGCGGTCAGCAGGTATGTGCTGCACACTGACCCTAGCGACGGCAGCATCAACTACGAGACATTTGTGCGCCAGATCCTGTCGCAGTAGACACGCCGCCAAGCGCGACATAGTACCGCTAGGACCCCACGAGCTACACAAGGATGCTGCGCTGCCGCATGCGCGTAGGCACAACTGCCAAGAGGATATTTTGGAGTATAGGAACGAGGCCGGCAGACAGGCCGCCGCCTCCTCTATAAGGAGATCTGCGACCGGGCGCGATATCGTCCACGCACCCACGCAGGGCGCCACCCAGAGGCAAGGCGCTTAGTCGCTGCCGGTGCGGGCTGCTTGTTAGTGGCGACCGGGCGTCCATACATACTGTAGACCAGCTGACCGTGGTGGTGGATCAGGGGCTTGATCTGGCCCTCACGCTCAAAGTGGCGGATGGCGAGGCGGGCGACCGAGCCGTTGATCTTCAGACGGTCAATCAGCACCGACGGCGTGATCATCTTGAAGGTGGGCACCTCCTTGATGACCTTCTCGTACAGCGGCTTGTCGAGGTGGACGGCGTTCTGGGCCTTGTCCTTAACACGGCCCTTCGACCACTTCTTCTTCTTACCGGCCTTCGAGGCGGACGCAAGAATGGCAGACTTCTTAGGAGGCATCTGTGGCGTAAGTCTGGCGAGCCGAGCGTACGTTGGCTAAGACGTCGTGAGGACAGAAGCGAGGCCGGCGGCGCGGCACTAAAACTAGGTAGCCTGGAAAAATGTACACGTGACTACGGCCGACCTACAGCACGAGTTTCAGTCCGGCGGCGTATACGTAAGCACCAAAGAGCAACACGCTCGCCGTCGCGTAGCCGAGGTCGAGGCGCACGATGGCGAAGATCCACAGCGTGCCGAGCGCTGGCGTGCGCGCAAGGGAGATATCGTACGAGGCCCGCGCGTGAGCAGCCAAACGTACCTTGTTCACAACATAGGCCAAATAGCAGCCAGCCAGCGTGCCGATCACGAACATGACCGCCTGCGTGAGCCACTTGCGCCGCTCGCGCAAGTCTGTGTGAGCCAGCGCGCAACGTACTCCACCATATGAGCAGGACAAGGGCTGCAGAGTCAGTGCTTGCGCTCCTTGCCGGCACGTACGCGGAAGCCGCTGGGCCAGTGTGGCCACTTCGCCAGCGAAGGTGCTCTCCTGGTGGTACTGCTTCTGCGCAAGCAGGTTGAGCAGCTCAAAGATAAACCCAAAGGGAATGCACCATAGTGCCAAATCAAAGAGGAGCTCGGCTCTCTCGCTCAGCCTCCCATCCTGCAGGTCTTCATACAGATCGGTCGCATTGGGTTCGAGGCCCCCCTCGTCGTCCTCGACCCTGTCCAGGTCCGAGTCCGAGTCCTGCAGGCTCCATTCGTCGAGCGAGCTGGTGCCATCAGGGTCGTCAGGCACCACGGGACGGCCGCGGTGGCGCACGGACGACGTCACTGGGCTGCTCTCGCTCGACACGACTGGGCCCTGGAGCGACGCATCGCTTTCGATCTCCTCCAGGACGGCCATCACGCGAGGACGCACAGGCCGCCTGGCCGCCCGCCCGCCGGGTGGAGCGCGTGCCACGCGGTGCCCCCCTGCCACCCGTTCGGCCGAACACCGAGGCCCGCTGGCCGGACGTGCCCGGAGCGCTGACGCCCGCCGAACTCGTCGTGCACCCAGCCACCACCTGTATTGACGACATGGCTACCAAGGCTGCTGCCATTGACTTTAGCAAGATCCTCTCGTCGGGGATCGGCAAGGAGACGCAGGCCCAGATTGTGGCGTTCCGCAAGCGTGCCGATGAGGCTCGCCGCGCCCTGGCGAACCTGCAGAACCAGCCCACCTCGGTGGACCTCTCGCACTACAAGAGCGTGCTGAAGGTACGTGGCCGTGCATGTGCCCCCGGCTTACATGGCAGAACCAGTCGGTGGTCTCGCAGGCTGAAAAGATCCTGAGCGAGTTCAAGCCGGTGACCTACGACGTGAACGCGCAGGTGAAGGCGATTGAGTCGTTTGAGGCCACGGCGGTATGTATACTGGTGGCATGCGAGACATGATGCTGACGCGATGCGCGCCGTCCTCGGCATGCTACTACTCTACAGGTGAAGCAGGCGCAGGAGAGTGCGGCGAAGATGGAGGCCGAGCTGAAGGACCTGAAGGCCACCCTCGGCAACATCGAGGGCGCCCGTCCGTTCGACCAGCTCACTACGGGCGATGTCCTCCAGGCGCGTCCCGAGATTGCCAAGACGATCGAGGAGATGGTCAAGAAGGGCAAGTGGACCGTGCCGGGCTACGACGAGAAGTTCGGCAGTATGTACCGTGACGCTAGGCGCCCGTTGCTAACGATACAGGTCTTGCCATGTAAGCAGCTTTATAGCCTCTTCTCGGGAGCCGCAAGCTCCCTGCTCGCCATCGTCGGTCGTGGGGCCGGCCGGTGTACCGGCCACGTGATCCATGGCCCGTGGGGGGTGTCGGTTGGGCGCATGGCTGATCCCTTGTCATGTCGACCCCGCGTAGTATGTTCAGTGGACCGTTTGGGGCGCCTGCTGTGAGCGCCGAGGACGATGTCCTTCCAGCGGGCGTAAGGCTCGGTCGGAGAGCGTCTGTGTCGGCGGAGAGCATGTCCAGCACGGCGGAGCTGAGTGGGAGTGCGCAGTTTCCCAAGACGGAGCACCAAAAGGAGCGCCTGATGGCGGCCCTCACGCCGAACCTGCTTTTCCGCCAGCTGGAGAACGAGCAGGTACAGAGCCTGCTCCTAGCGATGCGCGAGATGCGCTTCGCCAAGGGCGATGTTGTGATCCAGCAGGGCGACGACGGCGATTTCTGCTATGTGGCCGAGTCGGGCACTCTGGACGTGTTTCTGCAGCCGCCGGGCACGCCCGCAGAGGTCGCGGTGCGCGCGAGACCCGGCGAAATGGGCCAAAAGATCGCCTCGTACGGCCCCGGCGCGACCTTTGGCGAGCTGGCGCTCCTCTACATGCAGCCGCGTGCCGCCTCGGTCGTGGCGACCTCCGACTGTGTCCTGTGGGCGCTGGACCGCGTGTCGTTCCGCTCCATCATGGCCCACTCTGACCTGAAGCGCCGCGTCATGCTCGACTCGTTCATGAAGCAGGTGCCGCTCCTGCAGCACCTGCGCGAGGACGAGCGTCTTCGCGTGTGCGACGCGATCGAGTTTGTCGAATACCCGGCAGGCGAGACGGTGCTGCACGAGGGCGACATCGGCACGCAGTTCTTTTTGATCGTGAACGGCGTGGCCGAGGTGATCAAGCAAAACAAGACCGTGTCGCTGCTCCAGCGCGGCGACTACTTTGGCGAGCTGGCCCTGCTGCACCGTGCGCCGCGCGCTGCGACGGTCGTCGCGAGCGAGAGCTCGCCGTCCGGGAAGCTGCGCGTAGGCGTGCTACAGGAAGACGCCTTCACGCGCCTGCTCGGTCCCCTTTCAGACATTATGAATCGGCATGCGGCCATGCACTATGGCTCGACGCCCGAGGCGCCTGCTGCGACCGAGGCGCCGCCGGGCTCGCCCCGGTCGGGCCAGGCTCCGACGTCCTAGTGTCTAGATTGTAGATAGACAATTGCGCACGTTGCTCACCCGCCTCCAGCGGCGCCGGACTGGCAAACAACGGGTCGACGCCCGAGCCGCTTTTCGGGAAGGCGATCACATCGCGGATCGTCGGGGTATCGCACGCCATCGCCATGAAGCGGTCAAAGCCTGTGTCAGTCACAGCCACGTACCGAGCGCGATGCCTGCATGGGGCGGCGCACCGCACCGCAGCGCCTGCAGCAGGTGGCCAAAGCGCCCCACCTCCTCGTCCGTCAGCGCCAGGACATCCTGCAAAATCGCGAGCTGCATGTCGGGGTCATGCACACGCACACTGCCGCCGCCAATCTCGGCGCCGTTGAGCACGAGGTCGTAGTGCTGACCATGGATCGCCGCTAGGAGCCGGTCGCGCTCGGCCGGCGCGGCACATGCACGCGCCGCCATCAGGCGCGGCACGTCTTGCGCGGCCGGTGCGGTGAATGGGTGGTGCGTGCTGCTCCAGCGCCCATGCGCCGCGGCCGCCTTGTCCGCGTCGGCCCGCGTAAAGAGGGGAAACTCGGTGACCCACAGCACCTGCGGCTCGCGGCTGCGGAGCGGCAAGAGATCAGCAATACGCAGGCGCACATCGCCTAGAAGCGTGCTGCCCCCGTCGGCCGGACGCGGGCGCAGCGCGACAAACACGTCGCACCGATCCTCGGGCGGCGCGGGCGCGCTGCCTCGGAAGGCGTTCGCGCGCTCCATCGCGTCGCGCACCGTCTCCGTGAGCGTCTCCGCCTCCACGGCGCCAGCCACGGCCGCCAAGTGCCGCGACTTGCCCAGCAGGAGGCGCGCTAGGGCCTCGGGCGCCGAGCGCCGCGCCTTGAAGTGCTCCACGTCCATGCGCTCGCCATGCGCGTCGATCCGCAGCTGCTCCACCTGCCGCGCGGTGAGTTTGCACGACGCATAGTGTGGCACGACGAGCATGTCGACGGCATGCGTCGAGCACGCCGGCGCCAGGTTGCGAATCTCGAGGCCAAATCGCAGATCCGGCTTGTCGGAGCCGTACGTGTTCATCACATGCTCGTAGGACAGCACAGGGAACGAGCTGGGCAGGGGAGGCTGCTCCGTGTGCGCCCACATGGCCCGCACGAGGCCCTCTGTGACGTCGCGCACCTGCGTGCCGCCAATGGCCCACGCCGCGGTGTCGCCGGACCCGCTGACGAAGCTCATCTCGATATCGATCTGCGTGAACTCCGGCTGGCGGTCTTTGCGGCCATCCTCGTCGCGAAAGCACTTGGCAAACTGGAAGTAGCGGTCCGTCACACCGGACACCATGAGCAGCTGCTTGGGCTGCTGCGGCGACTGCTGGAGCGCGTAGAACTGCGGGTCCGTGCCGCCCTGGCGCGTCGGCACCAGGAATTCCCGCGCCCCCTCGGGCGTGGAGCGCAGGAGGACGGGCGTTTCCACCTCGCAGAACCCGCGGTCGTGCAGGAAGCAGCGCGCTGCATGCGCAACGCGACTGCGCAGGCGGATCTTGTCGCCTAGCGCGGGGCGGCGCAGGTCCAGGTAGCGGAACTTGGCGCGGAGAGCGTCCTTCGGCAGGGCCCGGGCGTCAGAGCACTGCGTAGCGTAGAAGGGCAGCGCATCGTCCGCCGCATTCAGCAGCTCCCATGACTGCACTTGGACCTCGATGTCGCCCGTGCGCATCGCGGGGTTCGCTGCACCACGTGCGCGCAGCCGGACCTGGCCCTGCACGGCAATCACACTCTCGACCGCCAGGGCTTCGAGGCCGGCGACGAGCGCAGGGTCACTGACCACCAGCTGCACGGTGCCTGACGCGTCCTGCAGCGGCACAAACGACAGGTTCTTGGATATAGTGCGGGGGGTGCGGACCCAGCCTGCCAGGCTGACGCGCTGGTCTTCGCAGGCCGCGCTGAGCTCTCCACAGTGGTGCGTGCGTGGCGCCGTGGCCCAGCGTGCCACAGGCCTCGCGGTCGCGGCCGTGTGCTCTGTTCGCACGGGCCTAGCTAGCCTCGCGCCGTGCGGGCGCACAGACGCCCAACCCAGGCGTGCGATGCCCGCCATGCCGCCGCCGCCAGGGTCTGGCGCGTGCGCCTGCCGCATGGCCTGACGCCACTCGTGCCCACATCACGTGACGCCAACGAAGCACGTAGAAACAGATGCGTCGGCGGTCCCGTGCCGGCAAACGCCCCCGTTCGTTTCTCTTTTGCCATCATGTCGTCTGTGACTTCTGCCATCAAGGACGCTATTCTGCCTTCGGACTCTAACAAGGAGGCCGAGCTTGCTGCTCAGCAGGTGCCGGAGACTACGCCCACTGTGGCGGACCCCGGTCTTGTGGGCCGCCCCAAGGACGAGCTCGTGACGGAGCACACCACGGTGTACACCAACGCCACCCCCGATGTGCTCGAGTCGTCGAACCACCATGTGATGACTGAGGCCGTGCCGATTACCCACACGCCCGTGGCGGACTACAACGAGGTCCCGCGCGCTGCGCCCGCGATTCTCGGCGGCGACCTGTACAGCATCCTTGGCCAGACGGAGCCCGTGTCGAGCACGACGGCGCAGCCTGTGGCCGAGCAGTCGAAGGAGACTGTGCAGCCCATGGCGTCGAACTCGTACGTGAACGAGGTCCCCTCCAATGAGATGGCCTGGACCATTCGCGACACGGATGCGTACACCTCGGCTGGTGCCGGTGCCGGTGCGGGTGCGGGTGCTGTTGCTGGTGCGGGCGCTGGTGCTGCCGCGAGCCATGTGGCGTCGACGTCGGAGGCCCCTGCTGCCCCTGCCGGTCAGGGATCGGCGGTGGACCAGCTGGAGCCTACGACTGAGCAGGCCTGGTCGGTGCGTGGCCCTGCCTCGAACCTCGTGTCGAAGGGCCCGCACGAGCACGCTGCGCACCTCAGCAGCGATGCTGCGGGCAACGTGCCCATTGACGAGAGCGCGACGTCGCCTACGGAGAAGGTGGCCGATGCCCCTGGCGCAGCCGTGAGCGGTGCGCAGGACAAGGTCGCCGGCGCCCCTGGTCAGGCGAAGGACACCGTGGCTGGCACTGCTTCGCAGGCTAAGGACACTACGACTGGCACGGCCACTGGCGCTACGTCGCAGGCCAAGGACGCTGCCACTGGCACTGCCTCGCAGGCCAAGAACACCGCGACGGACGCCGCGGAGAAGCCCAAGAAGCTCGGTCTCGTGCAAAAGGTGAAGAAGGCCCTCAAGATTGGCAAGCAGAACAAGTAATGTCTCATCTATTGCATATCACGTAATTAAGGCTGAGAGAGGTGTCCACAAACCACTCTTCCATAGTCTGGTCATTGTAGAAAGCTCGCTAATTGTGATCTCTCCTTGGCATGAATGTCCGACGGGCGAACGGACTTTAGTGTCACGTGTAGATGTGCGTGCCGCCCTTGCACCTTGCCTTTGACCCACATGTCGTACTACTATGGTGACCGTTATGACCCATATGATTCAGGCCTCTCTACCGGTGCGCGCGCGGGTATAGGTACGTACCAAGACACTTATAGTTAGGTATCGGTGTCGCTGTCTTTTGCTTGATTGTGATCCTCCTACTTGGCATGTTCATCACGAAGCGCCGTCGTCTTTTCACGCCCCATATCCGTCCTGGATTCAACACGGGCTACTACTCGCAGCAGCCGATGGGCCCATCGCAGCCGTACGTGCCCAATCAGCCGTACCAGCAAAATATGCCCTACCAGCCACCCCCCGCGTACCCGCCACCGCAGACGGATGCTCCTGTCTCCAATGGCACGCCGTATATGCCGTCGTCCAGCGGCCCGTATGCGCCGCCACCCGGCCCGCCGCCCACCAACGATGTGTACAAGCCACCTGTGGACCCACCGCCGGCGGCGTACCCGCCGCCGCCGGGCCCGCCACCCAGCTAGGGCCCTCCTATAGACTCTATCTTCCGCCTGTACAGACAATAGCGCATTTCGACGGACCAGCACGCGGCCTGCCGGGGCGTCATGCCGATGAACGCCCGATAGTGAGGGGCCCCAAAATAAATTCAGATCTGTCAGCAGGCGAGCCTCGCCGTCGCCACCCCTTGCCACCCGGCCATGACGGACGCAAATGACCCGAATGGTGCCAGCTCTGGCGATGCGATTCGCGCGGGTATCTGGGTCGCTATTGTCTGTGTGATTATCCTGGTATGCCTGGTCATTGCCTTTAGCCAGTATCGGCGCACGATACACCTGCGGCGGCACGCACGAAACACCGTGCCGATGACACCCGCGCCGATGCCGGCGAGCGCCTCGTCGCCGTACACGTACCCTCCTAACGCTACGCAAGATACCACATGGGACGAGTCGCTGGGCCCCGGCGGCGAGCCGCTGCCCCGGTACGAGCCGCCAGCGACGCCACCGCCCGCCTTTGACGCCAAGGTCGCGGACGCGTCGGACGTGCTTCCTTATTCACATACCCCCGAGCCCCGCGCTGCGCCGGGACCTAGCGGAATGTAGTTCTGCCATTCGACTTGTACTATCTGTCTAGCGGCCACCCATGTTGTTGCCCTGGGAGGTGATGTTCGCTGCCGCGTTGCTCTGGTTGCGGCCGCTGTGGTCGTGGCCACGGAGCGCTGTGCGTGAGATCGCATGCACGTACTGCCCGCCTGGAGCGTGCCCGCCTCGAGCAGCTTCACGATCGCATCGTCGGTGTTGCTCGTGCCGAACACGGTGTGCAGCTCCTGCTTCGAGAGCTGGCCCATGATGCCCTGCGAGCCCTGGCCCGACGAGAAGATTTGGAAGGCTGCGTGAGCGGCAGGTACGTACTGTCGACAACGTCGGCGAGAGGGATGGTCTTGTCGCCACTGCGCCACGAGACGTACTGCACGTTAGCCACCGGGGCATACCGTCTCGGGGTTCACAAGCACGATGTACTCATCGGTCGACATGGGGTCATTCTACGAGTCAGCGGACAGGCGGCACGCACCTTGTAAATCACCTTCGAGATGTGGGCCTTCGTCATGGTGTACGGTGAGAAGGCCCGCGTGCCCCGCGGGGATTCTATGAGCTGGCGGTGGCAAATGCATCGTTATCATGTGATGTGCACAGGTTAGTCAGCCATGATCGTCCGACGACGCCTCCCGCACCGCGCTCACGAAGCGAGCAGGGCGCGATCGATAGGCGGTCCGTCGGTGTGCTGGCGGATCGGCAGGGGTACTATAAACGTTTCTATATGCACGCCCCGGTGATGGTAGCTCGCCATATCGGCGCTGTGACGGCTCCTAGGGCCGTGCCACCTCGCCAGGCGCTGTGTGGCGCTGCTGGCTGTACAGGGCTGCTCCAGCTGCTCTATCTACCCTGGCGACGCTGGCCAGTTGGGCCACGCGTGATCCATAGAGGCGCGCGGGGCGAGGATGGATGTGCGCACGGGGCTCGCCGGTCTGTAGTCGCTTAGTCATCGTCGTCGCTTTGCTACGGACCGCCATGGACGCCGAAGCGCTGCCGCCCGCGCTGGCCGAGCTAGCCGAGCGGCACCTGAAGCGCAGCCGCACACTGATGTATCACTTCCACGCGGACGTGCCGGCCGTGCCCGATGGGCCCCGCGCACACCTGGCCTCCAAGCTGCGCGCCGAGTACGACGGAGCGATGGTGCTGCCGGATGTCGTCCAGGCGCAGCAGGGCGCGAGCGCGCCCCTCGCCACCAAAGGCAAGGCGTCCGAGACGTCCGATCTCCTTGCGCAGCTGGAGAAGGAGCGGGGCATCACTCGCCCGGCGGCTGCAGGTGGCGCGGGCACGTCGCAGGCCGTGGCGCTGCGGTCGTCGCTGTCGCATCCGACGGCCGCGTCGCAGCTGCAAACGGCGCTGATTCCGCGGGAGCATGCGGGCCACGATACGGAGCGCTCGATGCTGAGCAGTGCGCTGATCCGCAAGAAGGAGTTGGCCGCGCAGCAGGCGAAGCCCGCGTACCATGCGCCGTGGAAGCTGATGCGTGTCATATCGGGGCACCTCGGCTGGGTGCGCTGCGTCGCCGTGGAGCCGAACAACCAGTGGTTCGCGACGGGCGCCGGCGACCGCATCATCAAGATCTGGGACATGGCGAGCGGCGAGCTGAAGCTCTCGCTCACGGGACACATTTCGACGGTGCGCGGTCTCGCGGTGAGCCACCGGCACCCGTACCTCTTCTCTGCCGGCGAGGACAAGCTTGTGAAGTGCTGGGACCTCGAGACGAACAAGGTCGTGCGGCAGTACTACGGGCACCTCTCGGGCATCTACGCGCTGAGCCTGCACCCGACGCTCGATGTCGTCGTGACGGCCGGCCGCGATGCGTCGGCGCGCGTGTGGGACATGCGCACGAAGACGCAGATCCACGTGCTGGGCGGGCATCGCGGCACGGTCGCGAGCGTGCAGTGCCAGGAGAGCGATCCGCAGGTGATCACCGGGAGCATGGACGCGACCGTGAAGCTGTGGGACCTGGCGGCGGGGCGGTGCATGACGACGCTCACGCACCACAAAAAGTCGGTGCGCGCGCTCGCGATCCCGCCGCACGAGTTTACGTTCGCGTCCGGCTCGGCGGGCGGGCGCAACATCAAGCGCTGGCGGTGCCCCGAAGGCACGCTCATGACGAATATGACGCACGATGCGATTGTGAATACCCTCTCGATCAATGCCGACGGCGTGCTGTTCTCCGGCGCGGACGACGGCACGATGCAGTTCTACGACTACGCGACGGGCGTGCCGTTCCAGGCCGCGAGCGACATTGTGCAGCCGGGCTCGCTGGATGCCGAGGCCGGCCTCTTCTGCTCGACGTTTGACCAGACGGGCACGCGCCTCATCACGGGCTGTGCGGACAAGAGTACGTGGCCTCTACTGACTCCAGCAATCAAAGTGTACCGCGAGACATAGTTGCCGCGACACGGTCGAGCGCGGCCACGAGACGGCGCAGCTCGCGCGCGGCGTGTGCGCCGTCGTCGAGCGTGATGCTCTCTGTGAGGCCCGGCAGTGTCGTGGCCCCGTAGCCGAGCCAGCGGCCGGGCGCCACGCCCAGGTGCCGGAACCACGGGCGCTGCACGAGGCCCGCGGGATCGAGGAAGCCCTGCTCGACACGCTGCAGGCGCGCGTTCACGGCCCGGACGCGCGGCGGCTCAAGGCTGCCCCGCGCCTCGCCGCTCGCCTCCAGCTCGCGCTGCGTGCGGTGCAGCTGCGCCGCGGCGTCCTGCACGCGCCGCAGCGCCGCCTCGAGCTGCGCCCACGGCGCCGCCGCGCGCGGCGCGATGCGNGTCCGCGCTGCGCAGGACGAGCAGGCCCAGGAGGCGCGCCATGGCCTCGTGGCGCGCAAAGCCGGGGTCGCCCCACTTGTCCATCCACGTGAACGAGTCGTAGTTGGAGTGGTAGTGGTACACGGGGTCCGTCTCTGTGCGCCGGAAGCTCACGTCCGTGGACGGGATGCCGAGGTGCTGCAGGAACACGGTGTAGTCGCTGCCCGAGCCGAGCGGCGCGACGCGGTCGAGGCGCAGGCGGGCGCCGGGCACGTGCGGGTCCGGCACGCTCGCGGCGACGCCGCGCAGGAGGCGCGCGAGCGACGGCGAGCCGCTCGCCTCGAGCTGCGAGCCCTTGACGGCCATGTCGAGGTTGTGGTACATGGCCACATGGCGCGAGAGGAACGGCGCGTAGTCCTCGCCGAACTCGGTCGAGCCCACGAGCCCGTACTCCTCCGCGTCCCAGCTCGCGAGGACGATGGTGCGCTGCGGCCGCCAGCCGGTCGCGAGGAGCGCGCCGAGGCCCCTGGCGAGCTCGTGCATGACGGCGGTGCCTGACGCCGGGTCCCCCGCGCCAAACACCCACGCGTCGCGGTGGTTGCCGACCATGATGCGCTCGTCGTCGATGCGCCCGGGGATCACCGCATACACGTTCCAGACGTCGCGCGTCGCGTGGCGCATGCCGTTGCTCATCGACACGCGCAGCGCACTCGGGCCGGTCCAGTACTCGGCGCCGGGGATCTCGCCGCCGAAGCGCGGGCGCACCTCCTCCGCACGCACGCCGCGGCCCTGCGTCAGCGCCAGCAGCTGCTTCGCCGTCGCGTACGACAGCGGCAGCGACGGGATGCGCGGCAGCGAGTCGACCTCGCTCCACGGCGCGCGCGTCGCGTTGCGGTACGACGGGCGCCCGGGCGTCGACGGGTCGCCCGGGTAGAACGAGAGCGCCTGCACGCTGCCGCGCTGCACACTGCTGGGCTGCCGCGCAGGCCCCGCCGGGTACGGCGCGTAGCCGTGCGCCTCCGTCACCTGCCCGTCCTCCTCGGGGTCCGAGTAGATCAGCACGCCGACCGCGCCGGCCTCCTGCGCGGCGCGCACCTTGAGGCCGCGGAAGAGCCCGCCGTAGCGCACGAGCGCAATCGCGCCGTCGACGCGCACACCGCGCGCCCGGAGCCGCGCAAAGTCGGCCGGCGAGCCCGTGCCCGCATACACGAGCGGGCCGCTCGCGTTCCCGGAGAACGAGTAGCCGTGGAACGCCGGCAGGCCGTGTGCGCTCGCCGGGTCCTCCGCGAGGACGTCTTCCGCCAGCGACGCGTTCCACACGGCGCGGCCCTGCGCATCGACGACGCGCAGGCTCGCATGCACGGGCTCGTCGAGCCACACCGCGTACGTGTCGGCCCACACGCGGGGCGCGCTCGCCGCGCTCTCCATGAGCGTGCGGCTCTCGGCGGAGCCCGCCTCGTACACGCGCGCCGACGCGTTGCGCGTGTCGGCGCCGAGCAGCGCGGACCACTCGTCGAGGAGGCGCAGCACGGACGCCCTGTCGCCCGGCTCGCCCGCGTAGTGGTGCTGCGCCGTGTAGCGCTGCAGCGCGGCGCGCGCACTGGCCGCGGACGGCACCTGGACATACGCCTGCTCGAGCGGCGTCAGCGGCCCGTAGCACTCGGGCGTGCGCGCGTGCGCGACGCGCAGGCGGCAGCGCACGTCGCCGCCGTGCACGCGCGCGCGCGCGCCGGGCCCCGCGGCGGCGTAGCTGTACAGGCGCCACAGCAGCAGGAGCGCCGAGCACGCGCACAGCAGGTACGTGCGCCATGCGTGGCGCGGGCGCAGGCGCCGCGCGGCTTCGTCGGCATACGCGCGCTTCTCGTCGCTCTGTGCAGGCGCCGCAGGCGGCGTGCGGTCGCGCGCACGGTGCTCCTGACACACGTGCATCGTCGTGGGGAGCGGCCCGCCGGGCGGGCGGGCGGCGCTATCACGTGCTATGGAGCTAGTTCTCGTCCATCGCGTCGCGGCGCTCGCTGTCCGCGGGGGCGTCCTCGGCGGCGGCCTGCGCGGCGCGCGCGTGGGCGGCCTGCTCGCGCTCGCTGGGGCCGAGTCTGCTGTTAGAAGATAGACGTACTGCTCGAACCACTCGGCGAGGTCGTCGCCCTCCAGGAGCGAGAACTTTTCGCCGTCGCGCACGGCGGGCGAGCGCGGGTCGGCGTCGGCGCCGGGGCCGACGAAGGCGACGGACACGGCGGCGCGCTCGAGCTGCTTGTTCTGTGGCAGCGTCTCGCGCAGCGCGCGGAGGCCGTGCAGGATGAGCTCGTCGCGCGAGGCGTCGGCGAACGCGTCGAGGTGGCGCTCCAGGTACGTCTTGGCGCTCTGGTTGCGTGCGCCGAGGCTCATCGCGTGGTACTCGAAGCAGTTGCCGGTCGGGTTGAACTCGTACAGGTGGGGGCCCGTGTCGTCGACGCCGATGACGAGGAAGCCGACGCCGTACGGGCGCTTGCCGTACTGCATCGTGTTCAGCTGCGCGCGGTCGGCGAGCGTCGACATGAGGCGCGAGATCGGGAGCGGGCGCGTGTACATGAGGCGCGACGACAGCGCAAGCTGCCGCATGTAGTGGCTCAGCACGCGCGCATCGCTCGTCAGGCCCGCAAAGCCGATGCCGATGTGGTGGTCGATTTTCAGCACCTTGCGCTGGTGCGCCGCGAGCTCCGACGGCGCGCGCTTCAGCGCCACGATCACCGCATGCGTGCGCGACCGCAGGCCGACGACGGCCGAGCCCTGCTTCACCGCCTCGAGGGCATACTCGACCTGGTGCAGGCGGCCCTGGGGCGAGACTGCGTCAGCGTCGCATACGTACACACTGTATTGTCGCTATCGTACGTGCTGGTGGTCAGTCTCGCAGACGCACTTTCGGAACTGCGTCAGCCGCCTCTACGCACCATCGTACACCGCGCCCCGTGGCGTTGAGAGCCAGCGCCGCTCGCCGGCGACGCGTACGTCATGCCCGATCCGATATATTTCCACAAATGCCCACACCCAGCCACCCCGGCGCAGGCGCCGCGCTCCTCTCGCCATGGCCGAGCCGCAGGCGGTATGGGACGCCGCGCAGCGGCTGGGCACGCGCGCCCACGCGTGGGCGGCTGAGCGCACCGGCGCGCCCCTTGCGCTGCTCATCGCCACATGCATCCTCGCCGTCGCCCTCGCGTCCGCGCTCGCGCACCGCCGTCGCACGCTCGCGCCGCCGGTGCCGGCGGCCCCAGGCGCGCGCGCGCGCGGCACGCGCACGCTCGTGCTCCTTGGCAGCGAGCAGGCGGGCAAGACGAGCGTGTTCCTGCGCATGGCCCTCGGCGTCACGCCAGAGACGGCCACGTCGCAGCAGGTGAACACGGCCGCGCTCGAGGCGGGGCGCTTCGGCCCGGCGGCGCTCCGGCTCGTCGACGTGCCTGGGCACGCGCGCCTGCGCGCGCATGCGTGGGAGTGGCTCGATGAGGCAGATGCGCTCGTCTTTTGCATCGACGCGAGCGTCGCGAGCCGCGGCGGCAGCGAGTCGGCCACGGCCGCCGCGGCGCTCTCGACGATGAAGCGCACGGATCTGCAGGAGGCACTCACCGAGTCGGTCGACTACCTGCACGAAACGCTAGCTACTCTCGCGGCGCGGCGCCTCGCGCCCGGCGCGCGGCCGCGCGCGCCGCCCGCGCTGTACCTCCTCTTCACCCGC